AGGAAGATGTACTGTACTGCACATATGTGCAGGCCGTCTCCGAAGAAAGGGACTGCGGGGTGAAGGTGTCCCGGAGCGCCTTTTCAGCCAGCAGCAGCCACCGGTCTACCGCCCCTGCGGGAGCGGGATTCCGACAATGCCGGCCTGTGCTGAGCTGACGAGAAAAACAAGATAGTGCGGGGTGAGGATTACGGGAACCTGGGGCCTTTGGCACTCCCTACCCCACAACTCATGTTACAGGTTCAGGTGGCATGCCCGAGCCCTCGGATCCAAGAGCAACAACTCAAAATAGCGGGGTAAAACAGTCACTGGTGACTGCCCAGCTTCCTGGAGTCAGAAGGCATCATACTCCTTGGGTTGCTTGGCCGCACTTAGGGTAGGCCACCCGAGGAGAGTCTATTCGAGCATGCATGGCCCCATTTCCCTTCGCCGTCACTATCACCAGAGATGTCCCGGCATTGCGTCGGCCCCTGCTGTACTGCGGAATTCGGGATTTTACCCCATGTTTTTACCCAGCCAGGAGATGGGCAAGCTTCCAAGGAAGGTCTGGAAGCCACAGGATTCTTTACAAAAGTACTCGGTAGCAACGCTGAACCCCTAGCTGCTAGTACTTTTCCATCACGGGCGCGAACTTGAAAGGGGTTGGGTTTTCCGCGCTGCAGCGGCAGCAGCAACCGAATTAAGCTTGTGATTCGAGCCGCACAGAACCCTCATCTCGTTCGTTGCCCCCCGCCGGCCACATTATTCCTCCGCAACTCCCCGGCTCTGGCTTCCATTTCACACCAATGAAAGTCAGGGCATTCCGAATGCAAGCCTCATCCCCTTCTTCCTCGCTCCCCAAACCCAAGACGGCGACGTGCATAGCCACGATCAAGGTTCCAACGGCATTTGCCGTGGCCTGTCCTACCTACCAAGGTAGGCAAATCGTAAAAGTCCGAGCCGGTCACGCTGTTATCACGGTCCCCGACAGGCTCGAGTCCGAGACTGGGCCGCCACCCAACATGGAGTGGAAAGGAACGAGGACAAACCCTATCCCACATTTATGCGAGTGCGAGAACGGGGAACACATGAGTGATGGTGTGTGGTGTGGTTTGAGAGTGCCGAGAACCCCCGCCCGAGGTTTCATCAATTACGTACTCCGTACGTATTCTGCAGTTGGGACAGAGCCTAAGATGCTGCTGATGAGATAATAGGAAAAGGGGTAGGTGTGGCTAGCTAGCTCTGCCGGCCGATTTCCGAGCCGCGTTCCGGCGCCGTTTTTTTTTCCCCTTCCACCAGTCCGTAATATACGCGACAATTCTAATTCCCGATGACTCGGGCGATGCGGCGCGCGCGAGAGGTAAGATATGTCCCGAGAATGCGGAGTAGGTACTCCGTGCCCGGCGACGCGGTGCCGGCCCCACGGAACACAACGGAATCGCGTCTTGTTCACGTCTTTGTTTCCTAGCTCTCTTTCCCTGTTCTTATCAAGCTAACTCCCTGTGAGATTCCCGTCTTTGCCTCCCCATCTGTTCTCTTTTTAATAAAAAAAAATAAAACAAAAAAAAAATTGGCTCCCTCATTCTTTCCATCGTTTCCTGCACGTTAGCAACAGCCGGTGCAAGAAGCCATTCGCAATGGTTATTTTTTCATACTTCCGACAACCGTCGGCGTACTTGGCGTGGGGAATCTGTCAACAACGGTCTTGGCTCGGGGACATAGTGCCATGATGCCATCTACCAATCCCGAAAACGAGACCCCAAAAGGGCCAAGAACACAGTCCAGTACCTCGTTGATGCGAGTCCCACAACCTACCTTTAATTCAATGCACGTCTTACTGAGGAAGTTGTTGTTGTTGTTGTTGGCTAATTGCATCACCTTTCGTCGTCGGTAGGAAACCGGGAATAGAACAAGGCAGCTCTCTCAGACATGCGTAGGAAAATCCGGCCTTCCAATTGCGGCCGCAAGCCCCGAGCCCGAAGCTCGGGGGCCGATCAGAAGAATAGGTCTGGACTGGAAAGCCGATGGGGCCATTTAATTTGAAATAACCGTAAACGCTAGGGGGGGCGAGCGATGTAGCCTCGGTGGTTCGATCCAAGGCTTGGCTAACATGGAATGACCCACAGCACCATCCAGTATTCGTATCCGCATACGCGCCATGGATTCGAGGGATTTCGGTTTGCTGCAGCTTCACCAGTTCTACTGCCTCCTGCCTGGACTGTCTAGGTTGTAAGGGATGCCCCGTTGGAGATTAAGCAAACGAGCGCATCGAATCGTTCAACCAGGCACCTGGCACGGTGTGTGCGTAATATTAACAACCGCTTTCTGTTGGCTGGTCGAGCCATGTACACTACTGCGAAGTATGCTGACAACTCCTGAGCTGAGCTGCCAACGCTGACCCTTACCTACCCTTGCACTCTTTGAGGAAACAAACTCTCAAGGTATGGAAAACTAAGACTAATTAGTCAAGGTGCCAAGTTTCCAAGCTGCGCTTGTTAATAATTGCCGACCGCTTCGGAAACATGATGATTAGGTAGTTTAGACGCCCTTAGTGCTTTGCACTAGTACAATACTGAACCGTACATGCATGTCTGGGTACGCAGGAGGCAGGGTTCTTTTTTTTGTCGTCTGGCAACTCCCTCAGTAAGGCTGACGTTTTTTGACGCGCCTCACGCATGCATCCAACCGGTAATATTCGGCCCCCCGTTATGGGACAGAGACGTCTCTGCGCCATGCAAGTATGGGTCGATCGAAAGATCAATAAAGGTCAACAACCCCCCGTACCCTTCCTCCCAACCTCCCGTGCACTCTCGGAATCCCGCGAAGGCCACTGGAAAATCCGGTTTCCTCCGTTACAGGTAGCAAAATCCGATTGCGTAGTATCAGTAAGCGGCAGCTTGTAAGAATCAACCGGGGTGGTGGTGAGTCTGCTGCAACGTTCGAGAAACAGGACGTTCTAGACTGTTCCACGTGGGAAAACGTGATCTCACGCACATGCGCCAGGATTCGCTTCCTGTTATCTGAATTGCCGAAATAGCTGCTCTAGTCTGGTTCTAGGCCACCTGCTTATTCCTTGCTAATGCTTATCGTCGCAAAGACTCATTGGCAAGTGACAGTGGCAGTGACACCAGATTCGAGAATGTATTAATCATGTTAATACGCCAGCTACCTAATTATTCCACTTCATCCCGCGTATGCAGCGAGCGAGCTCTGGCTAGTCTTATCTGATACGCATGGTTGCTACCTAGAATTATTGGATCGAGTTCTGCAAAGCACATGTGAGGGGATCGATGCTTCAGATGGCAATCTGTCAAAGCCGGCCACCTCCTTTTCCCACCCCTCTGCCAGCTTGTTTGGAATGATGCACAGGACTTGTGTCGTTCTCGTCGCTTGATGTGACCGTGTGAGGCAATCTCCGCGTCTCCCGAAACACTGGATGCCCGAACTTGATATGCTCCCTCCCGCTGTCCGCTGCTCTGCTTAGACACCCGGCCCTCGGACTTTCCTAACCGTCACCCCTGAAGCACACACATATGGTCACTACGTTCTAAAATTCAACCTCCGTATGTATCCGTACAGGCTACAGAGGTACCAACAAGCTTTGCCAAGAGCGGCCCCAGAAACGCCACAGTGAACAGTGCATGGCGGATTCTCACAGCCGCCCATCATTATTGCCGTTGGGTCCCCTTGAGGCACCAAGGGGTTCGTCTGACTTCTGTAATGATATCCGACTTCCCAGTTACCTCGGGCCGGCGGCGAGGTAGGTGCGTGAGCATGCCAAGTCTGACAGCGATAACTTAATGTGCATGCAGTCAGCTACACTCGATAAGCTCTGCAGGTTACGTCTAGCTCTAAAGAATTGTCAAGACGACGGTGAAAGGTCAAGTTGGGCGCACTTCTCTGTTTGACTGGCTAAGCGACCACTGATAGCTAGACTAGTCCCGGTGTTGATGCCCTACGGACGGTTTTCTTCGAAGCTCGTGCCTCATAGCGACAGAAATTCAACAAGCACCACATAAAAAGGTGGACTGTTGTTGTGTTAAAACCCCTTGACAAAGTCGTGGCGTTCGAGCTGCTTCTTACCTTGGTAACTACTCAGCGGGTAAGACAGGGACTGGCAGATAACTGGTTGTCATTGAAACGCATCTGTTTGGGTGAAACTCTCAGGCAAGGAGCGCGTAAAGATTCAAGGTAAGGGAGTAGCTAAGACATCGAACAAAGAAAGAAACTCGCAATTTTCATCTCCAAGTTGATCAACTTCCTAAATAGACAATTTCTGTGTTTTTGTTCAGTTGACCGTGTCAGCACATGTTTGACTCAACAGACTTGATGATGTCATTGTGCAAAACTGAGACCAGTCAATGGAAACTACCACCCATAGGCATGAGGTGACGGCCAGCCAGCTTTGCGGCTATCACATCAACTCTGAGCTCACTCTATCCGGGGTTCGCCTTTCACCCGCAGCCACCTCTCTCGCCCCAGAGGCCCAAGGCGGTTAAAGTCGACGCCCTGCCTCGCCCCGGCAATTAATGTGCCTGCTTTTCAATCTGGGTTTCCCGACTCCCAGTTACGGGGTATCCGCCGCTTTGATTGCCCCGTTAACAGCCGGCGCCAGTCGATTGGCCTGCGCTGTCACGTTGGCATCTTGGCACCGGGTTGTCGGTTCGCCGCACGCGTGCCAGGTGGAGACTGTGATATACAACTACTTATTCAAGCAACTATCCCGCCTTGGATGCCTCTGCGCGTTGGCTTAGTTCTCCGCATTTTCAACCCACATGGCCATGTCCCAATGGAGGGGAGCAGCCGCTAGATGAGCCTCCCGTCTGGCTCTCCGCTGCCCCAGCTTCGTGCACAATATGGATGATCAATAGCACGCGTAGTATTAACCGGCCTTGGCTGTCCTTTAACTATTCGAGTTGCTCTCCCCCTGGCCAGCAGGGCAGAGAAACCCATCCGACCTTGATCCATCTCCAGAACCACGCCCGTTGGAAAGAAAATACAGGCCATAATAAACGGCCACGATGCTGGTTGAAACTCTCGCCGCCGGCGTCTTGCTGGCCGCCGGCGCCGCGACCATGCCGATATCCAACCCCATCGACATCGTCAAAGCCGGGCCAAACGCGGGCGTGGTCATCACAAAGTGCACCAGCCCGGGGATGCTAGCCCTGGCATACGACGACGGGCCGTACCAGTACACGTCGCAGCTGGTCGACGTGCTCGACAAGGGCGGAGCCAAGGCGACCTTCTTCTGGACGGGCACGCTGTACGGGTGCATCTACAAGGAGGCCAAGGCGGTGCAGAAGGCGTTCGCGTCGGGCCACCAGGTGGCGTCGCACAGCTGGACGCACGGCCACATGGGCAGCATGAGCGCCGACAAGATCAAGCAGGAGATGACCAAGGTCGAGACGGCGCTCGTCAACCTGGTCGGCGTCAAGCCCGCCTACATGCGGCCGCCCTACCTCGAGACGAGCGGCCAGTTCCTGCCCACCATGAAGACGCTCGGCTACAAGGTCATCACCGACGACATCGACTCGGGCGACTGGGACAACAAGACGCCCGCCCAGTCGCAGCAAAAGTTCACCGCCGCCGGCGCCTCGGGTAACGGCCATATTCCTCTTATGCACGAGGTCTACCCCGGCACCGTCAACACCCTGACGCCCTGGCTCATCAACTGGGCCAAGCAGAACAACCTGAAGCTGGTCACCGTTGGTAAGCATCACCCCCTTCTCCGAAAAGTGATGAGAGAGAAAATATTAGTGAAGCTGACGTTGCGCAAAGCCGAGTGCGTCGGTGATCCGACGGGCATGTACCAACCGGGCAACTTTACGGCCGCAACCGGGCCGTACTCTTGTTAACCGGGCATTAGCCAGTCCCGAGGTAAAAATCGAAAAGAAAAATACGGACTGAACGGCACCCTCTTTCACTGTACATACATACGTATATACCTGACAGTTGTATATATTTGCTGACACATGTTTCGAATGCTCCTATATGCTATAATAACCCCCTGCCCTTGCGCAGTCTTTATCCGAGAGAGGGGGTATTTAATTGATCAGTACCAGAGACCCCCTGACATGGAGTTCGAAAGCCTGTCTTCATCCTATACTAGCAAGTGATGTTCTGGCAAACGGCAAAAGAGCTCACTCTTTGCCTTTTGCACACAATTGCCGTAGCAATGAAGCAATTAGGTAAACGGCCGATTCTAGTTGATTGCTGGACGGACAAACGCGACAGGGACCTTATCGCGCAGCCAAAAGACATGACAGAACAAACCATCCGCGGCTTGCTCTCCACCTAGGTTAATTACGTGTCTTGTCGATGTGTTTGGTGGGCGAGTGCGAGAATCAAATGCTAATTAGCTTGGGTTCGCAATTAATTACGATACTACAGGTGGCAGCAGGAGAAGGGAACCGAACTCGTAAATTGGTTCTCGTTATTAACTGACAAAAATTGCAAAAGGGCTGCTGGTGCTACCATCATGTTACCATAAGAGCGTGTTTTGAGCCTTGATGTTACGGTGGACACGAATTGTCAACTACGCTGGTTCGGTACCTATGTTCAGACTCTCGTCTAATACCGCCACATACTTGTCCTGATGGAGATCATGCTCCCAGTGTTAACGAATCTTCCCGCAAAGCAGGGCTTTTTCCGGGAATTGGAACCTCCCGAGGGAGGTAATTAGCAGGTACTTACATGTACATGTACATATACATGGCAGATTCCCCAAGGTACTGTACAAGCCGTGAAGAAAACGGACTCGAGGCAAAGCTGTCCTAATCGGGCGTGTTACCGTTTTCCCGTTGCCGGCTTCCCTTTACGTCGTCGTGCAGGGCAGGGGGGGCAGCCACGAACTGCAACCCGACAGCTCGGTACAGTCTTGCATGCAGTCTCCTCTCAGCCAGGCTAGCGCGGAATTTCGGGGGCGTTTATCTTGGGTTGCTCAGTACGTAAGGAGGTGGGCTGCTGGCCCGGAGGTGTCTCCGTGCCCACAGTTAGTTGTCTGCCTGACGCCATGGGAGTCTGCGTTGTCGAGCTAAACCTCCGGGGCATTGGCCAATTGGATCAGGAAGGCAAGCCACCGGTGGCACTAATTATCTCGTCAAATCGCACCACTAATCGAGATGTTGAGGCACCTGGATGGTGTCAAAACCTGCTGATATACCTATGCGAGAATGGTGTTTGTCCATCATAGCTGCCGAGACAATGTGACTGCTCACACGGCGGGACGAATACTCAGTTGCCGTGCCTCCAGATGTTGCCGGCAGGACAAGACATCTCCGTACATGGTAGGGCGAACTTGGAAAGACTGGTCTAGATTGCTCTTTGAAGCTTCAGGTGCAAATTAAGGGTGGAATTTTCGGGCTGACATGCCTAAAAGAGAAAGGATATATGGTAGCAGAAGAGAACAGATAGGATATTTTCTTGTTTTCTTAGACTTGAAGTTACCCAAACTTTGAGCAAACATTCGAAGAGGCACATGACTTTTCACACATGTAGTTTGTGCTGTCCCCGCTATCTGTCACATTTTGCCTCCGAACAGCTGGAAAGCGTTCATTTTGTGTTGCATTCTCGACCACGTCACCTGAAACGGGTACCAGCCGGTGAGATTGGGGCTCTTGGTGCGAATGCATAATCCTCGGTGTGTTTTGTCGCCCGGCACAAATATCATTGGCCTTTTTTGACTCCGAAGGTTTTGGGGCTGCTTGCTAGACCGCCACCGGCAATAACCCTCCCGTCTGGGAGAACTTGCTCTAGCCGACGGACTTGCCAGAGCACCAGGGGGTAGGCAATATCACAGGCTATCGCGGTAGCCCACAGGAATACGGCAAACGGGCTGACAATAAACCCATGGGCCTCGGGCCAATACCACCACATTAGGACGTTGCAGAGTACCAAGCCGAAGAGGGTTCCCATGGCCCTACAGAACCTAAAATGGACGTTAGTTCCCGTATTGCGGCCCGACTAGGTGACGTAGCTGTGCATCTTCGGTCGGGGGATGCCCCCAGCCCTGGAGAAACATCCAAGGGCACTGGCTGGCCAAGTAGCCGAGCACGGCCCCGTCACATATCAGATTTGTGACATTGCCTTGGTCTCGGCCCCCGATGAATGTGACCGGTCACCGCTAAGCGCTTCGGAGACGGGCATGATGTGATCCGACCCTCAAGCGCGCGTCTGTGGCGTTCTCGGCCTCACATTGTTACGTACTCGCGAGCGGGTTGAAGCAAACCCACCCTCAAGTGGCTGGTTTTGGCGCACCTTTCCTCTGTCGGACAGACTTTCCCCTTTCGGCGGACGGAGCAAACATGTCGAGATCCGCCGTCGTTTACCTGGCAGGACCTCGTGCAGACCTCAGCTCCTTGGAGAAAGACAGAAATCTACTCCGTGCAGGTGCGGACACGGAGGAGTGCGAGGCAGAGCAGGGTGTGTGTGTAGAAAAGCGAGGCTTACCAGATTGCATATCCCGTGCCGCCGGAATGGCCTCGTACTATGAGCATGGCGATACTCCCAGCGCTCGCCACGACCTGAGCGAAGCCCGCGGACCAGAAAGCCAGTTCGGTAGTGTCGTGTCCCTCTTGGCCGTGCCACCACTTGCCGGCCTTGTCGCCGGAGCCCATGCCGGGCTCCGCCAACCACCACGCGGCGAACGAGTAGTTGCCGAAACAACCGACAGCCGTCATCAGCGCAAGGATCCAGGCAATGTTCCGACCGACCCAGGGGCTGGTGTTCTTCCAGTCCTCGGGGGCGAAGCGCAGAGTCGTGTAGACGAGACCGACATCCAGGAGGAGCCAGAAGAGGAAGCCGGCCGTCTCGATGGGCATCTCGACGACGTAGAAGAGGTAGACCAGCTCCCACGACAGGTTGATGGCCAGGCCCAGCAGCGGCATGCTGTACGACTTGGTCGCCATTGCTCGCCGGACCATGAGAACATATGTGGCATCCCAGAGCAGTAGTCCGACGCCGAGCAGTCCCATATGCATCGGAATAAGCCACCACGGGCACCCTTCAGGGGGAACGTCGTTGGAACCCATGGGAAGCGAGCGGTTTGGCGCCGAGAAAACGAGAAGGATCGGAGTGGAAGTGCCTTGCAACGGATGGGGCAAATGTGTGATGCGGCGAGGCGCACTTGCCGAATTTCTCTTTAATTGTTCTCCCAAAGCTGTCGGCGCGATGTTTGTTGTCAGCTCAAAATCCGTGTGCCGTCGTCAGCGGTGTTACTGTCGGGTGGAGGACGAGGAACGGAGTTTGCCGCAGACACGCCCTGGCTGTTTCCCTGTCCCTGGACCGATCGTCGTCGTGTGCGGGTCTCCATGAAGCTGATTTAGTAAATCAGCTTCACTGAGCAGGCACTAATTATTGGCGATCAAATAACCCTATGACAGCCGCGTTTAGACGCGAGCGACAAAAATCCCATTAAATACTACCTAGATGAAAGAGTCTAAGAAATGTATGAATCAATAGCTACAACTTCACGACGGCCGTACTAGTACCAGGAACATAGCTCGGTTCAGGTGGGGAAGCGTGGAGCATCCGCTGGCCGCCAGCCGCCATTGGCTAGAACCCCGCCAAGCTTGAGCCTTGCCTGGGCCGGGCCTCGTTGCCCCTCGCTGCGTCGTCACTACCAGTCCACCGCCAACGGTCATTCCCCATCCCACCCGCTCACGAACCACAAGAAAACACCTGCGACACATCCCTCTAGACCACGACCGCGCATTAACTCCCTCGCCGAATTAAGGTGCCGTACAAAGAAGAGCGAAGCAGGCAGAAGGACCGAACGGAAGCCGACGCAAACAACCCTCCAAAATGAACCGCCTCTTCGGCTCGTCGGGGCCCAAGGCGCCCAAGGCGACGCTCACCTCAGCCATCGGCAACATCGACACGCGCATCTCGTCCATCGACGTCAAGCTGGCGGCGCTGAACGCAGAGCTGACAGGTTACCAGACCAAGCTCACCAAGATGCGCGAGGGGCCGGGCAAGGCCGCCCTGAAACAGAAAGCGCTCAAAGTGCTGCAGCGGCGCAAGCAGTACGAAGCGCAGCGGGACCAGCTCCAGTCGCAGGTCTGGAACATGGAGCAGGCGCAAACAATGCAGGACAACCTCAAGAACACGATGGTGACGATCGACGCGCTGCAGAGCACGAACAAGGCGCTGCGCAAGGAGTACGGCAAGGTGGACGTGGACCGGATCGAGCGGCTGCAGGACGAGATGGCGGACCTGCTGGACGTGGGCAACGAGATCCAGGAGTCGCTGGCGCGCAGCTACGACATTCCCGAGGACGTCGACGAGGCCGAGCTCGACGCCGAGCTCGAGGCCCTCGGCCAGGAGGTCGAGCTCGACCGCGAGCTCGCCGGCATGGAGGGCGGCTCTGCTCTGCCCAGCTTCATGCAGGACGAGGTGCCCGACTTCATCGACGAGCCGCCCTCGACTACTGGCAAGGTCAAGGAGGTGGCCGGATAAAAGACCCCCAGATGTGGAAAACAGGCACTGGCTGAGCGCCGTCTGGAGGCCTTGGCTTTTCTCGCATTGGCGCTGGCGTTGGCATCAAAGCATTTCTTCTTTTGTCTTGCTGGGCTCTAAAGAATTGCACCGCGCAACGCCAGACAGTGTATATTTCCTAGATGGCATAACAGCTGCGCGATGCACAAAACAGAAGCCAGGGTTGCGAACTACCCAGATGCAAAACTGTTGGCCCCCATTTACGGCAAGAGAGAGCTGGGCCTCTCATGATGGGCATGGACTGCATCTTCTGTCGTTGGGCGGCGCCGTTACTTTTTGAGAGATTCACGAGGAGGAACCGGGAACTTGCCGAAGCATTGATTCGATTAAGCTATGGCTGCCGGTTGTGCGAGACAACCGGGCCTGGCCAAGCCCGCCTCTGTCGCGGCATTGGGAAGTTATTTGCACATAATATTCTGCTACAGACATGAACCAATTTCCGAACTAGTAGCAAGTATTTAGACAAGCTAACAACAAGCGAATAATTCCATCTAAACTTTCTAGCATTCTACTTCCTCAGCCTATCCGGGATGGTCAAGCTTGTTCCTGATACTGATAGCTACACTGATTACCTACTCCGTATGCAAAAAGACGTTATCTCCATTTTCACACCTGCCTTACGGATAATACCAACACGCAGTGTGTGTAGGAGCCCTACTGGACAGTGGCAAAGAACTGGCTCGCCTCCTCAAGTTCCGGGTCCGCGTTGCAAAAGTCCCAACCAATGATGACGCTGGTTTGACTGCAGCAGATGATGCGGCGGGCGTCGTATTGTAGCTTAAACACAAACGCTGTGTTAACACCTTCACGGCCGTGAAAAGATTGTCTCACGGGCAGATGGTGCTCCGAGGAGGGCTGGACATTCTCAAGACAAGTAGAAGTGGGGGACGGTACCTGGTGCAAGCGCACCCCATGAGTTGGGGCGTGCTGGGCATGCGCTTGGTGCGCTGCTGCCGCCTCCACCACCGCCGCCATTGCGGGTGTCAATTGAGGGGGTGGCTGAGTAGCGGTTGCCGTTCTTGTGCTAGGTCCAGCCATGGCAGTAGCATCGGCCGGTGCCATGCTCTCCTGCATCCGTATTGCTTCGCGTCTCTGCCGCGCTTGCTCGAACTGTGCTCGGATTAGCATGGCCGAAAAGGCTTGTCGGAGCTGGCTCCTGACGACCGGGCTCGGCTGGCTATCGATCGCCCTCTCGGCGTAGGACCGTAGCGTGAGGATCGCCGGGTGGGCAACGAGAGCTCGCGAGAGAGACTGCTGGCCTTCCTGCACCGCAATGTCGATTATTTGGTGGTAATGCTGGAGCGCAGCGGGCGCAAGAGGCGGATACACTGGAAGATCGAGGAGTGCGGCGGATATTATAGGCGGTAGAGTTGGGCCAGTTGTGGGCCCGGGGGGTGCACTCACTGATTGGGTCCGCGTGGTGGAGTTGGCTGCCGAAGGGCCTGCTCCGGCAGTTCCGGAGGCCGGTGGAGCACCCGGGGCCCAGCTTGCATTCGGGAGCATAATGTTTGGTTGCATCGACGGATATAGCGGGATGTTGCCGACGGCAGTGGACGGGACTAATGGGGCTGGGATCCGTGCCTGGCGCAAAGCTGCAACGGCCGCCTCTTCCTGCTTAAGGTGATGTTGGTCCTTCCAGATCCCTTCCTTGTCTCTCCGCCAGATTATGATGCTGGTATCATAACTGCCGCTAACGATACGCCCGTATTTACCTCCTCCGCCTCCAGGTGGCAACTTTGCTCCATACACACAAATGTCCTCAGGCCTCCTAGAGCCTGCGTTTCCGTAAGGCCGCGCCCCGGGACGCTCGGATTCGTCGAGACGGCCAGACTCGAGAGCCTTGAAGTATTCCGCATCGACCTTCTTCGCCTCGGCCGCATCGTCCTCAACGCTGTAGGGCATGTCTCCGAAGCCAGCCTGGACTGTCCGCACCAGATTAGAATGGGCGCGGAGGCGGGCGACCTCAAGGCCGGTCTGGCGATCAAAAACCTTGACCTCATTGTCGCTGCTTCCGCTGACAATGCGGCGGCCATCGTACTGCACGCACGCGATTCCCTTTTGGTGTCCCACGAATGTTCGTGTACACGACTGGGTTGGCCAGTCCCACACCTTGACGTGGCGATCACCGCTTGCCGAAACAACTTCCCTATCGTGGATCTGCACAGCGTTCACGGCGGCGCCGTGCCCTTCAAGGGAGCCGATCATTGTCCAGGCCGGTGTCAAAGGCAAGTCGTCAGGAATTATGTTAAAGTTGAAACCAAAGTTCACGTTCTTCGGCACTGGGTCCACCTCCTTGTACCCCAGATCGCCGTAACGGAGGGGTCGCCGATTGAAGACCTTTATTGTCTTGTCCTTGGAGCACGTCACCACAATACGCTTGTCGAATCTGACGTTGAGCACGGATTCTCGGTGTGCGTGCCGTAGGGTCTGGAGCTCCTTTCCGGTGGAGAAGCTCCAGATTATGACATCCGAGTCTGAGCTCCCCGACACAATGATATCTTCCTGAGGATCCGAATCAAACTGCAGACAGAGAACTGACCCGCGATGCTTCGCAAGAGTACGGATGCAGCGCCGCGTATCCATGTCCCATATCTTGAGCTTGCGGTCTCGGCTACCGCTGACAAGATACTGCGAGTTGTATTGCAGGCTATAGATGCAGTCGCCATGGCCTTCCTCGGGGTGGTCGGGGTGGGGGAACTGAAAGTTGGTGAACTTACCCAACTCCCAGTTTGACTCGAGCCGCCGTCGTATCGTGTAAAGATATTTCCAGTTGATCTTGAAACGCTGGTCGGTCTCGTCCCACACCCACATGGTTGACTTGAGTAGTCCTTGAGAGCGCATCAAGTCTCGCAGGAGCTCGTCCCTTATGTGTGACGGATCTGCGGAAAGATTAGCTTGGTTGACGCCTTTGCCCTTCGAACTCGACCTAGAGCCTCCGTTAAACATGTCGGAGTCGTTCGTTTTCTGCGAGATGCCGGTTTGGCCCGCCGCAGTCGGGTTTCCAAAGAGACTAGACCCCGTCATGTCCTGATCGACAGGATCCTGCTTAGCTGGGCTTTCGGCGTCCGCCATTACCATGTCGGTATCGACATCAGGCTCGGGCGTTGCGGCTACAGTACGCTTCTTATGGGTGTGGCCATATTCCTCCGACTGTACACGATGTAGCTGGCCTAGCGTAGGCAAGTCGCCGTTGATCCTGCGCTCCCACGCCTCGATCTCGGCTGGCTTTGCCTTCCATCCCTCCATATAGTATAGCTGCTCCCATAACTTCCGGTCCAAGGCCAAGTCGTGCCAGGTGCGGCAGGACCTTGCGACGTTGATGAGGGAGACAGGATCGAGGTAGCCTAATATCTTAAGGCAGATTTCGGCGGGGAGATGGCGGACAAAGTCGATGTAGAGGCGAGGGTTCAGCTGCTCCACGATCTGCGATATTACGCTCGTGGGCAGGTCGCTTAGGATGGCCATTGCCAGTTCTGACACGGACGAGACAGTCAGCACTCGACCAGGCGACGCCGTTGGAATAGCGAACCGAATCTAAAGGCGGCGGCGGCACGAGGCTTAAGGTTTAAGGAACATGCCAAAAGGCTGCCGGCAACCAGCCCGAGCAAGATATAACGGGAGAGGGTCGATGGGATATTGCCTGCAGAGGAAGGAAGGAACAAAACTTGGGCGCACTCACCAGTTTTCCGAGACATGGGAAGGTGGGAGATGTGTTGTGTCAGCCATGCCGGGAACTCGTCGCCCGACCGAACAGAACCCAAGGCCGACACTGCATCCACCCGGGGCTTGAGTAGGAATGAGGCGGAGGCCGAGAGAACGGTCAGTGGGTCTTCCGAGTATCCTTCGTCTGGCTGTGTAAAGCCGGCCATGGTGCGCAGAGACTCTGGAAGACGACTTTTGCGGTCTCGGAAACGAGAGTGAGGCCGAACAGCATCCACCGGGCCGCGTGATCAAAAGAAGAGAGGGCCCAGATCCAGATGATCCCATGCCCGCGAAATCCGGATCGCTGGGGGCGTGCAGAAGCGGCTAGAAACTGGGCTGACGGGGTTCGTCCTAGAAGAAGAGCTCCCTCCTGTTGGAGTGGAGAGCGCGACGATTCGCTGCAGCCAAGGCTGTGATTCGTAGGTTGTAATTGGCGTGCACGGCCCCTCCGTAATGGTCGAAATTACATTACCCACGTCAGTAAGGTACCTACCATACCTACCTTACCTATTATGGTATCATGGTATGTTTTCCCTCCTTGTTTAGCATGCCAGTGCAGTCCCTGCCAAGTCCCTACTAGCGCTGTATTGCGATTGAAAACCCGCTGTAATTTTCAAATCGTGGCGCCGAGGGGGCTTGTCGGTACCCGAGCAGGGGGGATAACTTTTGCTCGTCACCGTACGTAGTAGGTATGGTCACCGCTCCTTGTGGCTCTTTTCGTGCTGGCTCCAAGGTCCACGGTATACTAAAGTCAGACGAACTCAAAATGGACGGGGCCTATGCTGCTGCCCTGTGGTTCTTTTAGGCAGACTCGGATGACTGGAGCGTTTTACATTAGACAAGGTATACCCCACTGAGGATTTGGCTCCCGCTCTGGCAGCCGCTGTGGGATGGTTGGATGGATGGCTTCCATGATCCATGATGCCCGGTTGCGGGCTGGGCAAGAGCCTAGCGCATCGTCGCCAGCCCCCTACCGAATTAGGAGGCCACTGCAAAATTGCGATTCGTGGCACAGCCATAGGTAGGATGGAACCAGGCTGGTAGGATTAGTTTGCGCGAGACTCCCTCAAAGATACGAGTCAAACTTGTAGCAGCAGCTGTTCCAGTAAACCCCTTCCAGGGCTGCATGCCTCCATCTCCAGAATACAAGCACCCCAGCCGCCGCAATCCGGCAAATGGTCCGTTGATGGGAGACTGCCCAGTTGGATTTGTGCCCAGTCGCTGTCGCCAGCACCTGAATGCTACACAAGTCACCAACTCGCCGTGCAGGGGCTAAACGACTGTGAGATGCTCCGTATTGGATGATCGACTCATCCTGTTCATCTTGATAAGCTGACAATTCCATACAGGACTTGGTTGAGCTGACAAGCCGGTTACTGCGGCCTGGAAGATAATTCCATGGTTACTTTAGGTACCTTAGGCCTTGCAAGGCAACGATAATCCCGAAGGTGGCCGGTCAGTTGCATGAAGTTCCAAATTACTCGTAGAAAAAGTAATCGATGAAGCCATTTTCATTAATACGGGCCAGACTACTAGTACTTCAACTTTGCTTGATGGTTGAATTCCTGACACTGTCCGTACTCCAATGCACTGTACTATCGAGACTCCACAAGACCGGCTCAAACCTTAAATATACACTGTAGCGGGAACCGCGGGGTAGAGGGGTCAGCAGGTATCCAGATACCGTTATTACCTTACATGGCGTACTTACTGATACGTTAGAAATTAGATTTCATAAAGGCCACCTTACATAAATGCGGTCTTATTATTCTATAGTTGTTGGCCTTCATTTTTATAATTTTTTGCTGATTGAGGGTGTGTGGAATATCATTCCTGCATTCGCCCACTGTACCAGGTCAGTTGTAAAGTAAGTTTGCATGATGGCGTAACAGTGACGTCTCACGGCGTGGGTGCTCTGAAACATAATCACAGTGGGAAACCCAGGTTGGAATGGAGATTAGAGCACCCAAGACCGCCATGAACCGGCAAACGCTAAAATTGGAACCATATAGAGGGGCCAGTGGCCGCAGAATATTCGGCAATTCCCCTCGTGTTCTCGCGGCCGTGGATTGCGCAAGACTGAGAAGTGGTTTCGTGGAGAGCAGAGCATGCACTGGCACGGCGTCGATTCTGAATTGGATTAGCGTGGTTGGGTACATGAAGAATGTGAAACCGCCAGACCCATCAAAATCATGCCTGATGGAGGGGCAAAGGCGGACACTTCTGCCTCGACGATCAGCAAAACGCTGCGAATGGTGAACAATAAGAGAGCGCCTGGGCGGAAAACGTGAGACATGGGAATAAAGCTCGACAAAAACGCATGTCATTTCGCAAGCCTAATGTACATCTTGACACTCCATGACCGGAATACCATGAGGTGTGACGGGACAGAGCGACAGGTTCAACGAAAGGCGTTAAACGCCCTGCAGCGCAACTGGAAAAGGATGCGTGGGACGAGGGCCCCGACATCAAACCATATTATCTACGCGTAAGCAGCTGGACACTTTGCTGTGTGAATGGACTGGAAATCTTTATTCCCTGCTGTCTCCTTTACGTAATCTGCGAGTTTGACAAGGTAAGGCAAGCACGGTAGCTAGAGAGTCAAGTACGGAGAAGATAAGGTACCTTTTGGTAGTTAGAACGGTCAGAGGGAGGCGAAACACACCCAGACAGTACCACAATTGATGCGCCTTCCCTAAACACATTCGACACATTTTGCTCTTGACGCCGAGCGTAGTCGCGAATAAACATTCCGTGTGGGAATCGCCTTCTTCCAGCCTGCAGCATCGAATGACGGCCCAGAGGAAATCGACCGACCTCCACTTCCATTGAAGCCCCAGGCCCGGCAGCTGCCCGCAGGGGTGTGGGAAGGCCCTCGACTCGATCCATGTGCCTGTGACCTTTTCAGTGCCAGTTTCGCTGCTGGGCCACCCGCTACAGGCCAGCAACAAGCCGTTTCTGGCCCCCCATGGACCACCGCACCCGCCCTGCGAGCGAACCCACTGGTGCCACCTAAAGCGAGGTGGCTGTCTGTTCCAAAGTCCTTTTGCGCGCCAACCAACCATCTCCGAGAGCGGGTTGCTAGCCACGACCATCCGTTTCAAACCACATCTCGACACCACATTTGCGCCCAGACTACAGCGCTCAGCTATCGCCACCGTTCACCGAGGGCGCCCGCGACGAAGCAAGACCGTGCAACAGTTTCGCAGACACGCCGAGCGCGCCAAGCCACGATCAACGGCAGATAAGGAAACACACCTCAGGCTGCTGCAGTGCACTCGAGGTAGCGGGACAGGGGAAAAGAGGAGGACTACCGATCTGAAATACACGAAAGCGAGGACGGAAGAGGAAGGGACAAGTCATCACTGCTGACGAGACGGAGAGACGGCGACAACATCGGCGACGACGACGACGACCCCGCGATCGCAACGCTTCCCGCCTTGTCTGGGGTGCGTGCCTTATTGCGGCTGACGGGAGCCTGAGGGCCCACGAACCAGGCGCCGACTAGCGTCGAGGGTATCCCGCCGTGACTCGAATGCTCAGTCCAGTCGACCTCGATTGCCAGCCCGAGTAATCGTCGCATTTGGTCTCTCGACAGACCCCGCTACGTCGCACACCAAGCCGCCATCGCAATTCCACATCCCTTACAGCAGCCTCCGATTGACATCCTGCTTTGACAGGGCCCACGAGATTGCACCCCCCGCCATCGCGGATCGGTCCCCACCGCGGGTTTGCGAATGGAGAGCTAGTTATGGCCCATGCTCCCCTTCTTCGAACGAACACCGCCCCTAGCTTCCAAGCTTCCATGGACGGTGTCTCCAGAACAAATACCATGAGCAGCATGTCGAGCGCGCCGCGCGTGAGCAAGCTGTCGGGCTCTGCGACCTTCCCGTCGACAGCCTCGTTAAACTCCTTGTCTAGCTCGTCCACTCTCGTTGCGCAACCGAGTGGGACGACAAATGGCCCGGTCGTGGCTACCAGCAACATCATAAACCAGAAAGCCGACGCATCCCGATCCTTGTATCAAATATGCGTATCTTTGAAGCAGAGACTGTCCAAAGTGCCCGGCTTCGAGAAACGTATGGAGCGGTTAGAGCAAATGGCGGACGATCCGGACGAGGGCGGGCCCGTTGAGTCGTTGTGGAAGCTGCTGCGAACCGGGTATCCGCTCTTGGACATCTACAACGTCCTGAAGCAAGACCAGCCCCCCCTCGTAGCGGACGAGAAGCCGGGAGATTCGGAAGCCAAGAAGTCAAAGATTGCCATCTTGACCTTTGTGAGGGCCTGCTTGAAAGAGCTTGAGCTGCCGGCCGAGGAGTGCTTCATAATCAACGACCTCACGGGCACCGATACAACGGGGTTTGTCAAGGTAGGCACCCTTAGCCCTCTCATTGGATGCCGTACTCTGGTCAAGTCTGCCCCTGTTGCTCCTCCCACAAGTTCTGACCAGTTTCTTAGGTAACCGCCGTCATCAACTATGTTCTTGATCTCGCTGAACAACGGGGATTGCTACTTCAAAACCAACCATATCCCGAGGATGACTCCATGCAACCAACATCCCAGATGAGCTATCGAGACTATGTCGTTCGCGAACTGGTGGATACGGAGCGCAAATACGTCCAGGACCTTGAGAATTTGCACGACCTGAAGAAAACACTGGAGCAGAGGGGTGTCATACCCGGCGATGTCGTCCATGATATCTTCCTCAATATCAACGCGATCCTAGACTTCCAGCGCAGATTCCTCATCAGGGTAGAAACAACAAACTCGATGCCACAGGCAAGACAGGAATGGGGAAGTCCGTTTGTTACATACGAGGAGTCCTTCAATATCTACCAGCCTTTTATCGCCAACCAGCGGAAGTCTGCCAAACTAGCAGGCGCCGTATTCGACAAGATCATGTCTGCCGAGCACCCGGTTGCGTGCGATTTTAACACGCTAGACGGCTTTCTTCTCAAGCCAATGCAGCGGCTTGTCAAGTACCCGCTTCTCCTCAAGGATCTGCTGAAGAAGAGCGAGGACGAGGCCACCAAGACGGATCTATCGGCGGGCATTGCTGCAGCCGAGCGGGTTTTGCAGAAAGCCAACGAGGCTGTTGGCCGCGATCTACTGGATGAAGCCCTTGAGGATTTAATAACAAGAGTGGATGACTGGAAGAACCACAGGGTAGACCAGTTTGGGAAGCTGTTACTCCATGGAGTCTATACAGTTATCACTGGCAAAAGTGACCAGGAGAAGGACGTGAGTCTCATTTTTCCCGACTAACTAGGCCTGGGTGGCAGTCGAAGTCTCCATACTGACCGAACCGTTTAGTACGAGATTTACCTCTTTGAGTGCATACTCCTATGTTGCAAGGAGATTGCACCCACCAAGAGCAAGGACAAAAAGGACAAGACGCGGTCAACCGGCCCCAAGGTGCGCAACAAGAATGCCAAATTACAACTAAAGGGCCGCATCTTCATGACCAACGTCACGGATGTGGTTGCCATTTCGAAGACCGGTAAGCACCCACATTTCTGACAACCTTGACGCATTTTCTGATCTTTTAGGCTCGTATACGGTGCAAATCTGGTGGAAAGGTGACCCCGGAGTTGAGAATTTCATGATCAAATTCCAAAATGAGGACATGATGAAGAGGTGGGCAGCGGGTCTAGATCAGCAGCGCAAGGAGAATGCGCCACCAACCCAGCCGAGCCCGGATCAGCCACCACCAAATTTTGCTTGGATTGCCTCGCAGAGCAGCGGGTTGGAAAACCCGTATGCAAAGCAGCAGGAGGATGACGATGACGAAGACGAACAGTTTGGCACACCGACGCCTTCTCAGTATGGCGGCGCCACACCCCAATCGTTGCCGGGCACAATGCAGCGGAATGGCTCGAGCACAAGCTTGCGCCAACGATCAACAACGGGGGATAGTGCTCAGTCTGTCCCCGGCCTTAACCGTGTTCCTCCACCACGTTTTCCCCTCCCGCAACCTCCAGCCGCACTTAGTGTTCAGACGCAGATTGGAGGGATGAATCAACCGATGCCAACGCCTCGTGGCGGCGAGTCGTACTTCTCGCCTGTGGCGGAGTCGCCGGCATCAAGTCGGACGAGCACAACAAGTGGTATCTTCGCCTCTGGTTCAGGCTACCAATTCCCCAAGTCGGGCACTCCCCAGCCAAACTGGGGACCAGAAGACAACAATCGCTACACAGCTCCGGCCATGCCACGTGCACCTTCGAGGGACGGACCATCGCCTGTTAATGCCTACGGGATGGTGAGCTCGAACGGGCGCAACCCTCGGGGGCCCTCAATGCCAGTCTTGTCTCGGGAATCCGCCCAGCTGCAGCAGCAACGTATTCGAAGTTATAGCACACCGGATATCAATGGGCAGGTGAATGGGCGCAGTAATAGTCAAGGTGTTCCTGCGGTGCCGGGCATCCCTGCGCACCTGCACCCAACTCACCATCGGCATGACTCTAATATCCCGAGAAGCAACGCTGGTAGTCCCGCAAACGATTTACCGTTGCGGACAAACACAAGTTCCCCCAGCACTCAGCGCGCAAGACAGTACGGGGGCACCATGGCCCAGTTCCCGGCTCAACCCATATATCCGCGTCAGGGGACACCTAACGGTGGGGCGAGCCTGCCGCCGCCGGGTCCGCCGCCGCCCGGCTTGGCACCGCTTGCGCCTATTGATACGACACGGGCCATTTCCCAAGGTCCTGGAACAGCACCCATGTCGGGCCAGATCCAACTTGTCCCCCCTACCCCTGATATCCCGCTGCCGACGCAGCTGAAGGTGAAGGTGAACTGTGATAACAATAATTATGTGACCCTTGTCGTTCAGTTCAATATCACGTATCAGAGTCTCATCGATCGCATTGATGCGAAGCTGGCGCGGTTTACCAACAGTAGTATTGGAAAGGGAAACCTCCGGCTTCGGTATCGTGACGAGGACGGCGATTTTGTGACAATCGAGAGCGATGACGACATCCTAATTGCGATTTCGGAGTGGCGCGAGACCAACCGTGGAGAGATCGAGCTCTTCTGCACCGGGGCAATGAACTGAATGTTCCCTTCCGGGTGGCATGTTCGAGTTGTGGAGCACCGAAATGGTGGATTCCATATTCCGCACCGAAGGCGCTCGAAAGAACAGCAGTGCACACACAGCTTGCACTCGTCGACATTACTCCATCATTCCCTTCACCTCAACGCGCCTCATTTTGCGTCAACTTATCTGTTTTGAATCACTCTGCATGGAGTCCATGGAGCCCTTTTTTGTCCTTTTCATCCGCGGAAAGCTGAGCAAGCAACATGCAACAAAGCATCACACCTACTCGATACATCATTGTCTGGACACTCCTAAATTTTCTAGTATCTCTTTCTCTCTCTCATGCCGGGGATTTTGATGGACTCGCATAGAGGACGGAGTAAAAAATCCATTGTTTTCAGATAACCCTTTTACACCAAAACAAGGGAGGGGCGGGACCAAATACTCACATCACACATCAGACCTTCCCTCGCAGGTTTTTTTGTTTCTTCTATAGATGGTGGAAAGCATTTCCCATGTCTGTTTTTGACGTAATTTGTCCCTTTTCATTTTGCTTAGGTATTTTGATTCCAATGCCTCTGTTTACACCTTGCACCGCTCTTTTTCACTTCAGTCCGGCTTTGGGGTGAGCGGAGATGCAAACCTGCATTGTCCCCCCCTTATCACACTCATACACACTCACACACAAACACAGTTGTTCGATTCTTGGAGATAGTTTTGTTCTTTTTTTTTCTTCTTTTTTTTGTAACCTCCCTGGAGCATACGATCTCGTGTCTCTTTGCTGGATCTTTTTTTTTCAGGGACACGACATGGGACGCATTGCGAAATGGGGGGAAACGCACAATAACAAGTGGGGATGTTAACGAAGGAAGATTTGGCTTAGATATGAATACCCAGGAAGCTTCGTTTTTGTCTGTTTTCATTTTTTTTAAGTAGTCGGACGTTCCTTTGCTTCCCTTTTTCCCCACAATTCAATTTATTCTCACTATCATCAATGTTGGGACCGCTTGTTGTTCTTGTTTTTTTGCTGGCTCGAGTCACTCATTTTTTCTCTTTCCTCCTAGGTACTTTGTGTCTATGCGGCACCTTTTTCTCTTTTGTTCTTTCAGCCTTCTCCCTCGTTCCGGCGGAGGCTGCGGAGTTCATACCGGCTAGGCTATCAACGGTGTTTGTTCATTCTTTTTTTGTTTTTCGTCTACTTTTTTTTATTTACTCATGGCCTGGATCGTTCTCGTTTGGTTTGCCCACTTTCCTGCTTCGTCTCTCGCCGGGGTCTTCTTTTTGTCAAAAGAGAAGTGCGGGTGGCCGAAGGAAAGGAGGAGAGTGCCTAGCTCATCATGCGCGGCCGCTTTTAAGGACCGGAATGTTTGGTTGCGAGGGGGTTTGGATACCTAATGCTCTATCGAGAGGCAAAACTAATTGACGTCTCTTCTCTGATCTGCGTGCTCGTTGGCTGTGCTGTGAATTAGGCATGTGCTTTCATGGTGCTACGTAATCTTGCTTCCCCCTAGCTAGGCCTACAATTAGCTAATATTATTTACTAGATTACGCGTTCACGGCAACGGTGTTCGATAACAGCGTGACCTTCAATAATGACACTGGAATGTTCGGGTGTGGTATCACTCGTTTTGTAACGGGCAAGTTCCGTCTTCAATATAAACAGAAATATCTTCCCAAAAGTGAGCTACTCCAGTTTCATCGCCCCTGCTTTACACTATTGTACAACACGTTGTGTCAAGCCAAACACCATATGGCTATTCCCACCTCAAAGATGTAACGTGAATGGTAATGGATAGAAGAGCTGGCCCAGCATCGAATGTCGTCTGTCAGGGGACATCTGAGCACCAATCGACTGCTTGTTGCGCCCGGAAATGTCATGTTGTGGGGCTTGGATTGTTTGTTTCCTCCCACAGCTGGTCTGAGTGTAGCTTCTCTACGCCATCCCTTCCTTCAACCATCGAGTCCGTTTCGATTCGCTCGATGGCGGTTGTCTTGGTATCTGGACTAAATGACCCTCGCTCCGCTGTGCCCGTTTATTTGCCCTTCTTTGCCTGCGATATCAACTTGCCCGACAACCGGCGCAGATGGTAGTTTATCGTGTTGGTCGGCGGGGCCGGCGCGGGCGGTGCGTCCATGCACCCGCGTAGCGACATCTCGATGTTTTGGCAGCCGGCGCTGTTGTAGCCTGCTGACGCCCAACACGCTGGGTCGGGGAAGTAAGGGGTTAGCTCGTGCCTCTTAAATTGCGACTACCTAGAGGACATATGGCATTGCGAGCGCTCACCCAGGACTGAGGCCAGGACGGTGACGCAGGCGTTTGTTTCGGTTTTGTTGGGATTCCTGACCCGGAGGACCTTTAGGGGCGGAAGCCGGACCGGCTTGTGAGGCATTGTGGGGGAAAAATTGAAGTGTATGTGAGTCGGTCGTGCTATTGCATTAATAGCATGGCGCGAACGGGGGCGTTGTCGTTGTCGGAACCCAAGCCTCTCTTGCGTCCAGCGGCCTTGCAAAGCTCCAGTGCGATCCATTGAAGACTCTAGCTCCGTCGCGGAAAGATTTCGCTGTCACGTGATGATTAGCTTGGGCCTCCACTCTGTGCCATCTTATCAGAGGAGTGGGATGGCAGATGGTGGGGCTGTCTGTTATGGTCCGTGCCTGCCTGCCGCAAGCAGAGGGAAAAAAAGAGATAAGCTTTGATTGGCCAAAAATTGACGATGGTAAACACAAGTTTCCTCGACCGTCACTGCCAAGGGCGACCCTGTTCTAAAACCAAACACGCTCCGATCGCCAAAAACGCGACCCCCCTAGTTTTTGTCGCGCATTCCAGCAATATTGAAATCGCGTGCATTTGGCAGCAACGACACCCCCTAACTTAGTATTTGCGTGTTTTTTCTGCTTTTCATGTCTCCTTACACCCTTCGTCGCTTCGGCTCACCCGCGGCTTCCTTTCCCTTCATGGCGATGGTAGACCCAGCGGACGGGTTCGCGGCTGCCATAGCTCGGAGCTCTGCTCTTTGCCCCACGCCGTAAGTTGCCCACCTTTACCCTGCCCTTCTAAATGTGCAATAACCACTGACCTTTGTTTGTTCATTAGATCCCCGATCACCAGCGCGTGCTTCACAGCCCCAGTCATTCCGTCGCCGAGATCGTGGGAGCGTATTCCTGTCGATTCCGCCACTGCGGGCCGTCGGCAGCGAAAGATCTGGAAGCGTGTGGGCGGGATTACCTCGGCTGCTTTCGACGAGAGCTATGCTCGAGCTGTGGCAGAACTTGAGAGTCAAGGTCAAGGGCCACGGAAGCGTGCTCGGCACGAGAAATACATCCCACCCTATGGAGATGCGAAATGGGGCATCAGAGCCGGGAAAGAACTTGACGGCGAATGGGACCTAATTGAGGCACGAGGTAAGAAAGAAGTACCACTGCTAGCTTACATTCTGTTGTGATATTTACTAACGTACCAAACAGTTGCAGTGTCAATTGCGAATAAAGAAACAGAAGCAAAAGCCCCTAATAGCACCGCTTCGAAGCACCGAGCACATACCGACTCCGTTTCGCAATGGATCCCACGGAAGCGTCACAACTCTCGCTGGCCAATTGAGCCCAAGAATAAGAAGTCGTTGCGCAAGCTCGGCGATTTGCAGCCCCTTATCGAGTTCGCCATGCCATCACTAGCTCAGCTGTCGGCAGCCCAGTTGGACGATGCTAAAGAGCAAGTCAACGACAATCAAGTAATGACGAAATCGACACGTCGCCTTAGCAGACGTATCTCTATCGGCCTCGGAGAAGAGTCGTCTCGCAAGATTTCCACCATAGCCCTGACGCCAGGCAAAACAGCCGGACCAGCCATGTCGCCGGTCAAGAGACCCCCTGTCACGTCGCCGAAGAAGGTTGCAGAGTCACCTCTTCGCACGTTCACGGTTAATGCCACACCGTGCAAAGTCGTGCTGGAATCACCCAAGACCAGCCCGATAGTCAAATCACCATCAAAATCCTCACCTCATACCCACACCGAGGTTACTTCAGTGGCTGGCGTTGACAATTCTCCTCTTGTCTTTGATCAGCCGACTTCTGATATTACAACTCTACCGGCACACGAGACTCGAAGACGTCTCTCTCTGAATGCCGCCCGACGGATTGAGCGTCGCGCAAGCGGAGGCCTTAAGATGGCAACCGTTTTCCACGCTGAAAAGCCTAACCGGCGGCACAGCTTTAACACGACTGGATATGTATTAGATGATGCCAACCAGAGACGCAAGACTCTGGACATACCTTCTACCTGGCTTGGATTGGGATTGGATACGCCCAAAGCCTTAAATTCTAGCAGCGCGCTCGTCGATAAGGATGGCAGCTCGGACCAGCTCGCGGAGTCGTCTCCCAAGGGGCAAGCACCTCTTTCGCCTGTTCCAGCACTTTCACCTGTTGTGGTTGATGCAGGAACTAATCTTGACATCTTTGGTCAAGGGCGCAAGTCTGTTGCCGAGTCTGCAATTCCTGTGGCTACGGATGATCAGATATCGAAGGATATCGACCTTGCCGAGTCTGCAATTCCTGTGGCTTCGGATGATCAGATGTCGAAGGATATCGACCTTGCCGAGTCTGCAATTCCTATGGCTGCAGACGTTCAGGAGGATATCGACGTTGTCGAGCCTGTAATTCCTGTGGCTACGGATGATCAGATATCGAAGGATATCGACGTTGCCGAGCCTACAATCCCCGCGGCTACGGATATCCAAGAGGATATCGACGTTGACGAGCAATCGGAGTTCGAGTTTCCACCTCACGATCCTGAAGGCTTATCGACGATTTTTGAGGAGTCATACGTCTCGGACGCACAGACTCCACAAAAACTGGCTAGTGGGCCGTCTACGACAAGCCCCATTTCCGCCGTCGGGTCACTGGAGAAGACTGAAGAGAAGTTCTGCTCGTTTAGAGTTCCGGAGAGTGCAGAGACACCCATTAGGAATGTAGACGAGGATAGCACACCGTCTCAACCCCGCCAGGTTGAGTCCGGTTTCACACCCATCAATATCCGACAGATCTCGCCGCAAAATGGCAGCCCAGTACATGTCGAAGGTCCTATAGAGGACACTCAAATGACCTCGGGCGATGTCGATGAAGAAGTGTACGACGAGTTAATGCTCGAGGGAGATGAAGTCGCAATGGTCCGCGTGGAGAATGATACGCTCGAACTGCATGCCCTTCACGAGGATTCTGAGACTGAAATGTTGCGGAAGTTTGTCACGCGGGTAACGGCTGATAAGAACGCCAAAGCCGCAGCTGCCGCAGCCGCTCTGGCTCTGAAATGCCTTCCCAAGCGCCGATCTGGCTCAACCGGATCAATAACGTCTTCAACTGGCTCGCCGATTTCCAAATCCGATGCCGCCATCGGGAGGTCTCCTCTTTCTGAACGGAGCCCGAACAGCCCTGGTCCGATTAAAAAGCGGAAGCTGGGCGATGTGAGCAAAGGAGATGACGGCAAGAAGGACATGGGCGATACCCCGACAGACGGCCCACGACTCAAGCGTCGACGAAGACGCCTCGACCCCGTGTTAGCGGGTGCAAATGACTTTACAACCGCACAGGAGTTGTCCGAGTCGATCTCCTCTACGTCGGCGCCCCGTCGATCACTTCGACCACGGAGCGCACGCGTTACCCTCAAGCCGGCCGCACCTTCGGCGAACTCGGCAGCCTTGTCCATGATCCCAATTCGTCTTCCCGGAATGAGCATGATGGACGAGTCGATAGTGGGATCGCCTCATCAAAGGGGCAGCTCGGATCATGACGCTTCATCCATGATCACGTACGCCAAAAGCCGTAACGAGCAAAAGGACGTCGCAACCGTCACGCGAGCGAATACTCGCAAAAACAAGGGGAACTCTCTTTTTCCGAGGGCCGTTCTCTCACAGCAGGCCGCGGGGAAGAGCGTCTTTGACGCGAAAGAGGTCCGCTCCGTAGAACCACGCGACAAGGAGGCCCCGGATGGCGGCAAGAAGGGGACGACCAAGGGTGTCCGATGGGCGGAGGAGCTAGTTCGGTACCAGACCGACGAGACGGCCACCAAGGCCATGTCGAGCTCCCTTCTGGCAGACGTGATGATGGAAGACACATCATCCGACGAGGGCAACGAGCTCGCCCTCCAGCCCGAGGCGCCGAGGGCGGCGGTTGACAAGGCCGCCCCTGTGAAGAAGTCGGCGGCGGCCAGGCGCACCCGGTCGTCAAAGATTCTGGCGCCGACGCCTGTCAAGAAGGTGACGGCAGAGAAGGTGCCCGTCGCGGCAAATCCGCCGGCCCTGACGACGGCGGCGAAGTCGTCCAAAGCGGGCGAGAAGAGGGCCGGAATGGCCACAAGGCAATCAAGGATTGCCAAACTGGGGATGAGTGCCAACGGCACGCCGGCGCCGAAGCGGCGCGGTAGACCGCCCGCCTAGGTGCTGGCGTGCCGTTGGTGTGTGGTTTGAGTATTTGCGTTTGTTTGAGTGATTGCATTTGTTGGAGTACTTTGCGTGGTAACAAGTTTGGTAGTGGCGAGAATACCCCGGGGCGAGATGAGTTTGTTTGTGTGGTGTTTGGTGTTGGGTGTTAAATTATTTTGTCGGTTTGTTTTGTCAGATCATTTTATCGGTTTATTCTTTCGGTTTAATTTACAGCATCTGTCGGTATTGCGAACATTCCCGTCGTTGCGTGTGTCTGTATTCCAAATTTTCATGTCCATCTCATCACCCTTGATAGACGTTCCTAGAATTAGAACTTTGAGGTGTGTAAGTGGTGCGTGAAGGTCTGTCATTTCTTGGTCCGACTGCCTGATCCGTGTAGGACGGATGAAGACTTGATAGCCTTGTTGGGCATATGCTTCAAGATTGACGCTATCTAGACAGATGTCAAAGTTATCTGAGGCCATCTTAAATGTTGCTGAGTCTAAATGTCTTTCTTATCTACGCCCTCTTCGGTGACTAAAACTCGCTACAGCCTCTGCGCGCAGCAACCGAACAGAGTTGGAAGGCACCCGCGGCTACCCTGCTCGTGCATTCCTTCGCCACCCGTACTGCAGACCGCCCGGTGGGCACTCCGGCTACTATTTCCTCAAGCACTATAGCCGACAGGTGAGATATCAACAACACCATTCCACAAACACGCCAGGCCAGAGGCCACAGCCCGGTCTCGTGAATTCTCAAGCTGTCGTCTCTTGCAGGATCAGCTACCTAGCCGTTAGTTCGCCAACCCTTGGGCGGTGACATCGTTCCAGCGAGGAGCCGTGATCGACCGCGACCAGCAGAGAAAGCACCACTCTGGCCCTGGCGGTACGCACGCGATAGTACACACCCAACACCCAACGCCGACACACCAACATTGAGTCGGTCGCCCCGATATTGTCTCTCCCCAGTGAGCATAGTTTAATTATGCCCTGGGAAGATGTACTATCATCCGTGTCCATATCTTTTGCGTCAAGTGTCAACTATCTCTGTATATACGGAGCCGTCGCTTCGCCGGAACTATAGGCCCAAGAGCTGAAGGTCTCCTCCATCTTTCTCCTTCTGTAGAGGTGCTTAAGGTAACTAACGGCAGAAAGCCGGCATGGCGTAGGCTATGCGGGAGTCAAAGACGCTTCTGTTTACAGCTGCTCGTGTTATCCATGGTAGAAAGGGGGGAGGGTGTGGACTGCGAAGGAGTCGATGAGAGTCCCCCCTCTTTAGGGCTCAATTATTTTCGGGCATGCTGCTGCCCGTAATTCCTTTTGCAGTGTTTGTTGTACAGTACCTGGGATGAACATATTAAGTGTGGCCATCAAGTGCGGCCGGGGGCCGTCTTAAACAATCTCCAAGTCGCGTCAGAGCTGCGCATTTCGTGTGCAGAAGAAAACCGCATCCAAAAAGATCTCTCACGTCCCAGCTTGTTGTTATTTGTTGTTGATGTTATAACGTCAGCCACCTGTAGCGTCCGTCAGTGGGCTACAGTTTCTCCAACGGCGCCGCCTTGGCACCCCGCAGTGGGCGGTCCGTCACAGCACGCACTCGGCCCACCAACCCCAATCGCCACCATCTGCATCTGCGGGGGACCCGCCGTGGGCATGTGGTATAAAGTTCAGATTTAGATCCACCTATCAAGTTTGAACTGACGTTATTCTTATTCTGACCTCCATGACGGAAATGGGTTACGACACCTGGGAGAATGGAGCCGTGCGGGCCATCGCGAGCCCAACCCAACGGAGTAGGCAACCTGTGCCATGTCTTAGACGGAGCCGAGGGCAGGGACAGCGAGCGGCCGACACACTAGACAGTTCACGGCATTCCATTCAGGCACCCGGCCTCTCTCTCCCTTGTGTAAAAACCGCGAAATCCCCTCGTTGTGGACGGCTTAGATGGTCTTGCAATCCCTTCCTTTCAAAAAAATAAATATGTTCTGTTCGCCGCTCTAATACTCCTACAATATCTGGCCGGAAGAGTCCGTGACAATGCCATGTTGCGCACAAAATCTTATAAACAAAACGCCGACGCGCCACCAAAGAAAAATCCCGACATCCCATCATCTTTCTCTCTTCCAGACGTTTGACTAGATTCTTTTCAGAGACGTGAGTATGTGTGTGTTTTGTGTGTTCCCCATCCGCAGAAGAAAAATCGCCATGCTTACACCAACGGTTTTTATAGCCAGTTCCCAAACAAAACTCGGCCGGGCATTATGTTTTCCGAAATTCTGGAGAAAAAAAAAAGGGGGGGGGGGGCAAATAACAAACAAAAAGAGCAAAAAAAAAAGAAATCAGCCGCCGTCCGTACATGCTTCATATTATCCTTTCTTTAAAAAAGAAAAAGAGATGCCGCTTCCCTTTCCTTTCTCTAACGCGGCCTCGCACGCTTTGAAGAGCCCCGAACCCAGCGGATCGACAGGGACAAACAAAAACGAAAATGACAAGAAAGCAAGCCATCAATCCGCCCCCTTGTACGAGTCGTCGACCTTGATGAGGCCCTCGTCGTACATGTGGCGGACGACGGGGTAGACGGCGCGGGCAAAGTTACTCTGGCGCTCGAGCACGTAGCGGGGCGAGATGTGGCTGAAGCCCGGGACGGGGTTGTTGTTGCGGCCGGGGTCGAAGGCGTGCAGGACCCAAGTGCTCGAGTAGTCGCGCTGCCAGTCGGGGAAGACGGCCGGGTCCTTGCGCTTGTTCCAGCGGTCCTCCATGGCCTCGGCGTGCTCGGGCAGGGGGTCGCCGTCGTGGAAGCCGGCGGGCAGGTTCGAGGCCGTCTCGTTGTGGATGCCGAACAGCAGCTTGTTGTCCTCAACCTCCCAGCTGCCGGGCTGCAGCGCGTCCTGCTCGAGGATCAGCACCTCGCCCGGCTCGCGCGCCAGCCGCGGGCCCAGCCACGTCAGCACGCCGTTGCCGTGCGTCGTCCACCCGCCGTCGTACACGGCGTTCATCTCCTCCCACCACCGGTTCAGCAGCAGCGCGTCCTTGCGCCCAAAGAAGATGCCGTTGTTGACCTGCCCGTGCTTCTGCCGCCCGAACACGGTCGCGAAGCCGCAGTCGCGCAGCGCGCGCACGTCGCGCAGCGCGTGCGCGTCCAGGTCCAGGTACACGCCGCCCATCTCGCGCACCACCTGCGTGCGCACAAAGTCGCTCTTGTGCTCAATCACTTTGATTTCGCGCCCGTTGCCCGCCACCTTGGGCTCGTCGACATTGTTGATGCGCAGGTTGGGGATGGCGTTGAAGATGAGCTGGTTCCACTGGTTGGGCCGCCCGCCCTTGCCCTTGCCCTCGCGCGCCGCCTCGACCGCCGGCGCGCCCGCGTTGGTGTGCATGTAGACAATCTCGGGCCGCCAGTAGTACCACGCGCTATACACGGACAGGAAGTGCTTAAACTCGAAGTTGAACTCGCTCACACCCTCCTTGAAGATGTAGACAAAGTGCACCGTGTTGGGGATGTGGACCGGACCCGGCGGCACTACGACGTCGCCGCCGGCGCCCTGCCCCGCATTGTCGCCATCGTTTGCTGGTGATGATGGCGCCGCGGAAGGTTGTGAAGGGCACGCTCGGTCGGCGCCCGGGTGCCGGAAATTGAGGATGCCCGTGTCGCTAAATGTTTGATGGGCAACGAGGCCGAGCGAGATGAAGACGAGGACGGCGGCGATGGGGATCAGCCGTGGCGACATCTTCATCGGGGATGACCCCGTGGAGAAAATCATTTCGGCTCGGTTGAGTTTTTTTTTGTGCTAAAGTCGGAAGTTGGCGCTGCCACGGAGGCCGTGTGCCCTGGTGGTAAGGGCGGTGAGAAGCATAGGTCGATTTCAGACAAGGCGAACGGCGTGGTAGGTCGGTCGGGAATGGAACGATGCGGTGCGCGTTTGCGTTTGCGTCTCGACGGGACGGAACTCCCAGGTCGGGGGGTTTGTGGGAAAGGGGGATTTTCTGGGAAGGCTCGGCTGCACGACGCAAGCGCAGGATTGATTCCCGTGTTCTCCTGACCAGTGGCCACTAACCTGGGCCTCAGCTAACTGGCGGCACGCGTGCTATTGGTGTTTGCCAGAGCCAAGATCTATCCGTCCATAAATGGCAAGGGAGCGGATTATTAGGGAAATGGGCCAGGCCCAGCTGTTCGCTCTTGGGCACTTGGCCTGCTGCCGGCCAATGGGAGGTGCGGCCAGTGGGGGCCTATTCCCAGCCCAACACAGCGCAGGCCAGGGGCCCAGAGCGCTCCCCGCAACCCAATGTGGCAGGCGCAGGGAGGGCGGTTGTCTCGTCGTTGGCCGTTCTTTCCATCTACAATGCGGCGCCTTGCAGACTCCGCCTCTCGCGCAATGTCCGACGTTGCCTTTTGCGCTGTTGGTGATATCGAGACCGCCCTAGCTGCTGCATCTTGTGTCCTTTGTGCTCACGGCGCAATTTAGCTTGTCAGACTTGAAGCCGCCTGCTCGCTAAAAAATGGAGCTGAAATCTCCCACTCAAGGGGCAAGAGGGGCTCCGCGGCCATTTAGGGGCTTGGCGCCGCCCCGTCCGACGATCTCGTAGCCCGCAATCCCAGGAGCGCGAGTTGACTGCGCCCCATGACCGCAATAGGGATAGCCCTGTTACCGATTAGGCCAAATCCCGGACTCGCACAAGTTCCCAATACGTACTCCGTACGGATAGAGAGTCTGTTTAAAGAGGCGTGAACCATTTCCCTTCTTGCATTTTCATAATGCTCTGAAGCTTGACCGGCCTCATTCCGCTGAAGAAGTTAAAACGTTGAGACTCTAGAGTATCGTAATCTCTTCTGTCCTCGCTAACAATTAGTCTGTTCAGATCAACTTACCTCGGTATTCTCATATTTGATTCTGTAATATTCATGCTTTGGGGGCAGTTTCAAGTAATCATAATTACATGCACCTTCAATTCAACAAGACCAAACCCAGACAAGGAAGACAGACAAGTCCTCTCTGTAAAAATCAATGATGCCGGAGCATCATGGCAGTGTATTTCTAAGCCTGAATGGCATCCCCTGTCTATCTGTGCACTATACTCCAAGGTATTTACGTCAACGCCACAAGGACAACGCCACAATTCTCTCTTTTAGTCCATTAGTGTGATTATTCCCGTCGCATCCTGAATCCTAGGGCGCTCCGATAAACCTGACGACTGCTCATGTGACGACTCTCGGGTGCTTGGTCCCGTACTTCAGACTCGGGTCGCTCTTCAGCGGCACCCGGACAAGCCCCTTTGCCTCCTTGGTCTGCCACTGCAGTCCCTTGAGCAGTTCGTAGATGACTTTGAGCGTTGGCGTAGGGACGCCCGCCCGCTCGGCCTCGCGAAGAGGCTCTCCCGCGATATTCTCAAACTCGATGTAGTTGCCCTGCGAGGACGAGGGGAGGAAATGTTAGCGTCTCAGTCTCGTAAGGTTGGCGGGAAGTGAAATTAAGCTGTGTTTTCTATTTCATCTCGAGTGGAATGCTAGTGTAAAAAATGAGATAGGTGAGAACATATACGAGGGAGCCCCCTCCTTAAGAAGACGAAACGAAATATTCGTGAGAGAACTACTCTTAGACCCCAGTAGATAGAAAACGACATACCTTTTCCATGTCCTGGAGCATACTGGGCTTGAAGAATGCCTCAAAGGTGTCGATGGTGATCATTCTCTCAATCAGCTCCTCGGGCAGATCGACGCCGCCGGCGGCCTTGGCCGTGGCACGAATCTCGTGCATGACGGGGCGGATCAAGCTGTCGATGACGTGCTCCGAGACACGCATGCGTGACGTGTCCATGCGCAGGATGGTGGCGACCGTGTTGTACGACGAGTTGTAGAGCAGTTTGCGCCAGCGCCAGAACCGCACGTCAGGCTCGAGCACGCAGTCGACCCCCGCGCACGAGTACGCGTTGACGAACTGCTTGGCCGCCGCCTCGGACGCGCTCGCGGGGATGTTGGGGTTAATGAACGGCCCGACGACTAGCGTGTCGTGGTCGTCGTGCTTGATGGTCCCGAGCGGGCCCTCGGTCGCCCCGATGAAGGAGATGCCCGAGACGACGGGGTTTTGAGGGAATGCAGCGATGACTGGCTTCTCAATGTTCAGCCCGTTCTGCAGCAGCGTGATGGCCGTGTGGCCGGGAGTCACGGCCGGCGCAATGATTTCGGCCACGGTCGGGCTCACGTCGGCGATGTTCTTGGTGGTGACGACGACATAGTCGTATGGCTGGAGATCTTTCTCCTGGGCCACGTTTGGGACGCTGTTGCGGACTTTGGGCTTGGCGTGTGAGATTCAATGTGTGTGGTCCAGGTCGCGACCGGTGTGGGCTCACTCACTCTGCGATGGTCTCCAATTTCGGATTTCTCCGTGATCCAGAGAGTTAATCTGAAATCCGGCATCGTGAACAGCAGCAAAGTTTGACCGCAAGACGGCAGTCACGCTCGCTTTGCCGCTCTTTTCCAGGGCATAGGCCGCCATGGTGCCCACACCGCCAGACCCTACAATCAAGACATTGGCTTTCGCCGAGGCCAAGGAGCCCATGCTGCGCGAGTAAGGTGCGGATAGGCAGGATATCGCCAAATAAAGGTTTGAGGGTAGATTGCTCCTTCTGATATTGGAAGGGGGTCGTGTTCGTAGGTGCCAGAAACAAGCGGCCATGGTGAAGAGGGAGGCGCAACCGGCGCCTCGCGCGGGGCGGTGAACTTTATAACTGTCGTCAATTATCGACTTGCAGGACCCACGACGTCATCCGATGATCTTGATAACGGTTTGATTCACCAACGTGGCGGACGCAAGTTCAGACGAGATGATCTGTGCAGTCGGCGGCTGATTGCTAGCGGTTTTCGAAAATTAGAGTCATGTTTGTCCCGTTCCTGTCCCGATTTTGGCGGCGCGGAGTCGCCAACCATCTCACCTTTTGCTCACTGACCCTAACCCTTATCAGCCAGCTTCAAGCATGGGGCACATAACGGTGGTAAAAACTTACCACGGTGCGTAAAAGACCAATGAGTAAATCAATGTGGGGTTCTCGACCCACCTCATTATTATCATCGTCCCTCTTTCCATATCGTGAAAGAAACTGGGCCTTGCAACCTCGTCTCCTCATAGGCTCATGCCTGCCACGCGGTCCAATTTGAGCTCCAGACACCAGGGCTGGGGTTTGATTGGTGGCGAGGGGGATAAGAACCCGGGCTCTCGGTGCACACACATTGCATGCCCATTTCATCGATGGTAATTACCTACTTGTTGAACACGCGTACAATTCAGCTTGCGAATCGCTTCACGGACAGTTGAAATGCCCACCTGGGACAGTTTTCAGCTAATTAAATAAATAAAACCACACAGCCTGGCCAGCAGGTTCTCTCAAACCCCCGAAACCCAGTTCCTAGAATGACCCCTGAAATAAAGAGTGACGACCGCCTCGAGAATTCCTTATGATAGGGACATCCTACTCCATTTTTCCTATCAACACGCACCCAAATTTTGTGGGTTCTCGCTCTTTGCTCCTTTTCCGAAAGCCCAAGAGGAAGAACCGGAGTCTGCCCTCTTTCTTCTCAGTCCCCCTAAGTTCGTGCGATAGTTTTATGTATTCCGCCGTCATCCGGTGGGACCCCGAATGTCGTCGCTGTTCTTTTATTTTTCATCTTGGTCCAGTTGTCGAGCTTCCGGGCTGATTAGGTACCGGTTGATCCGGGAGCCGTGTCGGGGAAAACTGAGAAGGGCTTGACTCCCTTAGACTTCTCTTTCCTTGCTCCATCTTTTACTCCTCTGGACCACCCGGCAACACTGATGGAAGCATCGCCAAGATTTTCTTTGTTGGCCGAGGTCAGGGGCAGCGGTTTGTGGATTATCTGGATCTTGACCACATCCCAGCCGGCCTCTCTTTTCTTTCCCCATCTATGAGCAAGTTCGTGGAGACAATCTATATAGTGTTGCTCGCTGGTGATTTCCACAGTTTCCTTGTCGGTTACCTCGTTAACTCTCATCCATATTGAATAATGGTCCTTGTGGAAATCTACTGGTTTCCAAAATTTCGAGGGTTTAGAAGACTCTGAGGTATCAGAAACGGGCCTAGGGGGACCGGTATTGATCATGCTCTTTAGCATCTAGAGACATTGGGGAACAAATTAATACAAGGATGGATAAAATCAAGTCGAAAAGGTCATGGACATACCTCCAAGGTATGTACATCTTTCACGGCCAAAAATAAATTTTGGTTCATATGCTCTGCACAGTCCTCTTTTCTAATCCTCACCACTTGTTGGCTCTTTGATAGATCGATGTCGGCCACCACAATCTGTTCTTTGGCACCACCCGCGCTTGAACCCGGCGCAGTCCTGTTGACTGATGCCATGGTAGTTACCTAATTAGACCTTGAATGGCTTGGATTTGCTTTCTGCGGCGTCTATCTGGTCTTCGGTCGAAGACAATGCAAAGCTCGCTGAAAGGCTTGGGGAGAGGCACGCGGGAGCTTCGGTTCCGATGAGGGCTTATGGTGGGTGATGTGGTGCGAGCCATGATTTGGACGGCTGTGTGTTGGCATAAATAAACAAACCAAAGGTTGCACTACTGAACATAATACCAACAACAGCGACCTAGTGCCGACCACCTTTGAAACCTCCAACCCAGGAGACCAGGCGCCGCGTTAACGATACGCGCGGCAAAGCTAGTAGTTGGAACCAACCCCGGCTAGACGGAGCGTCTCCGTACCAGGTATATTGTATGAGCCGGGGCAGTGGACTACTGGAGGACTTGATTTGTGTTACCGTAGCCAGGCTACAGGGCTACCAACCATCACACAGGCCTGCAGTGGCGGCCAGGATTCAGTCCCATTTGTTTGGGAGCTAATCGCGCCCCAACCAACCGAACTAGGGGCGCGCGATCGTTTTTTGGTTAGGTATCTCTTAACCTGCGGAAGATGACATGCATGTTTCCCCCCTGACGAGCTAAAATCCTTGTGTACTAAAAAAGAAATGGGTCGAGGTACATTCAGAGTACATACAAACGCCGCTAAAGTTTTCGTACTCCGAAGGGACCCCCCATCCTTGCCATCCTGGCTTGACGTGTGAGATTTTATCAACATAATGACCCTGTCGGGTACCTTGGAAGTCATCGACTATACCTAAACAGGCGATGTCATCTTCCGCGCGACCCAACCAACTGCACCACACCTCCAGAAAATCCAGGGGGTGATATTATTTACTGCCTTTGGTTCACTTCCCTCACTACCCTTCTTTTCTAGTTTCCATGTTGCATCTCTCTCCGAACATCTCATTCACCTTCTCTCCCCCCTAACCCTGTCTCAACTTTCAAATGATAAACTTCAAGTATGCTCTAGCTTTTCGGTGCATTGAAGCGCCGTTCAGGGAGCAAGGGGGCCAGGGCCGGGTGGTTCATTCGCCCGGCCAACCTCGAAGCCACACAGGAGCGCCAACACAGCATGCGTCTGCCACGCTCGCCCTGCCTCGCAGAAGCCATTTGACACGACAAAACAAGACCTGGATTGCTCTCGTTGCCTCTGACCTGCCAAACTCCCCCAGCCCGAACCCAAAGTCATCAGTCGTTCCACACGTCAACTTTTTATTTCTGCTCGGAGGAGAACCCATACGTCCCAGGACGAAACAGCTTCGGCACGAACCGTCCTCCTACCTGGCTATCCTCTGCCGGAAGCTCGAGGATGCTGCAGAGCATCTCGACGACGCCCACCTCGCTGCTCACCACGTCGCCCAGCAGGTCTTGGGTCAGGCACATGGGGTTGAGGCAGCGGCTCATCGCCACCAGGAAGGTCTGGTTTCTCGCACGAGTCAACGGCCAGATCTCTCCCAGACGCAGCTCCTATGAAATGAATGTATCTGAGCACTACTCACCTTGAACTTGAACTTGGACGGCAGGTCATGTTGCTGCACGCCAGGGCGTTGGGGTTGCGCCGCGGCAGTGATCGCCTCGGCAGCGAGACCCGCCAACTTCGCGCAGCCGCGGAGCAGGTTCCCGAAGTCGACCTTTTCGCTGCGCGCCCAGTCGTCGATGAACTTGGCGAACGCGGCGAGCAGGGTGCCGTCGGCCTTGGCCTCTGCCGTCTTTGGCGACTCGACGACGCTCTTCGCGAGTATAAACGCCGCCGCGATGGGATAGCGGAGCACGCGCCTGCGCAGGTTTGCAATCAGCAACAGCAACAGTGCCGGTGATGAAGGCAGGGCATGAGAACATCACTTACCAAAAGTCCAACAGCAGCCGCGGGGGCGTGCCATGCAGCACCAGGCGGATGGTGTCTCGTGCAGCTTCCTCGCCCTTGAGCCGCGACAGCGCGAGCTCAGGGTAGAAAGTCGGCGCCTTGGCGAACACACCCATGCCCTCGTGGCGCCCCGCAGCCCAGTGTACAGCGGCGACATTGCTATAGTACACCAGGTACATGATGGCGGCGGGGCTGTCGAGGGCGATATCCTCCGGCCGCTGGGCAAGACGCAGCCGAGCTGGGAGCTGCGCCTCCCAATCCGCGAGCGCCAGGTCGAGCTGCGCGATCTCGCGGAGCAGGTCGGTGTCGGCCAGGCTGCGCACCGCCCAGCTTGAGTACAGCCGCGTTGCGATCTGCGACTGGATCATGGCCAGCTTGGCGCGCCGCCTGAACAGGCCGACTGTTCCCACTCCCGCCCCGTCGGCAGAACTACCGCCCTGCACGGGCACTAGCGGAGATATGTGGTCGCTGACGCCCTCTTCAGGCAGGTCAAGGATAGGGTCCTGGTTGTCGAGGCTCAGCGCCTGCGGAACGCCGCAGCTGGAGCTGAGCTCCACGTCAAGGATGTACGCGACCCAGAACAGGCGGCCGACGCACGGGGTAGCGGCGGCGTTGTCGCTTTGCTTCTCCGCGCTTCCGCCACGCTGCTCCCGCAGCCGCTGGGAGACGCTTCTGCCGGCGTCCATGAGATGCAGCATCCTGGCGGCCGTGGACAGCAGCAGGGCGGTCAGCTGGGTGGCGGCCCAGTGGCGGGTGAAGAGGGCCATGGCGAGGATAGCGGCGACGGGCGTGACGTCACTGCCTCTGCCGCTGCCGCGGGCCAGCAGCTCTGGGAATGCGGCAAAGGCGTTCTTGAAGAAGGCCCACGAGAAGACGCAGATGTCCTGGAAGTAGCAGTTGACCGTCTTGAGGGGCGGCGCGGCGGCGTAGACGGCGTTCACCAGGCAGGTCCAGGCGGCGGGCTGCTGCGCGGGCCAGCCGCCGCCCGGGTGCTGCTGCGTCGTGGCGTGCAGGCACGACAGGAACTGCGCGGTATTGAGGAGTGGGAACTCGGCGAACATGGCCTCGATGACGTGCTCCACGATGGAGGTGAACGGCTCCCGCGGGGAGATTGCTCCGGGCGCTGCTGTCGACTGCAGCTTCTGCATCAGCTGGAATGGCTCGCTCTCGTGGACGGGATGCGATATGAGCTTGAATTTCTCGGCAGGCGTGACTGAGACTGGCTCCTGCGCCTGGATGCTGTCGGCAGCCCCTGCTTTGTTGCCTGGTTGCTGCTGAGCTGGTGCAGGGGCTGTCTCAAAGTCCAAGTCCACAGGCCCTGGCTGCCAGACCATCCCTGGGCTTGGGTTGGTTATTGAAGAGGGCTCGCACTGTTCGCGGGGCTCTGGTTGCGAAACTGGGTACCCAATATCGACTCGATCTGCAGAGGCCTGGACTGTAGGCGGCGACAACGGGCCGCTGAGTGGAATTGACGGGGGCGGCGCCGGCTGGTCCTCCAGGCTTTGCGACCGCTCGGGGCGCTGGATCAGAGATTCCATCCTGGCCAGCCTTTCCTCGAGAGCCTTCATGTGCTCTTTACTAAGGGCTCAAGTTAGTAATTATTGCGATTAAGTAGACAGGAATTTTATTGAAATAAAGTCGATAGATTAATTACCTTCTCCCTGGACCGCGCCTCCTCGGAGCCCCTTTGTGTTGGATGCATTGCACGCCGCGAGCGGTGCAAGCAGAGCACGACGGCGTGTTGCCATCACATCGTGTCTTCTTCTCCTGGCAGGTTAAACACGCCTGTGGTGAGGTTGAGGTTCAAGCCGGGCCAGTCAGCAGACACTCGCTTGGCGTGTTAATCCCTGCCAAGGACTCGAGGGTTAGGGAACCTCGAACGTACCTGGGCAATGCGATTCCGCTCCGGTCGCTTTTTCGGCTGCATAACTCATCCGGCGCCACGCGTCTCGCGCGATCTATATAGTTCCGGGCTCTGGGGAGTACGAGTATGGTACGCAGATTGAGAGGTTCCATGCACTGGGGGCAATTGCTCGTGTTTTGTTTTGGTTGCTTAACAAATGGATTGTGTCCGGGAGCAAATTGCTTCCAGGCCTGCTGAGCTATGGCGCTACCTTTTGTGGGGATTTTAGCGGTCTAGTTGGTAGCCAATCGGATGCAAATTGCTTCCGGTTGTTGGCTGCCGCTTCCACCAACAGCCCAAACTACGCTCGTTCAAGCTACTAGGGAGTACCCTATTTCTAGTTTACCTAGCTAAGTTCTTTGTTGGTCTTTCCTGGAATCCTTGACTAACTGTCTTTCATTTTTTTTATTTTATTTTTTTATTTTATTTTTATTTTCTTTTCTTTTCTTTTTTTCGGTATAAAGCAGGCTTCAAGCCCACCACCTTTCTCTGGTAGTTCCCGAACTTCAGTCTCCTTAACTAGTTCACACACAACATCGTATTTCACCCCCGAGACAAAGGATCTTTCTCTCTTACAGTCCACAACATCTCATACAATGGCTATTGTCGCTGTTGCAGGCGGGACGGGCAATATTGGCCGCGCCATCGTCGAAGCTTTGGTTGCTACTGGAAAGCACAAAGTCAAAATCCTCGCACGCAAGGTCTGGGCCATGTTCGAGAGCCTCCTCGTTGATTTGACGCTAACGAGCCATTTTAGCCTAACGCTGAAGTCGAGGCTCGGGTTGGCGTGCCTGTTATCGTAGTCGACTACGACAATGTTCCGGGTTTGACCAAGATCCTCGAGGACAACAAGATCGACACAGTCATCTCGACCATCACCATGATTCCCATGGACGGCAGCTCCCCCAAAGAGATCCAGCTCATCCAGGCAGCCGACGCATCCAAGACCACCAAGAGATTGATCTCCAGCGACTGGGCTGCTCCAGCCCCTTCTGAGTGAGTACCAACGCAAATACTCCGTATGCCCCCGAGTGAGACGAGGAATTTATGCCGACCTCACACTGTGTAATTCAACAGTAACGTCGGCTCGCTCCCTTCAGTCATCAACAGGCTGGCTGCAGAGAAGGAGCTCGCCAAGGTTTCCAATCTTGAGACGACGCACATCGTCAACGGCTACTTCCTCGACTTTTTCACGTCGCCCGTCGTCAAGTCTTATCTGCAGCAAAGGACATTTTTCATCGACATACCCAACAATGTCGCCGCCATCCCAGGTAGCGGCGACGTCTCCGTCGTCTTCACTCACTCGGCCGACATTGCAAAGTTCACTGCCGCCATCCTCGACCTCGAGAAGTGGGACCCTGTGAGCTATGTCATTGGCGACAGGGTTACTCTGAACGAGTTCCTCCGCTATGCCGAGGCGGCTAAAGGTAAGCCCGCCCGCCCTGCCTCACTACTTCACGAGTATGGTAAGAAGATAACTAACACGTCACTCGGCAACGCTGAAGGAGTCAAGTTCGACGTCACCTACGATTCAGTCGAGACGTTGAAGACGGGCGTCGTAACGGAGCTTCCCTCGTACCTGCCAATGTACCCCTTCTTCCCGAAGCCGGCCATGCTGGGGTTCCTAGCCACCTTTGGCCAGTGGTTTGAGGCAGGCGTGTTCGACATCAAGCCGGAGCGAACCCTCAACCACCAGTTCCCGCACATCAAGACCGGGAAGGTCAAGGACCTCCTCGAGCAGGCCTGGAAGACAACATGAGGGTCTGGAGGAGACCGAGTCTCTTATGCCGCGGTGAGTATCTAGCTAGAATTTGGAGTTGAAATTACCATGACGATGAGCAAACATAGAGATGAATTTGAGTAAAGTGAAAAGTGCACGCTGTGATATTATTTATGCCCCCTGCCGGTAGTCACTCACTGCACGGTACAGTTTCGGTGAGACCAGCGGCACAACGGGACCAAATTGCCAACAACAAGAAACGCCAATATTAGACCTAGTAGCAACGGCGGGGACGGGGTTCCCACTGAGCCACAGAAAAACAATGGTTTGAGGTCCGCTGGGTTCAGCCAATAGTATATTAGTCAAAACCAAGATCAACGGGGACTATCCCGTGCCGCTCATGTACACTACCAACGCCGCGTATTCACAACTATTAGTCAGTTCCCTTAAATAGAGTCGCTGTTCTTGATAACACGCTTAGCTATTAGTTGAGTGGCGGTGATATTATCCGGGCGGCGAGTTCACCCGGCACGAGACCAGCGTCAGCGACCGCCGTCAGCTCTCATATTAAATGCACCCAGCAGACGACGTGTATACTCCGAGGCAAGACCAGACATTTCAGTGCGAGCCGTAAGTGACAGGCTGTAAAAGGTGGTAACGCTCTTCTGTCGGTAACGAGTTCCGAGTTCGTATTAACGACAAGAAATCTACACTGCTGACCGGTTGCATGATGGCAGCGTGAGAAAGCTGACATAAAGCAGCCATCGCCGGCGGGGCACGACTGAGGATCGGCAGATAATACGAGAACTGGCACGAGACACCTTTTTTCGGTCTGGTCTGTCTTCACTGGATCACGAGATATAAATAGCAGACGACAGTTCGGTTTTGTGGCGTCCTGTTGCGACAAGCTACAGCAGAGCAGAGCAGCTCAGAGCACACCCGCCTCAGACCCAAACCCACCTCAGACCCAAACCCAGACTCACACAAGCACCTCTTTACACACAAGACCACCCAAACCCCCCAAATCTGCGCAATGCTTCCCCTGCTCCCCCTCCTCGTCTCAACCACAGCCATAACAGGCCTCGCCTTAGCTGCAACAACAGCAACAGCAACAGCAACAGCGAGCAATGACCCCGGTTGCATCCCGCGCAGCTCCGGCTCGCTGGGCTTCCGGCTCGTAGTCAACGTAACCGACCCATCCAAAGACCTAACCCCAGCAGTGCACGGGCGAATGTTCGGACTGGCACACATCGGGCCGGCGCAGAACCGGGCCATAGCATCCGCAGGCGGCATCAACAACGGACCCATCTTCTTCCAGAACGGCACGTCCGCCGACGCGGTATTCGAGCGGACGGGGGTTCTAACCGACGGCGGCGGCGGGGACGGGCCGTCGCGCTTCCCCGAGGCGCTGCAGTACGTGACGGACCAGAACGACACTGACGAGGAGGGCGCGGGCGTCTACGTGCTCGCGGGCGGGGCGGGGACGGGCGAGCGGCTGACGCGGCTGACACAGCCGTACTCGTACTTGACGATTCTGGGGGACGCTGCCGTGGTGTCGAACTTCGTCGTGTGTCCCGGAACGATCCCGTACTACGGCAACGCGACGAAGTTTGCGCTTGTCAACTGGGTGCAGGCGACGCGCGACGCCACGGGCACGCACGTTGTGGTGCCCGACGGCTGCGTCGCGGTCAACCTCGTCCCGCAGTGCGCGTCCCTGGAGGCGCTGCCTGACGGCGCGCCGTACACGCACGACTTTGTGCAGGAGGTGCGCTGCTACGACGACGTGCTGGCTGTTGACTGGAGCAAGTACCCGTACTAGACGAGACTTGTATAGGGGGTGTTTCTGTGGGGGAAAATGAGCCTCAGGGGAATACCTGATAGTTAGGAGTTACTTGCGGAGTGGTTGGTGCCGTAAAGGGGCCTAGGCATTATATACTCGCGCTCAGTGTGAACTGGGGGACAGTAGTGACAGGGAGCTTGAGGCTCCATCAATATACTAGCGGTAAATACAAGATAAACGTTTGGTATACAAGACCAAGTGCCGACCTACAAGGCTCGGCATCATCGGGACGGTTGCGATGCAAAGCAGAAATACCCTGCCACTGCCGACGCGTAGGCCCGCGATGCTCATGGTCCATCCCTCTTCACTGCTGTCATGTTCCTTTCAGACATTGAACCCTAGATGCCCCGGCATTTAGCCGCCATTCTCGATGGGCCATTCTCGATGACGGGTGAAGTGAAATAGCACGTATCCTTCCTCCCAGTGGTTCGGCATTCCCGCAGAGCCTCAGTCCCCAGTCCTTGGACCGTCTCTTTTCAGTTCCACAATCATAGTACACTCAGCTCAACGTTTGAGAACTCCCAAAGCCAGGGAGACGACAAAAAGACAATAATAAATGAGAATATTAGTCAGTAGGCAGTTAGTTTTACACAGCGTAGTAGCCATTGCGCGTAGCGTAATGTCACCTGGAATGCTCCTTGTCGGGAAGCTCGTATTTTTGTGGCGTGGGGGAACGAAGAACAACGCTGCCGCCGTCCATCTCTGCCTTTGGGGGCAGGCCGGCAATGGGCGGCGGAGGCGCTGGCCAAGTGGATGTGGCGGCAGACACGGGGCCCCAGGCCTGCCAAGCGGACTCGGTGGGCGAGGGGGGACCCAGGGTGGTGTCGATGGCTCCAAACGAGGCCATCTGTCGGTGGCGGAAGTCGTGGCGCGACGGCCGGCGGCGGCGGTCTGATAATGTCGACCCCTTGCGCACCAGGAAGACACCAAGTATCACCAGAACCAGGAGTAGCGGCAATCCCACGCCAAAGCCCACGCCCAGTCCCACTTTTACGGGATCCGGCCCGCTGCGTTCGTCAGGCGCCGGGAATGTTGGAGCGGAGACGGCGGTGGTTGCAGCACTAGTTTGCGATGTTGAACTTCCGGTTGGTCTGGTTGCTCCATACATAGTCGTCGACCCAGTGGTTGTCGCCGAGGCCGGCGTTCCTATGACGGTGCCTGCGGCGACTTTAAACCATGACGACGGCTTGCAGCATGATTGTGTTGACGGGCCCGCGCTGCAGCAGTACTGCACAGAAGTGCCATTGAAGCTCCCGTCACAAGGGAGGAGCACGACTACATCTGAGTCTTTCATTGTGTTGAAGAGGTCTAATGGGCCAAGGTTAGCAGCTGTTGTGCAGATCAAGGCCTGGCTAGCACAGGAGAACAAACCCGTGCTGGGCGAACAGGGCCTATTGCATGGCGAGCCCCAATTCTTGTCAGTGCAGCCTTGCTGCGTCATGAGGTTCTGACGCTCGGAGCTGAGGCAGAGGCCATTGGAGAGGCAGACGTCGCCTTTCTGGCAGCAGCCGACAGTGCCAGACGTTGTGCCCCCCGAGAAGCACGGCAATAGGTTATTGTCTTGGTTGCCAAAGGTGTTGAAGCAGGTGGCATCTGCTCCTCGGACTCCTGGCACCAAGAACCCGAGCCCGACGAGGGCGGCGACTAGCGCAGCCGCGGGCGGCGTCGACCTCATGATCATGGTCGAGATTATCGGGATGGCCAGCCGATCGCCCGGACCCGGGTCGGTCAAGTCGACGGATATCTATTGGGCGAGGCTTGTGTAATGGTCGGCGGATATTGACCGATAATTATAGCACTCGCCTCGACCCGGCTGGCGAGTTCGGTAGTGGAGAGCCGAAAATAAAGCACTCGCTAGATTGATGGAGAGAAGAAGGTGAGCAAGAGAAGAAGAAAAGAGAAAGGAAGAAGTCAGGTTAGACACAGGCACAGCATAGTCCACACACACGCTGGTCCCGTCTCCCGCTCGTGGTGGGGGCCTCGTTCAATATGAGTGCGGCACAGGCAGCAACAAGCGGCCAACTTCGGCCCCCGTCTCTTGTCAACAACCCCGACACGACCAATCCCCGGCGCCCCCCGCCCGGATGCCGCTATTCACCCACTAGTTTCTGTCTTGTTCAAGCGCGCCGCCGCAAGCTCACAGATGCAATGTCCGAAACGAGGAAAGCCGGAAGCACCTCAGTAGCAATGGGAGAGACCTCGGTTATGTGCACTGGGCGTTGTGCGGTCCCGAATAGTCGGCACTCTCTTATTACGTATCTAAGATGTACGCGGGACGGTGTGCCCCTTTCCCGCACCGTGGAGGCGCTGCAGGAGTGAGGCCGAGCTAGCGAACACGGAGAAGGCCACGGTTTGACTGGTCCCCGAGTACGGCATGGCCAGGGCGGAGAAGAACTAAGGCGAGGCATCTGGCAGGCAAATTAATTAGCATCCGCCCTGTTCATTTCCTCTCGCCTTCTGTTCTCGTCGTAACAAATCTCGTCTTACCAAAGCCCGTCGGAAGAGAAGAAGCCAGAAGGAGAAAAGAACCCTGATGTGTTAGCAGGTTGGCTCCCAATGCAGCAGCTGGTAAGACTGAGAATGCTACGGTGAAAGGCGTGAGGTGACGCTGTGCCACAATCACAGTCGCGATGAGGGGAGATCCCCCCCGAGCTTGTTTTTTGGACGAACCGGCCAGCTCGCCACAGGCGGAGAATCCAGGGCATTTTGCTGCTGCTTTGGGCGTCTGGCGCCCGTTCTCGTTCCGCGGGTCTTGCGCCTCAGCAGCTAGCGTTGGCTGTGCCGCTCGCCGCGCCGCAGACGGGCATCGCCAGGAGGGGTAATGCCGCAGTGCTCACCCGCCCGCGATTAGAAGCGCACCCACGAACAAGCAAGAGGCAGGCACAGAGGCGAGTAAAAAAGGTAAAAGAGCAGGGTTCAAGCCCGCGTTTCAACCGTGCAGGTACGGGACAGCCATGATGGCAGAAGGTGTGGCGAACTTAAAAGAAATCGTAGGAAACGAAACAAAAAGAGGGGAAGCCTGGACCAGAGGGGAAACCCTGGACCGCCCGCTCCTCCCATCGATCCTTCCCACTTTCTTTTTCTGACGATGTGCGCGGGACCTGTTCAAACCAGGAACGACTTCCCAATTGAGATTACGTGCGTATCATCGTCCCATCAGCACGTCCCCGCGCAATGTCGAGCCCTCTTCCAATTCGTTCAGTGGAAGAGGGACCCTTCCGGCAGGCTTTCTCTCCAGGCACTGGCAGGCAGCGGGATCGATCCCCTCGGCTGTCCGCTGCACGTTCCTGAAGACGGCCCCGACCGGCGGCCGGCGCTTCGGTGGTGGAGATAAGATAGCGTGCCCCTTTCCCCCACGCCGCCTCCATGCGATTGGAACCTGAATGAAATCAATTTGCGTGTCCGTCCGGGGCCGCCTTCCCCCGCGGCCTCGTGCCCGCCGCCTCCCAGGTAAGGTATGCGTCCCAGGTTCTCCGTATGCAGACAATTAAAACACTGACTCCCGATCCTTCCAAATACGTTGCATCTTTGGATGGTGAGGAGGACAATTAATCTGCCGATCGCAACCGTGCCCGGGTTGCCTTTACTGTGGTTTACTCGCCGAAATTGCCAATGGAACCAACCACCATTCGGGCGGGCGCCTTGGTAACAGCCAGGGGCCCTGAAACCCCCGCATTCTTAAGACCAGCTTCACCACCACCACCCCCGCACTTCCCGGCTCCTTGCTTGCTGGTTTTGTTGCTGCCTACGAACGGACTGCCCACTCAGTAATGTCGGAATCTGATCATACTTTGCAATGCTCGATATCCGAAAGGCCGGGCCCTCTGGCGGGACGAGCCCCTGCCTTCCGAAACGGACAGCCTCGACCACAGCCACAATCGCAGCCACAGCCACGAGCAGAGTCCAGAGGTGACGTGATTTTCACAGAGAATAACGACAGGTTGAACTGCTCCGTTACTCATGCGCTCTTATCCAATTCAGCCCCTGTTGAAATCGAGGTCGGTGATCATTCGGGTCACTCAACCAAGCCTCTTGCAAAGTGCAGATGCCCGGCCTATTAATCTCAGTCGGGACTGAGGTAATCAACACAAAAGTTTACGTTGACATGAAAATGGAATTTCTCGACTTTCGAGTTCGTTTTTGATAAACTTCCCTTTTACTAATTGAGTAGTATAAACCAAATAGAGTAAGTAATATGCTGAGAAGTAAAACAGTTTCGTATTTTGACATTGAGATCTCCTCCTTTCAGGCCTCTTCCAGTCTATCGCAGGTGGCAAATCAGTATTGTCTTTGCGAGAATTCACCATAATTATACGTGCAGTTGAGAAATCGCAATACATTCTATGCAAGCACATTTCATAGTCGTTGTCGTTCAAATGTTATCAACTCTTGAAATTTAAAAGATTGTTTTTAGTTTACATTTTATTTCTGTATCTCGCTCTTTCTGTATCTCGCTCTTTCTGTATCTCGCTCTTTCTGTATCTCGCTCTTTCTGTATCTTGCTCTATTCATGACACAAATGTGTCTAAGTCAGCTGTCTAGATGGAATATGGGGACCACTTACCTAGAAGTAACAAGCCAAAACAGGAAGAAAGGAATAGAGAGGGAAGAGGGAGGAGGGAGGGGGTGGCAACACTTATTGCCACTGCTCAGAAGTCCAGTCGCAGTGGGGCAGAGCCCAGCCCTCAGTGCGGCGCAGCTCGTCCTCCTCCTCGGGGGTGAAGTCGTTGACGATGCCGAACAGGTCGCGGATTTGCTCCGTGGTCTTGCCCTTGATCATATTGGCGACCGTCTGGCTGGCGATGTTGACGAGGCGCTGAATGTCGAGGTAGTTGGCCGCAATCAGAATGTCGAAGACCTCGTCGGTGGGCACCTCGAAGAACTGAACGTCCCACGGCGTCAGCGTCTTGAGCTTCTCGGCGACCAGAGTGCGCTCCTGCGAGCTGAGAGCCTTGTTCACGGCGTCCTCATCCATGCCAAGGCCGGTCGGGGGCTGGCGGTTCTGAGGGTTTCCCAGGAACTCCTTGACCTGCTCCGTGGCGCGAGCGACGTCGCCCGAGTGGATCATGAGCCAGCTGATGATGCGGCTGAGAGTGTGGTCGCTGATGTTTCCCGTCAGTGGAATGGTGTCGACAAAGCTTGCGTCTTCAAAGTCGCTGATCAGGTCCTTGAGGATTCCACTCTGCATGGCATCCTGGTAGGTGATCGTGAAAACCTTTCCATCACGGTCATCATCAACGTTCTTGACGCGAATATGAGTGGGTGCCATTGTAAGTGGCTGTAGGTTTTGGGGTGCTTCCTAGAGGAGGCTGATGGGATGTTAGGACACTCGAGAGAAGGCTGATTAGAGGATGTTGATCACAGAAAGTTGCTCGAAGCGTGGTCAGGGATACAATATTCGGCGGGATATACTGGACTTTTAATATCCTGTATTTTCCCACTTGTATTTTCCCACTTGTTAAGGGGTTCATGTTGGAGTTTTACCTTCGTCAAAGCCGAGGACAATGTCCTTGTTATTCTGTAGTCGTCACAAAATAGCACATGAGTGAGATCGCTTTGTTACAGCTCGCACAAAGCAAATTGCATACAGTCATCATTAACTTTCACGCCGAGAAGACTACATATAGCCGTGAGTGGCGAGCTTGCACCAAGATCACTGACAAAGAATAAAGATACGACAGAGGTAGCCCCCTGATTCATTCCTTAACACTGGCGACTCTTTGTCCTTGCGCCTCAACTAACAACCGGATCAGGCCAGAGACGAACAACAACCCAAAGGTACTGATTCTTGATCAAGCTCAAATTACCTAACAAGCCAGGTGTAGTCATAGTACCCTGGTGAACTGTGTCCTGTGACAGGTACACCCTATTGAGATAGACTCATCTGAGGCTGACTGGGCTTTCCGTCAAAGTGTTGAACCTTGATAAGCATATTTAATTATAACCTGTCCGTCAATGACTAGTTGAAGAACAATAAATGGCAAAAGACCCCTAAAACCAGCTCCATAACTAACGCTGTAATGTACATGAGACCAAAGGGTGTCAGACAGACCCGGCCTTGACGTGGGTGAACAACATGATGCCAACTAAGAATTGAATCTCATATAGTAATTAATTAGATGTGCACCCAACTACCTCACACCTATCAATCGCATGTACTTGAATTACAATTGCTGTTCCGCAAGTACGGTCCCCTAAGGTAGATAACGCCGAGGACGCACTGCGGAAGCTGCAGCAGCAATTGCCAAGCTGACAAGTCCACGATTCAATTATTCCACCTAGTTAGCTGAACAAGACATTGGGGCTGGATTGTGGACATACTGGCGGGGGCAGTCATTGCCAAACTCCAGCACCTGTGGTTCGGTAGAACTGCCCTGAACCAACCTGGGCACGCTGTGGGTTGAAGACGATGGCGGGGGCGGGGGTGGGGTTCGCAAAGATTGGCGGCGGGCGATCGCTCGGCTGAATGGGATTACCCCTCGTCCTGGCGCAGATCTCCCGCCCAATGGAATTAATTGCGCAGGCCACGCTTGGGCCTCCGCTCGGGCGTGCCACGAATGAGTACGACAAGATTTAGTGTCGAAGCCGTCCGAAATCTGCTCCACGCGCGCCCGCGTCCGTGCAGAATGTGTCCAAGGCCAGAACAAGACAAGTTGGCGGCGCTACTGTACGAATCTGTGTTGAAGCCCTGAACTAGTGGCACTCCGAGATCCGAGCGGCGCAGCCGGCCTCGAGCCCAAAGCCACGTGCGACCGCGAGTCCGGACTACCAAGTCGATAGCTTCGCAATGCATCCGTTCCTGGCAGGCTTGCCTTCACTCGGGTCGCCATCGCCAGCCGGCTTTGTTTTCACGGCGACACTCGGCCAATCGCGTGGCCGTGTGGGCGATGAGCCCCTGCCTGCCCGTCCCGCTTCAGCAGACTCCAGCACTCCTCTGATGCTACGCCCATCTTGGCCGTGGCAACCCTCGACCTCGTCCCGCCACCTCTGTCACGCACCCATGGCTTCTCATAGGCTGGCGCGTGCGCATTGACATTGATGACAGACGGCAGCGACGGAGGTTCTACGCAATGATGGCTCCGCGTTGATAGCGGCAGTTCGCTCGGGCCATTGCAAATCGGCAGGAAAAAAGAAGACTGTGGGACGGAGGGGTCGAAGCCTCGGCAGACCCGTGCTCAGAAAACAGACAAGAGACGAGAGCAAAAAGTGCTTAGAGAGAAGAGACGAGGGCAAAAAGTGCTTGGTGACAAAGGTGCAGGTGCGAGACAAGAAGAGATGAACAAGCCGCCGGCAGAAAATGACAGCTGAGCAGGTCGGCGCGCCGGGAGCCCGGTAATGCCCTTCTCCAGGTTAGTGAATTATACTCCGTACTGTCAGTAATCTAGCATCTGCCGGCCACGCCTCGGCTCATTGCATGAAGAAGAAACAAGCCTCGTCCAATCTGGTCCCCACCGATCCGCGCCCCGCCGCACACCAACAGCCATGCCGCTGGCGACCAACGACCCCAAGGGCAACAAGGCGAGCCGACTGCATGCAGCGGCAGCAGCAGCTTTGGGGGCCCATAGCGCAGGTCCAAGCAAGCCAGATTGCAGCGCGCTGGTTCTGGGGTGGAGGTGTGGTGCACGTTTCACTCGTCGAGAACATGGCAAACGTGTCGAGTGACACTTCCGACTTCCCGTCCCATCTACTGTCAGGCTTTTCGTTGGCGTGCTGTGCCATGGCCTGTCAGGTGGTGAATCTGTCTGAGCTGCCACGGTTCTCGGCGAACCACAATTCGGGGCGGGCCGACACATATCAAGGGCCCTTCGCCTCTTCCCGCCCCTTGAGCCTTCTTTTCCTTTCCTTTTCTTTTCTCCTTCTCAAACACGGGAAACTGCCATATACCCATGCGGACAACAGAGTCGAGGCCGAGGTCACCATATCGGACACTTGGTGTCTAGTCACGACTGCCACATCCCACGATGCGCTTCCCAACCCTCCACTTCCCCACGTGGGCGTTGTGGTACAAGAAGCCAGAGTACCGCGACTTCAGGGACTATGCCAACACGGTCAGCTCCGGCAAGCGGACCATGAGCCCGGATGGCCGCAAGACTGCCATTCCGAGCCGGCTCAGGCTTGACCGGATCCTCGCCAACAAGACATGTACGCTCGCCTTCCCGTACGGATAGACCCTGGACTGGCTGTCCCGATGCTGACATGCGTGGCTCGTCATCAGGTAGCCCTATGTCCCTCTACGACTTCTACATGTACCTAAAGTACATCGAATTCTCGGCAGAGAACCTCGAGTTCTACATGTGGTATGTTTGCTATCGTGTTTGCGAGAACCGACAAGGGCTAAAATGCAGTTCAGGTACAAGAACTACGAGTCGAGCTACGCCAAGGGCCTCACCGTCATCTACGAGAAGGACTATGGATCCGTCTCCAGCATGGCTGAGAGCACCTCGTCGGTTGCCGAAATCAAGCCCGAGAACGCTCTGTCGTCCATCGACGAGGACGAAGAGGCCGACCCGGAAATCGGTAAACTGGCCTCCCTAACGCGACCAAACTCTTGCACACAATACTGACCCCACGCCCGCCACACAGCCAGAGAGACCCTCGCGCGCATCTCGCAGCTCATCTCGGCCGATGCGCTGTGCTCGTCCAAGTCCAAGTGCGGCCCGGTCATGGTGCCGGCCAACTTCGCCACGGGGGGCAGCGACGACGAGTCGCCCGACGAGGCGCTGCGCAGCCTCAAGCTGCTCAACCCGGGCCCCGTCAGCCGGGCCGAGATCGACACGGTCATCGAGCTGTTCCTGCTGCCGGGCGCCGAGAAGGAGCTCAACATCCCGCCGGCGATGCGGCAGCAGGCCATCGCGGACCTGGCCACGTCGTCGCACCCGGCCGCGCTCAAGCCCGTGGCCGACCACGTGTACGGCCTGCTGCGCAACTGCTCGCACCGCAACTTTGTGCGCCTCGGCGTCGGCAACGGCACCTTCGAGACCATCTGCGTGGCTACCGTGCTGGGCGTGTGCAACATGGTCGGCGGCTTCCTCGTGGTGCTCAGCCGCGCCTTCGTGCCCTTCCGCGGCGCCCACACGCGCTGGGAGGCCTTCGCCGCCTGGCCGCTGTGGTGGCTAGGCCTGAGCCTGATCCTGTCGGGTCTGAGGGGGAGCTGCTTCTTCCTGCTGCTCTTCTCGCGCCGCCAGCGCCTGCCGTGGGAGCGCTTCGATGACTCCGCCTCAGTCCTCTCCAACAGCCCCGGCAGCCGCCTGCTCAAGGCCATCTCGCGCCTCATGATCTTCGACCGCCGCCTGCGCGTCAAGGAGACGCACCTGCGCCGCCTGCAGCGCAAGATCGTCCTGCAGAGCCTGCTCGGCGGCAGCATCTTCGCCACCGCCTGCGTGCTGGTGTTCATCTTCCTGCCCGTGTGGCGAGAGACGGTCGACCAGCGCCATTGATTGGACTCGAAAGCCTGTTCAATGTATTTTGTCTTTGTTGAAATTTTCAGTTTTAACTCCTGTCGCTTGAGGTCGATTTGCCCTTCCCTTCTCTCTTCTTCTTTCTAGCCACTCACTCGCTACATTAGATGGCCGGTCATGTGAAGCCGCGATGCTGATGATGATGCCTTGGTCTTTTGGATTGGATGATGACGATCAACGCGCACACCGAGACGGATGTATGTATGATAATTATTGGACTATGATACCACCTGGCGTATGGTGCCCGGTCACTACTACTATTACATGCAATCAAAGACTTGAGTCTACATATATAATTTGGTACCTGCTCATCCCCACAAATGCGGTAACGTCTAGAGGTGAGTTCTTGTCAAGCTCTTTCCCCCTTTGACTTTCGACTTTTCTATTACATTTGATTTTGAAGCGGACCGTATTCACGATCCAACCGGGTAGCGGCGAGGCATGTATCACATGCACAGTAAGTACGCGAATAGCACAGCAACAGCAACAACCTAGGAACAGGTATAAACACGACGGGCGATGCGGGGCCGCCCCCTCCCTTTCTGAGCGGGAGCGTTTTAATTAGCCTGCAATCAACCTACACGACATACCAGGGCCTACCTACCCACCTAAGCGGTATGTCGGATTCCTCTCTACCGGCTGTTCGGAGTCGCATTCCCCAAGCCAAGCCAAGTTCCTAGGCCCATTTCTATTTTCGCGGACGCCGCACAGCCTCCCTCCGCGGTCCTCCATTCGGACGGCCCACCTCGACCCCGATCCGCCAATCGTCTTACACGCCGCCGCGGAACCTCGCCAGCGAACGCCTAGGCTGACGGCCCGGTATTAGGGACTAGGGACTAGGCAAGGTAGGGGTGCAGTTACCTACGTCCTACCTACCACGCTGGCCCTAGCACGGCAGGTGTTTTAATATACTAGAAGTAGTAGACGGCCACTGTGTGTGAGAGTGTGTGTTTTTTTTCCATCTCCAATGGATCGCGTCGTTCTTTGACAGCAGCAGCAGTAATTACCATTCCCAACATCTCCGTCGCTCTGCCTGTCTCTCTCTCTCTCTCTCTCATCCTTGGCACGCCCCACCCCTGTTTGCGGCGCGATAAGATTCCGAAATCAGAATGGGACGATCTCCAGTGGCTGCTGCAGGAGGACGACGAGGACCAGCAGCAGCTGTCTTGGCACTGCTGGTGTCTGTCGCGGCGGCTCCCGCGCTCGCTGCCGAGACCGCGGTGGAGCTGTACCGCCAGTGCGGCGGCATTGGCTACACGGGCCCGCCCACCTGCGCGACCGGCGCCACCTGCATGGCGTGGAACGACTGGTACCGTCAGTGCTTTTCTCGCCGCCCTCACCCCCTTTTGACGGGCAATGACGACGGACTGCGATGTTTGACACGCCTGTGATATCAATAGACCAGTGTATCCCGGGAATGGCGGCCCCGGTGACAACGCCGACGGCGACGCCGACGAGCTCGGTGCCCGCGCCCAGCGCCACCCCCGGCGTCAAATACCTCATCACCTTGTGAGTCCGTGTCCGTGCCGTGTCGTGCCGAGAGCTGGTTCAGCCTCTTTCCACACAACACAACCAAAAAATAAAAAAATATTGACTTCCCCCTTTCCACTGATCCGCAGCGGCGACTCGTACTCGCAGACGGGCTTCAACGTGACCCTGACGAAGCCGTCAGTAGGGAACCCGCTCGGCAACCCGCCGCTGCCGGGGTGGACGGCGAGCGGGGGGCTAAACTGGGTGGGGTTCCTTGCGTCGCAGCACAACACGCCATCCTCCACCATCCTGTCGTACAACTTCGCGTACGGCGGCGCGACGACCAACGCGACGCTGGTGACGCCGTGGAAGCCCGACGTGCTGAGCCTGGTCGACCAGGTGGCGCTGTTCAGCGGCAGCATCGGCGCGGTGCCGCGGCCGGCGTACGCGCCGTGGGCGGCCGCCGACACGCTCGTCGGCGTGTGGATTGGCGTCAACGATGTCGGCAACTCGTGGTGGCTCGCTAACTACACTACCATTGTCGACCAGATCATGGACACGTACTTTGGCCAGCTGCAGATCGTCTACGACGCCGGCGCGCGCAACTTTGCGCTGCTGAGCGTTCCGCGTGCGTTTTCTTACCCCCTTTCTCCCCTTTCTCCCCTTTCTTCCCCTTCTGTGTGCTTCTGCTCACCTGGTTTGCAATGACACGACACGAGAAAGGATAGGTTGTAAAATGCTGACCATGCTGCGTGGTGTCACCAGCAATCAACAAGACGCCGTCGGTGCTACTACAGACGGCCGAGGCGCAGGCGGCCGAGGCGGTGGCCATCGGACAGTACAACGACGCGGTGGCGGCGCGGCTAGCAGCATTTAAAAGCAAGAACAGCGGCGTGCGCGCCGTCGTCGTCGACACAGCCGTGCCGTTCAACACGGCGCTCGCGGCGCCCACGGCGTACGGCGCGCCCAACGCCACGTGCTACAACGGCGACGGCGTCTCGTGCCTCTGGTTCAACGACTACCACCCGGGCGTGGCCATCAACCGGCTCGTGGCCAACGCTGTGGCCGACGCTTGGAAGGGCACCCTCTTTTGAGTGTTCCTCGTGGTGCTGCGGCTGGTGTTAGGTTTGTGGGGTGGTATAAAATGGGCGACGGCAGGAGGCGTGCGTATCGTGTAAATAGCTGGCTGGGAACGTCTTCCGGAAGGGAAAGGCGGCATTAGGATCTGCTGTAGATACAAGTCAGTTCAGAGGTATCGAAACTTGCCAACTGTGCTCCGGATATGAGGCAAGTTCGCCACCTAATGTACTCTGAGAACCTGACCTTGATCTCGAAGAGCTCTGACGAAGCTACTCCTCGTCTCTGGCATTGACACAACTGCCTTGCAATTTGAACCACAGGTTTCTCAAAGCTCAAGGTCTCACCGACAGAAGAAGCAACCACATCCAGCCAGAACATTTCTCAATGGCTAGAAAGTCAATGTCCCCTGCAACGGACTAGCCGAAGCCCGCCGAAGTCCGGAACCAAGGACTACTGTAGATCGCGAAGGCCGCGTAATCCCTTAACCGCCAGAGTGAGGACGGTGTCACTGAGGCATATAGAGAGCGTCTGGCTGCACAATGGCCTATTGGCGAGCCGGATTTGAGTGTTTACTTCAATATATCAAGACGTTCTTCCGTCCCATGTTTCCCCCGGAGTGGGACGACGCACATCAACCCCTTTAGCCCCCTGAATCAAGTTGACTTCGTGGTGAGTCTTCAGATTCTCGATGGCGCGCGTGTGAGCCTCCAGCATCTCGATGACGCGCCTGTGACCATATCTGAAGGCCATGGTTAATGGGGTGTCGCCATCTACATCCCTCACGTCGGTGACTTCGGCCCCATTTTCGAGCAATAGCCACACAACTTTTGCATGACCATGAGCCACCGCCCACCACAGCGGCGTCCGCAATGCGCTACATCTCGCGTCAACCCTAGCGCCATTGTTAAGCAGCACTCATACAATGTCACTACGACCTTGTGCTGCGGCCTCCATCAACGGCGTCTGCCGGGCTTTGTCCCTCGCGTCAACCTTGGCGCGCCTGGCGAGCAATAGTTCAACGACAGCTTTGTAGCCGTCAAGCCTTTCGTCTTCTACTACTTCTTCCGGATGAAAGAGGGAGTGATTGGGCATTCTCCTATTCATGAGCATGGCGGATCCGTAGCCCTGCATCGTTGCGAGATATAATGCTTCGCGGCCTTCAATATCCGTCGCCTTATCGCTGGCGCCCCACTCGAGTAGCAGCCGTGCCATGGCTTTCGTGGCCGTTTTCGGCGGCACAGAGTAAGGGTGTCCGGTCACGCTGATCTTTCCACTCGATCGGGGCACCAGTGTTGAGAAGTATGTTTGCTATGTGCTCATGACCATTTGCCGCGGCCCGTAACAACGGTGTTTGGCGATGCATGTCGATTGCCGCAAAATTGGCCTCCCCCGCGAGAAGTGTCTGGACAGTACTTTCCTGGCCGTTCGCCGCGGCCCGCAGCAGTGGTGTTTGGTTGTTATAATCTCTCCTTTCAATCTTGGCGCCCCGCTCTAGGAGTAGCCGTACGACTGCGTTGTGATCATTAGCCGCGGTCCGTATCAAAGGTGTTTGGCCATCGAAATCCCCGGCCTCTATATAGGCGCCATTGTCAAGTAGATGTCGCACGACAGGTTCATGGCCATTCTTGGAGGCCCACATCAGGGGTGTTTGGTAGAATTGTGAGTCTATGGTGTCCACAGGAACACCGTTGTTGACAAGTGTCGCAACCATGATTTGCTTGCCATCGCGTGCGGCGTGGAGCAAAAGCTGCTTGCTTTCAGGATCTGTGGCGGTTTTCCCCTTCCATAGGAGACCCAGACGAGGCAGCAGACCTAGTATTGCTGCATCACGGTCTGGAATGTAGAAGGCGTGTCTCAGCCAATAAGTCTTTGCATATGCCAGGAACTGGAACTGATGTGTCGGGGACAATTGAAAGCGCTTGCTCGCATCTGCTAACACTTTGCCGATGTTGAAGTCAGGTTGCTTCCGAGATTGTAGAAGCTTGACTGCCAGTCGCCGAACGTTGCTCGGAGCGCCTGTCGAGTGAATGATTTTGTGAGGTGCCGATTCGGCCAGCCCTTCAAGCTGCGGGACCACCACGGTCGAAAGCTGGGTTTCAAAAACAGAATAACTGAGGTAAGTGGCAACAGTCTTTCCCATGGTCTCATGTGCCGCGTCTATGGTAAACACGGCCTTGTCCAAATGCTCAAACTCTCCGAGGAGGAATTGCTTGACGCTGTGGTGTATCAGTCTTCCTGTGGAGTCCTCTTCATCCACTGTAACAAGTCCCCCGCAGCAAGCCAGTGCGGAAGAGATATCGTTGAGAAGCCGTGCCTGGTCCCATATAGTATTGCCCACAGCAACACTCAATGCTTCCCGGAGTTCCTCCGTAGTCAAAGGCCGGTAAGCGGCAGTGATCAGCTTTAGAGACCGGGTCTGATAGTCCTTTCCTAGCTCTCCGGATTTCTACAGAATACGGGCAAAGGTCTGTGACAGGTTCTTTGGGAGGTCTGACAGCGCTTGGCGTATGGCTTCGTCGGTCTTTGCGCCACACAAGGAACCGATTTGAAGAGCCACCCACAGAAACATGCCCTGGGCACCCTGCACGAGAGCATCCTCGATGTCAAGGGCGAGAGTGGGGTCCCCGACTGTAAGCCTTCCTGATTCAATGCACCTGCCCAGCTCGGCGTTGATAAATGCCACGATATCGGGATTCTCGTCAGGGAGCGTCATGGTGTTGTTTTTGGCCAACTGGTCTGGCCTCCATCTCAGGACGTTATCAGCCTCCAGTCTTGAAGAAACACACACAAGCAGTGTGAATGTGTTTTGCAATTCCTGGACGTCTTTGATCAAGGCCGGAATCTCATCGCCCTCACTCATCCAGCCCGTCCAGCACGAAATAGGCCTTGAAGGTAGGCGGTAGCACACGCCTTAGGATGTCAAGGGCCTTTTTAGGATCGGCGACAGAGTTTGTGCCACCTATGAGTTTTTCAGCCTGGGTGAAGTTTGGGATTGAGTTCATTAACTGGCGAGCCAAGGAACAAATGATGGTGTGCGCTTTCAAGCTGTCGGAGATTTCGTGGCGACAAAAGAAATACGCTACTGGATATTGGGAACTTTGGACGTCGAGATGGAGGTCGTCGATGATGTTGGCCATCATCACCGACTTTCCCGACCCTAGCTTCCCTCTGCATGCGAGTGTGCAAGATTCGGGTCCGGTCTTCCACTGCTGGTAGGCTGACATCCGGCTGAACGGCGTGGTAGTACCAGCCTTCCGGATCTCCTTCCACGTTGTCTGATGGTCGTAGGTGGAGCAGGCCTCGAGAACACGGAGACGCGCCTTTTGCCTCTGGCGATGTGGCTGGGACTCGGAGAACTGTATCAGAGATTTGAGGCCAGAGCTCTGCTCTTCGAAATTCCGGGCCATCAAGAGGCGCACCTCCTCTCTCATCGCATTGGCCCACTGGTCGAGGTCGGATTGGTAGCTTTTCAGGCCAGAATCGCTTGGGAATGATAGCAACTGGCCAAAAATTGACTTTTTGGACATGTCCAACAGATGGTGGCAGAAGCGAACAATGACGATGAAATATTCAGACAGCTGCGACTGGAGGTCCTTGGATCGCGGATAGAGCAGCGCTATTTGTTGATAGCGAGGAGCAGAGTAGCCGGCGACCATGAGGAAGGCAGATATTTTCTCAAGCTACGAAGATAGGTTGATGATTGACTGAACGAATTATTAGTTCCCGGGGCTAAAGAGGAAGCAAAGAAAGAGAAGAGAAAAGTAAAAAGGAAAAAGAAGACTAACAAGTAGCGTCATTCGGACGAGCGACCAAACACCGCAGGCAATGATATTCTGTGAGGCGCCGACTACGACGTCCCCGAGGGCGGCGAACTGCTGAATGGTCTGAAGGATATTTGTCAGGCGAGGGCCAAAACATCGCCCGCCACCAAGCTTGCCGGCGGTGCGGCGATCGATCTCGGCCGTGAGCCGCATCACGTCGCGGCCATCGGGGGGCGATTTGGACGACTCGGCTCTCTGGGCTCGGAGAGCAGCCTTTTGGTCGCTAGAGAGGTCCGCCTCGAAGCGCGAAACAGCCTGCGCAAGGCAGATCTCGGCCTTGAGCGGCGCGGCGTTTGCTAGTGCAGATGACATGTCGACGGCGATGGACCTTGAAAAGTTGCATCAGGGAATAGCATAGTGAAATGCACCACCCCCACTACCCCTCTTTGGCGATACGCAATGCTCCGACACCACCATGAGGCAGGCTGCGGCTGAGATGCGAGAGGCTTTGCCAAGACCCTAAACACGGTCCTAAAGGACGGGCTCGCCCGAGGTCGACCGGACATTCGCAGTCATGGTGCCACAGTAAAAAGTTGGTTAAAGAAAAGAGGAGAAACTTGGCAGATACCCTTAATTCCATGGCCTACAAAAAATGCCTGAACCAAAATGGAATGTCTGTTAGTGATATGTGCTTCGTACCTTCCTGCAGAACATAAACCCCTCACCATATTTGCAAGTGCCAGAAAACCTTGCTCGCAGAAACGAAATGCAAAAAGACCAAGCCACTAACAATTACAGGGCTTTGCACATGGTCTTTTAGCTAGTGCGAATTTGAGAGGGGGAGTTCAGCGACTCAATAAGGAAGGTGTGGAACATGCTTTTGACAGAAAAGCTTGATTTCGACCGAGACGTCTCTCGGGTGTCGGCAGGGTAACTTCCCAAGTTCCATCCAGGCCATAACGAGACAAAGTCCACAAGTCGGGAAGCTACAGCGCGTGACCGGTGCAGGGACGAAGCAAAACTTAAACACAAAACCCAAAGACGAGCAAAGTCAAAGGACGGGAAACAAAAAAAAACGGCGAAGGATAGCACAGAACTCCACAATCGCCACAACCATATTAAACCCAACCAGCGCCGCCCACCGAGAGAATCCAAACCAAGCCAGCACCTTCACGGTCCATCCTGCAGCCCACCCATTTCCACTCCAACCGTCCGCCCAGCGCCTCCAGCCTCGGCCTCGGCCTCGGGCGGCACCTCCTTGACGACGCCAGCCGTGAACAGCAGGCTCTGCGTCAGCCTTTCCCAGTCGTGGATGAGGCTAGTATTATGCAAGTTGGACATGACAGCCTCATAGCCGCGCCGCCAGACCTCGGCCTCGTACGCGCGCACCGCGCGCGCCAGCTCGGCCGGCGTGTGCGCCGCCATGGTGCGCAGGTGGCCGCGCAGCTCCGTCACGTCGGTGATGGCGTGGCCGAGGCCCTGGCCGCGGTCTGCAGACGGGATTCGTCAGCTTTTAATTTCCAGTGTTCTCTGTGATTTATTCACGTTGTGATAAAGCTCGCAAAAGGAAGCATAATTAGAAAACAAAACTCACGAAACGTCATCGGGTGCGCGGCGTCCCCGGCCAGCGTCACGCGCCCGCCCCGGCTGTCCCACGGCTGCGTCGGCCAGCAGTAGAGCGGGCCGTGCCAGATCCTAGTGCCGGGCGGGATGCTGGCGAGGGCCTCGCGGAACGGCGACGTTAGGACCTGGGCGCGCGCGCGCAGGTCGTCGAGGCGCGCAGCGTCGTCGGCCAGCTCTTTGCTATCGTTGTTGTTGTTGCCTGGCCATGTCACCACGACCATGAAGATCCACTCGGCCGGGTTGGCCGACGAGCAGTCGTGCACTGCCAAGCGAGGAAAGATACTTTCAGCCACCGAATCAAACCCCAAACTCGCCCGGAGTTAATCACTCACCGCTGAAGAAAGTGTACAGCCCGTTGCGGTTGAACGTGATACAGAACAGCGGGTTGAGGGCCCGAAGCGCCTGTGCGGCCGCGACGTCCATGGTCGTCAGCGTCGTCGACATGAGGATCGAGCTCTTGAGCAGCCGGCCGTCGGCAGGCGCTGCCGCAAACAAGACTTTCTCGCGCGTCGCGCTGTGCGCGCCGTCGGCGCCGATCACTAGGTTCGCGCTCGCCGATGCCCCGTTGGCAAAGGTCGCGCGCACGACGCCCGGCCCTGAGTCGGCGATGGATACGAGCTTCATGTTGTACTGTTTCATTTTTAGGTTACTGCCTTGTTTAGATACGTTGTTGAGACGACGTGCCATTAATTCGACTCAAAGTAAAGGAGAGGCAAGAGACACCTTCTTACCCGAACATCGATGCCATCCTCCATCAAATCCAGCCAGGCGCGCCGCCTCAGCCGCACGCAGTACGGCGCCGGCACCTTCCCGATCATCTCGCCCGTCGCGCCGTTGAACATGGAGATGGCCGAGTCGGCGGCCGGCGGGCGCGACGGGTCGGTCTGGGCCGTCGCTAGCAGCGCGTTGATCTCGGGCGGCAGGCACTCCTTGATGCCCGCCTGCGCCCAGAAGATGCCGAAGTTCCAGTCCCGGGGGCGCGCCGCGCGGTGTGCGTCCCGCTCGTAGACGGCGGCGTTGATCCCGAGCTGTGGGTTTGGTGTTAGTGTGTATATATCAAGAGTGCCGTGGAGACTGGCTCCCATGGTTGTTATACCTTTTTGAAGACGTGAGCTATCAACAAGCCCGTCGGTCCTGTACATTACGTGGCTGTTAGTCTTTGGCGGTCTGCTTTCTCCAGGGTACAAGGGCGGCCCCTTTTAATCATACCTGCGCCAGCCACTATGACTTTGAGGCCCTCACGCAACGGTTCCTCGACTAAGCCCATTGCTGTGAGTGATACTTTGAGAGTTGATGAAAGATAATAGCGATTGCAACGCAGTTGGTAGCCTTCGAACAAGTTTAGAGAGTAGAGGGTAATTAGAACATGCAGCGGTCGGGGCGGTTGCTTATAAAGGCTCTCGGAACCAACTGCAACTATCACGTTCACATGTGGCTGCTGTCGTGGAACAGCGAGGGGCGGGGAAAGGAAAGAGCTCTGATCTGGGTACCCCATCCAAAAATCGGCGTACCTCCTCGGGGGTCCTTGCCAGCTGCTGGCAGTTGAGATACTCGAGGCTTATTTTCGGCCGGTAAAATCGTGAAATATTATCCTACCGCGCATGCATTCCCAAGTGCCAGCCGGCCCAGCCGCCCGGCCGCCCGGCCGCCCGGGCCAGCAAGGTTTGAAGCCTTGAAAACGCGTTTGCCATGGTGTTTTCCATTTTGACGATTTCTTCGTTGCCGAGTGCCACAAGATAAGAGCAACTTGTAATAGCAACTCTAAGGCCCTAATTTATACAAAAATTAGCCAAAAGTCATAGCCAGCGCCCAGTTGCCTGAGTAATCCGTTAAATCCTGATTTGTTGACATGTAATACGCTTCCTTGGTGTTGAGTCCATAAATCTACCTAGCTAGCAGGAAGGCCTACAAGGCCACCTACCCTGTACAGACTTGAAGCCACCGGCATGTGAGAGTGTAAATAGTGTTATTTTTACGTTGCCTGGCCTCCTTAGCGCCCTGTATGCCGTTTGGTGGCTACCAGGAAATACGGCATATTACCATACAAAAGGCGGTCCCTGCGTTCGCAGCTGCCAATGACCCCCAGGGGGTGCGCCGATTTTTAGACGGGGTACCCAGATCAAAGCTCAAAGGAAACGCCCTCCGAGAGTGCTTGTGTCCGGGGGCGTTGAGCTACCCAGTCTAGATAAGATACAGTCGTGGGGGTGCAGCCCTCCGGAGCCAAGTGCAAATAGAGACGATCACGTATGGCTCAGCAGGGATAGCAAACCCACAGAGGCTCGACAGGCTCGGACTCGGGAAATTAAAGTTACCGAGCAAAGACGAAGTTAACAAGAAAAATGTCAGCAGCTGGCTTGTTCTTGAGGATGGATGGGCACGCTAACGCAAGCCCTCCCCAGACGGCGCCGAATCACCATTCAGCAACGACTTGACTGCAGACGCACGACTCAGCGGCGCCCGGTCTAGACCGAGACGAAGTGGTAGAGACTGCTCTCTTTCTTTTCCTGTTCACACGGTCCTACAAAGTGCTCAAATTTCTCTTGGCCGGTTTGCTGCAAGGGCTGTCTGGGGTGGGCAAACTGGTACTCACTACGTCCTCCGAATACGGATTGCGTCAGTCTGTGCCCCGCTCTTGTCACTCTCGTGAGACAAGACACCAGAGGGCATTCCACGCGAATGAATGCTGCGAGAGACAGAGACATTGCAGAGCTGTCTTCGTTTTATCTCTGCCCATGACTTGAATAGTGAAATCCGATCCCCTCATTGTACCAATTAAATAGCATCTCAAGATTCGGCCCCGGCGACCTCGCTGTCGATGCAGTTGAGAGGACAGCTGGTCTGGTAAAAGCCGCCACGCGCCATCGAGGAACGGCCAAGACTAGGTATAAGACACGCAGCACTAGATCTACGGGCAAACCGGCAAACTCGGGAAATTCGGCGGCCTCCGTCAATGCAGACAAGAGATGCGGGGCATCAAGGGACAAGAGCCGCCCTAAAACCAAACAGTAACCGCAAATCCGACAGGGTCAACCATCAGACTAAAGCCAGCTGTAGAGCATACCGCTTGGGCGGCGGTTCAAATAAGATTCGGTGCCTTGTCTAGTTCCCGTCGTTTTATCCCCTTTTGTTTGGCTTTGCCCGTCGAGAAGATGCCGGAAAAGGGCGAGTGTGGGTGGGACGGGTTGATCACTGATCACTCATCAGCCACAATGCAGACGCCAGAATGTGCAGCAGCCGGACGCCAGAATGTGCAGCAGCCGGCCGCCATGATTGGCGAGCGTTGGCAGACTTGGCTTCATTGAGCATGGCGGCTAACTGTTAGGTGCCAATCGCAGCGTGTCCCCATAGTATCACGGCCTTATCGTGTGTGAGATGATTCAGAATCCGGATCCGGAGATTGAGAGGGGCCGACAATCACTTCAAGCATCCTTTGTGGCTGCCCCTACTCTCTTCCTCCCTCTCTCTCTCTCACAACCACACGGGGAGGACCAGAAGAGAACATAGCGTGTAAAATAACAAGAATTAATCCCCACTTACCAAGCACACGATGGCCGCCACGGCGACTATAGCTACGCTCCCCGCCGAGATCATCCTCGAGCTGCCGCAGCACCTCGAGTCGATCCACGACCTGGCGGCGCTGGCGCGGACCAGCGCGCGGCTGCACAGCCTGCTCAACGCGGAGCTCTACCGGCGCGACGTGGCGTCGGGGCTGCCCGTGGCGCCGTACTGGGCCGCCGAGACGGGCCAGCTCGCCACCATCCGCCACTCGCACGCCGCCGGCGCCCGCCTGGACCGCCCGTGGTACTCGCACAGGCCGCGATACAAGTTCGACGGTGACGGCAACGGCGACGGCGACGGCGAAGGCGACGGCAGCGGCGCCGCGACATCACCCTACCGGCCTACAGTCGCAGTTCCCACCACCACGCCAGGACCCAGCACCGCGCGCAGCTTCCTCGACCTGCTAACCTCGGTCCCGTTCACGCCCGCCACGGACCTCCCGCCGTCGCTACGCTACTTCTTCTACGAGTGCTGGTGGCACGTACTCGACCTGGCCGCGTACCACGGGCACGGCGACGTGGTGCGGTTCGTCGCAGACGCGCTCGACGACGACGCGCTGGCCGCGCAGCTGCACCGGGAGGAGTCCTCGTGCGGGCTCTGCGCGCACTGCCCGCTCGAGGTCGACATCTCGGCCATCGTGGCCGCGGGTCTCGGCGGGTCCCGCGGCTTGCCGTCCACCACCCGCCGCGCTGGCGCCGGCCTGCACAGCGCCGCCACGCTCGCCACCTGCGCGGGCCACGCCGATGTCGCGGCCCTGTTGTCACCTGAGGCGCTCGGCAGGTCCGGAGAGAACTGGCGCCGCGCGCAGGAGAGGGCGGCTGATCCCGAGGGGCGCGATGCGTCGAAGGAGGAGGTCCAGAAGCGGAATCTAAGCCATGCCCCGGCGGCGTTCGCGTACAGAGACTTTGTCCTGGAGGGGTTCTAGAACGGGTGTGTGTTGCGACTTGTGCTTGTAGTTAGTCCTGTCCGGAGGACAAAATTACTGCGAAATTCTGAAAAAATTACCATGTGAAATTAATAAGACGCCTTATCGCCTTTCCAGATTGGCTTACCTATGTAGAAAAGTGGACCCGATTTCCCACATTCAATATGGGCAGCCCCTTTACGTGCCTATCTGTCATTCGGTCAGCATACTTTCCAAAATTGATGCAACCGGTATTTTTGTGTACATAACTCTACGGAAATTTTGAATCTGAAACCCGATTCGTATTATAATGGAAATTGGCTGAGATATAAGCGTTTAAATGCTTTCTGGCGTGGTGGGGCGTGCGTAAGTAGTGCTAATGCTAGGTGGGCTTGCGTACGTGACTACGCGAATTGCCCTTCAACCCCGCCTCAAAATTCCTCGCCCACCCCACAATTGCTTTTCTTTTTCAACAATTAGTCGTACCGTAGTACCTTCGACGAACCTTACAATTTACCCGCTCTTCGTAGCTAACCTCCCTTCCTCTATAGTACCGTTTTGCCTTTTATGGCCAGGTTATTCGGTATCTACGGCGGACGCGGCGGACGCGGCTACCCGCAAAGTTTACCACACCTGCGGCGTTAAGAAGGATATCGACTAATTCCGGTCGTTCCGAAGCCCTCGACGGATCGTCCTTAATTACGTGGATTGCCGTAATCGCGGCAGGTAGTAGGTAAGTCTATTAGACCTATCTTCCTTGGTTTCCTTACTAACTTCATTCCCAGAGAGCCGCGTCGAACGCAAGAGTTTCTACAGCTGCTGCCGTAACCCGCGGACAAAGTCCCGCCCTTACGCCTCGCCAGAATCTCACCTTTCGTTTGATAGGTCGGTATTCTTAACCACAGTCCAACGGCAACAGGGTGAAGACCAGGTTCTATTCCGGCAAGCTCTGAAAGAATTACGGCAGGCCAAAGTATCTATTTCGTTATAGGAGCTTCTTACGTCGAGATGTGCAATCAAACTGCCTCCGGCTCAGGTTAAGGCTTTTGATAATGCCCTCTATATCTTCCCTATCAAGGCGTAGGTCAACTAATATAACCATCAGCACCTCCTAGGCCTGCGAAAGGCGGTTTTATAGGTGGACGTAATGTTACGAATCCCTGCGGAAATGCGTGAAGGTGGGGCACTCCCTGTTTGGTGTGGACCAATCAGAGGTGTCCCATGGTCCCGAGCACTTGGGCCCGGGGACACGGGACAGCCCCGGAGGACCGGCGTCCCGGACGCGGGACCACGAGACAGTGGGACCATTGTTATTGGTCCAGTAGATAGATATATATAACAACCGTGCCCACGGTTCTAGATAGCTCTTGCTTGATCTCTCAAGCAAGCAATACACATTCACTGCACTCATACACTTTGAGTGTCACGGCATGGCCTGGACAGGCTCCTGTTTGGAGTGTGGTCCGTGCCTGACGTATCACGTGGCCCACAACTACCCATTTCTCCGCGCCCTGCGCGGTCCCCGTCATAGCTTCCTTCTTCATCTTTAGATTCTACGAATTCAGCGATGATTACTGCAGCCCTGTCTCCTTACGTTGACTGAGCCGTGATATTGAGTGGCATTCCAATTTGACTGTATTACCCGTGCGATAGGGGCTTGCCCTTTGTTCTATCTTCATAATTACCGACCCCAGGATCCTGTAGAGCCCGTGCTCCCTTACAGACAGGCGACCCTAACAGTCGAGTAGTTTGTAATACGTAAAGCACGAAGGCGTAGGCGTAGAGAGAGTCGAGTCCTCCAACGCTGGCAATCTGATTAAACGATTGCCTCTTTGTATTGGTTGCCGGGTTATACTAACGAGGAACCTCTAGGCCAACGTTAAGCTTATGAACGGTGCCCGGGGTACAATATACGACATCTCGTAGGCTAAAGGCGCTAATGTGCTGGAAGACCCACCGTAGGTTATTATGGTTACGTTTGATAACTATATCAGGCCGCCGTTCCTGTTACCTAGCGGAGAAGAGCTTCGTAATAGGGCTAAGCTGGTGGTTCCTATCCTTAGGGTTCGGCAGGAGTTTGTTCTTGGGGCTGGTACTGGCTACCGGGAGCAGTTTCCGCTGCTTGTTTGCTACGCAATCACAGTACACAAGTCACAGGGCATCACTCTCGATAAGGTGGTTTATGATATCTCCGCGCCAGAGTTCGCGTCCGGCCTATCGTACGTGGCAGTTTCCAGGGTCAAGACCTTAGATGGCCTAATACTTGAGTCGCCGTATGATCGGAGCAGGATATACCGCGAAGTGCTGGTATAGAGTATATAATTGAAGATAGCGGATTACGAGGCAAGGAAGTCACAGCTATTAGATCCATAGGAAGAGGAGGTTGACTCGAGCGATATGAGCGGGTATATAACTGATAGCTCTATTGTATAGATGTAAGATACTAAGATTTAGTTGTGTAGGTTTAGCCATCGTTATAAGAAAAGATCTCTAGAGCATCGGAGTTGTTGGCCTCCGGACAGGATATTGTCCCTTCGCTTGCTCTCCACGTTATCCAAATAAGCCAACTGTCGCGCCCTAAATTGCCTGGAGCGAGGGAGAAGGAAGCGTCCCGTAGCGCAGCGAAGGGCCACGCGACTAACGAACGAAGGGACGCCAGCAATTTTAGAGGTCTCTAGAAACTGGGTCAGATAAAGAGTTAAAATGACGAATACTTGCTGGTAATATACGAGACGAGACGAATATGGGCAGCCGCATCTCAACAGCACTGTGTTTGCTCGGTGTCAGCGCGTTCGCTACCTCACACGTCCATGTTGTTTGACTTTGCATGAATATTCCGATGACGCAGCACCGAATTAAGAAGATGACGACGGTTCTACAGAGACGGAAGTAGATAGAAACCGCTTAGCGACTATCGAAGAAAAGAAGGACAAAAAGAAAAGAAAAAAAAAGAAAAGAAAAAAAAGAGCAGAAAGCGATGTTGCGGCTGCGTCACAACCCAAAGTTGCGTGTGGAAGGACAATTCGACGAACCATAGCTGCGGCACAAACACGGAGGAGTAACCGTGTCCATGACCAGAAAAGGCAGGATTGCCGCCCTCGGGGAAGATAGCTTCCCTAACACCGCTTCCAGTCGGGTACCTTACCCCTAACCCCAGCCGCCGCTCGGATGCGACGTGTTAAGTCCGTCCGCAGATGGCTCCCGCGATTCTTCCCGAGCCATATATGTCCTCCTCAGATTAGACTAGACATGAAGGGCGTTATAGCCCAGGGCCCATCTTCGACACGTACGTAATTCCTCTCATCGCCTGTCGGCCGCCTCTCAGACAGACACGCGACACATCATGGCGGCCCCCATCACGAATCGCGCCGTGTGGCAGGATGCGGCCGGCGTCCCGGGCGTAGTCCGCGCCAGTCCTCTGCCGGGTACCGACGCGGAGCTCGGAGACCGCAAGGTGCTAGTCAAGGTGCACGCGTGGGCGGTGAATCCGTGCGACCACATGCTGCAGGACCGGGAGCTGGGCAAGTACCCGGCGATCCTGGGATGCGACGTCGCCGGCACTGTGTCTGCCGCCGCCGCCGCCGCCTCTTCACGGTTTCGCGTCGGCGACCGCGTGTTCGGCGTCGCCGCCAACAACGGCTTCCAGGACTACGTGGCGCTCGAGGACCGGCTCGCAGCGCACATACCCGGCGACATGTCGTTCCGCGACGCGGTTGTGTTCGGCCTAGCCGGCGCGACCGCCGCTATGTTCCTGTTTGGAGACGGCTACCTCGGCCTCGACTTGCCCGGGCTGGGCGCACCCAGGAAGGGGAAGTCGGTGTTGGTCTGGGGAGGCAGCTCTGCTGTCGGGGGCAACGCTGTCCAGCTAGCTGCTGCCGCAGGATATGATGTCGTCGCGACGTGCTCGAGGAAGAACTTTGACTACGTCAGGCGCCTAGGCGCCGTGCAGGTCTTTGACTACAAAGACGCCGATGTCGCCGGCAAGGTCGCCGGCGAGCTCGACAAGGGAGATTGTGCTGGCATCTTCGTGGCCGCCGGGTCCAGGGACGGCAATGTCGCCGCGTGCAGGATTGCCGCGGCGTCCAAGCAGGGGGTGGGTAAAATTATTGAGGCAACTGCCCTTCATGCAACAGCCTAAGCTGACACTTACCCTTCTACTAATCAATCAGCTCAAGCTCGCGTCGTCCGGTTTCATCGGCAACCTGGGCGATGTGCCCGCGGGGGTCGACGTGCGGCAGCCGACGGCCGCGACCTTCAAGCCATTTCCCGACGCCTGGTTCGAGACGACGCCGGCCACTTTCGAGGGATACCTGCCCGAGGCGCTGTCCAGGGGAGCCTACAAGGTCGCGCCCCCGCCCCTGGTCGTCAACAGGAGGGGTTTGGACGGGATCCAGGAGGCCGTCAACTTCATGCGCGTTGTGTCTGGGGGGGGCTTGGATGGCATCAAGGAGGCTGTTGATCGTACGAGTGAGGGCGGGAGAGGAGATGGAATATCGCCGGTCAAGCTGGTTGTCGAGCGACCTTAGGCGCGCGCGGGTGCCGAAGGGATTTTTGAGTAGACTCGTGGAGCACAGCGTTGGATTCTGTTGTCCGGCAGGGTAATTAGATGGAGAATTGGGCTCACCGCAGCTCGGGTACAAAGGGATGATGGCAAGTGTAAGTTTCCAGATTCGCCATCATATACAAACAGACTATTTTACATGCCACACACAAGCAATCTTAGTCAGGGGAGTCGGCAGGGCTGCCAGGCCTCTTATTAGATCCCCAAAGACCCCAGTTCGTGCGTGAGATGATTAAGCGCACCACGCGCAGAGTAGCACGGCCCTGGACGGGGTACGGTACTGTGGAACCAAATCCAAACCGCTCCGCCTTTTACCCGCCCTCGGAGTCTTGTCTGCTGGCCACCGTCAATCTTGCACGCCCCTCGACGCCTCCCGGAACCTGCCAGTAGAGAAGAACATCTCGTCATGACGCATTCGTTAAAGTTTAATCAAGGACGTGGCAGATCACATCATAACACAGCAGTGGTCCTCCTTGTATGTGGACTGGGGTATCACGGCACTAGGCACACCGAGTTAGTCTTGACTATGCCAAACAGCAGAGGTGCCGGCCACGTAATCAGGCAGTCTTACCGAATAACAGACTCCATAAGACCGTCCATGTTCAACCTCGTCAGGGCAGAGACGTCGACATAATACGTTGCGCCTATCTCTGTGGCGAGCTCCACTTCCTCGGCGGTATTGATGTAGTCCTGTCCTGGCCGAAGGTTGCCGAGCGTGACGATCTCTGACTTGGTGCAGACAAGGATGATGGGCACGCCTCTTACGTGATCGTAAACCTCCTGCCACCACTACAATGCCTGTTAGCTCAATGCAGCGAGCCTGGCCGTGTCTTGTTCCTGCTGACCTTGTTTTTGACGCTGTTGAAAGACTCCCGGTCGACAGCGGAGAAGCAGATCAGGACGACGTGGGCGTTCTCGTAGGTCAGACGCCGCGTATACCGAGCCTCTGGTTCGCAGGTAGTATCCCAGATGGTCATGCTGATCGGCGTCTCGTCATCGTACGTGTTCTTGACGTAGGGCCGGATCCTGCGTCGGTTAGCATCAGTCACAGTTGTTAACCGGTTCCAGGTCTCAGCGGCGTGTATGTACAATCTGGTGTATATGCCCTCGGCTGGGAAACGCCCCGTGGCAAAGGTTCTCGCCAGTGACGTCTTCCCTACACCCTTGTCGCCTACAACGACCACCTGCTAAGTCGTGAGCATGAATGGGGTGGTGTTTGACGAGGGAGCGCCGATTCACCTTCAAGTGTGTCGCTCCCGCCCAAGCCTGTTCCTCGAACTCTTTTTCATCTTCCACTTCGTGGGCCGCCGCCGACCCATCGACGACCGTCGCTCCAGCTTCCAGGCCAAAGTTATAGTTATTGGTGATTTGAACGCCCGTCGATGTCCCCGTCATGGTCGATGACAGGCACAAAATTGATTACCGAAAAAGGAATCGAAGGGGCACAAAATTAGGCAGGAGAAAAGAAACGGCCAGGCAAGAAAAGAACAGAGAAATAAAAGACTCGCGACACACAAAACTCTCTCTGGGACATCATATAAAAAGATTAAAGAAGGCACTCTGGGACGCCATATAAAAAGATTAAAGAAGGCAAACAACAAGCGCGCACAACCCAGACACAATGACACACACACACACACACACCAAACAATGCGCATTGCCACACTGGACGGTAAGCGCCAGGCGGCTACGCAAACCCACGCTCATTGGCACGCGCGGTAGCGCCAGGCTGGAGGAGCTGGACTGCAGCCCCCTTCCCAGCAGATTGTGAAACAAGGCGAATGGGGCGCCATTGGTCTGAATGGTTGCCGCCGGCAAAGCTACGTGCGGCGTAGTCCTTTTTCTTATTCGGGCGTGGGATTTTATTTCGATTGGCGAGCGACGCTGAGAGGGGGAAATTCGAATTTGCGGCTGCCGTACCCGGGAGATTATGTCTAGCGCTGCAGCCGTTGACTGGGCGGCGGCTAATGCGTCAGTCAACTGGCCAGTGGTGCGGTTAGATGGCCGACCTGCTGGCCGCCTGGAACTTTGCGACACGGGTCGGTTGGCAGAGCAGTTGGCGACGACGATGCTGTCAACTGCGTGGAGGACTGAGCCGTTGACGGCGCGTTGTATGCAAAGACCTTGGCCGTCGGGCTGTCGGACTGGAAGCAACAGTCTGTCACGACTGCCTCTGGAAGCCTTGTCAGCCCCAGTCGGCCTGGCAGGATGGTTGGCAGGCTTGTCACGGACCGCTGCGGGTAGGGCAGACGGCTCCAGAGGTCAGGAGTGCAGCTGTTGCCTGTTCGTGGCAGCTGTGATCGGTCCTTCGGACCACTTCGCCTATGATTCCATGATTCCAGAGGTACAGCGCCTTTCCGTATGCTTGGTCAAGTTTCTTGTGACCACTTCTTGTGGCCCATAGCCTGCCTGCGCCGGTCAGTTCGGCGTCAAACAACTTGTGGGAAATGGAGCAGAAATCCTATAGAGATGTGTCAAATTTCCCCAGACGGATCTCACCCGTTCCAAATCACCGTCTTCAACAGCCATGCCTGCTTTGAATCTTCATTCTCCATTAACTTCGCTTTCTCCATAATTATATATAAGTTTGACCTTTTACATTGTGAACAACAGCTCGTTTTCGGCACGCCACACCGTGCCACCCGCTGGATCCAGTCGAGGACGGATCTTAGCACGCACCAGTACGACCTCATCATTCGCGTTAAACGAGACGCTAAGGTCCAGACCACCAGGGAAGCCATTAGAGCATGCCATTGCACGTGGTGCGAAGGGTAATTGCGATTGCCCACTACTGTGCACCTGCACATGTGGTCGGTGCCACGCCCAGTGCGCGACACCAGGTTGTACTAAGCCGACCTCACGTAGCCCTCTGAGATGTTTTGCTCTCCTTGCCAAGCCACCAGATCGGCAAAGACTTGCGTGACCGAGAACTGTGGGAAGCCCTCAGGTTATAATGCGCACCGGCAAGCGCGAAAGGGGCCGCACGAAGGCCTATTACTAATTACCTTTCCCGTCGATAACGGCTTCGGCAGGAAACTACCGCGATGCGAGCACGCCGTAACGGCCGTGCCGTTTGATGGCGCTATGAGTGCGTAGCTTGTCGTCTGGAGCGTACTGCCCCCAGGTAAGTTATAATCCTCCCCGCCACCCCGGCAATAGGTATTGCATGGCGCAGGCTTCTAACCCCCCATACTGGATTCGAGACGAGTGCGAAGACATCATTGAGAAGTACCATGATGCTCCATCCACAGATCCATTGAAACCCAAACACGGTCAAAATGGACCCGGACTCACAAAGATAACTTCATCGGCACTCAGGCCCTCCTAGACGCCCTCGCTGAGAGATCCGAACCCGAAGATTCAGGATATAGCGGTTCTGGTGGCTCGATTCGATGGACGCAAGGCACGGTAGAGCCATGTACAATACAATCTTGCTCGGCTGGTTATAATGATGAGATCGGAATTCCAAAGAGTGACATGACGTATTTCCTTTTGAACCCTGTCATTTGGGATCGAGCTTTTTGCTCCACAAACTGGCCCTGTGAAACTTTGCTTCGTGTAATTTTAAAATTGGACATGATGCGTCTTAATTCTGCAAGACGGTCTGGGGGACTCTGAACGACTGTTCATTTTAAGGGCCCACGTCTTAGTTAAATCATGGATAAGAATGGAAGAGTTAGAGATATCATGACTTAGGAATGGCGCGGAAATTTCTCTCTTGATGATCACAGAGCCATGCTGTCGTGTGTAATAAAGCAGCTCTTGAGAACATTGTGGCCCAAGGACGGCAATTATTGCAGCTCTTAACGGTCGCCCGTTGGTCTGGGACTGGCGGCTCCACTTGCGCCTTCCAGAATTTCTGTCGGGTTTTTACTTTAGCGGACGACGGGCTTGTTCTCTGGCTAGTCTTGGTTCCTTGACCAGTCTTGGTTCCCTGACCAGTCTTGGTTCCCTGACCAATCTTGGCTCCCTGACCAGTCTTGGTTCCCTGACCAGTCTTGGTACCATCTCGGATCATTCTCTACCGCCCCTTCCTTTTTCGGCTGTCCTGGTACGCTGAAAGCCCAGCCCGCGCAAGTCGGCAAACGCTCCTTCCTCTTCTAAGATCAAGGGATTTGGACCCACCCAGCTTCCAATCCTTTCGGCAGGTACTACTGTCGTTGTCATAACTGAATTGGGTGCCTTGGCCAATGCCTGAAGGAATGGGACTGGGCTTTAGTTGGGGAACATCTTTCCCCGGCTGATTCCGTCCACTCTATTTGCTATCCTTTTCATCCACACCCTGGACTTCCTTGATTGGTTTTTGTGGTTTGCCAAACAGTTACGAACAGAGCAGATCGTCAAATTAATCTGCAACTGCCACACGCTCTTCGCCGTTCTCGACCTGCAAACACCAGACTCAACCCCCAAGGAGAGGCAATCGGTACCTGAAACTGCTCGGTCTTCTTGTTGGTCGCTTGGATGTTTCACTAATCTGATAGAGTTGCCACAGCATCGACTGACCTTGCCATTTCGCAACATCCGGCTTCAATCTGTCGTTGAGTACGAGCGATCACCGCCGAGCACAAAAATTCGGCTTTCCTAACCTCGCCCCGAAAGTTTCGGGCCGAAACTCTCCAAACATGCCACCCTTGGCCCTCGAAAGTCGATCCGTTGTTGAATGGCAGAGCTAGATTGGCAGATTAACGGCGGACGATGAGCTCAGCGATCTAATTACAACATCCATCCTCCCAACAAGGAGAGGAAATGGGCGGGCATCCTCTGCCACAGCGTGCGGTCGCCAAACGTCTCTTCCTCGATATGCGCTTGGCGCAGTGAACGCTGCTTGTGGACTTTGGATTTGCTGGCAGCAACAGCACGGCCTCTTCCGAATATCACGGAGTACGAACCTTGCGTGGACCATGCCCTCCATTTGCTGGCGGGCAAGGCAGGGCCTCACGTCGATGCATCTCTTGGGAATTGCCAGATTCAGCACGACGGCACCCGTTCAGAACTCTCCCATCTCTTTTCATGCTCAAAACATCGAGTTACCCCATTTGCGGGACATCATGGTGGAATGTCTCATCACCGCGGGGTGTCGTGACTCGTTGATGGCAACTTTGTCTTTTCTCAAAGATTGTTTTAAAATCGTGCGCCATTTCCTCCCAAATCCCCCGTTCCGATGCTCAACAAGAGAGAAAATAACGCCACGCCACGCTTGAGAGCCCGGAAATGCCGCTCCTTTGGGTCTGGTGACCTCGCTCTTCTCCAGACCTCGGGCGTGGTTGCACCCACACCCCCCCACGCACTAACCCGCGACTTCACTCAGAAGGATCCGGACTCTGCCACCCCACATTTTCCTGCACAGGAGCGGGTGCTCCGGGGGCCATAACGGACCCTCAAAAGTCGGTCAACCTGATCTTACTTACCGCAGTTTGCTGCTCGGTCCAAGATCCAATGTTTGTGCGAAGTTGCCACATCAACCTGGCTGACTCCGAGACTCCATCCCTCGAGCATCGGAGTGCAATACCTCGGAGGAGGACCCAGAGTATCGGCAAGCATGCCGATCCACAATAAACGCTGTTTCTTAGCAGGCACTTGAGTAGTTGATATTGCCGACCTGCCCGATTCTGCCGGTTGCCAAGGCTCCAGGGTTGGCGTCGCCCCCCCGTATACGTGTCTGGCCTACATGCATGCAGGATGGGGTGACATATTGCTCCATGCGGGGTCCACCGTTTTGTCGTGGCGTGCAAACCTCGCTGGATTGAGGATCATGAAATTTGAGATACGAACCTAGCCCGTATCCACTGCTATACGGGAGAGGCAACCAATTCGCCCCTTTATCGGAGTTCGAGCACGAGGAACCAAAGAATGGCCAAGTTTCAGGTACATGTTTGAGCAATCAACAAGTGTTCGCTTGCACCTGTTGGAACTAAAACATGGCGGGTTCGATGGCAGTTATGTAGCCTACAATATTCAATGGTTAGTGACCGTTAACTCTTGCCCTTGGCCTGGAGACTGACAACACCCACCAAGACCACAACGCTGATGTGATACTTGTGTCACCGAGTCCCGAGTTACTCGGTTCTCGCCGAGTGAGACGAGAGCCGCCCCTTGGGATGTCAGTCGGACCAATAAAGATCCTGTCCTAGGATATATCGCCTTGCAAGGACTGCCCAAAGAAATCAGGAAAGAGTATCGACAGTCGCATTCTAAGGAACGATCCTACTTTCCACGGGGACGTGTTGCGCTCTTAAACAATGCAAGGTGCCTCGCAAGCAGAGCCATCCCGGATATCAGTATTGGCCGCTCAAGCAAGGGTCTTGCTTGCCTAAACCCTAGCGTACCAACTTTTCACTTGCTTATCACACAGCTAGTGGCCAAGTGTGGCAAAACATCGAATAAACAAGCACGATTGTTAACGATGGGAGAGACCCGGGCTGATAGGTGGGATTATTGTTACGGTTACGCCGGGAACTCTGGGCTGATTTTGCCGGACCCCTCTTCCGCCTCTGGAGCCGAATTTTGAGAACTTTTCTCAGAAACCGATGCTTAACATTACTGGTCCGGGTCGTGCGTGATGAGCAGCTTTGCGCTCACGAGATCACGTTTCTCGCCCGCTGTCAAGCACCGCCACCGCCAAAAAGAGATAGGTTGATGGGTTCTGGTGCACGGCCAGCCTTTCGGTAATCCAAAATAGCATCAGCGGCCCGACGAGGTCTGTGACAAGACCACTGGGAGGCATCCCAAATCAGATGACCTATTCATGTTCGAGGAGCGGACAAGGAGCCCATTATCGGCACATTGCATGGAACATCTCCCAACCGACGTCGTGCAATAGAGGTACGTTCTTTTGTGGTGTGTCTCACGACATGAAAAGGATATAGCCTGAGCGGGAAGGGGTAAAGCGATTGTTTCGTCTTCGGTCGAGGCAACCCAGTTAGCCCTCCGCCTTCTCCGCCTCCCGTCACACACCGACCTTTGTGCGCGATTTCCTCCCTTTACTCGGCTCTGGCCTCTGCCCCTTTCGGCTCAAGCTCTTCTCAGTTCTGGCTTCGTTCCAGACGGCACGGATAATGTGGACTCCATTACTCGGCAATCCTCCCGAGTCTAAACCTCATGAAAACCTGCGTCCTAGCCACTAATGTCGAATCTGTTAGTCAGGTGATGTGGTCTGGGATCGGTTCGAGGCATGCCATGGCCGTGCTCGAGATCTTGTGACCCAGCCGGGCGGTTGCTTTTTGCGATAGGTCGATGCGCTGTGTCATTAGCGTAAGTACTTCCCGGCCACCCCCAAGCAAGTCCCCAACCGCGAGCATCAAACCCTCCTCCCCTCCCCGGGACTCCACTGGCGGAGCAACCTATCGAACGCCAAGAGGGCTTATGTGGGGAAGTAATGGCGGGTGTGTGCCGGTGTCGCTCCAACCGTTCGGATCGGCGGCGGTGCTGTGGGGTGACAATGACCGTGCCTGGACCGGTCGAACCCCTTTTACCGTGTCACCACACACCTTAATACCCGCCCGAATAGCAGCTCGTACATACGGAAACAGCCTCTAGCCACGGAGAGTCTGTCGGCACCTCGAAAGGGAAACCCTTTGGCCTCAGGCTCGGCAGGAGGCCTCGTCGATTGCTGGGGACTCGGCAAGAAAGCGGTACAGCCAGGCTTTACTCATGTCGGTGCAGATTACCTGCATGTTCTCCAAATTTAGACATGCCGGCTGTCGCAAGCGAGGAGCAAGTAGTGATGTCATTGCATGGCTGAAAAACCCGGATTATTCTACCGCGTTTCATTTGGAAAGGCCGTTCAATCTCGACACCTCGAGAGGAGGGGCCGCGGTTGATCGAACAATATATCTGGCGATCTGGGGAATTCCATGGAATCTTGGCCCGGCTTCTCCGCCTTTTCTTCACTGGGTCTAGTGCGCTCCGGCAGGAGGAGCTCGGGGCCTTTCGATGCTGACCGAGTTGCAGTGGCTGTCTGGGCGTCTAGGCTGCATTTTCCCACAATCATCTGACCACAGGACGAGCTAAAAACGGACAGGGGCATTTGGCATTTCAACGTTCTGCTGACAGGCAAAAAAAAAACAAAAAACAGGGAGAAAACCCAATTAATTGCCCCGGGAAAAGAGCAAAAAAAAAAAAAAAAAAAAAAAAAAACCTCCATGAGGGCCACATCTGAGCGCATTGAAAGGATGCCTCAACGTGGGCAGGCCCGAAGCGATTTGTTTGGAAATGCTTCGATTTGCTGGCCCCCCGCGTGGGCAAAGCGTGGGGGCTCGGGCTCAGCACCAGCACCAGCACCAGTAGCAGCAGCCCCAACTCAAAATGGGCAAGCCCCATGAATAAGCTGTCAGGAAGGGCTGGCTGGCGGAGGCCACATTTTGCATCCGCAGGGAGAGCTACCAGCGTCGAATTAATATGGCAATTGTTCGGCGGTTCCACAATTGAACGTCCGAGACGGGGCGTCCCTCAACAGCCCAGCAGCGCCCGCCGCCAGCGTCAGCACTCGCCTGGACACCCGGCACACCCTCTGCCCGTCTTCGTGTTCTAATTAGTCTCAGGGTGGCTGGGCCACTATGACTAGTATTACATTTGCCAGCCACTGCCAGCCGGGCGCACAGCACCGCACAGCACCGCACAGCACCGCAAAGCACCGCACAGCGCCAGCCGCACACAGTGCTTTCTTGGTTCCGGCCGGGGCGGGCATTCCTTGATCCGTGTCAGACTGTGCGGCCAAGATCTGCTAGATCCCGTGCTTGTGCCAAGTGAAGGAGCGGTGAGTTATTTTATGCAACTAATTCTCCCGGTCAAGCCCCTGCAGGCGCGGAAATGTTGGGACGGGATATGGTCAGCTGAGTCGGGCGTGGGCGACCTCGCCCCCTGGGCCACGGCCCACGGGCCATGACGTTGGCTGTCTGCCTCGCCCTGCTGCGAATTCGCAATCACGATTCCCAATTTCCAGTTGACCCAAAACCCATCGACCCGGGACCCAGCTGCCCTCGAAGCACATCCCCCCCAAAAGTCTCCCGCTGTCCGCCAGCCCCTTCCCCCATGCCCTTGACCTAAGAGGTTTCGGGTTTCCTTTTCCTTTACTTTCTTTTTCTTTCCTTCTTTTTTTTAAAGAAAAAAATAAAAAAAGAAAAGAAAAGAAAAGAAGAAAAAAAAAACCTCAAAATAAAAGAGACACCGTTTAAGAATAAAAATAAAAACACGTCTTTCCCAGCCCGTCTTTTCTCGCAGCCGCTGGCCCTGACACTGCCGTCCGTCTCTGCCTACGTCCGCGCCAACTGAACCCACTGCAGCACCACCACCCGCTACAAGCCGCCCTACCCTACGCAAACACAACACACCTCCAAGCTGGATCCGCCGCGAGCAGTACTACATTCAAGATGCGGAAAGAAGCGACCATGTTGCGGCCCACGCACAATGGGGACCGTTATGAGCTGACCAGTCCGACCGTGATGCCCAAAGCCGCGGGCTTCCTGTGGAACCAGCAGATGATGATCCAGATCACCTGCCGCGGCTTCGCAACAGCGCAATTCATGCAGCCCGAGCCGGCAAAGTACGCCCACGCGCCCAACATCGAGGCCAAGACGTTCATGCAGCCCGAGCAGAACTACTACGCCCACCACCCCGGCCGGTTCGTCTATATCAAGGATGAGGAGACGGGTCAGTTGTTCTCGGCGCCCTACGAGCCCGTCCGCTCGCAGGCCGACCGTTATGTCTTCTCGGTGGGCAAGAGTGACGTCGCGTGGGCGGTGGAGCAGAACGGCCTCCGCGTCGAGATGGTCATGGGCCTGCCGACGCACGACGTCGCCGAGCTGTGGACCATCAAGTTGACCAACCTGTCGGGCCGTCCGCGCCGGGTCAGTGTGACGCCGTACTTCCCCATCGGATTCATGTCGTGGATGAACCAGTCGGCCGAGTGGAGCGAGGACCTCGTCGGCGTCGTCGCCAGCAGCGTCACGCCGTACCAGAAAGCGTCCGAGTACTTCAAGAACAAGTACATCAAGGATAAGACGTACTTCATCTGCGAGACGCGGCCCGACTCGTGGGAGGCCAACCAGCAGACGTTTGAGGGCGAGGGCGGGCTTCACAACCCGTCGGGCCTGCAGCAGCCCGGCCTGAGCTGCGGAGATGCGCGCTATGAGACCCCCACGGCTGCTGTGCAGTACCGCCTTTCGCTCAATGCCGGTGACGAGCGTGAGTACCGCTTCATGTTTGGTCCCGCCTACGACGAGGCCGAGGTCCGCTCCATGCGTGACCGCTACCTGAGCAAGGCCGCTTTTGCCCGCACTGCTGCCGAGTACGCCGCGTACCAGGACCGCGGGCGCGGCTGCCTGCGCATCGAGACGCCCGACAAGGACCTGGACAACTTCGTCAACAACTGGCTCCCGCGCCAGGTGTACTACCACGGAGATGTCAACCGCCTGACCACGGACCCGCAGACGCGTAACTACCTGCAGGACAACATGGGCATGAACTACATCAAGCCAGATGTTGCCCGCCGCGCGTTCCTGACTGCCGTCGCCCAGCAGGAGGCTAATGGCTCCATGCCGGACGGCATCTTGCTGTCCGAGGGCGCCGAGCTCAAGTACATCAACCAGATCCCCCACACTGATCACTGCGTGTGGCTGCCCGTGACTCTCGATGTCTATCTCGCCGAGACGGGCGACTATGGCCTGCTCAAGGAGCGTGTCCGCACCCCCAATGGTGACTCTTTCACCGTCTTTGAACGCTTCAGCCGGGCCATGGACTGGTTGCTCCGGGCGCGCGACGACCGTGGCCTCAGCTACATTGCCCAGGGTGATTGGTGCGATCCCATGAACATGGTTGGCTACAAGGGCCGCGGTGTGTCGGGGTGGCTGACGCTTGCGACTGCATATGCTCTGAACCTGTGGTCCACCGTCTGCGAAAAGGAAGGCCGGCCCGACCTTGCCAAGATCTACAGCGCCGGTGCCCAAGAGTGCAACGATGCTGTCAACGAGCACTTGTGGGACGGGGATTGGTTTGCCCGTGGCATCACTGATGACGACGTCGTCTTTGGCATCAAGAAGGACCCCGAGGGCCGCATCTGGCTCAACCCCCAGACGTGGGCCATGCTCAGCGGCGCGGCGAGCTCGGCGCAAATCGAGAAGATGCTGCCGCAGGTCGACTCGCAGCTCAGCACGCCGTATGGCGTTCTCATGTTTGCCCCGCCCTACACCAAGATGCGCGAAGACGTCGGGCGCGTGACGCAAAAGGCCATCGGCTCGGCTGAGAACGGTGCCGTCTACAACCATGCCGGCGTCTTCTACATCTACAGCCTGTATGAGCTCGGCGGCCAGCAGGACAGGGCGTACACGCTACTGCGCCAGCTGCTGCCCGGGCCCAGCGATGCCGACTACCGCCAGCGCGGACAACTGCCCATCTACATCCCCAACTACTACCGTGGTGCGTGGAAGGAGTTCCCGCGCACGGCCGGGCGGTCCAGCCAGCTGTTCAACACGGGCACCGTCTCGTGGGCGTACCGCTGCTTCGTCGAGGGCCTCTGCGGCCTGCGCGGCGACCCAGAGGGTCTCGTCATCAACCCGCAGCTGCCGAGCTCGTGGAGCGCCATCAAGGTCACGCGCCTATTCCGCGGCGCCACGTTCCAGCTCGACATTCGGCGCGCTGACGTGGCCCAAGTCACTGTCAAGCACGGCAACCGGATCCTGCCCGAGGCACGCGTCACGAACATCAAGGAGGGCGAGACCTACCAGCTCTCCGTGCTGGTGCCCGAGTAGTGTCGCCCGCGCTGGCACTTTCAGGTGTACTGGTTGGTTGTTTGGATGGGGCCCCTTGCAAGCATTGGTTTAACCCTTTCTCACCCCCTCGCGCGCGCATGCCGGTTCTTTCGGAGCAGAAAGGGAACACCCAAACTGTTGTCTCACATTCATTCCCTCGAGAGAGGAGAAATTTTTAAAAGATGACCCGGACCTTTATTTCCTTGTGTCGGATATGGATGGCCTGATGGGTTTGGGTTTTGCGGATTTAATTTTCCTTGATGTCTCCTTTTTTACGCTCCTCTACACAAACACACGAACACATCCGCACCTTTTGGACACATCTTTGGGACATGGAGGGCACTCGCGCACAACTGGATCATTGGGGGTTCCCGGCCGGCTACTTCTTTTATAGACAACCGAACAGTACACCTTCATAAGGTGGTTTTAATTTCGATCTTTTATATCTCTTTTTAACGGCAGTCAGTCGTTGGGTCGGCGGTCAAAGGCGGTCGTCGGTCAACGGCCGACATGGCAGGATCTTTCTCATCAGCAATAACATTTAAAGCAGCAACTACAGCATCGGCATCGGCAACAGCATCTTTTAAAGACATGGCAACGCGGTGAATTAATTTCGCCGTGCCCGGAGGTTAAAATTGGAGAGAGAACGTTTAAAGCATCAACTCGGGTGTTTTTCGTTTTTTAAATTTTTATTTTCTACTTTCCATCATCATTTTAACACGTTTATATAACTCTGGCGGCTGCTTGTCAATTACTTTTAGTTGTTATAGCTTTTTATTGCATCGTTTCACCCATGCTGCCTTTTATTTTGGCACGCTTCCGGCCACACGGGGCTTTGGTAATTATTTCTAACAGGATATAACAAAAATATTATGTCTTTTTTTTGCCTCGTTGCCTTCCGCTTCGCCCTCCTAATACTTTTCTTGTATGTGATTGACAGATTGAATGGCGTGCGAAATTGGGGCCGTGTAACGCGATTGTGATGGGGTACGGAACGAAAAACGGGGAGGCGGCGACGTCAATCGAGAAGTGCGCGTGTTTGCATCCCCAACAAGGACGAAATGGGGATGGATGCAAGCCACAAATTTTTGGGACGGTCTCAGAGAGGGTGTGTGTATGCGTGTGCATCGCTTCGCTTCGCGCCGCGATGATGCTATATTGCGACCCTATAGTGCGCGATGACCTTTGAAGTATTGAATGTACATGTCTGTCGCCGGAAGGAACGGGCCTGCCTGCATACTGCTGGGGCAAAAATAAATATCGCTATCTCGACTCTATTCGTAAGCGATTTGTTTTTGTTTTGTTCCGTCGCTGGCTCCTCCACTCCCCAAAAAATGTCCTTGGTCTGGCTGCCCCTTTTCCCCGGCTGTTTGCTGCCCTGGTTTGCATGAATGCACCGAATGAGCAGCTGGGGTTAGGGTTGGGGATGGAAGAAGCGCTGGCACTAAAAACTGCCCACTGTGTCTAGTGCCCGCAAAATAAATTCAGAGGTTGTGACGGGGCGCGGCGTGGGATTAATTACCATACGCGTTTCCAAACCCAAAATGCCAAACGTCGGTCTGACCAACGCCAACGCCCAACCAACAACGACGAGCGAGCCCGCTGCGGAAGGCACTACGATAATAATCATAGGTATCTTCGGTACCTAATAATCAGCCCGGTGGCCAGCCCTCCCTTTTCTTGTTGTTGCGCCGCACGCACAGCAAAACGAACTCGCACTGGCCTGGCGCTGGGTTGGCTCCCGTCGGAAAGGTGCGACGCGCAGGTGGCGGGCCGGGCCCAAGCGTGAAACAATCATTTTCCTCTCTTGTACGGATTACGAGTACATGTTCCTTTCATTCCTCTCGCTACTTTAACGTCTGTGTGCGCCCAGGTAGATCTTGTTTGCCCGGCAGCAACAGACGAGAGTGGGTGCATTGATGAAGTCGGCGGCGCAATCGCGGCGCTGTTGCGGCAAGTTTTCTCTCTCGTGTTAGAGATTGCCAATTGGAAATTAAAGAAATGGAAGGTAATGGCGATCGAGACCCCCAAATGTCGTCGCCAATCGCGTCCCCTCGATTCGACTCGTGATGGGGCTTAGGCACTGTGCTGTACAGTACGGTACGGGAAGCCATCTATTTTTGCGGATGCGGGCCATCCTGCCTCTCCCGCAGCTGGGCTTATCGCGCCCCCTCCCCTTATCTCCCCCTTTTCTGCTTTTGGGTTTTGTTCTTTTATTCTTTCGGAGATCTTCAGCCGTTCCATTCCATACTCTTACAGAATCGAACAGGTACAGTACGTACCTACATGCGATTGCTATCTTGATCGGATGCAGCAGCAGCGGCCGCGGCCGCGGCAAGCGGCAGCGGGGCAGGCAATTTGACGTTCCCGACGGTTGCTGCACACGCCCGCCGCGCAAAGAGGCCTGGAAATGGCCACTGCGAGATCGGACCTTGCCCGAAACATCGACTCCCCGCGATTGCCAACCCCCCAACGACTTGACGGAATAGGCATGTTGTTTGTTCATCATGTCCCCTCTTCCGCTCGGTACAATCTTAGCCCGGGACGTGCCATAGCTGCTATTGAGTACTGTCCGGTTAGGTACCTTAGGTACGGATACTCGCACCCCCAAAACGACTCGAAAGAGGATGGCAGATTCCCAATTTGAGCTCATCCCAACATTTGCGAGCACTGTGCATGCCCGGTGTTGGTCAGACCACGAAAGGAAGCACCCGACGCCCAATTGGAGGGCCTCTGCCGTCCCGTGCAGCGACGCCAGGCTGTGATATGTTTCCATTCACATCTCACACAGGCTCGCTGGATTCTTCTCAGTCTAATCACGGTGCACCGACCCAGAAGGGAACATGAACATGGAGGGACCCTACACCTACCTGGCGGCCTCCCTCTTCTTCTCCCCCAATTTCCACTTTTATTTTCATTCTGCGCTTTTCCAGAGCAGTCTTCTCCGGCTAAGGAACACGAGAGGGTTACACTACCGAGAGAAGGAACATGTCGTGTCGCTGGCCCGTTGCGCACGGAGGATTGCTTATTTTAGGCCTTCCCCACCTCCTGTTCACCGCACCTGGAGCGACAGGGCAGGCAGAAGGCTGGGCGTGCGCGACACTGGACAGTGTCCCGTCAGCATCGAGTCGCACCGCACCGTGTCCACCACACCGCCCAAACGACCTTCCCCCTCCCCCGCCCCAACAACCGCCGCGCACGCCCAGTGTTCCGGCTTCCATGGCGTCTTCCATCGCTTCTTCCGTCTAAGCGACCCTTGACCCTGACCCTGACAAAACACTTGACGACGAAGCTGTCGGGCTGTGTTGTTTTTGGCGGGGATCTCGCGGATAATTACCATAGCTACCGACGGGAGTAATTAGTCTTTAGTCTTTATCAGAGCGGTAAGCACAATCCGTTTCGTCTCTCGGGCTGGTCGCCGACGATTGGCCTGCATCAAATGCCAATGTAATTGCTTACCTAGCCAGGTACCTATGCAATACACGAGGCAATTACATCCAAGCCGGATATGGTATTCCCCCTCTCAGCAATGTCCCTCGGCTCTCCCTCCGGCAGAGGTCCACGGCCATCAGCGCATCTCGCGCTTCTCAAAGGACTCAAACAAGACCACGTCGACGGCCAAAGTACCTAAGTAAGGTAGCCGGTTTATCCGCAGACTCCCCCTCGAGACAGAACTCAGCGGCTGTTATGATCCGTCTGCCCCTGTGTCACGGTGTCTCGGGCAAAACGTCGTCGTCAGCAGGCACCGCCGTGTAATCATCCGGTAGTGCGTCGGCCGGAGGTTCCTGCGAGGCAGCGTAGCGTGGTCAGCTCTGTCTCGCCAGCGTCGACCATCCCGTTGGGATGGGCTCCCTCGTCTCCCTGACTCCCTCTGTCTCCCTCTGTCTCCCTCTATCTCCCTCTGTCTCCCTCTATCTCAACTCACCTGCCGCGCCTCGGCCCACTTGCGGACGTCGTCGTAGTTCTTGCACCTGTGCCGCGTGTTAAAGTCAGGGAACGCGCCTAGCTGCTCCTTGCTGCCGTACCACACCTAGCCCAGCACAGCCGTTTCGACGTGACACATCAAGACCTGCCGGATGGTGTCAAGGCAGTGCGCTATTTTATTTCAGGAGGCGCGTCAACCTCGTCAGCGGTTCTGTTCTCAAGACGGTTCTGCCCATCGTGCCACTCACACCTCTCCCTCTGTCCGTGCACAACGAGAGGGAGGCCTTCATGTCGTGGCCGACGAGTGTGGGTGTGAGCACATTTTAACAGGAAGCCAGAGAAATATACGTACAGACATGCAGCTGGACAATGTGGTTGCCGTTCGCAAACGCGTGCCGTCCGAGCGCCTTATAGTAGTCGTAGTTGTAGAACAGGGCCTTGCGGACGAGATTCTGTTATGCCCGTCAAGTTAGCATCTCGTGGACACAACGGCGGCAGCAAAGAAGGACAAGACAAAACAATGCCGGTAAAATTGCATGGCATAGCCTCGTGGTTACTCACCAGACAGTTCAGGTGATGCAGACCCTCGACGTTGACGAAAAAGCCGCCGCCGTACTTGTCCGCCCGTTGCACATGCGCCGGCGTGGGCCCGCTCCGGAGCCCCTCGTCCCGCGCGATAAGTCCCGGCCGGTCTGTGAACAGGGAGCCCGGCGGTACGCATGTCAGCTAGTCAGGTCTTGTTACATGCAGTAGGAGTGCGAGGCGCTATGTTCGATAGAGGCTGGCTTACAGTTCACCCCCAGCGCGTCCCACGCCGCGTCCACTGCCGCCGACCCCGGCAGCCGGTAGACGTTCTCCTTGAGGAACGACCCGTTGAAGTCGCGGTAGCCGTACTTGATGCCGACGTCGTTCAGAATGGGTGCTGTTGTGCCACTGCGTCAGGACGAACACGCGTGTTTACAGAATAGGGGGAGGGCTGATAATGAGTGACGGAAAACGCAAATATGGAACGGAGAACATAGCACCAGACCTACAGTACTGAGAAGTATGCGCGCCGCACACGGCATCCAGCCCGCCGCCGCCTGCCTCCCAGCTCCACCGGCCGATGGCCGCGCCGGCGAGCGCGCTGAGTAGGTTCGCGGCTAGCAGTCACCAGAGACGGCGGCGGCCGCGCTGCCGGCCGTTGTTGTTGCGCTTGCCCTGTCCTGGAAGCTGATCCTTCTGCTGTTGGTCTTGGTGTTGCAGCTGCTAATGCTAGTCCCACTACAGCGACGAGAGCATGTCTTCTTCTTCTTCCTCTCCCTCCTCGTCGTCTTCCTCTATCGACGGCAAGTCTCGCCCCGCAAACAATTTGCTGTTGCCGGGCGGCGACCCGGCCTCCATGTTGCCTGTGCTGGGGGGCAGAGCCTGGTAGGGGCAGCCGTGGTCTGCGCCCCCAGGACCGGATCGTGTGGCCGGTGAGAAGGTGTTGTTTGTCCATGTTAGTGGTGGTGGTGGTGGGTGTCCGTGACGCGGGCTAAGATGGACAACGGGAGCTTTTGCGCGGATTTTCAAAGTAAAAGAAAGAATAAAATCTAGACGTCTATCCGTTAGAACCAGGAACTCTTGGTCTTGGTAGACTCAGGGCTGCTGGTAATGGGAGTTTGCCTCATGGCTGGTAATTAGTCTAGAGCCAGGTAAGTACATGACGGTCTGCAAACGAATAATTAGTCCCCAACCTGCAGTCTTTTCCCATGGTACCCTAGCACGGATTCCGTTTCAAGCACCACGCTCTCTCGCTTCCGTAACCTTCGTAGCCGTCCCTGGCAGTAACCGATTCCCTTCTCATTTCTCAGGCAAACTTCCAGTAGCCGGCCGAGGTCTCCACGAAGGGGACTTCCCGCTTGTGGCCGACCGACCAACATGGCAGCGAGCAGGCACCCTCTTAAATACCAACAAACTGACCGGCCGCGGTCTAATAATGCTGCGGTATGCAACACAAACTTGGGGGTGGCGCGGTACTTGCCGCAAACCTGGGACCTCCTCCAGAAAAGTAAAAATGACATCACCGGCATTCCAGCCAGAGGAGTCTCATTCCATTCCTTGGAGGAGACAGCCAGACCCACCGCTCCCTTCCTTTATTTTTTTTTCCGTGCTCTGCCGGGGAATTTCTCGGCCCCTTTCAGCGAAAATATGTGCAAAAGAAAAGCCTCTGAGGGAGGAGGGGGAGGGGGAGGGTGGAGGTTCTTCAGTGTAATTAGAAGTAAAATAAAAGATCAAAAAAAGAAATGAACATACAACTAGTTTCAGATGCTTGGATAGGTGTGTCTGGCTTCATTTTTTTGTCTTCTCCACCTTCTTCAATGGCTGGTTCCCCTTCGGAATCTGGCTAGGTACCCAGGTTCCAGTCTCGTCTCTGTTTCTCTGTCTCTCTTTACGGTATGATCTTTTCCCAGGAATCCCGGCTCAGGAACTTCCTAGGGATTGAATTCTGCCGAGCGATTGTTTCGCCCCAGAACGTTCCTGGCCCAGAATCGCGCCAAAAATCTGTTTTCCGGAAAACTAGCCACAAGCAATGGCAATCCAATAGAAATGGCCTGTTGGCGCCAGAAAAACCCAGAATTTGCTTGGACCTATTCGGGTCCAGAAAAGCCCAGAATCCGTACAATCTAGGGCACACGTACGTAAACACGTGCCCCTGAGGGGTATTCGACTGTTGAATGCAACACCAAAATACCACATCGCCAGTTGACTACCCTGACTGCCCGTACTGCCCTGACTGCTCGCACTGCCCTGACTGCCCGCCCTGCTTGTTGACAATACGATGCCCTACAACGCCCTCTAAAGTGCGTCACGAAGGAGGCTGCAACGCATGAGACGCCTGCGGCTATGTGTATTGCTTGTCCTCGCCCTGGCCATGCCTCGGAACCCCTACATGCCGGTAAATCTCGATATACTGGAGGGTCACTTTGTCACGCATGACCTGCTTCACGGCCATGCAGAGCGATTATTCGGTCTTATTCGTATTCGAGTGTCTACCTTCTTCGCTTTGGTTACCTGGTTGAGGCATAACACAACCCTGCGGGCCTCGCGGCACGTAGGTCTTGAAGAAAAGGTCCTCATTTTCCTGGTGGGGGTATCACAAGGTATTACCCGCCGCTTAACCGGTTGCCTGGTTGGCCATAGCTTGAGCACTATTCACAGGTTAGTTACCCGCTTAGCAAAGTGACCTCTAAGGGACCTTACTTACCTAGGAAAAGGGTCTTCCACGAGGTACTTTCCATTACCCTTGTTCTTGCGAGCCGAAAGATCAGACTACCCGAGCCAACAACACCACGGAAAATCGAGTCCAACCCAATCTACTACCCATACTTTTCCAACTGCCTAGGCGCGATCGACGGCACACAGCTCGATGTAAGGGTTACATACGAAGACCAACAGGCTTGGAGAAATAGAAAGGGCTCTCTCTCGACCAACGTGCTAGTCGCATGTGACTTCGAAGACCGCATTGTATATATAATGCCCGGGTGGGAGGGCTCTACGAATGACGGTCGTGTGTTTACGAATGCCCTTGTTCGCGGGATTATTCTTCCGAATGGCTGCTATTACCTCGCCGACGCAGGTTATGATAGTAGTCAAAAACTCTTTGTGCCTTATCGTGGCGTCCGGTACCACCTTCAGGAGAGTGCCCGGGCAGGCCTACGCCCTGCGAATTATGGGGAGCTTTGGAATCTACGTCATAGTCAGTTGAGGGTGACAGTAGAGAGGGTAATGGGGCGGCTAAAGCGAACCTTTCGAATCCATACGCAGAAGCCTGTCTTCTAGGTTGATGTATAGGTCAAGATCATATATGCCATGGTCGCCCTACTTAACTGACTGCTGGGGTATGGGGACTTCGATGACGAAGACTGGGCCGATTGGGAGCCCGAAAACAATGAACAGGATGACCCCGGCGAGAACGTATTTGACAAGAGCGAACTAGCCGGCAGTGCCGACGGCGCGATGAGCCTACTTCGTGACAGGATCGTTCGGGAGATGTAGGTGGATTACTATATATATCTTGTTGAGCGCGGTGAAGCCTAGTAAAATAGATAGCCAGAAACACTACATTTCACCAGATATATCATCTTCAACATCCACACCCTCGATGCCCTTGGAAATATGACCTAGATGAACAAAATATATCTCCCGGGCTTCCTTCTTTACTAAACAAAAGCGCTTCGCCTTCATTTCCGAATCTTCCCACTGTCGTTGAGCTTTTTCGGCCACCTCAGGAGAAAGCAGTGCATACCAGTCTTCGTTGAAGATTTTCATTGCCTTTTCTAGCCACTCGCCGGTAACAGGCTCTTGCGCAAAGGTTGACGTGAGAGTCTGTATACTTTCAAGCAATATATCGCCCTGACTCTTTCTTTTCTTCCTTTTCGGGCCTGATGAGGATGAGGACCGCTTCTGACCGTTACGTACATGTGCAGTACAGGGAGTTCCTCGTCGTCGTCGTCAGAGATCACCAACAACGTAGGGTCTACAGGGACCCTATTAGCAGTTAACAGTTGCCCAAGCGTTAGAGCTGCATGTCCGTTGGCCCTGCGATCGTCTCGGAAGACCTGCTCCATTAGTTCACGATGCGGGAGAGTCCTATACCGGAATTGGTAGACTTCTTTATTTTCCTATAGATCGATGATTAGTTGTTTCCCTTCCTACCTAGGAAGGAAATGACTAACCTTGATGAGGGCATCCCAGACACCGTCTGGCGCAGTATGTAGGCCGGTTACCGGTCGAACCCGAAGCCCGAATTTTCCACCAAAACCATCCACGCCCGCCACTTCTTGAAGTATTCGACCTTACTGGCGACCTGCTCAGCCGAAAGGCGAAGCCCCGGTGTAGCTGCTTGAAGCCCAATAACAACTTGTTTATATACCTGCTTCTTATAACCACCCTGTCCCTTTATCCCGGTATCCCCGGCACAGCGTAACACGTCAAGGAGTAGCTTCTCCTGTGCATCGGACCATTGGTATGGAGCTTCCTTCGACGGTTCCTTCGGCGCCTTCTTCTTCAGGGCTTTTCGCTTGGTAGGCACCGGAGCCGGGGAAGGAGCCAGGGAAGGAGCCGAGGAAGGAGCTATCGAGGGAGCTGTCGAGGGAGCTGTCGAGGGAGCCGGAGCCGGTGAGGGAGCAAGAGCCGGGCGATGCGGGGGGGCCGGAGGTATGCGGGCCACGAAGGCTTCGTCTGCCAGGTTCAGGAAGATAACATCCTCAAAGTCAGGTACGGTTGGAACTGTATTTGCAGCCATTTTCTTAGCAAGGCCGTTCCAATCCTCCTTGGAGGAAACCAGAGATTCTCCAGGGCAGAGCATACTTACCAGTATTTGAGCTCGCTAGGAAGACCAAAAACACCAACCACTTCTTCGTGACAACGGCGGGCATACCGTCTCCCTTACATTATCATCATCGCTAGGGATAATAATCGAAGATAACGAAAGGGACATTCGTAGTATAAAATACACCAAGATTGGCCTCTAGCCGTATCTCCAAGACACTAGCGTGATACCCCCGCGCGTAAGAGAGGGGGTTCGGCGCGGATTAACAGCATTCCGGCGATAGCTTCCCTTTTTCTAGCTTTGGGTAAAAAGATCAACAAGTCAGAAAGTCGCTCAGAAAGTCGGTCTGGAAAGGAACGGCCGAATCCCCACATCAGGGCGGAATTAGCCGTTCTGAAGGGTCCGTGCTGTTTTCCAGAAAACCAATTCTGGGGTTAGCATTCTGGGCCCCGATTCTGCGAAAAAGTCATACCTACGGCATACTATAGGGCCAAGTCAGCCAAGACCAAGATTGAGACAGCATTTTACTATTTTGACCCCAGGGGGGTCACGCTTTGTCATTTATCGTACTCGCTTGTTCACCACATTACAACAATCATAATAGACCCCCCTCATACTGCACACCTATTCTGCTACATTCCATTGACCTGTTACCTTATTAGTTATTGTACGCGCACCCTGCTGCCTCTGCATTGACCCTACTGTCTTGATTTTCAACTATTAATAGTCTACCCTGCTATACGAGTTGTTAACCTGCTGAATATATATTAATACTACGTACGTGTTATTACTTAACGTTATAGTAAAAGAATTTAAATATTACGACCTATATAACTAAATTAAATTAACGTAGTTGTCACGGCAGGTGCCGTGGTGGTGTCAATGACGTAGCGCTGGAGCGTGGTCCGCACCATACCTAGATCCCCGCAACACCTTCCTTCTCCTTCCTTAGCTTTAGATTCCACAATACATGTTACGGTTATACTGCGTGTTATGCCAGTCGAATCCTCTCCTTCGTGACAGTAATTGTTTTCCTTACTAACGTACGACTACCTAGGGCGGGTAAGTACTATGAGCATATAAATGCTGTGAATCTCTAGATAGCCGTATAAAATCCGTGAAAGACGGTTATACAAGTATAACACCGGCCCGCAGGTGAAAGCCGGGCTGCTTGTACGCCAAAGAAACAGGTCCGGGAACGCCGCAATTTGCCCTAGGTATCTTACCGTCTATATAAATGCCCCATTATTGAGAAATGCGCTATATAAACACCAAGTACGGACTAATGGAAAGGTGTATACGACCCGTACACCCGAGTACCAAACGAGCATCTAGCGAACTTGACGCGAGAGCTCAGTATTAATCTCTACACGAAGTTGTTTTAACTCCCAGCTGTTGAGGAACTCCAGGGGAACGATGCAAGTACGACAGTGTTCGACTATATCATCGCTATCCTCATCCTTCACGTCATTATCGTCATAGGTCGATTTGCGAGCGGTAGAAGTCGTTCGCTGCTTCTTCTGACTCGTTTTCTTTTAACGAAAGGGTCATCCTCGACTGGCTCAAGCGCGGTCGTTTCTTAGTACTGCTAATACTAGGCAGGCCCTTTGTGTCCTTATCTTTGTGGCCGGGTACAAATGAGCAAGTCGCCGCGCGGGATGAGTATTGGCAGTTAGAACAACCGCTATTGAAGTGCGAGGGTCTAAAACGAATGCAATTCGCGAAAGGACTAACGTACGTCACTGTGTTACGAGCCACCCTGCGTGGCGAGCCAAATGCTAGGTACTTTGACTTTAGAGCAATCTCAGCTTTGCATTTCTGTTTAAAGCTGATCGGCTGTTTCGTTCTGCCACCCTTGACCGCCTTACCCCGCAACTCAGACTTCGATGCCCCTCAATCATACTCCCAATGTGCAAAGCAGCAACACACATTCAAACTAAACATACTCTCTGCTAATCGACATTTTATCTTTTCCGGTGGAACGAATGAACAATTTCGCGATATTTCCTCGTTTTCGTTGGTCAATGGTAAGGACATCAAGTTCGAGGGATCTTGTCAAGCAATTAGGGTACTGGGAGAGAAGTTTGGAAGCGAGGGGTTTCGGTGGCAGCGGGCATTATTTTTTCCGTGCTAGCAGTGGGGCGGGATCTAGCCGAATTCAAGGGCGGTGAAATGTGGCAGAAACGAACGTTGTTTTGATGCCTGAGGCAGCAATTGAGGGGTAGGTTGGAACTATACCGGAGGAACCCCCTGAAATGGCCCTGCTAGCGCACGTTATGCTCTGACGATCCAGCGCCACCCGCAGCATCGGCGATTGAACGCATGACCCTTTGCACTTTCCCCGAAGTCGCACAAAGCTGTAAGATTCTTGCAGTGTCAACCTCAGTTTCGACGAAACGAGGACTCGAGAATTCAAAATGGATGGGTTCAAGAGCCCTTGGACCTAAGAGTGGATGGATCTAAAAATAGACAGGTCCAGAAATGGAGCCCCGTTCAGGGTCTGGCTCATTCCCACCACCCAGACCGCGACTTGGGCTCCCGCACTCGCTTCATTTCCCTTCGCTCGTATTTCCACTCCTTATCACCACAATAGATCAACGTCACTATGGACAAAGCTACCCAGGTACTGGCGCGAGGAGCTCCCCCTGGCGTGACTAAATCATTCTGTACCCTAGCAGATCATGGCGATGTCCCTCGCACCACCCTCCAGCACCGTGCACGCGGACGACGGTCGATCGAAGAGAAGGCTCAAAGCCAACGTTATCTCAAACCGTGGGAGGAAAAAGCCCTCGTTAAGTTCTTGGTACAACAGGATACTCTTGGGCGTTCCGTTCGAATAAAATATATCGGGTCGATAGCCTTCAGTCTTGCCCAGCGGCGCCAGCCGCCTGACAGACCAAACAAGCCACCCGGAAGGAACTGGCCTCAGTTCTTCTACAAACGCCATCCAGAACTCAAAGCGAGTAAGAGTGTGGCCCTGGACTGGAACCGCTACGACATTTACAATAAGGTTGTGCACTGGTTCGAGGTGATTGGAAAGCTACTCCATGATCCTGCCGTGCTTCAAGAGAATGTGTATAATATGGACGAGACTGGAGTCATGCTTTCCAAGCTCAACTCTGTCAAAGTCATAGTGGGAAAGGATAGCAAGCGAAGCTACAGAGGTGCGCGTGTCAAGCGCACGACGGTGACTGCCATCGAATGCGTGAGTGCCGACGGTAGGTATCTGAACCCTATGATAATCGGGCCAGCAGCAACCCACCGAGCCAACTGGACCACGCACCCCACTCCTGGATGGCATTATACGTACTCTGATAGTGGATACGCCGACTCATTCATCAGTTTACAGTGGCTTAAGCTTGTGTTTGACCCCCAAACTAGAGAACTGGCTAACCAGAAACCACGTGTACTGATATGCGACGGCTTCGGGACACACGAAACCCTGGAGATCTTGGAGTTCTGTTTCGAAAACAACATCACCTTGTGTCGCATTCCTTCCCACACCTCCCACAAGCTCCAGCCCTGTGACATCTCGGTTTTTGGCCCACTAAAGGCAGCATATCGTGACCAGGTCGAACAACTAGAGCGAGGAGGTGTAGGAACAGTCGGCAAGGAGCATTTTATCTATTTGTACAGTCCTGCCAGGGAAAGAGCACTCACGTCCAGGAACATACGAGCCGGATGGGCCAAAGCGGGTTTGTTCCCCTTCAACCCAGACAGGGTACTCAGTGATACACCGAAGCCCCCTGCTGAACTAGCCGTTCCGAAAATCAACGAGATGGATTCCTGTGCGCAAGACCACGTACCGCAAACGCCCCTGACGCCAGTGTCAGCAGAAGCCGTTACGTCGCTACATAATCTGATTAAACAGGATGCTCATATGCTTGATGAGACGAGCAGACAGGGCCTTGAGAGGCATGTACAGAAGCTTACAAACGCTGCCCAACTTTCCTTTGCTGAGCGTGCTCTCCTTCAGGAACACAACCAATTCTTGTTCCAAATAAACAACGAGGCCAAAGTTCGCCGTTCGACCAAGCCGGAAATACTAGGGACCGCGAGAGTGATGAGCTATGAGGACCTCGAGAAGGCGCGAGCCGATCGTGCTACGAAAGAGATCGCGAAAGAAGCTAAGAAGGCTGCGAGAGACGCTAAAAAGGCTGCAGAGGAGGCTAAGAAAGTAGCTATACTTGAGGCTAAGAAAACTAGCGCGGGCAAGGTAAAACGTGGCTAGAAGCGCAAGAGTCCTGCGGAGATATACGCGCCGGAACCAAAGGCCAGGTTGGCACAGATGAACGCAATACCGATTGCGGAGGACGAAACTGCGCCAACACCATGGATGGCCCTAGTGGCACAGATGTAATAATAGAGGCAGGCTCGCGAAGAGGCCGGCCAATTACGAGATGGAAGTTTTCTTTGTCAAACTAGAAAGAACTCCAATACATACAGTACGTTGAACTCAGTCAGCCGCCCTTCTCCAGAAGTCGCTATCATCGTCAATGTCGTAATCATCGTAGCTATCATCATCGCCATAGTCATCATCATAATCATCATCAAAGTCACTTAAATTCCTACTCCAGTCCTCCTCTTCCACATTTTCTGTTGTGCTGATTGTCCATCCATGACTCTTCATTCTCCCTCTGATATGATCACTCGGGGCCTCTTCATACACCTCAACAACGATCTCTTGTAGCGATGAAATTGCTCTAAAGTGATTATCGACCAGCTTTAACACCTCATTACTGACTGTGTTATGTTCCAAGTTGTCAAGCCTAGACTCCATGGCACTTGTGCTGTATAGGGACGTCGTAAGCGTGCTCAAGTTGGTGCACCGGTTCCAAATGTTTGCGAGGATGTCGACGCTGTCCTCCTCGAGAGTGATATCACCAGGGTCTAGATAGAGGAACTCTGGGAAGTCGATGAGGATATGTCGAATATAGCCTGCATTTCTGCTACCAATTTGGTCAAGGAATGAAGCTATTTCCTCGGGGGTGGTCCTGATGAAACTGAATCGATTCTGGCCGTAAAATAGCGGGCTGGCTTCGCCGTGGATGAACTTGTTCGCTCGAAGCAGCCCAGGCGCAAACTTCTGTTGTCGACCGTATTCTGCCCAAGGAACGATAGGCTCGTGGTGCAGTAGTATCAGCTCATATATCCCGTTTCGAAGTTCGCTGGGTAGGGTGAGGAAGCTGGCTGGTGTGTCAGCGACCATGGACTGTTGATTCTACATTAGCTGGGAAAATCAATTAGGGCTTGATGTGTCTCCCTGACGCTTTTTCGATCAGCCATTGAATAGCATTTTCTAAGGCTGCCCAGTACAGTATTGAGTTCGCATCCTCCTGCGATCGAGGCCAAGTGATATTCGGACGCGGGGTTGGAGGATGAAAGATGTGGGCCTCATTTCTGCGATTCTGCGAGGATCTTCGACCTTCTGCCTGCCGAACAGCCGGGTTACGGCGGAATATTGTTCCGACTGCCATTCCAAGCACGACATCATAAGCAAATTGCAGGGTAAGGAAACCTTTAACTGCGATCAAGGACCCCATTGCTTAGTGGATAATGGCGGAAATCACCGTAGGCTGCTGTTGACTGTTGCAAATGTAAAGCCCATGTCCCAGATCACGAATGGGCAGTCCTGGGGACGTAGAGGGGATTTGAAAGGACAAGCTACGTATTTACTAAGCATTGGTGTGGCTGTATGCCAAGGCCGATCGGCGTTAAGGAATCAGTATGACGTCATTTTCTTTGCAAGGTACCTTTCAGCTTGGCGCCACTATGTAAATCAGCTACACAAAACACCCACAGTAAAAGATAATTTTATAGCATAATAAAGCAGTGTTCAGGAAGTCAGATACCACTGACTTTGAAATAACGGAAGTCGTGAGAACTTGGTGGTGGAGCTGTGATGGCAGGAGCCTGTTTTGCCATAAAAGAAGGCTCTCAGCAGACCAGGCATCAAAAAAGCAATATTGACAAAAATATCAATTAAAGGATTTCTCGGGGATCTAAGATAACCCAACCATAGGATTGATACAGAATTTAATCATATACGATATAAATGCGGCGCTGAGATTCCACTAAAGTCAGAGTACCTAGGATTTGGCTCGTTACACAGGGTGGCTCGTGACACAGTGAGGTACGTTAGTACTCTTATTGCTGGCGTTGTGATGCACTGAAGGTGCCTCTGGAATGAAGAAGTGGGAGAAAGATGATTCTGCTAAGGTAAGGTTGTGGTGCGTACACCTAGGTAAGCTAAATGGTGGACCCACATGTGTGCTTATGTAATCATAACATCTGCTTATGGAAGCATAACAGGCGTAGTGATTACACGGGCCACGGTAGCGACGTTAGAAACGAATGTTACAATCTGGACAACAGGGTCCACGGAGCTAGGCCCGGCCTACGATTGTGGGGTCTGGAACGGCAGGTAGGAGATGCTAGGAGGCAAGGAGTATCGTGGACAGATTGCGAAAGACAAGCTTTCAACACACAACCAAAGTATGCTTAACCATATGCATTGATAGCTGCCGAACCGTTCTCCCAGAGAGCGTACTGCCAGCTCCTATATGGAACTATGAACAACCAATCAGAGCCCTTGTCTTGCAGGTGCTCAGTACTTCATCCGGTGCTCAATCGATCCGAGCACTCAAAGGCGTACTGAGCGCCCCGCTCAATACGCTCACCTTGGTCTTGGCGGACCGAGCGGACTGAGCACCTCCTGCAGACTTGTGCCAGGATCGTAACACTAGAAGTAACCGACGCCGATGGCGAGACGGGGTTAATAGGTCCGGGGCTTATTGGAAAGCTCGCTGGACGACGGATGTAGGTGAATATACGATGAGTACGAATGGGAGAGCTACTTGCGTCGCCTTGGCCGGTGGCGTCCTTATATGTGGCGCCGTCGTTGAGGTCGTTATTTGGCTTATTCGAAGCAAAGGGGATCGTAGTGGAGAGTTTATCGAGCTTACAAGAGACGTCATCGTTGGCATCGTCGCTATAGTTATATGTTGCACGCGATCGAAGTTGACAGCGCATTGAATTGTCTGCTCAATAGGTCTAAAAGTACAGAAAAGAACGCTTCTTTATACTCGTAGAGAGAAGGCAAGGGAGGCGTTGTAATCAGCCCGAAAGAGGGCATTCCGAATGAAATGAGGAAATTCCGAGTCAAGAATGAAGGAAATAACAAAGAATGAAGGAAGCTCAGAGGCATATCAACCAGGGCCTGTCCAATTCCATGAAAAGTGGGTCAATTCCAGACGACATTATACGAAGAGCCACCGTCGACGCCGCAGGCCACGGTATTATTGCCACCAGGGGGCGCAAAGGCAAAGGTAGCTTCCGTAAAGCCGCTGTGATCGTCAACGTTGACGGGGGCAGTCGTATTCTCGAGTACTGCCTTATTACCCGCTGACTCCTCAGGGCCCGGGGTGGGAGGGTTGGGTTGTGTTTGCTACCCTTCTTTCCCATCATTACACAAGCGAACGATGTTGTACTCTTCTCTGCTAGGTAAGGTTCTTTACTAGGTAAGGTCGAGGTCCTAAGTACAATACCAAAGTAGTTAGTATAAATCAATTATACGGGCCTGTAGAAATAAGAAAATGAGTAAATAGGGATGTCGGCCAAGTTAGAAAGGTTCGGCGAAAAGCCACCTCTCGGGAGGGAATAACGCGCTCAATTCCGGGTTGTAAGTGAAGGCAGGTAAGCCTGATTAAGGTGGTCACAATGAAGGTACTGAAGAGGGCGAGCAATGACTGGTATTGTTGTAAGACTTCAACCTGGCCCTCGCAACGGAAGAGGCGAGGGCCACTGTTTATATACATGCTTAGGGCCTCGGTCCCGGGTGTGCTTGTGAAGGCAGGGCGCCCTGCGTTGGCTTAGTGGCTTATGCCAGCCGGCAGCAGTCTGACCCGTTGGTGCTAGGTGGTGGGCGCGCGCAAGGGTGCGCGCGTTGACAGTTGCTTGGGGTGCTCTTTCCCTACATCACAACAGAGTGTACGTCAAGGTGGTTAACAAAGAGTGATAATTCAAACAGGTTGTAGAGAGTCATTGTACGAGGCAACGGCAAAATGTACGTAGGGTAATTCGGTGAGGGCATAAGAGGTATCGACCACAATGGTTATTACATTGTACCCTGTTTGATGCAAGGCGTAATGTGCTGTCTTTACGCAGTAAAACCAAAATGTCATTGTACGGCCGGGGTAGACCTTTATACCGGTTTTTGGTTTTGGCCGCCTTGGCCCTATAGGATGCCGTAATACCTTGTCATTCTTTGTTTCTCCTTTCTATTGATTGCACCTGGACTAGCCTAGTTAAGGTACGTTGTTGCTTCCAACACTAGAAAATGCCTTATTTACTGATACGCTCAATGGTGCGCTTATGGTGATCCTGTTTAGTTACCCCCAAAGCCATTGCGCGGCGACAGGGTAATCAATTAGATAATTAGCTATTTTGTGCTGCTCTATCTATCGTGCTCGCCGTGTTGCCGTTTTCGTGGCGGCTTTTGTGGTGTCACGTCGGTCTGGTTGCTCGCCCATCTAGAATATGGCTGGGCCCGAGAGCAGCTTCTGGGACAGTGTTAGAGCTGCTGGGGATATGGAACTTGTATATTTTGCCTATGGTGACGGTTGCGGTGGTGGTGGCGCTGCGGCTGATGGCCAGCTACTAGGTTGCAGCCACCTTGTCGCGGTGTCTACGGTAGGGTAGGTACCTACCTTTGCGAATGCCGTCGCTAATTAGGTAGGCCATGGGCCAATGCAAGTCTTAGCTCAAGGAAAGGAAGCGCGTACGTGAGGAACACTGGTAATTATATTAATTACATACCAAGTGCATATTCCGAGGGTACGAGCCCGGCCGCTGGTTTCCAAATCCGCCGGCCTGGCATTGGCGTTGGGTAGGAGATGCGCTGGATAGAATGCCCGGGATACCCAACTACCCACTCGGTCAAGTGCTAGATCCTTCGACATGCAAGAATACGTTGTTGGTCTTCTGGCCGTCCCCTTTCCTACGGCAGCACACGGCCTTCAAGGCTTCCCTCACCCCGGCTACCACACCACTCCCGCCGCAAACAGATATTCCGAGGCGGCCACAGGTTGAGTCCATGATATGGTCGAGATACTGGTCTAGGTCCGGCCGTCCCTTGATGCGAAAAAAATAGCCAGCGGATGATTCATCCTTGGCGCCATTATGATGCGGGTCGAGTATAGCCATGTCTTGCTCTTCGTCCGACGGTGAATCGAGGCTCTGCGTCAAGAGCGACCTAATATCCGACTCGGCCGAGCTTCGAAGGAGCCCCCCCGGTTCGTCGATTTGCGGAGTCGGGTATTCGCCGTCGTCCAGTGCATCGGCTTGAGCGAGCAGCGGCTCGTATCTGTCCATGTGACTGTGCGCATCATCGGATCCGGCCGCATCCGGCGACGCGGCGGCATGTTCTGGACGTGCGCCGCCCGTCACCGCAATGGTGACGTCGACAACTATACCGGATGCCGTGAAGTCTTGCATTAGCTGACGCAGCCGGCGGACGTAAAAGTCAAGCTCAGCCCTTTCTCGAGCTAGCATGAGAATGTGGAGGCGACGGACTGCTGGCGGCGCTTTGGAGCCGAGGGGCGCCAGAGACTGCACAATGGGCAAGGTGAAGGAGGCCCCCGTAGATGCAGATATGCAGACGACGGTTTCGAAGCGCTCGAACCCGGGAGGTCTTCCAAACGGCCCGGATACAAAGAGCCTGAGCCGTTGCGGCTGCCCCCCTCCTCCGCCGCCGCCTGGCTCACTAGCTCGTGCATGTCGATTCATGCTCTCGGTGAAGCTGCCTTTGGTGCGCATCATAAGCACGATGCGGCGGCAGGACCCGGCGGCTCCTGGGCCCGGAGAGGAGCTGCTGGCGATGGTGAAGGGGTGTGTGGACTGCCACCAGAACATGGGCGCCCAGATGGACACATACTGTCCCGGGGCCCAGTCAAAATGGACACCGTTGACCTCGAGCACGGACAGGCCATGGCCGATGGCAACGACGTTTGCCTCGTATCCGAGACTATGAGTGTGCCGGCCATTGCAGCACGGCGGGCGCCTGAGGTGGAGGTTTCGATAGGCAAACTGGAGCCAGGACGTGGCGGAGTCCGCGGCGGAGGCGGCGAAAGCGCAGTAGGCGTAGAATCTGTGGCCCCGCGGTAGATGGCAGTACAGGAGAGAGACAAAGGCTAGGGAGGAGGCTCGGTGCTGCAGCACAAAAAAGCCAAAGAAACGGCGCCTCAGCGGGAGGAGAGAGCTCAAGGCCGTCCAGACCAAGACTGCCCCCGCAGCAAAGCCGTACTTGACCCGGGGCATGATGCGCAGCTCGGTCCAGAAGAAGTCACTCGCAACCCACTCGGCGACAAACAGGATCCCGTGGGCCGCGGACCACAGGCAAACAGTTCTCGCCACGCAGTGGTGCACCCAGTTGACGCGGCGGTCCGACACGCCGGCCGCAAAGGCCGCCACGTTCGGCCGTGAAGCGAGCACCAAGACGAGCGGGACCTGGGCGAGGGCGACCCAGCCGGCGCGGAAGGCTAAGGCCTCAACCGTGGCCGCGCCGTGCCCGGGGTCGACGGAGCGGAACAGGGTCAGGAAAAGACAAAACCCCCAGTACGCCAGGACGGCCAGGCACTTATGCTGCTGCTGCTGCCGCAGCCCTCCCAACCATGTGTGAAACCCGTGCCGCCCCGAGGTGATAGGTCGCCGTTGTCGTTGTCGTCGGCTGCGGCTGGGAGGAGGGAGTAAGCGACGGTCCAAGGGTATGTATGGCGGGGGGAGCACAAGTAGCTAACTATATAGTACTGCCTGACAATCTATTACACCTACGCACACGCACACGCACACGCACACGCAACCAGACAGAGACAGAGACACAGACACACACAGAGGCCGATAATTATCTGGTGAACATACTTGATATGATGGGGCCACCACGGCCACCTCGCTCTCCAAAACCTCCACAGTAAGGCGGGTGCGAGCAGGGCGGCGACAGGAATCCAAAATGCCGCGGCCAATAACCGGTGATCGGCGGCGCGAAAAGGCGATGGCGGCGGTGGACTCGGACTGCCGCCGCCGCCGTCGTCGTCGGCCACCATGTCTCGCGCGCGCGCGCGGCGCTGCTGGCCGGCCGGGGGGGAGGGGCAAGGCCTGGATAAAGTAATTAGGTACTGTACCTACGTCCTAATTATAATACCTTGCGTATGCGTCCGGACTGCCGACTTGTTGTTAGCGGGGGATGTTAATTATTACTTTGACAATGTGTGTGGCGTGTAATTATGTGCGTCATAAAGACAAGTAGGCTGGTAGGGTGGCCATGGAGGTACCCTACCTTTAGTAATTAGGTGAAGAAGGGGCCGGGTTAAAAAGGAGTCGAAAAAGAGCTCGGCCGGGTACGAACAAGCACGACCACAGAGTCTCGGGAAGGCAGGCAGGCAGGCAGGTAGGCAGGCGTGTAGGAAGGAGGCGTGTAGGAATGGAGGAGTGTAGGCGTGTAGGAATGGAGAAGTGTAGGCGTGGGGAGAGAGCAAAGGATTGATCAAGTACATATAGGCGGCTTGGCAATTTAAAAGATCGGAGGTCGTAATGTGCTCAAATAGCCTCTCATGCCTGTCGTCTTTGAGTCCTCTCCCTCTCCACTCCCACCTAAAGAAAAAGGAAATGAAACTGAAAAGGAAAATGAAAAGGAAAAGAAAAAGGAAAAGGAAAAAGAAAAAAAAAGAAGGAAAAAAACGAAAGAAAAACGCCCCCCACCAAATCGATATTTCCATCCGCGCAAAATTCCCCGTCCAAGTCGGCTTACAAAACAGCTCGCATGATACTTGACATGCCAGCTCAGCCTTAATCCCACATTTAAATACCCAAGGTAGGTAGGTTGTTCGTGGTATTCCGGAATGGTTTGTAGTAGTACTACTGTGGGGGGGGGGTAATGGTTTTCATTGATTGTCTACAGAAGTAATCAAGGTTTCTGAGGGGCTGGTTTTGGTGAATCGGCGCGCAGGCCCTCGTGCGCTCACGTACCACGTGAGCCGGCACGTGCCTGGCGCTACCTCCTGTCGGAAGGAGCCGCATCTGAGCCACAAGTGGGCGCAGGTGGCGCACATGCTAGACCACTTACAGCCTAGGCTGTGTCAACCGAATGCCGCATAAATACGGTATCTAGGCTATGCCCACCTTTCTTTATACAAGCACTCTTTTGCCCTCAATTAATGCAGCGTTGTATGTGACACCTCCCTCCTGCAACAAAAGTACGGTCATGAATGCCGCTGTTCCAACATAGGTAAATACTCCCAAGTCAAGTCAAATCAAATCCCCTGCCCAAACAAACACCCCCCTCCCCCCCTCCCCCCCGCAGACCCAAGACCAGCCGACAAACCATAGCTAGCCGCTGCCGCCGCCGGCTTTGACATGAAATCACACGCCGATGGGGCCGGCGAGCAGCAGCGACAGCAGCCCTAGAGCAGCAGCAGCAGCGACAACACGGCCGGCGACGGTGGCGCTGGCGCTGGCGCTGGCGCTGGCCGTGACGACGGGCAGCTTGGACGAGGTTGTCGTGGTGGTGGCATTGCCGCTGGCAGCAGCAGCAGAGGAAACGATGCTCGTCGTCGCCGTCGTCGTCGTCGCCGCCGCCGACGACGACGACGTGTGCACGTGTGAGTGGGAGTGGCCGTCCGAGGGCACGCTCGACGATGCTTTGAAAGAAGTTGCCGGAGCCGAGGTGGCGGTAGCGGCGGCGGCGGTGGTGCTGGTGGTGAACGAGGCAGCAGCAGGTGCGCTCGTGGAGCTGCTCTTGGACGGCGTGGGGCCAGCGGCCGGGATCATGGGGCCAATGCTGACGCCGGACGACGTGGTGCAGTCGCCCGGGACAGCATCGGGCCCGCCGGTAACGAACTTGATGGCTGCGCACTAATTATCAAGAAACCACCCTCCCGACGTGGCTGGTTAGCAAGCAAGCAAGCAAGCAGTGATGAGACATAGGCCGGCCCTTGCTTGGCGTTGTTGTTATTGTTGCTTGGCCACCGAACCGAGAGAGGAAAAAGGGGCTTGCCTGGTATAGGTCGCCGTCGGGCCCATGCTGGATGACCTGCAGCACGGCGTCCTGATCGGCCCAGGCTGCGAAGCCCGGGACCTTGGCGAAGCACACGTTGCCCACGCCCTTCTGGGCAAAGGTCTGCACCAGAGGCAGCCAGGTGGTGGGGGCGCTGAGCAGGGCGACGTTGAGCTCCCACGTGACCGACGTGTGGGTGGAGAGGACGCCGACGTTGCCGCCGTTGACGCTCCACCCCGAGACGCCCTTGGACCGGTCGGTCGGGTCGAAGGAGCCGCACGGCCCCGTGGCCTCGAGCTCGTCGTCAAAGCCCAGGCTCGTGGGAATCTGCAGCACGAAGTGCGCACTCGCGCTCACGGCTAGGCCGAGCAGAGCCAGGCTGGAGAGCATGGCGGCGCAGCTGTCTTGGTTGTGCGTGCGTGCTAAAGAAAGAAGAGCAAAGAAAAGAAGAAAAGAGCGTGCCGCTTGGGTGGTGGGGCGACGGGTCCTCGGTGCTGGAGCCGGAGCTGGAGCCGGAGCTGCTGAGCTTGAGCTTCTGGAACAGCGGTGAGGATGGACGCGGGCAAAAAAAAAAAAACGAGTGTGGTGTGGTTGGAGGTAGGAAAGGTGGTTGTTGGTCTTTTGTGGTGGGAGCCTGGGAGTAGGTGATGATGATGCCTAGATGGGGTGGGCGGCGCAGAGGGAAATAGTAACACGCGTGAGCACAATTATGCAGGGCCCGGGCACGCACGCACGCATGCACGGAGGTAGCTAGGTAGGTAGGTAGAGCCGGACTGGTCTTCACCGTGTTTGTTTCGTTTGCGATAATTAAACGAAACTTGCTCATTGTGTGCCGGGGTAGTGTCAAATGGGGCATGGAGCACAGGGCTGCTGCATGTATGTTCATGTACATAGAGTAATTATCTTGGCGCTCCCCTCTCAAGGCTGGTTGTGAGCAATATTTACTGGGGGGGTTGGGGTTGGGGGGTTATGATGGACAGAGGCTGGACGCGTGTGGCAGAAAGCAGCAACAGGGGTGTTTCTTTTTTGGGTCCGTTCTCTTCCTTTTCAAATTAATTACCTGAGCCGCATGTTGCTTGCTCTCTCAGCCTGTTCGCCACATGGAGCCTTGGCCGTGGCATGTTAATTATTAGTCTAGGTAGAGGGGTGGGTATGTAATTATTGTTCAAGACTCGACTCGCCCGGGCCAGCCTAGCCTAGCTCAGCCTATCGTCTCTCGAGTCTCTCGGCAGCCTGCCATGTCCCCCACTCGTTCGCTAACTATCTTCTCAAGTCTTTCAAGTCTCTCAAGTCTCTCTCGTCTCTCTCGTCTCTCTCGTCTCTCTCTCCTCCCTCAGCTCCCCCCGCCCACCCTCAACGTTGTTGACCTCTCTGGCTCCGCGCCCGTCTCTCTCGCAAGGACCATAAACTAGCTGTTGCCCAGCATGTTCCCGATCCGCCTCTTAGCCCTTGCGGCCCTCACCGAGGCGCACTTTGTGTTGCAGGTGCCAACGTCGCTCGGCTTCAGCGATGTGTTGGAAGGCACCGCGCCCTGCGGCAGTTTCGACATAAGCAGCCGCGCTGGCGAGTCCAGCTGGCCGCTTGCTGGCGCCCCCTTCCAGCTCATCACCACGCACCCGCAGTCCGACTGGCAGATCAGGGCGGCACTGCTAAACGACACGGCCAACTTCCAGCCGCTGGTGCCCGTCGTCAGCCAACAGGGCACCGGCACCTTCTGCCTGCCCGCCGTCCCGGGCATCGCCGCATGGGAGGGCCAGGATGCCGTGCTCCAGGCGATCCAGCACTCGGCCGATGGCGAGTTGTACCAGGTGCGCCCGCCGCCGCCGCCGCCGCCGCCACCGCCACCGCCGCCGCCGCGCCGCGCCCCGACTCCCTTCTCCCCCGTTGGGCAAAACGGCCGCTCCTGCAAGGATGGGCGGTGACAAGAGTGCCCGGTCATGATTACCTTTGATATGATCATGGTTTGCTGACTTGCCGCGTATTGAATTACCTGCCATCTAGTGTGCCGCCATCAAGTTCGTCCCGGGCTCTGCAGCCGCCGGCCCCCAGTCCTGCAAGAATTCCACAAACGTCAGCGCCTCCTTTAAGCCCGGCTCCACCGCCTCGTCGCCAGGCAATTCCAGCACGACGACATCGCACAAGTCTGCCGCCGAGAAGTCGTGGGCCGATCCGGCCTCGGGCCCGCTGATGCTGGCGGCGCCGCTGCTGACATGGCTGGCGGTGCTCTATTAACTAGGACAGTGCTCTACCTGGTATCTATCTGAATCAGTAGGACAGTGTTTTAGGCAGTGGCAGTGGCAGTGGCAGTGGCAATGGCAATGGCAGTGGAAGTGGCAATGGCAGTTAGCAATTGAAGTACAATTACCTACCAACCTACCTAGCCCAGAAATCACTCGCGTCTTAGTCTCATATATCTTACCTTACCTGGGTAACTAAGGGAGGTACGCAGCCACCGTGCAGGGACCAAGCAGGGTTATCCTATCCATCTGTTGGGATTGTCGGCTAGGTAGCTAAGGTACCTAGGTAATTATATATGCTGTAGGCCAACGAGCAGCAGGGCAATGTCAACCTATGTAAGGTACCTTGCCTTAGCTATACCATTGACGCACGAGACGAGGTTCTGCCGTTGCGCGCCTGGGCCCAGTCCCTGTTTCTTGGAATTCCCCCTCCCTCCTCAGAGCTAGGGTAGCCACAGCTCACATCTTTTCCACTTTCCCACTCCGCCAAAGCCGCCACCAACCAGCCGCCGTCCATCCGAACGACCACCCCCATGTGGCCTATGAATTACAGCCAGTGAGCTGCGATTACTGTGTCGTTGATGCAGCCGGCTGGCGGGGAGGCCGGACCGCCATGAACAAACTTGACGGCGGCGCACTGTCACATCTCGCAGTCAGCAGGTAGGCAGGTAGGCAAGTAGGGGCGTGTGTGTGTGTGTGTGTGTGTGTGTGTGTGTGTGTGTGTGTGTGTGTATGTGTGTGTGTGTATGTATGTATGTATGTATGTATGTATGTATGTATGTATGTATGTGTCAATACGCAGGTAAGTAATTAGTTACCTGGTAGAGGTCGCCATCGTCGCCGTGCTGGACGACCTGCAGCACGCCACGCTTTCCCGCCCACGACGCCTTGACGGGGATGGCGGGCTCGCAGAAGTCGCCGACGCCCGTCTGCGACAGCACCCTGTTGACGCGCACCCAGTGGCCGAGGTCGCTCAGCAGCGCGGCCTTGAACTCCCACGTCGCCTCGCTGTGCGTCGTGAGCACGCTCACGGCCGAGCCCTCGACCGGCCACAGCGTCACGTTGTTGCGGCTGTGCGCGTTAAAGCCCCCGCACGGGAACTCGCCCTCTGCCTCGTCGTCGAACCCGAGGCTGGTGGGGATCTGCAAGACAAAGTGCGCCTTGCACACGCTTGCCAGGCCGGCGAAGAGGACCAAGGCCTGAGTGAGCACCGAGGGCTGCATTTTTTTTTCGGACGTGCTAGTAACCGGGCTTACTCGCGGGTAATTCGTTAAAACAGATGTGGCTGTGGTTGGTTGCCTATAATTATTAAGGAGAATGCTGCGGTGCAAAGTGAGAAAGTGTCCCGGTAATCTCGCCGAAAGCGCCTGCTCAACGGTAATTAACTATCGTGATCATCTTGGAACTGACCCCATCAAATATAATTGCACGAGCTAACTGCACCCTGTCCTGTTGTTGGACACCAATTCTGTACTAAGCAAGTCTAGAGTAATTAGGTAAGTATCACGAGTGGTGCATTGCATTCTACGAAGAGACACAGCACAGCACACGCCCCGCTGCAGCTCTTGGGACTTTCGCAGCAGCTCTTCGGACCTTTCGCAGCAGTAATTACCTAGGCAAGGTAGTCGGCTGAGCGCATATCATCATCAGGACGAACGATACCCCAGCTGCTTCTTTGGGCGTGCGTGATGCAGTCAGCTGGACACTACGGACGGCGGACGGCCGTGCGCACAATATTAATTCTTGAGTACATTTGAGCAACTTGGGGATAGAATATGCCTGCCTGCCTTGCTCGGCCGCAGCTCCGTCAACGCCCTCAATGCAGCTGCAACTTCCCGCTGCACATCTTGGCATTAATTACATGTTACATGTTACATGTTATTATTCGCAGCAAGTCTCACGTCAATTTCTCCAGCCACATCATCGTTATCACATTCGCACCAGGATTAGCTGATGCACTCCACATCTGGGGTAGTGAATATGCCACTCTTCTGTCTTTGAAGGATTGCGAGAGCACGGATAGAGGGGGTGGTGTTGTGTGTCGCAACGCGTGATAAAATAGGTTACCTGACGGGTCAGGAAGGGGTCAGCTGAACGAAGTCTCTTTTTTTTCTTGTTTTTTGCCTCCGGCGGCGCCTGCGGCGAGCTGTCCTCGCTTCGCTCGAGGGAATGGGTGGCTGGCCGAGGGGTGCTAGTTATGTTTAACCAAGTTATAACGACAGCATCTCTTGTATTCGGGAGGAATCTGGTCGTTCGGAGGCTCTTTAGTTATAAGGAGGATCGAGGGTCGGGAGGCTGGCCAGAGGGACCCCGACCGTAGCCATCGCGGCGGCTTGAAAAACACGCGTTCCTAGTGATATATTAGTAAGGATTAATAGGGTCATAATCGTAAAGTATTCGGCGTGCCTGTCCATAGCTAGAAAGCGATAAATCGTACGTGCGATTCGATTGACTGAGGTTGAATTGCGAGATTGAGGAAGAAAGTGGTTTAATTTGGGGGGGGGGGAAGCTGGCTAGAAAGTTGGAGGTACCGCACGGACGGATTGACAGCTATTGTACCTCACGACACAGCAAAGCGGCATTTGACGGCTTAACACGTCCGAGGATTATCCGATCGATCAGTCCCCCGAGTCCATTTCAACACGGACGAAAACTGCCCAATCCCCGGGCGAGAAACTTTCGGCACCTTCACGAAGAGACAGCCTCTCTACGCCACCTCCGGCTTGCAAGCTCGCCTACGGTGACTCCGTTCAGCTGAATAAACCACGTCCCGACCGTCCATCTGTAGACTCCCACTTGACCGTGCCTCAACTCGGACTCTGCAGCAGCGGCCACGGCTTATATAAGAAATAATATTAGGCCCCTGGTCCCCATCACGGCCGACACGCCAGACTATTGACGGCGTGTTTCAAGCAACGAATCGAGTATTCTAATTAATCCCTCTGCACGCTCTCCACAAACGTGATCCTGTACAGGCTGCATAGGCGCTAAGCACTTGCGGCACATCTTTGGTTGATCGGTAATTCCTACAGTAAAAAAAAGCCCTAAAGCCCGGAAAAGCTCGTCAACGTACCCAATCCTTCAAATACATGATGTTATTGGAAGTATCGTCGCCCATTCTATCTATGCGCCGAAGACTAGCTTACCGTTACTGAATGCCCTCTCCGGGTCCGCTGACACAAGTCAACTAGGCCAAAAGCGGAACACCCTGGATGCGGAATTTGCCGTGTAAGACACAAACGCCATCACATCCTTTGCGCAGGTCACACCGCCGAATACGCACAACTGCTTCATTGAACGGTAGTAATTTGTTCTAGCTTACACGGGCGAAAAAGCGCCACCGGCATGTTCCGCAGCTAGGGTGTTCTGCTTTTAGCCCAGTTGACTTAGACCTCAACGCCGTCTTCCTCGACGTGAAACTTCCAGCATGCTCTTTTTGCAAATGGCCTGCCGCCGAGCTTGTGCTTACGGCCGCGAAGACCTTCTCGTAATAGTGATATGCCTAGAACCGCTGCAGGAATGGAAGGTTCGGTAGAAAGGTCGGATTCGGCTGTTTATTTACGTCGTGATAGTTGCATTGCAGCTTCAACGGTGTATTGCAGCTTCAACGGCCTGCCTGGCAGTCAGAGATTTTCCCGGGCCCAGGAAAATACAGGGCTGGTCTTGGTCAAGGAGCGCCCTGGACCTAGGAAACCCGAAAAATCGCCCTAAAAATGGCCTGCCTAATGGGAAATAATTGACATTTCGCTAATTATTTTGGCCCTACGAGTTGGTCGAATTTGACCTCAAAATCGTGTAATTAGTTGCTCTAAATGGCTATACTCGATCGATTGAATTGGATAAATTTGAGCTGGTGCCGGCGCTGGATGGGAGAGACGGTTTAATTAGAAAGAATACCTTTTTAAGCTCAGGCCGTACCATAACAATGTTGCAAGGGAACAAGGCTGTTGACAAGACGGATGAAACAAGCCAGAGGGGAGAATTGGGTTATATGTTCCGAGCGACCAAAGAATGGGAACGAAGCTCTGTTCCCGCTCGGTCCGTTGGCATGAATTCCCCACAGGCGGTGCGCGAATTGCAGTGCACGTGGCGCTCGAATGCAGGGCACGCGATGCATGCGTACATGTAGTGCCTCAGCAGAAGATCGCACATTTCGCGCCCCGCGCAATTGTTTAATTTTTTCATGACAATCTTTCCCAAAATCTTGTCGATTAGATATCACACGCATTTCCCTGCGGTCAGGTGATTGCCCCGAGCACCCCCGCGCACTTTTCGCATCATTTTTTCATAACTCTTCCATGATGACACTGATGACACAGTATGCAGCTCAATGCTAACTGTACTAGCGGTGACCGAATAGGCTTCGCAGTTCTACATGAGGAGTTATGTGGTACGCAAGCTCAAGACAGCCTCATATGACGGCTTTCACTTCGTTGTGCGGCGGATTCTGCCGCCATAAGGCGGTGAGCCAGGACTCAGCTTCTCAATCATGGTAATGGAGCCAAGTTTACCCGGCTCACCCAGGCTAACACCCTGAAAGTGGAGCCCTTGGGTGAGCGCCGGGAAAGCCCCGAACACAAATGCCACGCTATCCATTGCCAGCCGACAGCGTCCGACACGGCCCAGGTTTCGGGTGATGGCAGCAATACCGTCCGCGTCGTACACTGCCTCCTTGGCGACGACCAAAATTGGCCATCACACCAGCGCCGACACTTTCGAGAAATAAAACTTGCAAATTGTTGCCCTGTTGCCCAAGTGTACCTATGCTACCTGCTGCAGTGGATGTCTAGCTGCCCGGCGGAGGCGCAAGACGAATTTCCTTGATCGCTCCTTTGCAGAACTTGATCATGTCCTCAAGAACGTCATGAATCGGTGTGATGTAAACAAGAGCATTCGCCGAGCATCCTTGAGGCGTCTGTCTAGTAAAAAAAAGCCCCACGAGCCGGCCCTCTTTGTCCCAGACAACCGACCCGGAATCACCGCGGGTTGCATATGCAGGGCAGCCCTCGTAATTTGACACGAGGGTTCCAGCCTAGACAAGCGCAAACTCCTCCGAAGGTCCCGGTGAGACGTGTCCATCCTCGGCTATCTTTACATCAGACTTCATACAGCTGAACTTGCCGAGGGTCACAGCGGTGATGGCCCCGACTTTGTAGACCAGGTCGCTATGAGCAAGTCCCCTCAATCCGCCCTCGGCGGGCTCCTGGATAAGCCTACCGTCTGTCGACGATTCCGGCAGGAGATGGACAGAATCGGCGTCGTACTTTTCCGCCCACGCCGTGATGGTGGGTAACCTGTTCTCTCCAATCCGGGCCTTGTCAAGAGGCTTCGCCAGGGCCCAGTCCAAACGGCCGTTGTTCGCTGTACGCCTCTTGTAGCCAGATGCACAAATGACCGTGCCAAGAACGTGGCGGCTGTTGTCAAAAAAAGTAACCATGTCGTCGAGTTGCTCTCTGGCCTGGACTTCGGACGGCGACGTGCGGAATCTCTCCATGAGCCTTTCCCGGTGGTAGACCCCGTGGTTGTGCTTGACACGGGATGGATGCTCTACTATGGGCGCGCTTGCGTCGGGGCTGATTCCTCCGCCGTCCACGTTCTAGAGTTGCGAATCCTTCTTTGGTTCCCCGACCCGAGATACGCCCTTGTCATTGACGGATACTTGGAAGCCGTCGTAGGCGGGGCGGACGACGTGGAAGGCTGTAAGTGCGAGCGTGATGGCTTCAGGGTATCTGGGGGTCTTGACTTGCAGCTAACAGCCTAGCGTCCTAATTAAGGGGGAAAAGAGGTTGCCGTCGCTCCCCGTCACGTAGTTGCTCGCGCCAATATCGGCTCCCAAATTCACTCTGGTCTGGTACGGCATCTCTGGCACCAGCCTCATCTCTCTTTGCCGCGCCTCATTCTCGGCGCGGCTGCGACTGCTGGGTACCAAGGGGAAGGCGCACTGCTCGACAATATTGTGCTCCAGATGGAGTTTCAGGTCGGCATAGGTGATTTGGCCGAGGAATTGTTGGATTTCTCGAACCACAGGCGGCCACTTCGTCTCAAGGCATTCATAGCCGACTGACACATAAACCGTGTCGGGGTTCTCGTCGTCGTCTGCCGAAAAACCTAGCCGGAAGAGCTGGATGGACGTGACATGGCCCGCCGTGGCCGGATGACTCTCCATGATGCTGGCGACCTTGTTCTTGATGAGAGCCCAATCCGTCTCCATCCCGCGTGCGAGGAGCTCGGCAGACACGGGCAAGATATGCTTTCGTCGGCTGTGCTCCTCGGCAATCATCTCGACAGCGATGTCAATCTCTCCGAGATTCCCGCTCTCCACGCGTCTCGAATCGACCAACTTCTTGATCTTGCTAACCGCACGTTCCCATATAGCAGAGCAGCCTTCGTCGAGCCAGCGTGCAACAATCAAGATGGTCGGTTGGCCTATCGTTGGCCCATCGGTCTCAACAAAAGGAGCTCTCGACACAAGCTCAACCGAGACAACCTCTGATACCATTTCCACGGAAAGGATTCGCCTCGCCTCCTTCGTCAGCGTGGCGCCTCCAAGTTCTCGATCAATCGATGCACACTGCTCATCCCATTCCATGCTCAGGGGCAGTGGGCGGGGTGTAGGTGCTGCTACTCGATGATGGACATTGAAGATTGTGAATTCGCCGGCGTCGCTGGAGAGTCGGCAGATGTGGCCTCGGACCGACGAAGGCGTGCGCGCTTCCGACGATCGTCGTCTGACGATGGGGGCGATAGGAATGGGTTGGAGGCCATGATGAGCGACTAAATGTCCATAGCTTAGAGGATGATGAGGCAAAGACCGAGATCCAACGTGCCCGAGATCCGACGTGCCCGATACGTACCACAGACAAGAACTCGGGAACGTTGTAAAACTGATATTGAGTCCTGGTGACGAGAGCAGGAAGAGGGAGGGGGGGGAAAACAGAAAAGGGTTGCGAGAGGAATTTATTCTGGAATTGTGGGGGGCCGGCCCGCTGTTCAAGGTTTGATTGGAAACGTTACTGGAGAACGTACAGACCACCGGAGACTTCGTCCCCGTCCTGTTTTTTTTTTTTTTTTGGTGCGAGCGAGGCGAACCCTCCGGGGGCCCTCCGGGGGCGCCTGCGGCGGGCTGCTCGCTGGGCTCGAAGACCGTGGCAGGTAGCAGTATTGAATTCTTTGTCGCTTCACTCGTCGTTCGGTCGCTCCACATTGCGCATTCACTCGTTTGTGCCGACTGCTTCACGTAATAAGGTTAGTATTCTGTGAGTCTCAAGGACTTCAGCTGACATATCATAGAATACAGTGATGCTGGTCGCATAGAAGGATGGCAAGCCAGAATGCGTTTCAGTCTGAAGAGAGAGTTCCCAAAGGGAACGCATGACAAGGAACAGCAAAGGTAAGCCTAGAATGCCCGAACAAATATATCCGCTTAGAAGCTAATTACCTTCGACAAAGGCCAACACATATCTTATCTGAGCTTTTGCCTAGCCAACCTCTCGTTCTCAATCTGATTCTGTTTATGCTCGCAATATTCATTTAAGGGGGGCATTTAAAAAGTGCAACACAGTGAGCAAGTCTTGGCAGTTAGCCCCTCCCTAATTGATCAACAGTACTGGGAACTTGAATGGGCTGATCACGTTCTAGATCTCTCTGTTTTTCCAGAAATATCTCTAGACAGGCTGACTGAGAAGATTCAGACGGCGTCTACCTTTTGCTTACAGATTAGAGACCTATCATTAAAAGTAGGGACCTATCATTACAAGTAGGGACCTATTATTACAAGTAGGGATAGGATAGCCTGTGAAAATCCACAGTAGTTGCCGAGAAGCCCTTATCCAAGCTACTAGTATACCCTTTACTCGTTTCTTCCATGATGTAATTAGCTAATTAGAGTCTAGGAAATGGCTATTTGAAAGAGGAGTTAATAAAGTTTACTGCACATACAAACCAAACGACCATAACTAGAGATTATCTCAGCTATATTGCAGTTGTAGACGGTCTAGCAAGTTTCTTCAAACTCTGGCGGGGTTGCCCTGCACAATACTGGGCACGTGGGCATTAGCCCCGCCCTGGGATTTCGCCCACACATTTAGCAGGGAGATTACCTCCTCCACGAGTTAGTTAGCCAATGCACACATGCACACATTGTCCACTCCCACATATACCACCATATTAACTCCGTTTGAACTAAACAGGCCCTTAATCTACGAATAAAGCGGCTCTAGATAGAATATCATATGTTTAAAAAAATGGATCAGTTCCTTGTCTCATTCGGCTAGTTGTTCAGGGAAGAGGATAGGTGACCAAGCAGAAACTTCGCAATTTTATTATATTCTGGCAGTTTCTTTAGGTTTTATAGCGCGCTAATTTGGTGGATTGGCAGCTCTAGCCGGATGGTCCAAGAACAAGGCCCCCAGCAGCACACGCAAGCACACGCACTAAGCAGGCTAGAGCGGCCGCAGCACAGGTACATCCATGAAAGGGGAAAGTAAGCAAAACTCGATTCGTAGCTTAAACCAGAGTGTTTTGCTGGTAATTGACCCGTCATCTCCACTGAAAGCCCCACCACAGGATTATCCTCAGGGTTAGGTATACCCCACACTTAGAATCGCGCTTCATAGCTGGTGGCCTTCGGCCTGTAGTTTTTAGAAAGAACAACCCATTCCATACCGTTCTTTTTACCACAACCCATTCCATACCGTTCTTCTCACTACCCAGCAACACCTTAACCCTAATATAACATGCATTTCAAGCTCGGTCTCTCTGGTCTGGCGGCCCTGGCCCAGGTTATCACTCTTGGAGCCTGCCACTACGTCCTCCAATTTCCCATCAGCGTTGGATACACCGACTCGACCGAGGCCACGGCCCCGTGCGGGGGTTACTCGGCAACCAGCCGAACGACTGTGACGGACTGGCCGCTCGGAGGGCTGGCCATCGCCGTCATCACCACCCACTCGTCCGTCACCTGGGAGTACAAGGTGGCCCTGCTGAGCAGCCCGACCGTCTTCGTGAGCTTGACGCCCGTCCTCACCCAGACTGGCGTGGGCCACTTCTGCGAACCCGTAATGCCGGGATACTCGCCCTGGCTGAACCAGGACGCCATCCTCCAGGTCATCCAGCATGCTCCTGATGGGGCTTTGTACCAGGTATTATCTTCAATTTTTCTTCTTCTTCTTTTCTTCTTCTCTTCCGGTACTCCTCGCATTCGTACCTAGATTAGATATCAGCTGACGGGTTGCCCTGTTGTCATCGTCAGTGTGAGGCAATCAAGTTTGTTTCCGGGGCCGCAGCAACGCCCCCGGCGTCGTGTTACAACTCGTCCGTCATCTCGGCGCACTGGTAAATAGAGCAACAAGATCCGGTTAGCCACTCTGGCAAAGTCGGGCGAGCCCCAAATGCCGGAGCCAGCCGCCAGCCTGACTGGCGGGCGAGGGAGGAGGGGGGGTCTACAGAGAGGGTGGCATCATGGTTTGGAGTCACATCGTGATTGTCGTAGTGGGAGGGGGGTTGACAAAACGCGCTGCAGGTTGTAAGTATGATGTGTATGGGTTAATCACACACCCATGCACCGAGCTCTGTCCCTGGGACTTGGGAAGTGAAAAAGAAGAAAAGAAATAAGAGAAAGGTGACTACCTACATATGAAAGCCCTCTTCATCACACCTATCAAGGTTGCTTGGACCCCGGCTACGTGCGTGCATAATTAGGTGTGCGTGTGATGTTGTTGTTTTGAAGTCAATAATTAGGTAACAGGTAACTATCAATGCACCTCCGCCGCAGTGGGACCAGCCATTGTTGTCTTTGGCCGACATTTGGCACGCCTTTGAGAATGTGCACGCCCGTCGTGCTGGCAAGGCGGGGAGACAGACTCGAAGAATTAAGGTAGCTTAGGTTAGGTAGCATCGAGTTCCGGGGTTGTGCGGACCCCTTTTCCCGGTTCCCACCCCCGTTCAGGCGCGTCTCCCCCCTCCAATGGATGTTAGGGTTGGTGTGCTGCGCAGATTATGCACTCTGCAGGCAAATAAATACATGGATACCTGCATATAATACCCTCGAGCCCCTGAGAATTCGTTGGTTGGTGCCGCGGTGCAGACTGCAGAGGCTTGGCGGTGCTGTACCCGACGAGACTTGCTCATTGCTGGCAACTTGTGCCAGAGCCGCGGTACAGTACCGCTGGGCTCCCGTTGCTGGGACTTGGTAGCAAAATGTATGGGAGGGTAAGCACAAGCCCGGTCGAATATTGGAGTGAGGTGCTGTGTAATTGCATACCTAGGTACATACAACCTTGGTATATAATGTGGCGCGAAACACGCTCAAACTATCTCATTCTCAAGGCGCTGCATCGTGATTGATCCTTTGGGCGTTCTTGGCAGGCGAGCCAGAATGCGAGATTCTCCGCGAGCCTGCCGCTCTGAAGGTGTTCGACGGTGATTATCTCTTTTTATTGTTTTTTTTTTTTTTTTTTTTTTTTTTTGCCCTCAGAGAAGTTGCGTGCGAATCTGCCATTGTCTAGCTGGCTGCTGATTGTCTGATTGTGTGCAGCCAGCCGCCTGCGTCGTCGTTGCTGTCCGCTAGGTATAATAAATTGCTGGCTGTCCTGGCGGGACGGAACTAATTAATAACTAAGAAACAGTCCACTCGTCTGCGGCTTTATCCTTTTCCAATAAACGACGAATCCCTTGGATGCGTCGGACTCGCTTCTTGCTAGCCTACGCAGCCTCTCACCATGCGGGTTGTCTTGCCACTCTGGTTGCTCGGCCTCATCGGCCAGAGTGTCGCTCACTTTGTGCTTTTCTCGCCTGTCAGTCTTGGATACGACGACACAAGGGAGACGGAATCTCCATGCGGCTCGTTTGATGCCACGGACCGGTCCACGGGTGTGACAGACTGGCCAGTAGAGGGCTACCCTGTCTCTATACTAACCACCCACGGCTCCGTGACCTGGGAAGCGAATGCCGCTCTCATCAGTGAGGGCGCCATTACCTGGGTGCCGCTGGTCTTGCCCTTCGCGCAGACAGGTGTCGGCGACGTGTGTTTTACTCAGGTTCCCGGAAACCCAGCCTGGGTGGGCCAGGCCGCCGTGGTACAGCTCATCCAGCATGCCCCGGATGGGCTGCTTTATCAGGTAAGATAGATCTGCGCCGTCCGTCTATCCCATTCTCAGGAAACCTACTGCGGGGGGGGAAAGGGTTGCTTGATACTTACAGCCTCTCCAGTGCACCGCCGTGACCTTCGTCGCAGGTGGTCCAACCTCCGTGCCGCCAGATTGCGTGAACGACCCCGCCGTCTCGATAGGGCCCTTGATCCCTCCACCTCGGCCTAGTACATCTAGCACACCGGCGTCGAGCACACTGGCGTCGAGCACACCGGCATCGAGCACACCGGTGTCGAGAACGCCCGGGTCAAGCACACCGGCGTCGAGCACACCCGACTCAAGCACACCGGCGTCAAGCACACCCGAGTCAAGCACACCGGCGTCAAGCATATCCGAGTCAAGCACGCCCGTTTCGATTTCAACGTCTGACACGACTCCAACCCCAGAGTCGTCAGAGACGGCTTCTACCAAGTCGTCAGCGACGCCAACTTTGAGTCCAGAGCCGACATCAACATCAACGCCTACGTCAACGCCACCATCCTCGCATGGCCACGACCACGGGTCAACTACCACGTCGTCTTCCCCAAGCCCAAGCCGTGATCATGGATCGACCAAGGCGTCGGCACATCCTTCGAGCGAGGCTGGCGCCCATGATGGTAGCAGCCGCAACCCCTCGTCGTCGTCGTCGTCGTCGTCGCCATCAGTGACCAAGCCAAGCGCCTCCCCCACCAGGGCGTCAATAACATCTTCTCCAGTGGTCACGGCTGCAGGCGCCCGCCGGTCCGCCATCTTTGGCAGTATGGGCGTCGCCGGAATAATTTTAGCGTGCGTAGTCTTATTGTAGGGAGCGGTGTGACGGCGGAGGGTTGATTGGGATTTGGAGGGGGGGGGGGGACGGGAGCTGAGAGAGTAATTAAGCTACCTACCTACCAGGGTAATTAAAACAGGAACATGTCATTCGTGTTAATAATTTACAGAGAGAGAGAGCTGTCGATTATTACGGTACCACCACTTTGCTGTTTAATTATTTATTTAATAAATCGCTTTGCTCTAGAAATCTAAATCTCGGCGTGAATTTGCATCCGCTGTGCCAATAATAGTGCCAATAATATTGGCGTTGCGTGAGGATGGATGGATGGCTCCGAGTCAGACGTGCGTGTACGAGAGGCGAGAGTGGAAGCGGGGGGCGGGGGGAGGACTCAGACACTAACAAATTTCCATGTGAGAAAGGATGACTAACTCTCTGGGCAGGTCATACGGAGTACAGTTCCCTTTCTGTCCGTGCCAAGAAAACAGGAGGAATATCGATCAAGGTACATAGGTAGGTAGGTAGTATTAGTGTCCCGCCGCACCCTGTTTTCCCTCCCTCCCTTCATAATTCTGGAGGGGACATCACGACGGCGTGCGACATGATGCGTGGCCAAACCCCGACACATTTGCTCAAGTTCTAAAACCGGCCTCCAACTGATTGTCCTGAGCCCATCAAAATAATTAATTAATCAAGTACTTGGCACGTCAAGCAGGAGGCCCAAAGGCGGCCAGTTCACCAAGAAGACGCGCTGGTCACCCGCGCTTTGAAGTTTCGCCGCCATGATGCCGCACGCCAGGCACCCGAAGTTGGCATGGTAAGCAGCGTCTGTCTTATGACTGATTTAATTGTCCCGTCCTCGGTCCTCGCCCAGTCAGTCCATCAGTCAGTTGTTCCAACGTGTGAGAGGCAGTGCAGTGCAGTGCAGTGCAGTGCACTTTATAATCGCGCGCAATAATTTTCAAATTACCTGAATATTAAACAGAGTTGACTGACGGCCATCATGGCGTATTTAATCAACACAGCAGGAAGTGCATCCGTGGCCACCGGGCGAGCAAATGCACTCACGCGAGCGAGCGGTCCATGGTGCCTGTGCGGAAGCCCGGCCGGCCGCTGAGAGACTGCCCCCATTTGCCAGGTAAAGACTGCGATTGCAGCAGCGAGTCCAAGGCGGCGGCGGTGGCGGCGGCGGCGGTGGCAGGCTCGGCATCAGCACCACACGGCAGCAGCACTGTTATTAATAATGATCGAACAGCCAGACCACCAACACGGACTGGTTTAGCCTTGGAGCTTAATATTAGCTCGAGGTACGATCCGCCAGCGTTGGCGTACCAGGACCAGACATACCATTACGATGACATGGCCGGGTCCGGGCCGGTCGGGCCGGACCCGGGACAGCTTTGCCATCACGATGTTCTGCCCATAACCAGCATCCCCTTCGCAGCAGCCGCCCATATATATCTGGGGGGCACAATACCGTCGCAACCGCCATCTACGCTATTATTAGGTATTGTCACCGAACCACCAAGTCTCGAGCCGGCCACAGATTCCGAGCAGCAGCAGCAGCAGCAGTTCCTCGACGCCGCTGGCCCTCAAGACACGCTGGACGGCTTCTTCTCGCCCCCCGGCCGACGAGAAACCTCGTATTATTATCCGCACACAATATAAATGCGGCGGCCAGCAGCAGCAGCAGCAGCAGCAGCAGCAGCAGCACCAGCAGCAGCAGCACCAGCAGCAGCAGCACCAGCAGCACCAGCAGCCTCCTCGCCGTCTCCAGCCGTCGTCTGCTTGGATGGCAACCCGGAGGAGCGCCGGCGGGCGCGCACCTTCATCATCATCATCATCCGAGACAATAACATAATAGAAGGGCCGGTTGGCTTCGGCACAGGCTGGTGGCCTGCTTCTCCCCCCCTCCGCACTCGGGTTGCCGTGGTGGTGTTGGATGTGCGGCCTTCGTGGGCGGCGAGGAGGATGAGAAGGACATTGAGTAGGGACCCCCTGCCTGCTAGGGCTGCGCGGCGACCTCTCTCTCTCTATGATATGCATATATATATACCTATCTCTCTCCTTGGTTCTATTTTTGGCTACGGCGGTTAATCTTTCTTGTTTTCTACTTTTTCCAACTTGTTTTCGTGGTTACTTGTTAGGAAGATTTATCCGTCCCCCATCACATTAATTAACCGCTGGGGCGTATTAATCTATCACACGTGGTTGTTTAATTGCAATGTATTCATGTATTTCCATTTTCTTTTAACGTGTGTGATAAGCGAGATGAACAGACAAGCGAGTTGAACAATTTCCACAACCTCACCACAACTACCCTCAATTACACAACCACAACACTAGGAAATAACAATAACTGAATCGGAAACAGATGAATCAGACGATTCTGCAGCCTCCTTGCACGTACGTGCATTATGGCCAGGCTTGCCGCATACGCCACAGCATCGAATCTTCGTACGAGACCCCCCTGCACCACCACCATTTTGTCGTGTTTCCTGGACCAACTGCCCACCCACAGCCTTCTGATCCAGTAGATCCTGTGCCTCTTGTACAGTAAGTGACCCTCCAAGCCGAACACGTGTTTTCTTGGCTCTCCGTCGCTTACTAAGCCCCTCATTGGCCTTCCGAAGTGCTGAGACCTCTGTACGCAAAAGAGCCACCTCGTGCATCATAGCCATCGTACCTTTAGCTAATCGATCCACAGCAGTCAGCATTGGTGTTGGAGAGCTGCCCTGATGGTTGGAAATTCGAGTTTTGATGAACGCTGACTGTGAGGCAGCCTCTCTCGGGTTTTGTGGCGTTTGGGAGACCCAAGGTAGCGATGTAGTTGGGCTTGTAGCTGGGGGTGTTGGAGTCCGAATACGCACATCCAGCTTGGATATCACCCTCTCTGGATCGTACGGCACAAGGCCGGCTCCAGCAAACCCCCCCTGGATATTCCTTTCCGTAACCGAAGCAAAAAACGCCTCTCTAAACCCACAAAGAAACTCCAGCTTGCTAATATGTGTGATGTTCATCCGCATCAGCTGCTCAATCTGACAGCCGTACGCCTTCTTCAACGGCCCAAAGCAACCAACATCCAATGGCTGAAGTAGGTGTGAAGAGTGCGGAGGCATACAGAGTGTGATGATGTTGTGCTCCCGGCAGTAAGTCTCGAATTCTTCGGAGTGGTGGCTATCGTGGCCGTCGAGAATTAACAGTCGGTATATTCCCTTCGTACGAGATGCTGTGTGGAAATCGAAGTGCCGAATCCAATCCATGCCTTTCTCATTAGTAGTCCAGCCATTGTCGGTTGTTGCGATACGCCAGGTACCCGGAAGGTTGCACTCTTGATACCAGTTAGCAAGGTGATATTGCCCAGCTAAGATAATGAATGGTGGGATAGTCCAGCCTAGAGCATTCACTCCTTGGATGACTGTAGCCCACTCTCGATTACCAGGCTGGGCTTGCTTAGCCCTACCACGGCCATCAGAGGTAGTAACTACCATAGCGGGGATGATAATGCCCATCATAAAGCCGGTCTCGTCGAAATTGTACAAATCTTCGTCAAGGATACCGTACTTGGCCTTCGTGTTGTGCACAAGCGCAAACCACTCGCGAATAACTTTTGGATCTTCGCATTTGGCCCTCTGGTAGTCGTATTTACGCGTAAAACGCGTCCGAAGTTCTGGCTGGCGCTTGACGAAGTTGTGAGCCCAGCGTGTACCGACAGAGGGCGCGTCGCGTTCGCGTAGCAATCGATTGGCCATATCTTCTACGTACGAAAGCCGGGGATGAAATGCGCGCGCACATAGCTCAATGATGTACTGAACAATCGTTTTCTCTTCCAAATCCGTAAGCTTACGCGAATTGGCTGGAGTATCACGTCGTGCAGGTTTGCCGTCGCGTCGGTTGCGTATAGTATTTACCGTGACTTGATATGTTGTTGCTGCAGCTCGAATACTGAGTTTTGGGTCGTTTTGAATAGCCCTGAGGGCCAAATTCACCCTAGCTTCGTATGAAGGAAGAGACATTTGAGTTTGTTGAGGAATTTGGTGTTTTGTAGAGAGGAGGCGCGTCGCGTCAAAAGTGTTCAACTCGCTTGTCTGTTCATCTCGCTTATCACACACGTTACTTCCTTTCTTCTTGAGGTAGTCTATTCGGACAGTAACAACTATCTTTCCAGAGAGGCGTGTACAAAATGCTACACGCGCGCTAGGCTCTGCCCATGAGAAATCACTTTTCGCACAAGAAGAGCATTAATTCTTGAGACGAAGCCAGCGCAACCAACTTCAGATCAATTAGCCACATACCGTATACGCACCACATTTAACATCATTCGCATATAGGGTAGGCCGCGTGACTGTGTATCCTAAAGAGCGTTGCTTTCTTGAAGTTTGAAGCTATAGCCAAAGCCATGGTAGGGTGGCGGGTTCCCGTACCACGTGTGGAGGCCTTTGTAATGCCTCCTCGGGCCCTGCGCGCCGTGGGCGTTGAGAGCCGCGCCTAGGATGAAGCCCGAGAAGTAGATATATAGACGGTAGTATAGTTGGAGTTGGAAGGTTTTATTAGATTTAGCGATAGCTTCAATTACGGGCTCAGTGCAGGGCAGACTATCTGAAGAAGCGTGCCATCCATTAGAATTGGACTTTTTAGGTGTAAGAATCCGATTTTGGCTGGGCTTGTGCCTTGACGCATTAGCTGCAAAGTCACTTTCTGTACACTACTGTCCGAAAAGGCGGTTATTACTGTTTGAATAGACTGCCTCTTCTTTTAACTTCCGTCGTAATCAGTGGCTTGCATATTCACATTCGATGTTTCACGAGAATTAGTCATGGGACCGACTGCGTAATTAATAAGAGCTTTGATGCATGCACCCACCACCTTTTTCCTCGCACCTACTTGGGGGTCATTGGCAGCTGGCAACGTAGGGACCGCTTTTTGTATGGTAAAATGCCGTATTGCATGGGCGCCACCCAACGGCCTACCGGGCATTAAGGAAGCATACCGGGCACTAAGGAAGCCCTGCAAAGTCAAAATGACACTATTTACACTTCCACATGCCGGCATTTGTGTGCGCAGTCGGTGTTTTAAGGTCTGCAGCGACCAGGTGGCCTTTGTAGGCTTTTCCTTTGCCAAACATCCCTTGAACACATCGTCAACATATCTTTCCGCTCACAGTCTTCGTAATGCCTTTTATCGAGATTTCCTCTGATGATTCAAGCTCCCTCACCCTCACCGTCCCCGGCTCCGGCTCCCTCAACCTCGCTGTCTCCGGCTTCCTCGACCTCGCCGTCCCCGGCTCCCTCGCGCTGGCTGTCGCTGTCCCGTGAAGATGACCCTTATCCTCGTAGGAAGGGCGGCGAGGGTGACTAGGTTGAGATAGACTGGGTTACTAGATTGATAGAGTCGACACCAAGGAATTTCATCACTGTGTCAACAAATCAGGATTGAACAGATAGATCATTTAGGCAACTGGGCGCCTACCATGAAATTTGGCCAATTTACGTACAAATCCGGGCCTCAGAGTTGCCATTTGCAAGTTACCTTTATTCCGAGGCCGACTCAGTAACGAAGAAATCGTCAAAATGGAAAACACCACGGTAAACGCGTTTTCGGGGCTTTTGAAGGTTTTGATGGCTTCAACGTTGTTGACCCGGGCGGCCGGGCGGGCTGGGTTGGCACATGGGAAGCGCACGGGCGGGAGATGGGATTTCACGATTTTACCAGCCTAAAATAGGCTTTGCGTATTTTAATTGTTAATAGCTGCCAAGGTTCCCAGGCAGGTGCGAGGAAAAAAGTGGTGGTGCGTGCATCAAAGCTTATTAATAACGCTTTAATTGTATACAAACAATGCCCTCCATCTCCTTTTACTATCCCGAGTGACTCCTTGGGCCGGCCCCTTGACCGATCTCGATGCGGCGGCGCCACTACCTTGATCTCGAACTCTTGCAGAGGTCCCGGGAAGGCAAAGTCGCGGGCAAAGTCGCCGACAAAGAGCTCGCGCTGGAGGTAGCGCACAGTCGGGGCCATGCCTGGCTTGCTGTCTGCGGCCTTCTTGTGGCACTCGCCGCCCGACTTCTTGCACGGCTCGCACTTCTTGTCGTCGGGGCACTCGCACTCGCCGTACTTGTCCTGCTTGTCCTGCTTCTTGGTCTTGTAGGGGCGGTCGATGTGGCCGCGGATCAGTAGCACGTTGGGCTCGGTCAGCTCAATGTGCACGTCCTTGCGCTCGATGCCCGGCACCTCGCCGTACAGCTCGTACGCCTTTGGGTCCGTATCGTACAGGCTCGGGGGGCGGGGGGGGGGGGGGGTGTAAAGACCATGCCGGGCAGGTGATGGGGCCTTCTTTGGTCGTGATAATACTGTGCGACTTTTGTCGCTGAAGAGTGCTTGGCTTGGTGTACGGTCTGGACTACCTAAGCTGCTAAGTTATAGATTGCTAAACTCGGTTAACTACGACACCACCGCACGTCGCCTCGCTATCACCGGCACCCTCGTCATGGGCTGAAAAAAAGTCATGTCGGACTAGTGTAACCTGCCAACACAGCCAAGTAGAAATGCGCACAGATATTATGTTGTAGCCGTATAAACTAGTCTGTAGTCATGCTAATGTTTTGACGACCTCAGCCCATGTCATCAGTTTCGGGCTGATGCAGGCCGGCCATGGGCACAGCCAAGTTTCATAGGCACAGACGCCGGACATGAGCCAAGTTGCAATGCTCCGTCCAGTGGCGGTGTTGCTCTCGTTCATCAATATTGACTTGCGGGGACGATTGGCAGGAACAATTCCCAATTTCCCAACGACACCTGCACCCAGCACACACTTCTGTGCCTGGATCGTGCCTATTGCGTTGCGGAATGCCACGATTTGGAAGGCCATTTGCGTCAAGGCGAATGGCATGCAGCTGCGAAGGTGTCTGCTCCGAAAGCGTCAGGCCCCAGCCAAGGGCGGGTGCCGCCGGAAGTAGCCGCCTGAATTATGACGGAGAAAGCTAGCTACGTAGTCTAGTTCTCAACATACATGTTTTTCGGCGATCATTCCTCTTTTGCACCGGGACAAAGTTTAGAGGGGGAGCAAATGTCTCACCTCCACACGAGTTGCCATCATTTCGGTCCGAGATAAATCTGTCGCTGCCATCGAGCACCAACGTACCTCGTGTCCTCAACGATGGCGAGCATCACCACTCTAACTACCAAAAAAAAGCACAAAGAAGTCAACGAGAGCCAACGCCCCTGCAGTTACGAAAGCATGCACAAAACAAACAGCACTGCATTCGCCCACTTCCCAATATTTTGAGCATGAGGGAATGGAATGAATGGGATGGGATGACGCGTTGCATCATCACCATCATGAATCCGGCGCGCGACAAAGCCAGCCGACGACGCTGTCAACCGACTGCAAACAAACCATTTTATCCTAATTAAATAGCTGCCTGGATTCCGGCCTCGACGGTCGGCCTTGGTTTCTTATCTTCACCCAACCTCCTTCGTTTCCCTCTCTCTCTTGGCTGTCTATTGCATCCACCCCTTGGCAAGAATCGCACCAAGTCATTCATCATCTCTCCTCGAGGCCAGCCAGCAGAAACCACCAAGCCCAGCCCACATACTCACACACTCAAAACACACACACACACACACCGCAACAAAAGCAACAATGAAGCCCTTAGCCATCCTCTTCGCCATGCTGCCCGTAGCACTGGCCATGCCCTTCGCCGACTCGGCCGCCAGCGACTCGGCCGTGGCGGCGCGCGACAAGCCGCCCAAGGGCGGCGACTAGAAGCCCGACCCGCCTAAGGACGGCAGCTAAAAGCCCGAGCCCCCGTCCAAGGGCTACGGCAAGTACGGCAAGTACGGCAAGTACAGCACGTACGGCAAGTACAGCACGTACGGCAAGTACCCCAAGCTGGACAGCTACGGCAAGTACGGCTCGTACGGCCACTACAAGCGCGCCGCGGCCGTCGAGGCCGCTGTCCGCGACCTCTTGGCGGGGTATGATGGCGCTGCTGTTGAGGAGGAGCAGGAGGAGTGAGGGATTTGTCTGGCTTTGACGGGGGTAGGGGTTTATATTGACTGTTGTGTCTGTTTTTCCTCCTGTCGGGCTCTGTCTGTCTCGCCTGTCGTGTCGTGTCGTGTCTTTGGTGGGGATTGGCCTTGTCGAAGATGGACGGATGGACGGACGGCTGGATGAATGGGAAGGGCAGGATTGGATGCAGACGAATCACACTCCTTTTCTCACTGGCTGTTACGGTCGGAGGGGGGGCCGCAACGGAAGCTGTCGGTGTTGGGTAATAATGGGTATTAGACTAGTGGTAATCATCAGAGCACGAAAACTCTCAACTGAGAAAACATGAAGACTTGCGGCAGTTGCGTGATAATCATTGCTAGTGAATTGTCGCCGGTGAAATGTTTCCATTAAACCTAACGAAACGAAAATAACAACAAATCACGCTCAATGCAATCCGACCCCGTATCCAGCCCCTTTTCCAGCCCGTTTCACCGGACCCTTCCCATAGTACACACACACACACACACACACACACACACACACACGCACACACACACACACACAAATCACCGCTTCACCCGCTCGAGGTGCAGAAACATGCCGTGGGCAGGGCGGCTGGCAATGACGCCGACGGGGACAGCGCGGCGCGGATCCATAGCCAGCCGCCAGGAGAAGGCGGCGGTGAGGGCGGCCGTCAGGCAGCGCAGCTCGGCGCGCGCGAAGCCCTGGCCGATGCAGTTGCGCGGGCCGTGCAGGAACGTCATGTGGGCGTAGTTGTTCCCGGCGACGCCGCCCGTGTTGTTGGGTGTGCCGTCGCGGAAGCGGGCCTCGTCGTCTTTCTCTCCATCAGGCCCAGGTCCAGGGGTGGTAGGGGTAATCCAGCGCTCCGGGCGGAACACGCACGCGTCGGCGCCCCACACGGCCGTGTACCGGTTGACGAGCCAGGCCGACAGGACGATCTCGGTGCCTTTCTCGACGGCGTGGCCCGCGATGCTCGTGTCGCGCGCCGCCACGCGCGCCGTCACCGGCAGGCTCGGGTATAGTCGCAGTGTCTCGTTGACAATGCCGTTGAGGTACGGCAGCCGCTCGAGCACGGCCGCTAGCGTGCTGTCGTCGTAGCCGGGCTTTTCGTCGTTGCTGAGGGGTGCGAAGTCGGGCAGCGCGCGCCCGACCTCGGCCCGCAGCTTGTCCTGCCACTCTGGGTGCACCGCCAGCAGGTACATGATCCAGGACACGGTGGACGCCGTCGATTCGTAGCTGGCGTCCATTGTTTTTTAGTATGGAAACTAGGAGAGGAAAGGAAATGGAAACTCACCCCGCAGGCATAAACGTCAGCAGCTGGTCGACCATGTCGTCCTCTGACAAAAACCCGTCCTTGATCAGCTCCGACAGGATATCGACGCGGCCGTCACTGCCGTCGTCTAGGCTGCCGCTACTGAGGATGGCAGCGCGGCGCTGGCGGATGAGATCCGTCATGACGAGCCGCAACTTGTCGCCGGCCTCGCGCATGGAGCGGCCGGCGTCGAACGGCAGCAGGCGCACAACGTCGGGCGGGAGCAGGAACAGCAGGCCGAGGTGCACAAAGGCGGCGGTGCTGGGCTGCAGCACGGCCGCGTACAGCTTGAGCAGCGGCTCGTGCGGGCGGCGCAGCACGTCGAGGTCGCAGCCCAGCGCGGCGGCCATGATGGTGTCGAAGGTCGCCTTGCCCGCCCACACGCTCACGTCGACGACGCTCCCAGCACTGCCCCTGACCTCGTCCTCACCAAGCACCTCGACGAGCCGCGCCGCTTTCGCCATCATGGCCGGGTACAGGGCGCGGATACGGGCCAGCTTGAAGCCCGTCTGCACGTGCTTGCGTAGGAACTGGTGGCGCTCGCCCTCGACGATGACCAGGCCGTCGGCCAGCACCGGCCGCATGAAGTCGCGCGCGTAGCTGGGCTTGGCGAAGTCGTACGGGTGCTGCACCAGCACCTCGCCCAACACCCCGGGTTTCGTCAGCAGCAGGCACTCGCCGTGGCCCTGCAGCACCATGACCCCGTCGTTGGGCGTGCACTCCGCCATGTCCAGCAGCGCCTGGCCCGGCGGCAGCGACGACCCGAGCTGCGTGAAGATCCGAGAGACCATGTTTATCTGCAAGGATTTTCTGTCAATAATTATCCGAGATACATGCGTCGGGTGGCCTGACCTTTGGGGCGGGAAATCGCCGCAGCGGGTGGAAGAAGACGGGGTAGATGCGCGTGGTCCACAGCAGGAGAAAGACATAGTTTGCCGCGGCGATGAAGAGGAAGAGCTGGGACCGGGGCAGCCCGGACGGCGCCAGCTGCGAGTAGCGCGTGTTTACCAGCAATATCTCAAGCAGCGTTATCAGCGTGACGCTGGGAAATGTGAAGAAATTTCGCGCCATTGGACGGCGATGTTGTCACAGGACGACCTGCCAGTCAATGAATTGTTGTAGACGATAATTGAGTCAGTATTAGACCAGACGGCAACGCCAAAGGTCCAGGTCTAGAGCGGTCTAGGCAAGAAGTGCTCGCAACCACAGGCGGAATTCAGGGAGTGGAAAATCTATTTGTATCATACTAGTCCCCTGGCGATTGGAATGCCGTCAGCATTTTTGTGTCTGTCGACCGGAAGCCCATCGGCAGGGCAGTGGCCACACGGGCCATGGTTGATGGGTGTTTCGCGCGGCGACCGGTTAACGGCGGCCGGGTGACGGCGCCCGTGAGATGCGAGAGCTCGGATCTGGGCCCCTTTTTGGCTGTCAACAACTGGTTCCAAGCGGTCAAATATGAGCTTGCTTTCTTACTGCCGACAAGACGGAACTAGGGACGGCATGGCTCTCATCTACCATTTAGTCTGGGAGCTTTGTTTGTGTAGTTCGCAAGTTGCGGTCTGGAGAAATGTTGTGTCTGCGCTTGTCGTCGGGGGGTTGATGTGTTGTCAGTTGGAAGAAGTCAGCAACGGCTGACAGCACGCCACATCGTGGGCGAGCTGGGCCGCATCGGAATTGCTTGGTGTGTCACACGTGCGGGCCGGGCTGGGTTTGAGCCATTCCTTTGGGCGAGGCCGGGCCGAGTTGCGGCACAACAGCGGCGTCTCGGTTTCGCAACCTCTCTCAGTTAGGTTAAGTCAGCACCTAGAGTTCGGACGGTTTCAGACTCGGCATCTCCACCGACCCGGCGACCCATTTTCCAGGAAAGGCAAGGCACCAGGGCTGCTAATCACTTATTCACGGAAATAAGAATTGATCACCAGCTCAACAAACTGATTATTGACAGAAACAACAACCAACCCGAAACCCGACTACAAATATTCAGAATAAACAACCTACCCAAGAATTGAGGGCTGGCTGCATGGCCCGAACCGGGAAAATTGGAGCCTGGCTGAACTCGGCTGCACTCCTGGAGGAGGCTGGCAGGAATTAATATGCAGCCGCCAGCCGAACGCCGACGAGTCCCAAAGCGAGCCTCGGACCGCCATGCTCCGCCCAGCGGCCTGCCGACGTGTTAGTCCGGCGGGGCGCGCCCGCGCCAGTCGTGGACTCCGGGCCGCTAGCCTCTGGGGCCATATTATCAAGTCACAATTTTGAGATGGCGAGAGGGGAAATGGAGAGATATATACCGTGAACCTTGCCTGTCTCCAGACATGTCGGAAACGGCAAAGCCAAGAACTCAGGGACTCAGGGGCCAAGGCGCGAGACGAGACTCGTCTGCACAAAGACGCCACGACGACAAAACACCAGGCTGCCGAGTAAACCACGGCGGCAGCACCGCCTTCAACATGGGAACCACGGCCCGAGCCTCGGCCGCCGCGCTCGCGCTCGCGCTGCTAATCAGCTCGCTCCTCCTGGGCGTCGCACGCGGCGCCTCGCTCGTACAAATCAAGGACGACATCGGGGCGAACCCGACCAAAGTAGGCTTCTACATCTTCGTGCCGGACAAGCTAGCCGCGAAACCAGCCGTGCTGGTCAACCCGCACTGGTGCCACGGGACGGCCAGCGCAGCTTACACCGGCAGCCAGTTCGCGGCGCTGGCCAGCCGGCACGGGTTCATCGTCATCTACCCTAACAGCCCGCACAGCGCGGACCAGTGCTGGGACGTGTCGTCGGCGGAGACGCTGGCGCACGGCGCCGGCGGCGACAGTCAAGGCATCGTCAGCATGGTCAAGTGGACCCTCGCCAAGTACGGGGGCGACGCCTCCCGCGTCTTCGTCACGGGCGTGTCGTCGGGCGCCATGATGACCAACGTGCTGGTGGGCGCGTACCCGGACGTGTTCGCGGCGGGCTCGGCCTTTTCCGGCGTGCCGTTCGGCTGCTTCGCCGCGCCGGGCAACAATTCGGGCGTGTACGGGTACTGGAGCGACGACTGCGCCAAGGGGAAGGTCAAGCACTCGCCCGCCGAGTGGGCCGCGCTCGTCGCCGCCGCGTACCCGACCTACGGCAGCGCGTGGCGGCCCAAGCTGCAGGTGTTCCACGGCACGCGCGACGAGGTGCTCAACTACGCCAACTTTGGCGAGGCCGTCAAGGAGTGGACGGCCGTGCTGGGGCTCGCGGCCGCGCCGACTGCCACCGCGCTGAACACGCCCGTCGCCGGCTGGACCAAGACCGTCTACGGCCCCAACGGCTGGTTCGAGGCGTACAGCGCCGCCGGCGTCTCGCATAATATCCAGGTGCAGGAGGACACGGTCGTCGCCTTCTTCCAGCTCAACTGCACCAGCGCGTGCTTCTCGTGGGGCCAGGGCAGCCCGACTATGGCGAGATCGGTGCCGGGGAAGTGATAGGGTTGTTGTGAATATGCGAGGACATGTTGCAGGCTTGGTGGCATTTCTCGGTGGCATTTACAGCCAGAAGCACAACAGAGTATACAAGTGATATAAGCAGCTGCAAAAGGTACCGGCGTGGCTGGTATTGGTAATATCGGGTAGATTGACGTCGTAGTATTCATCTTAAACCCTATTGCGGCTTTTTCCTCTCTGGGCTCTCCGATTGTGGTTAATTATCTGAATGTAGGTACCGATCAAAGAGTGCGCTTGTGGATTTCGACTCTGTCAAAAAGGCGGCTGGATGCGGCTAGTGCGGTTTTTTTTCTCATCTCACCGACCACTGTTCACCAAAACAATCGTCTACGGGGCAGCTCTAGCCACTCTGACTCGGGCCTGCAGTAGCGTGGTACCTAGATAGGTAGTAGGTAGGTGCTCTTCCGGCAGCCTCGTGGGACCCAGCTCCCTCTCTTGCGGGCGAAAACAGGCGCCTAAAGGGGTCTGGCGCAAAAAAAAAATTAAAAAAAAAAATGTTCGTGGCGCTCTAGCCACGATTGTGCCTAAGCGTTGTGTGGGGGGTGATGAACAGTACGTTCATTCATGTTCGGTGCTACCTACGGTTCTAGCTGATGGGGCCTAATTAAATGGGTGCGGGTCGATGTCCATGCAGCACGTTCCTCCGTCACCTGCCTGCGCACCCGACCCTCTCCATCCTTTGTCGTACGGTCCAAAGTGTCGCTATTCCGACAAAAAAAATCAAAAAAAAAATCGATTAAATCGATCTTACGCCCACCTCACTTCCTATCGCAACGTGCCCAGGTGGCCAGCCCAACGCGCAGTGAGTAAAATGATCTGGGTGTAATAACAGTTTAGCGTTTGCCATTCTATTCTGCTTTTGCTCTTTGGCACCGTCGGGCGTGAAATTCTGCATGCCGGGCTGGTAGAACACAGGGAAACAGGAATACGCCACCGCACCCTCATGGCCAGCTCAAAGAAACTCGCCTAGTCTCGGCAACTCTGAGATCTTTGACATGTTTCTCGTTTGTATAATATCTCGTCCCAAGATGTCGCACGGCGTGCCGTTGACAATATGTGGGTCTCTAGCGATCGTTTGAGCGAGTGACAGGCAGTTATTACTGCCCGTTATGGCAGGTGGGATTCCTCCGTCTGTTTATTTCAGCGTCTTTTTGGCATGCCTCTCTTTCCCCGCAGCCTGCAAGGTAACCGAAGCTTGTGGCTCAACCCCAATTAGTTGCTGTCGAGAAGACCGGACCCCTATCAAGTAGGGCCGTCGCTACGGATAAGTAAGCCATGTCCGTAGAGCGAAAGAGGCAAGAGCAGCTGGCCATGAATGAGGGGCCCAGAACCGCGTGTGCGCAGGCACAAATGTTCCCAAACTCTCGACTGTGGTCGCTCAACGTCTGGGCGCGTCTCTCCAGAATTGTCGAATTGTCGAATACCGGGGACGGCTCAGATTTTGACACAGATAGCGATGGCTCCGAAGGGGAGGGCAGTGGCAGTTCTTCGAGCATCAGCCATTCACCCATCCCCCAGAACAAAGCTGCTAAAGGGTGCGGTTACGGAAGCCGTATCCACTGGTAAAAGTGAGACAATTGAAGTTGCAGTCGCAGACTAACGCTGATGATACACCGACACCCAAAATTACAGTAGATCCCAAGAAGCCCTCGTCGTACGCGCGGAAAGGATCCGAAGTTTGGGTGAGGACATGCATGTGTGGTTGTATTATTAGGGGCTTCCACCATACTAGCCGGAAAATAGTATGGGAAGTCTCAGTCCTGACCATGATTTGGATCATGATTCCATGTTTCGGTATCTTCATCCTCACCCTCGTCCGTATCCTCATCCTCGTCCTCATCCGTATCCCCATCCTCGTCCCGGGCCCGCCGGGCCCGGAGGATTGTCTCGCTCGCCATTACAGCCACAGCGTCTAGTTCAGCGTCACTTGTATCACCATCCTCATCTACGCCCTCGCCGATTTCGCTCTCCAAGATGCTCTTAATATCATGGCCAAGCTCGTCGATGAGGCTCTGGATGATGTTCTTCTTGGCGTAGCGTCAGCGTGTGATACTCTAGTACTGTAGCGCCTCAGTTACTGCCTCCTGCCGCAACGCGTTGTTTTCATTCTGCTTCTGTCTCCACGCTGTCTGGAGGACTGCATTCATCCAAGTCCACCAGACGCAGCGGGTACTGGGGCGGAACTCGGTCCGAAACTTGAGTGGCCTGCCATGTAGATGAGATAGCGGTCTTAGATCCCAGTGATCATTTCGCCATCCGAATTCGTTGACGGCCTGTTTGACGGCCTGTTGGCTTGGGTTAAGGACTATCACCTTCTACACCTTGACCTTGGAGTTTTCCCACTTTCGATAAGCCTTGTTCTTTTCTTCAGGATTGTGGTGCGGGAGTTGGTTATTTTGTAGATCGAAGTGAACATCCGGGACAATCGTAAGGTACCCTGTATGTAATACGTCCTCGACATCCGGTACAAGAAACAGACCGCTCAACGGAAAGAATTTTCCATCCTTAGTGCCAGGACCGAAAATAATATATATCATGGTTAAACTCCCATCGTACTATAATGGGTGTGACGGCGGGGCTCAGCACCTACTACCGCTGCACCACACCTTCCAAACGGATGCCAGATTTGCAAATCTATAGTAGGTTATAGTATGGTCACGCACCCGTAGGCCTGCCCACAGCGCCTACGGTACCGTGCCGTGACAATGGGATCCCAAAGTAAATGGTCCCACTCGCCATTAGGGTAGTACTCTTCTCGTATTTTTCGTACCATCTTAGACTAGTCGCGAGTATCGCGGCGGCCAACCCCAGAGTTCTTGATATTCGAGCTTGGGGTGAGGAGATAAAAAAGCTTGAAGAAGAGCGCCTTGGGCCTGGTACGACTCTTTCCAATCCTGTCTGCCTGCTTCTTCGAATGCCCTCAGCTTGGCGATATGCCAAGATCTGTCGCTCGAGGTTCTGCACTTGCTCAAGGTATACTAGTCATCCTGATTGGTTTCTTTGTACTCAAGAAACTTTAGGCGGGATTCCATACCCGCCCGGTGCTGGCAGAGGCGGCTGATCTTGGCATTAGCAGTCCAGAAGTCCGGATCATAGGATCTAGACGGTTTCAATCTCTTGGCCTTCTTCCCAATATCATCCTTGAGGGATTTTAGATCCCCGTTTGGTATATTGACGCTGCCAAGGGACGTGGCGGGTAGTCGGCATCGAGGAAAATATACCAATTGGCACAGAAAGAAAAAAAGAAGTTACTGTGCTAAGTGTTCGGTTAGCGGAAACTAGTACTGCTAGAGAAACTTGTTTGGGGATAAAGTTGAAGTGTCAGGGGGAGGAGGATTTTAATATCAATCCCTAGATTTTGATCGGCGAGGGATTTTCCAAAAGTTAAGGCCTCAAACCTTTACGGCTATCTCTAAATGTTTCTCGCCGAGGGAGGCAAAAGCACCTAATAAAGGCTTTTCCTAGCTAGGTTATTTACTAGCAAAAAAATTAATCTTATATAGCGGCGGTAAGGCTCCTGAGTTGGCTGGTATGACTCTGTTGGAACCAAGTCCAGTTGACCGGTATTTTTTCTCCGCATTTGACAGAGTTTTGCTTGCAAATAAGCTCGGTTCAACGGCTTTGATCAAAATACTTTGCCAATTCCAATCACCGCCCTGCAACTAGAAAATCATCACCCCAAAGCCTCTCTGCATGGAAGCGTCAAGCTTGACAAATGTCGGCCGCCTTCATCATCACGCACCCAAACCTCTAAAAGGAATTACAAGTAAAACATCACAGCCCCAAGTCCGAGTTTTATTGACTTGAAAAGTCCCCAGAGGAAGCTAGGGACAGCCATTGGCAGCGGGTATTCTCCCGCATCTCAGGCCCAAAGTCTAGAGCGGGGTCGGGCCAACAGAAAAACGGGAGCGAGAAGCAGGCGTGCACCGGCCGCGGGACAAAGGATTGGCAACCCTGCCGGATGTGGCGGGCGGAGGAAAGAGGGCGGGTGAAAGCCATGTCGAGATTCCCGAGCGTGGCGTGATGGGCGCGCGCGCCCGGGCCCCCGGGTTCTTTTTTTCTTCTTTTTTTCTCGTTTCTCATGCATGCATGTTATCTAATACCTACCCGCCACACACATACATACATCACAGGTAGGTGCGTACATAAGACAACCAACCCCCACTGTTCTCTGGATAGATTTGTCTTATCTTGCTTTGCAATTTTTCGCATGTGTTGTCTTACGGCCCTCCCAGAGTTTGTGTGCGGGAGGGAAGGATGCCGTTGCATGCGCTGCATATTCTTTCCACGCACAAACTCCTACAATCAGGACAGTACCTTACTTTTGTTGGATCGTCAATTATTAGTTTGGTTTCCGAGATAGAGGATTTGTTCCTAAACATTAGATGATACATACCCCTATTCTACGGATATGTCTCAACTAAATTAGAATACCTACCCAGTCTATATCTAGAAGAGTGATGTCACGGTCGCCACTAGGCACATGACAGGATTGACTCTATTGGTTGCATTGTATTTAGAGTGCGGTCTGTGCGCTTCGCCACCCACGTGCTCAGCACCACCTACTTCCCCGCGCCCTGCGCGGTCCCTGCGATAGATTCCGTCTTTTCCTTCCCTAGCTTTAAATCCACATTCGTTACTGCATTCAATCGTTGACTTCCTTGCGGGCCGTCACAAGTGACCTGAAGTTGGATTATTATTAGACAAAACTGGCTAATAAGACAAAAGAAATAGCCTCAGGGGGGTTCACCATTCACCAACGCTTGCTTTTGTTTCCGGCTCATGTCTTGTTCGGCAGGGAGGGGTGTTGAAACAAAAGAGCCTCGCAAGTCAAGTAGGCCTGGTTGACAAACAAACATAATCCACCTTACCAATAAACCAAGGCACACAATGACATGCAATATAGCCAAGCGCTCGCCTCGCCTAGACTAGTGACAAACAACAAATTAACAAGAGAAGACGAGAGGATAAGAGATGACAGGAGAGGAAAGGAGAGGACAGGAGAGGACAAGAGAGGACAGGAGAGGACAGGAGAGGACAGTAGAGGAGAAGAGAACAAGAGAGGACAGGAGAGGAGAAGAGAACAAGGCGGTGGGACAGCGTGCCTTGATTATAGTTAAATAATTAATACATCTTAGTCCAAGAGGCTATACAAGAGGCTATACAAGAGGCTATAGCTAGTTTGGGTGCCAAGTAGGTCCTTGATCAATGATTGCATCGAGTGCAAAGGCCCCAAAATTCCTGCCTCCACTGAGCGCCTGCCCAGAACAAACCATCCCCCAATCCAATCCCGGCCCTTCCCATTTTCCCAAGCCTATCATCATAAATCATAAAAGAAAACGGGGGTATATACAGTCTCTCGTGGCAGCAGCCTCACTCTCGGCTATTAAAAGATTATGGGCAAGGAAGCATAGGTATGTGTTTTGCTTATTTGGTCTCAAGTGACAAAAGGAAAAAGACATAGTCTAGAGTACAAGCCGACCTGTTGCTTCTACACGGGGGAGACATGTTCGAGCTGCGAGCGACTCGATGTCAGATCCTCCATGCTGGTGCTCTCCTGGGTCTTGCCCCACTTGCCGCCAGTGGGCCGCGTGTCACGGTGGCGGCTGATGGAGGTGGTGATCTCGCTGATGGTGCCGCGGCTGCCCCCAAAGGCGCCAATGATGGTGTCGCCGAGCTGCTTGCATGCCGACCATGAGGTGACGACGTAGATGATGGCGTTCCAGAAGCCCTGAAGCGGCAGCACAAATGCGCTGGCGAAGAACAGGGGCTTTGACACGTCGCCGTTGTGGATCAGGCTGTACACGCGGTTGCCCGACGAGGGTATCCACGTGATGAGAAGCACACTGAAGAACAGGATGGCGCACTTGGTGTATGCGTAGGCCGCATTGTTCAGCTCGTAGTGGCGCCGCCTGGCGTGCATGTTGTGCAGATGTGGCGCAACAGACGTCTGGATGACGGTCGTGGTGGGCCCGCTGGGGCGGCTGAGGCGGTGTTCCTGGATGGTCGTGGTGGGCGTCTCGGACCCGGCATCCAGCGAGTCCCGGCTGTCGTTTTGCGTAGCCGAGATGGTCACCGAGTAGGAGACGTTGGCGTCTTTGACAGGGGCGGCAGCCGTGGTCGTCTGGTTTGTCGGGTCGGCAACCGGGCGTGGAACAGTGATAATCTCAGTGGTCTGGACGACCTCGGTAGTCTTGAACGCAGACGTAAAGCCGTTGATAGGGTTATATGTCTCCGCATTGGTGATGGTCCCGTTGTTGGATCCGCTGAAGTTGAGCATCTTCCTGCGCTTCCTGTAGATATCCTGGCCAGCGCGAATGTAAATGGACGTGGCGATGATGATGGCCACCCTAAGCCGCCCAATGTTAGAAGAGACCAGGATGCTAGGTAGAGCACGGGTTTGGCCACATACCAGACGGGGCCATAAAAGGTGGCAATGCGGAAGATCTCCCATTCCGACTTGAGCCAGCACCACAGCACGGCATTTCCATACGGCCTGCCAGCCGACTCGGTGTGGACGAAGATGAAGGTGAAGCCCGGGATGAAGGGGATTCCGTAGCACAAGATGAAGTAGGGAATCTCCATTCTCCTGAGCATCCTGGCGTCGTACTTGTGGTAGAATGTCAAGTAGACGTTAATAGCCATGGCAAGCGCCCAGTAAGCATCGCTTTGCATGAACCTGTACGCGAGATCAGCCATGGTGTTTCTTCGCGGGGGTTGCACAAGCGGGCGTCGTACACTTGGATCAGAAACGACTGGAGCTGGCAGCCAAACGAGTTGACGTTTAGGATGTAGGATCTCGTCATGAGCGTCGCCACATTGGTCAACATGTTTCCGAACGTGGCGAGGAAGACGAGCCGGTTGATTGACCTGTTTCGGAAGGCACTGGAAAACGCAAACGTCACCAGGACGAACAGGCAGCCAAACAGCGAGAAGACGGAGCAGACTCGCTCGATCGACGTGATGGCGTCAGCCTCCCCGGGGGTTATGACAGCCATGTTTGGTGATCTTCGACTCGGAACAGTGTTGTGAAACTCGGTGATGGGGCATCCGGACTCGAGCCGTCAGTCGGGAGCAGCGGGGCCCTGCCTTTGTAAGGGTCTGAACCGGTACGTCCCAAGTCTGGGCGGGTGAGATTCCGGCGTCCACATAAGCAGCCTCCTTGAGGCTGTGGAGGGTCGGATGTGAGACCGCCTGGAGCCTGCCTGGGAGAAGGTGTGTGGGAAACTTGGGGTGAAAATAGAGTTGCCAAAAGAAAATATGGGCCGGCAGGACGGCTTTCCCTTATGATTCTACCCACGGGCAGCCATGGCGAGGCACCAGAGAACACCACACTCAAAGGTTGAGAAAGCTATCCGCACCAGGTTAGCACATACAACAGGTGGGCTGAGCCAGTTCCCTCGGCTCCAGTCTAGCGCACAGTAGCGTGCTGGCCGTGGGAAGAAAGGACGCGCAGGAGCAGGTAGGCAGGAGCAGGTAGGGGGTAAGGGGGATTGGAGAATGAAGCGACCGGGAACCAGGAACCAAGGACCAAGAACCAAGGGCCGTGAACCAGGAACACCGAGCCCAGCAACCCAGTTAGTGAGCACTAGTTGCAGGGGTGTCGAGAAGTCGGCAGCTCCTGATGCGTTGCGCTGCTTCCCGGAGCGTTGCGTTTGTCTTTGGGTAAGCTGAGAGAGCACGGCCTCTGGCCATGCCATGCAGACCTTGGAGATTGAGCAACGAAGCAGCCGTGTCTGGCATTGCGATGAGCGGGCTCGGCAGGCTGGTCCCGCCCAGGTTCCGGGGTGGTCGCGAGGGGGCCTGGAGCAGAACGAGCCAACCAACCAGCCTGGTCAGCGTCCGAACGCCCTCGCTATACCTAAGAACGCCACTCGATTCAAGGAGGATGCGGAGACCTTTGTCCACACGTGGGTGTGCCTCTTCTCCCACTTCCCACCGACTTCCGGGAGATTTTGGAGGGCAAAATCGTCTTGGGGGCAGGCCCGTGCCACCGCCTGATTCCCCTTTAGTCATGCCCAGGCCGGCATCCCGCTGAGGTCGCCGCTGTCGCCAAAGAGGGCTAGAGCCGGCGAGCGGGCGCAGCAGTCCATAGTTAAACTGTTTTTAGGTTAATGGGTGGCTCATCTGCATCGTGGCATCTCTAGCTGTCCTCGGTAGACATGCGGCGGGGATTCGCTTCTCACGTTCATGTACCGAAGGGTGTGGCCCGTGGTGGATAGTCTGGCGAGGGCAAGGAGAAGGAGCGGGTGTGTGGTGCGTGTCGACGGACGCCCGAGTGGTTGACCGCGACATTCTAGAATGCAACCAACTCGCTGTTTCTTTTGCAGATCGTTGTGATGAGATTCGCGACATTTTCGCAGTTAGGAAGGCCAAGTTCAGCGCCATGTTGGGCTAGTCGGACCGTTGGTAACTCGGGGAGAGCAAACGCTGGTGCGGAGTTGTCCCTTTTCCCTACCGGTGCGTGGTACAGGTACAGTAGTACAGTAGTGCCCGTAGGGTAGTTATGCACCAGGATTCCCCAGATATGGCACCGCGAGGGTAGGGCATTGGACCGCCAGACATTGACAGTGTTTGGGAAGTCAAAGCCATACCAGAGATTGCTTTTGCTTTCTCCCCTCTCTCGGCAAAGCTTATCCCCTCCTCCCTCCCCTCTCTTGCTGCCCCTTTCTCCTCTTGCTTGAGGGGAACCGAGTGCAGTGTATCGTTTGGCGCAGGATGCCCAGGATGACCGGCAGCTTGGCAGGCCATCCCTCCATGACCAGGTCGGGCTTCTGCAGCCTCCTCACGAACCGCCCGCGGTAGTTGCGTCTTGAGCCATTGGACTGGGGGGTCAGCATTGTATTATGGAAGCAGCGATGCACGTCAGTCATCAACTTTAGCTGCATCGCTCAAGTTACTAAATATTGAGCCAAGCATGGTGCGAGATGTGCTTCACCTCGTAGTAAGCAGACAAAAATACACACAGACTGCAGCCAAGAGCCCAAGATGGGTGATTTTTGGAGTAGGTTGGGGTAAGTTTATCGCGCAGTCTCACCATCTCGCCCTCTCTAGCGGCAAACCTGGCAGTTCGACATGTATGGGGTCTGTCTGTAATCCGTACTGGAGGCTGCCGAAAGAAGCTGCCTGGAGATGGCGCACAGAGGCCGAATATGATTCGCGCAATGTGGTCGCACGACTCGGATTTAGACGCCTTGCTGCAGCAGTCTGCTGCCGCTGAAGCCGGATGCAGGCGGGCGACATGACCTTTTCGGCGTGTTTGTCTGCTGAGGTGATAAGCGTCTTGGTTTTCGTCTTCCCAGTGTCTAGTTCTGGCTTCAATGCGTGCGGGCGTGCATCGGATATCGAATCAATTCCAAATGGGCCAAGACTTTGGGAGAGCAATTCGCAGCAACCATGGAAAAAGACGCGCTGCGGTCCAGCGTGAGTCGACGTGCTGAAGTGCTGAGACGACGGCGGCCGAGGACATCCACTGTCAATTGGCAGTTGCTGCTCGCACGGTCGGGGCACGGACCGAGCCCCACCCACCCCACCCTCCATTACGCGAACAAATCCCGGTCAGGTCAGTCAGATCCGGGTAGCATCCCGCTTGCGGGCGAGTCTGGGTGGGATGGGATGGAGCCACCGCAACTCTCGACTCAATTCTCAGTCGAAAGACTGAAGAAGCTCCAAAGGCCGCACAGACAACCAGCAAAACGAACCACAGCGCGCTGATAACAGACCAGCCAATTGGGCCTCTGTTTCTGCCCGCCAGTGGGTGCAGTCAGGTGACGTGAAACAAAAACAGAAACAGAACCAAGCAACCCTTGAAACAAGACGGTTCTGTCGTCGCCCATCGCCATTGACTTCTCCTAAACCATACGCCCGAGTCCCGCATATACGGAAGGCACGGTGTATTGCTGGCCGCCAGAAAGCTTTGGTTGGCAGCCATAGGGAGAGAAGCAATGCGGAGGATGGCCTCAAAAGCTTGGCCCTCAGCTTAAGGAGGTGGAGGGAACAAACAGTCCAAGGTAAGCAGTCCAAGGTAAGCGGCCAAGATAACCGTATCACTTGGCCATCGAGCAAGAGCGGATTCGCAATCCGCTGTCACCAATTAAAGACGCCGTCTGCTGATCTAATAAAAGCACTCCCAAGCAATCCGATTGCTCTGGCTTGCTTGCCATGTGGCGGCGCTGGCAGGAGCTCGGACGGCGAGCAGGTTCCCGGTTGTGCCCGTGTCTCACCGCCATGCGCTGCCGTCCGCCAAAGACCCTAAAACACATTGCGGACCCCTACTAGCACGTAGAATCGCGTCAATGCGACGGCGCCTACCGCTGCGGGCGACTCGTCGTTCGCAATCACGATGGGCCCGATGCCCGAAATTGACGATAGCGTCAATTCTCGGCTCGTCTTGCTTGCTTGACCTCGCTGCCTGGTTTCCTGGTTTCCTGCCTCACAAGTGTCCGCCTGTCTTGGCTGGCGCCGCCCCCAAATCTGGTGCCATCGTTCGGAATACTCGCTGTCAATAATCGGCGATCCCACACATCCCCTCATGATCCCAGCTGCCACATGGTCAGAATGGTCCAGAGCCAGAGCCATCCACAGGCGCCCGTCCACCACCACAAGTCGAATATTGGCGTGTGCCACTGCTCGACGTCGGACTCGCGTGCCAGTAGAGGAGCAGAGAAGCCTCCAAGCTGAAGTGCGATCGCAACACATTGGATGATGGGATGGGGGGTTGCCGTGTCCGCTGGCTGGCTGCTTGACACACGGGAAGATGTAAGCTGGATACCGCGCCGCTGGCCGACATCTCCGTCCGAAATTTACGTCCCTCTTAGGGGTTCTCACGTACTGACTAAGGAGTCTTCGCCTTCTAGCTGCATGCCAAAAATCTAGACAATACCGAGAAGGCGTTCTAATACATGTGCTAACTAGACCTTTGCATTTTTATTTCTAGTGCGAAGTTGGTAGGGTCGTTGCTTACGTCGATGGGTCCCCGAACGGCTGGAGGGTGCTCGTTTGGAACCCCGCTTCGGTACTGTACACTACTGTGCCGACCGCTGTAGCCACCCGCTCTCGCTAGAAAACCCGCAAACGGGAATGCTGCACAGTGGAGCTGCCACCGCGGTAGTGGAGGTCAGATGTTGGAGGTCAGATGTGAGTGGAGGTCAGATGTGAGTGGAGGTCAGATGTGAGTGGTGGAGGTGCCAAACTGAGGGCAGCCCAGAGATTAGTTCGTCTGCTTTGACTGCTAGCAGTATGTGCAGTGATGTGATTTCCCGCCTTGGCAGGAAAAAAAATTGCAGAGCCGAGCCACTGTCTGGATCTTCCATTCTTTTCACGCGCTATCACTTCGCGTGGCCAGGTAGCGGTGGCTAGCGTCGAGCGGGTGGCTTCCAAGACGTGCCAAGCTAGCCCAGGTTCCCCAACGACCAAGCCAAGGATCTACCATGCAATAAAACCTGTCCAGGGATGGAGGACCTGGGGAACCGAGAGGCGGCCTGAGCGACACGCTAGAAAGGCGGGCACGAGCACGAGCCACGACGAACAGACAAATCCAAGCATTTGCAACAGCAATTCTACAAGCGAGCATCGTTAGTAAATGTCTGGACGAAACATATGATTCACGTTGCACTGGAGCGGCCGTGGCACTTCCCACTCCCCGCGTATTCGAGCTTTGAGAAGAAAAAGGGGGCGAGGCTGGAAGGTCTGCGCCATATGCGGCCGGGCTCGCCCCAACGACTCGACTCTTCCTACCCGGATTTTTGTTTTCTACTTGTCCCTTTTCACTGCCGTGCTACCCCCCCAGAGTCGCAGCGCGGTTCAGAGCGGGAAACATTCCGAGCCGCCGTACCTGCATCCGTGCCGCTCTCCAGCCGTTTGTCGGAATTGGAGCAATGGCCGAGACCAACTTCTTCCTGGCCATAGGATTTAGATAAGGGGTCTTGTTCAGCTAATAAGAGTCATGTTATATGAGCCAGGTCAGGGCACGGTGGGTTGGTTGGATAGGAGCCATAAGAAGTCGCTGGAACTGCGTGCGAGCACTGAGCCAGGCTCGTTCCCAACGGAACCAAGTTTCAGCAAGGAGATTTGTTCCAACAAAGAACGCGATACTACCACACCGAATCTCGTCCATCCAGAACCAGGCTCAAAGAACTTGGTTCCCTCAATCTTTTCGCAATAGTGACTGAACAATAGAACCCACAATCATCGTTCCTTTCTGAACACATGAACAAAACCCGTTCTCATGTACGAGCCGCAGTGAAAAACTACCTGACACCCAATATCCCAACAAAGAGACAACAACCTCGAGGATGCGAGCAAATCAGCTATTTAACCCATCTAGACTTTTAGCCAAACATTGATCAGTATTCCCTGATCTACATAGGCCTCTGAGCAAGCTTGAGACACAGGAAAGTAAGTCTGGCTCCAAGGAGTCCAAGACATCGCCACCAATTCTCAACCCAGCCAACACCCCCCTCCCACTCACTCGCTAACGGCCATGCTTTCCAAAAGGGGAACCAGCCAGCCAGCCGCACCGGACCGCAACGTGCACGGCAACCGGACAACGGGCTGCTGGTGCGAATACCTGGGCTACATCTAGGTTAACGGCAAGTAGGTGCATCTCGGGTACGGGCCGTGGCCGTCGAACCACTTCCGCACCAGGCAGCCCCCGCCGTTGACCATCTACGAAGAACAAGCCAATGGGGAGGAGGAGGGAGTCGAGCCTCTTCCCTAGAACCAGTGTCCCCAGAACCAGTCCCAGGCGGTGCTTCCAGCGGCACCACCATCGGCAGGCGAGAAGAAAAAGAGAACGAAAGCGTGGCTTCATCGCGCCCTCTCCTCCTCCAGCGCCAAACCCCTTTTTTGCTGAGGCATGTCTGTTCCGGGGTGTAACCGCGACATGGCTCCCCCCTCTTCCTCGCTATCTTTTACACCCTACCCCCATCTCTGTTTGTCATTCACCGTGACTCTATTCCTCTTCCTACATTACTGTCATGTGCATACGGGGCAGGAGTGATCGCGTGACGAAAAAAAGAAAAACCTGTTTGTCTTCGTTGTGAAGGTAAGGTAGCATAGCCTACGTTAGGTAGACGGGTCCGGTTCGAGTGTGCCTCCGCTGTGTGCTCTCTCTCCGCGTGAGGTTCTCCTTCTTTTTGTGTGGTGACCAATGTTCCCATGGCGCGTGCATGCATGTAGGATGTGTGCAAAGTCTATGTGGCGTTGGGATTGTCTACTGTCCAGACTCAGTGAAAAGATTTCGATTTCCATCGTGAGTCTTTGTAATTCCGTGTTGGGATTGTTACCAGTGTCCTGTTTATTGGGCCAGGGTACATATCGACCTCAGCACAAGTATTGGGCCAAGGTGCATATCGACCTCAGCACAAGGAAAGGAGATGTATACTATTCTAGTAAATTCTAGTAAAATAAAACGATATTGATCGCCTCAGTAACGTATTGCCTAATACATTGATTGACTCGCCCCTGTGAAACCAGCTACCCAACGAAGCCCCAAGCGAATCCTAGTTTATCTTAGTGGGTGCTTGGTAATTTGCATAAGCCATTTCACTTTGGCAATAGATATAACTATGCGAGTCCTTGGCAAATGTTTCCAAATGGACTAGCTGTTGAAACAATTGCGGGACTTAACTATTTCCGCTCGCTCCTCAGACTCTTTTTCTTCCTGTGGAATAATCTTCTCCAATTTTCTCCCCCTCATTTGCTTGGCCTGTAAAGTAATAGCAACTCCAACGCTCATACTTCTTGTCGGCTCCACCCGCTCTACGTCTTCACGAACGTCACGAGACAGACACGTGGTCGTATTCGGCCCCCAATGGAGGGGTACGAGCCGTCCCGAGGGTGGCTGTGCTGGTGGTTGCCTGAGAGCCTTGTCCCCGACACCCAACATGAAGATGACTTCGGTTCAATCAATTCAACGGCAAATGTGAATTGCCGTCTGCCTGCCAACGGCCGAGGCTCTCCCCAGGCCAGATTCACCGCATCGGATCTGCACGGCCAGCAACTGGGGCACGATGGAGCCCATTTCGGCTGCTGCCACAGTGCTTGGCCTGGTCAGCACAATCGCCAGCGTCACCGCTTCGGCAACCGCCTTCATGCGCGACGTCCGCGACGCGCGGAAAGAGATTGTGGCTGTCACGAAAGAGCTCATGTCTCTGAGAGCGATTCTTGAAATATTGGAAGACGATCTCAATGGCCCCACGAGTGCCGTGGTTCCGGACAGCACCCTGAAGCAGATCGTCGAGATCACCGAAAACTGCTCGGCTGTGGTCAGTGATATTGGCGCCTGCATAAAAGGCATGCAGGGGTCGAGACTCAAGTGGGCCACGTCTGGAAAGACCTCCATCGAGACTCTGCGGCGAGATTTGGAGATACGGAAGTCAAGCTTGAGTGTGGCGCTGGACATCGTCTCAGGGTACGCTTGCTACTCACAGGACCTTCTTTCCAGGCGACACTCGGCCGCTAACAACGCAGTAGCATTGTTCTAAAGAGCGTTAAGGGTGATACGGGCCAGATCCTCCAGGACACCACGGCCCTCAAACAGGACACGGCCCAGATCCAGAGCGACCTTGATCGCATCATCGCCCAACTCTCCCAGCTCCAAACCACCGAGCCTGAGCAGCACCAGTCAAACTACATCCTCGAAAGATTTCTCGGCGATCTCAAGAGCGATGCCGCCACTGTTCTGGGAGATGCAGAATACCTCGGCGTTTCCTCTGCCGACGACAGTGGTGACGACGACGACCAGGCCCGGGGCCGGCCGGGTAACGGACAGTCCGACCCCTATGCACATATAGCGTTTACGAATGCGCAGGGCCGCCGGTATCCGATTCCCTACGCCGCCTGCCAGACATGGGAGGTTTGTCTCGTCCATTGATCACGGCTTGCAATTATTCTTGCCGGGGAACAGGTAGCCAGCTGACCTTGTCACACAGGACATGGCGGAAATAATACAGCAGTCGTATGCCAACGTCCGGGAAAGCGAAGAGGTCAGCCGGGGCCGATACGACCTCGTTAGTACGGACGGCGAAATAATCCTCAAGTCTCTCTGGGCGAGGCTCGTCCGGCCCGGATGGGAGATAAAGATGATAATGTGGCCTAAGCAAGACCCTAACCGAGTTGAACCGATTAAGTTCAAAGACGCCGTCGGACGCAAGTTCACATTCCCGTTCCACTTGGTCAAGACATGGGAGGTTGGTTATCTGTGTCCCTGTTTGTCACTCGTCGGCCATACCCCCAGGTCACCGAGGGTAACAATTCCCAAGTCTGCGGTTCAGTCCAACTTACCTTGCACTTTCAGGACATGAGTGAAATCATCAACCAGGCATTCCACCACGTGGACGTAATCGGCCCTCATGTGAAGGAAGGCCATTACGACCTTATAGGCCCAGACAGTGGGATTATTCTGCCCGGGGCGTGGGAAAGCACCATCGGGCCAGGCATGAATATTACCATGCACATGTGGCCAATAGACAAGATTCGCCAGTCGCCACCACCACTGCCACCACCAATGTCAGGACCAAGGCAGACGTCGGGGCCGAGACCGCCGCTGATGCCCCCAATGGGAATCCCGCCGAGGCCCCAGACGGGATCACTGCCACCGCCAGTGTCGGGACCACCACCGGGGCAATATATACCAAGGCGAGGCCCACCATTGCCACTGCCTCGGGCACAGGGAGGACAGCCCTTCCCAACCAACGGGGTGGTGGTGCTTGTGGAAGATGAAGAGAAAGATAAAAGCGTGAGAAAAGGAGGGACCGGCAAGAAGGGAAAGAAGCGGAGGGAAAACACGCTGGGCGCATTCGGACTTTTCCCGAGTCCTCGAAAGCTTAAAGAGTCACCGGGAGCAAGCACGTAACAAGGGGAGAGTTTTGAGAGCCACCTGGTAGACGCAGGGGGTGGGGGAATTTGTCAGATTTATAGTCACCGAGGCCGGCTGCAGGTGGTGTTGGTACTTGGATTCAATACCTCAACTGCCCCAGTCAGGTCACATAGCCGCACGTATTATGAACATAGTTCACGTATTATGAACATAGTTTTATAGATCTCTGCTCCTAAGACCCTCGCCTTATAATACCGACCTCGAACACGCATTTTAGCATTGGAGCAGTGGAGCCCCGGCCATTCACTAGATCTAGGTAACCATCAAAACCCAATCCAAAGGCAGCTGTCACACGCTGGCCAATGGGCCAAGCCATCGGTCCGAGATACGGTACCTACCTGCCTAATTGAGCTGGTCAGGCAGGAGAGAGAAGATGGAAACTGGATCGCGATAGGTAAGGAAGGCTACAGCAACTGCTTGGTAGATGCACTTCGCTTTGCCGCTGGTCCGTTCTGCCCGTCCCACTCTGGGTCAAAGTAATTAATAATTACCTATCTTACTTATAGCCCAGGCATAAAACGGATATGCCAACTGCCGCTAGCTCATGATACTTCCTAAGGTGTGCAACTGATAGCATGTGGGGTCACGGGGTGATTCCCTAGACAAATTAGTGCTTTGGTAACGTGTCAACCCGTGGCCTCGCGGCTCTTTCTTCACATTCTTCACATCACTTTGGCCATGATGGCTTCGTACTAGGTTGCGGCCTTCTTTTAGAATGCAACCAACTATGGGTGGACTATCTATCTCGCTGGTCGTTCAGGAATCACTCCGTCCTCATGCCGCATTTCAACACTCAGCATCTGAGCATTTGGTATCCAACCACTTGGCATCTGGACTTTAAAAGTCGGGCGACAACAAGGGCAGGATTGAGATTCCTGGCCCAACCCCGGAAAATGCAACCCAACCTGGCCTTGTCTATTTAATAGCTCCAGAAACTTGCGTCTATGTTATTCCCGATGATCGCTATATTGGTTAGCCTTGGAGCTTGGAGGTTGACGGATTCGCTGACTCTTTGATCTCCTAGTGAATTAGTCCATTTTCCGCTTTCCTAATCAGTCGAACACTGAGTTCGATATAATGGATGCCTTGGTTGGGAAGCTTAGGTAGAGCATATTGTATATTCGTATATTCGTATATTCCGTGCTTACACATAGTTCCATGACTCTCTCAGCCTAGGCCTCTGATTGACTTGAAAATCCTTTGGTGTTGTTTCTTGTTGCCCCAACTTCGGTACAAAGTTACCGCTTGGCTCAGAAATCACGACAGAAACTTTCCCCGCCGGGATATGCAGCTATGGGAGCATCAATGCTGTTGTATTTGAGGTACATGGTGATTCGGCATTGCATCAAGATATGATTGGGTATTTACAGCTTTCCATATCACGTCAGATTTGCTCGACAAGCACTGATTGAATTCTGTTGCACGCGATCGAAGTTGACAGCGCAATGAATTGTCTGCTCAATAGGTCTAAAAGTACAGAAAAGAACGCTTCCTTATACTCGTGGAGAGAAGGCAAGGGAGGCGTTGTAATCAGCCCGAAAGAGGGCATTCCGAATGAAATGAAGACATTCCGAGTCAAGAATGAAGGAAATAACAAAGAATGAAGGAAGCTCAGAGGCATGTCAACCAGGGCCTGTCCAATTCCATGAAAAGTGGGTCAATTCCAGACGACAAATTCATTGCCGTCACATGTGAAGTAATCGGTTTTGGACTAAAAACCACACGTAGAACTTCCCCGGATGCCCTTAACAATCCCACAAAAATTCCCAATTCAAAAGTCCCCACCATTCCTGCTCCTCACGTGCCCGCAATAGTAAGATACTTCATCCGTGTTGCTCCCCATCAACTAGGCCGGGGAATCCTCAACAGCCGACGTGGAGCTGAGACCGCCAAGCAACCATAAAATGAGGAAGCTGAAATGGCGACCCCCGGATGCAGGAGCGATGAAGAGCTGTCCACTCAGAACCTGAGCGAGGCATTGTATGTTTCAATGATTTCGATGCCGGATGACGTATGGCTTAGTTACGCAGGGCAGGTGCGACGGTGCGAGGGGTGGGCTCCTTCGTGACGGTGGACGGCAACACGAGTCAAATGCCGACCCTGTCTCACTCTCGGCTGCACCTGCCTCACTGGTGCGTACGCAATCTCTCGAGCTGCAGGGCGCACCGAGACTTGCGGCGTCCATTCGCGGAAGCCGCTGCCATTCCGTTTCAGGCTCCCGGGCCCCGATGGCGCAGAGGCCAAGATCCGAGACTTCGCCCAAAGAGGGGCTAGCGTCCCCGCTATGGACCACTAAGAATAAGGCTGAGAGCCAGCGCGGCGATGCATTGGACACTTCGGACTGGCAGGATCTGACAGTGCAACCACGACGCTCTTGCCTGGCCGCCGGCTTGCTTTCACGAGCTCGTTCTCCACTCCGCACTCCGAGCTTCAACGGCACGGCCGTGTCGCCAAGGCCCCAGGGGCAGGGACGGGGACAGCCATGGCCACGCCTGTACCGACTTTGTGTCCTGTCCTGATTCCTCGGTCCTCGGTCCTCGGTCCTCGGTCAGCGAGCGTTGAGGCATCCATATTCACGCTCAAACACTCTCCAGATGTCTGCCTTTTTCTCTGTTTTTATCTTGCCTATTAATTAATTGAACCTCTAGTCGCGGCTCAATCGGAATTGACGGCGCGATTGGGGCTCCCGACGGCGTCCAAGATGCGCAGGCTGCTGTCGGCGGGCGCCATCGCTCTGTTGCTGTGGCCCGGTCTGGCCGCCGCCGACGACGACCCAAACCACGGCGTCGTCTGGCTGTTCCCGCGTGTCGCGGGCCTCACCGTCAACACGGACGACACCATCATGGTTCAATACACGTCCTCCTTTCCCACGCCAAACTTGTTCGTCTTCTGCTTGCTCGGCCAGCCCGGGAAGGGGCCTGCACTGAGTGAGTGACGGCGTCAATGCCTACGCCAGCAGCATGTATCACGTTCTGACTGACTCTATTCCGTCCGCCTGGCAGTGTTTCAAGTACCTGCTGCTGGCTACAACGGCAAAACGCCAATTCAAATCTCATTCACCTCGGACCAGCCGTGCTACTTCGACCTCCGCCCCGGGCAGGTGGCGGGCCAAGGATCCAACGGTGTCAAGTTCAGCGTCCTAGGTACCACGCGAAAGGGAGGCCCTCAGACATGGACCATGCCGCCCGACCCGCCGCCATCTCCAGCCGCAACCCCCCCGCCTGCCACAACACCAGCACCCTCTCCCAAAGAGACGCCTAAGTCGACACCAGCGCCTGCTCCGGCCCAGGAAAAGCCGGCTGCCTCGCCTACCGCCGCGGCCGCCCCCGCGGCCGAAGAAACGCCCGCAGCAAAGACCACACCACCCGCAAAAACCACCCCTCTGGCAGCAGACAACACGGAACCGGCGGCTCAAACCTCCCCGGCTCTGTCTCCCTCATCTCCTGTCTCCATGTCCTCACCATCGCCCGCAACAGCCGGGACCTCCTCCTCTTCCTCGTCCTCTCCCTCTATGGCCGATCCTAATAGCACCACGTTCTCCGGGGACCCGGGAAGTCGTCTCCCCATTCCAGCGGCCGATGGCGCCAGCACCTCCACTACCAACGGAAACAACACTAATAGTAACAACAACAACAACAACAACAGCAACAACAACAACAACAACAACAACAACAGCAGCAACAATAACAACGACAACAACGATGCAGGCACCCCCCTGAACACGGCCGCAGCCAACAACAGCCCCGACACCAACGCCACGGAAGGCAGTCTCAGTAATGGCGCGGCGGCTGGCGTAAGCATCAGCGTGACCGTCATCGTGATCGCCCTCGTGGCGGGTGCGCTCGTGTGGCTGCGCCGGCGGCGGCGCCAGCAGCAGCTCCGGCGCGTGGCCGTGGCCGCCGCAGCGCAGCAGAACGGCGAATGGGGCGGTGGCGCCGGCTCATACCCCGGCGGCGCCGAACTCGACTCCGGTGTAGGAGGAGGAAGAGCAGGAAGAGAAGGCCACGGCGCAGGTGGCATGTTTGCCGCGGCGCTGCACGGGCTCAGGGGCGGCAGCGGCGGCGGGATATCAACGACTGCAGCAGCAGCAACACGAAAGAAAGAAGGAAAAGGAGGAAGCGACGAGGAAGAGGCAGAACTCAAGCCATACTACCACCACCCGCCGGGCCCGTCACCGCCAGTGCCCATCGCGCGGCTGATCCCCCGCAATCCCCGACCTCACCCCCAGGAGCTCAGCTCGTGCAACAACCCCGCCGAGATGATGACCGTGTCACGGTGCGCCACGACCATGCCGCCACCACCTCCCCAGCACCAGCAGAGCACGCTCCCTGCGCCCTGGGATGTGCGAAACCTGCCGGAGAACAGCCCTACCATTACCCTGCCGCCCAGCGCGCTGCTCGCCCCGTCCTCGTCGTCGCCAGCAGCATCCTCGCCGCGCTACGATCATAGCCAGACGTCGCCGAAGGACTGGTCGCAAGAACCCCAGGAGCTGCCGGCGCATCCTTGATGGCAGGTTAGATTTTTTTTTCTTTCATTGTTGTTCGTCGGTGTTAATAGGGAAAAGAGAAAGTTTGCATGTTTTCACTTCTGCGGGGATATAGAGGCTCATCGTCTGTCTCATTAGATCCCCTGAGCCCCTGAGGCTAGCCCTCTCTTGTCGTGTGTACGTTACTTTTCTCCTTTCTTTCTTTCTTCTTTTTCGGGGGGAGGTGGTAACTGGACGGACGTGGCCGCCGTCATCAAGGACGCTCGTGTCAATGTATCTATGTTTTTCTTGGGCAAAGTCATTCAGGGGTAATCAATACCCTATTCTACTGGGTGGTGGTGGTGGCTTGGTAATTCGTGCGGCGGGAAAGGAAAGGGGGGGGGGGGGGGGGGGGTGGGCATGCATCATTAGGCACGGCGTGTTTGATTACTAAACCTGCGACATATTTTCTCTTTCTTCTTTTATGTACTATATTTTTTGTCTAGGTTCGCTTGGATCTCTGGGACTGGTAATCAATCAACGGGATCTTTTGTATCTATATTCTCGAGAGTGAAGAGCGGAGACCTTGGGCTTCGCTTTTCCTGTTGTCTATACTTGTTTGATGCCTTCCAACACTCCCTAGTCCTGTCCCCTCTATAATCATGCCGTTTTCAGCTGCTGAAATATCCCTGAGAAAATATCATCCGTGTGTCTGTCGCATAGGAGGCCGTGTCTCCCGTTTCGCTGCCAGTATCGTGGCCGGAAGTGTGTCGTCTCGCTTCTGGCGTAATCATTCCCAGTCAGCCAGTGTATTCTCCCGTCTCTTTAGCCAATGGCCGGCATGCTGACAGCATCCAACTGCTGGGCAGAGAGTGGTGGAATGTGCTATTAGGCTCGGCCACGGTCGCCGCGTATCGTGTGTCAGGCGGCCTGGACGCCTTGGCAGGCCTCTCCCCGTCCGGCGGCTCGGTGTCCATGGGGCGCCACTGCCAGTAGGTCTAGCGTAGGGAAAGGGAGAGAGAACGAAGAGAGTAGACGAGATCGCGTCTCGGGAACCGGATGATGCCGCGTCTCCCGCTCCCAGCAGGCGTCGAAGCGCCATCTCCTCCCGGTTGATGATGGTTGGCTATTTTCCCTGATCCCAAAAAGAACGCTCGTTTCCGCCTGCTCGGGGTTCCTGCATGAGCGCCGAGGAAAGACGCAGGGGCGGGGGAGCCTATAGGTAGTCTAATCAATAACGTCTTTGTGTGTGCTTTTTGGCTGGTTCCTCCGCCCGCCTTTTCAGCCTGATATGGACCGCAATTAAGGGACGCGACCAGCCCGGTGGGTCTGGCCCCTCTCGCGCTGGCAGCAGCTGCAAGGGCGCAGCGTCGCGATTGGGCCCTGTCGGCTGCTTCCATCGAATGAACGAGCGGAGCACCGGTGTCCCTTGTACTTCCAATCTGGGGTTCAATCCGGGGTCTCGGAGGGAAATGGGGCGACGGCGGCACAATACCACCAACACGCACCTCGGCTGCCAGCGACGCAGTCGACAGCTGCCCCCGGAGTGCGGAGAAGCTCGGTGGTCGCATGAGATATATAAGCAGGGCTAGATGGTCTGGACGGGCGGGGAGGGATGGTGATGGAGGTTTACTTGATCCCAGGATTCCCGACCGTCGGCGCTTCGTTGCTTGCTGTTCGCTATACTGTCGCCCATCGTCCCGGATCGAAATAATTGAATCACCGGCCTAGGAGACGCACTGAAAATGAAGTGCTCCGCCGTGTTCCTTGCCGCGTTGGCGAGGGCAGCTGTGGTTCTTGGCGACAGCGAAATCCCCGGACCAGGTGCTGATGGACGATACACGATTTCGGCCCCAGGCATCAAGGCGCAGGTAGGACGTCTGGCGCTGCGGAGTTAGCGTGGAATTTGAGAAGTCGTCCGATCTGACTCCAATGGCAGTTCATCCCGTACGGTGCCAGCCTAACGAACCTGTTCGTCTCCGACAAGAACGGCAAAGACATCGACGTGGTCCTCGGCTACGACGACACCACCTACTACCGTGAGTGAAAATTCAAACAAGGCAGCGACAGTGCCTCGTGCGGCTGCTAACGAGAAAATCTCGGCCCGCAGCCAAGGACCCCGGCCACCCCGTGTACAACTCGATCCCCGGGCGCTACGTGAACCGCATCGGCCACGCGCAGTACACGCTCGACGGCAAGACGTACAAGACGGAGGACAATGACGGCGGCAACACGCTGCATAGCGGCACCAACAACTGGTCGTTCCGCTTCTGGAACGTTACGGCGCTCGCGGCCGACTCCATCACGTTCGCCATCTCGGACGCGTCCAACTCGTCGCTCAACATGCTCGGCCGCGTCGACGCCAGCGTCACCTACAGCCTGACCAACAGCACCTGGAACATCAAGATGACGGCCACGGCGCCCGACAACCGGACTCGTAAGGGTTTCCTTGTCACTTCACTTCTCGTCCCCCGCATCCACCACCAGGGAGATGCTAACAGCCCGTGCGTCGTCTAGCGCTCATGCTCACGCAGCACACGTACTTCAACCTGGACGCGTACAAGAACCCGGCGACGCCGCTGATCTGGGACCACACGCTGAGCCTGCCGTACTCGAAGCGGTACCTGGAGGCGGACCAGGGCGCGCTGCCGACGGGCAAGATCCTGACGGCGGCGCCGGGCAGCCTCAACGACTTTGCGAGCGCAAGCAACCTCAAGTTCGGGCACGCGCGCAACCTGACGGGCTTCGCCGGCAACTGCGGCGCCAACGGCGCCTGCGAGGGGTACAACGGCTACTGGCTGGTCGAGGACGCGCCCAAAGACGCGGCCGTCGTCACCCTCGCGAGCGCCTTCTCGGGCGTCAAGGCCCAGCTGCGCACCACCCAGCCCGGCGTCGTGCTGTATTCGTGCTCGTGGATGGACGGCTCCGCACCTATCAAGAGTGACCAGGGCCTCAGCGCCGCCCAGAAGGTCGTCAAGAGCTCGTGCGTCGCCATCGAGGCCCAGGACTACCCCGACGGCATCAACCAGTATGTTTTTTTTTCCATCTTGTCCTCCTGAAACGAAGTGGAAGCTGACAGAGAGTAATTACGCAGCCCTGAGTGGAACCGCACCAGCTACCAGATCACCGGGCCCGGCCAGACGTACAACTGGGAGAGCTCCTGGACGTTTGGGCTCGTCTAGACCCGCCTGCGGTAGGTTGGTAACGGGCGGTGTTGTCACCGAAGGTCGAGACTGTCAAGGAGAGAGGCTGTTAAGGAGAGAGGCTGAAAAAAAAAGTTTGCATTCGGATCGAGTACTTCTAGTCTAGTCTAATCAGCCAGAGATCGAGCCATAATAAGCGTCTCCCAAGGTCTGGAGCACAAAACTTAGTGTCTTCAGTCTTCAAGAACCGGGATAATTCTGGGTATGAAGACCTGAGCAAGACTGAAAACCGGCATGAGGTTACTGTATCTTCTCTCGAAAGTTGAAGATTAGTGTGGAGACTAAAAATGGAGGAATCTGTCGAAGGTAACTTGGGTAGGGTACCAATGACACGCAAACAAAGCATGACATGAGATCCTCTGGATGGCTTCTTGAACTGTAGAATGCTCTACAATTATTGGTTGCTTTAGAACGTCTCCCTAGTTCTGATCCCCACACTAATCTTCGAATTTCAGTAAACTATGGGGTGGTTAAATTTGGCTGGTGTCTCTGAACCAGCAGTTCTAGAAACTCAACATCTAATTATCCATTCCTCGCTTCGCCATCCTTTTGCCATCCTTTTGCCCAGTCGGTTCTGTTCCATCGATCCTTAAAGACCCAGTGGAAATTCTCGGGCCAGTGCCCTCCACGCGATAGCCCGAACAATAGAGACGGGGCGGGAGCTTATCTTTGAGAATTTCGGACAAAGAGGCAGACTGGTCGCTGTGAGTGGCGACTGCTTCCGCCTTGTCGAACCGAACCCTAACTTCTATCTTGGTACAGACCATCCCCTACCGTCGAGAACTCGAGACATGACTTATTCAAGATGGCGCAAGTTCAGCTACCTAGGTACGCAGTCGTATTGCGGGAGGCTCCGTTTGCTCGGCACGCAGTGAGACATGTCGACGAGAACAAGACGCAAGCCGTTACCAAGATGCCGACATGTTTCAAACGGGCGCGACGCCAACGTCCCGACAACCGCCGCTCAAAAAACCCATCCGTACCTGACCAAGATTCTGCAACTGGCCGACTAGGCGCACCAGGAGATCGACGACGCTATCGTCATTCTTGTCATTCTCCCCGCATCCAGGACTTGGTGGCATGACGGACAGCGGGAAAGGTGTTGAACCTGGTCGATTCTCTGCTGGTAAGCGGGAGCAAGCGAGTTGTCTCGGATGTGCTGGCGCCATTATGTGTGCGCGGCCCGTCTCCGAGACCGTCTGCGGGAAGGATAATGGAATTATGGAGACCTGATAATGGAATGATGGAGACCTGATACTGACGGATGGGAGCATCTTGTTCAGCTAACGTAGTCCTAACGTGCAGAATTCAAGGCGTGAATAATTACAGAGCTGGTGGATTGAAATACTGGTGTATTCGCTGTCTATAACCACGTTGTGCCTTCTGCCGTTTTTCAAAGCCAAAATTCCCATCAATTCCACTGCCGCCATCAGTCCAAGAGTCTCAGTCTACTACTAAGGCGGAAGTAGTAGAACTAGTACTCATAACAGCCGTCGAGGTAGATTGCCTGGCTGAGGCTCCTTATCTGCTGCCAGTGCTATCTCATCCGTCCCGAATATTACCTTGGAGTACAGACCAGAGCTGTTCGTTCCCGCCGAAATTGCCCTGGGGACCTCGACCTCCGCCGCGCACCTTCCTGTTTTAACAAAAAGGGCAAACATCCATTTGAAATTTCGTACCTCACCTCCCTCGGCCCCACTTACCGCAGGCCAACCCTTCCTTGCTCTCACCTTCCTTGCTCTCACCTTCCTTCACCCCTTGCCCTTTAATTTTCTCCGCCGCACCTACCTCACCGGGCACAACCTCGCACCAAAGGAATCGTGTGCACCTGTCGCTTCCTTCCCTGTACCTGCCACTTCCTTTCCTGTACCCGTCACTTCCTTTCCTGTACCCGTCACTTCCTTTCCTGTACCCGTCACTTCCTTCCCTGTATCCGTCACTCTTTCCCTTTCTGCGTCCGAGTAACATTTCACTCCACCTCGTGAGCGTCCCGGCGTGAACATCATGTCGTCGACCTCGTCGGGCGAAAATGCCCAGCCGCTGCGTGGCCGCACGCTGTCTCGCGCCAAAAAGGGCACAGACGGCCCCCGCGTGAAGGAGAATAACATCGGCGCCGGTATCATAGGAGGCAACGAGGCCGCCGTTGATTCTGCTGACGTTGAGCGGTATGTTATCGCCACCTACCTTAATTACCTACCCAAGATGAGCTTCATTGATTTTGCTCCCCAGACCCCCACTGACTCTGGCTCCCTCCAGCGAGTTCAATGTGACGCCCCGAGATCGCCAGGAGGCACAGGAGACCGCAGACCGCATGACCCTGGACGAAGTGAAAGAAGTAAGCTGCTTCGCCTGTTGTTGAAGACATACGACGCTCTTCCTCTCCCCGCCTTCGCCCTGCTAACTCGCTCCTACAGCTCTTGACGCAAGTTCTCAAGATCCACGGAAGCGACCCTAACTTTCCGTACAAGATCCTCGACAAGATTGAGGAGTTTCTTGGTAAGTTCACAGTGGCTCAGAGAAATAACCCAAACGCCTTTACTGATGCATCGGCAGAGAACCGCGACGTGTTTGATCGCCCCCATCGTCATGTCCAACTCATCAACGAGATGAAGCTCGAGGCTGCCTTGATCACCAACAACAGCCCGTATGCAGAGGTCCGCTGCGTGGTTGAGAATTACGACGATCCGTCGATCCCGAGCTCGACTATCCGTGCCTGGATCATTGGTCTTTTCTTCTCCTGTGTCCTTGCTTTTGTAAACCAACTCTTCTCGATCCGCCAGCCCCCCATCGCGATCGGAGCCAACGTGGCCCAGCTGTGTGCTTACCCCATGGGCAAGTTCCTGGAGCGTATCCTGCCCGACTGGGGCGTTACTCTTTGGGGCGTTCGTCACTCCTTGAACCCTGGCCGCTTTTCCAAGAAGGAGCACATGTTGATTACCATCATGGCCACCGTCGCTAGCAACGTTCCCTACACCAACAACATCATCTGGATCCAGTATCTGCCGCAGTTCTTCAATCAGTCCTACGCCGGTCGGTTCAGCTACCAGATCCTCGTTGCCCTCTCGACCAACCTGATCGGCTACGGAATGGCCGGCCTCACGCGCCGTTTCCTGGTCTACCCTGCATACTGCGTCTGGCCGTCATCGTTGGTGACGATTGCCCTGAACACGGCCTTTCACAACGACATGAACTATTCCGTCTATGGACCAGGCAGCGTCAGCTACTTCATGTCGCGCTACAAGTTCTTCATGTGCGCCGCTGGAGCCATGTTTGTGTGGTTTTGGTTCCCAAACTACATCTTTACGGCGCTGACCGCGTTCAGCTGGCTCACGTGGATCGCGCCCAACAACGTGAACCTCGCGGCAATGACTGGTTTCTACAGCGGTCTGGGCATCAATCCGTGGCCGACCTTTGACTGGAACGTTCTCTCGTTTGATGGCGATGACCCGCTCATGCTTCCCTTCTTCGCGACGTTGAACAAGGTACTCGGGATGGTTGTCTCATGCCTGGTCATTATTGGCATGTGGTACAGCAATGCCTACTTCACCTCGTATCTCCCCATCAATACCAACCATGTCTATGACAACACTGGGGCGCCGTACCAGGTATCGAAGGCTCTCGACGACAAAGGGCTGTACGATGCGGCAAAGTACGGGCAATACTCTCCTGCCTACCTCTCCGCTGGAACCTTGACAGTTTACTTCTTCTTCTTTGCTGTGTATCCGGCATCCATCGCGGTGAGTCGGGATCCGAACATGCCACGACGCAGACGATGATGAGCTGACCTTGCCCTACAGTACGTCTTTCTTCACCACCGATATGAGCTCATATCAGGATTCAAGAACCTCATCGGCTCCTTCCGCAAGAGCAAGAAAAGCTCCGGTGCCGCCAGATTCACCGATGTGCACGCCCGCTTGATGTCGAGATACACCGAAGGTAGGCGATCGTATTGTCGCTCAAGTTCTAGCTTATATGAAACTGACAACTGCTGTCCCGTGGTTCCAGTCCCCGAGTGGTGGTATTTGCTCGTCCTGGCCGCCGCGATTGGTTTTGGCATCGGCGGCATTGTCGGATGGGAGACATACACAACACCGGGCGTCGTTTTCTACGGCATCGTTCTGTGCATCATCTTTGTTATTCCCCTCGGCATCATCAGGGCTATAACTGGAATCGAGGTTGCCCTCAATGTCCTCGCCGAGTTCATCGGCGGCACGTTTTCGAATGGCAACGCACTGGCAATGAACTACTTCAAGTGCTTCGGGTAAGACGGACTCTATGCAACGAGCGAGTGTTGACGGAGACTTGAGGGCTACGCTAACAAGGCTGCAGGTACGTTACGTGCTCCAATGCCACTTCGTTCGCCAACGACCTGAAGCTCGCCCACTACATCAAAATCCCGCCTCGCCAGACCTTCATGGCGCAGGTCATCCCGACACTCATCTCGACCTTCATCTGCGTCACCGTTCTCAACTTCCAAATGACCCAGATCCCCCACGTTTGCACCAAGGATGCCCCAAACAACATGTCGTGCCCAGGTATCAACACGTTTTTCATGGCGTCGGTTCTGTGGGGAACAATCGGCCCCAGGAAGATGTTCGGCCACAACGGCCAGTACACAGTCCTGATGGCTGGCTGGGCGCTGGGTGTCGTGTTTCCCGTCGCGTTCTGGTTCGTGCGGCGCCGGTTCAAGTCGCACAAGTGGCTGCGCCAGGTCCACCCTGTCGTCCTGTTCTACGGCGCTTTGAACTGGTCCCCGTACAACCTGTCTTGGATGCTCCCGTCGCTGCCCATCGCCTACCTGTCGTGGATGTGGTGCAAGTACCGGTATCTCGAGTTCTGGGCCAAGTACAACTTTGTTCTCTCGGCCGCCTTCTCGGTGGGCATCTCGTTGGCAGCCGTTGTCATGTTCTTCACTGTGGAGTGGTTCGAGGTCGATATCAACTGGTGGGGAAACACGGTCGCCTATCAAGGCTGCGAGGCAGACCCTTGCCCCCTCAAGGTGCTCGGCGACGACGAGGCCTATTTCGGGCCTGGCCAGTGGCTGACATAAGCGGTGATGGGGAATGTGGATTCTACGTGGAGAATAATGGTGATAGGCCACTCTTGTTGCTAGTTTGGTGCAGTTTCCATAGTTGTGAGGACACCCTTACTTGGGGGAAAAAAAATGAGGGCCCTCCTTAGTCTTTGCCATACCTACCGTCATGCACATAATCCCTAGTTTATACGCGTGGCGTTCATCATAAAGTAATAGGCCTCCAGGATTCTACAATAGGCCTCCGGGGTTCTTCAATAGGCCTCCAGGATTCTTCAATAGACCTCCAGGATTCTTCAACAGGCCTCCAGGATTCTTCAATAGGCCTCCAGGATTCTACAATAGGGGCTCGAACAGCTATTGCTTCCATCGACGAAAAACCATCAGGGCAAGCCGTAAGGAGTTGAGGCCCTCAGACCTTGGACAAGTCACCTGCTAACAAACAGACAGGCATTGAACTGCATGCTGAAGTGTATTTAGAGTTTAGGATTGCGTCAGCTTGGTGGACGGGTGGATGGCGCGGCGGGTAACTGCGTTGCCATGATGCGCTGATGCGCTCGGCCGTGCGTCTGTCGAAATAGCTACGACTCATGACTCGCTTTTCTGTTCGCGCATGGCCATCTCTTGCCTGAGCGAAATCCGAGCCCCTTACATACTCGAGTGCCTTCGACCGCTGCGGGCAACGGCGGTGACTCTTCGACGAACAACCGCTTAACTAACTGGCAACCTGGATGACGGCCGATTGCTGCATACGACTGCTCAGCCATGAAAGCCGCTAGATCCTCCCAACAACCACGCCTTCAGGCTCCGACACTCCCGACAAGAGACTGCCCCGTCAGGCCGTTGCCTGCCGTTCCTTGCTCCTCGGGACAAAATAGCCAGCCGGCCAGCCATTGGCCACGGTCATACATAAGTATGCATGTATGCACACAGACACAGGCAGGGACCACACGGGGCAAAGATGATGCTTCCACAGGCGGACACCAAGAAGCCTCGAAAATACTGACAAAAGTCCTCTAGATTACCACTTCTCGTGCGAATTTCTCCAAAGGGCAGACAACACCAACGAAACAGGCAGCCGCGAACACGGAAGATGTATATACACACGAACAACACGAACAACACGAACAACACGAACAACACGAACAAACAAGCAAGCAAGCCTCTCCGCGCAACAATCTCGACCCGGCCCAACTCAAAAGCAGCCCCGCCTCGCCCTACCTCTCAACCCGGCGCGACTCCGCTACGAAACGTAAGGCGCGGAGGAAAACACACCAAGTCCAGACAGGCATGGCAACACAACACGGACCCAAAAAAGGACATCCGCATTTCAGGCGGTCGGTCGGTTACACTTCCGTATCTCACCACTCACGAACAATACAAACGAACCTACACCGAATAAACCACGCAATGCTCTGTTATGCGATATAATAAATTAGGTTAGGTTAGGTTAGATTTACCCTTGCAGGCAGGCAGGCAGGCAGGCAGGCATTGGTATGATGCTGATGCTGATGATGGGAATCTCGAGAATCCCACCACGAGAGGGGAGGCATTATGAAGACGAAGACGAGGACAAAGCCGAGAGAAGAGGACGAGGAAGAGGACGAAGAGTGGAAGAAAAAATATACACACATAAATGCAGGAGGGTAGGTAAGGTAGGTAAGTTGTTCCTGATGGACAAACAGAACAAAAATATGGGTAAGAGAAAACAAGAAAGTATGTGGGAGAAAAATTAGCAGACAAGAAAAAGAAAAATGTATCCCAGAAGCCACCTGGACTCCAATTTCCATGTAATACTGTTCCTCCCTATATCCTCCGCCTCCCACCTCCGTTCTTTGCGCGTGGCATCCGCCAGAAAAAGCCGGGTTTGCTTTCTGGAAGAGAAACAACACACACACGCACACACGCACACACAAACACAATAGAGAGACGATGCTAATGGCGCACACATACAGATTATTTCCCTCCCCAAGATTCTGTCCTCGTGGTTTCCTTTTCGCCTTCTTCCCGCCGTCCCCTCCCCCGCTTTATTCTCGTTGCCATTAACCCACATATATGGAAGTCATTAAGCCGTTACCTGGAATGCTTCATGGGGTGCAGCAACATGCTGGGCGCATAGATCTGGCCGTCGCGGTCCTGGAGGATCCAGGGGCGCGGGACGCCGTCGTCGAGGCGGCGGCCCTGCCAGGCGTTGTAGATCTGGCGGGGCCAGTCCGTCTCCCACCAAAAGGTCAGGCCGTACCCGCGCGGGTGGCCAATGTCGTCGGGGCCGATACCCGTCGAGCTCTTGGCGGGGCCGCCCTTCCACCACTTCTCCTGCGTGGCGAAGTCGTCGCGCTCGTGCCAGAAGACGGGGTGCTGGGGGAAGCTGAACTTGAGGCCGTGCCACAGGGCGAAGCTCGGCGGCGTGGCCTCGCTGGGCACGCGCAGGTGCTGCCGGATCTGGGCCTCGTGGATGACGAACAGCAGGGCGCGGCTCGTGCGCATGATGGCGGGCGGGCAGAAGAACCGCGGCGTCTTAAGCCCGGCGCTGAAGCCGCCCAGCCAGCCCTGGAACACCCACTGGTGCGCGTTGAGCACGTTGTTGCAGAACGACGTGACGATCACGTCGGCCTCCTCGCCTACGCCCCACTTGAAGTGCTCGTCCTTAGCGAAGCGCGTCGGCGGGTCCGGCCCGATAGGCTGGATCTCGGGGATGCGCAGCGGGCCCCAGATGACGGCCGACCCGTTGTGCACCTTGTCGACCTCGTTGAAGAACTCGTCGTAGTCGCCAATCATCTGCTGCATGTGCATGAACGTGGACCGCTCAAAGGCCTGCTTCCGCGGCTCGTTACGCGCGAAGCTCGTCAGCCTGTCGAGATACCGACCTGCGTCGCCCGTGAAGCGCATGTCGAGCTCGACCTGCCAGAAGTGGTCGTACTCGGGATAGTGCAGCGCGAGGAGCTGCATCGGCTGGTATACCTGCCACATGGTTCTGCAGCACCCGTTAATGAGCGAGGGAGGAAGAGGGGAAAGGGGGCCTTGGATCCTACCTGTGCTCTTCGATATCCGGATACCAGCTCGACAGCAGGCGGTCGTCCCACAAGAGCGCCATGGACTGGAACTCGGGGGGGATTCCGGCGCTCTTCAGGCCCTGCAGGTACTCCTCGCTGGACCCGAAGATGTTACCCTCGTAATCCTTCATGTCGACGAGCAGGATGACCTGGTACTCGCCGCCCGTCTTGAGGGCGGCCTCGGCGACGAGGGAGCGGAGGTAGAACATGTCCTCGGGCATGTACTCGTAGCCGCGCCAGACGCGCACGACGACGGCGGTGCGGCGCGTCGAGCGGAACTCGTGCCAGTGGCGGACCTCGGGGATCTGCGACAGGTTCCGGAAGGAGAAGCGGTACGACGCCAACGTGTTCTCGAGCTTCTTGGCCGTCGGCGGGAAGCGGTGCGCGTTCCGCTCGAAGCAGTCGTTCTGCAGCCTCGCCCAGTCGACCCGGTCCCAGTCAACGCGCTGCCGCGTGTACGAGTCCTTCTCCGCGCCGAATCCATACGGCCCGTACCGCCCGTCGGCGCTCATGAAGGTCAGGTCGATGCCGAGGGCCTCGTAGGAGCCGGTAAAGGGGGTGGGGTAGGCTATCGTCGGGTCCGAGGTCAGCTATGGAGGGGGAAATCCGGGGACGAGTGGCTAGGGGGGAGGGGGAAATCCGGGGACGAGTGGCTAGGGGGGAGGGGCAGCGAGAGGGACCATCGCGTACGCATTTCCAGCTCAATCTCCTTCAAGTCATCGTCGGGGCTCTTGGTCAGCAGATGGCCGCGGGGCCCGACGCACAGGACACGCTCTCCGAGAGGCGGCACCGTGTAGTTTGCGTTGGACATGCGCTTCGGGGGCGGTATGGGGGTGGGCGGGTTCGGGGCGAGGCCCGGCAGCGATGGCCATTCCGCCGGCGAGCGCAGGTCCGAGGTGAGCAGCCAGACGGAGCAGACGATGAAGGCAGAGATGAGGGTCAGCCGGTTGTGGAACAAGCGGCGGAGCCTATTCCAGGCGAGGAGGTGACGGCTCATGTTGGCGTGGCCGACGCTCAGGGGTGGAGGTGCGGGTTGAGTTGTCCTGAAGAGGACTTTCCACCCTTTCTGCGGCGATGTTTTGTGCATCCAGCCCGACTCGAGGGGGGGAGATGGCTAAAGTGGATTAGGTGTCGTCGCTCTACCGGGTCGTCACTCGAAGCCGGGCAAGGGCATTTCGAGATCGGGAAGCAACAAGCGAAGGAAAAGGAAAAAAAAAAAGAAAAAAGGAAATCGAGCGGCCGAAAGCTGGAGAGCTGAGGCTGCAGGACGGAGAAGGAGGCAGTGCGCTGTGAATCGTAGGCAGGCAAGGCAAGGCAAGGCAAGAGGGCTGCGGTGCTGTGGGCTGCTGGCAGCAGGGCAAAGAGGAAGGCCAGAAATTTGCAATTGCCAATGGACGACTGGCTGCTTCCCGGGAGCCTACTAGCAGAACCCCTTAGCAGCTTCGCTCCAATCGAGGTCCCTGGCACTAGGACCACTGTTTGACGGGTCCTAGTCTCCCCTGAAGGGCTCGAAATGAGGTGGCGCTCGGACCGTAATGCGGTCCCGACAGCGTGGTGAAAAGCTTGTCTTACACCAATCAGGCCGTTCCTGCCCCCTCATGCCGCAAGTCCGCACGTTCTCCCTTCATTGTACCGATACAGTGCAGCAGCCCCTCGGCTGAATTTACGGCAGGCAAACCGCAGCTTGTAACTAACCGGAGATGCGACTGATAAAAGGCCTGTTGGTTGGTCTCCTCGGTCTCTCCAAGACAGCTCCGCTGTGTCATCGCCGTGGCACATGACACGGTCTATTACTGATATGGAAACACAAGCGAGGGCAAAAAGACTTCGAAATTTAATCTTGTAATATTTCCAGTCGTTACGGCCCCCTGATCTAAGACGGCACGAGCGAGGGGCGATTCCATCTCGGTTCCCACATTTGCCCCACGTCTTTGCTAAAAGGATTATCCCGACAGTTACAAAAAGGGGCAGGAAGCCCGTCTGTTTCCTGATTGTGTCAACCTGGTGGATAACAACGTCATTCTGGGAGCAGATCGCGGATCTGGCGATTGACGCTCAACGGCCAAACCTGGTAATTGTTGTCTGTTGTATGTGGAGAGACCAGTTCGTACTCGGGGCCCCTTTGAAACGCTCGATATACGGAACATGGGGCCAAAAGTCTTTACACGCTTGCTCGTACGGATTACCTCACCTACGTAAGGACAGTGTTTAAAACCGGCTGGCTGCGAAAGCTTTTAGGTGCCCCTTGCTATATTTTAGCGATCCTGTCGTCAAGTTCTAGTAGTGCGTTCTTTATCGCCTGTTTATTTTAGCGAGCTAGATGGACAGTATTAATGGCACTGTCTGTATGTAAGCCAGGCTCAAGCAATTTATGTAGCCAGGCTCAAGCAATTTATGTACCCAGGCTCAAGCAGTTTATGTAAGCCAGGCTCAAGCAAGTGTGTAGAGACTTTTGGCCCCAAGCTCCGTACTCCGTGCGGATATTATATTAATACAAAGACGTGGTATATTTTACCCCAAATGTCTCGCGCAGGCGACGGCGGCTCCCATTATTTTTCAGCAAGGGACGCCCAAGAACATCAGGCTCGCACCAGCGGCGTGTTTAATAGCGGTGGCGGGTCGAGTAGTCCTTTGGGCTGATGACGAGACCGCGGCCCTTCTTGGCGCCGCGGTAGATGGTCTCGATGATGTCGATGAGCTCCTGCTTGTCCTCGAGCACCCACTTAATCTTGTTGTTGTCGCCGGTCCCGAGATCGATCATCATGTGCTTGTTGCGGAAGAAGAACATGAGCGTGCACTCGTCGTAGAGCTCGTACATTTGGTTGAAGTCGGGCACCGTGTCGATGTCGCAGACGTAGCTACGCAAGCGCGCTGTCAGCCACACCTCTCCTAGTAGTATACCGGCATCTACCCCAAAAGCAGGTCTTTGACGGAGGGAAAGAAGGCAACTTACATGACGGCAAAGTTCTTGACCAGGTCGGCGATGCGGTACAACACCTCGTCCTGTCGCATGCAGTCGGGGGTCCAGCTCCGGCCGAAACGGATCACGACCAGACGCTCGTCTTCGCTGAGGATGGCTGTGTTCGATTAAAGGTGCGGTTAGCTTGGCTCCCGTCAGATGCGTATGGGCAGCGTATGCGAAAGGTAAAACAGCCCGATAACTAGGCCAGGAGGGGGAGGGGGTCGCGTACCTTGGTCGACGTGCCAGCCCGTCTCGAGGTTGGGAAGTGTGAAAGACATGTTGCTCGAGATGTGGGATGATGCAAGCTTCGTTCCCGTGTTGAGCTTGTAGGTCAGGATATATCGTGAGACACTCAAGTGTGTTTGCGACAGTGACTGTCGAGAGGGAACCAAGGTTGAAATCAACACAGGTCCGCGATGGGTGGGGTTCAAATCGAGAACAGCTTGCCGGGGCAGGGCAGGGCCGCCCCACAAAATGTGGCAATCGATCGGTCGTCTCGTCACGTGGGCCTGACTTTGGCGGACCGGGGGGGGGAGGGCCGGCTGCTAAAAGTTGGTCGAAATTGTTAGTGGCAGCTTCTAGACCCCTTCCCGAACATTCGCGAAGACATTCGCGAAGACTCGCCATTTGGCTTCTGAAGAGCAACCACCAACAACTATGATTAGTTCTAGGCCTTTCGGACTGTCTTGACTTTTCAAATAGCGGAATTTGGCAACACACGTGGTTCTCAAATAATACGTGCGAGGTTGTTTGTTTTCCAAAAAAAAAAAACGGTTTCCAAGAGGGTTCATTAGTGCTTCTTGACATTCTCCATCCACTCCTTGCCGGCCTTTGCGCCGTCGTGGGCCTTGCGGAACAGCCTCCTCTCCCGCTCGTCGAGGCCGCGAAGGAACTCCTCGCCGGCGCCGCCGACGCCGAGGTTGCTGCCCTCGTCGGCGGAGCTCTTGCCGTGGTGGCCGACGCCGCCGACCTTGCGGGCGTGCAAGGCGATCTCGGTGGCGCGCGTGACGTACGTCTTGCGGAGCACCGTGGCCAGCTCCTGCTCCTCCGACAGGTCCATCATGTGCGTGGCGAGCCCGTAGAAGTGGGCGCTCTGGTCGCGCAGCGGCACGGCACGCGGGTCGGCCTTGAGCGCCTGCACCACGTCGTTACCCAGCGCCGGCGGTAGGTCGAACGTCACAAACGACTTGCCCTGCTCGTCGAGGCCGCCCGAGCTAGAGGCTATGGCCAGCATTTCGGCCAGCCAGAGCGGGAGCGCGACTCTCGAGCCCGTCTTGAGCGTCTGGGTGGGTGTGTTGTCGAGGTAGCCAAGGTCTGGCACGTCGAGCTGGAAAGTGCATGGTATTTTCTGTGGACGGGCAAATCAATGCGTGCAAGTGCCGGGCTTGGGTAGCGGGTGTGCGAGCAGGTGCGACCGCGCCGGGGACAGAGCAGGACGGGCAGATTAAAGCCAGCTAATTACCTCTGCATCCGTGAGGATCGAGTCGATGTCGTAATAAGACATGGTGCTCTTTGAGGCAGACTGCCGATGCAAGGCACTGTGCCCTCCAGCCGGCGTCCGAGTCTCGGATAGTACAAAGGGAAGCCTTGCGAGAGAAGCTGTTTGTTTTTTTCTTTCGCTGGGACTGGAACGCGACTGCACTGCTGGAGAAGGGGCCGCTGTAATGCCCCACCACAGAACGGAAAGGATCGCTGGGCAAGGGCTATCCCCTAGCAGGGCGGTCTACCTCCAGCCACAGCTAGCCCGCCTGCGTAACTCCGTTTTCAGCGGATAAACGCTCTGGAAAGCCACATTACTAAGCCCATCCGCCGTCTTCCCGACTGCCCGCCCGCCTAGACAAGGGTCGATGACGAAATAGCTGACGCGAGTTGCCGAGCTTCCAACAAGATTCGGCCGCATTGGAAACATTGGATCTACGCTTCGAGACGTATGCCACAGCCTGTCAATTAGGTTTCCTTTGCCGCCCCCGACTGATCAATTGGCTTTTGCAGCTTGCCGGCCAAAGACAGCTAACGCATCATGTCTTCAACTCTACTTCGCACCGCGCCCGTCCTTCGGGGAGCTCTTCGAGCTGCAGGCGCGGGAGCCATTAAACCCGCCGCGGCCCTGGCCAGCACGAGCTTTGTGCGTGGGAAGGCGACGCTCCCAGACCTGTCGTGTAAGCAATTTACTGGCTCCTCCGTGGCCGACCATGTCGGGCACTCGTGGATACCGCACGCCCTGGTTCACAGCTGAAACTGACCGGACAATGCGCCACCAGACGACTACGGCGCCCTCGAGCCCTTCATCTCGGGCAAGATCATGGAGCTGCACCACAAGAAGCACCACCAGACCTACGTGGCCGGGCTCAACTCTGCCCTCGACACCATCGCCGAGGCCGAGAGCAAGGGCGACCACACCAAGGCCGCCACCGTGGCGCCTCTGCTCAACTTCCACGGCGGCGGCCACGTCAACCACTCGCTCTTCTGGGAGAACCTGGCTCCCGCCAGCCGAGACGGCGGCGGCGAGCCGTCTGGAAGTCTCAAGGTGCGTTGGCTTCGCCTATCAGCCGTCTTATCTGTCAAGGCAGACGAACCCCGGAGCATAGTGGAGGCATGGAATGCGCGCAAGGGATCGCAGGCTCTGCTTTGCACGTGGAACAAGAAAAAAACAAGGACAGAAACAAGCCCAAGCTCTGTCGGCGTAATGCTTACACTCTCTCTCACCTAGACGGCGATCGACGAAGACTTTGGCTCGTTCGACACGTTCCGCAAGCAGATGAACACGGCGCTGGCGGGCATCCAGGGCAGCGGGTGGGCGTGGCTGGTCAAGGACAAGCAGAGCGGCACGCTGGGCCTGGTGACGCGCGCCAACCAGGACCCCGTCACCGGGCCCTACACGCCCCTGCTCGGCATCGACGCCTGGGAGCACGCCTACTACCTCCAGTACGAGAACCGCAAGGCCGAGTACTTTGAGGCCATCTGGAACGTCGTCAACTGGAACACGGTCGCCGCCCGCTTTGAGAAGAACTAGGGGAGGACGCCGAGAAGTTTGAGGCGGCCCTCTCTTAGGCGTGCACCACTGGCCGGTTCTAGGTGTGCGCCACTGGCCGGTTCTAGGTCGGCGGTGTGACGGGCTTTGTGTATATCAAGATAGGTGTTCATATTATAGAACGTTTTTTAACGACACAGTTGGTGGTTACTCGTGACTTTCCTTACAGCTATGTTAAAGAGGTCATGCCGGGGGCGCCAGACAAGGAAGGATAGGGCATCGCTATTGGTTCTAGGCGTCCTGAGGCGTCCGTTGTCAAGTCTAGACCGAGAGGCTACTGACAGCGTCTCATCAGTGTTCTCTCGCCGCCTTCGTGCCCGGGAACCCAGGTACCTCAGCCGTGTGTCAACGAGCGGCAACGCAGAAACGTGGTAGAGGGCTCCGTTAGGCTGCGGGTTCTGTGGCGAGCTGGGCGAACTACTTTTGTTCTACCTCTTAATCTGCTAGTCTAGGCCGGGCCATCGGGTGCGCCACTGGGAAAGGGGAGTTTCCTGGCCTTCGCATACGGCGCTGGGGCCGGCGGCGGGGCCCCAGCCGGCGCATGCGGGGGCGGAAGGTTGACGGGCCTCATGTAGTTTGGCGGTCTCCCTCGTCTTTTGGTGCTCACGGTCGGTTTGGTGGGAGGAAGGGCCAGGAGGTTTGTGGGGATGGCAAGCAAAGTCGGCGCGGTCACGCCGCCACATCCACTCCACACGTTTCGAAAGCGTCGGCCAACGTCCTTGGTACGGCGCAGTTGGAAGGGTATTTGAGTTGAGAAACTGCCCCGCGGGTCCACGTCTCCACCATCTGGGCTCGAACGGTTCGAGGCGCCGAGTGGCGACGGGCCGCGGTTCATCCCGTCTCCCTGGCGTGTTGTTCCAGACCGTACGGCGTGAGCCACATCGAGGCTTTCCAGTTTGCATTACCATAGGTGCGTGTCTCTTCTGTGTTGGGCTCTTCTCTGAGGCATACGCTTCTCTGAGGCATGCGCTTCTCCGAGGCATACGCATAAACTAGCCTAGTAGACTTGGAGGTTAGGTATGTACTCTACACCCCAGCCTCTGAAGCTCGTTAGTTTGGTTCTTGAAAGTTGGTAGGACCGAAGGCCTTGTTCTTACCTGGAATTTCTCTTAAGACTGCTGTACCCTTAGGTTTTCCTTGCTCGACTTTGCAACAAAACAATCGGATATAGACCATGTCTACAAGGCCTCGAAGTACCACGCCAACGAACTTCCAGGGGCTGGGGTGTACCTCGTAGCTTCGACTGAGAGGACATGAATTCATGGGAGACATGCGGCTTCTAGCGTCGACTAAAAACATTATTTGCCTTGTTCCTAATGTCAAACGACGCGTAAAAATTAGGTACCGTTACCTGTACATATTCTAATGTAGACATTCCACTCTCTCCAACTGCACAATGCAACAGCCTAGATGGGAAGTGCAACACATAGATCAGGGCAGATCCGCCGGGTACCTACGAAGCGGCAACAGACGGACCCAAGCATCTGGGCCCTGCCTTGGTTACGACGGGCGATGATGCGAAGTTGGAAATTACTCTCACATGCTGCCTTTGAGGGGTAGGTAAATATTTATTGGACACAAAAGTCTGGTTAGAATTTAGGCAAGAGGTCATGTGTACCTACTTCTGCAATAATAAAAGACCAGTCGTGGTTGCACAACCCAGGGCACGCGTGTGCAACAACAGACGCATCTTGTGTTGCATGTGTTCAGTATGCAACCCAACAAACCAACAACCCATTTTAGGTATATGGGCCTGAGCCACCGCAGCTCTGCCGCTGAAGCTTTAGCAGTCGACCTAAGCAGTACCAAGAGAAAACAGCCCCGCCGGCAATGTCAATTACCAAAATGAAGGCCAAACAATCTCTCAATCAGGCCTACCTACATTTGTGCCTTATTTCGCAAAGCCGTTGGCGTAGAGCCTACCCTCGGCACAGATGCGGGAGTGGCGTGTCAATGTCTGAACTGAGCCATCGTACGACGAGTCAGGCCCCCTCCGTCCCAAGCCCATCCGAGCAATTACCGCAGCTACTTGGCCACGAGACTGTCGGATTCAAAAAAGCTCTCCCTCCTGAGACGGTATATAGACTCGCAACAGACTCGCAACCCGTCCGGTCCATTACCCCCGTGAAGGCTTTTTTTTTGTCAACATATTCGAGCCTTATCGACTCCCTCTCGCTGCACCGATGACATAGGATTCAACATTTTTGTTACCCCGCAGTGCGTCCAGGCCAACTGTTCTGCACTAAAAGCTAAACCCCGTCCCCAGCCGCCTAATCCGGACACCAACCCTGGGCCATTCAACCCCAGCAAGCGCGGCACAACACCGCACCACACCCGCGCTAGGACGCTGAAAACGCGGGGAGACTAAACCTACGAGACCAGGGTTCGACAACTGTAAGCCAGAGCCCACAAGACCAGGGTTCGACAACTGTAAGCCAGAGCCCACAATTCGAGGTTCCATTCACTGCCAGTCTCGGTCAAACCAGCAGAGACAGTCCGGACGTTGGACTTGCACGAGAAACGAAGTACGGGCGTTGAACCAGGGAAATAGATCGCTCATCGGCTGCACAAGAAGGCTTCCAAGTTCCGCCGGAGGCTGCCCCCACACCAGACCAAAGACGAAGCTACTTAGGGAGAGGTGAAATCCAGGTCTGCGTGACCAGGACCGCCGATTGGAATCGGACGTCGGGCACCCCCATTTGGTCCCGGAGCTTTCTTGACAGAAGACGCAAGATTTGGGGGGACACGAGAATTCCGGAGCTTCACGAGTCCAGAGGCGAGTCCAGAGGCGAGCCCAGCTTCACCGACTACCGTGCCTTGGAGGTAGAGGTACCTACAGTGTGAGTAAATTCCCAATTATCTCATTTCCACCTGGCCTGCCTCGGCCTCTTTCCATTGTCTCTCGCCGCACGCATTCGATAGTCTCGCGAGTTTCGAGACGCCTATCGCAAGCCACCGCTGCCATTACATTGCACTAGTTGAAGTCACCCGGAGTCTCAGGCATGCTGCCGGTGACATAGCAGCAAGCACCTTCTGTCTCCTCCCGGCCACCCACATCAGGTGCTTTGTGGTTCGGTGGTTGAGTACTCACCGACTTTGCTCCTTGCATACCCATGTATGCACATACGGACTATGTATGTGTCTGAGTATGTATGTACGAGGAAAACTAGCCAGGGGCCTTCTGCGAGGTGATGCCCGTGGGACGTGGCAGCCGCCATCCAATCACCTGCACCAATCTCGATGCATCTACAAGGAAACTCGGCCAGGTCTACCAAGGAAGCTCGGCCAAGGAAGCTCGGCCAGGTCTGCCAAGCCAGCCAGCCAGCCAGCAGCCAGCCAGCAGCCAGCCAGCCAGCCCAACTTTTCCCTCGCCGAGTGCGGATGCTGTCGTTGGAGGAAGACGCTGCTGGTCTAACCCTAACTAACCCAAGACGAGCTGTCTGCACCAGATAGCACACCACTGCATCGGGTGCCACCTGCCTGTGCCTTCCTTTGAGGCACACTGGACGGTGGGACCTGGGACGGGACCGCTAAAAAAAAACCGGGCTGAGCTCAACTGCCCTGTCCGCCTGTGCCGCGTCGGATCTCGTGCCGCGAGAGGCTGCAAATATTGACTGACAGTGATGATGAGGCTCGGGAACGGGAAATTGTCAGATACGATATGTAGTAAGCTGGCTAACCCATGGGTAACACGCCCGGAATACAGGATCGAACAGCGAGGCGGCCCATCATTTCCGAGTGGAAATTTGTGAACCACCAACGAGGCCATGGCAGAGAGACCATCTCGCGACAAAGAACAAACTCGAGCTCTCGAGGGAGAACCCCCGCGACTGGCTGGCAGCAGTGCCCCACCGCCGTCCCGCCCCGTCCAAGTCACGGTCCAAGGGCAGGGAGGGGAAGTGGGAGGCATGGAAGGGCACCCGCAGGTCGAGGCCCATGTTCGGCTGCACGACCCGCATGAGGAGGGGCAGCTGCAAGACGACAAGCTGCGTCACCACCACCTGCAAAGCCGACAAAGTCGAGCAGGCCTCGACAACAGCTCCTCTAGCGAATCGACGAGCCTTCCCATGGACGATCAGCGCCACCTGACCTCGAGCTCCGATTCTGTTGCTGACCTGTACCCCCATGGCGGCGGACACCAGATTTTACCTACATCAGTTGTCGCCTCCCCCGAGAGGCAAAACGAGCTCCCATCACCATCACCATCACCATCACCCCGCCTTGCCATCAACGATCACCTTCCGACCCCTGCAGCACCAGCTTCCCCTTCCCACCTACCAACACACTCGCGCCCCTCTCGCAGCCTCGTCGGACAGCGGCAGCCAACCGTGCCGCCCAAAAACAGCACTCCCTCTCCAATTCGAAGCGGTGCTTCCTCACCTACAGCCCACAGGCCAAAAAGTCTCCGTCCTTTCGTCCACGCAATCATGGCATTCGAAAAGGGCCGCAAGTTCTCGACGGGCACTTCGGTGCACCGCAAGCGCCAGATGAGCACTCTGGTCGAGAAGGAGGGTAGTTTTGGTCCCGCTCTCACGGTATGCACATGCCCTCAACAGCTACGGCGCCGGCTCTTTGCCGGGACACTGCGCTGACTCGCTCGCGCCCAAGACGCTCTATCTCGGTATCTCGGCTGTCTTCTCAGACGACCATACGGCAGTCGTCGCCTTGGCCATCCACGACACCGTGTACCTGATCGACTTCTCGATCAAGCACATCGTGCTCGACGATGCCCTCAGGATGGGTGCCGACCTCATCGCCGACTACGTGATATCCGAGGTCCAGCGGTACGAGCACGAGAACTTCTCCAAGTTCATTGGCGCTGGCCTCCCCACCACGCTCAAGTACATGAGCCCCTCGCTCTGCTCGCGGCTCTGGCTGGAGCTGGATATCGTCCCCATTGTCATGCGCCCCGACGACGAGTACAAGGAGAAGAGCTTTTGGGACGTCAAGCGCGTCGACGAGCAGGCCGATTCCATGGCGCGAAAGTGCATCATGTAAGTCACGCCCGAGAAAGTCACGCCCGGGACTAGCTCTTTCTATCTACAGCCGTCTGAGCCACGATTTTAGGAACTTTGGCCCTTCGCTCGTCCCTCTGCTCCAGGTTGGGTGGAGAGGTGTCGTCCAGACGGATGCCGGATTCCGTGCCCATCTCACCACTGTCCAAAACCACAAGGACACGTGCGGCGCTGCAACGTGGGAGACTATGCTCACATACGCCAAGAAGCTCCGGGGCAACAAGACCAAGGTCGCCTTCTTCAGCTCCACCCCTCAAGGCGGCGGTGTTGCGCTCATGCGGCACGCACTGGTCCGTTTCTCTCGTCTCCTGGGAGTCGACTTGACCTGGTATGGTAAGTAAAAAAAAAAAAAAAACCCCCTCTTTCCTCGCGAGTTGGAATTCCAATAACACGACGCAGTACCGAAGCCACGGCCCGGCGTCTTCCGCATCACCAAGAACATCCACAATATCCTTCAGGGGGTCAGCCACCCAGACCAGCGCATCTCTGCCGAGGAGAAGCAGGCCATTATCGACTGGATCACCGAGAACGCGAACCGGTACTGGTTCTCTGAAGGCGGCCCGCTGTGCGCTCCCGAGGATGGCGGCGCCGACGTCGTGATTGTGAGTCTTCTTTGTCACACCCCACCCTTCCCCCTCTCTCCCTCCCCTCCCCCCCCCTTTTTTTTTCTTCTCGTAAATCCCGCCCACACCCCTACACCCCCATGCATGGGTCTGCCTGAAGCTGCAGGATACTGTGGCACATGACCGTTGCCAGTTGCACCCCCGCGCCCCCCCAACTCGCGCATAGAGCAGCACCGGGATGGGATGACCTTGCATGCTGACGAGTGCAGATTGATGATCCGCAAATGCCTGGCCTGATTCCCCTCATCAAAAAGTACACGCCGAACAGGCCTGTGCTGTACCGATCCCACATCCAGATCCGCAGCGACCTTGTCGCCAAGCCCGGCTCGCCCCAGGCCGACATCTGGGACTTCCTCTGGAGCAACATCCAGGGGTGCGACATGTTCATCAGCCACCCGATTCCCATCTTCGTCCCTCACACCGTCCCACGTGAGAAGGTTGTCTACTTCCCCGCCACCACTGACTGGCTCGACGGCCTCAACAAGCACCTCAACAGGTGGGATTCGGGCTACTATGGCCACATCTACAATGTTGCCTGCCACTCGCAGCGCATGTACGTGATCCTGTTCTGTCTGGTCGACGAGCCGAATTCTGTCTGGTCGACGAGCCGAATAGCTGACATTGCCTCAGGACCGAGCTGAACTGGCCTGCGCGCAAGTACATCATCCAGGTTGCCCGCTTCGATCCGGCCAAGGGCATCCCCACCGTGATTGATGCGTATGCCGAGTTCCGCCGCCAGTGCGAGAAGCTGAACTTCACCGACGTCCCGCAGCTGGTTGTCTGCGGCAACGGCTCCGTTGATGATCCCGATGCCAGCCTCATCTATGACCAGACCATGTCCCAGTTGGAGACCTACTATCCCGACCTGATCAAGGACATCAGCGTCATGCGCCTGGACCCCAACGACCAGCTGATCAACACACTTCTCGCCAACGGCCATGTCGTCCTCCAGCTCTCCACCCGCGAGGGCTTCGAGGTCAAGGTTTCCGAGGCTCTCCACGCCGGCCGCCCCGTCATTGTGACCAACACTGGCGGCATTCCGCTCCAGGTCAAGGACAAGGTCAACGGGTTCCTTGTCGCGCCTGGCGACTGGAAGGCGGTCGCCGGGCACCTGGTCGAGCTCTTCACCAACGACGAGCTGCACAAGAAGATGAGCCACGCCGCCCGGACGGGCGTGTCGGACGAGGTCGGCACCGTCGGCAACGCCCTCGGCTGGTTCTACCTCGCGGCCAAGTGGCAGGAAGTCGGCGTCGAGAAGCACGGAAAGGGCGGCCTCAAGGGCAACGAGAAGTGGGTCAACGACATGGCCCGCGACGAGGCCGGCTTCCCCTACGCCGAGGGCGAGAACCGCCTGCCCCGCCACTTCACCCAGGCTAAGGCCCTGCCAGTCCAGACGAAGCCGGCCGCCGACGACAAGCCTGCCGACGGTTGAAAGGGTTGCTGCGAACGGAATCTGCTTTGCTCTGTCTTGAGTCCGATGTATGTGCATCCGGCTGCCTGGATACCGCAAAAGATGATAGAAGCTTCTTGGGCATGGCTGATCACTTTTCGTACACGGAGGCTAGATTATGCGGGCACAGAGGCTAGATTATGTGGGCTCGCCGGAGTCCAGGCCGGCGCGAAGAGGTTTGTTATATACATGTACGCCAATGCAGCCATTGTCGTTGTGCTGGGGTGTATAGTTTCGCTGGACGTTTTTGGTATTACGATGGACGTGTGGGATTTCTTTCTCTTCTTTTCTCTCTCTGGTTTCATAATAGTTGGTTGGATGGCCCGTAGGGGAAGCGCAACCAATGGGTTTCAACAACAAAAAGGATCCAAGTCGAGGTAATATTTAGGGGTGTGTGGGTAAAAGAAAATAGCATTTGTGTTTTGGATTGGGCACCTACTTTAAATACAGCTTCGACTAGGGATGAAGTTGGTTTTATCCGTGTTTTATTTATGACTTGCTTTTTGGGAATGGGTAGGGAGGTATATGCAGTGATATTCTGCGTTATCGACAGGCGGTTTCTTTGCCTGTGTCTAATAGTTTGAGAGGATTCGATATGAGGTCGGTTACTAACCTTCCTGATACTATAGTTAGCTGGCTTACACTCTCTAGTTGTTAGATCATGTTTAGTCTGGGGGGTTTAGGGGGGGCAATGCTAACTATAAAGTGTGAAAAAGGGAAGTGTTTATTTACAAGGAAGTTCGGCGCAACTAATAAGTAGATTTGCTCCCAAGGTAGATTTTACAAATAGCCAGCGTATATAAGTAGCATATCAGCCATCTGGTACAGCCAATCTTGAGGTGGCCGAATTTTGACCTGGTGTTAAGGGAATGTTCTCGTGAAAAAAGCTTTTAATTTAGTATAGGACAATAAAGTGCGGTCTTCTTCCTGCTATCTTCCTCTTCGTATAAATGTAACGCCCAGGATATATCTCTTGAGCCGTATTAGTTCCTAGAGGATATAGAATATACCGTAGTTTAGGCAGACATCTTGACAGTCCGCGGAGGCCCTCTCTCATTCTATGTCTTTTTTGATTCCGTTCAGGAGAAGACTTGGCACAGTTCCGGGCGTGGTTCCATTTCACGAGTCAAACAGGGGCCTCGGATACCTTATTCTAGGATCACCATCATAGAAGGCAGGCATATACTCGGTGCTATTACCTAATAGTCGGGTTTTCACGTTTCGGCCTTCATGTTTGTTACCACAGGCCACAGAAACAGATTCGGAACGTATAGGGTCCGCAATCCAGGCTGTCTAGCCAGCTATATCCTGCCAGTCACCATGCTAGCCCAAGACTGGAGGGGCAATTTCAGTGGGTTTATTTCAAGACTCGCTGTGATGGGCCCAGAAGCGCCGTCGGATGGAGCATCCTGACAGAAGTTATTGCGGCTTCAGCCAGGAGCAAAGCAGTTCATCGGTGTCTGGTCAGTTCTTCGCAAGCGATGCACTTTCCTGTCTCTCCAAACGAGGCTCTTTGAGACCAATAAGCTGGGCCAGGCTCGTTTTACTCAGATTGTAGATACCCACCTTGGGGGTATCTACCAGGACAAAAGAGTCAACGGCCACTTAGGTATCCAGTCCCAGAAAACATCTTGATAAATGCCTAGGTATAATTCCCGACTCTCGCGATGCCCGGTTGCCCGCAACCCCAGCTCTAGTTGATATCGCAGCAAATACCACAGTGCCATCCCGCAATATTACCACCCACAGAAGAAAACCTCCCGCATAGCCCCTATATCCCCAGCTAAACCCAAATAAATAAATACAAGACTACAAAGACAGGCACGTCACACCGACTCACACCGACATCTCCATGGCGATGGTCTTGTGCGGGTTGTAGCCCTTGATGACAAAGTCTTCGGCGGCCCAGCCGTCGATGCTGCCGCCCCTTGGGCGGGCGGCGGAAATCTCGAGCTCGGGGAAGTCGCGCGGCTTACGCTCGAGCTGGGTGCGCAGCGCGTCGACGTGGTTGAGGTAGACGTGGGCGTCGCCCATGACGTGGGTCAGGCTGCCGGGCACGAGGTCGCACACGTGCGCCAGCATGTGCGTCAGCAGCGCGTAGCTGGCGATGTTGAACGGCACGCCGAGCCCCATGTCGCACGACCGCTGGTACAGCTGGCAGTGCAGGTGGCCCTTGGGCTTGTCCGTCTCCGAGGTTTCCGAGGAGGTGCTTCGCGACCGCGGGTACGACACGTAGAACTGGGCAAACATGTGGCACGGCGGCAGGACCATCTGCGGCAGGTCCTTGGGGTTCCAGGCGGTGAGGATCAGGCGGCGGTCGTAGGGATTGGTGCGCAGGGTGTCGATGATGCGGGCCAGCTGGTCGACGCCCTGGCCGGCGTAGTCGGCGTGGCAGTCGACGTAGTCGGCGCCGAAGTGGCGCCACTGGAAGCCGTACACGGGGCCCAGGTCGCCGGCCTCGCGGTGCGTCAGGCCCAGGTTGTCGAGGAACTCGCGCGACCCGTTGCCGTCCCAGATCTTGACGCCCGCCGCGCTCAGCGCCGTTGATGATGTGTTGCCCCCGACGAACCACAGCAGCTCTGCGATGACGGCCCGCGTGAACACGCGCTTCGTCGTCAGCAGCGGCAGGATCGGCGTGCCGTCCCGGTTGAGGCTGAACTTGAGCGGCCGCGGCGCGAAGATGGAGTAGGTGCCCGTGCCCGTGCTGCAGGTCCCAGAACTGTCAGCATGGCGCTTTGCTTGGGTTGCATGCATACATGCAATAGCTTTGGACATCTTGGGGCACTTACCGGTCGCGACGGAGCTCGCCATTGTCGAGAATGTCGCGCACGAGCTCGAGGTACTGGTATTCCTCGTGGGCGGGGGTAGGCGGCGAGCCAGACGGAGCTGCTCTCGTCAATGTCATTGTGTCGTGTGTGTTGCTTGCTAGGGACTGGTGGGACTGGAGAGGCTGCAAGTGTTCGGTGGCTAATGGGTAGCAGTAGCAGCAGGAGTAGAAAGTGCGACGAAAGAAGTGGTAGAATTGAGTCAAAGACGCGGCTGCCCGAAACAGCTCTACGCGACCCTAGTGGGACGCGACAAGGCGCGATTCAACCCCGCCCCCACCATCCAGCTTCTAAGGGTTAGGGTTGGCGTGTCGTTGGAAACGGGACCAACATCGTCCCTGGCAGATATAGAAATACCGTTCTTGCCAGATTTGCCCGACCTAGGCGCCTGCTCTGGCACTTTCGGCGTAATCGCGCCTTTGTCCAAAGACGAAGCATGAAGAGTGAACAGATCATTTTTGGCACCTGTCATTTGTCGTACACTGATTCATTCACATTGTCCCTTCCGTTTTCGGTACCCACGGACAACTTCTTGGGTACCTTATGATGGGTTAGTGTTGGGATGTGGGCCTCGAAGGAGTTAGGCAAAGGATTTGTAGCCTACTTCGCGACCTACTTCGTGTCACGGCACAGCGCATTGTGAGCTCATTGTCGCTGGCCGTGTTACGTCATCCTCCAAAAAGCACAATTAGGCTTAGTTTGTGGGTCACGTGCAAACTTCGCCCACAACCCTTTTTCCACCGATCGCAGCTCCTGCGATCCTTCTTTCTTTTTCTTCTCTAGCTTAGTTTTACACCAAATCAATACGGTATCTTATTGGCATTTTCCTTTAAATCCTATTAACCGTGACACTTGGCGACCTATTTCGCCACTACAATAGTAAGTCAGGTGGGGGACTTTTGGAACACCCCTGCCTATGGAACAGCCCCTGAATCGGACCCCGCACAACACCACAAACTTCAATTGCCAACAACTTTGTCAATTAATTAGCTACAATGATGAAGTCTTCAGTATCGGATTCTCCTGATTCTTCTCTTTCAGAATAACTAAGGTCCTCTCTGCCAGCCTCTGTCTGTGAGGCACGAACCTCCTCAATTCCAGCGAACTGCGTATTAGGGTCGACTTGGACCTTCCTCCTCTTTCGGCCTCTTGTGCGTTCTAGGCTTTTTTCTGCAGCCTCCAATTGATGCGCCGTATTGGCTAGTTGGAAAACCACGTAATCGAAGGCTTTTGCGGCCTTGCGTATGAAAAGTCGGTCGTTGGCAGTCCGTTTCTGGCCGGCTAGAAAAACCTGCTCCTGAATACGGAAATCCTTCGGCTTTTTAGGGGTAAACCATATAGGCCGGCCCTCCGAATTCTTATTTAGAATGGGGTTATGGACCTCTTGAAGGTCTATAGAAACCGTAGAGGTCAGTTGACCAACGTCGCCGTTAGAATTCTTAATAACAAGGCCGTTGCTTAGGGGCTTCCTGAGGCTGACCGGCCAGAGGCCTGTAGCTTTCCAGCCGGCTTTGATATTAGATTCAGTCATTCCATAGACCCTGGCTTGCCGGTAGCATTCTAGGAAGGCCCTCTTTTCAGCAACAGTGCCTTCGTCGAAGCCGGAAACAACCTCGTTATGCTTGGCTCTGTACCGGGCTTTTAGAGGGCCGAAAACCGATAAATCCAGGGGCTGGAGAACGTGGGAGGTGTGGGCTGGTAGAAATAACAGTTGTACGTTATTAGAAAAGGCTAGCCACATGAATTCTTTGGTGGTATGACTACCGTGGCCATCTAAAATAAGGAGGCGCTTCTCCGAGGGGGTAGCTGGCCGAGTCTCTGGAAGAAAGATATTGCGGAGCCATGCGACGGCAGTATCATCGTCAGACCAGCCGTTTTCAGTGGGTTTCCACTTCCAGCCCTTAAATGGCTGTAAATCGCGTGGATACCATTGTTGTTGAAGGCTTCCACCTTTGAAAATGACGACTGGGTTCAAATACCGGCCGTCAGCGGAAATACATTCGATAATCGAGGTCCAAATTCGGTCTCCTTTCTTCTTTTTCTGGAATTTCTTTCTTTCCTTAGATCCAACAACCAGGCCGTTATCTCCAATGCCAGAAGCAATGCCAGTTTCATCCATATTATACCTATGCTTGGCTGGAATAGCCTCCACGCCTGGAGGCTTCAAATAGTCAAACCAAGGCTGGATAACGGCCTCACAGGCTTGATCAGCACGGTTTGCATGGATTCTCCGAGGCCTAATTGTAGAAATAGATGGATTTCTAGCCAAAAACCGGCTAGTCCAGCGTTTTCCGAGGGTCTCGTTATCTTCGAGCATCCTTCTAGCTAGTTTCCGAATTTGGGCGTGGGTTGGAGGGTGACCGAGCGACCCTTGGAATAGAATCCATTCGGTTAAGCGTTCTTCCATAGCCGGAGAAAGCTTTTGATTAAGAATTTGGGCCTTGGAGGCTGGCTCGGAACCACGAACCCGATTAAAGAGAGTAGTAGGGGGGATGCCGTGATTTTCAGCAGAGCTACGGAGTAAGCCGGTTTCTGCATACTCTGCCAGCGCATTCTGCAAATCCAACTGCGTATATTGCTTCATCTTTCATTTCTCAATTGAATGGAGAAAAGAAGATAAGTATTGAAGCAGAATTGGTCGAGTTGCAAGCGATTGAAATAGGTGAGTTGGGTGGCGAGCGGCAAGTCCTTGATGACAAACCTTGTTCCAAATCCAGGGGTGTTCCATAAGCAGACCACCTGACTTAGTATAAAAAAGGGGGGCTTTCTGCTAGTACCGGTACCCTGGTGAATTTGGTACCTACCTTGACCTTTTCTTGACTTTCTGGGTGGTTGCCGGCGGCGTTTCGGCTGGGGGTCGAACGCCGGGCCTTGGGCCGTATTAGTTTTGCGCGGTTCCCGCTGCCGTGATAGCCCGTCGCCGGGAGTTTCTAGGCGGAAGCGTAGCACCACCAGACGCTCGTCAGTAATGATGAAGCGGTACCGGGATCCCGCATCTGTCGCATACCGTCTAGACCTACCCAACCTCGCCGTCGATACGGTCAATTCGGCTTGGTCCAAGGCGTCAAGCTATGTAGGCATGTAACCCTGGCCCTTCTTTTGCACAAGAGGTCAAAGTGTATTCGCTGCTGCCTCGGCGGCAGCCCTGGAGTATAAGTACTACATGCCCGTGTTGGCTTCTTGAGTCCGTTGGCCTTGGGGTCTGACTGGCGCAAGTTGCCTAGGAATCCTTTTTTATTGTGTATACAAACAGTTTACAGTCTACAAAGATAGTCAACTTCGCGCGGGACCTGGAACCTTGCTAGGAGAATAGCAGGACCCCCAGCTTCAGGATATAAGTGACAGATCGCGAACGGCACGAGACAAGGGGCATCAGCAGCTTCCCAACGTCCCAGAATCCTCGCCGACTTGGGATACTTCAAGACGTCAAAGGATTTATTGTCTTACGAGGACTCATTGTCTTACGGCGAGCCCTGAACTTTTTTATCAAAGTGAGGCGGCGGCTGTTGGGGTCCCTGGAATAAAATCCTAGAGGCCTGGCTCATTTGTCGAAATGCATGGTATGTCGATTCATTTGCCATAATCAGCAATCATTCATAGGCCAAATTCCATGCGCAACCTCTTCGCGACTATTCCCATTCCCAAATGCTTCTTCTAGGTCTGTACTCTGACAAAAATACTCCGGGGTATCGTTTTCCGCCAGCCCATCCGCCAGAAACCAAACTCTCGACACCCGCTCGAAACGCCCGTTACTCCCCTGCCGTTACTTCCTGGTCCGCCGCCACCGCTCACTTCCGTATATAGAGCGTTGGGTTGACCAAGCTCATGAAGCCGCGGGGCTGGGCACGATACGCGATCGTGTAGTTGGCGCTGAGCCAGTCCGGCACCGTGCGGCTACGACCCAGTTAGTAAATCAAAGTTTCCCTGTTCCTCCTTCCCTATGCCAAAACACTTACTCGATATGCCTCCTGGACACGGCCCAGTTCTTGGTGTCCGTGTCTGCCCGCAGAAGCGGCAGGTGGAGGTCTGCCAGGCCCACGGGCGGCAGCTGCTCGAAGCCGTCGTCCCAGGCCATCACAACGCGGAAGATGGCCGCGGGCCGGCTGCCCGTCTCCCGCACGACACCCAGGAAACTGTCGTTGACCGTCGCGTCGATGAGGAGCGAGTGGTCGTCGATCTCGACCAGCCCGTCGAAGCGGTTCTTGACCGTCTCGAGCTTGCCGCCGAAGTCGCCCAGCTCGCCCAGCAGCCGCTGCGCCACGATGCGCACGCGCGGCCAGTGCGGCTGCCGCCTATCGAGCAGCACCGCCAGCCAGAAGGCGAGGCTGACGCGCTCCGCCTCGAGCGCCGTCGCCACGGCCCGCGAACCCGCGTCCACCACCTCCCACTCGCTCTGGTAGAACCGCGCCAGCTTGCCCGCGAAGTACACGATGCGGTACACGTGGAAGTCCCACGAAGTCGCAGGCATCGCCACCACCAACTCGCCCGCCACCTGCGCCTGTCGCTCCTCGTCCGTGCCCGTGCCGCTGCCCGTGCCCGTGCCGCTGCCCGTGCCCGAGGTTGTCGTCCGGTGGAACCACGCCATCTCGTCCTGCGCCGCCCGGCCCATCAGCGCCGTGAACTCGCGGCAGCCCTGCTCCCACACCAGCTGCGTGTCGCGGTTCGGGTCGGGGGGGATCCTGTTTTGGGGACGAGGTTAGCGAATTCGCCTTGACCATGATGGGGGTGGGATTGGTCGGGGATAGGGGGAGAACCGTGGAGTGGGGGGTGGATGCATACCGGTAGTCGTTACCGCCGTGGCAGTTGTTGTTCTTCCACAGAGCCCGTGCCACCTCGATGTGAGGCGGCTCCTGCAGGCTGTCTCGCTCACATAGTCGGGCTCGGCGGCGGATCGTGAGGGTTCGCGTCATGGCATCGCATTGAGCCAGCTCCCCCGGATTCAGCTGCTCTCGCCCAGACATTTTGATGTAAATATCTCGGGTGGAATAAAATCAAGGTTGAGCTTGAAGGAGGGGTGTGAGGTCCGCTTATTGCGTGAAAGTCGAGGCGATGAAAGTGTGTGGTGAGTCTGCCAAAGAGAGAGGTCGAAGGATGTGATCATGCGGTGCTATATCGCACGAAATGAAGAGGCTAGACTGCAGGCGGATGGAGACGGCGATTTTTCTGTCGCTTAGAGCGAGGGCTCGCTCATTCCGTAAAAGTCAAGGTGATGAAAGTAGGCTAGTCTGCCAACGAGATAGGTTGAAAGATATGGTTCGGTGCTATCTCGCACGAAATGAAGGGACTGTAGAATATAGGCGGAGAGAGACGGCGATGTCTGTGTTGCCTAGAGTGAGTGTCCGTTTATTGAGTGAAAGTCAAGGTGGTAGAAGTAAAAGTTGAGTCTGCCGGCGAGATAGCCTGAAGGGTGTGATGCGATGGTGCTTCCTCGCGCGAAATGAAGAGACTGTGAAGTGCAGGCGGGGAGACACGATGGTGATTGTTTATTTGGTGGAAGACAGATTGCTAGAAAGCAAGAGCGACTCTGCTGAAAATATAAGTCGAAAGCGCAGTTCGGTTGTGCTTTCTTGCAAAGAAGGACGAGGAGGTACGTGCAGGCGGAAAACGAAGTGCGACAATTCTATTTGGAAACTGAGCGGTGACAGTCAAGCTGAGAGAGTAGTCATTAAATTTTCAGTAGCGAGATTGTGCAAGCACAGATACCTACTGTGCAGTGTTCAGAGGGGATTCCGAGTCGGCACATGACTACTGCCCGTAATTACCAACTGCTCAATACCCAGAACTGTTCACTATCGAAATATCCCAATATTAGCACTTGTGTAAGAAACGTAATTTTTATATTGGGACTTTCTAATTGTTATCGCTCACCCGGCGACAGCCAGCAGTGAATATGGGTGAATGAAGTAATTATATCAACAGGAAATTGTGGAATATCAGATGAAAATAGTGAACCAAGAGTGCCGACGATGAATGAAATTAGAACTATCCTAGATATTGAGTTATCAGGCATACGAGTCTTAAATTGGAAATGCAAAATTGGAAATGCAAAGCGAATGCAAATACAATTATATATAATGTCTGATCAGGACAGCATGGTAATTAGCACATCGTTCACGCGTTCTCACATTGACCCGGACGCATGCTAGCAGCTGCAATTATATTAGTATGTCAATGAGGCCTGTGAAAGTGAAGTGGGTAGGTAAATGTAAACTCTGCAGAGTATTTGCATAATCATGTCCAACATGAAATGTAGCTAGGGTGCAAAAAGGAAACAAAAAGAACAGGGAAAAAATAGAGATCATCTTTTTGTATTGCACCTAAATCTAATTGCAAGTCTAACTGAGCTGGAATCAGTGCTGTGCAAGAGAGCAGCCTACAAGGATGATTGTCTCGAGACATTCAAAGTAAATGCGTATGGAGATATCCGTCTTACCGTGGCCCGTCTTACCGTGGTCCGTCTTCACCTTACCTAGAGGTACTTGCAGGGTAAGGTGCATTAAAGAAAGCGAAAGCGGCAGACTTGTACGAGGTCGACACCTTTACCGTGAAATTGCGCAGGGGGCACAAGGACCAATATATATCACTGCAACGATGAGAAAGTCATATGATTAGAATATCTCTTGACTCCGTGGACATGAAGCAGGTGCATAATTTGTTTTGGATGAGCCCGTTGGTGTCGGCGACACAGGAAAAAGGGGCTAACCCCTAATTTAAAGGCCACATACATGACCCTAACCCTAGGTGGGCATGTTTTTTGATCGCGCCCGCGCCGCTGGACGGATTGGTTTTCTTCCTCGCCATGCCAATGCCCAATAACGCACGAACTACTGTGGGGGTCGGGAAAAATTTGTTCCGCACCCTGAAAAAAAGGGTTGGCAACCGCGGAGATGCAGTTCTCCCCTGGGAATCGCTTACTATTAGTGGACTGATAACGGCGCGATGGGAGCTCCATTCTCTCCACCACCGCGAAATGCTCGGCCAGCTGCGAATGGATCCCGCCGAGGAGATGCTATTTTTCTTATTAATTACAGCCCCAGCCGTCGTCCCATGGCGCGACCCAACCCACCTCTCTGCCTGTGCCTGTGCCTGTGCCTAAGGGGCTGAGTTTTCCTTCTTTACCCCATTCAGTTTTTGAGGTCAGGAGAGGCATGTAATGCGATGTCAGAGACGCAGCATCGCGGGAAAATCCGGACGGCGCCGAGAGAAGTGCGCGTGGCTGGTTGGTAATGCGTCGCGATTCGCTAGACCCTACCTCTTATTGCGGCAAAGCTGTGTTACGCGGAAGTGGATAAGTACCACGTCTCCCGCTGCTCTCTGAGACGTTGGTGACAGTCCTATCTCGATTCAACCCCTAATCCTCCTTCTCCGCTCTACGTCTAACCCTGGGTCTAACATTTTATCATCGTGAGATTCAAGTGCGGATCAGAAAGAGACCGATTAAAGAGAGCGAAGAAGAAAGAGCAGAACAAGCCCCCCGAGTTTCCCAACATGGCAGCAGCGCTCACGGAGTCGCAGGTCGCCATCGTCAAGTCGACGGCACCGGTCCTGAAAGAGCACGGCAACACCATCACGTCCGTCTTCTATAAGAGCCTCATCGCCGACCACGCGGCCCTCAGCGATGTGTTCAACGCGTCGAGCCAGGTGAACGGCCGGCAGCCGCGGGCGCTGGCGTCGGCCGTACTCGCCTACGCGACCTACGTCGACGACCTGCCCAAGCTGGCGCACGCCGTCGAGCGCATCGCCCACAAGCACGTGTCGCTGCAGGTGACGCCCGCCCAGTACGATATCGTCGGCCAGTATCTGATCCAGGCTATCGGGCAGGTGCTCGGCAGCGCGGCGACGCCCGACATCGTCGACGCCTGGACCGCCGCATACGGCGTGCTCGCGGGCGTCTTCATCAACCGCGAGGCCGACATGTACCGCGCTAACGCGGCCGACCGCTTCGCCGGCTGGCGCAACTTCCGCATCCTGCGCAAGGTCGCCGAGACGCCCTCGGTCACGAGCTTCTCGCTCGCGCCCGTCGACGGCGAGCTGCTGCCGCTGCCCCGCTACCTGCCCGGCCAGTACGTCAGCGTGCAGGTGCCAGTCCCGGCGCTGGGCCACCTGCAGAGCCGGCAGTACAGCCTGAGCCGCGCGCCGCGCGAGCAGGGAGACTACTACCGCATCAGCGTGAAGCGGGAAGAGGGGCTCGAGGCGGGGATCGCGGGCCTCGTGTCGAACCTGCTGCACGCCAGCTTCGGGCCGGGCGACGAGGTCGAGCTGTCGCACCCGCAGGGCGAGTTCTTCGTGGACCCGCAGGCCGCCAGCAAAGAAGGCGTGCCGGCGGTGCTGATCTCTGCGTCGTCAGGCGCCACGCCGCTGATGGCCATCCTCGACAGCCTTGTGCTGGTGCCGGCGCTGGGAAAGGGCGAGGAGCAGGACGAGGCGCCGCGGAAAGCACTGCCGCCCGTCAAGAGGCCCGTCTCGTGGGTCCACGCGGCTCGCTCGTCGGCAGAGATCCTTTTCGCCGACGAGGTGACCCAGATCGCCCGCGACAACGACAACGTCACGGCGACGTTCTATTCGCGCCGGCCCGCCCATGCCGCTGTCATGGACGCCACCAAGCCCGCCGAGGGTGGTGTTGTCCGCTACCTCGCTGGCGACGCCCGGCTCGACCTCGCCCAGCTCGACAGAGACGCGGATCTCTTCCTTGCCGACGCCAGGGCCGATTACTTCATCTGCGGGCCTGAAACGTTCATGGTCGATATGAGGCGCGCGCTGGTGGCGCTGGGCGTGGACAAGCCGAGGATATTCCTCGAGCTGTTCTCCACTGGCGATGTCGCGGATGAATAGCGGGCTGGCTTTCGGGGATTCTTTCCTTTTTTGGCCTCTTCCCGCCCTTTTTTTCTCTGCGGGGAGTTTCAGAGGTCGGATTGCATCTGAGCGGTGTTTTTTTCTCCTGATACATTTTCATTTTCAATCAATATCAATCATTTTGGCACCTGATCATTGTTTTATTAAAATCCAGACCCCGAATGTTGTTGGCTTAGTATTTAGGTAGAATAAATGTTACAGACTAGCAAATAATCCGCTTTAATATGTGGTTTTCGAGAAGAGTTATCTAATTAGGCCTCTAGGATCCTAAAACTGGGACTCTAAGAGCTTTCACTTTCCTCGAGGAAAGCCTTTAGAGCAGGGTATTGAGGCCTTTCGAATCTCGGAAAGTCCTTCGCTCATAACTGCCTATTTCGGGATCGGTCATAGGATTCTACTAATTCCACCTTCCACCATTTTCATCTCGGGGAAGAAGACGCCACCCACCGTAACGGCCCGAAGTGCCGACGCTGCGGCCGTTGGCCTTGCCTAGCTAACACCTGGCTCCTCCTGGCCTTAATCCGACCGCCGATGTGATGACGTAGGAAAAAACCTCGGTTCTCACAGCAAACAATCGCCAAAATTTTCCATTTTTGAAACTGCTCCCTACACTTCCCTAGTCCCAGGAATTCGAAGCTCCGCTTGCTTAGCAAACAGACCCCGCACAGGCCATATGGCTCTCGCTCTCCGCCCGCTAACACGGTCCGGGCTAGACTTGGCCAAGCCAGCTTGACGCCCAAGTTTCGTCCGATGAGTCTTGGAAAAGATTGCGCTACTCACGGGGAAGGTCTTCCCCACCTCTCAGGTTTACAAGAAGTTGGATGCCTTGGTCAAGTGACATATTCGTTGAAAGGGGCCTCGGACGAGCACGGTCCCGAGCTGGCAACGCGTTCTGCGGTGTGTAAGGTGGCAACTTATCTGTAATTATGAACTCCTTACCCATTCTCGACGACGTGATGTAACCTATTCTTCATTACAGCCTGGAAGCCGCGGGGCACCATGGACGAGGGGATGCTGGGTGCTCCGCTGGGCACCAACGCTGCACTAGTAAATTATGTGTGAAATAATTGGGAGGCCAACCACCCATGCGCATGCAGACAAGCCCCAATGCGCATGCAGACAAGCAATTCGGAGATGTTTCCCCTGCTTCAAGTCTGTTGCCTCTAGGCGCCAACAGACACTCGGAACTCCGCTGACACCAAATGCGCCAGCGCCGCCAACATGCATCCGAGACACCTGTCAACATCCTCGAGGGTTTGGTCTGGAACTGCCTGTCGGTACGGGCGGAGCCGTAAGGGAACCAAACCAAGTCCGAGTCCAGCTGCTAGCAAGTGGGGTTCTCGCTTGTTGGAATAATGAGGCTGAACGGCTGCTGGGTTCGGGGATATTAGCACGCAATCGACCGGCGTGGTAAAATCCCTGCTTTGACAGCTGTGTGCCCGTTTTCTGGCAAGGAACTTTGTGCACCTGCCGCTCCCGCTAGAGTGATACGTATCACGCTTGTATACTAGCCCCACGCATCGGGTCTGGGTGACAGGGGCCGGTGGGTACTTCAACCGCGCGCCCCAAACGACAACGCGTCTCCACCCAGGCTCAGAGCGGTAACGGCGCCGTTGAATTGCTTCCTCTCTACTGTAATTACTGCGTCATCAGGCTCGAAGGCTAGCCTCGTGATAGGGAGAAACATCCGAACTTTCAGCTGCTCACACAGCTGCACCTGACCGTTGTGTATAGGCTGAGGCGGTGAGCTGGATCCGCTCTCTAGAGACTCTTCTCAGTGTCGGCCCGCCCGAGGTTTTCCGGGCGTCTTCCATGGAAGCCGTCCGGCATCTTCGATTCGTGCTCACTTGGCAATGCACGAGTCGGACTTACGTAAGCATGGTAATTACATCCTGGGAGTAACAAGCGCCTTGTTCGGGACCGAGGATTCGTGGAGAATGGAACAAAGCCCGGGGATGGAACATGGGGGGCTCGCGGCTGGAAAGAAAGTAATTGTTCAGTGGCGGCAACTGCTTCCCACGGCACCTCGATCGGACAAAGAGCGGGACACGTACCTTCCCACACACAGGCAGTTGTGAGATACATATTGGGAAGTCGCGACTCGGACATATCGGATGCCCAGCCCTATGAAAGGCGCATGTAACTCTGTGACTGGGACTTGGGAGCTGGGTTAGATTCGTATTAAACTGCGGCTTTCTCCGTTCCTCGACGGAAGAGACTGACGTGCTGCGTTGCTCCCCCTTTTGTCTGAGGTCTCTAGTCTGTACCTGGAAGGGCTGCTGGGCAGTCTCGGGGTTCTGTGTTGTGTAATTACCTTACTGAAAAACGCGTCTATCCCCCCTTCAGGCTCCGGGCGCCATCACCTAGCCGCGCCTGCCCAGAATATTCTCACCGCACCCGAAAGCGGAGTCATTCCTCGTCCCATCATTGCAAGAGCGGAGCGAGAACCTGGAATAGCTCAGGTGTTCAGCCCACCTGACTTATATTTCCGGATATCCCTCCTCGCCCTTTCCTTTCCCCCTTCGCCTCGTGGCTTTACCCTACATCCCAGAGCCTACTTCCTTTGCCACCGACTGTGTTAGCCAAAAAAGGAGCGTACAACCACCACGCTTTCTAAAATCTTCCACTACAACCTCAACTTCTCTTCCTCTCGTTATCGCTTTCTGATCCCTCATTTGCTACCCGAACCACCTCTTTGAGAGTAGACATCAGCAGCCTGCATTATCTCCAGTCTCTCTGGCCTTCTTCCCTAGGTAGTCGGCAGCCTGTACTCTCAACCTAGGACTCCCCTTTGCCGATCTAGCGGCGCCTCGGTTTCGTCAAATTGAGCCTGTTTCGACTTCTCTTCTGCCTGACTCTGTCGGCAGTCCACCTTGGCTTCGCGAGTTTCTGCTGCTGTCTCAAGCTCGGAATCAGAAGCTCTCTCTGTTGCTGCCATGTCGTCGTACAAGAACCCCTTGGCGGAGCCCATCGCCATTGTCGGCAGCAGCTGCCGCTTTGCCGGCGATGTCGCAAATCCGCATAGCCTCTGGAAGCTCCTTGCTAATCCCGCCGACCTGTCTCGCGAGATCCCGCCCGAGCGGTTCAATATCAAGGCCTTCTACCACCCGGACGCCGAGTACCACGGCACGACGGACTCGCCCAAGGCATACTTCCTTGACCAAGACCACCGCGTCTTTGACGCCACCTTCTTCAACATCACGCCCAAAGAGGCCGAGGCCATTGACCCCCAGCAGCGGCTCCTGCTCGAGGTCGTGTACGAGGCTCTCGAGTCGGCCGGCTACACTCTCAAGGACTATGCCGGTGCCGACGTCGGTGTCTTTTCCGGACTCATGACCTCTGACTACGACACGCTTTCGCAGCGCGACGATCTCACGGCTAGCAAGTACTATGCAACTGGAAATTCCCGCGCCGTAGTCTCGAACCGCGTCTCGTACTTCTTCAATTTCAATGGTCCCTCAATGACCATTGACACGGCTTGCTCTTCGAGTCTTGTTGCACTCCACCAGGCAATGCTCAGCCTTCGGTCTGGCGAGACGGGCATGGCTTGCGTCACGGGTGTCAACCTCATCATCACGCCCGAGCAGTTTGTTGTCGAGTCCAACCTGCATATGCTGAGCCCCACGGGCCACTGCCGCATGTGGGATGCCCAAGCCAACGGCTATGCTAGAGGCGAGGGTGTCGCTGCTGTCTTTCTCAAGCGCCTGAGCCAAGCCATCGCAGACGGCGATCATATCGAGGCCGTCATTCGCGAGACGGGCGTCAACTCGGACGGCCGCAGCAAGGGCATCACCATGCCCAACTGGGAAGCCCAGGCCCGCCTCATCAAGGACGTGTATCGCCGCGCTGGCCTCGACCCCACGGTCCCCGAGGACCGCTGCCAGTACTTCGAGGCCCACGGCACCGGCACCCGCGCCGGCGACCCCAACGAAGCGAGGGCCATTGAGGAAGCTTTCTTCGGCTCCAACACGACGCTAGTTCGGCCTCACACTGCCACAGCGTCCCAGAAGCTGCTGGTGGGCTCAGTCAAGACTGTCATTGGCCACACGGAGGGCGCTGCCGGCCTGGCGGGACTGCTCAAGGTGGTCCAGGCCATGGAGCACGGCTCGGTGCCCCCCAACCTCCACCTGGATAAGCTCAATGCCGACGTTGAGCAGTACTCGTCACACCTGCAGATCCCGACCAGCCTGGTGTCATGGCCTCATGTCCACGACGGCCTGCCCAAGCGTGCCAGCGTCAACTCGTTCGGCTTCGGCGGCACCAACGCTCACGCCATCGTCGAGCAGTACATGCCAGACCTGCACATGAAGGTCGCTTGCCAGTTCCGCCCCAATCTGGAGGCTCCCGCCGACATTGACCGGCCGGTCCACTGCAACCACCCCAGCACGGTCTCGCTGCCCCTGGTGCTCTCGGCGACCTCGCAAAAGTCGCTGGCCGCAGTGGCTCGCGAGTACCGCGACTATCTCCGCCAAGACCCGCACTCGCATTTCGAGGCCGCGGCCTGGCACGCCTATGCCCGGCGCACTGCGTTCCCCTTCCGACATGCCGTTTCGGGCGGCTCGACAGCCGAAGTGGCGGACAAGCTCGACAAGATCGTGGCAAGTTCGGCCAAGAATGCCAGTGTCGCGCTCGGCGTTCGCGCTCGCCCCGAAGACGAGCAGCCTCGCATCCTCGGCATCTTCACAGGCCAGGGAGCCCAGTGGGCGACAATGTCTCGCGGACTGCTGAGAACCAGCCAGGTCTTTGCCATGACGATTCGAAGCATGGATAACGTCCTCCAGAATTGCCCTCACCCGCCCTCGTGGTCGCTCGAGCAGGAGATTCTGGCAGACCAGGACCTGTCGCGTGTCAGCGTCGCCGCAATTTCTCAGCCCCTTTGCACGGCCGTCCAGGTCGGCCTCGTCAACATTATGCGGACGCTCGACATCCACTTCCACACGGTTGTCGGACACTCGTCTGGCGAAATCGGGGCGGCATACGCGGCGGGCAAGATCACGTCTCGCGAGGCCATCCTCATCGCCTACTACCGCGGCTTGACTGCTAGCCTTGCCCAGAGCTCCAGAGGAGTCAAGGGCGCCATGCTTGCCACGTCGATGACAAAGGAAGAGGCAGCCGAGCTGTGTGCCAACAAGAGCTACTGCCACGGCGTGTGCCTGGCTGCCAGCAACGCGCCCTCGAGCGTGACCCTTTCGGGCGACATCGACATGGTGGAGCTCGTCCACAAGGGTCTGACCGCGCAGTCAAAGTTTGCTCGGCTCTTGCAGGTCGACACGGCCTACCACTCGCCGCACATGGATGCTCCGGCTGCCAAGTATGTCGAGTATCTGCGGGCCTGCTCCGTTGAGCCCACCAAGGATCACGTCCACGCGAAGTGGGTGTCGAGCGTCTACGGCTGTGGCCAGCCCGGTGACGAGGAGCTGAGGGCGGATTACTGGTGCGACAACATGACCAAGCCCGTTCTCTTCTACGAGGCTGTTGGAACGGCACTTGAGCTGCACGGCCCGTTCGACTGTGTCGTCGAGATTGGACCGCACCCGGCACTGCGAGGTCCCGTCACACAGACCTTCGAGGCCAAGACGGGCGGCACCGTGCCCTACTTTAGCCCCCTGGCCCGCGGCACGGATGACCGCGTCGCTTTTGCAGAGTTCCTCGGCAAGATGTGGTCGCATTTCGATTCTTCTCACGACCAGATTCGCGGCTTCGTCCTTGGTTCGGTATCACAGAACCTGGCCAACAAGCGCCATGACGGCATTCCTCGCTATCCGTGGGACCACTCGCAGATTCACTACCGCGAGTCTCGTATCTCTCGCCAGTTCCACTTCAAGACGGACCCGCCGCACGAGCTCCTGGGATCTCGCACCCGCGACGACAACGACCATGAGCTGCGATGGCGCAACATTCTCAAGCTCGAGAAGCTTCCTTGGATCCAAGGCCATCGCTTCCAGGGCCAGGCCCTGCTCCCGGCTTCTGCATACATCGTCATGGCCAAGGATGCCGCACAGGCAGCGTTGGCTGGCCGCACCGTGTCTTCTATTGAGCTCCGGGACCTCAAATTTCCGTCGGGCATCATTCTCGAGCCCGACTCTCCTGGCATCGAGACACTGTTCTCGCTGACCGTTGAGCGTACCGACCGATCTGAGCCGACTGTTGAGGCGTCGTTTACCTTGACCTCGGCCGTGGCTGATGGTAACATTGCCATGAAGAAGAACTTTAGCGGCACGCTTCTCGTCACCCTCGGCGACGCAACCCTGCACAGCCTGCCCACCCGACCGGCAAAGCAACCCGAGACCCTGTCTGCCAATCCTGCCGCTTTCTACACCATGATGGCCGAGACTGGTCTTGACTACACTGGTCCCTTCCAGGGGCTCGCCAAACTCGACCGGCGATACGACTTTGCGTCTGCGTCTCTGCTCAAGTACCACCCCGCCGACACGACGAAGCTGAGCATTAGTCCGGCCACGCTGGATAGCTGCCTCCAGACAGCATTTGTTTGCGTTTCTTCGCCTGGCGACAGGGCCATCTGGACTTCGTTTCTTCCCGAGCGGATCGAGCGGATCCGGTTCAACCTGGCGACGTGCGACGTGCAGTCGCCCAGCCAGATGCTCGGCGTCGACGCGTACCTGACACATGCCACACCCATCACGGCGCAGAGTGCGGCCTCCTTCACGGTCGACATTGAGATCTACGACCAAAACGGACACATGGAGACACAAGTCGAAGGACTCACGGTGGGCTCCTTCAGCCCGACCAAGCCCGAGGACGACTACGAGCTATACCTGACGACAATCACGGACATTGACCCCGACGACGAGATCATCACGGCGACGCTCGATGATATCCACGCGCCAGCCCCGATGCTAGCCGAGAGCTGCGAGCGAGTTGCGTCCTTGTACATTAACAACATGGAGCGCCTCTGCAGTCCTCGCATGGCCTCTCACATGCCCTTCGGCGCCATGCACGGCCAGTCACTGCTGAGCTTAGCCTCGTGGCCTGCAGACAATTCCGAGTCTGTGGACAAGTTCATCAAGGCCTCGCCGTACTTTTCTAGTCTAGACTTCATCCGCCGCCTGGGCAGAATCCTGCCCGACGTCCTTTCCGGCATGCTCCCGACTATCGTCGAAGAGGCGCACCAGCTTCGGGGTTTCCAGCTCCACGTTGCCCGAGTCGTCCAGCAGATTGCGCACAAGTACCCTCGCATGAACGTACTTGGACTCACGGAGCCAGATCTCGGCCTTACCGCACATATTCTCAACGGTCTCGAGGAGGCTTTCTTGACGCTCCACATTGGCGCCGATGCCGAGCCGAATCTCGAACATCTCGTCTCCATTAGCAACTCGACGCGCCAAAAGATCATGATTGACAAGGTCGACTTGGACTTGGCGGAGGAGGCCAACGATGCTACCAGACTGCCATACGATCTTGTAGTCGTCTCGACATCGCTGATCAAGCCGTCAAATTCCCGTGACGTTCTTCGTCGTATCCGCCGTATGATGTGCGACGGCGGCTTCCTGATGCTGCTTGACATTTCTCGGAGCCCACTCCAGGAGCGTATTCGGCTCGTTGCAGGTGTCAAGCCCGACGACTCCGACTCGGGACGCGAGGTTCTCGACTGGGCCGACGCCCTGGACCTCTGTGGCTTTAAGGATTTGATTAAGGGCTCTTATCAACACTATCCTCCAGGATTCACCCTCCACGTTCGCCAGGCCGAGTCCCACAAGAAGCAGCAGCTCCTCCACCCATTCGCCCATGCTGCCCACCAGCGCCTGACAGACAAGCTACTGATCGTCGGAGGCAAGCATCTGTGGACCTCGCTTATCGTCACTGGAGTCGGCCAGGCACTCGAGCAACGCTGCGGCAGTATTACTTCGGCCGAGAAACTCGAAGACATGCACATTCACTCTGCCCTCGAGTACTCGGCAGTCATCTTGTTGAGCGACATTGACGAGCCCGTTCTGGCAACCATGACGGAGGCGCGCATGGATGTCCTCAAGGCCCTGCTCCGCCCTAGGATGGTTATTCTATGGATGGTGCACCATGCCCGGATTCACAACCCAGACCACGCAGCCTCGTTTGGGTTTGCCCGCACACTGGTTGCCGAGACGCCGAATCTGAAGTTGCAGATGTTGAATCTCGAGACGATCGACACGGTTCCGGCCGTGAATGCGGTCTCGGAGTCGTTTGCCAGCCTGGCATTGCAGTCTCTGGTCGACGAGGCCGACTCGTCCAGGCCGCTCTGGGTCTTCGAGCCCGAGATTCACTTGGAGAAGGGCCACCGCTTGGTCCCGCGTATTAAGCCGTGGGAGGCGGCGAACGAGCGCGTCAACGCTTCACGCCGTATCGTGTCAAACACGGTCAACTCACTGGAAACGATAGTTGAGATTTTGCCGACCGGGGCCAAACACGGTGCAGCGCAGTACGGAACCAAGGTTCAGGATATCATTGGCGCGCTCCCCCACTTGGCTTCGGGAGCCGGAGAGTCGACGATTCAGGTTGACTATAGCACGGCAGAGCCGCTGAATGTAGGATGGGGCCACTCAGCTCATGTCTGCCTCGGCCGGGACACTACCACTCTCCAGACGGTGGTGGCCCTGTCCAAGTCCAACGCGTCATTCATCACGGTCCCCTCCAAGAGCACCAGCATTGTGCCTAGCAGCTCCCGGCACGGCGACGTCGACCCTCTCAAGTTCTTTGCATTCCTGCCTCGCTACCTGACGGCGCTCACCATTGCCACTGTCGCCAACACCAAGAAGTCAGTCTTGGTTCTCGAGCCCGACTTGATGTTCCAGGAGTGTGTAAAGGATGTTCTCGTCAACCGCGGCATCTGGTTCCGCGTCGCCTCGATGGATTCGCACCGCTCCCACACGATCCCGGGAACCGTCTTTATGCACCCTGCTTCGTGCAAGCGACAGATCAAGGCCATCTACCCGCCGACCCCCACTCTGGTCTTCGACCTGCTGTCCGAGTCAAGTGAGCTTGCCAAGAAGCTGCTCGACGTGCTCCCCGCCACCAGCGAGTACGTCGCACGATCGGCTCTCTTGGGCTCCAAGAACCCAAACTTCCAGCACAAGGACGACGCGGCTCTCACCGAAAACATTTGGAATGAGGCCTTTAGCCTTTCGTTGGCCAAGTCTTCGGACTGGAAGCCCGAGTTCGCAAACGTGCTCTCCGTCCCCGATGTGCTGGAGGCACTGGAGCCAACAATTCCCTTCCAGATTGTCGACTGGAAGGCCGAGCGCTCGGTCTCCCACATTGTCAAGCCGCACGACCCAAACACTCGGCGTCTCAGCCCCAACAAGACGTACCTCTTGGTCGGTCTCACTCGCGACTTTGGCCAGAGCCTCTGTACTCTATTAGTCGCACAGGGCGCGCAAAACATTGTCCTGTCGAGCCGCAACCCGCCCAAGGAGCAGCCGCAGTGGCAGACTGAGATGTTGGCGCAGGGCATCAATATTCGCTTCGAGACCCTGGACGTGACGAATGCCGCCCAGGTCATGGGCCTCAAGGCCAAGCTTGCCGCGACCGGGATGCCACCGGTCGGGGGCGTGGTCAACGGCGCCATGGTGCTCGAGGACCGCGTCTTCTCGATGATGTCGCTCAGCACTCTCCAGCGCGTCATGGCTCCCAAGACGATCGGCTCCAAGAACCTTGACGTGGCTTTTGACTCGCCTGACGTCGACTTCTTCATCATGACATCGTCGTTTGCGGGTGTCGGTGGTCACGCGGGCCAGTCCAACTACGCCGCCGCCAACATGTACATGAACGGTCTGGTGGCGCTGCGGCACGAGCGCGGCCTCGCAGCATCGGTCCTCAACATTGGTGTCATCTACGGGCTCGGCTTTTTGCACCGCGAGAAGGGCAACCTCTACATGGGCCTCGAGCGCGAGGGCTACCCGCCAATCTCGGAGCGCGACATCCACCACATGTTCATCGAGGCCATGGACGCCAGCCACGCGGCTACGGCGCCAGTCGCGGCCATCACCACGGGCCTCAGCCGATTCTCGATGAATAAGCCCACTCTGAGCTGGCACCGCGACTCGCGCTTTTCTCACTACACGCTGGCCGAGGGCGATGGCGCCTCGGTGGGCCGCGACACGTCGGGCTCGGGATTGCAGAGCCTGCTCGAAAAGGTTGCCGCAGCCTCGACGGTATTAGACATATACAACGTGCTAGTCCCCACCTTTGCGAAGTACCTCGAAGGCCTGTTGCATATACCGGCCGACGGTGTTGCACACGACAGCACGATTTCGGAGCTGGGCGCGGACTCGTTGGTGGCTGTCGAGATTCGCTCGTGGTTGTGGAAGAATGTGGCCCGCGATGTTGCCGTCATGAAGCTGTTGGGATCAATCACCATCGCTAAGCTGTGCCACGAGATGGCGGCAGGCATTTTCGATGCGCGCAAGAAGAACAACCAGCCATCGAACAGCGACAGGTCAAGCAAACCTATGCCGCACTCGCTCGCTATTGGTCTCGATGGCGCCGTTCCTTCGAGACCCCTCAGCTCTAGCACGGGAACGGGCTTGTCGCCTCGCACGCCCGCTACTGACGGCCTCAATGGTTCCGCTACCCCTTCCACGTCAGTCTTTTCAAACGCCGAATTGGAGGCGCCGGAGCCACTTGACTTGTAGCTCTTGGGCTGGGAGTATTCGACTGGCGTACAGGAGAGGTTTGGAACGGAGTACGGGAGCAGTGGAGCAAGGGTGTTTGGTGAGGAGAAGGGAGTGCCACGAGCTAGTGAGGAGAAGGGAGTGCTACGAGGTAGTAAGGAGAAGGGAGTGCTACGAGCTAGTAACTCGCCGTAAGGAAAAGAGAGATGCCCATGCGAGGCAGATGTGGAACAGGAGATGCATTGACAGTATTTGGCGTTGGGTATTGGAGAAGGAGCGAGCAAGCCCAGGGAACCAGGGAAGTTATGACAAGCTAGTTAAACCCAACGCCAACATGAATCAAGAGCACATTATACACATTTAGTGAATACCTTCAAGTCGTGAATGATCTTTCCATTGTCCCAGGGAGCTGAATAGGGGCGTGTGGGCTGCAACAATGTCTCCCATGAACGTAATACAATTATAGGTTATTTAGATACTTCTACTTTTGTCCGGCAAATCGTCTATTCGGGCACTTGAGCAAGCCTTGCACGTGGAATTTTCTCGATCCTGGCACCTGCAAGGACCCGTGGTTATTTATGGTGTGGCTTGCAATCAAGCCGTGAGATGGTATATATGTACCTATGCTCAATTGGAAGGGGTACGAAAGGAAAAGCTGTGGCGCGCGAAAGAACTATGTAGGAGAGCCGGGGCACGGAGCATGTAGCCAGCCCGACCTGCTTGTACGAGCCTAGTGAGAGGTACGGGTTAACAATGCATTGTTGGATGTTCAGTGCTGTTCAAAGAAAGAAATCTGCCTGCGTGCGCTTGCCGGCACCCTCCCTTCCCCCCCTCACCCCTCTCGCGGCGGCACACACCCGCACCCCCTACCGGGCGGCGTAACGGGTTCCCGTAGCTTTTGCAAGCCTACCTTAGCTGTTGGGAACAGTAGTAGCACTTGGCAAAGATGTCTCGGGTGGCACCTACCTTCGGAAGACGATCTGCTGCTGCGTGCGGAGAAGGAGCCTCTAGAATGCTGCGGATTGGCGCCGGAGCGCTGCGGAGATGAGGGGCTGCTTTGGTTTGTGGCCGTGGTCGGTCATGCGGTGTGCAATGCAGTGCATGTATGGGCGTGGTACCGCTTTCTGCTTTCTGTCCTCCTCCCTTGGTTTCTGTCCTCCCTTGGTTTCCGTCCTCCCCTGGGTTCTGTCCTCCCCTGGTTTGTGCTAGGCATGTGTGCTTGGTGGCGTGGCTGGGCAGTGAGTCGGCTCCGATGATCTAATTATCTAGAGGGGTGGGGGAAAGAACCCACCACCGCTGGGTCTGGCCAGACTCGACGAGGCAAGAGCGGTTGATGCAGTTTTTTTCCGGTGACGTGACTTGGGCACTTTCCGGGTTAAATCCTGTTGCTTGAATTCTCGACTGCAGTGCTTTCTCCAAGAACACAGAAACACGCCACCGCACCCACACACATCGGTATCCGGAGCCCGAACCCCAGCGAAGCCCAACCACAACCACCAGAAGCACCACAACCAAGAAGCACCACCAAGAAGCACCACAATCAAGAATCACCCAACCAAGAAGCACCACAACCACCAGAAGCACCACACCAAGAAGCACCACAACCAAGAATCACCCAACCAAGAAGCACCACAACCACCAGAAGCACCACACCAAGAAGCACCACAACCACCAGAAGCGCGCCATCCGCCATGGGCGACCACATCCCCGCGACGGCGTCCAGCCAGCGCGTCGAGCCCGGGTCCGTCAATCTGGAGCCCTTCCCGTGGCCAGTGACCGCGCAGAACCAGTCGGTCGACGCCGGTGCCGTCGCTGCCACGGTAGTAGGGTCTGTCAACGACGCCGTCGTAGCGAGAAACTTTGCCGCGCTCGCGTCCCTGTTCCTCGCCGACGGCTTCTGGCGCGACCACGTCGCAGTGTCCTGGGACTTGCACACGGCCAAGGGCCCGGCCGCCATCGAGGCCTTCCTCGCCGCTGAGTGCCACCTCGCGCGCGTCGAGATCGATGCGTCCTCCGACTTCCGGAAGCCGCAGCTCACGGGGTTCGCGCCCGCGGGCGATGTCAAAGGTATCGGGTTTTTCATCAACGTCGCCACGCGGCACGGCGCCGGCCGTGGCATGGTGCGGCTGGTGGAAAAGGAGGGAGAGTGGAAGATATGGACCTTTTTCACCACGCTCGAGGAGCTGGCGGGCTTTGAAGAGCCCCGCGGTCCCAGACGGCCCAAGGGCGTCGAGCACGGTAGCAAGCCGGGCAGGTTGAACTGGCTGGAGAGGGGAGAGATTGCTTCCGAGTTTGTGGATAGTGAGCCGGCCGTCTTGATTATTGGTATGCCGTTTTTCTCTGTTCCGTTTACATATATCTGCTGCCGGCTGGTTACATGTTTTCTAATTCCCGTCTGTCGCCAGGCGCCGGCCAGGGCGGCTTGACTGCTCATGCCCGGCTAAAGATGCTCAACGTCTCGGCGCTCATTGTCGACTCCAACTCGGCCGTCGGGGACAACTGGCGGAAACGCTACGACCAGCTCGTCCTGCACGACCCGGTCTGGTACGACCACCTCCCGTACGTGCCCTTTCCCGACACCTGGCCCGTCTTCACGCCCAAGGACAAGCTGGCCGACTGGTTTGCGTCATATGCGCAGACTCTCGAGCTCAACGTGTGGATGCAGACCGAGATCGAGTCCAGCGCCTGGGACGACGACAAGAAGGAGTGGACCGTCACGGTCCGGCGCGGCTGGGGGGACAAGTCAGAGACGCGCACGCTCCACCCCAAACACGTCATCCAGGCGACGGGCGCCTCTGGCGAGATAAACCTCCCTGATATCCCGGGCATGGACGGGTTCGAGGGAGACGTGCTCTGCCACTCGTCCGACTTCCCGGGAGCAGAAGACCACGGTCCGAATGAAGCCAGGACTAGGAGCTCGACGAAGAAGGCCATCGTGGTCGGGGCCTGCAACTCTAGCCATGACATCTGTCAAGACTACTATGAGCACGGATACGACGTGACCATGGTGCAACGGTCGTCGACGTGCGTGGTGACGAGCGAGGCGGCGCTCAAGTTCCTCGTCGGGCCGCTGTACTCGGAGGGCAACGGGCTGCCGATCGAGGACAGCGACGTGGCCGTGTGGAGCTGGCCTAGCGAGGTCATGAAAAGCCTCCAAGTCGACCTCACAAAGCTGCAGGTCGAGCACGATGCCACCATGCTGGCCGGACTGGAGGCCGCGGGCTTCAAGGTCGACACGGGCCCTAACGGCGGCGGCCTATTCACCAAGTACTTGCAGCGCGGTGGCGGGTATTACATCGACGTGGGCACGTCGCAGCTCATCATCGACGGCAAGATTCGCGTCAAGCAGGGCCAGGACGTCGTCGAGGTCCTGCCGCGCGGGCTCAGGTTCGCCGACGGGTCCGAGCTCGAGGCCGACGAGATCGTCTTCGCCACGGGCTACGCCAACATGCGCACGCGCGCCCGGAGCATCCTCGGAGACGCACTCGCGGACCGCATCGGGGATGTCTGGGGATGGGACGCCGAGGGCGAGATGCGCGGCATCTGGCGCCGCAGCGGCCACCCGGGGTTCTGGTTCCACGGCGGCAACCTCGCGATGTGCAGGTACTGGTCGAGGGTCCTCGCGCTGCAGATCAAGGCCAGCCTCGAGGGGCTCTCTTAGAGGATACAAAGGGTCCTTCGTTGGTTTTGATCTGATTTCAGTCACTTCTTTGAAGCTGAACGTTGTGGTCCAACAGGTCCGTTGCGGGGCACGAAGATGAAATCCATATTTCATGATTGCTATCAAATGGCTAGAAAAGAAAAAAAAGGGTGGGTTTTGGGGGAAATATCTACCTAGGCTCTTGTTCTAAAAGTAAAAGTTGCCGTGCTTATATTTTGTTGCTTTACGGGTCGTTTACGGGTCGATTACATTCACAAATCTCTAGTCACCCACACCACCCCTCGTCGCTTTGCTCAGGCTTGTTTGCAGGAAAGATATAATGCGCCAACTGCAATGGGTCCCCGCAGACGGGGCCAGCGGAGTTCGATTCTATCTCGTCAGCTTTTCAAGTCCATTTGTCTTCTTGTCTTTGAGACAAATGGGAGGACCACAAATAGTAGGCCCCTTAAACAAGGCGTACATATTCTAGACTATCCTCAACGGACGACCACACATCCCCTGTCATCATACCCTCCACAATAGCGGAAGCTTGAAGTTCGTATCCGTCCCTCGAAGGGTTGCGTCGAACGACATACGGATGATGGGCACCGGCCAACAAAACAAGCTTGTCACCAAGCTGAACCACACGACCTAGGCCCACCCGGCCTTTTTCTGTCAAGAAAACCCCACGACAGGACAGTTTGTCGTCACAAGGTGCAAGCGCCCTTCTTGGTGTTGAATTGGAAGAGAAAACAGTGTAACTGCCATGAGATGAATCGCCGCTAGGCGAGGTGGATGGTTTGTCCTCCCCCAAGCCGCCGAGGATATACCGCTGAACGCCTTCGTGACATCGGCCCATGAGCAACGTAACGATGAGATTATCGAACTGATTGGCCAGATTTTTGCAGTTGGAGGACTTTTGCAGCGAGACAAGGCTTCGGCGGGTATTCTTCAGGGCTTCTTCCACCTCCAAAGCCGTCTGTACGGCGACGGCCCGTGCCGACCAGTCCGGGAATGGCTCTTCAATCAGCTCGTAGACTGTGTCGACGACTTTGCCCAGCAGATGGAGGTCGTGCTAGTCGGCCGAGAGCATCCCGGCAGCCTTGGAATCGCCAGCAGCTCGATGGATGATAATCTTGTAATCCGACCATGGATGCTCGTCAGAAGACCAATCCGGCACCCATGAAGGAATAGCCAGCGACTTTGGCAAGCACATGCCTGCGGTGTCGAGCATCCATCCCAGCATGTCCGTACCCCAAACCCCCTCGAACAAACTTGCCGCCACCTCGGTGTAAATGTCTGCGGCGCTCCTGTCGTATCTAACCTCAATCTTACCAAGGAGATCAGGGTAGATAGCTTTTATCGCAAAAAAAATGTCTCTTGGATCGGTTGAACTCTTTTCGATTAGAGAGACGGCAGTCTGGACCGACTTTGACGAGTGCCATGCGGCCTTCTCCCGGACATGGCGAGCACTGTCCAAGTGGAATTCGAGGTCCATACGATTGCGGTCTCGGTTGTACAAGAGGGAATTTCCGTCGGGATAATACTCGTGGACGTCATAGCCGTATATTAGCTCTTCGAGCGATATCGGTCTGCTGTCTCCGATATAGAGTTCGGATCGGCGACTGAGAGCCAATTCCTGGACTGTCCATATACGTCTCCAATATCGATGCATCGTAATTTGGTTGAGCCCTCTCTCGACGGAAAGACGGTAATCTATAATCATCTATCGTGATCAGTGGAAGGCCACTTGCGTAAATGCTCTTGCAACATTACCTTCCCTGAGCATGCGTTTGACATTCGGCTGAGGATGAAATCGCCTCACCAACGCTTCCCACCTGCCCCTCTCTGGAGGATTGGGTAGTGCAAAACCCTTTGCATACTTCAGCGGGATGCATACTGTACGGTGACAATACGATATCGCCTTCTCGCTGTCTTCGTTGCCAGCTCCTAGCCACACGAGCACTGTTCTGGCGTTGCTGTATATATCGGCCATCATGGAGACTTGGGCATTCTTCTCCTTGATACAGGCCTGGTTGATACAGACGGCATCAATCCAGAGGCATCTGGGGCGGTGCCTTCGCCTGAGACGACGCATAGCGGCCTCGGCATTTGCGGTAACAAGCATGAGTTTCCTGCCACAGTAGATAGACCGGTCTGGCACCTGTCCGTCCCAGGTGTACGAGAGACATTCATAACTCGAAAACTCGACAACGCATACGGTCTTGAGACTGATATGCAAAGGTGCCGCGTTGTTCCAAGAAGGGCTCAGACTGATGACTCGAATAAGTCTCGGGCCAAGCAAAACCGGGCTATATTGAAAAGCCTCGTGCATCGTTGTGAAAGGATTCTCCATCGTCGAGGGGGATTCGGAATTTTGCTGCGGTATTGTGGACGTTCCTTAAGCAGGCTCTCATCTGTGGTACGCATTAGGTCCTGACGAATAGTAGGGCAGAGGTTGCGTGACCACTCTTGTCGATGTCCAACTTTGTTCACGACAGAATCCGAATGACTATCTCGCGGAGTACAACTGCGACACAGAATATAGAGCTGGGGAACTGCATTAAGAAAAAGTATCTAGATTGGAGGTGGTGCAAAGGAAAGGATCTAGGCCATTATATACGTAAGGGAGAGCACAGGGGCAATAGCTCAGGTGCTCAGAAGCCACACTACTGCGCCTTGACAGGGGTATGTTTACCGTGTCACAACAACAAAGTGTGTACGGAGTAGTGAGGCTGTGCTAGGCTGCCGCGGCCCCCATTGACGTGGCATGTCGGCCGGCCAGAGTTTTCCGCCCGGTCCCACAGCCGCCAGGCTCCGCCACCGCAGAGAGATTTTTATTCCCGAATTGTTAGTCATTTGTATTCATTTCGCAGATCGCCACCACTCCCAACGACTAGCCAGTCAACAAGGACTAATTACAGCGGATCCGAGGCCAGGTGATTAAGACACTAAGCGTGTCGAGTAATGGAATGTACACTAAGCGTGTCGAGTAACGGAATGTACACTAAGCGTGTCGAGTAATGGAATGTAGCTTCAAACCAGAGGCACCCCTGGCAGCAATGTCATGTGATAAATGCCATGTACTGGGATGCCATATGTTGTAAGTAGGGCAAGCTAACGGTTGATGTATTAGGTGTAGAATGCGGCCGCAACAGCCGGCTTCAGGAGTTGCCGATCTGCTCCGTCAGGGCTACCAAAAAATGCCAATAACGACCGTAGACACTCTAGCCGCTCTAAGCCTAGCTACGGCTAAGGACGAAAAGGAGCAAAACAGCGACCATGAGCAGGACTATGAGAAGGACGAAGAGCAGGACTATTAGAAGGAAGAAGAGAAGGAAGAAGAGAGGCAAAGCAAGGTATTGGCCAAAATACATGCACCCGTTGGAATTCTCCCAAACCCTGTCAAGGCCCATACCCCACCTAGATCCCAACGAACTGGCGCACAAGAGACGAACGCTGTCCAGCTGATACCTCCTTCACCCGTACAAGCTGACGCTCCCCAAACTCCCGAACGTCGAATCCAAAGGTCTTGCCCACAGCCAGTTCTTCAACTCTACCTGCAATCTTGGCCACCGTAAACGTCTCCGAACACCCTTTAAGCAGACGGTCAATCTCTGGAAGCTGCCGCCCAGTTTCTAGGTCGAAGACGGGGATGTGTTTACACTCTGTCTTGAAAGGTTCTTCATCATCGAAGTCGTCATCGCCATCTCGGTAGAAGTTGTAGATGGCCCAGACCGCGCCGGGGCGGCCGTGCATGTCGATTTCCACCACGACGCCGAACCAGCGCTGGCATCAATTCAATCAGTCTAAATATGAAGCCTTTTTTGACTGTATTTGAGGCCCAAAATGGTGTGTTTATCTGTGTAAGAGGCTCTCTCTGATTGGGTGGGTTTTATTTGACTTAATTGACGGAATTTGCCGATCCACCAAAAAACAAGGAAATCGAGCCCCGAATGACACGGAAAAAAGCCCTTGACCTTCAGGATCCTCATTTACTCGCCCAAGGACGATTTTCGGCGGTAGGGAGGCTTGTCGAGAGGGTCGTAACATCAACGGTGGAGGCAGGCATGTTGTCGAGGACTCGGGAGCCAAGGAAGCAGGGAAATGGCTGCAGGAAGGTAGGATTCGGCAGTTATGCGAGGGCACGTAGGGAATGCATGTGTGTGTATTGCTTTCTATGGAAGCTAAGCTATCTACGCGTGGGCGGAGAATCTATGTGCGGGGGATAGGCTGGATCTGCAGGGGCCAACCAGTGCCCCGGGCTAGGCCTGGGCCTAGCACAGCAGTTTGTTCACGGCGGTTGGCGATAGTTGCATTACAGCGGCACGGCGGCACTCGAACTCAGGGCATCCGAGGATTTTCCCGGGACCAGAAAATGCAGGGTTGGCCTTGGTCAGGGACTGCCCTGGTGCCAGGAAAACCCGGAAAATTGGGCCCAAAAATGGCTCAACCAATGGGAAATATTTACAAATATGCCAATTAACCTGACCCTCGATTTGGCCTGAATTTGACCTCCAAAATGGCTTATTTGCCTGCAAATACGATTTTCCTTATTTGATTGATTTGGCATTTATTTGGACTGGTGCCAGCGCTGCGCCGAACCCGGTCTCGGTGCACTCCCCCCACTTGATGATGTCCATCATAGCTAACCACTCGGCGCGCGACCCGTCGGACGCGCGGGCCAACCTCCGCTCAATCCAAACATTACACCAGTCCAGAAATTGCTGCGCAAGGCCGGGCGCTTTCCAGTGGTTGTGTACAGCAAAACCCCACGCGTCCAGTTCCACGATGAATTTATTATCTCGGTAAAAATCATAGAATTCGCGCTCTTGCGGCGAGAAGCTCGCTAGTGCCTTTTCGTCGGACGGCGGTCTCGGCATTTGGTAGGCTGGAGTCAGGTTAGATGGTGGTGATTGATTAGACAGAGATAAAGGTCAGCAAGGGCGACCAGGCGAGACGGAGCAGAATTTATAGCTTGGACGGGAAAAGGCTTGTGCTGTGGGTCGCGGGGGGTTCAACAGACTTTGTTCGTAGCCTCGGAAAGCTGTATAAAACCGTAGAAAGGTTGTTGTGGATGTTAGTTGAGGCCACCGACCTCGTCTTCCTGCTTGCTGCCCATTTCCTGAGTGTCGACGCAAATGTCGAGGCGCGTCTTTGACGTTAGATCGCCTGACAGCGGGGTGTCTCCTACCTTCCTTATGCCTGTGGACTTTTCAGTCGGTAGTCAGTGCCCAACTTGGGAAGAGTAGGTTGGGGTGGGAGCCTTTTGGGAGATCCTGGTATTGGTGTTTTCGGGAGAGGTTTGCGGAAGCGTAAAGCTAGAGGCCTAGAGGAGGAGGCCTGGAGAAGGGCATTGTTCGCAGTTCTTCCGGCGTAAAGTCTTGCGGTTGCAGCCTCTTGTTGCCATTTATTACGGGCGGCAATCCTCAGTCCCAACCTGGGGACGGGCTGAAACGCCAGCACTGGTGGCCAATGGCTGCTCATTCCGTTTCCAAAATGCCCCCGCAGCCCTCTGGCAGATGTGCCCCGCCGAATTTTCCACTTCTTTCGCAGTCGGCCGTTGCTCCCGTTTGGAGTTTCTCATTGCACCCAACAGCTCAGCCAATTCACCTCGGGACTTGTTCACGGCCGCGCCGATCTGTTTTTGGGACATGCTCGCGGCTAGTAACAAGCTATATTCCACCATTGTTTTTCCTTTGTCCTGCCTCTGCTCGTGACTGGCAGGCAGCTCCCTTTGCTTGTCCGAATACCGGGCCATTTCGCCGTCTAGCTTCCGCATAGTCGAGGTCATAGTCCATCACGAGCACTGGTTTCGGGAACAAGCTTGTTCAGCCAATTACTTGAGCTATGTGTTCCTGAATCAATGTCAGCCGGAGGAACATGCCCTTGAGCTTCTGGAGGGGGGGGGGGGTCCGTAACTTATGTGATGGCTGAGCTGGAGAGTGGCGAGTACAGATAGTAACAGTTTGCGAGCAGAGACAGCTAGGGTAATTCCTAGGTAGAACTTTGTAGAGTAGTCAAAAGGCAGGGTTCCGCGATAGCAGTAGACCAATGAATTAGATTCTAAGGAGTCTACCACTTGGACGTGACGCGGTTCGCAGGGCTGCGTTATAGTCTTGGGATACTGATCTCTTCCTTGAACAGGTTCGCCTTGGGGAACGCCATTCAAACTCAAACTTGGTATTGTCGGCAAAGATGATTGGGAGAGTAAGAGCTTGTTCATGTCTATGTTGGCCATGTATATGTTGGCCATGTATATGTTGGCCATGTATATGTTGGCCATGTATATGTTGGCCATGTATATGTTGGCCATGTATATGTTGGCCAAGTCTATACATTGCTCCGCCGTCGGCCAAAGTACACGCGAGAGAGACAACATAGATCCAATGAGATTCAATAACCAAGTTTCATGTACCATACTCGCATCATTCCGCAGGTCATACAGTTGCGTTTAAATGTATATGTAATGTTTTTCCATCTCGGTGCGATCACTGCCGGGGGCGCCGACCCGTAATGGGCGGGGATCCTCTCCGAGCAGAGCCCAAAAAGCGACTGAGCCAGGTGACCAAATATCAATTTTATTATCACACAAAGGATATGGTAGTTGGCGGCTATTCCACGGGTCTTACAGAGATTTAAAAAGCTCCGGGGCTGTGCAGAGTAAAACTTTCTCGTCGTGTTCGTAATCGGCAGGGGTGTCTGGGAGAAAACCCATATCTGAAAGTAGACAGCAGCTTGTACCAGTCGACCTATTATCCACGTAAAAAATACTGCTGGACTTATCGTTGCCATGTATGATATTTGCGCTGTGGAGGGCCTTCAGCACAGTAGCAGCTTCTACGATAAGAAAGCCAACATCTTGAGGGGCAATCTTCCTCGTCTTACTTCGAGAGAAGCAGTCGGCGGCTGACATGGATCCAAGCCGATAATAATCCATGATCAACCAATGTTGGGGAGGCTTCCATCGTCGTCTTTTTGGAAGAATATGTCCTTGTATTTCACAAGGTATGGACTGGATACCGCTTGATATTTTTCCAAAGCTGTGTACAGCCGAGCAAAGTGTATTTATCTTGGCGTGCAACGGTATTTATTGGAGACCATTGCAATGAGAAAAAGCGCAGTGCGGCCCAGAGGTATTATGGCAGACGGCCGGTGTGGCTGAAACCCGTCGTCTTTGGTCAGGTCCTTGGCGGGGAAAGCAAGAGGAGACGGGACTTGTACCAAAACCATGTCAAGGCCGAGCTCCGCATTACATCACGATCTGGCCCTCTCTGGAAACGTGTGCCGAGCTAGGCCAAGGCAAATGTTTCTGCCTCTCCTGTTAATCGAAGTGTTTCCTAGTCTATCGAGCAGATTTACTGACGGCAGCAGGATTTTAAAACAAGTTGCAACACAGCACGTCTCGGCCAGGAACGAGTCCAGGGCACTTCAAACCACCCAGCCACTTATTAGCCAATGGAGATTGGCTTCCACTTGGGACGGGGCGGGGGATGCGGCACATTGGCCGAATAGAGATAGCGAAGCCACCTGCCACAGGGCCAAGGCTACATTGAGGCGGAGCAGGCTCGGACTTGGGCTCGGACACGAACTTGAAGGATGGGCTTTCGGAGACCAAAGACGCCGTCCTGTGGTTTCATGGCGTCCCAGGCCTCGTTTCGACCCTCGTGACCTGCACATTACACCACCACCCGCCAAAGGTCGGCAACCAACTCGCCCAAAATCACATTGCCACACAGGTCGAGAGCATGTTCGACCAACAAAAGGCTAGATATGGAACGAGCGCGCTGGGTAGCCGCCCTCTGGCTGAAACGGTGTGAAAACTTGGCGGCCCGCCCTCCGGGGTCCGCGGAAGTTGACTGGGCAGTCTGGCCTTCTCTTGTCATGTACCGGCGTGTTCATGATTGATAATATACATGGAGATATATCTTCCTGGGTCTACCCTTCTGTTGCTTTTACGAGTCCGCCCTGCAGGTTTGCGGTCTTGTCTAGACATGATCCCAACACAAAACTTCAATATCAGCGTCGTCGAAGTCACACATTACCACTTGGTCAACATACCACGTCCTGTCCGAACCTGAACTCTCCGTGTGATTCCACTTAATTACTCGCCACACCTAACTAGACAAATCCAATACCAACCATTACCAACCATGTCTCACGCACCTGCTCCTGTGCATCAACTAGCGCTTAAGAACGGCACCAGCGGACACCATGCGGAGACGGACTGGGAGTACGTATCAACATTAACCGACAAGTTAAAAAGCGTCTCCAACGTATTCGGACACGACTCAGTAAACAACACTAACTACCCACCGCAACCCCCCGGGGAGGTTCAGCTGATCGAGATGCTGCTATACTGCAAGTCGAAGATAATGAGTGAAGAATATTACCCAAAACCGGTGCAAACCAGCCCTGAAGGCGCCCACAAGCCCCCAGCCATACCACCCCCGACGATACACAACTGGATCCATGCGACACAGCACTATCTTTCGTTGCTTCATGAGCCCACTCCAATTTACACGGCATGCCTGGTCCCAAACCCCTACCTCAAATGCCCTGGACGCTCGGGCTCGTCCGAGAACAACAAGCTGGCCACCAAAGACTGGCTCGCGGGTGTGACAAACTTTGAACCCGTCACGCAAACGATCCCAGAAAAACTACACGGCGGCATGTAGTACGACTTGTTGGCTCCACACAAGGTCTAGACAAGAGGAGGCACACAAGGTCTAGACGAGGAGGACGATGTGTAATGTCCCCACAGAACGGGGGGGGGGACTACAGCGGGCAAGAATTTCTTACGGCACTCCCTCGTTCTATTGAATGGGTCACGGCTCTTGTAAATACATCTACCCGAGAGGCGTCTCCCCTATTCTCGACAGGCGAACGAACCCCATGTTGGCATTTGAACATTCGTTTTGCATTTTGTATAGCACCCTTATCCGCCGCGTATTGGCTTTTTTGGTGACCAACTTTAATCTATATATCGCATAGCACACTTATCTACCAGATTATTCTCCAAGCGTACAAGTACAAGAAATCTGGCCCATCAACACACTGATCTATATATTCTCTTCCACTGTGGCCATAGCTGACGCTCCTCCTCCTCCTGGGCCTTGATGATGCCAAGGCGGCCAAAGTCGCGGCGGCCCGTGTCGATATCCATATCCTCGACGCGGGCGGGAGATGTCTTGTACCAGAGCTTGTGCCCAATGTAGAAGACGAGCACGACGGGGACTGCCATGCATTGCAGGAAAAAGTTCTCGGCCATGTCGGCAGCCGAGCTTGGGCCGTCGGTCGCATCTCGGATGGGGGAAACTGCGACCCATATCTGGGCGATCAAGATCAGGACGTTGATGCCGAGCCCAATCCAGGAACCGACCACGCCGGCCTGCGCACGGAATGCCATGTCGCTAAGCGAGCGGTTGCGGTGGCTCCAGGCCTGGCGCAGCCGGATGTGGGCTAGACACGTGCTGGCCCACGTGAAGATGGTGCTGAGACCGCTGATGGCCAAGAGCCAGTCAAAGACTGTCGACTGGGCCTTCACGTCAGATAGGTAGGCGAGCAGCCCGACACTCGATGCAGCCAGAATAGCTATGAGAGGCCGGCCGTTGCGGTCGACGTAGGCAAGGATCTTTGGCGCCTGGCCTTGCTCGGCGAGGGCCGCGAGTGTCCGTGACGAACCGAATACGGACGAGTTGCCTACACTGATGACGGACACGAGGATGACGCCGTTCATGACACTTGGGAGGATCGTGGCGCCGGCACTCTCGATGGCAATGACGAAAGGGCTAGCAGATGAGTCGGCTATGCTGGTAGCGCCTAATAAACGTGGGTCGTTGTAAGGCACGAGCAAGCCGACAAGCGTGAGGGCGACGATGTAGAAAAGGGTAATGCGCCAGAACACCTGCTTTATAGCTCTTGGTAGGGACTTGCGCGGGTTTGCCGTCTCTGCCGCCGCGAGACCGACAAGCTCGGTACCAGCGAACGCGAACGCTGCCGTCACAAAGACGCTGCAAAGCCCTTTGAAGCCGTTGTTAAAGGCTCCCGGGTCTTTCCAGTACTTGCCTCCTATGTAGCCCCCGGTAGGCGTGCCCCCTATGTTGATAACAATACCGAGAAGGCTGCGTGGCGAGTCAGTGACGTGCAACGTCGCGCTCAGAGGGGAGAGAGGCGGAAGGGCAATGGGGTGGAAGGAGAGAGAAACCAGCGCCACTCACATGAACCCTATCACAGCAGTAACTTTGATAATGGCAAAGACAAACTCGGCCTCGCCGTAACCTTTGACGCCAAAGAGATTGATGACAACAATCACGACCAAAAAGACAGTCACGAAGATGGCCTTGTTCAAGTCTGGGTTCCAATAGCTTATTGTTGCAGCGCCCGCGATGATCTCCAATGGGAGAACGACGACCCATTGTAGCGCGTAGCTAAACGGAGATGCTGTCAGCCATGGTTCTGTACCCACAGTGAATGCGGCCAAAGGAAGCGGCCTATCCGGTTGGAGAGGACAAGATATCCGCGAAAAGGGAGGGGTTACTCACTTCCAGCCCATAGCAAACCCCCACGAGGGGTCCAGGAACCGGGTGGAAAAGGCCGAGAAGGAACCAGCCACGGGAAAGAGGACGGCGAGTTCTCCGAGAGCCTGCACGGTGCAAAACAGCATGACGCCGACAAATATGTAGGCTAGCAAGACCGAGGCGGGCCCGCCCTCGCTGAGAGCCTTGCCGGAGGCAACAAAGAGACCGGTGCCAATGGAACCTCCAATGGCAATCATCTGCAGATGCCGGCCCTTGAGCTCGCGAGACAGCAGGGAACTCGCCGTCTTGTTGTTGGCCGAACGCAGGTCGTAGTAGCGTCCGCCTTGGTGGTCACGGACGACGCTGACGCCCGTGGCCGAGGCGGCCGGGGCTCCGAAGCTGGGGCCCCTGACGGAGACGGGGGAGGTGTCAGCGTCGGTGACGCGAAACTCGATGTCTTCGCCGCCGCCGGGGCCATCTTTCCCAGTGCCGTCTTCGCGGCGAAAGGTGTCAACCCAGCGACCCAGTGCGCCCTTGACCACTTCCCGGGAGCGGTCGGCGCCGGAGGTGCGGCTCGGCCCCCGCGCGCTGTAGCTGCTGCCTTCTGCTAGGCTGGTCGTCAGGCCCAGCCTGTTCATCTCGATGTCTCGGTCGAGGGTCATCTTGGGCGTTGGCTCATTGAAGAGCTAGATGCCGAAACACACCGATGGTATGGTACAGGGCGTCGGGAACAGTCCAAAGAACATGCAAAGTGTCGCGTGTGTTGTGCGAGCGCTGGGGACGCTGGGGACGCTGGGGACTGGGCTTTGACGTGGTGCTATGTGTAGTACAAGTACAGGGCTTTGCGGTTTGCCATGCGTGACCCCTGAAGAAGCCGAGGCGCTGGAATGCGGGGGAGATGGGGGATGGGGATTATTTCCAGTTCTCGCTAAAATAAGATACAATTAAATGGCTGGCTGGCTGGCTGGCTGGCTGACCGCACCAATGGCCCGGAATAAGAGACGGAAGGCTATATAACAAGAAAACAATAGCTAACAGGCCCATGAGAATGGCGTGGGGTGGCCGTCGTTGTCCAGTGATACCCCAAAAGAGGGTTGGGTTGTTGCTGACCGAACTGGGGAAATTTGCCCCGCACCTGGCCAAGCCGAGGATCCGTGGAAGCTGTTTTTTGGTCTTCACTTCACTCCCCTTTGGAAGAGACGACACACAATGCAGTGGTGAGTGCCGGATGAGCTGCGTGTGATGCAATTCCGCTGCAGTTTCACATGGGGCCTGGCATTGCATCGGTATTGTCTGGCGTCATGAACTAGGGCAGCTGGGAACCCGCTTCGCTGATAAGGCGATGGACGGCGAGGGAAGGGATCTCGCGGAGGCGGACAGAAGGGGGGGAAAGATTCGAGGGACAAAAAAATTGGGGTGTGTGGGCAAATCGACAAAATCGGGAGGTTGCTCCGCCAAACCCCCAGTCGAAAAGTGGAAACGTCGTGCCCTCCACTACCATTGGACGTTGGGGCGGGTGCCACCACCTTTGCACCTGCCGCGTTGTTGGGTCGCGCAAGGGGGTGGCAGCAACAATGCTGCAAAGGCGCATGGTTAGCGTATTTCTTGAACGATTGCGTGTTTTTCTCCCCAGAGGCGGCAGCCACGGGCGGCTTGAGGCGTCTTGGGCGCCGCAAAAGGCTTCCATGCAGCGTGGCGTGCACGAGGGAACGGCTTCGGTGTCGCAGATTTTTAACCAACTGCTGAACCTGGCACGCCGACCGAACGCCACAGAAATTCCAGGTTGCGTGTGGGTGGGGCGGAGATGTCCGCCGCCCGCTCTAGGTGGCGTAACCTGATGTGCAGAGCAGGAAAGCACGGCAGGAAAGCACGGCTGGACGGGCCTTCCTTTAGGTTGTGTTGGCGATAAGGTTGTGTTGGCGATACTGAATCCACGGTTGCCTCTGCCAATCTATCGCCCTGCAGATGGACCTCTGGCGAACAGACCTGGGCCCGAAATATCCTCGGCAGAGACTCTCCACTTGCATGGGCAGCACGCCATGTGGCATGGCATCTTCCGAGTGGGATTGCCTCCGCAACAGGCCGGATCGGCGCACCCTCCGGGCTCCACCGGCCGTCACTAGGCTGCTTGTCACGCACGTTGTCTCCCTCCGCCGGGAAACAGCCTTGTTATTTCGACATGCGAGCTAGCTAGCAGTACCCTCAGGCTGTTCTTGACACTAACACCTCTTAGCGGCTCCTCGGTAAAAACGTTTGGGGTTTTCGTTATCTCAACCTCTTGGTGCATGATGCTGCTTAACTCTGCAGCACCTTGTTTCGTGGTGTTTGGCGAGTCTTAGCTGCCACCCAGCCTGCGCATGAAGCAGCGCAGCAGGGCACGCCAAACTCGAGTTGGTTGCGCGCTGCTGCGCGCGAGAGTGAGACTCGGGGCCTCGAGAGTGAGACTTGGAGCCTCGAGAGTGAGACTCGGAGCCTTAGGGACCAGTTTCGGCATCGGTAAAACTTCCTGGAAAAGAACAAATGGCCAACCAAAGATGACTTCAAGCTTGCGCCTCCTCACTAACAATTCTTCAACTCGAAAGAAATGGCAGCCATTGGTTGCAGCGTCTTGGATTACAAGCTAGTTTTACCGATGCCGAAACTGGCCCCTAACCCCTAAGGAGATGTCCCCAAAACCTCCAATCACGGGCATTGCTAGCGTGCTGATAAGCCAAAAGGGGGCCCAGATGCGCCCAGATGCATCCATAGCACATATAAGCTACGATAATTAAAATAATTAAACTAAAGCAGAAAGCTACCACTCTGCTCTCACCAGAAATCCCGATCGGCAAGGTACCGGCCTGCCTGAGGTGGTACTCTGTACCTGCCTCGCCTGTAACCGAAGCCCCACTTATTTGGTAGCTGTTAGTTGGGCTCGGGTGGTGTGTGCAGTTCCGGCCCTTCTCCCTGCCCACGGACCTGGACCTGCGCCGCACCAAACCCGGTCTGGCGAGCCTCAAGACATGCGGCCCGAATCAGGTAGTTTGGGCCGTCATTCTTCATGCACTCTTCAAGCCACAAAAGCCATGCGCACAGCAAGTCAGTCCCGGTTCAGGAATGGTCGTCGAAGTCGAACACTCAAAGAAGCACCACGCGGGTGCCGAGGTTTCGCTAGTCAGGTGTCAAAGCTCACGCTATCGAGTTTCCTGGCCGCGGTTTGGCTGTGATATCGCGTCCTGCAGAACCGTGCAGGTGCTGTACCTAGTGGAGACACGCGGTGACACATTCGCAGCTAAACGCAATTAAGAGCGGGGGCAACGTTCGAACGCATTGAGTGTATTTGGATTTGTTCATTTGTCTCGCAATCCAACAAGCTTGTTTTTACACTAATCGTATACACGCTAACGCTTGCTGTCCTCGACTGACGGCAACGGCCCCATGCTCTGGAGAGGCACCGTTGTACCCCGGACTGTGCCCCTGCCGCTCGCGAGAACGGTGCGCTCCATTGGTCCCCCGTTAGCCACGCTGCCATGCCTCGACAGGGTACCGATGCGGTCATCCGCCTCCGCCTCCGCCTCCGCTGCCGCAGACACAGTCACCCGGATCGTCGTCGTCTTCATCACGTCGCCGTTGACGGGCGCGAAACGCGACCTGGGGATCAGCGAGTCCTGGCTGGCCGTGCGGCTCAGCGCAATTTTCGACGGGTTCGACTCTCTCAGTTTCGCGGACGGCTCTACGGACTCGGAGTGGTCCGCCGCCGGGCCGTCGTCGCTGTCGTCCCAGACATCCTTCCGCACGGTCCTCTGTGCGGCCCTGGCCTCTGCCGAGTTGACGTCCGGGTCGTACGTGAACTTGGCCTTCTTGACGCCCGTGTCTCGCATGAAGGAGCCCAGCGCTTGTGCGTTGGTTGCGATGGTAGCAACTAATATCTCAGCCGACGCCCACATGGTTCGTGTGGCTTGGTATCCGTGCTCCCCCACGATCTGCGGCGCGCGGTATATGGAGACGACGACGGTGAACAGGCCGAGACAGAAGAGTATGCTGAGCATGAACTTGCGCCCCAGCGGCAGCCGGCTTGACACGACCACCGCGATGGGGAAAATGACGAGCATGAGGTCGGTCAGCGCGCTGCAGACCGCGACCGTCAGCAGGTTGCCGTAGCCTTGGCGGCACCGTCCACCGGGGTCGGGCGTCACGGTCCAGTAGTTTTTGAATCCCGGGCATTCGGCCAAGTCGCTGACGACGACGGCCCCGAAGGTCGCGGCCAGGAAGACGCGCAGGAAGAGGAGCGTCCACGTGTAGCGTTTCTTTCCCGTCGACCCGACGAGGCGTTCGAGGAATAGTAGCGTAGCCACTTTGAGCGCCCATAGACTGCACGAAACCGCGGCGTTAGTCGGTGGCTAGGAAATCGGGGGGTCACCGCCGTAGAGACGGGAGTGGTAGGCAATGACTTACACCGCGGGATAAAGAAGCCTTGTCAGCAGAACGAGACCGCTCCCGATCGCCCGGTGGCTGATGTCGGTATCGAACAGCTGCTGGCCGTCAAGCAGCACGTTGTTGGTGCCGTAGACCAGGACGACGTGGATGAGTGCCATGCGGAGAGACAACGGGATCAGCGCCAAGGCCGTCACCTTGTCCTCCAGGAACAGCTTCTCGACGCGGACAAAGCGGCCCCCGACTCGCAGCGTGATGACGACGGAGCATAGCGCGGTAATCCACCACGATACGAGGAGTGTCGGCTTGTCGTCGCTGAAGGGCCGGAACGCCGGCGCCGAAGAGTACAGCGTCATGGCGACGGGTATGAACGGTCGCCTTTTTTTTTTGTCTTACTGACGCGGCCCACCCGGTGGCCGGGGCTTCTAGAGAGCTTAAAGGCAATATAGAGGCGGGACACGTCGGCGATTTTGCTGGATATTGGCGGGGTTTCGTTCGGCAAGTGTTGTAGATCACCTCGGACCAGCGAAGCGCGTGGCATGGCGGTCATGACCCGTTCATGTCAAGTTCTCGTCTCGGCCGCGGTGCTTATCTCAAGGAGGCTCACATGGCATGGTGTGAGACGAGGTGGACTGAGATTGGAGATAGCGACGGCATGGCGATGGCGATGTCAGGGTGCTTGGACCGCGCAGCTAATGCATGGCCTGGGATTAATGCATCAGCTTGATTGGCTGCTCAATGCGTCGCCGAGCTTCTAGGAGATGCAGGTGTTCAGAGGTAGTCACATAGGGGTCTCGACCGAGGTTGTACTCCTCAGAGTGCCCAGCAAAGTGAGCGCGGGCGCGGTGCGAGCCAGCCATAGACGTCCGGGGGGTGTGAGCCAGCCATAGACGTTCGGGGGTGGGGTGTTGGTGGTGGCAAGCGGGAGGGAGAGTGGCTGGCTGATCGGGGTGCGCGATTTCGTCTATCGCGTCCTCAGGGGTTCACCGAGCCATCGCTAGCGTGTATGCCACCTGAGCTCTATGGGCGATTGTGCGGCTTGGTGGGGCTCTGCTCAGTTGCTGCACGTTTCTGGCTCACGGTTGGCAACTTGCCGACTGGTTGCTGGCGCGGAGGATTCGGACGTGGTTGCCGCATCGAACAAAAGGGCGAAACGTTTGACGGTTGAGCGATTGGCTGACGGGCTGAGGGGGTTGACAAAACGACGTTGGAGTCTTGGCTGGAGAGGTAGCGCGGGCCGTTGGTTGGCCCATCCATTCCCGATTTGGCATTTCTCCGTGCCACCCCGCGCTCCCGCTCCAATTCTAAAGCCTGGCAGGAGTCGGGACGCCTCTAGCCTCGCTGGATTGCATGACGTACTCTTCTTGTCGCTCTGAATCGTTTCATCGTTGTTGGTGTGGGGAATATTGGGGTTCAAATCCGACAAGGGCCGATTGGGAGAGCTAACGTTATCGTTATCAAGCTGCAGGCATGAAACGGGGTCGGGAAACCGTCGAACTCCAACTGGCTCAGCCACTCCTTCCCTCTGCCGCCCAGACGCTACTCCGTAGTTAATTAGGACATTGATATTTGTTAGTGGGGCACTCATTACACTTGCAAGCTGACGAGACCGCGCGACGGCTCTGTCTTAGATCCACTTTCTCCGAAAACGCAGCCTCTACCTTACTACGTACAACGTTTCCCCACTACCCGCAGCTCGGTTGCGATAGTGTTGTTTCCCCTGCCGGTACGCAGATACGGGGATTAATTATGGTACAACCAAGGCACCGAGAGGTTGGTTTCAGAACGGGCCACTTGACTTGGGTCTAGACAGCTGTCACCCGACGCATGAGTTTAGGTCGCACCAGCTCCCACGTTTTTACTCCATTGTCCGCCCAGGGAGCAACCTAGACTAAATGCTCGGACGCTTTTGTCTGCCACGGAACGCCGAGTTGACCGGGCCAGTTTATCCAGGCCAAGGCTGCTGAAATGATTATCACGTTGGTTGCAAAACTTGTTGTGGCTTCCCCTGCTCGTTGGTTTTCGTGTATTGAGCCGCTTACCCTTTGCCTTGACTTCTTTTAGTCAGAATGCAATACCCTTGCACAAAAGTGTAGACCAGAGCTTGCTTATACATGGCATTGAGCCGCTAACAACGTCAGGGACTTGGGTGACTACCTAACTTGATACTCTTACACCTATCTGGCTTGGCACGAGAAGGAAAATAGAAGTAGGCACTTTGGGTTTCCAAATTCCAAAGAAATAGGCGACTACCTACCCACATACCTTCAAATTACCTGAGCATTGCTTCCCACCGTGTTGTAGTATATTCTAATTAGCATAGGAGAACATCCCCGTCCATGCAAAAGAGAAGGACAGCTGGGCTCTAGCATGACGTTGGTAAGGATTATTTAAGGCATGCGCCTACCTAGGCAATCAATGGGCTAATTACATTGCTTACTATGAAACATGCTAATTTTAGGTGAGATATACGTTGCCGTTGCTACAAAGGAGATCCTGCTTGGAATATGGAATATCATGGATTAAGTCATTCTCACTATGGGACAAAATGGTCTGAATCATCCCGGCCTTCTTCTCTCGAGCCTCCATTTCCGCCTCCTTCATTTCCGCCACCTTCATTTCCGCCTCCTTCATTTCCGCCTCCTTCATTTCCGCCTCCTAGACTCCATCTTCAACATAGATCAACTGATTACTGGCCTAGTAGGCGGAATACATAAGTTGTGTGCTTAGCGGCAGTATCGGAAGAGGATGGAGTCGTGTTATCCAATGCCTTGAATTTGCTGTTGCGGTACTTGCCAACTGGCGAAAGTGAGGGATTGGAGTGTACTTTCTTAACACAATGTGGCAGCACGTATAACAGCCATTACATAACCCTAAAACCGCAACGAGAGTTTCCATTTCCTCCTTCGAAGCTGAGCAATTACCGCCTTAAGCTGAGCTAGGCTGAGCCCGGCTGAGCGAGAGGTTACTTTTGTGGTCACCCCGGTTATACTTACCTTAATTTGAAAATAGCATTTTAAGCCCAGATTCAGGACACTATCGCTCCGCCACCCGGCGACCCCGTCTCCTTTTTCTGCCGGAGTAAGCGATTATTTCGTTTACCTAAAATAAATTAGAAGGATAGAAATAATAGGGTAGTTATAATTACCTAATATAACTCTATACCGATTGTCGTTAGCTCGCCGTTTTAAGTTTGCAAACTTGAAGATAACTTCCTTACTACATAGGGGGATATATGCCATAGCAACTAGCTATTAAGGTAAGAGAACTAGTCGTAGATCTAATAATAAAGACTACTTAGAAAGACTTAAAATTTTATAATTACGTGTGGACGTATTTAGCTCCTGAACAGCGCTCGGGTTGCGATTTTTGTCCAGTCCGTGACAGAAATGCCTGCTCAAAGCCCCTTTGTTCAAACGTTAGCCATCTCCTTGCCGAGAGTTGAAGCCATCGCCAACCAGCCATGCCCCGCAGCAACACCAGCAATAAGGCACTGGCCAATGTGGGCCCATTGGCAGGCGGCGGCAGCGGCGCCGTGAAATAAAGGTCGTCGCCGCCACTTATCTTAACAGGGTGTTGGACGCGCTATGGCACCTCTAGCGTCATCGGTATCTACATAGCGTGTAGGCCCTGATGAACTCATAGCTAAGCGGCGCCCAAGGCACGCTAACCATCCGTAAACTACTCCCGCCAGTGCGGTCGGTACCTGCCCACCAGGCACCCAGCTACTTCTCAAGAACTCAAGGTCACAACGTCAAGTCGCTCGTTTTCGCAGACGACGCGCCGGGTGCGGGAAGGAGGACCGGCTTCCCTAGGCTATGCTAGACTTCGACCGCGGCCTGCCTCTGGGTTGTTAAGCCCTGGTGGCGTTTAACTCAGGCACCGCGTTCAGCGGCTAGCTCTTGCCCGAGAACCACAGGACGCATTTCGCGCATAGTGGCTTCTGCAACAACCAAACGTGTATTGCCCGCTCGTCCTGGTAGTTACGGATATGCATGTCGCATGTGGTCGGCGCCACAATGACGGGCTGTTTGAGCAGTCAGCAGATCTGCAATAGGCGGATATCGTTCTGAGACGGGTGGTCAGCCATCAGCTGCCGCTCGGCTCTGGGTGCTTTTAGCAGTAGCATGACTTACCTCGGTCAGGCTCGACTCGTGGGCGAGCACTACCATGTCGTAGGCAAAGAGCCTCTAGTTGTAGTAGTACCCGAATGCAGTAGCGTTAATGGTGCCAGCCCCCGGCGTGTCGTACTAGATGTATCTTTGGTGTATTGGGTCGGGGTAGCGGTGGCGCGACATGGTCGTATCGGATGCGCCCGTTGGCGCATAGGCGCTATCGGCGATGACGCAGTTGCGGAGAGCGTTGATGAGAGACGACTTGCCGGCGTCGAGGTTGCCGGCGATCACAATGTTCTTAGCTCCCGGCTCGTAGTTGATATCCCGCCTAGCCGAGGTGATATCTTCTCCTAACGCTTTGGTCATCGATGGATTCATTCTCCTGGACGAAAGCAGAACATTTTAGATTAGAAGCCGGAGATGTAGATATACCAAGAAAGGGGAGCCTCTTACAGGTCATGCATCAACGGCTCTCTCGCCCGCTTGCTTCCTGCCCTTGCATCTCTGCCTGCTCTTTGCTCTCTCCGCCTTTTGCACGATCCCGCTTGCAATCCAGGCCTGGAAAACAACCCAGGCCCCGATAGGAAGGAGGAATGCCATCCTTGGGATTGCTTTTTTGAGTTGGCGTGTATATAACTAACAGATTGAAAGGAGCAGAGCTCAAATAGAAATATGAGACGTCCAGGTTGCGGCTGCGCCAAGCTCAAAAGAGACATCGCAATGGGGAAAGGGAGAGATTGCGGGCTTATATCGTCGTTTATTATGATGAACAGGCGTTGGCGACGTCGCATCTGTTACGAGACCTAGTACCAGTGCCATGTCTTGGATCGCTTTAGGAACAAAGCACCTAAACGTAGTTCGCCCGCGGGAACGTAGCTTCCGCGTGCCATAGCTTGTCGCCCAACCAATACTCCTGATCCTAGATCAATTGGCATTCAGGTAATGATATGGTGGCGACAGCGACAACGCATCACGCTCGGTCCCTACCACCGGCGCAGCGAACCGTCTCTAGCATCTTTGTAATCGACCAACTAAGACGGTCCAGGTAATCGAGTAGGGCTTCGATGCATCGAAGCATAAATCTGGCTGTGCTAAGCCCGAGTAACCCACCACGTTTTTCCTTTATGTGCACATTTGCCATACTACAGGCTACTGCCAGCGAAGCAAGGCAATGATACACCTAAGGCTATGTACCATCTTTTACTACTATCGCCTGCACTCGCTACTCGCGGTAGATTCTAAGCCGCAAGCGAACCACTGGAGAACATCAATTTCTGTATTTAGATCTAGCCATAGAGAGAACTCCCGACAAGCGCGGTTGCACTGCCTAGCAGACAGCCGCCCAACCTTCTTGAGAGTCTAGCCTAGGTGCTGTGGCAATTATAATAAGATAGTAGTAATACCTTGACTGCGGCATAGGAGTCAGCCCCTTTCTTTGCGCGCTATTTTTATCGCATTTGCATGTAAATACTGCGTCTGCCATCCGCGCGGCCCCTTGTCATGTAGCTCCCATACGCTCAGGCTTATAGCTATAGCCGTGCCTGTCACCGCACAGTCAACTAGATGAGGCAAGGCTGCATTAAGGTCGCTGTATTCGTAGAATCTAAAGCTAAGGAAAAGAAAAAGTAAAAGAAGTTCCAAATTCTGTGCGGGGCTTGAAGAAGTAGGGTTGGTCTGTGGGTCACGTGTTGGGGCGCCGCACAGGCCACTCGGTTTCGTACCCAGCCCCGCACCCCAATTGAGATTCCTTTCCAGGACCCCTTAGCCAGTTGTCTTGGCACTTGCCAGCCAGCTGCTTTGGCACTTGCCGTGACAGCGCCTGGCATTTCTAATAAATAGACATCATCAACGCGATTTGCTTTCCTCTGATCAGACCGCAATGTCCCTATTGACGACGAGAACCCCCTCTTTTCCTTATTGTTTTACTATGTAATCCGCCCAACTGTCCAAGTCACCCTTTCTAAGCCACCCTTTTCTAAGCCGCCATATGAGACACCCTTTTTCCCTGTAATCTGAGTGATCAAGTACGTAATTAGGCCTAAGACTGACGGACAGGTCACTGCACGTGTCTTGATGTCGGTTGTTTCCCTGCCCACTTCAAATTTATTGAAGATCCCTCTTAGAGGGCTTGGAGTTCGGTCTAAGAGCAGCAGTAACTAGAGTCGTTGACAAGACTAATTCTTTTACATTTTTATTTAGCCGCCCGGAAAACACGTCCTAGTTACTTCTAACATGCAGTTAACTTTGACGATTGCGTCGGGTATGGCGTTCGAAAAAATCCACTGACGGGCGGAGCCGCTCACTAAAGATATCAACTTACAACTACGTATAATAGCGTTCTTAGATGCGTTTTATACCAATAGAAAGCTCTTATTGAGTTATGAGTTAGATCTAGTCGTTCAATTAGATTTCTACTAGCCCTTATCCTGGCCGAGATGCACGCGTCTGAAAACCTGTCACCCCTTGAAAAGTTTCGGGCCGTGACAGGATCCCTACTGATGCCGGCCCCGTTCAAGACTTTTTATGATGCAAGTTGGAATCCGGCTTGTACCATTATGTACCAATTATCAGTAGTGAATGTTCGCACTATCGAGTAACTAAGGAGCATGCCGCAATAATAACTAAGCGAACAAAAACGCGGCCATCACCCACACCACGTGCATTTCCCAACATCCACACAAACAAAATCGTCCTTCGACAAGTATACCCCATTCAGCTCTTCCTCTGGAGCCCTCCTCCCCCCCTCCTCTTCCCCCCCCCTCGTCTCCCCCCCCTCGTCTCACTCCCCTCCTCTCCTCCCCCCCGCCTCCACCATATTAAAGTTCCACAAATCTACCCTACCACCTGATTCCCTGCCCCTACCTAGGGTAGTTTCCAATCACCTAGGCAGTTTTAATGCCACAGGTCTGAGCACAACTATCTACCAGGACGACAAAGGCATCGGGGATGATCCCGCGCAGTTGGTCGAGCTGGGCCGGTCCCAAGAAAGTGGGGTTGCCCAGAGACGACGTGAGCACGTTGTCAGGCATGGACGAGAAGAAGGTCTGGGCAACCTGGAAGCGGCCCTCGTCGTTGCTATCAAAGGCAGCCGCGAAAACAGCCTGCTCGCACGTCGGGTTGAACTGCCAGTGGATGTGGCCTTGGGGGAACAGCATGCCGGTGAAGTTGGTCAACGTCATGGCGACCTGGGGCACGTCGCCCGCGAACTGGCCGTCCTCCTCGAGGAGGAAGGCCCCAATCAGCGTGCCGCTGACCACGGTCAGGAACTCGTTGCCGCGCGGGTGCAGGTGCGGCACGTTGAGGCCGCAGGGCCCGATGAAGCCGATGGCCGCCGCCACGTGGGTGCCGATCAGGCCCGGGATCGAGTCGACGCTGCCCACGATGACGCTGCCGTCCTGGGGCGGCGTGCCGGGGCTGTTGACGAACTGGAACGAGACGTTGTTGGCGCTGCCGCCGTTGTTGGGCGGGAAGAGCACCTGCTCCTTGTCCTTGTACGAGGCGGCGAGGATCAGCTCCGTCTGCAGATTCTTGATCTCAGCCGGCGTGAGCGGCGTGAAGGTGGGAGCCCCGGCGGCCGCGGTTAACGTGGGCTTGACGGACGTGGTCGACGTGGTCGCGAGGGGAGACGCCATCGAGGTGGCAGCGAGGAAGGCCATCAGGGCACCAGATAGAAGGGCGTTCATATTGCCGTTCTTTGGTTGGTAATTACGATGTGTCGTGTTTATCAATGTGCGGAGTCAACCCGATGCTTTATCTGTGATGAGACAGAGTGCTTTATCTGTGATGAGACAGAGCAGTCAAAATGTCGGCCGAGAATCTCGTTCCATGCCCGGCTTCTTATACTTTTCAACCAACTACTCCTTCCGGGATTCAACGTCCTTGTGACAACAGACGGAAGCCAAGGACACGAGCTTGCCTCTGTAATCCTCCATATTGACAGCCCGCCAAGGTTCAAAGAGTGTCGACGGTCAAGCCTATGCCAGCGGCAGCCGACGCTACGATCTATTTTGGACCCTTCCACGGATTCGACGCTTGTACCCTCAGTGTGATGGGTGAAGTTACGTTGCAAAATGCACGATCACTCAGCGTGATTGTGATGAATTCCATAGACGCTGACCGAGCTTTATTTGTGTAACCAGAAAGTTCCAAATCGGTGCCAGGTGAGGCCATCACAGGTTTTCTTATTATGCAATGGTGGTCAGCGCTAAACCTATGTGGGTAGAGCTGGACTCGGGTAGCAATTGAGTAAACTCATTGGGCTGTACATGGCATTTTAGACCGGCCGGTTCGCGACACTGCTCCCGGACGTCAAGTGAAAACATCAACAAAAACAACAACTAGGCTAGGACTCGATTGGCTTGGTGGATGCGTTCAAGAGCCTCAAAGCTTAGCACTAAGACTGTCCAATCTGAAGGAGGCCTTCACGGGGCCTCTGCAATGTGTCCGAAAAAGGCCGGGATGACGTTGGATTCTGCCACATTCCATGTCCATGAGACGGGGGGGGGGGTCTTTGAAATGATCGAGGATAGCACGCGGTCTCGGATCAGCTGTCAGATAAGTAGCCTGAATCTACGTAGCTTTGCCTACCGGAAGCTTCGGCGACAGGAACAGCTGACACATTGCACAACCGCAGCCATAAAATAGCAGCAAACCTGGTCCTTAAAAGGGAAAGGGCAAAAACATTATCAACCGATTAAATGCATTTCTTTACTCTGTTTGCACTTTGTCTATCTAGACTTAGCATAGCTCGATAGCAAATGGATAACGAGAGACAACGGGCGGTGTGGAAAATCCCGTCGTATGCGACTGAGTAGAAATCCCAGGCCAAATCTCTCCCAACATGCTCACGTCATCCGTCATGAATAATAGCCCAGACAGATGACGCCTCTGAGGGCTAAGTGGCGGCCAAAGCTGGAATAGATAGTCGTCATCTGTCTCGCCACTGGAAACTGGCCGTGGCGGTGAAGCACCGGTTTGATGCCCTGGACGACCTTCACGAACGCATCAGCGTCAAATGCTGTGGGTGATTTCCAAGGCATACGCATTCTTCGCCATCATGGTGGGCTCGTCCTGCGCACCGTTCGGCCCGACCCAGGTGGCCTGGAAAGCGAGAGAGGGGGACCAAAACAGCCCGAGGAGGGGGCTCGGTTTGTGTCGCGGGCATCGGGGCAACTTCCGCAAAAGCAAGCCACGTAGACCAGCGACGGTTTTGGAATTCGTCCCGACCATGAGTAGGATATCCTTTTGTTTGCCGTTCTACTTCTTGTCGACAGGCGGAAGTCAGCGTAGCATTGACCGTCAGTGCGTCCGCGTTTGTGTATTATTAGAACAGCTTGCAGCCGGGTATCCGAGCGGCGCAAACACCCTCAAGGCACGAAATAACTATCGATGACAAGAGCCACTCGGACGCCATTACCAAGGTGCAGCTCGCGTAATGCCTGTATTGCTTGCAGGAGCTTATAAGTTCAATTTCTTCTATCCTAGGGAAGATTTTCTATGCTAGTAGGCGTGGAGGCCAGCACCGTCGTCTAGCCACGGGCGAAGGTAGACGAGACGGCCCAGGTCTGTCGAACCGCCTGACAGTGCGCCCTGTTCCCCACGCCTTCCATATCTTCGAAGATTTTATCGATGGTGCGGCTGTCTGTCAGGAAGAGCGTCCTGGTTACGGGAAGATGGGAGCTTAGCGGGAGGAAGGAATCTATGCGATAGGTGTGCAGCTCCGCGTTTGGTACAGGCTCGAAATAGATGTCCAAGTTGCCGAATAGCGTGTGCATATTTTTCTTCTGGACAAGCAGTTTGGATGCCTACACAAGGTCTCGTAGACCAACCTCTCTCACTCAGGATGGCTCGCAGCTCCACATGTCCGACAGCAGCAGAAGCAGGCCGCGCCGGCTACTGTGTGTCTCTACCGCACGTAAGCCCAGCCGCGAAGAGAAATTTTAGTAAACTGCGGGGAAAGAGAGAGATGGAGAGAGAGATGAGGAGAAAGAGATGAGGAGAGAGAGATGAGGAGAGAGGGTGTGAAGACGCGGATACATCTCCCATTCAGGCGACCATTGCCACCAGCGACGAATTCGATGTCGGGAGAGCGGCACGGATCCGAATCGATGCCAGATATGCGCTGACTTTGACCTGCCTTGTACGTACCGCAGGCCAATCAAGAGAGGCAAAGGGCCGCCGCCCCGCCCTGTCGCAGTCTCACCGCAGCAGCAGCAGCGGTAGCGGCAGTAGCAGCTCTAAGACCCGAAGGACGCATCGCCTCACCACCAAACCCTCCTCCAGCCGCACCCAGGCTTAGAGCGGGCAGTAGCATCAGGAGCGAGTTCTAGCAGCATCATTAGAGCATATCAAGCAGCGAGCGATGCTGGCACCGGCTGCTTACCGTCGAGCGTCCCGGCTCGGCATAGATCGGACGAGTTCGGGTCAGGCAGGCCGGCCCGGTTACCATTAGATAAACCCTTCAGCCAGGCATGGGACGGCTTTGCGATGGCATCGGCGCCTATTTTACAGGCTCCTCGGCGTGTACCACGAGACAGTCTATCCAATGTATGCCACAGCTAATAACTACCAGCCGCCAGCTCCCACAGCGATCTTGGATCGTCATTGTGACGTGCATTTATACCCTGAGCACCGAGTTGCCAACTATCATAACCGCGTACTAGATTCCCCTTTTTGATCGGCTATATACGCACCAAAGGCTCGCCGTCTTGAGCATACGCACTCGCCCGACTTGAGCATACGCACTCGCCCGGCTTCTTCTGCTCCATTATGGGCGCCTGCGCTCCTGCGTCGGCCAGAGTACGAGATGGCGCCGTCATCTCTTCTAAGAGGAATCAAACTCGGATGGCGGAGTTGCTGGCAATTCCCGCCGAGACCTTCTACGCCGCCGCCCAAGAGACGCCGCCCAGTGACCTGCTGCAGACGTGCGGCAGGACACGCGACTTAGAGTTTCTGCGCGCCGCTGGCCTCTTGCCCATCGCTAGCATCCAGGAGGGCAAGATAGACGCCATGCAAAAATGCATCGGCTACTACTTCGCCATGGTAGCCATTCAAAACGGCCATGACGAGCAGTCTTGGCCCCGGGACCTTACTCGTGTCGAGCTGGAAGAGAGACGACTAGTAGGTATTTATTTGCATTCTGCACCTAATTAGCAAGAGCGTTCACTGACCGCATCCCCCCAGTATTGGCCCATATACACGCGACGATGGCTTTGCTCCGCATGATGCTCTAAACGCTGAACGGCAAAAATCGGGGCATCTACAAGAAGTGCGAGGTGGCCCAACAGGTTCTGTCAACCTTCCGGGAGGTGCCGCTGCCGTTCTGGAGGCAGTCAGCACGCCTCTACTATATCACATCGCCAGCATAGGAGCCCTCTTATGGTCGGCGATGCAGGGTCTGCTGTCAGACTCTTCCTACCAGCACGTGCGCATATTGTTGCTCGAAATGGCCGACCTGCTGCAGAATATGGAAGCTTCTCTAAGCCGCAGTGCTGGCGAAGGTCAACAACGGCTACGTGATATGGTAGTAAACTTTGGCGAGTGGTTTAAAAGGCGGCTGGAGACAAAGGCGGCTGGAGACACAACGTGGATCATGCCGTGCCCATCGCTAGATCTGGTGGTGGTGGTGGCGGCGGCGTTGTTTTGCTGGCCGACCACAGCGAAACATACCCACAGGCTGAATCACAAGTAGGGGGGAGCGAAGGAGTGTCGGTAGCAGGAGGAAACGGGCAAGGGGGCGGGATGGACGAGTTGTCAACACAGTTTCAACTTCCTGACGAACTACTTCAGGCGTGGACATGGCCCGCCGACATTTTACAGACGTATCTGCCTGGAGGCGTTTACAATGAACACCTAGCATACACCACTGGGCCTTACGGTAAGAGCAGCGGGAATGAATTATGATTCTTGTCTTTGTTTTGCTGGTTAAACATAGGAACTTGATAAAGTTGTGCGTTAATTGTCTGATGTAGCCCCTATCTATGAAAAGTTTGTAAACCCACTGCTCAATGACTCCCGTATACAAGTAAAATACAAGTATACTTTTAATCCTATATTCCAATCACACAGTGTATATGTGTGTGTGCTGCATTCGTTGCTGAGGAAGTAGCTGGGAGCATGTTCCTCCCCCCCTGATCCTTCCCTTCTCTCATGCTCAGACAGCCATGTATGCATCCGATATATATGCACATGATTATCTAGATCTAAGCATGGTGGCTGTACTCGTTCTTGCTTCTAGTAGCGCTCTTCTCCTAGTCTATGCTGGGGGAGATGCGCCCTCCTGCGGTGGTGTTGTCGACAAGATCGTTGCCGTGTGCGCGGTAGTGCTTCTCCATGGCCCAGTTGAAAGGGGAGTCGGCCGCGAACAAAGCGTCGATAGACTCGAGCGAGCGGCCCCGTCTTAGGGTAGGCTGTGGTAATACGATATTAGCATCTACACACACACACACACACACAAGAAACCCCTAGATGAGATGATGTCAAGGGGAGTGGAACGTAAAGAGGTAACGATGGGATTCTACAGGTTCTCCAGGTCGGCAAACATGATAGGGTTAACGTGAACGAATAGGCTGCTTGATTAAGGACGTAATGATTAGCGACGGCCGGAATCTCTGACCGCACTGGTTACAAATTACGTTGGGAAAAAGGAAACGGCTCCTGGCGTAGCCAGTAGCCTGAGGCGAACCACCACACCTCTTGTTGACTGTGAAGCGCGATGTTTCCACTACCGCAGCAACCGACATAACAAAACAATATCACTATTCAGCACCGCCAGTTCAGCACCGCCAGTTCAGCGCCGATTGGTCCGAGGCCATTACCAAAGTAATTCTAGACAAAATTGACGGCCATTGTTCAGTGTTCAGTAATTTGGCATTGCCAATACTGCCGGGTAGACGGCATAACAGAGGCTGGCTTCTGATCAGGTTGACTGTTCATATTTTTTGCCACCAGACATCCCTCTATCTGGCTTCAGTCTTACTGTTCAGTTCCGTAGCCACTAGGTGTAGAAATCTAAATCAATTAGCTGCCCCTCTGCTTATCTCTTCTCAAACCACCGCCTTCGTTGGATCTCTACCCATCCTACTATCCTCATACCGTCACCATCTTCGCGAGACTGTCAACAAATCAAAAACAAATCAACACAAGGAGAAGGCCAGGATAGACCATTCCGGCTCTGAGCAGCAACTTGCAATCTCTCCTCAGCTTGAGCAATCGGCGGCACCACCAGGAACAATGGAGCTTCCCAGCCTGGCACCAGACATTCACCTGCTTCCTCCAATTTCCTGTCGAACTGCAACTGGACATCTGGGCCCTGTGTGCCAAAGTAGAGCCCAAGACACCCGAGGTCTGCGTCGTGTGGCCCTCTGATATGATAGCGGGCCATGTTGTCCCAGACAATAGTGAGTGGGATTGCCTCGACGCCAGAGTTAACACGGCCTGGCCCGTAGTGGCACACGTCTGCAGAGTCGCGCGAAAAGAGATCATCCGACAGGGCCTTCTCCGCCTGCGCTACTTGCCCGTGGCTGAATGCATAATTCCCTTCCGCACCTTTGACCCGGAGGTCGACACGCTGTACTGGAGCCAATAGGAGGTCCCCCATATCCCCGACTTTTCTCCATGGGCGGATTTGCGGATGCTGCATTTGCTGAAGCACATTGCCATCGATATATGTGATAGTCCTCCTTGGAACTCTCAGGGGTCGATCATCGGTCTCATAGCCGCGTGCAAGAACTTAGAGTCAATCTCTATTGTCCTCCGAGACGTGGATTGCAACGAGCAAGATCCCAATGTGTTCTTCTACCGCCGCTTTCTCCCGCCGCCTGGTCACTGCCGTCTCCAGGACGTCCCGGACCAGGTTTTGGGCCGTACCGCTATCAATTTTGACGTCGGTGGCCGTCCTCACGTGCCACCGTGCCCCGTGGAGCAGTTTGTGGACTGGTTCCGCAAAGAGCTTGATGGGAGAGCGGCTCTGGTCGCCCCCGGGCCGCCGCCCGCCAATGGAAGCATCAGTGCAGTGAAGATCAAGGTGCAGTCCTTTGTCGAGTGCGTCGAAACCCCGAACCTAAGCGAAGAGTGGCGTGAACCTTGGTGGCAGGACGCCGAAGAGGACACATCCGACTCCACAGACGAGGCATATGGCTACAGAGACGACTCATTAGACTACGGAGACGTGGAATTCGACAACACAGACTAGGCATCCGACCACGGAGACGAGGCATCTGACTCCGAGTGAACGAATAGCATCACGGGAACCCCGAGAAATACCCTCTTGATGACGACAACACTGTGTCTCGTGGGCATCGCTATGAAAAGCAAGTCGACTCGCAGCTTGGAGGATTGGTATATCATCGCTAGGGTGGTCACTATATTTCATTTGGGTTCGGTATTCGTACAGATAGGAAAGTTAGCGGAGGGTACGGAATTGGGACAGCTTGGTGTTGGTAACTTTGGGTGCACAAGGTGCAAAAAAGGAGTAGGCAGGACAAATGGTAAACAAGAATGGGAGGAACAGCATGGGCACTGTAACATAATAGGAACACTCTGTGTCAAGCCAGTCTCATCAAGTCGCCAAATATTTACACAGCGTGAACTCGCTCCTAATTACACCTAATATTTACACAATGTGAACTCGCTGCCTAATTACACCTAATATCTACACAATGTGAACTCGCTACCTAATTACACTTAATATTTACGCAATGTGAACTTGCTACCTAATTACACCTAATCAAACAGTAAATTCCTCGGAATAATCCGCCTCATTGAATCGTTCAATCCAACATATTCACTCAAGAACAAAATCCAACAGAGGGACAGCTATCTTCCCACCGAAATAGGAGGTCTGTGTGGAGAAATAATCAGCCCCGCAGCATTCTCGTTGAAACAGCCCATCCCGGCTGCGCATGGCGCCCCATCATGCTAGTGCAAGGTACGCCTCTTCCCTGGCGGCCCTTTAGCCTGTCATGTCATGCAACCGGTCGATCCAAGGGGCGCAGGCTTATCCCCTTGGCACCCCTCCCCATAATATTCTAGTGAAGACTACCCTTCCATTCGTCAATACTACACCGTTACTAAGAATCCTTGCCAAGAACCATATTCGGGAGCAAGGGGAGCAAGGGGACGCGATCGGAATTGCCGACAAAGAATTGTTCTCGAAGGATCATCATCTGATGGCGCTCGTAGTGCGCGGCTCAGCTTAGCATAAAACGGTGGCGCCAAAATCCTTTGCCGGGGGGCTTGAACTGGACGGAGGCTTCCATTGGCTGGCCAGCACGGCAGCTTGGTTTTGATGGAGCCAACCATCAAGGTCTGGGGACTGGTGATCGTCCCATTCAGGATATATTTCATTAAAAAAAAACCAACTTTCGCTCCCAAAGTCGCACTCCTCGGCTTTGCTTCCACGAAATCGAGTCCGAGATCAATGCAAGGATGGTGTCGACATCATCCTCGCGGTTGAGGAAGCTGTATAAATATCTTGCTGTTCAGCCATCTTGGTTTCTTCTTGGGACTTGCTCTTCAGACCCTGCAACCATTTGCAGTTCAGCCCCTCCGTGGACATATCTACCGGAATCAACTCTGACTTTGCTCGCTCTCCCAACCCGTCTCAGGAGCCATCACCATGAAGTGGCTTCTCACCGCCGCCCTGGCTGTTTCCTCCGCAGCGGCCACGGACCTCATCGTCCCCCTATACCAGTACCCCCTCGACAACGGCGCAGTCTGGCAGCCCATCTACGACGCCCTGACGAGCAACCAAAACCTGATCACCAAGATCATCGTCAACCCCGACAGCGGACCGGGCGGTCCGGCCAACGGAATCAACGACGGCTGGTACAAGACCGGAGCCCAGAACCTCGCGTCCCACGCCAACGCGCAACTGTTCGGCTACGTGCACACGTCCATCGACGGCGGCCTGACGCGCTGCAGCGCACCCTACGAGACCGTCGTGGCTAACATCACGCGGTGGTCGGACTGGGTGGCGGCCGGGGTCGCCATCCAAGGCATCTTCATCGACGAGGCGCCGGCGAGCACGGCCAACGACTGCGTGGCGTACATGCGCAACCTGACCGAGTTCATCCGCACCGACACCAGCCTGCGCTTCCCGGGCCGCCTCGTCATCTACAACCCCGGCGGCACCGGCGACCTGCGGCCCTTCTACGACCTCAAGCCCACCCTCATCCTCGCGCTCGAGACGTGCTTCGTCGCCGCGTCCACCGACCCCAACTACGACGGCTGCTCTGGGACTTACGAGCGCTACGACCACGCCGGCTTCGGCTCCTCCATCGACACCGTGCTGCTGCCGAGCATTGGTGCCGCCAACGCCCCCGCCACTGCCGTTGTTGTCCACGGCTTCCACGGCTCGAACGGTGACCCTGCGAATCTTGTTGCCGACGCCAACACGCTCGCCGGCGTGATCCAGGCGGCCGTGGCGCGCAATATCGGCGCCGTCTTTTTCAACACAGCGTGGTACCAGAAGTTCTCGGATGCGCCGGCGACGATTGGTGCCGTGGCGAGCTTGTTGAGAGCTGCGAATGCGGCAGCTTGAGGAGGTGCCTGAGAGTTGATGGATGTGAGAGGCGGGTGTGAGAGGCGGATGTGAGAGGCGGATGTGAAAGGCGGATGTGAGAGGCGGATGTGCTTGAGGAAGTTTTTTAGACTCGGAAAGGGTATCGTTGTGGAGGGGATCGTAAGGAAGATGTTGGATCATTCTAGATTATACAGTCCGCAAGGAAATGTGTTGGTCGTTGAGGTGTGGTGATGGGCAACCAGAAACCAAACACGGGTGTCTAGCTGCGTTTCATTCCCGTCTCTCTAGGTAAATACGACTACGTTAGCTGTTGACGAGCAATCAAAGACGGCGAAAGCGTGGCACTTTTGTTTTCATTAAAAGTCCAAACCTTCAGACAGGCAGTCAGAGATACTAACAGTGGTTGATGATGAATGTTGGTGGGTCCTATTCGATAACCGCGAGGGCCCTGGATCTGAGACCGCTCATTCCAGTGCAAGTTGCAGTGAGCTTTGTAGAGATTTGTCAATCTATTACGGATTGTGTCCAATGTTAGCCCGAGATTGTTAGCCCGAGATCCACTTGCATTCCACATAACAAAGCGACGAAGCACAAATCCGGAGATCTGCCACGTGAACAACGCGAGCGCAGCAGAATACCCGGGCTTCAGGCATGTAGGTAGGTAAGTAGGTAGGTAGGTAGGTAGGTAATCATCACGCTTTCGCCACGCTCGTCTTTGTTCTTCATCTTCGTCCTTCACATGAAGACGCGAAGGGGAAGGGGAAAGGGATCCAGACCCAGCCTCTTTCGCCCGCATTCTTGTGCCCCGCACTTTCGTGTCCCTTTTCTCACACAATTTCCCGCCCAAGTGTCCCTTTCTTGCAGCTCGCTGGAGCTCTCCTATCGTCAAAACAAGAGGGTCCCTATCAGGTACGTGCTGCAGAGGATCCATCCCGGAGCGGGGCGGGATGGCGTGACGGTCGATCGTGGTGGGGTGTTCGTCGGTTTGATTCGTGGGGCTTTGTTTTGATTCTTGGGGCTCTGTCTTGATTCTCGAGGCTCTGTCAGAGGTGGCCAGGCACGGTCATGGAACTGTCTGTCTCGTGCACGGCGATTAGTTTGCACTGGTCCGAGATGATGGAGGTCGGGGCCTGGGAAAAGATGAAGAACTCTCACCAAGAATGGTCGTCGCGGCGTATGTAATGACGCAGTCAACGGTTTATGTCCCAGATATACGGCGGTATTTGTTGTTGGGAAATATGATTGGAACGTTGGCAGAGCTTGTAAAAATTTGATTAACCATCTGGAGCCTGGAGACTCTATTTGTGAACAGAAATGCACTGTCACGTGGGTGCAGAACAAAGGCAGAGGCACGAGCTAGAGCACTTGGGATCCGCCCAGGGAGAGTCGGGGGCCGCCACTAGCGTCGGGGTATCCCGGTACAAGTACATTGCATGATACGGTGGGCAGGACACCGCAAACATTACATACAGGTGTCTGTGCGTGCCTGTACCGCCCATTCTCTAGACATCCACAAGCTAATCTGGGCTAAATACGCACCTGAAATTAGCAAAGTGGGAAAGGCCTTAGAAAGCCACGCACAGTTTGTCATGTTGAGAGAAAACCAACCACTTCTTCTCCACAACTTTCAGGGCGCGCCCCACTTCTCGGCTGCAGCTGTAGCTGCAGCGGTGGCCTTATAGTTGGGGTATTCCTCAACGGTTTTCTTCAGCTCATCGAGCCCGTTTGCTTTGGCGCCAAGCTTCGTGGGCACTCGGCTGGGCCGTGTTGGGATCGTCTCGCTTCTAGGCGGTGATGACAAGCACATTTACGAAGCTGGGGCAAGAAGAAAAGGTCACATATCACAGTAGCCAAGTTTTGAACTCTCGCTTTGAACTCTCACAGTCAAGATAGCTTGCCAGGTATCGGCCAAGACCTTGAAAATCGCTGAACTGGCTGTAATAACCCTGAAGACAATTTATCTTCTTGCACCGTCAAAGATTGGCTTGTTGGCCAGGCAGCTAGCGTGCGAGATTTAACCAATTCTGGAACCTGGCTAATCTGGCACGGGGAAGGTGACGCTTTTTGTTTTGCACCAGCCTTCGTACGAACTCTCAAGCCAAGAAAGAGGATCCCCTCCCAGTGCAAGAATCCAGAAGCTACGTCCAAAATAGGCCTGAGTCAGATTGAAGTCGCTAGCTGCCTGGCCAGAGTGGTGGGGTTGCGACCATAGGTATAATTAGCTACTGCTGTCTAGAGTGCCTAAACTTTGATTTCTTGATTCCTTATGACATCGCAGCACCTCTTTAGCTTCTCCATCTCGTCTTTCATTGCTCGAATCTCTGTGTAATAGTGTTCTCCATCTCGTCTTTCATTGCTCAAATCTCCGTGTAATAGTGCTTGCCGTCCGCCTGTCCCACCTGCTCCTCAAGATGTTGATCTCTTGCTTGAGGTTATGGATGGTGGCTCTGTATTCGTTCCTGGCGTCGATGCGGTTCGGCGGCTGCAGTAAGGCCCTCGCGCTGCCATTTTCTGTCTCACCACTTGTCGTAGTTGGGCTAGCCAATGCCAGAGAGCATCTCGTCCATGCAACAGTATCTGTTTTGTATGCCGGAGTAACGGTACGCCGTTACAAGCAAGCCAATCTTTCACAGCGTAAGAAGATTACAGCCCTCAGGGCCGTTACGGTGGGGTCAAATGAGCTTAGACAGATCCGTAGGTTGTAGGACGCGCCTAGTAAACAAAATAGTACAGTAAGAATTCAAATCCTAATTACTGTGAAGGGTGACCTTTTTCATTTATTTTTGGCTTAGGCCTTCGCACAACCTCAATCATCTCCACCACACACACTGCCACCGTCACATCTATCACGCACACCCCCATCAAGATCTCTGTAGTCTGCCACGCACACCACGTATACCACCCTCACCGGCGATACTATCATGGTTTCACTCACTAGAGATACCACTAGCACCACCCCCACCGGCGATACCACCATGGCTCCCCTCTCCGACGATACCACCATGGCTCCCCTCCCCGACGATACCACGAGCAGCACCCTCACCCACGGTATCTCCATGCTTTCCCTTATCCGCAATACCAATATGCCACCGATCCTCAGAATGCCAAATGAGATTCTCGGGGCAATTTGCGCCCAACTATGTTACCACTGCAAGAATACCATGGCTGGGAAAGATCGTGCCCTCCTGCTCAAGCAGGCCGAGAACTTTCGGGAGCCGGGCCCCGGTCACAGCGCTGAGGATCTGGCTGCCCTCTCGCAAACGAATAAGCACCTCGGAGACATCGCGCAGCACTACCTGCACCACTTCATTTGCCTCGACAAGCGCAAGGACGAGGACAAAATTGACGGCATGGTGATCGCCGCGATGACATTGATCAAGCGGCCCGACCTCGCAGAGAGTGTGCGTTGGATTTGGATCTCGCACCATGGCCTGCGACTCGACAGGGAGAGCTCCGACATTAGTTATATTTCTCGCGCTGCCTTCAATCTCTACAACCTTCGCCGATATATGGACCACACGCTCTCGGACCTTTTCGTGGCGGTGCTCCTGCTGCGGGCACGCTTGGCCAACTCAGTCGTCCTCACCGGCCAGCGGATCAATGTTGATAATCTCGTCGAGTCCATCTATCCCGTGGGCGGCAGAGGGTGTCTCCGAGCCCTCAAGATGCTCGCGTATATCCCGAATAAGGAGGGGAGACATATGAGCCTTCTCCGCCACGGCTGCACCAACCTGCCATTGGCAATCGTGAATATTGCTCCAAACCTGGAGAGCATTTTCACCGGCCCCCAAACGTGGGGCGAACTCAGAGTGGAGAGAGCCAGCTTGCCACTCAGGGCTCTTTACCTGCATCGCCAGTTCGTGGGCGGCCTCGTCCCCATGTCCCGAGAGGTAGCCAATATGCACCTCCTTCGCATCATGACCATGATCGCACCTACCATCGGGCTGCGGGTGTTTGTCCTCGAAGTCGAGATGCCGGACCCTTTCAAGACACTGAAGACGGACCACTACAACGGAGTCTCTCTGAAAGTCCTGGCCGTCCGACGCGTCCTCACAGAGCTCCGCTTCGAGAGCCGCTACACTCTCCGCAAGCTCTGCCTGAACATGCCCATCGCGTTCAACGACTTTGCCGATTCTAGCTCCGCGCCCTCATCAGCCATCTCAACCGAAGTCTTCAAGCTATCCGACTTTCAGAGCCTCGAGTCCGTCTACCTCCACCTAGACGGCCAGCTCTACGACTACATGTTCCCGCGCCTAGTCATCAAGGGCTAGCAGAACCCTGAGAAGGATTCACCTCGTGACGTCTCCTCCCGGCTGCCGCCCTCGCTCAAGGAGCTACACATTGAGAACCACGTCTCGGCAGTCTACGAGCTGCTCAAGGACCTGGCCAACGCCAAGCTGGCAGGCTCCTTTCCTAACCTCGTCGAGGTGGCTGTGTCGGGCCTAGATCAGGATAAACATATAGAGGACGTCCGGGCGCTTCTTGTCTTGATAGGAGTCCGCTTGTCGCAGGATCTGGTCGATCCCGTGCACGACTGGGACTACAACTACGGATAGGGCATGATGTCGCAAGGGGGGTGGAGGCATAGGGGGATGGAGGCATAGGGTGGGAGAGGGGTGGAGGCACAGGTGGGAGGGAGGGTGCCTGTATATTTGATGTAATTTAAGTAGATGGGGAGCGGGCAGTTCGATACCAGCCAGCCCTCAAAACTTGGCCAAAGGTCCGCAAGAGAAGCAAGAGAAGCAAGAACGCCAATTTTGCGTTACCCATTGCATTTTGAGTGGCCTTTTCCACGTTGAATTATTGTTAGTAGTAACGCCTCACGGATTAACCAACACCCCTAAAACGGGAAATGCTAGACGTCCTAGAACCGTTATCACGCGTTGGGGACCATTGTTCAAGCGTTGGGAATCATTATATACATCTTCAGCTTTCTAAAAAAAAACATCTCGTGAGTTAAAGTGAAGACTCCAAACAAGGCGCCTTAGAGCTGTTATCACGTGTTGGGGGTTATCATAAACGTCTTGAGCGTTCTAAAGAAGACCTTGTGAGTTAAAGGAAGGACCCTAATTTAGACGTTCTAGCGATCTCTGAAGACCTCGTGAGTTAAAGCATATGCGAGGCACGGCGATGTATGAAAGGTGATGAATTGCTTGGGGAAGCTAAATCTATCGGCCCGCAGGCGGGAAATCTATGTGGCATGGATAGGGTGGATCCGCGGGGGCCATTTGGTGGATCCGCAGGGGCCATTTGGTGGACCCGCAGGGACCATTTGGTGGACCCGGCTGGGCCAGGTTTGGCCTGTGCCCAGCACAAAGCAAGAGCCCCAAGTCAAAGTCAAATGCTCACGTTCAATACAACTAATTAGCACAGATATTAGGGGTGAACTTGGAGTGTCCGGAGTATTTGGAGTGCAGAAGCTGTCTGCCCAACCTGTACGTTTCCTCGGACATTCATTTACAATCGATCGGGTTGCAGGTACCAGATTCGCACCGCATGGATGTAAAGTGCGCAGAAAATTAATGTAATTGCCACTGATCATTGACTTGTGTCATACTAGCGATTAGCTTGCCAAGTTCACGTTTCCGCCTTAATTGCTGTCCAAAATGCCAGCATGTTCAATCGCCACCAGGCTGAATCATTGCCGTCAATCTCGGCTTCATATTTCGTGGTAATATCCAGGTGCATTGGACTGTGATTCAGAAGGGCTGGAAATGTCCCTCGTTTTCTTACCACGGCTTCACACCCGTCTTCATATTCTACAAATCGAAAAAGCATGCACGCAGCCATGAAAAGACCTGCCAGCATAAGATCTGCCAGCAGCAATGCTTCGGACAACATCAAATTTAGACACGAAAAGTTTCTGTCTTTCGGTTGCACAGCTGCAAAATTGGGTGCTAAACTAACAGCTCGAGGAACGACACAACGCAGGAATGGATGCCTGGAACAATAGATGCCTGAGGATGAAACCATAGGACGTTGTCCGTCCAGTCCGACTTGGTTCCGCGACGTCGCCAAGGATACGCACTTTTAGTTGCAGCACGTCGCTTAATTATTTGCTGCCACGTTAATAAGTCAGCCAGAACAGACTCTACTTACAATGGATGCGGCAATGAATGTTTAATTAGCCTGGGGAGTGCGTGCCTAGTGTCGAGTCGATTTGAATAGCTGTTATTGGTGGTGGCAATTCCGTAGCGCCCGAAAAAATAGTTTCTGCCTGGTGCGAAGGCTTCTAATTCGTGCCCATGCCAAGGCAGGAAAGGTGTTGCCTGGCGACCCGATAGTTGATGTTTTCCCCTAACGGCCCCACAGGCAGCCCTTTTAACCCCTGCAGCGAAAATACACCAGAGCGATATAGCCGGTCAACCACACAATAAAAATTATATCACAAATCATAACTACACTCACGTCCAGGTCCAGCGTTGAATCAAAGACTTTCGATTGTTCACTAAACACATCGCCCGCCCCTCTCAAGTTACCACCAAGTCACCAGAACAGCCATGGAGCAATTCCTGCTCGACAATGCCGACCGCTACCGGAAGCTGGTCGGCTTGTTCAAACCAGCGGCACTGAACAAGAAAACAGACAGCGGGACAGAGGCGGCCAGCAGCGACATCACGGTCAGCGCGCGCATCCGGCCAATACTTGAGGAGGAGACGAGCCAGGGTTTCCCCGACTCAGTGTTCCGCCGGGGCCCATCGAGCACCGTCGACGTCCATGAGCTGAGACAGCCCGTCCGCGGCCTGCCGACTCTCAATGCAAGTCTCGCCCGGAGATCCTGAGCACGCTCTCCAAAGCTAACACCTAGCACAGTCGTCCAACTTCACTGTCGACCAAGTGTTCGGCCCCGACTCGACCACCAATCAGATCTATGAATCCCTAGTGAAGCCGCTCGTCCCGTGGGCGTGGAGCGGAGGTGTATCAACCCTGTTTGCCTACGGCCAGACCGGGTCCGGCAAGACATATACCGTCAGCGGGCTGCAGCGCCACGTTGCCGGGACGCTGATGGGCGGGGCGATGGAGGCCGAGAGAAAGGTGCACATCTGCATCATCGAGCTGGCCGGGCAGACTGCGCACGGTGAGCACCCCCAAGCCAAGATATGCCCTCTTCACCACACAAACCCCCTCTTCACCATACAAACCCCCTCTTCACCACGCAAACCCCCTCTTCACCACAAAAACCCCCTCTTCACCACACAAACCCCCTCTTCACCACACAAACCCCCCTTCTGACCTCGCGGCTGTGGCCCACCAGATCTCCTCAACGCGCGCAAGCAAATCTCGATCCTCGAAGACTCACTCGGCACGACACAGCTAGCCGGCGCCGTCGAGCACCACGTGACGGACAAAGGCGCACTCGTCGCCCTGATCGACATCGCAGCATCGCTGCGCAGCACGGCATCCACACTGATGAACGACACGTCGTCGCGCTCGCACGCCATCTGCCGCATCCGGCTCGAAGACCCTTCGGACCCGGAAGCCGACGACGGGTTGCTGTACCTAGTCGACCTGGCCGGGTCGGAGGCCGCGCGCGACCGCTCCGCACACGACGCCGCGCGCATGAAGGAGGCGCGCGAGATCAACAGCAGCCTGTCCGTGCTGAAGGACTGCATCCGCGGGCGCGCGCTGCTCGACGCCGAGATCTCGGCAGGTAACAACAAGAAAGGAGCAGCAGCGTACGTGCCGTTCCGGCAGAGCGCGCTGACCAAGACGCTCAAGCACGTCTTCGACCCGGCGGGCGCGCGCGCGCTGCGCACCGTCGTCGTCGCCTGCGTCAACCCGTGCCTGGCCGACGTCGGCGCCAGCAAGAACACGCTGCGCTATGCCGAGATGCTGAGGGCGGTCGTGCCGCGCGCCCGACCCGCGGCGTTTGATCCGGCTGTGCCGGCGACGTGGAATAACGCCCAGCTGCGGACGTGGATTGGACGTAGTGTATGTCGACTCCCGCCTCCCCTACTTCTCCTCCTCACCTTCTCCTCCTCCTCCTCACCTTCTCCTTCTCCTTCTCCTTCTCACCTTCTCCTTCTCTTCCTCACCTTCTCCTTCTCCTCCTCACCTTCTCCTTCTCCTCCTCACCTTCTCCTTCTCTTCTTTTTTCTCTTCTCCCCCCTCCTCTCGCACTTCCCTCTCCTTACTTTCTATCCGTTCACTAACCACACTTAACAACATAGTCCGGCACGCCGCCCATCTCCCCAACGCTCCTCGCACCACAAGAAACCGGCCCGCAACTCCTGCGGCTAGCCGTCCCCGAGTTCCTAGCACGGTGCCTGCAGACCGCCGGCGTGACAGCCGAGCAAGCACAGGCGTTCCAGACCAAGTTCTGGAAGCTGCACATCGACTCGCAGAAGAAGAAACAACAACAACTCACCTCAAACCTCGGACTCAAGCCCAACAGCAGCACATCCAAGCCCACTAGCGCAGGAACTAGAGGAGAAGAAGAAACAGAGGGGGACGCAGCGCCGACGCGGATGGAACGCCTCAGCTCGAGCGCGGACCCCGAGCCCGGCGCGGATAGCATCCCGTTCAAGCAGCGCATCCGGCCCGGGATGGTCGTCGGCTGGAGCCGGACGTGGACGGTGGCCGGCGGGGCGGTGCTGAGGGCGGAGAAGCACCTGGGCGTGGTGCTGTGTCCTGCGGCGGCGGTCGGGCCGCGCGTGTGTGATGTCCGCGGTGTGCAGGTTAGCCCGCCGCCACCACAAGATAGAGAGGCTGGCGGTGGAGGTGGTGGAGGTGATGGAGGTGGAGGTGGTGGAGGTGATGGTGGTGATGCTGGTGGTGGTGCTGGTGGTGGTGGTGCTGGTGGTGGAGAGAAAGAGAAGGAGCGGTATCTCTGTGCTATGGTGCTGCCGGGCATGATGTCTGGCGCGTACAGCGTCAGTCTGTGGCGGCAGACGGTGGTCGATGTTGAGCAGATGGAGGCTGAGGTGTTGATGGAGTATGATGAGGCTACGCGGTTTTACTACATGATGGTGTGAGAGAGACGGCATGGAGTGAATTCCTATGTCCAATGCTTTGGAATACGGCCAAAGTCGCATAGGCCGTTGGTGGTGTGCCCAGAACTGGGAGGAAGCGAGTGTCGCAAACTGGGTTGCAGCTGTAAGTCAGGTGGGGGACTTTTGGAACACCCCTGCCTATGGAACAGCCCCTGAATCGGACCCCGCACAACACCACAAACTTCAATTGCCAACAACTTTGTCAATTAATTAGCTACAATGATGAAGTCTTCAGTATCGGATTCTCCTAATTCTTCTCTTTCAGAATAACTAAGGTCCTCTCTGCCAGCCTCTCTCTATGAGGCACGAACCTCCTCAATTCCAGCGAACTGCGTATTAGGGTCGACTTGGACCTTCCTTCTCTTTCGGCCTCTTGTGCGTTCTAGGCTTTTGCGGCCTTGCGTATGAAAAGTCGGTCGTTGGCAGTCCGTTTCTGGCCGGCTAGAAAAACCTGCCCCTGAATACGGAAATCCTTCGCCTTTTTAGGGGTAAACCATATAGGCCGGCCCTCCGAATTCTTATTTAGAATGGGGTTATGGACCTCTTGAAGGTCTATAGAAACCGTAGAGGTCAGTTGACCAACGTCGCCGTTAGAATTCTTAATAACAAGGCCGTTGCTTAGGGGCTTCCTGAGGCTGACCGGCCAGAGGCCTGTAGCTTTCCAGCCGGCTTTGATATTAGATTCAGTCATTCCATAGACCCTGGCTTGCCGGTAGCCTTCTAGGAAGGCCTTCTTTTCAGCAACAGTGCCTTCGTCGAAGCCGGAAACAACCTCGTTATGCTTGGCTCTGTACCGGGCTTTTAGAGGGCCGAAAACCGATAAATCCAGGGGCTGGAGAACGTGGGAGGTGTGGGCTGGTAGAAATAACAATTGTACGTTATTAGAAAAGGCTAGCCACATGAATTCTTCGGTGGTATGACTACCGTGGCCATCTAAAACAAGGAGGCGCTTCTCCGAGGGGGTAGCTGGCCGAGTCTCTGGAAGAAAGATATTGCGGTGCCATGCGACGGCAGTATCATCGTCAGACCAGCCGTTTTCAGTGGGTTTCCACTTCCAGCCCTTAAATGGCTGTAAATCGCGTGGATACCATTGTTGTTGAAGGCTTCCACCTTTTGAAAATGACGACTGGGTTCAAATACCGGCCGTCAGCGGAAATACATTCGATAATCGAGGTCCAAATTCGGTCTCCTTTCTTCTTTTTCTGGAATTTCTTTCTTTCCTTAGATCCAACAACCAGGCCGTTATCTCCAATGCCAGAAGCAATGCCAGTTTCATCCATATTATACCTATGCTTGGCTGGAATAGCCTCCACGCCTGGAGGCTTCAAATAGTCAAACCAAGGCTGGATAACGGCCTCACAGGCTCGATCAGCACGGTTTGCATGGATTCTCCGAGGCCTAATTGTAGAAATAGATGGATTTCTAGCCAAAAACCGGCTAGTCCAGCGTTTTCCGAGGGTCTCGTTATCTTCGAGCATTCTTCTAGCTAGTTTCCGAATTTGGGCGTGGGTTGGAGGGTGACCGAGCGACCCTTGGAATAGAATCCATTCGGTTAAGCGTTCTTCCATAGCCGGAGAAAGCTTTTGATTAATAATTTGGGCCTTGGAGGCTGGCTCGGAACCACGAACCCGATTAAAGAGAGTAGTAGGGGGGATGCCGTGATTTTCAGCAGAGCTACGGAGTAAGCCGGTTTCTGCATACTCTGCCAGCGCATTCTGCAAATCCAACTGCGTATATCGCTTCATCTTTCATTTCTCAATTGAATGGAGAAAAGAAGATAAGTATTGAAGCAGAATTGGTCGAGTTGCAAGCGATTGAAATAGGTGAGTTGGGTGGCGAGCGGCAAGTCCTTGATGACAAACCTTGTTCCAAATCCAGGGGTGTTCCATAAGACCACCTGACTTACTTTAAGATTGAAAGACGGCATCACTGAGTTTATATCCGTGTTTGCCAATCGAAGTAATAAGACCTTCCTCTCCACTTATCGAGATCTCCCTCATCGAAAAACACTAACCGCGCCCTTGCCGCCGCCCACAGCCTTCACGCGGGAGCCAATCTCCAGCGGACTGCCCTCGAAGAGCACGAAGTGGCCGTCGTCGGCAGTCGGCTGCTTCAGCCCGAGGATCTTGTACACGTTGGAGCTGACCAGATCCAGGGCCGCCTTCTCGCTCAGCCTGCCGCCGCCGTTCCTGAACACGATCCCCGCCAACAGGCCCAGGTCGCGCACCAGCCAGTCCTCGTCGATGCCGATAGCCGTCGCGACCCCCGCGTCCACGAGCCGGTCGACTGCCGTGCCGTTGGTCAGCGGAGCGCCCGTCAGCGCCCGCCGCTGGTCCCAGCCCGTGGCGTACGACAGCAGCGGCGCGAGCACGACGCCTACGTCCGCGGCTGCGAGCTCGTCAGCGAGCAGCCACGACTCGGCGCCGCCAATGATGGCGAGGCGGAGGGCCGAGCCCGTCGTCTCCTCAACAGCGGCCTTGACCTTGAGAAGGGCGGCGATGATGTCGGCGCTGTGCACGGTCACGACCAGCGGCAGGCTGCCGTTGGCGACTTTTTGCAGGAACGCCAACTCGGAGTACGGGTCCTTGGCCGTCTCGTCGAGCGTTGCGGCAGCCTCGAGGAGCTTGCGGCGCAGCGCGCCGACCGCAGACGACAGCGACGGCGTGCCCTCGCCGCCCTTGGCCGAGAGATCGAGCGTGTAGTGCACGGCGACGTCGGCGGCGAAGACGGCGCCCTTCTCTAGCTGAGTGGACGCGCCCGTGGCGAAGCCCACGCTGACGCCGTGGTGCGTCTTCCCGCCACGGAACTTTGGCGCCGTGATCGCCTTTGTGGCGCCGTAGTTGTACGACGTGTGCAGCTTCTTAGTGTCGAGCAGCAGCCCGTCTTGGGCGCGGCTGAACGCGCCGCTGCCGTCGTCACCGTTGTCCGTGTCCTCCTCGGCGTCGATTTCCGTCAAGCCGATCGCCGAGCCGACCGCCGTGAAGGACTCCGCAAGGTAGCCGTTCTCGAGGTCGATGACGGAGACCTCGTCGGATTTGGACGCAGCCTTGAGCTCGGCCTCGCAAGACCCAAGGCAGGCAATCTCTCCCTTGGAAAAGACAATATTATAGCTCTTGCCGCTGGCCGGGTCCAGGCTCAGGACCTCCTTCGCGAGGAACACCTTCTTGACGCCCGTGAAGATCACCTGGTCCATCATCGTTGGCGTCTCGACAATGTCCGCCAGACGCTCGTCGGGGACAATGGGCTCGGCAAACGGCTTGTTCAGCTCAACCGGGTCTTCGAACTGCGCTGTTCCGTCAATCCAGACCTGCGCCGGAGCAGCACCCACGCTGAGCGGATCACTGTCCCAGACAACCACGTCGGCATCGAATCCCGGCTTGATCTTCCCCAGTCTCTTTCCGAAGCCCAGCCGCTCGGCCGGCGCGGTGGTGACGGACGCGAGAGCGGCATGGTACGGGAGGCCGTACTTGTATGCCTTGGCGGCTTCGAACACGACGTGTTGGGCGTTGAGGACCGGGTTGTCGCTGACGTAAATGGGCGTCAGACCGTTGTCGTACAGGTATTTCCCCGCATACTCTGACGCCGAGTAAGCCTCGGATTTATACCACATGGTGTCGGCGAACAGGGCGGAGGCGGGAGGATCTCCCCCGTAGGCACGCTTGAGGATCTACGGATGCAGTTAGTTAGCGAGCGTCGCCCGAGTCCCTCCACCGTGGCACGACTGACTGACCTCGGGCACCAAGTACGTCTGGTGGGCGTGGTGAAAGGCTCGCAAGATGAACTTGAACTCGTTGGTGTGGTCGATGAAGGCCTCCAGGTCCGGGATGGTGTAGCAGTGCGTGTTCAGATGCACCTGGCCACGCAGCAGGGCTCCCAGCGACTCCCATCGCAGCTCCTGCGGCAGGTAGCCTTTCACGTTTTCGACTCCCAAGGCGGCAGCCGTGTCGCACCAGTCGTCCTGCCTACGTACGACGCTGGCAGCCTGCTCAAAGGCATGGCGAAACTCCCAGCTCTCTCCCATGCGGCTGGTCGGCCCATGCTCGCCCGTCTTGCCGTAGACGCGCTTCGGGTTCTCGCCGCAGGCCATCTTCATGAAACGCCAGTTGCGGTCCGGGTCAGCCAGCATGTCGGCGGCGCTGGTCTCGTTGCGTCCGTTCAGCTTGCCAACGGCGTGCTTGATGACGTAGGCTTCGCCGCCCATGTTGTTGCCCGACCCCGGGAGGATCAGGCTTGTGGTCACCCCGCCCGACTTGATGACCTGGAGCTGGGGGTCGTCGGGCTTGATAGCATCGATAGACCTCACATAGGGCGTAATGTCGGACGACAGCTCGTTGGTGTCCTCGTTGTAGTCCAGCTCGGGCAGCGGAGCAGCGCCGGCATGGCTGTGCATGTCAATGATTCCGGCCGTGAGGGGGCGTCCGTTGGCGTCATAGACCAGGGTGTCAGCGGAAACGCCGGCGAGGGCAATCGCCGACTCAACCCGCGTGATGAGGCCGTACTCCAGGTAGACGTCGGCGGAGATCCAGCTAAAGCCCTTTTCCTTGCGGGCATCGTCGGCCGAGGTTCCGTCGGCGGGCTCGCCGACCCAGACGGTGGCGTTCCTGATCAGGGTCGGGCGGCCATCGAGGTAGCGGGCATTGCGGTCGCGGCCGGGGCCAGCCGGGTCCTCGGGCTTGCTCTGCAGCTTGGCGCATGTGGCGAGGTCCTGCTGCAGCCGCTCGACCGAGAGGCCGTGTGCCGTGATGTCTGGGTTGGTGCTTGCTGGGGGTGTTGAGGCGTGCTTCAGCTGCTTCCACTGGGCAAATGCGATGAAGGCGATGCAGGCGACGGCCAGCAGTCGCACCGCTCTCGACTTGCGCACCTTTGCCCGCTTCCATGACGGGCCCTTCACGGCGTCATAGGGGGGCAGTCCGGTCTTGTCGTCCATCCCTACCGAAATTAATTTCATGTGTAGTTAGGCTGGATGACCGATGTGAAATGTGAACTAAAATGTGAACTAAAATGTGAACTGAAATGTGAACTGTGAAATGTGAACTGTGAAATCTGGGAACGGGCGAACGCGCAGGCACAATTCGCAATTCGCGACGGCAGTCAAAAGAGTCAAATCGGAATCCGAGGGGCGGGGAATCTGTTCCGTCGTCATCACTGGCCAATCAGACGCCCGCGGGCTGACGGGGAAGGTGGTGTGGGGGATGGACGGCAAGTGGGTCGTATTTCTCATCACCCACTATCAGGGTTGGGTCTTATCACCCACTATCAGGGTTGGGTTGCATTGCCGTAGACAGCTGCTAGTTCGAGATACTTACTGAGCTTCCAAGACAGCCGATAAAACAAGTCGATCACAGTCTAATCTCTCAATATTTAAGATCAGAGGGCCTGCGCTCTACGGTTCGAGCTCAAGATTTTCGCCTGAAAGGGAGGTAATAGCTATTAGTCTAGAATTTCTATTTTGGAACCTTGGGGCCTTTTCTAGCTAGTTTATTTACAATCGTATTTTCGTTCCCAAGTTCGAAGTACCACGCCAACAAACATCCAGGGAAATGTTTGTCTGCAGGGGAGACGAAAACACCGTTGAATTTGCGGCACACTATTAACATGTAAAGGAAGAGCACCAACTGGCCAGGCCACTGCCCGCTGGCACAAGCCACTAAGCCACACTAAGGCGCCACAACCCACAAGCTTTCACAAGCACACGCAGGACTGAGCCCCTGAGCATGTATATAAACAAGTGGCTCTCGCCCCCTTCCTTTGCGAGGGCTAGGTTGAAGTCTTACCCCAATACCAACCATTGCTCGCACTTCTTGTTACCTTCATTGTGACCACCTTGATCCGGCGTACCTGCCTTCTCTCACACTTCGGCAGCCGAACTCGCGCGACGAGGAAGCGGCCGTCCGGTGCAATAAGCTCGAAGCAGCACCAGTGCTGGCCAGCAGAGAAGGGTTCGCTCATGGACGCGGGTGAGCCGAGCACGACCGAGGCATGCTCCGTCAGCGCCGCCTTGTTGATGGACGCCATGAATCCCTCAAGGCGCTGCCTCATTCCGCCGTTCCAATCGTCAAATGATGCCCAGCGTTCACTAGGCCGCATTTTCTTAGGTGCTGCCATGTTGCCAGACATGCTGCTACTCAATCGGGTGGTTATTAGAGTGCCCGGGGAGTAGTATGAAGGTCAGAACAGAACGGGAAAAGGGTAGGACGGCGAGTAAGGGGGGCGGTTGTATAGACCTATTAGTGAGCTACTTAGTAGACGGGTTTATATGGTCGTGGTACGCACTAACAACCCTCTGTGTAGCGGGGTATATCATATTACGTGATAAAGCCAATCTGGGACAAAAGTCTCGACCAAAACCTCACCACAACACCACCTATTTTCCTACCTATGGAAGACACACCATGTCGAAGTCCGAGGACTCCCAATTGCGAGTATTCCCCTCATAAACGCACGAGGGTTCAAGTAGGCTATGCCTTAGGGCTTTCGCACAAAGCCCTAGTCGCCAAGGAAGGAGTAATACGCAACTCAATCGCAGGCCTGATTTCCCGGTACGAATACCAACTTTCGGGCAAAAGTTCGCTGCGTTCTAGCCGCCCCCGGGTACTAAATAAACGCGATTTGAGGCATATACTACGTCCTTAGGAGAGCGCCAGGCATGGGTTTTCTGTACGCCTTATTCCACTCCCATTTTCCAACCGGCCGCTAACAGCACAGGGCGAGCGATTGCTTCCTAAGAATGTGCAACCAAAAGCTAAACCATCGAGGCATTCCTAGATGTTCTAGGGCGCTTTTTCGTTCGGTATGCCTACTTCCTTGGTACCGATGGTGGGGGACCCCGAATCTGCGTACGGCGGTGTTAACGGGAAGGTTGTGCTCGCTTATCTCAGTAACTCAGACCAGCTTGGTGTGGCTCAGGTGCCTGCGGCACCCACTTTTAAAAGAATTGGGCCCACTCTGGTTTTTTTTAGCCAATCAGAACACAACGAAAAGAACCACCACCAAGCTGGTCTGAGTGCAATATTGGATCCGAATCCTGACTCCCTCCACATCAATTGAAGGCATTCACGGAATGCATGATATTTTACGCGCAAATCGGTCAAAACTACGCCGTTAGTACTTTTGGAATCCCCTCAATTTAAGCTGTCGATTGGTACTAATTTTATGTGTAAAACATGTCTTCCGGGTCAGATTCCGAGCAGCAGGCCTCTCAAGGTCAAAATATAGGACTGGTTGTCTTTATCCAGGGTCGCCGTACAACCGAACCAGGGCACACTCCGTGGCAACAGTGCTCTGAGCATGTGTATATATGTGAAGTCCGGTCGGAATTCTCGCCACTCGCCGACAACATGCAGCTCATCTATCGCAAAAAGCCCGATTCTTTCGTGAAATGCTGGATCACGAAGGACGGCTTTGAACTTCGGTGAAAGGGCTTGTTCTGGGCTCAAAAGCACATGAGTATATTGAATTTGTTTGACTTGGTCCCAAACGTTCCGGTTCTAGCTAATTGTTAATAGAAGTTATTCAGGGGCTCAGGGGCTCAGGGCAATAGACCTTGAGATGCGTGTCGGCGTCGATCCATACCGGCTTCGGATTAGGGACATTTCTGGTGATATCGTCACGCTGATTCTCGCCTAGCTTCGTCAAGGGAACAATTTGTATCGTGATCTTCTCGGTCAGGGCAGAAACAGTGTAGAGAACGGCGCTTTTGCCGTAGCCTGTCGCCGCAACGAGGACTGTGTCGTCATGCTGGTAAACCAAGCGCTGCACAGCCTGCACCTGGCCAGCATGAGCCTCTGGAGCGCCTGTGATGCCATAAATGGCTCTGTTTATGCGCTTCTTTTGCTCGTCGAGGTCCATTAGGGCGGTGAAAGCGATGCAGGAAAGCTGGCTTCAGAAAATGCGTTGTTTGAGGAAGAAAGTTAGCTTCCGAGGATGCCCTCGGCGCAGAGGAAGTGTGTAAAAATTTTCACGAAGTTCGGATCAAAGTTGAGTGTTTACCAGCGATCTAGCAGACGCGTTCAAGCTGTTGTGTAGGTGTATTTCTTTCCTTTGGTATTAGGAATCTAACATAACAGCGCGAAACCTATATAAAAATATAACCTCTAGAAAGCCCTCTCAATTACAAAGCTCCGCAGCTATTTTATATGACTTCAAGTTGCGGAATTGTTATGTTGTTACGCGTTGAAAAGTGTGTCTCTTTTTTTTTGCGAAACTGGCGTCCGCTCTTGCACTCTTTTAATGTGTTTGCGCATAGACCAGATACAACGAGACGCTAAAACTGGCTGACATTCACCGCTTTTCACATGCTGATGTCGTGTCAGTGTAGGTAGTACTAAGTAAATAACGTAATCTACCACCTAGCGAGCCACACCACCTTAGCGAGCCAAAATTCCCCACTTCCCCTGCCCCCCTAACTTACAATAAAATATCCCCACTAACAACTACTTATTCTTACAAACTCGAGCGTTGTGATCTAGGGCACCACAAATACTACACTTTGGAGGGGCTCGACGGCGTTTTTGGCCAGTCTGGCCGCTGTGACCGGGTCATCTTCGTATCCTAGCAACGCAACTGCCAGCTTTCTCCAAAACACAACAGAACATCCCGCCCGTAACCATTATGGTCAAGATCGCAATCGCTGGAGGATCAGGGGGTACGCAAAACCATTTGCAAGTCGAAAGCCATGTCGGCAGCAAGTGCCACGGTGGCTGGGCTGAGCTAAACGAGCACTGCATACCCGACAGAGGTGGCCCGCGAGGTGATTGACGCGCTCGTCGCCACAAAGAAGCATCACATTATCGTCCTTTCGCGCCAAGTAAGCAAGCCAGCTACCTTGCTCAACACCGACGCCAAACTGAGCCACTGCCTCTAGGAGCCAGGGCCCGGAGACACGATTGAGGGCACGAGCTGGGCGACAGTCGACTTCACCAACAAAGACAGCATCGTGCCAGCCCTCAAGGGAGTCCACACGGTGCTCAACTTCGTCCCGGTGTACAGGGACAGCGACAACGCGGCGCAGAGGACGCTGATCGACGCCGTTGTGGAGGCGGGCGTCGGACGCTTTGCCCCGTCGGAGTGGGCGACGTGCGTCTTTCCTTTGCTCTCCCCATGATTGATTGCTTGCGTTTCTGCTGAAATTTGTACCTACAATGTCAGTCTCACCACGGACACGCTGCCGTGGTACGGGCCCAAGGTCGCCATCCGCGAGTACCTGGCCGAGCTGAACAAGGACGGCAAGGTCCTCGAGTACTGCCTCTTCTCGTGTGGCGTCTTCACCAACTACCTCGGCGCGCCGTACCCGTCGACCACGCACGTGCACACCAGCAACCTGCAGTTCGACCTCGCGCGCCGCCGCGCCATCCTAGTCGACGGCGGCGAGGGCGGCCAGATGTCTTTCACCACGGTCAGCGACTTTGCCAACGTGGTCGCGCGGGCGGTCAAGTACGAGGGCGAGTGGCCCGTCGTGGGCGGCATCCGCGGCGACACCGTCACGGCGGCGCAGCTGGTGACCATGGCCGAGGAGATCAGAGGCGGGCAGCAGTCTCGACCTAACTACCGATTACCCAGTACATACTAATCGGGTAGCAGGTCCGTTCTCGATTGGAAAGGTGCAGCTCGCGGATCTCGACGCGGGCGAGTTTCTCGAGAAGCACTGGACGGGGAAGCTGTGAATATCTGTATGTGAATATCCGTGCGTGAATATCTATATGTGTCTAGGTTTTTATGATTCGTACTTCGTATAGGCTTTTAAACAAAGGGGCAATGTTAAAGCCTCAGAAACTGTCAGGGACGCAACCTAGATACAACGAGCCAACGGGGATAGAGAGGGCATAGAACGATTTCTAGGGTGCAGACTCGGGACTGTCTCGCCCGGCGAGGTGAAAGCCGGCCAGTCAAAGCGCGCTGGCTGGTCATAGATAGTTGATTAATTTGTCCTCTTGATTTATTTTTTCTAGCTGCAGGGGGGGAATGGCTAGAACAGCGCTGATTTCGTCTACTTGATACACCCCAATCCAGCGCTCGCAACAATGCAAATACAAATAAGCCAAAAAGACCAAATTAAATACAAATATGAAGCCGTAGATCCGTAAATATACTTGAAATATGTGGGGTCATTTTACATGGCCCATCTTCCTGGGTTCGGGGTGCCAAAAGTGGGTTACGGGCCCAGGAAAAAGTGGATTTTCCAGGCGAAATCCTGCATTTGCCTGGCAGCCTCTGAACAACTTTCTGAACACCACCATACTTACGAAAACCCGCATTTTTACCGCAACTGAAGCCATTCCGACCTGTCAACACGATGACGAGCCCTCCCGGAAGTCCCTTTTCCATTTCCAACAGTCCTCCGAACTCTCTCGGCTCGCCGTTAATATTCGCCTGCTACGCCCTGAGCCTGCTGCCGCGCCTGAGCTTCCTTTGGCCGGCGAAAGTGAGGCCTTCCTGGCTCAAAGCCTTGATCGCTCAATTGCGAAGCTCAAGAAATACATCAAGAGGTTGGAAATCACACCGGTTTACTGGGTCTCGATGATTCTGCACCCTGGGCATGAGGACAAGTGGATTGTGAAGTACCAAGCCTGTTGATGACATTCTAGCTTGGTGGACCCACAATAAAGACGGCTTTCCACGGTTATCACGAATTTGCCTTTGACCTTCTTTCGATCGCGGCCATGTCTTCAGACTGCGAGAGGCTATTCAGTATGGCCAAACTGATCGTTGGACTGCAGAGACACGGGCTCAGTAACGATACCATCAACAAGCTATTCTGCCTGTTAAATTGGCGGCGATATGGCCTGTGTCGCCTAGATCTGAGCCACCCTGAGCCACATTTCAAGCCACAGCCAGCTGAGCTTCAAAATAAACCCTGTATGGCTGAACTTCGAATGCCCCGTGTACGGCTGAACCAGGGTGGGCGGCGATATATTCGATATCCCTGTACAAATATTTGGCGAATATGACGCACTAAAACTTAGCGAGATGAGGACTGCTGTTGCGGGCACCATAGGGGGCGAAGCAGGCAGCAAAACGTAAAGGGAAAATACCCGCTGTAGCCTAGCGCCGGCCCGCTAAGTTACAGTATTCATCTCACTAATTTTAGCGTTTACCCTACTAGAACTTCTGTCCATTTCAGCGTATCATATTCGCCAAATATTCGTACAGGGGCGTCGAATATATCGCCGCCCACCCTGGGCTGAACGGTGTTTTCTTTCATCCTTTTCTTGAAGTATAAGAAGGCCTTCATTCATGTATCCCTAGACAGGATTTAGGCAGACAATTCAATGCGCTGTAAACTTCGATCGCGGGCAACAGCCTGTTTTGAAGCTTCGGCATGGCTTTGGCTGGCTTTCGGCGTTTCGGCTGGCTTTCGGCGTTTCGGCTGGCAGGTCTTTTCTATGCCGGGGTTTACCCGGGCCGGAATATTGTTTTTCAGCGCCGGTCAAATATTTGTAAATAAAACAATTAACTCAAATACATGTTGGAAAAGCTCAAATATGGCCTGTGACGGCCCGCCTTACGCTGTAGGGATGTCAATGGTTGAAGGCAGTAACGAATGTGGATTTAAAGCTAAGGAAGAGAAAGGAATAGGTAGTGGTGCTCAGGGCGCACAGGCCACACCCTAAGCACAATGCAGCCAATAGAATCAATCCTGTCACATGAGCCCTGTGGCGACCGTGACATGGGGGATGCCGTGGTTTTGGCCGCATCGCGGAGTTTGCCAGTTTTAGCATACTCCGCAAGGGCGTTCTGCAAATCGAACTCGGTATATGGCTTCATTTGAAAGTTCTCATCCTATTGAAAAAGAAAGAAAACGCATTCGAATCAAATTCGTAAAGTTGTGGGCGATTGAAATAGAAGAGTTGGGTGGCGAGGGTTAGTCATCCTTGTGGTCTAAAAGGGGGTTGGTCTAAAAGCTGGTCACCTGACTTATCCCTCTCGGAACGATCGTTTACGGAGATGACAATCGTCGTTGCATCGGCTTTAAAGGATTTACCGGTCGATTGCACGATATCAGCGATCTTAGATGCCAGCTCTTCATTCCAGAAGTTACTCGGAGCTACCACAAGGTTATCTTCGGTTTGCTTCGCGGCTGTCGTCTTATTCAGTGTTAACTTCCATTCTATAATATGCGTATGCAAATGCGCAGGTGCTCTTCACATAACTGGCCTGGAACTCAGTCCTTATACGGCACGAAGGGGAGTGTCTTTCGTATAGATCGCAACTCGCTCCATTGGAGCGGCCCCGCGCCACGACCAGGTTGACACGTTACGCCATCGCCACTAACAGATTCGCCTCTGTTCACCTTCTCGAAATAAAGTACGTATGTCATCTTAACATTGATGGAAAATGCTAGAATTTGCGTAGTATCTATAAAGCAACCCATCCTCCCGGACCCTTCTGGTGTCAAGCTAGGAAAAAGAAATAAAGTGAGTAAAGTGAAAGAGAGTTGAAATGTACTAAACATCTCGTAAGAAGCCAATGGTAAGGACTTGTCCCGATGAACAGCCGATAGATATCATCCGCCCCTGGATGGTAGAACAGGATGGGCGATATTCTGGTGGTAACCATACTACATTCCGGCCGTTGCAATTAATCCAAGTTTGGTCGTGCCCCCAACTATACTCATACCTCCCTCGATTATCCAGCAAGAGGTCGACTGACCGAGCCGAGAAGAGAACTGACTGAACTGAGCCGCTGTGGCCTTCTAGCGTTTGCAGGCATTGCCCTGAGGTGGGATCCCAGAGCTTGATAGTTTGATCGTCTGAACCCGATACGAGCCGCTGGCCATCTGGTGAGAAGGCAACTGACAAAACCGAGCGGCTGTGGCCTTTTAGCGTTTGCAGGCATTGCCCTGAGGTGGGATCCCAGAGCTTGATGGTATGATCGTATGAACCCGATGCGAGCCGCTGGCCATCTGGTGAGAAGGCAACTGACCAAACCGAGCGGCTGTGGCCTTCTAGCGTTTGCAGGCATTGCCCTGAGGTGGGATCCCAGAGCTTGATGATTTGATCGTCTGAACACGATACGAGCCGCTGGCCATCTGGTGAGAAGGCAACTGACAAAACCGAGCGGCTGTGGCCTTTTAGCGTTTGCAGGCATTGCCCTGAGGTGGGATCCCAGAGCTTGATAGTTTGATCGTCTGAACCCGATACGAGCCGCTGGCCATCTGGTGAGAAGGCAACTGACCGAACCCGGCTGTGGCCTTCTAGCGTTTGTAGGCATTGCCCTGAGGTAGGATCCCAGTGCTTAATGGTGTTATCGTCTGAACCCGATACGAGCCGCTGGCCATCTGGTGAGAAGGCAACTGACCGAACCCAGCTGCTGTGGCCTTCTAGCGTTTGCAGGCATTGCCCTGAGGTGGGATCCCAGAGCTTGATGGTGTGATCGTCTGAACCCGATACGAGCCGCTGGCCATCTGGTGAGAAGGCAACTGACCAAACCCCGCTACTGTGGCCTTCTAGCGTTTGCAGGCATTGCCCTGAGGTGGGATCCCAGAGCTTGATAGTTTGATCGTCTGAACCCGATACGAGCCGCTGGCCATCTGGTGAGAAGGCAACTGACCGAACCCGGCTGTGGCCGTCTAGCGTTTGCAGGCATTGCCCTGAGGTGGGATCCCAGAGCTTGATGGTATTATCGTATGAACCTGATACGAGCCGCTGGCCATCTGGTGAGAAGGCAACTGACCGAACCCAGCTGCTGTGGCCTTCTAGCGTTTGTAGGCATTGCCCTGAGGTGGGATCCCAGAGCTTTATGGTATGATCATATGAACCCGATGCGAGCCGCTGGCCATCTGGTGAGAAGGCAACTGACCGAACCCAGCTACTGTGGCCTTCTAGCGTTTGCAGGCATTGCCCTGAGGTGGGATCCCAGAGCTTGATAGTGTTATCGTATGAGCCCGATGCGAGCCGCTGGCCATCTAGTGAGAAGGCAACTGACCGAACCCAGCTGCTGTGGCCTTCTAGCGTTTGCAGGCATGTATTCCAGCCCGCTTCTACTATTGGCTTTGTGCTGATCCAGCTAGGTTTTTCCGCCTTAAAATTCTTTTTCACTAGACTGGAAGCTGGTGCAAATAAAAGGGCCGATATGTACGCTTGGAGAGGAGCTTGCTCGATTATCCATCTATTAGAGAGAGCGAACCGATATGCATCTTGAACAAAGGCGGTTAGCTGCCTCTGATCAGTATGCCCCTGCATCTCTGTTATTATAGTTCTCTGACGATAGTAAGTTATACGTACAAGTAAGAGCTTAAGCTGTCTCATGGCAATAACACCCTCAGATATAGCTTGGAGTAGGCTAAGAGCTTCGAGCCAGTAAAGGTACTTCTGCTCAAGGAAGGTCTGGATCGCATCCAGTGTGTGGCATTGTAGCACGTCTTTATCGGAAATTGAGTCGCGGAGATGGTTAACCCAGAAGACGCATGAGTACCGTACTGTGGCCAGGGGGTCTGAAGATGGCGTTTGAACCTCGTTGATTGGGAATCCTGGTTTCTCTAAGCCGTACATGTCGCGTTTTAATACCGGAGACATCTTATTGAGCGACCTTGAGAAGATGATGTGGTGTACATCTTCCGTACCTTGAGGGAAGACCCAACCGAAAGCTTCTTGACATGCCTCTCGAGATGTCTCGAGATCAGCCTTGCCCAGGAGAAAGTCTTTGGCCGACTGATGAACGAAATAGATAGATTGTTCGCGCAGGGCTAAAAACGAACCGCAAATAGCAAGAAGCTTTTCCAGTCGTTCTCTATAGCTTGTTATAGAATCCGGCAGCTCGACGAGAGTGGCGAGTTCCCAAAAGCTGATGGGCCGCTGAACTACTGATACAGTGGCAAGAATGCGCTTGCAATGCAGGGTATCTTTCGACTTCTTGATATAGCGCACCATCCGCAAATACAGATCATCCAGCCCTGGGGGGAATGTGCGTAGCACTTGGAGAATGTGCCACTCCTGGACGTCCGGGTCGGCTAGAGCTTGGCAGACCAACGCCACCCAGAGGAATGTCCCATCCGCGTTGGAAGAAAGATACTGATGTACTTCATCCTCTATCGCTTTTTCGTATTGTTTCAATCGTGAAAGGTGCAGGACCTTGTGCTGGATAAATGTTTCGATGGCAGCGGTGACGGATTCGGCGTTCAACTCGAGGCTGAGCTTGGATTGCTGCGCGACCGTCGCCAGCTGTTCCTCAATCTGAACCCAATTGCGACTAGAAACGACGCATTTGACACGAGCAGATATAGTCGATATCTGAACGATCAAGCTGAGAAGCTTTTGTTGGTCGATCGCACACTCGTCCAAAGCATCAATTACCAAGTAGGTATCTTTCAAATTCGGATCTTCCAGCATCTCGAATAAAGTTTTCGATAGAGTGATCCATGCCATTGCGTCGTCAGAGGCATACAAGTTCTCGGGTAGATGCGAGAGGAGACGTGGTTGTCGCTGGGCAAGCAGGAAGATTAAACCCCGCAGCACAGCAGTTGCGCTGTTGATGCGTGGGTCGGTGGCTTGACAGAAGAAGTATGCCAAGTTACCACCGTCAGCGATAACAGGCCGCTCGAGCTCGTCGATAATGCCGCATAGCAGCATAGTCTTGCCTTTGCCGGGGTCCCCTTTGATCCAGAGCAACCGGGACTCTGTCGAGTGGCGCCATCGGTTAAAGTCAGGGTTTTCGAGGACCCAGAGGTAAGCGTCAACTAGTAGACCGCCCTTTGCCAGCTCGATCCGTTTCTTTTCGACCCGCGGGTCACGCGGCTCAGTGGACCACAACTTTGCCAAAGCGCGATAATCCTCGCGAAACTTGTCTTGTAGCCGTTTGAATGCCTTCTCTTTTCCTTCGCCGTACAGAACCGGCATGTGCACATCGAAGATGCCGAACAAAGAGTACGCTTTGTCTTCTTCACGTGTGGTGCTTCGCTTCTCGGCCCACGCCTTTCGTTCGTCAAAGCTAAAGTCAGACAGCGGGAAACCCCGGAGGGCCCTGAGGGGAATCTCAGTTATGTTGTGGATTTCCCATTCCAGGGACTTCTTGTCTCCCAGACCCAAGCCTTCTTTAGAGAAGAATTCGACAATTGCCGGGGCGATAAGCTCTTGGACCGTCCATCCTCTGGTGAACCATCTGCTTTGTCGAAAAGCCGGCTTCCAACCTTTAGAGAAGAAGTTGGCAATTACTCGGGCATTGGGCTCCTGGAAGGCCCATTTTTGGGTGGTACATCCGCTCTGTCGGACGACAAGTTCCCGGTCGGAGCTGTCGATGACCTGCTGATGTGTTGAGACATCTGCTAGATAAACATAGCATTTGGCGGCACGGCGGTACCAATCAAACATGGAGCTGAGAGCGTGCTGAAGCTCGGCTTTGTCGGATTTGTCGATGCAGCATGTATCCACCCAGAAGAATCTCAGCCCATCGCGCCAGGCTTGATCTCCGCAAAAATCGAATCTTAGCGTAGCCTGCTTTGTTCTTGCCTGTACCGTCCATCAGGTCCCTGAAGATGACCTCCCCGTCGCCCCATGTGTGTGAAAGTATCGCATACGGCGGAATCTTGTTGTTGGGGAGGCCCTCCCTCAAACAGACCCCGCCGGTATCGTCACGTTCCAGCAGTCGCATTGCACAAGACCGCCAGGCTCAGCTCTCTCGGTAGCTATCGATGTTCGCGGGACTGGAGGCACAGTGAATCAGCAGGTGAAACTGGGGTAGCTAGACAGACGAGAATTACCTACCGCACGTAGCTGTCGAAATTCGTAGCTTAGATCTCGGTCGGCCCGATTGAGGGCGTTGAAGGTGGTTGCTGTTGTCGTCGTCGTCAAGGTGTTGCCTTTGCCCAACTCCGCACGTTGGGCATTTGTGGCTGGCGCCTAGAGAAGAGGCGACAACCGCGCATAATTTGAAGCATCGTCATTGGCGGTGTTTCCGCTGGCGTGTATCAGAATCATGTCCCTCTGGAGCGTAGTCGCGCGACACGCAGAAACTGCCTTGCTGAAGAAGCTAAGGTAGAAATTCAGGATGAGCGCGCGGGAAATGCATGATGCTACTGCGATGGAGAAGTGCCAAGCCTGCCCTGGAAGAGTCACGTACTGAAGCAAGGGCAGTGAGTACCTTCCTTACGTCATTGCACTGTGAGAGAATTACATAAGCGCGGGATCGCCATAACGTAATCTACCACCTAGCGAGCCACACCACCTTAGCGAGCCAAAATTCTCCACCAAAACACGACCCGCACGCGTGCCTACCACCACAGCTGCAACGATGACCGAAGACAACCAATTGCTTAATACCTCAAAAAGGGTTCAATTAGCCGTCAAGGCTTACCAACAGAGCCAGTTCAAGTCGTTGCGACAGGCTGCAACAGTCTACAATGTACCCCACCAGACGTTGTCTGCGCGGCTGCGTGGTAGACGACCTCGGTACAACACACAAGTCAATAACCAAAAGCTATGGGTAGCCGAGGAGACTGCTCTAGTACAGTGGATCCTATCAATGGAAGAGCGTGGTATGTCCCCGACAATCGACTATACATGCCGTATGGCCAATTTGTTGCTAGCAAGTCGTGGTGGAAAGCCGGTAGGCCGACCTGGGCCCAACGATTCATCGAACGCCACGATGCGATCAAGCCCCGGTATTCTCGCCGTTACGACTACCGACGTGCCCAGTGTGAAGACCCAGTACTTCTTGGGCAGTGGTTTGAGCGAGTCAGGAAGGCTATACAAAACTATGGCATTGTAGACGAGGATATCTACAATTTCGATAAAACCGGGTTCCAACTTAGCGTAGCCCGTACAGCAAGAGTACTTACCTGGGCTGACCGCAAAGGTCGGCCAATGGTGGCCTAGCTAGGAAATCGGGAGTGGGCAACAGTCATCGAGGCTGTCAATTGCAAAGGATGGGCCTTACCACCTAAAATTATCCTGCCCGGCAAGGTTCATCAAGTTGAGTGGTACTCTTGCGGTGCGCCGAGCGATTGGTCAATTGGAGTTAGTAAGAAGGGTTGGACTGATAATGATCACTGCTTTGAGTGGTTAACCAAGATCTTTGATCCAAACACTCGACGGCGGGCTGTAGGCCAATACCGACTTCTGATCCTTGATGGTCATGGTAGCCACGTCACCCCAGCCTTTGACCAATATTGTCAAGATAATAAGATTGTGGTCATGCAAATGCCACCACACTCCTCTCACCTATGCCAACCACTCGATGTTGGCTGTTTTTCACCACTCAAATCATTCTACGGCAGCTTAGTACAACAACAACTCTTTGCTGGGGTCAACCATATTGATAAACTCGATTTTCTTACTTTGTATATACAAGCCCGACCACTAGGCCTCTCGGCTTGGAATATCCAAGCTGGATTTGCCGGGGCCGGCTTACAGCCCATTGATCCGAGCCGAGTATTACGGAGACTTCAAGTTCGAGTCACAGGCGCCACCACTGGCCCAATCAACGGCACCGTGGCCGGTCCAGTCACGGGCGCTGTGAGGGCCTGGTCCTCCAGGCCTCCCAGACGCTCTGACTAATCAGACGCCAGTTGGGTGGATCCACCCGACCAGCCAGAGCCCCACCTTGAGACGCCCTGGAAGAATCTCGCGAGGGGAGGCTTTTGAGCTTCTTTTCCCTTTTCCCTTTAGTTTAGAATCTTCGTCTATAGCGCCCAATAGAGGAGTTCCGCCCTCATTCCAAGCCGGCCGTGACAGGCGCCACCTCCAGCCCAGGCACAGCTGCCGCAGCCAGTTCGGCTACAGGCACCACTGCCGGGACCGCGGTCAACCCAGTCACAGGCGCCACCTCCGGTGCTGCCGCGGCCGGCTCGGTCACAGACGCCACTGCCGGCCCAGTCAACAATACCACTACACCTAGTCCTACTGGAAGCCCACAACCTGCTAAGACTCCTTATAACCTAATCCAACTTACAGCCCATGCTAGCCAATTACACCAGCAACCACCAAAGCCAGATTCGCCAATTTCACAAGCTATTCGCCAACTGGTTAAAGTTTATGAGGTAGCCCTGAATAGTGCTGTCTTGTTAGCGGAGGAGAATCGAATCTTGCGGGAAGAAAACTAAGGGAGGAAGCAGAGGAAGCAACACCGGCGATATATAGCCAAAGGAGGTACCCTTACTATCGCAGAGGGTCTAGCTAAGATTAGCCAGCTCGATGGCCAAGCCAGCCAGGCCGGTCAAGATAGTACAGCTGGCTCGGGCAGTACAGAGGGTGCTAGGCCGGCCCGAGGTAGTAGTGTTGACCAAGGTGGTGCAGAGGCTCCCACGCAAGCCCAAGGCGGCTGTCACGACCAGGGCAAGGCATTGAGGTGAACTCAGTCCATTGGGTGCTATCGACGAAGATTCTAAACTGAGGAGGGAAAGAAGGAAAAGTCCGACAACGCGTCGCGTGCTCGCGAATAAGTTTGCATCTATCAGTGGGGTAGGTGGGGCCTCGAGGAGGCTTCTGATAGGCCCGTGGGTTCTGGGCGGCTCTGGCTGCTTCAGGGCCAGTTTGGTGGACGGGTCCTTGCGAGAATGGGAAACAGCTAGTATATTGTTAGATTCGGTGGTTATGCAATGCCTTAGCAGTGGTTGTCATGTGCGTGTCGGATTTCTTAGACGTCCGAAGAGTCACTTGGCATCGTTGGGCGCAGCCAATGAGGCCTTTCCCTACTTCGTCCGGCGACGGCGGGTCAACGACTCTCACGCCTTGGCCCGGCCCGCGGCGGTTGTGTCCTGTAGTCTTTTGTGGGGTTTGGCTCCGCGCGTGCCGGGCGACGGACGCAACAGCGTTTTAGTCATTTAGGGTTAGAACGAGCAGCGGGTAGCGAGCCCTTCCTTCACCTATGACGACATCCGCCAGGCGGGAGCGTATTCCGACGGCGGGCCGGCAACCACGACAGGATAGTGCACTCTAATCTCTAAATATTTGTTGGCGTGGTACTTTCTAAGATCCGAATGGCCTCAGATCTTGCTACGCGCTGTAAAGGCTATTCGCTAGGGAAGGTAATAATTACCTATTTGAATCCCTAATTTAGAGTTTAGAGGCCTCTCCCCCAACGGATCACCCTAGCAGTGGATCACCCTAGCAGTGGATCACCCTTTTACACCAAAACACTACATCTTTAAACAACAACAGCGCACTCAATTGTGAAGCTATTTACAAGCCAAATATGGCAAAATGTAGCTAGTTGACTGTTTAATCCATATATTGTGCTAGCACAGAAGTGCACGGCCAGATCCTGTCAGTCTTGCAGGCAACTCTTCTTCTTCGGCCTCTCTTCAGCCTCATCTTCATCATCCACCTCTTCAATTTGAGGCTCTGCTTGAGGCTCTGCGGGACAGAATTTGTCGCGATTACCCAAAAAAAAGTTTGGCGGGGTCGGCATCGCGGAACCCCGCAATAACTTGTAGCCCCGCGATAACGATTGTGGGGAGTGCATTAGTCATCGTCCCACGCTCTTTCCTGATATAAACATCTCGTACTCGGCCCTTGATAGCATTATGAAAGATAATGGGCTCTGCCTAGTATGTATTAAGGGACCTGCTATTTGCTATTTAACTTACCCACTCCAACGTGCCCCCTAAAAGCCGTTGCACCCGCGTTGATGGACAGACTGGGGTCACGGGACTAACAGTTATGTACGAAGTACTATATCCGTACTCCCCTCTATAGAAAAACAGTTGCCTGGCGTAAGCCACCTCAATATAGGGATAATGATAGGTGTGATTCTCGTCCAGCAGGATCTCTCCGACGCTTCTGCAACCTAGGGTCTTAATTCAGCTATACTGCTACCCGTTTGATGTCCCGATCGATCCGATTCTGATGAGGTTCAAATGGAGTACCGAAAAATGTGTTGGATTTTCGAGGTCCTAACTAAGCCCGGAAATCGCCGGCAGTCTGACATGGAGGCGCATGCAGGGCAACCTTCTGGGCCTAGCATAGAAAACCCCCTCTTTTTCAGGGTAAAATGGGGTCCCCAGCTGGGAGGTCCCCAGGACTTACCCCGAGACTTTACACACAATCAGACTGTTACATTGAACCGATTTTGGGCCTACTTTGGGGGGCCAGCTTTCCAACAAAATGCAACCGGCACCTACCGGGATGATGTACGCAGCCGCCGGCTAATCACTCTAACATACACACCTTTTATTACCCTTTTGAAGAGCCCCTCTCTCTTCGCCGTGGTTCTGATTTTTACCGATATCAATATTACCAGATTGTTCTTGACTACGGCTAGAGAGATCATTTTTGCCTAGGCATATATATCCCAGTCCAGCCCCTGCCTCTGGCCGGATAAAGACCTTTGTGGCTTCCTCCGAAACTGCTCTCAAAAAGCCTTTCTCAAAGATAGCTTTTTCAGGATATTGAAGATGCCGGAAATTATTGACGTAACGGGCTGGAGCGATGACTCTATGAAAGCAAAGATTGCTGAATGGATAAGAGTTTATTTCGCTACGAAACACTCACAACTGATTTTCTGTAGACTGGCAAATCTGCCGAATCTATCTTTCAGAGTGCTGATATTAACGATAAGAACGTTGATACAGTTATATATGATTTCACTGGTTTAAAGGGATGATGGATACAGAGGCGCCCTTTGCAGAAGGAAAGATTTATTTATGTGAAGACAAGTATCAGTTCGTTATTGATGGGGACCCGGAAAGTCGATACTATGGATGAGAAAATTTATAAAGGTTGTCGGTTTCCTCCATGCTATAATAACCGAGTCATGCCGAACTGGAGAGGCTTTGGCCACTTGGCCGATATTTGCGCGAAGCACAACATCAAGCTGCAATAATTGCGCAGAATCCAAGCCCATTCTAAATAATAGCTCAGCCCTAGAAAGTTCCAAAATATGAGGAGACTGATCGTCTGGTTTTATAGGGATCATAATTAAGGCCGATGTGTTGGTTTCTGATATGTAGTAGTGTTAGCCGGAGCCATTTTCCCTGGGTTTAAATTCGATGGGCTCGACGAGAATGCCATTGAAAAGATTATCAAATGCGAAAAATACGCGACGGGGTGTAGATAGTTGCGAGCACGTATCTCCGGCGTTGTTGGTAGGCAGAGCACTGAGTGGAGACTCGGTGGCTACTATTGAATATCAGCATAGGAGGTCGTGGGCAGGTCTCGTCCGTATTGCTCAGTGAAATACTCACCGGTGAAATCCGTAGGTTGCGCTAATTTCTTAGCATCTATATAATTAATGGGCTCTGAGTATGTTGCCTGCGGAAGTGCATTTTGACTCGCCAAAACACCGTATTGAGGACTATCTGCCAGACCCAAAATACGGCATTGATGGATCACACCAGCGTCGCCATAAACGAATGTAGTCGTTTTGTCCACACTATGACTAACAATGGTCTCGGTGGTAGCGAGTGGTATGGGGCTTTCCAGTGCTGGTATACATTCATCAGATGGCCGGCCGGTTGTTGGCGGCGAGATCGCGGGGGTGATTAGAGGCTGGGAGCTCATCTTGGTTTGTGATCCGCACGACTTGATTCCTGTTGCCCATAGGTATTACTTTAAGAGATTAACACGAAGGGGAAATCTCGTGCTAGAGTATTTCCTCGCCTCTTAATCCGACTAACATTAAGAACCGTGTTCATCGTTCGTTTCCTGGATAGATAGTTGACTGGGCCCTGAGCTGGACGGGTTTGGGGTGGTATCGATAGAGAGGCCGTAAGCGTACAATAGTATTGACCAGACGACTGGATATGGCTCGCTAGTTCTGTTAAACGAAAATTAGTAACGGGCAGGTTAATTACCAGGGGGCGTAATACCGATAATAAATGCATTGAAACAATGTGGACAGGTTTTGAGCTTTCCAGCGGCGGTTACGCAGAAGTCGCGAATTTCTGACTGGGAAAGCTCTGGAATGTCGTCGAGAAATGGAACGCCATTCTCGTTGTATCGCCCAATATTGAAGGATCCATGGTAACAGGCTAACTGTAGCCATTTCGAGAATCCGATAGCATCTCCTTTCAGGTGGTGGCTCGACTTCGCCCGAGTCGAGACCCAAGTGTGGAAGTCCGATAGCATTACGATACTGTCTCCGAAACGACTGGGACCACTTGGTTCGCCTTTGCTCCAGCAGTATATTAGCTATATGTATCATTACTATAGCAGCGCTTCCAAGTCTTAAAGGAAAATGCGCGACGCTTAATAGGTATCGGTGGTGCTCGCTCGACGAATTAATTTCCAGTTGGTCGCGAGCCCTGAGAATCCGAGAGCCCCGCGAACCCCCGCACCGCCCCTGCAACTGCTACCCACCAGAGGAAACCACTTCCATTTCTTATCCCGTCTGGAAGTTGGCACAGACCACGTTTCAAAATGAATTAAAAGAACGCACCTAGTCATACATAGATATAGTAGGTACGACTGCACTATGACTATGCTGCAACGGACATTTCTGGGCGATACGCGCGCTGTATCTCGCTGTTTTTTCTCGAAAATGCTACCCGGGCCAGTTAATTCGGGAGTTCGTTTTTGACTAGCACGACAATTTTTGCACAACGACTGAGCTGACCAGTCCTGTACGCGCCGACCCTCCTCCCGAAGCCTTCCTCTCCAGACTAAGCCGACCAGTCCTATACGCGTCGACCCTCCTCCCAAAACCTTCCTCTCTAGACTAAGCCGACCAGTCTTGTGCGCGTCGATCCTCCTCCTAAAACTTTCCTCTTCAGACTAAGCTGACCAGTCCTATGCGCGCCAACCCTCAGGCCGAAGTCTTCCTCTCCAGACTGAGCCGACCAGTCCTGTGCGCGCCAACCTGCCTGTCACCTTGCCGAAGTGTCTCAATCTCTTTATCCATATTATCACAATTTTGGGAAGTCCTTTCCACTACTCGACCACACACACCAAGGGCGTTTCCCAATTTCCACCTACCCATATTCTCTTATTACTAAGTAGAGTCAGCATCTTAATATCGACGTTGGCAGCCAAGAGTCTAAGAGTAACATAGCGTTTACGCGCTTCCTCGACGTCGTCTCTGGTAGCGAATTCTATCTACTAGACGTGGCGACCCAACAAAGAAATCGCCCCACAACGAAATCTCTGCCCCTGTCATCTAATTTCCCGCCCTTCAACTTCAACACAACACAACTTCATCAATTCAGGCTCGAATAGCTTCAAAATACATCATGTCGAACCGTCGAGAGCAGCTAATTCAATCTGCAATACTTGCAGTTGAACAGGGCGCATCGCAGAAGCAGGCCGCGCATGACTTCGGGATCCCTCCTTCTACCCTCTGCAAACGCATCCACGGGGCAGAAAATCGAGCACAAAGTAAACAAGCCGAAAGAAACCTCTCCAATGCGCAGGAAAGCTTCCTAGCCGACTGGTGCCTCAATGAGGAGGCTGCAGGCAGGGCTCCTAGCCGTCGTCAGATGCAGAGATTCGCTCAAGCTATACTCAATGAGGCCGGCACGAAAAAGACCATTGGGGAGCGATATGTGGACCGCTTCCTACGCCGCAACCCGGCGGTAAAGATGAAGAATTCAACCTTGTTGGAATCCTCTCGAGTCTGCGGATCTACTCGTGAAGCTTATGAAGCTTTCTTCAAGCGCCTGGCCTTCCAAATCAAGGATAAAAAGGTCATCCCGGCCAACATCGCTAACATGGATGAGCACGGCATACAGGAGCTCGAGACCCGGGCCGGAAAGGTCATAGGAAGCTCCCTGACGAACCGAACCTACGTGAAAAGCTCTGATGCAACAACCTGGGTTTCAGTTATCGAATGCGGCACTGCTGAGGGCGTTCGTTTGAAGCCCGTGATCATATTTACCGGGGCCAGTCTTCAAGGACAACACTTTCCTGATAACTTCAACCTGACGAAGGAATTCCGGGAATGGAAGTACGATTACTCAATTACAGGCTGGAGCAACGCCAGTATTGCGCTGAAATGGCTCAAAGAGGTCTACCTGATCCAAACAAAGCCCCAAAGGCCGGGCGAATGGCGTATACTGATCCTTGACGAACATTCGAGCCATATGAACGAAAAATTCATGTTAGCGGCCTTCCAAAATAAGGTCCAGTTCGTCTATTTACCTTCTCATACATCGCACAAGTCTCAGCCTCTCGATCGCTCGGTCTTTTCACCTTTAAAGACCTATTTTAGGGAAAATACCAAGGCCCTCGCGAGCTTCACATCGTCAGCTCCTGTCAACAAGGTTCGGTTCCTTTACTGCTACAGAGATGCCTCGGGTAAAGGCATGAGTGCCCGTAACATCATGTCGGGCTTCAGTAAAACCGGGATTTGGCCCTTCAACCCGGCTTGTTTACTTGATGACCCTGAGGCGGTCAAGGACAATGAGGCACTCCCGGCCCGGCCTTCAACACCGCCGCCGACGGCCCCGAACGACGATGACAGGCTCTTCAAAACACCGCACGGCAGTCAGGACATCAAGAAGTACCAGGACAGTATTCGGAATGCCCTCAGTCCGGCTCAGCGGCGTGTGCAGGCCTTGTTTACTAAGGTCGAGAGGTCCCTGGATCTGAAGAATACAGAGATCGCGTCTTTGAAGGCACAAATTACGCATCTCACAACCGAATTAGAGGCTTCAAAGCCTCGCACGCGTAAGAGGGTATATGAAGATGGAAATGAGCGATTTGCACGTATAGAGGACATCGCCAAGGCACAAAAAGCTAGTCAAATACCCCCAAAGCGGAAAAAAACGGCTCGGGCAGAAAGCCAGCCACATGCAGTCGAAGAAGCCCGGGAAATAATCGCCCGTGGGCTCGAACAATATAGACAGGCCGAAGAAGAGGATTGAGTATTTTTTTGCTAGTTATTTTGTGTAGAAATGGATAATTTGCGCCCGTGGAGTGGGTGTGGGCATGGCGTGGGCCAATTTCGTTGTGGGGCGATTTCTTTGTTGGGTCGCCACGTCTAGTCTAGCAAAGCGGACCGGTTGTCGGCCAGACATCTATGGTAGACGCCAGTCTGTCGAAGTGACCACGGATTGCCCTGTCCTCGTCCGATCAATTCGAAGTAGCGGATATTATAACAGAGTTCTGTTTAGTATGTCAAAAAAGGTCATTAAGGGGTTAGTACAGGTGGCCAAACAGTAGTAGGCAGAAGCTGGCTGCACACAATAGCATGCCAAATCTGTTGCTCGCTGCTTGTTATTTGCCTTTGTCCCGAAGGCATGTATAACGTGCATGAACGGAGTGAACACCTTGCAAGCTTGCTAATATGGCCCAGAATGCCTGTTCGGTGATGGGTAAATAACGAAATCGAAGTTCCAGAAAAACTCACGGAGGTTAGTATCTAACGTTTTATTATTCAAAAATGAAGTGTACTTAATGTTAACTAGTTTAGAGCGAGATCGAGTCAATCCAATTCAAATAGGCAGACTTTCAGAACTGCGATAATGCCATCCAGCCACACCGGATCTGGATCTGCCTTGGCAATCATCGCAACGCATCCTCTAATCGCTAAACTACTGCTGCGTCTTGCATTAAGTTAGAGGAACTGAAGAAGAGGATCAAAAGAATTCGTCAGGAAACTGCCAACTTCAGAAGCCGCCACTTCATTCCCGAGCCTGGCCCATTTTGAAGTGGTGTCCAGGTCAAGCGTTGAGCAATGTTTGAGAAGCCTCAAAATCCCAGTACACAAAGTTGCGGATCTGGCAGACGACATTCTGCAAGGCGCGCTCAAAAATGTTTTGGACTCCTGGTTTTGATCAATCAAGGCAAGGCAATTTCCAGCTTCATCCGGCACGACACAATGCAACCTAATTCGCCTGACTATCGACTTCCCTGTTCTTTCAGAGACGCTTCAGGATATTTTTGACGAAGACGCGGAAACGGTTACCGACTTTCTCGAGACGCAATGGGAAGTCATTGTTCCCATCTTGCGCCCAAGCACGATTTTCCAAAGGTTCGACCCAAAGACTATTTTGCCTTTATTTCGAAAAGGAAATCGTAGCCCACCCACCAGCCCAGCGACTATCCCCACCCTAATTATTCATCAGTCAATATAGTAACAAGAGGGATATAGGAGGGTCCTAAGACTTACCGAGCACGGCCAACGACAACGCAAGCAGCGCCGCTGCCCCCGTCACCTCCTAGCAGAAGGACAACCACCGCCCTCTTCACGGCCAGCGGTCCACACCCTCCCTAGCATTGGATCCGATTAGTACACAATCTTGACATTAGATAAACTAGGGATAGCCTCGAGATGGTACTAGTTCGGGCGATTCACAAAGTAGCAGGGTCGGCTAGGGGCAAGGGGCAGAGGTGAGTGTCCCCGCACGGGCACCGTGAAAAGTGCGGCGTGTTGGCCGCCACGAGGGCATTGACGGCTGCGGCGGCGGCGGCGGGCGCAGGGGCGGCGGAGGCGGCGTAGCGGTAGGCAGAGGGGCCGGTACAGGAGCGGCGGGCGCAGGCGGTGGCAGCGGCAGGCAGAGGGGCTGGCGCAGGAGCGGGCGCCGCGTTGGCGAGCAGAGGGGCAGGTAGAAGGGTCGGTGGAGGCGCGGGCGGAGGGGTGAGCGCGTCGTGGCGGTTATTCATGATGAATTATATTTTTTTTTGAAAACTTTTTTTTTCTTGGGGATTTCTTGTACCAAAATGAAGAATTTGTGATGCGAGCATAGACAGAGGGAGAGAAAAGAAAGAAATGGCGGGGAACTAGAATATTTAACCTACTTGGTGAGCCTGGTGCTTGCTTCGGCTACTTGAACTTGAACTTGGGCGAGAAGACAACTACGGCGCGCCTGCTTGTTAGAACACCGCTCATATCGCCATTGTCCCCGGAATAAAACCAGCTCATCCATCTCACCCCTGTCAGTTCAAGCTGGCTATATATCACGGGCCTGGTTCGCGAAAGTTGAGACGAGTAAAGACATGCCAAGGCAGTAGCTGCTAACTCCATATGGATCCGGCGTCTTTGACCCCCAAGCCTGCATGTCGGGCCGGAGACTTGGAAGACCCGAAGCCCAGGCTTGAGAAAATGGTGTGCTGTATTGTAAACAGGTTTCTTTCTCTCCGTCTCTGTGTTTCTATTGAGAAAACACCCACCGTCGACGTTGAGCCCACACAAGCTAAGCCTCGACCACTGAGGCTCTATGGCAGCTGCCGAATAACACGGAACGAGATTCCTTCCTCTCTCGAAAGCTCGCTCGCTCGCGGCAAAATCTCGACGAATGGCTAGGGCAGAAATTTGTGAACAATGTTGATCGTTTATCTCACTGACCAGTTAAAGATGGACGCATAGTGGTGGAGGTAGTGAACATGGTCCGGCGCCGACAGGACCAGGGCAGAGTGGACAACTTAGCACTGCTCCTACTTCGTCTACTACACCTACCCGCACTCCGACTTCTGCGATCTCGACTCGGTCACCCACTAATAAGCAAGCCTTGGATGCCAACAGTGCACTTACAGCCAGTTTCACAGCGCAAATGGACCAGTTGCTTTCGAGATTGGAGTACCCCGCGGCGAATTGATGTGGCTCCGTATGCGGGGTTTCTTTGGGCTGTGACCCTTCCCTCGTTTGCGGTCGTCTAATTTGCTCCAAGATCGGGCCTGAGGCTGTCGGGGACGCTCCCATCAGTTGGCCTGCTGCTAGTTTCTTTCCGTTTCTTTCTTGAGACGCGAATCAAGTGGCCTTGGGAAGGTAGTGACGTGGTCGAGGAAGGGGATCGGTAGGGGGTCGGCATCTCGGTATGACAAGAGAAGTGGCTTTGTCGACCTAGGGACAAGAAGGCAGCTCCAGGCGCCCAAGCACGGCGTGGGGACAGACCTTCAGGCGCTTATCACCTTGGGCCGCTGCTAGGCGGCGCTACGCGTGAAGCACACATATTGCTCCAAGTTACTGTGTATACTTCTGCTAGGGTGTAGTGGAGTTTGTCGGCTTAGGGGTTATTCCCAACTACTGCTTGTCCCATAGACGGCCGCAGCTTCCAACCATGGCATCTAACCAAAGTTGCTGGATCCTAGAACAAACGTTCTCATTGTCTCATCGTCTTCTGCCTTGGAACACGGCTATTTGCTGCGGTTTCCTGCGCCACAACCCACTCAGAGTGGAAACATCCACATATGCAGTCGAAGCTGCTGGCGCCAACGTCTCAGCCAGAGCCTCTGCATCTTAGCGTCTGGAGAGGATTGGTCAGGGGATACTCATGGGCTAGATTTTACCTTGGCATTCTCCGAGGGAACACATCACCGAGACCCGCACGCTAGAAGGGGCGGGCGATCCGGGGGGTAGCATTCTCGCCGTCCCGAGATCTCCAGTTGGTTTCGTATATACGAGACGCTGCAGGATGCTCAGAGAGAAACGTTTTAACTCGTGTGGGTCAGCAAGCCACCTTGAGGGACGGACACACAGCTGGTGACTGGCTCTGTCGTGGAATGGCTTGGGGTGCGGGGGTGGGGCAGAGATGCCCCGCGCCATCTCGCCGGTATGCAGAGGGGTCGTGGGGGCAGCCCCATATCATAATGCTGTCATAATGCTGTCATAATGCAATTGTCTTTTTGCCGTTCAGCTGGACAAGGTGGCGATGATGACGACAGAGAACCGTTGCCAATGATGAACGCAGGGGTTCAGGGGGGAGGGCGGTTTCTTCTCGGAAGATGGAAGATGCGTGGCAATTGGAGTTCACTGGGGAACTGCATGAGACGCAGTTCGGGCCGTGCTCAATATTCTCACGGAGGCAGCCGATATGATCATCACTGCTGCACCCCAGAAGCACTAAAGATGAGCTTTGGTATATGCGTATCTAGACGTGCCACAGGTTCTGGTTAACCGTAGGCAGGTGGCGGGCCGACTTCAGCGAATCCTCCACTGGCACGCAAATGTTCCAAGCAGCCTGATCCTATAGGAATCAGATCCAGAGCGGCCTCTGCGTATTCCGCCCGAGGACCCGACAGTATCACATCCCGATCCTGCCTGACACTAAAATGTATCTCGACGTTGATGACGAGCTTGACTAGCTAGAATCAGAACAACAATCAGCATCGAAATTCCTATTGTGAGAAGAAAAAATATGGAGCATACCCTTGATTTGGTAGGATTCTCGATTAAGAATCCGCCAGTAACCTCAAACGAGTGATCATGCCGGACGGTGCAGGTAGTAAAGCTCGACGTAATGTTCGGAATAGTTACGTCCTGCAGTATAATGCTGTCAAGCTCCGACAATACATCCTTCTCCTGAAGAGTTGCCACAGCCATTCTCAGGTCCGTGAGCTACAATAGGCTTCGGGACGATGTCTATGAAGTGCGATCACTGCCGATGGTAACTGTTGTTGTGCTTTGGATGCTGATTGTTATGCTTTGCAGCTGGATGGGAAAGGCGTTATTGGGCTTGGCGGGGAACGTTTGGAGTAGGAGAACTAAAGGGACCTTGTCACTAGCATACAGGACTGCGGGCGAAGGGAGCCTTGCCTCGAGTAGCAGGATGGGGTCCCGGTTAGTCGAATGCCGTCCGTTGCCGAGTGGAAACAATGTTATAATGGTAAAGTGTTTTCGACGTTGTTGTGCCGTACCCTGGACCTGAAGGGATCGAATGCAATTGTGGACCCGAAGAGAGAAAAAAGAGCTCCTGTTGTGTTGATATTTCCTGGTGGAATCTTCCCGGTCTCCTGACCTTGGCTTTCAAGATGTAGTCAATCTTGGCCGAGCCACGGTGGCTAGGGGCGTGGCTGCCGAAGGATGGAGGAAGGGCTGTTTCGAGATACTTGACGAAGGATTGGGACCGCTGGCAGGCAGAAAGTAGAGGAAAGCTGATGGCGAAGGGGAATGTGCCCTCCAGGCGGGATAGGGATGTCGGAGGCTGGAAACAGGACTTGGACAGCTCGAGAACCGAGATGGTAGATTAACGGCAGGATCACGCGCATTGCTCATACCTTGTGGTAGTCGCGGGCCTAGTCATCTAAATCTTCTGCTAGTGTAAAGCGGGTGCTATTTTTAGGTAGAGACGTGCTGAGCCTGCCTGAGAATACAGTGTCAGTACAGCTGCGCAGCAAGCAGAGGGCAGCTCAACGGTGCCGCGACAGAACCTAACCTTTGAGGGAGAGAACAAGGCTTGATATGGCCGTGGAATGGTCTAACTCCAAGCTCACCGAGTGTCACGACCAGTGCAAGGCATAGAGGTGAACTCAGTCCATTGGGTAGTCTAGACGAAGATTCTAAACTGTCACGCGCATTCACAGGGCAACGGAAATGAAGCATTCGATGCAGGGAGGTAAGGCTTGAATTGTCTGAAAAGGTCTAATCTCTTGTTTCCTTTGGCAGGGTCAAAAGTCTCTCTTTTATAGTTATGAATAGTGGCAAAAGCTGGTGGCGAAGAATCACATAGTAGCTTCTAGATCTTTATTGCTCACTAATCCCAATATTGTGACATAAACTAAGGAAAGGAAAGGAAGAAGGAATCAACAACGCGTCCTGAGATCGCGACCAAGTGCGGCGGCCTCGGTGGGGTCTGTAGGTCGGCTAATCTCCAGCTAGCTCCTGATTAGTCAAGGTGGTTTGGGCGACTGAGGGCTGTCTGCAGAGCAGGTCCTCACAGGAGTTAGCTAAAACTTAGGGCATTATGGAGCAACTGCCAATAGGCGATGCGCATCTTAACTACCAAAATACTTGCACCCTAATATGGTATCTGTCGGGGTACTGTCACGATCTGTAATCAAGTCTAGAAGGAGAAAAGATGTAATTTATTGCTCTATCTTGCCTGTCTGCAAGATTCTCCATTCAGGTTCACTGCTACTCTCGGCAAAGAGCTCGGTAACAGGCTAGTTGATCTGCAAGACAGAGGATCAATGATGCATAAATGCAAGGTCTTCTAAGTAGAGATCATTTCACTATAGCCCTGCATCTCCACTGTTAATCTATCTCGTGCATGAGTTGAACTATCTTGACAGCGGTTACATCTGGCAGTATCTGACTGTCACGGCGGGCTGTCACGGCGGGCCGTGCTAGTAGGAGCCACAGGCAGGTTGCGTGGCTCCTGGCTTGTCTGGGGCTGAAAGCACGGGCCAGTAGGGCTGGAAGCACGGACCCAGAGGGTTTGGACACAATGAACTGCGCGCTCGCAGAGAGTGTGCAGAGAGCTAGAGATTAGTGTTGCAATATATTACTCACCCCCATTACACTGAGACTTTCGAGCGTCTGTAAGCGCTTGTGGCTAGGAGAGGAACGCAGCCAAGCTTCAAGCTGTGGTCCACAGTTCACACCGAGCCTCGGCTCGCCACCATCGTGTCGTGAGGCCGAGCCGCTCGCCAGGCCGCCAGTGAATAATAACAGCGGCCGCAGATGGCAGCCGTATCCGAGTATCCATTTATTCATATCTTCAATGGAATCACAACAAAGCACATAGCCAGTGCCAAGATTCCATTGACGCTAAGCGCGCTGCTGGCGTCGATATCGTGGCAATAGTCCAACCCCTGTCTCTCGTCCTCGAAGCTGCGGGGTGTGCCATTTCGCATTTGGCAATAAGATGCGCTCGTGTCGCATGTGATTAGTCCCGCGGCTGGCTGTCTCTGAGATTCTTTGTCACATTCCTCATACTTACCTCAAACTCAATTCCAACAACATCACAACTCCCACACACAGTTTCTCCCAGACTCACCCACCAAAGCCCCCGAAAATGCCACCTTCTGCACCCCGCAACCCGGCACCCTCCCCGCTTGCCAGAACCCTACTCACCTTCATCGGCACGACGCGCGCCGCATTCGGCATCTGCTGCCTCGTGGCACCAGAACTCGCCTTCCAGATCGTCGGCCTGTCATCCCCGCTCTCGGGCGCAGCATCGCTCATCGCGCGGCAGTTCGGCGTGCGCGAGATTGTCATCGGCGCGGGGCTCGTGGTCGCCGAGCGCCAGCACACCACTTCTATTGCTGCTGGTCAAGGAGACAGAGACAGCAGGGGACTGAAGCGCGCCATCTGGCTGAGCGCTGCGACGGACGGGCTCGATCTTGTTGCGTTGGGGTTGGCGTTTGCGTTTGCGGAGGAGGGCGTGTTGGATACGCCCATGCTTTGTAAGATGGCAGAGACCGCGGCGCTGTATGCTATTGCGGGTTTGCAGATCGCGTGGTGGTATCGATGAGTGCTTCGTGGTTTGGGAGCTTTGGGGAGGAAGGGGGGGGATTGGTCTCACGCAGCGCAGCCGACTGAGATGCAGTCAGTGGCAGAGCGGCCGGTGGCAGGCAGGTCGTCGAGGGCCGAAACACCGACTCGAAAGCATCGGGACGTGGTTGGCATGGTATCGGGCGGGTGCCGGTTACGTATCATTATTGAAACCGGGCTAGGGCCGTTCGGTAGGTGCACCACGGCCTTTTGAATCTGGTATCCTATAGCCCCTTGGGACTCACGGAACAGGAAAAGGGAATATTGGTTTCGTCGGCGTTTATTTCGGAGAGTCCATCATGATGAATATACCACTATTTATAGGAACATCTGTCTGCAATGCATGTCTAGCTCGTCAAACACAGATTTTCACCATGAGAGAGGAGATTAGTGCTCTTCTGGCGAACCTGGAGAACTTCTTCCTATCCCGGTGGTCAACTATAATAACTTAAGCTCTTGTATTGATGCTGCGGTTCTTCCACTGCACACCAAACGTCTTCTAATTAACACTCAACAATAACAAGCTGGGAAGCAGAGTAAACAATGTTGCCAAGAACACCATTTGATCTGGGTGCCGTGTTTCGGCTCTTAATAGGGCCGAAACTCGCCGGCATGGTACAACCACGGAATCGCGTCAGGGATTGTTGACGAGTCCGAGCCATCGATACCGAGACAAAGGCGTTCTGCATGCTACAAAATGTACGGTCGGCAGTTCCTGTTGGATTTGCGCGGTGTAACAGCTCCAATTGCTTCGCAGCCCTCCCCTCGTTGCTCCCGAGCCGAAGATGATCGTCAACCCTGTCTACCTCTTTTGCACTTTATTTTCGTATAGGCTCCAGCATTTGGAGCCAGCGTGTCTTCTTTCCATTCCACTCTGGGAGTTGGCTCTGACCCCCCACCGGGTGAGAAACGAAAAGGGAAGACGAAAAAAAAAAGCAAAAACCCCGGTGATGGCGTGCATGCTGATGCAGTGATGACGTTGGCTGAGAAGTTCCTTCCCGGCTATACTGAGGTTAAAGCGTGGAAAAGGGACTCCCGGCTGACGCTTTCGAACACGACACCCTAAAAAGAAAAGAAAAAGAAAAAAGGTGTCGACCCACTTGTTTTCCAAACTTGCCGGGCACTGTAGGGAAGCAGGATCACCCACCTTGTCAGCTTATCGATGTCAACCCGGGCCAGCCGTGTTGTATTTCCCAGGCATCAAGATGAGAGAACCTAATCGCGGGCTACTTCTGCGAGTCAGCCATAGTAACCTTGGGACGGCCCAAAAGCCCCGGTTCGAGGTAAGATATTGGCCGTCGCGTGTCGCGCATCGCGACATCCCACGCACGGCCATGATGTGATCAAGGCAATCCCGCCTTGTGTGCGCGGGAGAGTGGGCCTTGGCTGGCAGGCCGAGCACTAACACCGACAGGGCAAGTATTCCACAGCAAGGCGCAACGCTTGCCGAAAATCACTCGGGCCCCACTGCTAGAGCCTCGCGGTTGGACGGACAGGCGGTGAAGGACAATCGCAAGGGGCAAGACGGCGAGCTCGGGGGGCTACCAAAACGAAATATCCTGTCAAGCAGGTGAATAATCTGTCTTGTCTGGTCTTTCAGGAACAAAGTTTCCGAGAAAGTTATGTGATCGGCACCCTTGTTTTCCTGAAACAGCGTCCCCCAGCACGCCAAGGCCCCATCACAGAGGCTTTTGCTGGCGCACCAGTGAGAGCAGCGCAAAATTTGCGGAAGGGCTCCGTCAGCCACTGGCAATTTCTCCGCAGAGCGCGGAAGGTGGCCTGCCCCCCCCGCGCATGGAGCTGTGCCTGACGGCTGCAGGGGCCGCTAATCTCCAGAGGGCAAGGTGCTAGGGACGAGCCGCCGATCGTTTCCTGAAACAACACCTTCAACGGCTGCCCGCCAAGCCGTGAATGCCACTGCGGTGGAGAACATCATGGGTGCTTTTCCCGCTTCCTGGGTCCTCTGGCCTCGACACGAACCAGCAACCCAGTTACAAGCAAGTTAGCAAGCAAAGCAGCCCCAAGCTCATCCCCCAGGCTTATCCCCCAGGCCCTCCTATCTTAGGTTATTTTGTCGCCAACGAGCCAGGCCGGCCAGAGCAGAGAGCCAGGGCCGGATGGCCCATCACGCTGATCTACACGATGCATCCCTTCTTTCTTTTCGTGATCGTCCCGCTGCCTTCTCTCTTCTCTCCTTCTCCCGACCTGAGACTTGCCCGTTCCCCCGGCACCTTCACTCCTTCGGCCTGGACTCGCGGAATAAAATCCAATTCTCCAGTACATACCATATGCTGCCGTCTTGCACTCGAAGTGATATTCTAATTCGGTGGGTCCCCCAGTCCTCGATCGCAGCAGCAATGTTGCAATGCCGCAAATCCTCGTCACTAACAGCAGACAGGACCCCACTGCGCGAACGGACTTGACACTGCTTTCGTTTTTTCCCCCTTGCGCTCTGAACCTGGGAGGAGGCCATGTCGCGTTGAAAGCATCTCTCTGGGAACCCTTTTTCTTGACAAAACCCCGTCCACGTTGCGGAAAACATGCCGGGCATTCCTCGCAACACGGCAGCGACGGCGGCGGCGGCCGTGCGGAGGAGGGGGCTGGTAACCGATATTTGGAACACGGTCGTGGTGGATCCATTGTGCAAGCTGTTTCCGGCATCTGCGGGATGCTCGACGACGGGGACGCCGGCTCCGACTCCCTCACCGACGCCTGCTCCTACGCCTGCCCCGACTCCCACGCCGGCAAAGCCAACGCCAGCCGCCACGCCTCCTCCGGCAAACCCACCGCCCGCCGCTACACAGCCAGCGCCAGCCGCGCCAGCCGCTGCGGCGCCAGCTCCTGCGCCAGCGGTGCCTGCTTCGGGTAGTGGCTCTGGCGGCACTGGCGAGTCTGGGTCTGGCAGCACTGGCGAGTCTGGGTCGAGTTCCAACTCCGGAGGCTCAAGCTCAAGCTCCTCGGGTTCTGGGTCCGCAGATTCCGATTCCTCAAACTCCGGGTCCAGCTCGGGTTCCGGTTCTGCATCCTCTGGGTCTGGCTCCTCGGCCCCAGCTTCCGGGTCCGGTTCCAGCTCCGGGTCTGGATCGACTTCAAACTCTGGCTCAAACTCGGGTTCGCAGTCGGGTTCCAATTCTGGTTCCGGGTCAGGCTCCGGGTCAAGCTCGAGCTCTGGCTCTGGCTCCGGGTCTGATGCAGGAAGCCAGCAGCAAAATGAGGCCTCTGGAAACAGCGGGACCAAGGCCGCTGCCGACTCAAGCAGTGGGAGCAAGACTGGGACTGCTGTCGCCGCCACCGGGGAGTCGAGCAGACAAGGAACCACCGGCTCTTCCAGTGCGGCGGCCGTGAGCCATGTCCCATTGCTTTACCAAGAACAAGGCGGCGACACTACTTCCACCGGTGCAGTGAGGCCTGTGGGCGCAACATCGAATGGCGGCTCGACGGCTGACGGGTCGCCGGCTATTGGAAGTGAATCTGGCTCAGAAACAGGCGGAGGAGGATCCGGATCAACCGGGACGGGCAGCGGTACGAACGGAGGCACGGCCACTACAGGGACCGGAGGAAACGGCGGCACTGTAGGTGGCCCTGGCGGCGGCAGCGGTCCCGCCGGCGCCCAGCCCGTCTCGAGCCCTGCCTCGAGCCCATTGCCGGGGATCATAGGCGCAGTCGTTGGTACGTATCTCCAGACCTTCCCTCCACTTTGAACTGTTTCTCATTGGCAGCAGCTATCGTGGTGGCGCTTCTCATCCTGCTCGCCGTTCTCTACAAATTCCGCCGCAACCGCCGGGTGCAAGCCATCCTCATCAAGTTCACGCCGTTCAAGATCGCACCCTACACGCAGCTCGAGAAGAACCGCGACTCGATGGGCAAGGGGCTGCTCTTCTGGGACAACAACGACGGCGGCGGGATTCTGAGCGAGAAGCGCAACACGCTCAACTACGGCAGCAACACGCTCAACTATGGCAGCACCACGCTGCCAGGCCCCGTGACGCCGCCCAACCCGACGGCAGCGCGGCGCTCGCTGACGCGCACCACCAACGACGGCCCGCCGTTCATCGACCTCAAGATCGCCGGCAGCAAGACGCCGACTCCGTCGAGCCCGTTCTGCGTCTCGCCCATGTCGCCGCTCTTCCCGCGCTCGCCGTCCCCCACCAAGTCCAACAACCCACGCTCCAGCCAGGACTCGCTCGGCGGCGTCAGCATCTCCAGCCAGGACTCGCTCGGCGGCGTCAGCATCGCCAGCAGCGGCGTCATGTCGCCCTCCCTCATGTCCTGGCCCGTGCCCCCGTCCACCGCCAACAGCGTCCGCTCGTCCCCGCCCCCGACGGGCGTGAGCGAGAGGCAGCCCGAGAAAAGGCCCCCGCGCTACCAGCCTATGCCGCCGCCGTCGCGGCCCGCCAGGCCGTCTAACTGGAAGAAGCCCGCCGAGTGGGGCACGTAAGCTGGGGCCCCAAGCGGTAATTCGCTACAGCTCGTTATCGAACATTTCTCTCACTCCAGTTAGCGAAGTGATTCGTTTCACCCAGAGCCTATCTATCACCTTGGAAATGAGACGAATAGCTGGGCTAGCTTTACTACTCGAGAGGCTGTGTGGCAGGCAAGGCGGGCATTTTCTTTCTCTTCTACAGAAACCGGATCACGCGGTCATGATGGAGACGGACGGTGGGGGCGCGGCGCGGTCGATGTGTTAGAACATTACATATATTATTCCCCTTTTTCTCATTGTTGCACATGCCCATGTGGGCTGTACACACACATACACGCACACATACACGCACACATACACGGCACACGTTTTGTTTCTTTACTTCTCTTATGTATCGGGTGGTGGACATCCCTCCATTCCCGCCACAGTGACGCTCCAGACGCCACGCACCTAATCTCTCTTCTTTCCCTCTTTCCTCTTTCTGTGTCGGATCTGTCACTTGTACATACTACTGTACCAGCTTTGCGCGGATGCTCGGGAGGCTACTATCGGCAACCATACCCCCTTCCCCAGGAGCCTCGTGGTTTCCGCCGATCCATCTGACGCTAGTTAATCGTATTAAAACAATTCATGTACATATTTTAACTCTTGGTGTCCTCCGTAATAGCCGCGTAACACACTGTAAATGCTGCGAATTATTACTTATTCTTGTTAAGAGTCATTGGAGCTTCAATTATATGTGTTCCATATGTACATATACAATATCTTCAAATTGGGGGCAGTGACAGTTGTGAGGTATGTTTACTCCATATTTGGCCGCTATTTAAAGGCTGTCATTTTTAAAATGGGAGAGTCTACTCGGACCGTAGGAACCGTCTTTTCGGACCATAATTAGCAAAAAAGTACATTGAAATCCCCGCCAAGCCACTAGCCTAGCCAAATCCCTGTTTTACCCGCCAAAAAGCATTAGATTGATGGCCAACAATGCAGGCTCAACTGCGCCCGGCGCCCGGGCCCCCCCCCACCCAACTTTGCCAAATCTTTACCTGCAATTGAGGGCATCGCCAAATCCACCAAAATCTTCAACCTTCAACCTTCAACCATAAGAACGTCAATTGAGCCACAATAACAATAACGCGATAAAATTGCCGCGCATGTAGGTGCGCTACTTCATTCTCAATCTACAAGACTAACTGGGGATAGAAAATTGCTGCGCGCGAACCCCGGGCGAGTTTGACGATCCCTTTGCCCTAAGCGACCGTAAGGAAGTTCAGGACCGCGTATCACATCCCCCGCCGGACCACAAGCTCCTCAACCACAAATATGACTCCCTCGATCAATTGATGGAAGACCTTCAGTCCTAGGCAAATAAGGCGGGCTTTTCTGTCAAGAAAGGGCGTACCAATAACGTCATTAAGGACTTCGGGCCTTCGCGAGTCGATATTTCCTACGTATAGGATAAAATCCGACCAATAGAGGCTCACTCGCGCAAGCCATATACCAAAAGGCGAGATTGCTTATTCAAGGCCACTGCAACAGCTTCGGCCGTAAATAATAGACAATGACCCTTATACATTAAAGAACCTGCTCATAACCACCGCCTTGAGAAAGAAGAAAAGGATATTTACATTCCCCGCCGGGCCTGGAGTAAGGAAGAGAAGGAATTCGTAGCTAGCTACATTGACCGGCCGAGCGTCAGGAACCGCGATATCAAGATTGATATGCGCAAAAAGTTCCCGGGCATTTAGATCACTAACAAATAGCTCCGCAACCTTCGACATAACATACGGAAGGACTACTTAACCGGACACTTTCCTTTCCAAACGACGATAAAGCTCCTTAACGACAAAGGCATCGAATATATAACTCTTTGGGCTAATCCAGAAAAGACCAAACCAGCGGGCTTGGTTTGGACTAACCCGTGGTATAAAAAGATGTGGCAACTTCGTCCCTGGGTGTAGATGTACGATAATACGTATAAAATAAATAATGAGGGACTTGCATTCTGTCACAATATTGGGATTAGTGAGCAAGAAAGATCTAGAAGCTGCTATGTGATTCTTCGCCACCAGCTTTTACCACTATTCATAACTATAAAAAAGAGACTTTTGGCCCTGCCAAAGGAAACAAGAGATTAGACCTTTTCAGACAATTCAAGCCTTACCTCCCTGCATCAAATGCTTCATTTCTGTTGCCCTGTGAATGCGCGTGACACATTCTTCCAGATTTGTAGTCTCAATAGTACTAATAAGGTTTTCAGCTATGCCTTCGGCCTGATTAATAACGAACGTCAAGAGGGCTTTGACTGGCTGATGGACTAGGTCAATGCTTATCGCCAGAGAATTGGAGCAGGAAAGCCGGCTATTACGCTTACCGACTTCGACAACGCGATGAAGAATACAATAGCACGTGTTTACCCAGAAGCCGATGCCCAGATCTGTATTTTCCATATCAATAAGAATGTGGTCCTTCAGGTCAAACGGAAGTGGGATAAAAAGGCTGCAGCAGAGGTAAATGCAGCGTATTTAGTAGCACAAGCCCAAGCTGGATCTATGCCCGGAAACCGAGCCGCTATTGCCGAGGAATCTGACGATAAGTCCGAGGATAAGCTTGACGAAGAAGACCGAGGTATTGTTCAACGACTTAACCGTATTACCGACGGCGATGAGCCTCTCGGGCCTCTTCCGGATGTTGTTGAGTACTCCCGGGCCGGCATTTACAAGCTTTGGGAGCACATCCTATATGCAGCGACCCTCGAGGGCTTCAACCTTACACATGAAAAGCTCAAGGCATTTTTCCCTCAGCAGGTGGAAATCCTCAAGTATATCGAGGAGATTTACATGCCTATTACAACGTAATGGGCGACCTATTATACCAGTAAACGCCCCAACTTCGGCCACCGAACCACATCACCAGTTGAGACGATTAATCGGTTACTGAAGAGCTTTATTCTTACAGGCAACAATACTATATTCGACATCGTCGCGCAGTCCCTCAAAATACTTGACGAAATGAAGGAAAACATCGATAACGTACCAAAGAATGAGAAATTCCACTTCATACGCGACTATACGGGGAAAAAATGGATCGGCGAGGTCGCCGTTGAAGTCGCTAGAGAGGGCATGAAGAAGATCACGAAGGAATACCGGACTATGCTCGGCGCCGTGCCGACATTCAGGAACATGCCCCCCCGCCCCTGCCTCCCTATACCGGTTAATTCACATATTAATACGGCATGCCGTGTAGTCATGAACTCCTTGAGCGGTTTACAAAGGCGTCTACACGCAGTACAAGGACTCGCCGTACTACCCAGACTTTGGCTGCAGCATTTGAAGCCCAACAAAGCAGTGATCTGAGCGATGCGTGGGCAGGGTAGGTTTTCATTGCATTTTTGGGCATGTTATATAAGCAACAACAACGCAGGCAGCTTCCTATTTTATTGTAGAAATGAACGATTTGAGCGAGTTCTACGGCCTTGAGACACAATTACTGTATTTGGAAGTATGTTGATGTTGGCGACGGCGGCGAGGTGCAATTGTGGTGCGACCGCGTAGTAATTATCTGAACCTAGGTGCGTTGGCTTCATCCTATAGATTAGCCTTTATTTTGGTGCGAAAACCGGGTTTTTAGTAGCTTGGCGCCAGGCCGCGATGTACCTACGGTCCGAAAAGACGGTCCCTACGGTCCGAGTAGACTCTCCCTTTAAAATACGTGCAGCTTAGGGATTCAGTCCACCTTGTCGGTCGTAATGTATCAAACGAACACCTTTTTAGTTACCTCAGGCTCCTGCAGCTTTAATTTCATCTCATATTCGACACTTCTACCGCCCGAGGATTCCGCTGTTATTCTGAATATGTTCATCGAGAACCTCAGAAGATGCTAGAATAACGGTCCACGACCCATATAGCCATTCCTCAAGAACCCCCTTTGGCACATAATACCGTTTGGTGAGGTCTGCGTAGCCGTCTGGTTGACGAGATGAACCAGGGCCTTGATACTCGACCTTGAGAATTTTAGGGCTCGCAGGGTAATCTGGATGGTTTGTGGTGGCGAAGCTCTTCGGGTCACCTCCCTGGCTCGGGTTAGTGGATACTACAAAGAACCCTACCCAGCCACCGCCGAGATCGATGTCATCGACGAGCACTGGGTGATCCTTTATCCTCCCAGCTCCTCTTTTCCCGCCACCGAGGATTCTTCGGATCTCCCCTTTTAGGTCTTCTGATAGACTGTCGGGAGGCTGGATATCTGCTGGAAGGTAGAGGATGCGACCCCGTCGCACATTATCTGCCATGGATAATATTTTGAGTCTCTTCGAACTTTGTCACTTCTGTTTAGCTGCCGTTCTGCAAACTGACGACTTTATTAGGGTGAAGGAAGGGGTTGGTTTGTTAAAAAAAGCTGTTGTGGATCTAGAGATTGAGAAAGGTTGGACTTGGCTTGAGATTGGGATGATTTGAAGAATTATGTAATGGCATCTGAAGAAAGGAAAGTTTGGATGTTTCAATCCGGAACGTGCGTTTTATAGTTGGGTGGAAAATGATAAAGTCTATGAGGCTACACTCTGTCAGTTGCGAGAATGACCCTGAGACGCCCTGATAGATATGTCAAAAACAGTTCCAGATGTGTCAATTGAATGACGACCAGAGGACTACTTACTATCTAGCAACTGGTATAATTTTCTAAACACGTAAAAAAATGAACAGACCCAACTCTAGAGAGCTAGAGGGGGATGTTCGTCACCAAGACGCTGACCCGTGAGTTAGCAAAAAAGATAGGAACATTAGGTTTTGCCTGATACTGGAATTGAACCAGTGATCTTTGAATGTCAAAGTACGAGTGCAACGCATTACCACTGTGCTAATCAGGCTGCTTGCTTTTGATGGAGACTCGTCTTCCGGCATTAGGGTTTGTACTCGGCATCGTGCAGTCCGAGGCTCCACAAGGGGGGCCCAAGCGGGGGGCGGTTCCAGAAAGCAAACTAACGCCACAGGGGTTGAGTTTGTCCAACATGACGAGATGAAGAGACGTGGACTTGCTCGGGAGCTGGTGCTCGATGGTTTGGTGGGATAGAACTGTGCCGCGGTGATCCGTCGCCCCCACGTGGAGGAAACGAGCAAACAACTGCCGCCCACGCCCTGTAGCAATCCGAGCTCCTCTCCTTCACCCCGTTCTTGGCGGAAAGCCGGGGCCCAATGCCAGAGAGTCTGCAGTGATCGCCCGCTAAGTCGCGTCTGGCCAGATCAGATCACCAGTTGTGGCGGCGAATTCTCAGGGATAGGCAACCGAACGGTTAGGAGTGGCACTAGCAACGGGAGATGTCATATAATGCAACCGCTTAACGGTTTAAGCAGAGAAGTCGAAAAAGCCTGGCAGCTTGTTAGCTCGTTCAAGTGAGCTAGAACCCAGAACTCAACATTTCATCACATATTTCGGCCATAGTGCGAATAGGTGCCCGACCATCGGATGTCAAGACGTTTGTTTCTTGCTAGGCGACGTTTGCTTCTTGCTAGGCGACCCTGGAACCGGCAGAGCACAGGCTGGCTGTCACAGAAAATAGAAAATGATGACATGTCGAATTTTCGAAGTGGGCGTATCATCTGGGAGCCGAACTGAATGGCAGTAACTTCGTGATAAGGCCGCGGCACGTACGCTTGTGCCAACCAATCGAGAGGGATCACTGCCTATCTCCAGCCAAGCCACATTGTCGATATCTGGCCAACCCAATTCTGGGCCAACCATGCTATTACACACACTTACCAATGTCAATGGAGGGATAATTGCAGCGCATGGCTGGCCGTGTGGTGGCGTTGGTGATAGCACTGCAGCCTACCGAGAACAAACACGCGTTTCAGCGAGGCCGACGTTTTGATCCTAACGGCGCCGGCAGTTATTGTCTGCGCACTGGTGCTCGCATATGCTGATACAAGAAATATGCCGCGTAGAGAATCCTCCGAGAGGAAACTTCCAAAAAAATGTGTGAAGATTTGGGGGCGGAATTGTCTTGGGTTTAATCGCAGGCGCACTGTCCTGGCTTTTTCACAGCTGGTATCACATGTGACTGACTTGTCCAGCCATTACGCCGCCCTCGGATTGCACGCTCAAACAATGGATGGCTTCCCCCTTGCTCCTGCCATCTTGCACAGTCTGTGCAGCAGCAGCAGCAGCAGTAGTAGTAGTAGGAGCGCCCTCTCAAAAGCTGAATGATGCACTGCCTCTACATCCTACTCTGTGGTTACATTTATTGGGGACCTGATTGTATACCTAAAATAGTGTGACCTATCTGATACGTCCACGGCCCGCCGAGATATTGCCCCCACGGTAGAGATTTTAGCTTGCTCTTTCCTATCGGTGGGTGTCTAAGGTAGCATGAGACCGGCCTGGCTACCAGTGACTGTCTTCGGATGGCCGATTTAACTCTACCTCTGTGGAGCCCGGCTGCTCCGCACATAATGCCTAACTCTTTCCATTTCCACGCGTGTACTCTTTCTACACGTGTGCTCTTTCGTTTTTGTTCCCGACTTTCGTTTTTGTTCCCGGTCCTGGACTCGAATCATTTCAAAGTGACTTACTTGCGCCAAGATGGGTGACATCTTCACCAGCGTCACTGGAAGTATCCAGATGCCGTCAGGATCTTCGGTTCTTTGGCTCATCGCGGGTCTCCTCTTGGCGAGTAACGCCATTGGCAGAATCCAGCGATGGCGCCACCTTCGACACATCCCTGGTCCCCCAGCCTGTGGCTTCACCTCCCTGTGGTGGGTTTGGCACTGCGTGACTAAAACTCTTCACGAAGACTGCAAGAATCTCGTCGAGACATATGGTAAGTGTTCCCGAGTGCCGAAATGAACAAGGCTAGACACTTCACTAATTGAGCTAACGTGCCATCCTGTGTTAGGCCCTGTAGTCCGTACCGGCCCAAATGAGGTCATCTGCGCCGACCTCGACGCGCTGCAACAAATATCGTCGGTTAGGTCAGACTACAGAAAGGACGACTGGTATCTGCTGGCCCGCGTCTCGCCCGATAAGGAGAACCTCTTGTGCATGCGAGACCCTGAGCTGCGAAAGGATCGAAAACGGCGCGTGAAGCCTGGCGTGAGTCTCGCCCTAGCCCTGTATCAACGAGCAGCGAATGAACATCGATGCTGACGAAGCCCTGGACACAATGATCAGTACACAGGTGAAGGTCACGAGAGCTTTGAGCATGGCATCGACAAGGCCATCGCCCACTGGATAGAGCTCATCGACAGGAAATACGTGGGCACCGGCAAAGCCTTTCGTCCTCTGGATCTCAGCAAGCACTCGCATTTTTACGCGTTCGACGCGCAGGGCGAGATTGCCTACAGCCAGTCCCACGGCTTCCTGGACAGCGAGCAAGAGCTGCACAACATCTTGAAGATCACCGAGTTCCTGATGTATTTCATGCTCGTGCTCGGAAACTTTAGTTCCATTTTCTATTACGTTCAGAAATGGCCCTTGAACTACCTTCTCCCTCGCGACGGCGACCAGTCCGGGTTCGGTGTCATCAGGGGGTAGGCAGGACTCGGTTCGCGGTTTCAAGCTAATCAGAACAATCGGCTAATTGAGCTAAATTTAGATATACAACAAAGCTGATCGACCAGAGACTGGAAGTGGGATCTACGCCAAAGAGGGACATCCTTCAGTCGTTTATCAACCAGGGATTGGGTCGGGATGAGCTCAGAGAGGAACTAAGTCTCCAGTTGTGAGTCAAATTGGTTCCAGCGCTGAGCCAAACAGATCTCATTCTCATTCTCATGGCCCGAGCCAGCTAACAATGGTCGCGTACTAATAACCAACAAACCAACCAGCTTTGTCGGGACCGATACGGTTGCAAGCGCCATCCGCATGACAATCCTCCTGCTCACCAGTAGCCCACAGTCGTATCAACGACTTCAGGCCGAGATTGACGATGCCGCTTCAAAGGACCTGATCGGTGCTCCGATCCGCGACGCCGAGGCAGGAAGATTGCCGTATCTCCAGGCCGTCATTCGAGAGAGCCTGCGGCTTTTTCCGCCGTCCATCTCCTCTGCATTCTACAAGCGCGTCCCCAAGGGCGGCGATAACATCCACGGATACTTCCTGCCAGAGGGGACGAGAGTAGCGACCGGCGCGGTGATTTACGCGATGAACAGATCCAAGTCAATCTGGTGCCAGGATGCTCAGATCTTCCGACCAGAGCGATGGCTGGAGGCAGACGGGGAGCGGTTGGCGCTCCTGGCGAAAACGCTGGACATGACCTTTGGGCACGGACAGTTTGCTTGCCCGGGCAAAACCATCGCATTCATGCAGCTGGGCAAGGTCATCCCCGAGGTAAGCAGCCGCGTGTCACAAGTGAGGGTTGAAGGCTAACAGAATCGATTTGCAGCTGATTCGGCGATATCACATCTCTATGGTGGATGCAGTGAAGCCCGTGAAGCTCATTCCCACCGTCGCCTTATTGGCACACGACCAATGGGTTCGACTGGAAAAGCGCCCGCGAGCTAATGAGCGCTGAGGGCGAGGGCGAGGGCGAGAGCGAGGGCGAGGGCGAGGGAGAATATAGAGCTGGAGTTCAACTTTGGAGTCTTGAGAGGGTCAGGAGCTGTCAAGCTTTTGAGGAATATTTATCAACTTGGAGGCGCTGAGTGACGCAACTGGGACGCAACTGGGACGCCAAGATCAATAGAAGACAATGCTTCGAATTGGCAAATTTAGCATCCAGAAGCCGCGATTGCCAGAACATGAAGCCACAGTCCGATTCGGAATAGGTAGGAAGAGCCGTGCAGCACGACATGACGCCAAGAGACGGAGACTCGCCTACGGCCTCCCAAATAGGCCAATATGCAGGGCGACAGAACAAGTCAAGTCTGGCCAATTTTCTGCAAGCCCTAATACGTGGCACCGGCCTCTCGCAAATCAGCGCATCGGATAAGACCGTCGTGTAGCGCAAATCCCAGGCACCCTCTCTGCACTCGGCTGCACGCTGATGCAGTCCACGGATCCATATTGTGACCTGACCCCGCCAAAAGCAGCAGCAGTGTAGTTCTTGCCCGTTCAGAGGAAATGATTTGCGGGTTAGCGGCGGCTTGAGCGCTTTTCTTTGGCTTGTGTCTCGGCAAGCGGAAGAAGGCGCGCCCCAACTCTCTCGTCTTACAGGCAAGGGAGAACTCGGGGAAGGAAGTATCCGTGAGGGAAGGCACCTGGGCCCATCCCCCCACAACCTTAGCCAACCCGGACAAGCGTCCCATGAGGCTATCGATTCATCGGGAAGCCACCAAACACACCCCAGACTAGCCCGTTTCCAAATTAATTCTAGCCACCTTTTTCAGCTGCAACGACGCAACCCTCCATCTTGCGCACGACACGGGAATTTAAAGGCGCCACATGCGCACCACGCCCGCCCTCGTCGGATGCCCCGGTTCGCTGTGCACACGACGGACCGACTCAGCCATTGAAGCAATCACCAGCCGGTGACCAGATGCAGTCAGATGCCCAAGTCGTCGACGACCAGTATGCCGACCCGGTTCCCGCCACCGACACGTGGGCCGCCTTCATCGCCGCCCGCTTTTCGCGCCGCCAGGAGCTCTATGCCGGCTTCGCACCTCCCGAGAAGGAGCTGGTCCGGAAAGAGCTGCGCCGAATCCGCTATCTGAGGGAGTACTTCGCCACCCACCGCCTGTCGCCGTCGGACCGCTCGCCCCTGGTCTCGTCGCTCGAGAGATCGCACGCGCGCTGGCGAGACCGCGCCTCGCGTCGGGCCAAGGACGAACTTGCCCGCATCGAGGCCGAGCTGGCCCGCGCCGACAAGTACCGCAAGCCGCAGCTCCTCAGGGACCACGCCGTCCTCACGCAGGTCCAGCAGTGGCAGACGCAGCAGCACGTCGACCTCGAGCAGTCCATCTCTCCCGAATCCTACATCGACGGCCTCGAGGCTCCCGACGACAGCGTCGACGACAACCCGCGCGAGTCCAACTACGGCTACAATGGCTGGGTCATTGTCTTTGAGAAGGGACAGGGCGGCGTCACTCTGGACCACCCCCTCTGCCACGGCCAGTTCCCCCACCAGAAGATCGCCGTCCAGAAGCTGCTGTACGACAAGGAGCAGACGCCACTGAAGCGCACAAGGGACAGCAAGCAGCTGCGCTACTTCCACCTCCAGGCCAACAACATGAAATGGGTCGAGGTACGCTGTATTCCCTTCTTCCGATGGGGATTGAGGCGTAGGGAGACCTCGAGGTCTAGTTAGAGCTAAACTAATTCTCCCGTTTTGATCAGGACGCCATATCGCGGTACTACGACGAGGAAGGGTCCGAGTTCGACGGCCACCGCCGGTCCTACCAGCGCAAGCTGTACCAACACAGCACGTCCAAGGGAGAATCAAAAACGGAGCGGCTGCTGAAGCGAGAGCTCTGGCACGGGCAGGAGCGCGGGGGCGGCGACAGCCACCTGCCGCCCCATTCTCGACAGATCCGGCCTCGCTGCGCCCTAGTCCCGTCGCCGGCGTGGGATAATAAGGCCAGTGCCGCTGGCGGCGGTAAAGGCACGAGACCAGACGCGGCCCAGCCCGGGACCAGCTCTTCTCAGACCTATTTCCGATCCTCGTCCGGGTCGCAGGACATTGTTCTCTTTGTACGTATGATTTTAATATCACGAGAAACACTTCCAGTTCGTGTCACTAACAGACCTCATCGCCTCGCAGATGCCATACCTGCATTGGGAGATCGAAAAACGGCTGTTGCGGATGACTAACGTGGTGCGCAAGACGAGGCAGATAAAGGAACAGGAGTTCGACTTTGAGCGGCGCAGCAAGCGGCGAGGGACCTGGGGGAGCGTGGTCGAGCGGGCGACGGCTAGGGCACAGCGGATCAACAGCACCAACTCGGAGGTCATCGGCGGCGAGTGGGATGAGGATTCGCCGTCGTGGCGGCCGAAGTCGGCGCTGGGTAGCTACCTGTGGCAGGCGTCCAAGCTGTTCCAGCTTATCGACGAAGCGGCCGACTGGCGCCTCATCAGTGACCACCTCTACACGCAGTCGCCGCTCCACGTCCGCCGCACTCTCGAGCAGTACTACTACTGGACCGCCGGCGACACCATCAACAGGGACCGGCAGCAGGTTGTCTACCGCGAGACGCGCATGAAGAACGACATCGAGGCTATACCCAGGGTTGTCATGGTTGATCAGCTGTGGCTGTGGATACTGGACGAGAGTCAGTGTGCACCGAGCCGACCTGGCGAGTATTCTCTCAAGGGGGAAACAAAATGCTGACGGGATGATCTGTCCCTAGACACCATCATCTCCGCCTTTCCACGGCGATGGGGCCGCAACAAACCAGATCCGTCGGCCGTACACCGGGCCATCCGCGACAATCTCGCCACCGTCGATAACACGCAGGTCACGTCTATTTACGATCTGGCCCTCATCATCATCGACGAGTGCTCGAAGGTCTTCTTCGACCGGACCAAGCCCGACCTGCGGCCTGAGGTGGTGGACATCTTTGGCTCGGCCATATCCAGCACCGTGAGTCTCTTTCTCCCGTTCCCATCCGCTGCCAAGCATGCAAACTAATCAGCACTTCACCAGGCCGAGAAGAAGACCGAGGCGTACGAGCGGTTCGGGCGTGACGTCAAGCGGATGAACGCGCAAGACCCGCTGCAGACGGCCGAGGAGCTGCTGCGCAAATCTCTCAACATCAAGTTCGAGTGGTCGGTTCTGATGGAGGCGCAAAACGTCATCGACCAGTTGCAGATCATGCAGGAGATCTTTACGGCACAGATTACCGTCATGGGCGATTTTGAGAAGGCGCTGCGTGCGATGATGGTAGGGGGGTCGTCCGGAGCCCCGTCGTCTTCGTCGTCTTCGGAGCAGCATCAGCCTAGCAACCACGACGCACTGCGCTCTGCCCAGGAGCGTGCTACCGCTCTCGTCGCCGAGATGAAGCTCCGCCGTGACGAGCTAGCTAATCTTGAAAAGCGGCAGACTAATACTCGAACGCAGGTTGGTCCCCCCCGCCCTCTCGGAGTCGGACAAGAATTGGGAAGTCTGTACTGATCTTTGGCGATAATAATCAGCTCCGCGAGCTCCTCGACATGAAGCAACAGCAGTCGGGCATCATTGAAGCCAAGGCCGCGATCCGCCGCGCTGATGAGAGCGTTGTTCAGGGGCGGTCTATAGTGGTGTTTACCGTCGTGACTATTTTCTTTGTAAGGAACACGACCTCTCTTTCACAAAGCGCCATGGTAGTTGCGCCTAGTTACGCAACAGAGCCACACCGCTCAAACCACCGTGCTGTTATCTAACACAGCTGATCCATATAGCTTCCCCTATCCTTCTTCGCCACGCTCTTCGGCATGAACGCCACCGAGTTCAACGACGGCTACATCAGCCTTAAGCTGCAGCTGATTTACATGTGTAAGCTCTTCTACTTCTCCCGACTTTCTCCTGTGCAAGTGACTAACCAATCCTCAACGCAGTCGTCCTTTCAAGCGTGGTAATCGGCTTCTCGCTATCTCTGGCCTTCAGCACCTGGGCACGCACCGTCATGATTGGCGCGTTCAGGTTCTCGTTCGCGTACCTCACACACCTGCTACAGCTCCGCGGGGGACAGGGGGGCAACAACAAAAAGCACAACCGGCACCGGACGAGCCAGCAGCTAAGCGGGGCGTCGGCGCAGGCGCTGCGCGAATTCATGATTTCCAAGCAGCGCGAGTGGGAGAGCCGCGCCGCTGCTACTTCGAGCGGAGCAGCGCTGCCCCTGCACCGCCTCCCGCCATCATCTGGAGACCAGGGTAAAGAGGAGGAGGGTAGGTCGGGAGAGGGAGGAGCGGCAGGAGGAGGCGGAAGCCTGGGGATAGCGCGGTTTTGGAGGCGGAGGCGTGCCGAGTAGACGTGAATGTGATGAAGTGTGGGATCAAAATCAAAATAGGCGCGTGTGTGGCGGATGAGTCGGGTGCTTGAGCAACGTGTGATTTGGGCCGGGGCTGTGCGGTCAGTGGTCACCTAGGTCGTGGGCAGTTGCACGGGACCGATGTGTCACGTAGCCGCAGAGACTTGTGTCTAGAGGCCCGGTGCTGACCGATTAATTAAATCTAATAATGAAGGAATGAATACGCAAGCGTGGGACAGTGCGACTCCGTGAGCGACCGCAGGAACCGCAGGACTCGATGTGTATGTGATAATGCGTGTGATGTGTATCATGCAGTCTAGTGTAGTTTCGAGAAAAATAAGTACAAAGTGAAGAGTACATAGTGAAGATGAAGAAAAACAGCAATGCAAAGGAAGCCTCCGCAAAAGAGAAATGCTAGTTCGTTCGTGGTGGCTATGCCAGGTTGCCCGTGGCAGGGTAATAGCTACCTACCGCCTCGACCCCTGTGTCTGTCAGTCCAAAAAGCCCGACCCCATTTCCGGTACTCGTATCTTCTCAAGCCCACTCTAGTTCTAGTCTGTCTCTAGTTCTAGTCTGCCCCCTGGTTCTAGTCTGCCTTCATTGCGCAGCCGCGGCGTCTGCCTTGAGCATGTCCGTGGCCAGCTCGAAGATCTTGCCGTGCACCGTGTAGTCGGCCGTGATGAGCCCCCAGTTGCGCGTCAGCTCCCGGCCGGAACCAAAGTCGATGTCCTTGCCCAGCAGGTCCGTGACGCGGCCGCCGCCCGACTCGGTGTAGATGAGCTGCGACCCGGCGTGGTCCCAGATGCACCACGCCGCGTCGCGCGTCTTGGGCACGCGCACCTGCACGTGCTCGCGCCCGCCCAGCACCAGCGCCGCGTACCGCATGTGCGACGAGTACACCTCGGTCCCCGGGTACGGCGCCCCGCACGCTTCGGCCAGCTGCCGCGTCTTCTCCGAGAGCGTGGCGGTGCTGACGGACGAGTCAATGAAGTGCAGGTTGCGCAGCTCGACGGCGGCGGGGGCTGGGACGGCCAGGTGGCCGTTGTCTTGTTGGTGATTCAGGAGCTGCTTGGCGCGGACGGTGGCCGGGTGCGGGACCTTCTCGATGCGGCGGGCGTCGAGCAGCTCGCCGCGGCCCATGCGGCGGAAGATGGTGCCCTGGCCGCGCACGGCCGACAGCATCAGGCCCATGCCGTACTCGTCGACGCTGGTCTCCTCGACGGGGGTGCGGCCACCGCCCGACGACGCGTCGTCGCCGTCGCCTAGCAGGTCGTCGTCGTCGAGCAGCCGCAGGTTCGGGCACCCCAGCACGCCCACCACCTCGCGCCCCCCGTCGATCAGCGCCAGCGACATGGCGTACTGCTGGCCCTTGATAAAGGCCGCCGTGCCGTCGATGGGGTCGAGCGCCCAGAACCGCCCCGTCGGGCCCCCGCGCCCTTTGCCGCCCAGGTCGATCACGTCGAACATGTCCTCGATGGTGGCGGGGGTTGCGAGGAGCGCGTCGCTCGCCGCGTCGTCGAGGTGCGTCGACGTCACAAACTCCCACACCTGCCGCGCCAGCTCCGGGTCCCGCCGCAGCGCGTTGGCGTCCTCCTCGCCCACGAAGCCGTCGTCGGGGAACGCGCCGTGTACGGCGCTGATCAGCAGCGCCTGCGCGGCAAAGTCGCCGGCCGTCACGGGCGACGCGTCGCTCTTGGAAATCTGGCTGTTCTTGCGCGCGTAGTTGTAGCCGTTGTGCAGGTGGCTGCTGTCCAGGTGGTTGGGCCGTGGAGCAGTAGCACCGCTGGTGATGGTGGTGGTAGCGGGGCTGTTGCTGCTCGGGCTGTTGCTGCTCGTGATGCCGTTGCTGCTGGTGATGCCGTTGGTGCCGACGGTTGTCGCCGCGTCAAAGGGCGACGACGGCAGCAGGCGCTTGGTGAGGATGGATGCCCGCTGCACGGCTAGCTCAGCAATGAAGCGCTCGCGCGCAAACGGGCTGCTGGGTGATATTGGCACGATCATTTTGGCTGTGGATGCTGCTGCAGCAACTCGACTGCAGTCAGCGGGTTTGTGGGGGGGGAGGGGGGGTGTCGTCTCGGTTGTTGCGCCGCAGGCTTGGCTTGGGTGATGGTGGTGCCGCCGCCTGTCTTGTCGTCTCCTTGGGTTTTCAGGATAGATGGATATTATGGGTGCTCGAGAGAGACCGAGATGTGTTCGAGTGCTGCAACAAAGCTGGCCGAGAATGAGGAATCCCGTGCCGCTGGCGTTGGCGGGAGGGACGCTTGGCTTTTGTATCTCGCCATAAAGTAATCCGTAGGCGGCGGCGAGGGTTGTGGAGGTGACCTGCTGACAAGCAGCGCCCGAAAGGGAAAGGCAAACATGGATCCAATAGACCTCACACCTGGACCGCCCGAAAGTGCAGTGCAGTGAGCGAGCCGAGTGACTGAGACATTAGACGCTGGAGCCGTCGCGCTAAAGTTGCAGGTGCAGGCGGCCGCACGCGTCGCGGGGTGGATGCGTGCGCACTCGGGAGACGCTGTGGTGGTCGCCCGTGCCGGTTGGCATGGGCGAGGCGATGGCGCCTGAGCCTGAGGGAGTCGAGGGCGGCGCCTGCGGGGCTATGTCCGAGGCGCAGGCCCTGGTTGGATGCGGTGCGAGCGGGAGCGCCTCCATGCATCACACCCGTTGTGCTGGGCGGGCTGCCTGCCCTAACGTGGTGGGTACCCTAATGTGGTGGGTAGGGCCTGTGCTGCTGATGTGGAGAGGCCGCCTCCAGAGTCTTGCGAGGCGCCGGCGAGTTCTGCCATCCCGAGGCCCCGTTTCCACCGCACGGCGATGCACGGCGATGCACTGCGCTGCAGGACAGGATTTTTTGCCCTTGCAGGTGTAGCCGATTCGGATGACGCCATGAGTGATTTGATGCGTTTGCCCATGTACGGCCGAGACGATTGGCCGAAGCTTGGGTTCCAAGCTTCGGTTTCCCGCCTGTGAGGTGGATGCCAGGGCGCTGCAAAAACAGAGTTCAGTGCGCAGCCGACGTTGGGCCCGAGCCGAGGGAAGGAAAGCCTCGCTGTCCGCCTCAACTCCTAACCCCCGCCAAACAGCAGCTCAGCCTGGACGTCTGTTTCACCGCTCAATCCGATTCAAGTTCCTGATCGGACGGAGCATTGCCCGGCACAAATCGCTCATCTCAATCGTTTGCCAAACTCAACGACACGAGAATCTATACTCTAGAACTGGTCTAGTTTGAGGTTCCTTTTTTTTCCCCCAATTTTCTCCAAGATGATTTCTTCATCGCATCTGACCGATGCTCTTGCAGCGCCGAATTCGCCCCACTCAACGGGAGTGGAGTTCCCGTCAAGCGAACACTCCTTTTGCCAACGCTAGACCTAGGTCCAGTCTAAACCCGCATCAAACAACATTGATTTCACTTCTCGAGAAGTGGACACGGGAGCTCCAAGTTGGCCATATATTAGCCTCGCTTCTACCCAACAGGACCCGGAGAAGCCGCCCCATCAGCGCTGAAGTAATGTACGGGGTGGCGAGGTTCTTACGGGTGCGACAGAAGAATGAGGCGGGGGCCTTGGGTGTCACACTCGGCCGCTGGAGTGGCAGCTGAAATCAAATCAACGATGCTCGCCACATCGACACCACGGCCAGCGTCTGACGGCCACTTCAACGCCGCCCGAGTATATCAAATACACGATGAAAAACCCCGCAACCTTTCGGGGAGGTTGCCCATTTTCTCATAATCTGGTCCAAGTTTTGCATAGGTATACTTCGTATCTGACGTCTCATTCTCTACAGAGCGGCACAACCCACACCCTCTTCGAACACCACGATGACTCGGACGGTGGCAACTTCAAAGAAAATCAACGAAAAATGAGCAAGCATACTATAAACTTCCGTCACAGGGACTGAGAAGCTTACCGTTTTTGGAATCCGTCTTCGTATTAACACCAAGCATACGAGCAAGCCAAGGAAACTTACAACCGTCGTCCCTCACGCGGCCTTGGCACACGAACAACTCAACACCCAAAACAAAAAGAAGAAATGGAAAATAACATACAACACCAGGGATTCGCTAGTCGTCACCGACCCAACTACTAGTCTGGCCCTCAGGGCCCTTCTATCCTAGACTCAAAAGTGCACGTTTTCGGTTCCCTAGTACCCTCATTTTTGGCAACTTAAAGCCACCGAAGTAAATGTGGCGTCTCACGGCACAACCGTTTCGTGGCCTTCAGACAGACCAACGACCAAGACTAACCAGAAATATGGCCAGGAAACGGAAAAAATTGGGTTGTACTGTCCCTCCCCCTCTTCCCTCGTCACGCCCGCTTTCCTCGTCACGCCCTCTTACCTCGTCCGCCCGCTTCCCTCGTCACGCCCGCTTCCCTCGTCACGCCCTCTTACCTCGTCATGACCTCATTTCCCCTTATTCCCCATATCCGTCCCATCCCTTGAATTGCATTATTATCTCCGTCTTCGTTGGGCCCTACGATGGTAAAACGAAACAGGCGTCCAGGTCAAAGGCCTGCGAACAGCCAAATAGAAGACCTCGATTCCTAGAGATGCCAACCCAACAACGTAGATGCTTCTAACAAGTGGTGTAGGTTGTTTTGAGAAGATTCTGTTCCACACAAAGCAGTCAAAATAGGTGCAGTATAGTGATGAATTGAAGAAGGAAGAAAGAAGTGCGCAGGGCCTTTCTTCCTGTATGAAAAGGGTGCTTTCCAACATGTAAGTGCTAGGCCTGTGTTGGTGTAGATCAACACATTCAAGACATGCCCCTCAGTTGAGCCTAATTACGTGACAGACTCCTGCGTAGCTAAACCCCCTAATAGGATTCTCATTACATCTCTCCCAATTATTATTTCGTTTAATTATAAGAAACCTTCTGTTTTGGCATTTTCCAATACCTTTGCTCTTCCCTCTCTCCTTATCCACCAAATAACGCGGAGATATATGTTTTGTACAACGCGAATAAGATTACAAAGCCCAAGATCAACTGAAGTAGCCCGGCAGCTACCTTCATCTGGACGCGACCCGACCTCCCTGGAGCAACAGAATTCATATACCGGCAACCCGACCTCTCTGAGAGGATGGAATCCATCGGCCAGAGCCACCACAGATCACTTGGATCGCCGTCGAAGATGCAGTCGATATCCGCCCCAGGGTCCAAGCGATTGAACGCGAAAACCGATTTACCCGAAGACATTTCGGCCTTGGCAGCGCCAATGTGATGTCTCCCTAGGTTGTGCAGTCGAAAGCCGGCCACTTCTTCCATCGTAGACGTGTAAACGGTAATGGTTGAGATCCAGCTGGATGTGTTTGGGGACTCTCGAATTTTCCACGTCCGAGAGAATTTCCAGTCATCGTCTCCGGGACGGCGCCGATACCAGGAGTATCCGTCTATATTCTGCGTCGTCCACCACAGCCCCCGTTGCATCAACGCCGGCAGGTCAACACACTCGATCACGGCCTTGACAGCCCATGATGGGGCCTTGGGTAGTGAGTTTCGTAGTGAGCCGTCGCTATTCCAGAGCGGAGCAATGACAAACTCAACATGATAGAGCGTATCATCATAGGACGGCATATTTTCCTTCAGCATTGTGCTTTGGGGGTGCGTGAGAATGCCAAGCTTATTTTGGTTGCAGGAGATGCGAGGATGGGAGAATTGAAGGCGGCAGGGCCCGATCATAAATACCTTGTGAGTAGGGTTCTACGACCCCATGGTCGCCTAGGTAAGGACCTAATTAGGCATAGAATATATCTTGAGAGGCGTTTGGAAAGGTTTGCCGAGTTTATTTGTCACAAACTTCACGGGCTGAGATGTCGGCATAGGTAATAATTTTTTTCCTTGAACCTTGGCAGATAATTATTACCACTCTATCTAAATAAAGTTATATCCTTCTCTTAGCTGCGTAAAAGTAACTGATTTTCCATCTATAGGCCACTTGTCCCTTCGTCAATGTCCCACATTGTTTTCTATCCCTCTACTGAAGGCAGGCGCCAGAAGTCTTTACCCCCATATGGTATATTGGCCCCGTCCTAGTAATAAATGCCCTTCATGGTGTTAAGGGTGGATTTTTGCTGGGTGCGGCCTAGTCGCCCATGTCCCCAAGGTTCCACTACCTAGACATTTCCTCCTCAGATAAGTTGTGTAGTGTCCCAAGTAGGGATGCAAGCTAACGGTGTAGGCAGTTTTAACATGTCGCATGGGTATAACTTAGAGGCTCTAGCTAAAAGTGAAATAATTGAACGGCACCAATACAGTTACACTAGCCGACTAGCAATCCTTAATTACCGCCGCCATGTAGTATGAATCTTTCGCTTGGACATAATAGCGTATCAAATATCCATATTGTGCCATACTTGTTGTAAGTATAGCAGTCGCGCCTCCCCTCCAGTCGCGGTTCCATTCACGGGATTTTTCAACATTCAACGCAACCATATCCACGCAATTCCGAGTTGTTGTTGTATTCGTTCAACGTCGGGGGCGAAAGGCTTAAAAAGGCTCGAATACCTCACACAAGGAAGGAATTGCACGATTGTGGAACGAGGTGAAGGTGGGAGGCGGGAGTTATGACCATGTGGCTGTTGTTGCCCAAGACTTGCCTACCACAGCAGGCGCAACTGCCATACCTAGCACAGCATCGTCACCCGAGGGTTACAGTCTGGAAAGTGCTCTTCCAAGTCGTACGTACCGACAACATGGCACAAGGGGTAGTTACCCTCAATGCATATGAACCAAAGGAAGGAACTCATGTGCGTTATGATCCGTGGTTCATTTATATACCGGCTGTCCTCGACTAACTTTGAACTTTTCTTCCCCTTCTCTTCAGGTTTAGAATAATAAATCTTAAAAAAAAATCAGTATGCAGCATTTTCGCTCCCGGCTCCCCGTACCATCTCGCACTTCCACACCGCGGGCAGCCAACGCCCCACCAACATCCTCCGCTGTGCCCGGACGCCCCCAGCACTATCAGGCATTCCTGGCCAACGACGGCGATACGTCTTCTCCGCCTCATCCGCTACCACGACCAGTCAGCACCAGCCCAAGTCCAGGGCGGCCCAGGGCCCCAAAGCCGAAGCCAAGGTGGCCACCAAGCTCCCAAGTCCGGTCAAGACCGGAGGGGTGGAGAGGAAGGGAGGCGAGGGTTGTGAGAGCGGATGGGGGCGGGGCGCGTTCATGTCGTTGGCTGGGAGTGTCCGGGTGCTGGCGTGGGCGGTGTGCGCAGCGGTGGTCGCAGCGGTGGTGTTGGTGGCCGCGGCGTTGGTGTTCGCGGTGTGGAAGTGGGACGGAAGACTGGAAGAGTTAGGGCAACTTTTTTGTTGCGGGCCTTTGGGCCGCAATGGAACAGCGGGGCGGAAGCCATATTCTTATTGATTTTTTCTTTTCCTTTTTTTAATAATAAAGCGAATTTCTTATCCTAACCTTTGCTCGTTCCCGTGTGACAGTCTTTACATCGTCGCCACAGCACCCACCGTCGAGTTCATGTCAATGGTGGCGTAATACTAGACAAGTCTAAGGTTTAGACCTCCAAATAGTAAAAGAGCCTAGTGAAGGGTCCTTGAGATTCCTCAAACCCTCACCCTTCTGCATCAGTTATTGTATTATGAATAGACTATAGTGACGATTGAGAGACAACTTCCTTTATTAGTAACCCTGAATATTACCCAACCTCCCCCGTCAAATAGTGGGCAAGTATAAGTATTAACCATAGCGAAGATAATACCAAGCCGACAAGCCATCGAAGTATCCTAGCCATTTTCCGTATTAGTATGAGACTTTAGCTCTTTTTGACGATAGATTCGATTAGCTATATCCACCACAGGTTCGTTAGGTCGTCGTCGTAGATATAGTTACTATAATAATCGGAACGGTTACGATCGAATGCAAGGAAAGTGTTGGAATCACCAAGTACCGGTACTAGAAGCAACAGGGCGTAACTGCACGCCGAAAAATGGTGGTTCAAGTGATGGTTGTTGATGTCTGTGTATCTAGAAGATGTCAGATGGAATGGCCTAGAAGGTGCTGGAATCTATGATGCGTAATCTTCGCCACTGGGTTTCGTCATGTAATTGCCACATAAGGAAGTATAAGAGAGAGAGTCTTTTGTGGAAAGACTGGAAGACGAGAAGAGAGGAATTCACTCTGGTGCACACAATCCTAGAAGTGCTGTTGCAGTCTGACAGAAGAAAGAGGTGGCCGTAGGCCACTTATACGGAAATCTGGGGGCCTGCGCCACCATCGCCACCTCTGTGGCTAACTAGCGCGTTGTTCTAACAGAAAGAGCACCCTGTGCGCGCCCACCACCTGTTACCAGCTGGCCAAGCCACCGAGCCCCTGAAGCCACGACATGGCGCCACGCCTCGCAGGCCCTCCAGTCATGTACATAAAGAGTGGCCCTCGCTTCCTTCCTTTGCGAGGTTGAAGTCTTCCGCAAATGCCACTCGTTGCTCGCCCTCTTCGTTGCCTCCATTGTGACCACCTTGATCAGGCGTACCTGCCTTCTCTTACAGGTGGTCCGTAAATAGGGAGGCATTCGGATATACGGAATGCCTTGAGGGCATCCGAATGCAGGGAATGCTGTAGAACGAGTGAATTCCGGGTTCTCGGAGGCTCGAAGCAAGGGAGATAGAAAACAGGCATTTTTGTGGGTCAATATAGGGCGACACATTTCTTATTACTCAAGCTTGTCATCCAACTCTTTGAGGGCCGACCGAGCTATCAAGCTCATATCGATAGATGGGTCAATGAGCCTGATAACAAACAGTTGCTAGGACGGCTCGGTCGGGCGAGGTGGTCTTCTTTAGCTAGGTAGGAAGACATGATTTCGAAAAAGCGGGACTTCTAGGTGGAATGAATGGTTTCGGAACGATAAGTCGGGAGTTCGATAACCTAGCGGCAGAAATATCGCTCGCCCCGTTTTCTAGCAAGCGGTAAGTAACGAACACACACCCCTAACCCCTCAAAATGATGAGTTTCCACGGCATAGTCCGCACATCTTTTATCGGGTGCATCTCACTTACGGCAGGGCGTACAGGGTAGCAAATACCGTTTCTAAAAAAGAAAAAGGCGAGGAATAAGCCAAACTCAATAAGGAATCCGTTTTATCATCCGTTTAGTAGTCGTGACCTAATTGGGTGCATCTAAGTAATAGTGAGTCCACGGCTCCGGTAACTAAGAAAGTCGTCTGACTCCGATAACTAAGATTGCTCTCACTGGCTTGTCTATGGGAGAGCGGACGGGATCTCGAATTCTCCAGTGGATATGGTCGTATGTGGAGGGATGGACGGATATACCGTACTTTCTCGTGGTGCGGCGACGTCTAGGCCCCACCTCAGCGACTTACAAGGCAGGGTGTGCACGATATACCTGGATATATAGGTGTGAATATACCGAGCAACGCTTGGCTCGAGATGCACTTTGTGCCCTATAAGGGCGGCTGGGTCACACCTCTCGATCGGAACCGCTCGATCTTTATCCCCAGGCTGGCTTTATCCCCAGGCTGGCCGAGGATGAAATCCCGACCAGCGCTTTCTCTCCGTTTTGGGAAATCATGGTATTCCTGTCTTGGCTAACCTGTGAGCCCCTGATCTACCGCTCTCCACCTTTCCTTCCAGGCCCGGGCCAAGTCCCGATCGATTACCCCTCCAGGCTCCTCGCCGTCACGTCGACAGGGAAGTAGATGTTGGAGCCGGCCGGCTGCCTGCACGTGCCCTGGCCAAAGGTGCCGCCGGCAGTCTCGTTGCAGGGGACTGAGAAGTCGTTGAACGAGTACGCCTGGATGAAGAGCCTGTTTACGATCCGAAGTGCTCGTTGTTAGCCAGTGACAACTTGACAAGCTCCAACCAGAACTAACACTCGGGACTGGAAAGCTGTGCGGCTTACGGCGTCCCCGTGTCCGGATCATGGCACACCCACGTCTCATTCACCGTAAGCTGCAGCAGGGTACCGTCGTAGCGGAAGCGCGCCGCCGGAGCGCCGCCCACCTCCCCCCCACTCGCTCCCGCCTCCGCCTTTACCGCGCAATCATACCACTTGTACGGGTCGCTGCCGACGGCCTGGGCAGTCAGTGCCACGTCGGACGCGGAACAGTTCGCGTCGACGGCGGCGGCGGCGTTGGCGAGGCGGAACGTGACCGTCGTCGCCTCGTGCGCGAACGGGTTGCCGCGCACAATCTCGGCCGCCGTGATGGTCAGGTTCGTTAGCGCGAGGGAGGACTCGAGACATGTGGGTCTGTCGGCACGTTTGCTGTTGCTGTCGCTGTTGCTGTTGCTGTTGCTGTTGCTGTGTGGGATGGCTGGCGAGGGGGTGTTGGATGCCGCGGGAGTGAGGACGGCGAGGCATAGGGCGAGACACGCGAGGAGTGTTCGCGGGCGCTGCTGGACGGTGAACATTTCGAAAAGAGGTCTGCGACGGTTTTGTCGATACGTTAAAACGGGAAGGAGGAAATATAGGAGCGAGCCTCTTGGCTTGGCGTTTTACGTGTGCTCTGGTCTAGGTCTACCCGGCGACCGGAAAGAGGGCGCGAGGTGTCTGAGACAGGCCCAAGCAGACTGGCTGCTAGTAGAAAATGGGCCGGCGTGTTTGTGACGGACAGGAGCTCCCCCGCACTGTCTGCCAGGGCGAGTGCCGAGGCGATATTGGCAATAGGATATTGGGTATGGATAATTCGGGATAAAGAGGCCGAGCTGTGCAGCTCAGACCCGGGATGGTGGTATGACGACGCGGCGGTAATCTAGACCGCTATACCCCCCTTTTTATATGATATTTCGAAATGCCAGGTGGATATGCCTGGTGCTGCTGGCACAAGTGCCCCCTCAGCCTCTTGTAGTGGGACTGGGTAGTCTCTAGTCGTGGTCTCGCACCTTCATTCACCTGCTGCCGAGGATCCGAGCAATGGACCTATACGATACTCGCTAAACTCTCTAAATCACATTCAATGCTCTATAATATCCAAATAGTATCTAAAGTCGAGGACACAGCACAGACAAGCCCCACGAATTACACGTTCAGGCTAGGCATTGACCATGGCCATGTAGTCGACATTTGGTTCGACGTCCGGAACCACGGCGGCAACGACGTCGGGCCCTGACGCCGGCGCGGTGGCAGACACGCTGTCCTTCCACGACTGGGTCAGCCGCTGGGCCCTGTCCCTGGTGATGCGCAGCTGCGGCACGTCGTTGGGCCGCAGGATGGCCGTGGCGACCTGGGCCCACTTCCACGGCTGGGCGAGGCCGCCGGGCTCGCTGTTGAAGTACTCCCAGCCCATGATGCCGCCGATCTGGCCGTACCTGGTGCGGATGGCGGCGATGGTGGCGTTGAGGCGGTCGTACGGCACCCAGCCGCCGCCGTTGGACGGCGTCGTGATCTGCCCGGCGACGATCTTCTGCGGGTTCCAGCCCTGCGTGACGACGCGCTCGTAGTCGGTCGGCGACGCCATATTGCCGAAGCCGTTGTAGAACTGTGCGTTGTGGAACGAGATGCTGCTCCCGACGGCCGTCTCCAGCGCCTTGTAGTCGAAGCCGCTGAGGTTGGCGCCGCCGCGCAGCGCCGACGCCACGGGCGCCAACGTGATGATGAAGCTCGGCCCAAAGTCGCTGCGCAGCCGCCGCACCAGCCGCGTGATGCCCGCCTGGCTCATGGGCTGCTCGACGTCCAGGTCCATGCCCTGCAGCTCGTACTCGACGATGGCGCTGTACAGCTGGCTGTAGTAGATCTCAAACGCTATGTCGCTGCCGTCAAGAGTCTGCGCCGAGAAGGACCCAGGAGCCGCGCCACCCACCATGCCCATGACCTTGACACCAGCATCCTTCATGACCTGTGTCTCGTTCCACAGCGTGTAGAAGAGCGGGTAGTCGGGCGGGTTGTCGTTGAGGTGGATGGAGCCGTCGAGGTTGATGTGGAACGAGCAAACGATGAGGTGCGTCAGGGCGATATACTTCTCCGTGATCAGCGGCAGCATCGATATGGGCTGCCCCAGCGAATCATGCGTGGTCTGGTAGTAGAGGACTAGGCGCGGGACCTCCGAGGACGGGGCCCTCAGCGTGAGATCCTGGACGGGCACGGCCGCGGCCAGCGACCCCAGGAGCCCCAGAGCAAGAAACTCCGGCTTCATGATCGCGACAGTGGCGATATGCTATCAACGACTAAGCCTAGGCCTAAGAAGCTCGACCAGACCGGGATAGGTAAGAATGGTGAGATGTTGCCCGAAAACGGAACCAAGGTCTGACAAAGTTTCCGTGAGCCTATCCGGTTGCCGAACCCTATAAGGCCGAGGCAAAGCTTGTCGATGGAGCGGCCAGCGCCTCATTGTATTTAAGCATCTCGGGCCTTGGCTACCCACAGTTGAACAACTCTCAGAGGCTGGGTGGACCTTGTTGGCGTTCTCGGACAAGGCACCATAATCGTGTGTTCGGGTGCTGTTGTGTTGCAGTCAGAGGTGGTATCTCGTGGAATTAACGGGAAGGCTGCCTGGCCAGCAATTCTGTGACCGTTGCCTGTTAAGTTTGTCTCTTAGTATCCCCGGCTCGGGAAGCTCGCTCGTGACTGACTGGTCAGGAGTCGGACTTGAAGCTAAAAACGGACCGTGGATTATGCAGCCATGCAGCCACGGCCACGGCACAGCGCCTCCCCCCCGCGAGCCAAGGATCTAGTCGCCCAAGCGCCACGTCCTGGGGTGCTCTAGTCTGTGGGTATGCACATCTTAGCAGCGGTTTTTTGTTGCCAAGGTTCTTTGTTACCAAGATGCCCGTCGAACTCTCCGGTTGGGCCGTAGAGCAACGTTGCGACAGGCGGCACCGTCTTGCGGCTCCGGATTGTGACCCTCCGGATTGTGACCCTGTAGCTTGGTGACGCTTTGGGGTGCTGTTGCAAAAAGTCTGGGCGAGGGTCGAGTTGGGGAAGGTAAATGCCCGCCAAGGCCTCTAGCCTGCGATTGGCAGGAGCTTAATCCCCGTGGGGGTTGCAGTGGGCAGGCCGGCAGCGTGACTTCACTGCCGAGAAAGGAGGCTGGCCCGAAGCTCCTTCCCGTCAAAGGAGGCCATCAATTTTATGTGCTCTACTGCAGCCTGCCCATGACCTACTTTGGTCATTCGTGCTGATCATGGAGGCCAAGGTAGCGTGTCCCGGCGGGCTGGCAGTGTTGCCCTTACCAGACACCAGAGTGCCAATCTCGACAGAAAATGCAATGAGGGACTTGATTGCTCTCGCAACCACTAATTCATTTCGAACAATAGAAAATCTGTCCCTTGACCGATATGCCGGGTCACACAATGGCAGTCCTCAGTTTAGCAAGCTCCTGAGAAAGTCCGGCCGAGCCCGGCCACTGAGGGCCGCAATAGTATCGTCAGACAAGGAATCCCCCGTCTTCGTCCCTTGTAAAAGTCCCAACATGGTATGACCTGCTCCGTTCCGCCATTTTGGGGCTCGATACTCAGATTCGCCTCTAGTGGCCTCATCCGAAGACACCAGAAACTCGTCAGTTGCTGAGCCATAGCTGCTGTCTTCGGACCCGGACGACCTCTGCCTCCGCGCAGCCCGCTGTGAGCGTGCGGACATTGCCAGAAGCTGCTCAATGTCGCCAAACCCAAGCCGGCTGGCAATCTCCCTGGCCGTCATTTGGTGTCTGAGGCGGAAGCTGTGTTTCCGCGCAGTGCCGTCGATGTCCATACCGTCGATGTCCATACCGTCGATGTCCATACCGTCGCGTTCAACTCGACACCCCCGTGGTTGAGCAGGAGCTCGACAATTTCCTTGTGCTGTGTTGCCCTTCTCAACGGCGTGCATGAGCGGAGAGTACGGGTGTAGATCCAGAATATCGACGGGATGCTTCTAGATCAAAGCTAGCCCAGTATTTCCAGGTCGCCGCTGATGGCTGCCTCCCTCAGCTGGCAGATCCCAAGAAGCCTTCGAAATTCCTCCGTGGCCGTTCTGTTGTCGTCCATCAGGAGCCGTAGGATTTCTTCATGGCTGTTTGCCGCGGCGAGGTGCGCAGCAGACTTGCTCATCTCCGTCTCAAAGTCGACGATTGCCCGACTGCAATGACGTCCCGCCACCAGAAACCGCACTACGGCGACACGGCCACGCTCGGCGGCCTCCGTCAGCACCGTTGTAGGCACTTTATGGGTACCATGTCTTGTAAAGACGTGGTTGGTGTCTACGCTGCAGCCCTCGACCAGGAACCGAACACAGCTCGCAAAGCCCCGTCTAGCCACTAGCTGCAATACCGACGTGCCCTTGAAGGGGTCAAGGTTATTGTTCCGCCTGTTGTTATCGCTGTTGCTGCCGCTGCTTACGAACTTGAGCAGGCGCAAGTTGAGAGCCTCGTCTCGCTCGCCGGCATGAAGGAGAATCCTGTAGACCCCCTCCCGGCTGTCCACCCTAGAAGGCGTCGAGAACACCCAGTCCTCGAGGGCGCGGTTCCGTTTCGTTGCGAATGAGAGATACAAGACCTGCAGCTGCGCGTCGCCGAGGTCGGCTAGCGTACTGACCATGCACGCGATGATCCTTGCGTCGCCCATCAGCCACGCGTTCTTGAACGGTTCGCGCACGTGTGAGGTCTAGGTTCTGGTATTGAGGGTCACGTTGAACTCAGGCAGTCCAATCGAATCCCGTGGAACTGTGCCAGCATCAAACTGGGCGGCCCAACGGTGGACCACTGCCAGGCTGCTGCTCCGAATAGCGTCGAGCACGTCGATAAAAGCGGGCTCGTCGAGGATTGGGAAGACGGGTTTGTTGATGAAGCTGGCCGTTTTTGCTGTTTCGTGAGGAATTTCCGGGCTGTTTCCAGCCGGCTCTCGTGTGCTAAGCTTTGGTGTTGTGTTGCTTCGTGGCGCACAGCTGGCAGCTGTGTCGTCTGGGTCTGTGTGGACTGTGATTCGTAGCGGCCGTTTCGCGGCTTCAAGCTGGTTTCTAGCCATATCGGCCTGGCTATCGCGGACGGCCACAATTTCCGTAAACATGGCTAGGTTCGCAGGTCTTGCAAGAGCTGTCGGTGTCGTTTGAAGTTCTTGACCGGTTCGGAGAAGCGAGATTCGAACGTGTTCCATGTCAGGCCGAACAACAACCTCCATCCTACGGCGGTAAGGCGTTAGATGACACGGACTTAGTTCCGAAGAAGTGACGGAGGGGTGGGGTGCGTACTCTTTTTCGTGAAATTTGACAGGGCCTGGCATGAAAGTTGAGAATGTCGTCGTATATCAACTCCGGCACCGCCGTTAGATGCACCCTGGCTGGGGAGGCGAACAGCGACTTGTATTCTGCGAGGACTTGTATTCTGCGAGGGCCAAGCTGCCCCCCAATTTCTTCGTGCATGTCGACCAGAGCATCGAAGGCCCGAAGGAAGTTGCTTGTGACCACGAGTAGGAACTTCATAGGACCCTAGTAGCGGTAGTCAGTGCCTTGCCTGATTCGCTTGCCAGTGCTGTAAGCAATCAGATGCGTACTCAAACAAGGGCGATATATTCGGATGTGTTCACAAACACCATAATCAAGCTTTCGAGCTGTCCCATTCCGGCAACGGCGTTCCTAAGTCGCGCCATGTTTTGCGTCTTAGATTTGCGCCCGGCTTCTCCTGGATCGCTTGGATGGCGGATCTGAGACCCGCCACGTCGGAGAATCCGAAGATCTCGGCCTCGCTTCCCTTGAGATGTTTGCGCTTGAAGCCGTCGACGGCTTTCTGGAAGCCGGGCTCTTCGAGAGCCAGGGGCGGTTGTTTGCACGGATCCATTGCGAGACCTGGGTCCCGAACCCGGGGACCACTCGCTGGTGTCTCGTCTCAGTCAAGTTTGATTCATCGTGTCAAATTCGATCATCTGGGCGACGAAGTGGCAGGAGGTCGGAAATAGACGAGAAAGAGGAGCCGTGGAGGAAATAAGCGCACAAGAGGGGAAGAGGGGAAGAGGCGCAGCGAGCGCTTCTTTCCCGACGTGGTGCGGCCTTCTCAATTAGGGAGCTGCGATGGCTTCAGCAGACCAAGCGTGACTTTGCATGGCGCTAATCTGGAACCGGCTGCGGCAGTGTCGGAAGGGACGCGAGGGACGGGCTGGAGGGGTTAATAAGCACAGTGTGAACTCTATGGGTTAGACCTATTATCGGACGGCTACACTGTGTTAGAAAGTGTAACAAAATGGAGGATAGTAAAATGACATTTGTAATGTTCCAAAGTATGGAAGGTAGTCTTTATCGTGAGAAAGTCAATTAGAACTATCAAAAGCGTCTGCCTGTCATAAGGAAGGAGATATTTAGCTTTAGTTTTCTATAATTACCTAGGTCAAGGTATCCACACGAGGTTTTCGTGTTTCTCCGTTGAAACTTTTCACTTTACAAGCCCTCTCGTATCTGTACTCCACAGTCTAAAAAACGTTATCGGTAGCGCCCGAAAAGACTCCCTCATTTGACACACCTCGGTATATCACGAAGTAAAACTGCACGACTACCGAAATTACATGGCACACAGCGAACTCTCTTGCTGATCGTCTGCCAAATCATGGCTTTCACTCAGTGGACAAGAGCCTCTTGAATCTCGGGCCCCAGATACCTCGCCCCGTCGCATCGCCTTTTATCTCTTGCTCAGCAACACGCCCGCGTCTAATGGACGCCCATCTGGCCTTCCGCCGCCAACGCACCACGTCAGCGAAACGCATCGCATCAACGACAAATACGATGTCAAGCGCGGAAGCAAGACAGCAACTCCAGGAGAGAGTCTCAGGGCTCGTAGCCGGTTCCGCTCTCGTCCCCGAGCGAGCTTGACGTCGTACTTCTACTTGGGCAGCTGGTGTAGTGCGTTTGGCCACAAGGTGCGTGAGCAGAGGATTGGATGGACGGGTAGATCGACGAAAAAACGCCCAAAATCCGTCTATCTAGTCTCGGTGATAAAGACGGCACGGCGACCGAAACGGAACGCGTGCCCAGAGTTGAGCAGGGTCGCGCCAAGTTCACCTAGGCTCCGAGGAAAAGGGCGAAGTGCCAAAAAAGGGCGAAGTGCCAAACAAGGGGGTCTGCTGCGTAGTAAACAGCGTAGTAGGAAGCGGATGAGAAGGGGAAATGCGCACGCGAGCATGTGGTCCAAGCCATGTCGTCACTGACAAGCCTAGCACCCTCGGTCTTCCGTCCCAAGACCGGCAACTGCACAGCAAACAGCCAGATATTTCACCGCCGGCTGCAGTATTCCCGTAACACGACTTGTCCCTCTCTCGAAAGCCCAGCGCTGATATCCCGCCCCCTTCCCTTCTCTCCGCCACCTTCACAAGCAAGACTTTTATTATCCTGCTACCACGATCAGCGACAGCCACAACCAGCTTCGCGACCATGGGCTCGACCGCGCAGCCGCTCCGAATAGCCATTGTGGGCGGGGGCATCGGCGGGCTCGCGCTGGCGGCGGGGCTGTGTAAGAAGCCTCACCTCGACGTGCACGTGTACGAGGGCGTGAGCGGGTACCGCGACGTCGGGGCCGGGCTGGCGCTGCACCTCAACGCCATGAAGGCCATGTCGCTGATCGGGCCCGAGGTGCGGCAGGCCTACTTGGACAAGGCCACGGACATGGCAGACGCCGCAGCAGACAGCGGCGAGGAGGAGATGGCGACCGAGGTGATCCTCGCGCACGGCCCGCACGCCGGCGAGCTGGTGGCCGAGCTGGGCCGCGCCAAGGGCCGCAAGAGCGTCAGCCGCGCGGACCTGCTGGCGGGGCTGCTGGCGCTGATTCCGCCGGGGCACGTCTCGTTGGGCAAGAAGCTGGCGCGCATCGTCGAGAGGCCAGCCGGCACCGCCGCAGAGCCGGACGAGGAGCCCGTCGTCCTCGAGTTCCACGACGGGTCGCAGGCGGCGGCCGACTGCGTGCTGGGCGCCGACGGCATCCACAGCGTGGTGCGCAGCCACCTGCTCGGGGCCGGGCACGCGGCCACGGCGCCCAAGAACCACGACCGCTGGCAGGTGTACCGCACGCTGGTGACAACCGACGAGGCGCTGCGGCACATCAACGAGAAGTGGACGCGGCGCGTGCCGATCCTGCTCGGCCCGCGCGGCCACGTCAACTGCATCCCCGTGAGCAAGGGCACGCGGGTCAGCGCGGGCGTGGCGGTGCGGGGCGGAGCCACACCGAAGACCTCGGCCGACGGGCCAGGAGGTGGCGCCGGCGGACAGAGCAACAACAAGACAGAGGCGCTCGACCCGGCGCTGTATGCCGACTACAGCGCAGACGCGCAGCGCATCGTGGGAATGGTGGCGCGCAACACGAACGCGTCGTGGAGCGTCGGCGACCACGACCACGCGCCGCACTACTGGCGCGGCCGCGTGGCGATGCTGGGCGACGCGGCGCACGCGGCGCTGCCGTTCGCGGGCAACGGCGCCGCGCAGGCGCTCGAGGACGCCGCGGTGCTGGACCATCTGTTTGGGTCCGTGGGAGGCAGAACGCAGATCGCGGCCGCGCTGGCCGCGTACGACGCCGTGCGCCGCCCGCGGTCCCAGCAGGTCGTCGACCTCGCGCGCCGCTTCGGCAGGGTGTACGCGTACGCCGACGACGAGATCGGTGATGATCCTGCGCGCATGCGCGCCTTCTTTGCCGAGGCGGCGGCTTTCACCAATAATGCTGATCTCGAGCGGCAGAACCGCGAGGCCATGGACTTGTATGAGCATGCCGTGGGCGAGGCGTCGCGGTCTGGGAAGGCATGATTTTTAATTTCAATTATTTAGTGTGTCTGTCTGGTCGGAGGTGACTGTCTGGTCAGAGGTGACTGTCTGGTCAGAGGTGACTGTCTGATCAGAGGCGACTGTCTGGTCAGAGGTGACTGTCTGGTCGGAGGTGACTGTCCGGTCAGAGGTGAGACTCGATCAACTCCTCGAGGGTTAGACATGAGAGGTGGGGAGGACGCTCCCTGGGCGAAAATCCATTTCTTGGTGACCTGGTATGTAGTCTGCTAGAGTGTCTAGAAAAAACAGCCAAAACGTCCTCGACAAGCCTCAGGCACCGACCGACTGACATCTTCGCCCTGGCCTTGTTTGTTGACATCCGTCATCGTGGACCCACTTCTTCAACGAAAGTGGAACCCTCAATTTTTGCAGCCGTGCACGGACCAACGTAAATGTTTATAAAAAGAATCGTCCACCCGCCGAACTCTCCCTCCTTTTCTTTTTTCTTCAGCCTTCGGGCATCTGGTCACATTGAAACAATACAGAGAAGATTAGCATGGCCCCTGCACTAAGGATGACACGCTATACAAAGAGAGTAACTCAATTTTTTTTCACTGTAATCATGGCTTCCGGGTCGTGGTATGGAGAAGCCATTTCAAATCAAATCATCTATCCTGTTCGCCTTCTTCGTGTCATGTCTGTGATCCCTGCAAGTTGCGGTCACTGAAGTGCAGGTTTGAATACGGCTCGATTATATCCTCCAGAGGATGTTCTCGAACTCGGAGGAGCCACGTATTGGCCATCTGGACCGCAAGGCCCAAACAGAAGACCGAGTTTCCCGCCCTTCGTTTCTCGAGCTGCTTTCCTTTGTGCGGGCTGTGGGATCTCGAGCAGTCGCTGTCGCTGTCGCTGTCGACAGCCGCAGAGCAGTTGCCAAGTTGGCGAGAAGCAAATGGCGACGTAGAATGACAGGTCTGTTTTGTGCGCCTAGGGCTGATCCCGTTCACTGGCCTCTCCAGGCACACTGCACGCCGCGCCCGAAACGTGCCAAGTCTGGTTGTGCCTTGGAAAGGCTGCTTTCTGCTTTCTGCTCGCTTTCCTCTCGTCTGCCTTCGGCCACCTCGAGCTCTTTCCAAACCTCTTTTCCTTTCTAAATTTGCTCGTCCCAGACCGTTGGTGCTCACCGAGTATGCGGGTGACCTTTGTTCGGCAGACGTCCCGCGTCCATAGCTGGCAGACGTCCCGCATCCATAGCTGGCAGACGTCCCGCGTCCGTAGCTGGCAGCTCGTGTTCGGCTGTCCCCCGCCCCCGCACGTCGTCGCCCCGCCAGTCCCTAGCTGCAGCCTATAGCGTATGGCCACAGCACTAATTTGTTCAGCTCTTCCCCCCGAGGGAATGGATACGGTCGCTCGACGTCACAGGGCTGCCACCCCGCGTCCAGCTCCAACACAGATCGAGTTGTTCTAGTCTAGACTGGGCTTGGCGGTCGCGCCTTTGCACCTTTCCCTCATTAGGTCGGTTCTACCCGCGGACATGTCTACTATCGATTCGAGATCATGCAGAGCCTCGTATCGGCAGTCTCATGCCCTCTCCCGCCCTCCTCAATGGCTAGCCCTCAATGGCTAGTCTCGCTAGCCCTCCTCAATGGCCAGTCTCGCTAATCCCCGACGGCTGCACGACTGAAGGCGGCCACAACTCCTAGCGTTCGTCTTGAAACACAACTGCAGCTGGGCAACATGCGGCAAATGGACCGCGTTCTAGACCTCTCGAGACCCGGCGGACGCTGCCACCGCCACCGGATGCTGGCTCTGTTGGTTTCCGGCTCGTCAGTGGACGCCTCAAGATGCTTCTTCTCGGTCTGCGGCCGGCTCTTGGCTCGGGGCTCAAAAGTGCGGGCGCATCGACTCGACAGCTCAAACCACTCTCTATACGAAGTCTCAGGGGAGAAAAAACCACGTGTTCTGTTCACGGCCACGGCTCTGGGCGATATGGTTGGCGGCATGCTTATTTTTAACACGGTGGCAGGAGGCTTAGCTCGGAGGTATCCGTCAGCCGTTCCAGGGCCGGGGACGGTTCCTGGCGATCTCGCCGCACGCCACGGCAGCACTCCCCGCATTTTGGGGTCTCGGCTGTGACCCGACTTTGTGCACCCCTCCAGATCACATGAGAAGCGTTGAAGCTCCATGTCGGATATCATCGGCGATCGATTTCGAGATTTTAGGAGGGCTATTGTCACCCGCGACGGCAACCTCTCACTACGGTCCTTCGACACGATTAGAGACATGGGAATTGGGGGGGGGAGGAGGGGAGGGGGGAATGAATATAAAACACGAACCAAGCTGTTCATAAAATATCAGTCTCGTCAACTAACGGGAACCTGGCTCATCATTTTGCTTTGGGAGGAAGAACCGTGCTAAGCTCTCGCGACGGGATGGAGAATCAACATTGGCAGTTTACTAGAAATTTGGCTGCTGACCGCTTTCTGGCTGTCGACCGCTTTCTGGCTGTGCATCGCAGTCTTACTACTGCAGCCAAGCCTATACGGCGCCTGGAATCTTGGCATTTGGGCTCGGTTTTCGGGTGCCCAATCCCCTCGAGCCTATGGTGCTCAGGGGGTTCAGGGCTGAAAGCCGACACAAGCACAGTTGCCAAGGAAAGGCTGACGTCTTAGCCTCCAAACACCAAACTGCCAACACTGAGAAGCTCGGTGCGGAGCCAACAGTCGACAACGCTTCAATATCGGAGATGGTTGTTGAAAAGAAGGGGGGAGCGAAGATGGGGAGAATAAGGTGGCAAAATGGTATAAAGACGAGGTTCCGGACGTCCTCTTTCCCTCATCATCCTGCTCAGCATCCTCAGCTTCTTCACTCTCCCGGACATCGACTAACCGAATCCTCTCTGCAGTACACTTTGAACCTAACGAGACACCATGAAGTTCTCGGCCGTGTTCGCGGCCGTTGCCGCCCTCCTCGCCGTTCCCCTGGCGGTTGCCGACGCCCCCGTCAAGAACGAGGGCATCTCGGCCGAAGTCGTGATTCCGGACAAGTACATCGTCAAGTACAAGGACAACGCCGACCCGACCAAGAAGAAGCAGCACGAGCAGGACATCACTGCCAAGGCCCAGAAGTCCAAGAAGGGCGGTGTCGTCGAGAACATCGACATTGACGGCCTCTCGGGCTACGTGGCCGAGATCCCGTCCTCGGAGCTCAAGGACCTGACTTCGTCTCCCTTGGTAAGCCTCACTCTCCTAAAATCACTCCTCTCCCAAAATCACTCCTCTCCAAAATCACTCCTCTCCAAAATCACTCCTCTCCAAAATCACTCCTCTCCAAAATCACTCCTCTCCAAAATCACTCCTCTCCAAAATCACTCCTCTCCAAAATCACTCCTCTCCAAAATCACTCCTCTCCAAAATCACTCCTCTCCAAAATCACTCCTCTCCAAAATCACTCCTCTCCAAAATCACTCCTCTCCAAAATCACTCCTCTCCAAAATCACTCCTCTCCCGGCAGCTCGGACACGCCGCTTACAAAACCCTAGGTCGAGTACGTGGAGAAGGACGCCGTCGTCAACCACACGGCCGTGGCCGCCGAACCCGTGAGCCTCGAGAAGCGCGGCCTCCTGACGCAGATCAACGCCCAGTGGGGTCTCGGCCGCATCTCGCACCGCGGCCGTGGGAGCAGCAGCTACACGTACGACTCGACCGCCGGATTCGGTGTGCGCGTCTACGTCATCGACACGGGCGTGCGGACGACGCACAACGACTTTGGCGGCCGCGCCGTCTGGGGCGCCAACTTTGTCGGCGGGCTGAACACGGACGAGTACGGCCACGGCACGCACGTCGCCGCCACCATCGCCGGCACGACCTACGGCGTCGCCAAGCGCGCCACCATCGTGGCCGTCAAGGTCCTCGACAAGAACGGCGTCGGCTCCATCTCAGGCGTCATCGCCGGCATCAACTGGGCGGTCAAGGACGCCAAGAACCGCGGCGTGGCCAAGAAGGCCGTCATCAACATGTCGCTAGGCGGCGGCACCTCGAGCGCGCTCAACGCCGCCGTCGCGGCCGCCACCAGCGCCGGCCTGACCGTCGTCGTCGCCGCGGGCAACAACAACGGCGACGCCAGCGGCATCTCCCCCGCCTCGGCGCCCAGCGCCATCACCGTGGCCGCCGTTGAGGGCACCGACTACCGTGCTTGGTTCTCCAACTTCGGCGCCCGCGTCGACCTCTTCGCCCCCGGCGTCAGCATCCTCAGCGCCTACATTGGCAGCAACAGCGCCACTGCCTACCTCAGCGGCACCAGCATGGGTAAGCAGAGCCTGACTAACCCCTAGCTAACCTTGGCCTTTTCGTCTTCTTCACCTGCTGACTGACTATGTGCACGCACACACAGCCTCTCCCCACGTCGCCGGCCTGGCCGCTTATTTCATCGCCAAGGAGGGCCTGAGCGGCTCCACGGCCGTCACCAACCGCATCCTCAGTGCCGCCTCGGTCAACTACGTCTCCGACGTCAAGGGCTCGCCCAACAGACTTGCGTACAATGCCGACGGCCTCTGAGCGGGAACAGGTCTCGACTCTCTACCATTTCCAGTTTCTCTGTCTCTCTCTCTGGGGTTTCCACTTTTATTGTCTGCTGCATATGTCTGTCTGCTGCATATGTCTGTCTGCTGCATATGTCTGTCTGCTGCATATGTCTCTGCTGCATATGTCTGTCTTTTTTCAAAGGCTTTCCGGGCTGTCGTCTGTCTGACTATCACTGCGTGTCTGGGGCATTTCATAAACTGCCAGGGGAAAAAGGTTGCGCGTTTTACTGGCCAGCGGTCAATCTCCAAAAGGGGGGAGGAATGCTTCGTTCACTCTTTCGCTCATTCTCTGAATTTTCTGTTACAGCGCGACAGTGGAGGAAAGATAGGGGTATCGCGTGCCGCTCGCCATCACTAGAGGATTTCATTGCCATCCAAGTTTCGAAATATACGCTCTGTTACCACTGAATGACTAACTACCTGCTTACCATGCTTAGTTCTTGGGGTTTCCAGTCGGTATTCGACGTGTTGCTTGATTGCACATCGCTCCTCTGAATGCACATCGCTCCTCTGAACGCACATCGCTCCTCTCAATTATCATCAGGGAAGGCCAAAGATATGTGCTCATGTACTTCGTTACGCAACTGGCAAAGTCCGATGGAGCTCCAACTGCGAGTCCGGAGGTGGGGGGAGCTGGTCGGCTGGCCAATATGTGAAGGCCGGCAGTTGGAGGTGCAGGGAGAACAGCCCGTGGCATCGCCGGTGGAAGGGCAGCGGGTCGCCCCTCGTGGATTTTAGCCATGGACGTGGGGACGGGACGGGGCAGCGAGCATTTGTGGCCTGTCTGCTGGAAATGTGTCCTGGAGCAACGAAACCGAGCTTTTGCATCAAACTAGCTGGATCGCACACACCGCGCGCGGCAACAATCCCCTGCGCCAACGACAGCACACACGCACCATGGCGACCCGGTACCCCTGCCGCAGCGGCTTTGACCGGTCGGCGCTCGGCGCGCCCCTCCCCTTCTCCTTCTCGCAGCGCGCGGCGCCGAACCGCTTCGTCAAGTCGGCCATGACGGAGCGCATGGCGAGCTGGTCTGCCTCGGACAGATCGGCGCGCGGCATCCCCGGCGACGAGCTAGCAGCTTTGTACAGGGCCTGGGGCGCGGGCGGCTTCGGGACGGTCATCACGGGCAACATCCTCATCGACCACGACCACATCGAGGCCGCGGGCAACATGATCGTGCCCGTCGACGCGGCCCTCGCCGGCCCGCGGTTCGGCGGGTTCCGGCGGCTCGCGGCCGCCACCAAAGAGAACAACGGCGCGCTGTGCATCGGCCAGCTCAACCACCCCGGCCGCCAGTGCCTTGCCAGCATCCAGCCGGACCCCGTGTCGGCGTCCGACGTGCAGCTGACGGCGACAATGTTCGGCTCGGGGTTCGCGAAACCGCACCCCGCGTCGCTCGCCGAGCTGCGCGCCATCACGGCCGCCTTCGTGCACGCGGCCGTGTTCCTCGAGGCCGCGGGCTTCGACGGCGTGCAGCTGCACGCGGCGCACGGGTACCTGCTAGCGCAGTTCCTGTCGGCCACAACGAACCGGCGCAGCGACGCATACGGCTGCAGCTCGCTCGCCGACCGCGCGCGGCTCGTGACGGACATCGCCGCGGGGATCCGCGGCGCGACGCGCCCGGGCTTCGTGCTGGGCATCAAGATCAACAGCGTCGAGTGGCAGGCGGGCGGGCTAGCGCCGGCCGAGGCGGCGGACCTGTGCGCGCTGCTCGAGGCGCACGCGTTCGACTTTGTCGAGCTCAGCGGCGGGACCTACGAGGACATGGGACTGAGGCACCGGCGGCCCAGCACGCGCGCGCGCGAGGCGTTTTTCCTCGACTTCGCCGAGGCCATCGCGCCGCGGCTGGCGCGCACGCGCGCAGTCGTTACCGGCGGCCTGCGCTCGGCGGCCGCCATGGCTGATGCGCTGCGCGCCGTCGATGCCGTGGGCCTGGGCAGGCCGGCGTGTTCTGAGCCGGGGCTGCCGCGGGATATATTGAGCGGTCGTGCCGACGCCTGCGTCCGCCCGCTGGGATTGGATGAGGATGATTTTGCAGCAACGGCGACGCTCGCGGCGGCCCAGATGAGGCTGGTCGGGTCCGGGCTGAGGACGCTGGACCCGTCGGACGAGGGTGACATTGCCGTTTTCAATGAGAGTGTCGAGGCGCGGGGGAGTGGTTCGCGAGGAGACTGGCTGGACCACTTACTAGAGCGGCTCAAGGGGCATGCGACTGCAAAGAGTCAGCTCCGCGAGTCTGCTGCCGTGGCACTCTAGTCGAGACATCACTGTTTGGTCCCACAGGATTAAGGGGATAGGTTAGATTGTAGTTGACAGCTTTCTTCCAGACGGGCATCGAGACGAGCACCCTATAAGAACAGAGCGCCCCATAAGAACAGAGCACTCCATAAGAACAGAGCAGTCCATAAGAACATGACACCCTGACAGTTGACACCCTGACAGTGGGACTTTCATGGCTGGTAATGTCTTTGTTTGTAGCTAGTCTAAGTGGTAAAGGTATAGAACTTGTACTTGAAAAATAGCTGTTTCTAGGGTAATTATTTGCAGAACTGCAATAACGGTTGGAATAGGTCGCATTTCTAAACCTGACAGTGCAAAGATTAATAGGCAGGTCGGCTACCTTTGTCGTAAATAAGTCGTTCAAGACTTGACGAAAATCATTCCAGGTGTATTTATGAAAATGAGGATGCTGTGGTCAAGACTCTTGGATCCCTGTCCGATTCGTTCACCAACTCGGGCCGAGATCAAGCCCATGATAATTATACGATTACGCTCACACAAAGGCACAGCCACAAGTCCGGGTTGGGTTATTTCCGTCTGTGCCACGGCTAGTGGCCATCCATGTCAAGTGGTAAACCAAAGGGCGTGAGGTGACGTAAGACTGCGTAGGACTCAGGCTTACTCGCCTCGCTTGGGCAAAGATTCTCCGCAACAAGCCTTTTTCAGCGACATGGCAAGCGTAAAACCTACAACTCTCTCTGCACCCCCTGCGTTACTAAAAGATGACATGTGTGCGTTCCAGGCTCCCTCCTGCTCCCTCCTGCTCCCTGCACTCGCTCACCTCAGCTGAGACGCGGAGCCAGAGCACTGGGTCCGTCACCGTCGTCACAGTGAACACCTCTTGCCGAGCCTTCCGGGGTCTGGTCTCTGTTCACCTTCCAATTTGGGGTCCTGGAAACAACGACAGACGCCAAGGTTGTGGGATGGAGAGTTGTTGTTGCTTTTTATTTCCTATTCGTCGCCTATCAGCGGAGCGAATACTGATTTGTGGCCCTACCCTACCTGGAAGTAAGCGGTAAGCGGTAAGCGGAAGATTAGGCGGGGATGTGATTATGTGCAGCCGGACGGTGACAAGCTCCATAGGCGATTAGCTTAGGAGCTTATTTTGAACTTTGTGGTAGCGCTGATCTCGCCTCTACTGATTGATAGCTTACAGCACAACGATAATAATCGTCGAAGAGCACTGCAAAGACTGTGAGTCTGTGAGATATGCACAGTCGTCGTGATAAAGGTTATATGCACAGTCGTCCTGATAAAGGTTTGGGCCGCAGTTCAAGGTCCGAGAAAGCCCGGGTGGTGGAAAACAACCGTTCTTGCATTGCATGGCACTGTGACTGTCTTTCCTTGCCTGGGGTATTTAAGCGTTTGTGAACTTTATTGACACCTTTTCTCGCCAGTGGAGCATGGCTTGCGGGATTGGGATGACTCGAATGAGATAAACTCGACATGGGGGCCACGCACCAGCCCCCGTAAATACGAAAGGTGTCGAAATTCCTCATAAATGGGATTTAAGCTGGACTCAGTTGATGTTAAATCCATCCCCACAGCCGGATCATGCAGGGGTCCAAGTGGGATAAGATAAGATACAGCACGCTGTGCGGCACTGGTGCGGCGTGCCAGACTCAGAAAGACGAGACGAGACACGGTGCAGGGCAGTGGCAGTCGACATGGTGCAGGGCAGTGGCAGTCGACATGGTGCAGGGCAGTGGCAGTCGACATGGTGCAGGGCAGTGGCAGTCCACGCGGTGCAAGTGGCAGTCGACACGGTGCAGGGCAGTGGCAGCCGACACGGTGCAAGTGGCAGTCGACACGGTGCAGGGCAGTGGCAGTCCACACGGTGCAAGTGGCAGTCCACACGGTGCAGGGCGGTGACAGCCAGTAGCTGGCAGGGTTCGGCTGGTTTGGTGGCACTGAGTCACAGCGGAGTAAGTCCGAGGGCCGAGCTGGAGATAGAGGATTGGCACGGCCAATCCAGGCAAAGGAGCTGGGCCGAGGGGCATCGGGGGTTTTATGCCCTAGCGAAGCTCGTCGGCCCGTGAGGCAGTTGCCATTCTAAGCCCGATAAACGCCGATTTTCTTCGGGGATAGTCAGCAACACTAGGCCCGAAACGGTATTCCCGATGGCGGATGCCATCGCGTAATTAGCGCCGCCCTAGCATACGCACCCGTAGACAGGCAAAAATCCGCCGCCAAAAGATTGTCACAACGAGCTCAGAGGACGCTGGTCGAACGAATTTTGTTGAATGGAAGAGAACAGAGATGCGAGATGCGTCGAAGCTCTTCTTGCACGTTCGACCCTCCTCCATCCAAATTGCATCATTCTGATTATCCATCACTCTTGGCTGACCGGCAGTGTTCAGTAATCACAAAATGGCGCTTTTCAGCGCCTGCCTGGCGATTTCTCCCAGTTATTTCCATATTTCCAAGCCCTGGGTGGGTGGGTGCCTGTGAAATTTTGTGCGGAGCCATGTGCAGCCCCTGCCCCCAAGCGGGGGCGTCCGTCGGCAGAGCTCAGCGCTAACGTAATCTGCTGCCCAAACGAGACCGGCCAGCATTTGTCAGATCAGATTGGAACTACGCACGGCTGGCGTATCACAGCCGTCTGCAGGTGAGGAATAATGGGGACACCACTGCCAACCAGCGGCACGTCAAAGCCACAGAAACCTCTTTCCGCTGATTTGTAACAGGGTTGATTATCAAGACCACTACACATCACTTTGCGCCCTACGGCTACGGCAACACAACCGCGCATTCTCTTTTTGCGCTCCTCCAGACAATGGACCCAGTAAATACAAATAAGCCGGCTAACCCCCGAGTCTCAGACATGGACAGTCAAGCCTCACTCTCAGACCAATCCGACAGAGTCAGACACGGACGACAAAAGTTGTGTCTTGTCCATCGAGTGTCTTGAGCCCGCGCTCATACAGCCTCAGCCTCCGAGCCGTCGCCCACGTCAACATCAACAAGAACAGCGCTAATCAAAAGTCTGCTCCCCGACCGGCCCGCTCAAGCCCCGACAACCGGACAGCAAGCCGCCTGCAAAACGACAAAGAACACCACAACAAACGCAGCCAAGCCGTCTCCATGGCCTCGCTCGAAGTAACCGCACAGAATCCCGCCGAGCGGAGCGGGACGCTGCTCGAGGCCCCGACACCGGCAGACATGAGCACGGCGCCCACACCCGCCATCAGCGCGGCGCCGACGATAGAGAAGAACATGGACTCGGACGTCGAGAAGTCGGGCCAGACCGACACGGCGCGGTCGTCGTTCACAGCCGGGCGGGACGCGGCAGCTGCAGCAACAGGCGCCGAGGGCAGGACGGTCCGCGGCGTCAAGTGGGTGCTGATCCTGTTCGCCATCTACGTCATCGCGTTCCTGTACGGGCTCGACACGACCATCGCGGCCGACGTGCAGGGGCCCGTCATCGAGGCGTTCGGCCACGTCGAGCAGCTGCCGTGGATCGGGTCCGGCTTCCCGCTGGGCTCCGTCGCCGTCATCGCCCTCGTCGGCACCCTCTACGGCCACTTCAACATGAAGTGGACCTTCCTCGGCGGACTCGTGCTCTTTGAGGTCGGCTCCGTGCTGTGCGGCGCCGCGCCCAACATGAACGCGCTGATCGTCGGCCGCGTGCTCGCTGGCGCCGGTGGCGCAGGCATCTACCTCGGCGGCCTCAACTACGTCACGGCGCTGACGGCACCCGAGGAGCGCGGCTTGTTCATCAGTGGTATCGGCTTCTTCTGGGGCGTCGGAGCGGTTCTCGGCCCCGTCATCGGCGGCGCCTTTGCCTCGTCGAGCGCCACCTGGCGCTGGGCCTTCTACATCAACATCGTCATCGGCGCCGTCGTGGTGCCCATCTTCCTCTTCCTCATCCCGTCCATCCACCCCAACCCCGGCAAGACGGTCCGCGAGCGCGTCGAGCACTTTGATTTCATCGGCCTCGTCCTCATCGCCGTGACGTGGGTGCTGTTCGCGGTCGCGTTCCTCATGGCGGGCGCCGAGTGGGCGTGGGATGACGGGCGCACCATCGCCGTCATTGTCGTGTTCGGCGTCTTGCTCCTGCTCCTCATCGCCCAGCAGTACTTCACCGTTCTGACGACGGCCGCGACCCGCGCGTTCCCGGGCCATCTGATCCTCAGCCGCACGCAGGTGCTGCTCTTCGCGGCCACGGCGGCCAGCTCGTCGTCGCTGTTCATCGTCGTCTACTACATCCCCATCTACTTCCAGTTCGTGCACTCGGACAGCGCGATCCAGGCCGCCGTGCGCCTGCTGCCCTTCATCATCATCACCGTCTTCACCAACGTGGCCGCCGGCTACCTGCTGTCCAAGGTCCGCTACTACATGCCCATCTACCTAGCGGGCGGCGTGCTGATCACGCTCGGCGGCGCGCTGCTCATGTCGTTCCTCGACGCCGCCACCAGCATCGGCAAGATCTACGGGTTCCAGATCATCATCGCCGTCGGCACGGGCCTGACCATCCAGCTCGGCTACGCCGTGGCCACGCTGACCGTCAAGCCCGAGGACATCGGCAACGCCATCACCTTCCAGAACATGAGCCAGCTGGGCAGCACCGTGCTGTGCCTGGTGATCGCCGGCCAGGTCTTCCAGAGCGCCGCCGTCTCGAACCTGACGGCCGCGCTCGCCGGCAACGGCTTCGCCCCGCAGGAGATCACCGAGGCCATCGCCGGCGCCCAGAGCGCGCTGTTCGGCGAGCTCAGCGGCGCCCTGCGCGCCGCCGCCATCGACGCCATCGTCAAGGCCATGCAGAAGTCCTTCATCCTCGTCATCGTCGCCGGCGCCGTCATGGTCGTCTCGTCCGTGCTCATGAAGCGCGAGAAGCTGTTTGGCGACATCGTCCAGGCCTGATCGGTCTTCCGCGGGCTGCTGTTTGCATACAAGTGTTAATAGAAAAGCATTGGAGTTGGGAGCGGAAGGGAATACCCTGTAGACGAGCGAAAGGTTCTGCGAGCGTGCTTTGCGCCAGCGAGTTTTGTACGCAGAGGCGGCGGCGTGGTTTTGTTTTTTTTGGTTTTTTTTGTCGAGTGGACTTTGAAGCGGCTGCGGTTAATATATAACTAGACGTCTTGCATAATAGATAACTACAATCGTTAATATCATTTCCTTTCCGAGTGCTTCTCGAGTTCCCTCTGGCAAGACTGACGGTGCCTGATAGCGCACAGTCCAATGCCCGAGTGTTTGTGGCCGATGATTTTCCAAGATTTGAGAGCCTTAATGCCTTACAGCTCGCACTAAAGATTTGTCGCCGAGAGAGACATTATCTATCGGAATCCCTCTTTTGGAATCTTATAGGCCCATCTCTTTCCTAGAAAGGCAGAGCCCGGCTTCTTCCTACAGCCTTCTATCGGTTGTCCAGGGCTGTAGGGGTAGTCCAGGGCTGTAGAGTTAGTCCAGGGCTGTAAGAGTAGTCCAGAGCTGTAGGGGTAGTCCAAGTCTGTAGGGGTATTAGTCCAAGTCTGTAGGGGTAGTCCAGGGCTGAGGGGTATTTTAGTACCTATTAATTACGGGATGGCACCCCCGGCACCGAGATCGCAACTTTCCCGTTCAAAGTTGGCGAGCAATTTCCTAATCTCCAAAAGGTCTTGGTAGCTCACCCCTCGCCCTAGAGATTTGTCGCCGAGGGAGGTAGTATCCATTCAAACCCTTCTTCTAGAATCTTGGAGGCCTATACCTCTCCTCGAAAGGCAGAGCTTCGCTTCTTCACACGGCTTTGCACCCACGGTACCGGGATAAAGGAGTGACTAGCAACTGCCACTAGGCATTGCGGGGCTCAAGAGAAGGAAGGGTTTGTACTGATGCTGTATAATATACAGCGACGGTCACCCCCGAGAACACCACAACCAAACGACCCCTTCCACCCCCCTATACAATTATTACTACAACCTTTGCCGACACGGTTCGCGTCGTCGTCGTGTGACCAAAGTAGAGGATGACTACCTCTTCGCCCGCTCGCTGGGCGCGGAACTTGAACGTCTTGGTCGCCACGTCCTTCGAGAGCTGGAGAGGGTTCTGCAGTTAGTTACACAACTGTTAGCCACGTCTGTTGTTAACGTTATGAAGAAAGGTGGCCGTATAATTAGTGCGACGGCTGCTTACACAGTCGACGCAAAACGAGCCCATGAAGCCGACGTCGCTGACCTAATTGGCAACACACACGTTAGTCTCTGGCAGCTGATTAATAAAACAGCAGACGGAAAGACACTGCATACCTGGGCACGGATAGTGAACTCGCTGCCTACAGCGACGGGACCGATGCGCATCGGGGCGCGCGCAATGGCCGGAGCGATGGCGTGGATGGGGCTGCGCACGGCAGACAGCACAACGAAGTCGTCGACCGCCTTTGAAATATCACGGGCGCGCAGGCCCGGCGCCGCGTAGTCGATGTCGAGCACGAAGAACGTGTCGCCGCGGACCCAGACGCTGATGTTGCCGGCCTCGAGGTTGAGCTGGCCCTTTGCGTCGGCGGGCGAGGGGCGGACGAACACGTCGTCGAGCTCGGGCAGGTAGGCGCCCAGGTGCTCGCTCATGGCGCGCACCGCGTCGAAGTGGCCGCCGCACACGGCCACGGTTAGCGTGCTGACGCTGCCGGTGCCCTCCTGCACGAATAGCCACACGGCCTCGCTGCCGAAGGCGCCGACTTCCACGGTGCGCATCATGCTGCGCAGGCCAAATTCCCGCGCGAGCATCGGCTCGAGCGCGCGCCAGTCGGCGTTGGAGTAGCTCAGGGCCGGCGCGGCGGCGACGAGGCCCTTTTCCATGGCGCGGGTGACGGCGGTGTCCATGGCTGCGTGTGAATGGGTATGATTGTGTGTGATGGTTGTGAGGGCGATGAGGGCGATGAGGGCGATGAGGGTTATGAGGGTGCAATGGTTCAGTGCTGGGGAATAACTCAAATGAATCAAATATGAGGGTATATTTGTGCTGATCTGAGGGCAAGAGGTTGTGGTTTAACGAGGGTAGGCTGCAATTTTCTCTGCTGGATTTATTTTCCAGTGCCTTTTGTTCGGCTGAAATTTCACGTTGGTGATAGACAGGTCGCCCTCAAGCCCTGATTTCCCTGCTTGGTTTCTTTAATGCATAGCAAGATTAAATGTATCCATTGCTACCGAGCCATACCTCTACGCACGAAGACGAACCCTTTATTAACTGATAATTAATCTTTTTTATTTGGACTTATTTATATCGGTACCAGCGCTGCGTTGTCTTAGAGATGTGATGCCTTGAGAAGCTGTGTTGGAATGACAAGGTCATTCGTGCAAGTCACTATAGTAACCGCTGCGAAAGGGCGGGGGGGTTGGGTTGTGGTGGTTGTATTCTGCCATGTCTACCTAAAAAGATCACGAACTACGGGCACAGGAAGAGGGCAGTTTTAGGAAGGCGTGGTTGCCAAGCAGCTAAAGGCCTTTCCCCGCTTGTTGCACTGGTCGACGCACCTAATTGCCAGGTCGTGATCGTAGAAGCGATTCTTGCTCTGGCCCGGCCGACCAGCTGCGTCTTGTTATGTAGCTATTAGCTGTAGGGGTCCCTGAAGATTTACGCATCTGACGTATTGCAGTCTTTCAATCAGCGAGCATGGAAGAGCCCCCGAGTCTGGACGTGGCAAACCGTGGTCTTCCGCCCGCCGTGTCGTATCGAAATCAAAGGTCAGTCAGGCATGTCATCGCCACTGAGTGCTACCAGTCGCCCTTGGGCTCAGGCAGAGCCACGTAGCGAGGGAACTCGACGGGCACGGCCGGACTCTTGAGGAAGCTCGGGAGGCTGCTGGTCAAGCCGTAAATCCCGACTCCTAGGACGGTGACACTGAATCATGGAGCTCCCAATAAACCAGGAACCACCAATCCTAAAGTGCCGGTAGCTATTAACGAGGGGATAAGTGGCCCAGGAAAAGGGGGGTGTTTGCGTACAGCCGATAGGGGAATATGCCCCTAATCTATTGTAACCGAGGGGAAGGGGCTATGCAGGAAAGGTAAATTGATAAGTAGAGGGGCGACGTCCTCTCCGCCCCCGAGAATGCCCAACTCCTATACACTTATCAGCCCTGCTATCAAATTTCACCAGGCGCAGGACACCAATTTCTGCACTAATAGCCATAGACACAAATGAACTTTCATTGAAAATCCACATTCCCATCTGTTAAGGCCTGGAGGCCGGGGTACACACCCAGAGTGAAGGGGGCAAGCGAGGGGCTCAAGCAAGGAGGACGCAAGATCTAACCAAGAACTAAGGACGAAACCACATTGAACTCTACCCCTCCAAAACCAGGGGGCTAGTGAACTGCTGATACGCCGCGTTTTGCTTGCGTTTTCCAGGCGGCTCAATTGTTTTTCCGAGGTCCGCCTTATATTCCCCGCGCGGTTTGCGCATGTCCTGCGTTTTCTCAACCCCCGGCACTTGCTAACTCTTGAGGCTTGCGGGCAAGTTTGTCGCTCTTGCCCTGTCAGTCTTGATACCATCACAGCCATGGGTGTCGCCGTCTCTGCTGCCGGTGACGAGGTCAGGAAACAGAACGATGACACTGAAAAGATTACCGACGACGCCCTGAACTCGATCATAGACCTTGTCAAGCTGTACAAGGAGCTCTTCAAAGCTCACATCAAGTAAGCCCGAGATCCCCAAACCCAGATAATGGCGCTCTCGAATTTCAAGACTGAGGCTCCGGCTCTCGCAATAGGAATATATTAGACTCGACGAGTAACAAAGTCACCAAACTCACCCACGAGGAGACTGTCCTTGAATACGAGGCGTCCAAAATCGCCGACCACGTGAAGGTAATACTGGCTGTTTGCCAATAAGGACGTGGCGGCCGCCATTGGTGACGCCCTAAGCGTGTCGCTTGAAGCCCTGTTTGAGTCGTCGACGGCGAACTCAAACGAGGTATCTATGGTGTATGTCCTTTGTTCTTTAGTGCACATGTTCGGCATTAAAGATCAAGCAAGCAACACAACGAGAGGGAGGAGGGGCTGATGATTTAGGAAAACCAACACCGCACAGCTTCGTCACCGCCAGCAAACTCGACTATCCGTACCACGTCGACATGCACCTCTACACGTATAGCTTCACTAGCGCGACGCTGACCAAGGTGGCCGAGAACGTGCTGGCTGTATCCCCGATGATCTTGTCTGTCGACCTGTCGCCTCTGACGGAGAGCGACCTCGGCGTCGATGTGGACGTCTGCTACCGGCATTCGGACGAAGCAGCCAGAAAGCCCACGCTGGAGAAGCTGAAGGCCGCCCGCGAGGCTCAGATCCAGGAGAAGAAGGGGGCAGCTAGTGCCGCCGGCGGCAGCACCAGTAATGAATCGGCCAAGGCTTCGTTACAGGCCGGCCATGAGGCCTTGGATGACGGGCTGGGCCGCGGGGGGGCTGAACTGGGGCGACGGCAAGCTGCCCACTGACTTGGGCTTCGAGAAGCAGTCGCATGATCTGCGGAAGGACGCACCAAAGGTGTCGGAGGCTGCGCTCGCTCTTCTTGGTCAATTTTACTGAAGGGGTGCTCGGTTGGTCGAACTCGAGCCAGATCAAGCTCTGAAAGACCGCTTCAATGATGCCGCCTAACAATATTCTTTCCAGATGCCGTTAGCCTTTGATTCCTCACGTAGTTACCAGAGGGACCGTGTCGAGAGACCGTGTCGAGAGCCTCAAGTCTCTTCACCCTTGGAAGCAACCGACCCCTCTACACACGAGCTTTCTGATCCAGTGACAGAAAACTGTGCAGAACCATGCCACATCCCTGTGTCTCCAAGTTTGAGTGTCGATGGGGTTGGTTGTCGTGCGTGCGCTGGCAATGGGGTCGAGGCAGCCGATCGGGTCGAGGCAGCCAATTGGGTCGGTGAAACTCTGTCCATAGGGAACATCGGGTAAGTTCGCTTTGTGGCTTTTCTCGGCACTGTTGCTTTGTCTTGTGGCATCATTCTTAGCGCTTGAGGCAACGCTACGGCTAGCGCCATCCGCCTACTGGTGGAGAACAGCTGGGCTCCTGCTGGGGATAAACCTAAGAGACTGTTCATGTGTGTCTGGACTGCGGGTGGGCAAACGGAAATCCGCACAAAATTATTTGCTTCTCCGCCTGTTGCGGTCAGCGGTGCTCGCGCTGCCAACCTTGCAGCTGCTGCGGGGAGGAGCGACTTCCCTGGCGCCGCCGCGAGGCAAGGGAGGCGTGTCTGTGACGGGGCCCGCCCGATCTTGCTGTTCAAAGACTTTGTGCACGCATAGCAGCAATCTCATGCGCCCCGAGTGCCTCTTCGTGCCTTCTATGCCTAGAGCTAAAGCCAAGTAGCGACTCCTCCTGCCCGCCGCACGCTCCTCAACGTCAGGCTGCTGCAGATTTTCGTGCATGCCAGCGATCCAGTGCTGCCGAGTGACGCGACGTGAGCACTGCTGGCTCCAGCCCACGAAACCCCGCGAGGGGTTCGCGGGGTTTGCTTCCAACTAGATCAGCACTCGCACATGCAGTAGAATTGTAGCTTGAGCTCGAAGCTTGGAGATGTAAATCGTGTCTTCTTTTGGAAAATACATGACCTGACCTTGAGAGGCGGAATGTGGACAAACTGTGCCTTCCTTCTCGTCGTGGAATGACCGCATCTCGAAGCCCCTCCCCTCCCCGCTGCACTGTTTGTCCAACCGTTCCCAAACGCGGCCCACTGATTTCTCCAGCGAAATGCAACCGCAGGCCACGGAAGCAGCATGGACCTGAAACGAACCTCCCGCCCGGGGACGATGCCCGTCGCTAACAGGCAAGCAGACAACATGTGCAAGACGTCGCAGAGATCTGCGACACAAACAGGAAGCTTCTTCTCCATGGCGCCACTGAAGCAGCGATCACAGTGAAAAAGAATGAATGAGTTTGGGTGGGTTATCAAAAATTACGGTCACAACGGCCCCGAAGGACAATTGATAGCAGGGCGCGCCGCGGTGTGCAATGCAAGCTCCCCACTATAGAGCAGGGGATTCTTGAGCTCCCTGCCCTTAACCAAGGTAAGTATGAAGAAGAAAAGAAAAAAAGGGAAGAGGAAAAGCGGGAGGGTGGCAGCTTGTTATATAGACAGAGTGGTTGGTCCGTGCACGGGTGCAAATTTTAGAGATCCACTTCGCTTGCTGGACCCACCACTCTGCTAGTGGGGCCCGCAGCGATACTAAACCGGCCGGGCGTGACTTCCGGGCGTGACTTCCCAGCGTGACTTCCCTTGGGGCGCTCGGGTGACGGCACACACCTTCCCCTGCCCCGCTTGGCAGGTACTTTGTATTTCTCAGCCCTCAAGGTCCCTCCGTGCACAGATCAGACCGACCGGAGAAGAGGTTGCAAAGGCGGGGCAACTGCAAGCAAAACAAAATGGATTCATGGTTGTCGCCGGGCTCGAAGCAAACTGACTTGCCACCCGTCTTTTTTCTACATTCAATGGTCAAGAGATCAGTCAGCACTCGGTGACGTACTCGAAGCAATGCACTTCTCTTGGTGCTCGTGGGGACTGTCTCTATTCAGCATTGCACCGGACCTCGCAACGACCACTGCATGCATTTCAAGGGCGGGACCACTGCATGCATTTCAAGGGCGGGACCGTTGCAAAGAATCGCTACATTGATCTAGGTCTAGCTATAGTGCCTGGAGTAGTCTCTCTCTCTGTTCGCTAGATCCGGAGACCAAACCCATGTGGAATACGCCGTCGCTCAAACATGCAATGCAGAATAACTCCCAGCTCGTCATTGTGGCCTCCTCAACATCGTCCATGCCTGGGTATCAATCATCGCTTCCCCCCTGTCTCAGCCGTCCTCGTCGCCCATATCCCAGCCCCCACATCACCTTGTTCTCATCTGCTAGTACCCATATCCCCTGCTCCAAGGGGGGTATCCGTCCAGCGCGTACATGCTTCCGCCGCGTCCCTGCCTCTGCGGCCCTCAGCCTGGTGGTGGCGAGGGAGCTCAGGCCAAGCCTCCTTGGCCTGCGTCGTCTGCCAGCCGGCTTTGTTCTTCTCGTCGAGGATGCTGCGGAGGAGCGTGCTGTACTGCTTGCGCAAGTGGGTCGCGGAGCAGTCCGTCCGCGCCACCGTCCGGTACATCTCGAGGCGCACGGCGCCGATCGTGTTGGGGATCTTGCAGAACAGCGGGATCTCGGTCGTCTTCAGCTTGCCGTAGTCGACGGCGTGCACCACGGGCTCACTACCGATCCGCGTCGCGTACACGTCGCGCTGCAGGTTGTCGGGCCCCGCCCAGAACTGTCGCAGCCTGCAATAGGGAGAGAGTCAGAGGGATTTGGTAAGCACAGAGCCCTTCACTGTCGGGGCCTTCACTGTCGGGGCCTTCACTGTCGGGGGGATCGAGGTTTATGACTTTACGTACCACTCCTTCTCCTGCTGCAGCACGACCTGGCGCTGGTGGCGCGCAAAGATGGACCACTTGGCGTGGTTGACCACGCGGGCGACGTCCTCCTTGACGCGCTCCATATGCGCCGCGCCATCGTCGCCCGGGTAGTTCGACGAGTCGGTGTACGAGAAGTAGAGCGGCATCTTTAGCAGGTCCTCGATGTATTCGCCGGCGTGCTCGTTGCACATGCTGGGGTAGTAGCACGGGATCCCCACGTCGTCGTTGCTGCGGATCGCGCACGCCGGCTTGCTCGCCATCTCGTCGGCCAGCAGCTCGCGCCGCCGCAGCTCCTCGTCGCAGTACTCCACTACGGGCGCTGGCGCCGTCCGCGTCCCGTCGAAGTTGCCGTTCCTGTCGAGCTTGCGGAACTTGGTCACCTCGGCGTCGCAGTCGAAGAAGCCGTAGTGCGGGCAGCAGTACTTCACGAGCAGCGTTTTGCACATCGTGAGGTCGGTTTGGTTGGCAATGTAAAATCGGAGGTTCTTTTTGGAATGGTGGTGGCGGTAATGCGTGCGCGAGATTTAAAAAGGCGGCGATGATGTGGTCGACTGTTCGGTGTGCAGGCTGGGCAGTTCAGTTGCCTGGGCACCGGGGGAACCTTCGGATTGTAGCTTGTAATGCCGTTTCTTGCTTCGGGAATTTCCCGGGTGCCTACCTAGAGCAGACACTACCGCGCTAGCTTCTTCTCTTCTTTTTGACAGATGGCGGGTTTGTCATGTAAAAAGGCTTGGTCGGAGGGTAGTTAAACCTCCACTCGTCCACGTTCCACATCGTCCGAGCATGGTCATACCCAGAAGTCGAATGATTGGCCCGTACTTTACGGTGATTGTTTTGGCCTTCCCATTGCAGTGCACACCCATTCTCTGGTAACCTCGCGTCCGGGCGCTGGTAACCTCGCCGTCAGTGCCAGTCGAGTTGTCCCTCCAGGCACAGTGCCGAGAGACAAGCCTGTTGAGACAGAATAATTGGTACCTGCCCAGCTCCGACGCGGGCGTGACTTGCGCCGAAACAAGAAAACACGATAATCTATTTTGAGGCCCAAATTTAATTTTGCGATTTGTTTCTCTTACGTCTATCCGCCTAGACCGCTCTTGCTTGCCAGATTAGACACTGGTAAACTGGTATTTCAAGGTCTGACAGACCCCGCCCTTACCATTCATTACCATTAATTGGATTTTCAATGAATAACCAACATACGATGGGATGTACGCGTCGTTCGTCTCAGGCTGCTGGGGTTGCGGCTGTGGTTTGAGCAAGCTCTCGTATTGCTAGAACAAAGAAATGCCAGAACAGCCCTTCTTGTTGTGAATTCTATTTAGGAGATTGTACTGTACAGCGGTGACGGACAATGGGGGTAGTGGCATGGGATGGGGGCCCATGAATGATACCAATTTTCTTCTTCAGGGAGCTCAACATATTCTGTTCAGCCATATTGTGGTAGGGGTAATGCGAGAAGAACCCTCGACAGTGGGATGGAGCCCTCTGGGGACCCCTGAACATCTACGACCTTTAGAAATACATCCTTGGATAGGTCAAGGACCCCGCGATTACCGAAGAAGCCCCGGCGGCTGTAGCTGCACGCGTTCTAGAATAGAAGAGGCGAACAGAACTTGAAGGCTACCAACGAAACGATCAAGCTAGTCATTCCACGCCTAACACAAGAAGCCGTCATGGACTTCGTCGTCTAATTCGTCAAGATTGACTGCACGCTTCACACCAATGCAAGCCTTCTTGACAATGCTGCGTAGTGCGCAAATTGCCTCCAAACCCAATTAAGTCACTACTGAGTACTGCCCAACTAACTGTCCCTAGCTTAAACATATTCGGATGTCATGTCCTGCTTCGCGGCTTGTCGGAGTTGAGGCCGTTTTCTCCATCGCAGTGCGTCCATTGTCAGATATAGGCGTCTTTTTCAATTGGACCGTGTACTCGGACGGTAGTCAACATGTTCCGGATTGTACGTACATCTAGGGCTGGGACCCGGTCCTAGCAAGAATCCGCTTTTCACCTTGAAACAGATACGGATTCCTGGGGCGAATAACATCAGAATAGCTACCTAGATACATAGACAAGCTATGTACTTGGACGCACTACAATGACACCAGAATTCCACCTGCCCTGCCTAGCCATCGCCGTCATCACCACCTGTACCGTGTCTGTTGGATTCACCAGGGTACCGGTACTGGAAACAACAGGGCGTGATGGTACGCCGAAAACTGATGGTTCAAGTGATGGATTGTTCTGTATATATTCTTTCTCTCCCTTTCTGGCAGTGCCAGAAAGCCCCCTTTTTATACTGCTATTGTGGTGGCGAAATAGGTGGCGAAGTAGGCCGCGAAGTAGGTCGCGATTTAGGCTGCGAGGTAGGTCGCGAAGTAGGCTGCAAACCCTCTGCCTGGCTCCTTCAAGGCCCACATTCCAACAGTGTCCGTTGGCCTCGAATTAGATTCCAGTGTCGAAGTTTTGGGCGACGTGATGCAAAAGCTTCACGCTAGTCGGGTTGCAGATGTGACCACTACTTGAAGCCCTCGTAAATCGTAATAACCACCGTGCCCCGGCACGTGGCGTGCCTATAATCTTGTAGACGTTCCCCATCCTCCAGCTGGACGCCCCCTTTTGTATGTCGGATGGGCAGCATCAGAACAAAGTCATTCTCCTCAGAAAGGCCTTGTAATACCCGTATTCCCATTTCAGGGCGTCGTCCACTGTCCTCTCGTCTTGCATGTCCGTTACGGCGAGGAACGTCTCAGCCTTCCGAACCTCTGGCACTCTTCTGGCAAGCATGCGAAATATCGCAGTAAACGCACGGTAGTTAAGCGTCTGCGTTCTCGGGACTAGGTAGGGGGCGGAACCGGCCTTGACGGGGATGAGGCTCAGCAGCTCGGCCTCCCAGGTGGCTTGGACTACTGGCTCGGTCGCGAACAGGTTCATCAGCAGCCTGTTAAAGCAGCGCTGGATGTCTTCACAAAGGTCTCGTTGTTGTCTGGAGGCCTTACGCTGCTGAGGACTTTCTCGCTCTGCTTGAGAACCCATCTCTCTTTGCAACGCAAGCAGGAAACGGGATATGTGAAGATGATAGGGACTCGGGGCATGTCGCACGCCTCGTGGACGCTTCCTCGCTCACAACACTCGAGGTGGTTCTTTGTCAGGTACATGGGTTCCTCCATGCTCATTTTCTGTGGGCTCGGCCCAGAACGGGCCGCTCGCAGCATGGGTAAATGATGTACGCGTGTCGGCACATGTTTGTCTGGGAGATCTAGTCATGAAGGAATGGGAGTTAACAGTGATGATATCGACTTGTTATTTGAATTGCGGGGTTGGAAAATCATACTCTTGCGGTTTCTGTTTTGCGGCGAGTTGCTGTACGGTCGCGGTGGTGTGGCGCGCAAGAAGGGGGGGAATGTTGATGTGAGGGGTCAACAGAGGGTTGTGGATTGGTTGAGGTAGTGGCAGATGCCTCTTGGTGAAGATATATCCTTTGCTCCTGGTGCCGGTTGTTCTAGGAAATGTAGATATTATGTTGGTTTTTTGCGGTGTTCGTGTTCGGCAGCGAGTTCAGGTTAGGACGCGAGACCTCCAAGGTGTGGCGGCGAAAAGACTTCAGTCCCTGGCACTGTTCCCCCACTCTCCATCACTCAGAGCACCTGTGCACACTCCGTTCTCGTTCATCACTGTCCATGCACGTCTCCTGTCTTGTAACTTGAGTATGAGGGGTAAACCTACAGGAAATATCAAGTCTGGCTCACTGATTCGTTCAGAAGACAGGCCGGGGGGGGGGGGGGTTTCCGATTCTGAAGAAAACTTGAATGTGTGGGAGAGTAAATAGCTCCAAGGGACGCGTCTCGTGACCAGCAGGGTAAAAGACCTGAACAGTGATTCAGACGGAAGACATATTGGAGCGTGAATGTTGCCACAATAACAAAACCCCCCTCCCCCACCCCACATCACCCCGCCAATTCTTGTACACTCTCCAGCACATGAGGACGGCGTCTTTGTGGGCGAACTTGCTGATTTCGTTGCCCGTCGAGTCCAATATAAGTCTTTGGTTTCTTTCATTATATAGGTGATAAGTATTGGCGCCGAGGCAAAGCCGACGTCAGATGGACATATCGACGCTGAATTTGTCCAAGGTTGAAATGGGTTGCTGCTGGGACCAGCGTCTTTGAGTGTCCAAGCCCTGGAAGTTGGGAGCCGATCTGGACGGAGCCAGACACGCAGACGCAGGCTGTGGGTGTGAAACCTGGGGAGGCACCGTACGTGGGGAACTTGAAGACGCCAGATTATTAAAGTCAAGACGCGTTACTGATCCATGGCTATTATGACTGCCTGCAAGTGTTTTGATCCTTCTGGCATGTGCCCATACGATGCCCAAATACCTGCACATTGCTGCCGTCCTTTGATCTTTGGATAAGTGGGGTATGGAATGAGTCTTCGATGAATCGTAATTTTGTATGTGGGGGGCTTGAATCTCGAATGTGCTGTTGCGGATCTTGCCTGCCCCCGAGTAGCTGAAAGAATTAGAAGTCGAATGGAGTCTTGTTGGATATTATCCTGTCTGGAGGACAATATTACTGCGAAACTCTGAAAAAATTACCATGTGAAATTGATAAGACGCCTTATCGCGTGTCTGGATTGGCTGACCTGTATAGAAAGGTGGACCCGATTTCTCAGTCACATCAATATGGGCAGCCCCTATCACGTGCCTATCTGCTATTCGGTTAGCATACTTTCCAAAATTGATGTAACCGATATCATTATATGTATAACTCTACGGAAATTTTGAACCTGAAGCCCAATCCGTATTATAATGGAAATTGGCTAAGATATTGTGGGAACTACCAGTCAATCAGAGGATGCAGTCGCACGTGATTGGTCAACAGGCTGCACAGCCTCAGTGGCTGACCACCACGCGGGCCGCTATGCGGCACGTGCGCGAGGCGTAACCTCCTGCATCGCCAATTCCAACGCGCATCCTGTCCCCGTAGTTCGTGACCTTAGAGATAGAGCAGACCAGAATACAACCACCACAACCCCATTCGCATCGGTTACTGCAGTGACTATGGAATGAATGACCTTGTCATTCCAACAGATATAAGTGTTTAAATGCTTTCTGGCGTGGTGGGGCGTGCGCAAAGGTGGGCTTGCGTACGTGACTACGCGAATTGCCCTTCAACCCCGCCTCGAAATTCCTCGCCCACCCCACAATTGCTTTTCTTTTCCAATAATAAGTCGTACCGTAGTACCTTCGACGTGTTGGATTGGCTATTGTCAGATGGACAAGGGTTGCATGTGGAATAGAGCTCATCCCAGCTGAGCTCTGGTGTGGTCATCCGAGGTGAAAAGAGGCTCAGGGGAGCTGAAATGAAGTGGCCAGTTCAGCTGGTGTGGCTACTTTTGCCACCACCATTGCCACCATTTACAACTATAATAGAGGCCCTCTGGCAGGACCAAAAAGAAGAAGGAGGGAGATAAATGAAAAAAGTTGAAGTGCTGAATCCAACACGACGAACCTTATAATCTACCCGCTCTTCGTAGCTAACCTCCCTTCCTCCGTAGTGCCGTTTTGCCTATTATGGCTAGGTTATTTGGTATTGTCGTCTGGAATTGACCCACTTTTCATGGAATTGGACAGGCCCTGGTTGACATGCCTCTGAGCTTCCTTCATTCTTTGTTATTTCCTTCATTCTTGACTCGGAATGTCCTCATTTCATTCGGAATGCCCTCTTTCGGGCTGATTACAACGCCTCCCTTGCCTTCTCTCCACGAGTATAAGGAAGCGTCCTTTTCTGTACTTTTAGACCTATTGAGCGAACAATTCAATGCGCTGTCAACTTCGATCGCGTGCAACAGGCATCTATGGCGGACGCGGCGGAGGCGGCTGCCCGCAAAGTTTACCACACCTGCGGCGTTGAGAAGGATATCGACTAATTCTGGTCGTTCCGAGGCCCTCGACGGATCGTCCTTAATTATGCGGATTGCCGTAATCGCGGCAGGTAGCAGGTAAGTCTATTAGACCTATCTTCCTTGGTTTCCTTGCTAACTTTATTCCCAGAGAGCCGCGTCGAACGCAAGAGTTTCTGCAGCTGCTGCCGTAACCCGCGGACAAAGTTCCGCCCTTACGCCTTGCCAGAATCTCACCTTTTGTTTAATAAGTCGGTATTCTTAACCACAGTCCAACGGCAACAGGGTAAAGATCAGGCTCTATTCCGGCAAGCCCTGAAAGAATTACGGCAGGCTAAAGTATCTATTTCGTTATAGGAGCTTCTTACGTCGAGATGTGCGATCAAACTGCCTCCGGCTTAGGTTAAGGCTTTTGATAATGCCCTCTATATCTTCCCCATCAAGGCGTAGGTTAACGAATATAACCATCAGCACCTCCTAGGCCTGCGAAAGGCGGTTTTATAGGTGGACGTAATGTTACGAATCCCTGCGTAAATGCGTGAAGGTGGGGCACTCCCTGTTTGGTGTGGACCAATCAGAGGTGTCCTAGGGTCCCGAGCACTTAGGGCCGGGGACACGGGACAGCCCCGGAGGACCGGCGTCCCGGACGCGGGGCCACGGGACCGTGGGACCATTGTTATTGGTCCAGTAGATAGATATATACAACAACCGTGTCTACGGTTCTGGATAGCTCTTGCTTGATCTCTCAAGCAAGCAATACACATTCACTGCACTCATACACTTTGAGTGGCATTCCAATTTGACTGTATTACCCGTGCGATAGGAGCTTGCCCTTTGTTCTATCTTCATAATTACCAACCCCAGCATCCTGTGGGACCCGTGCTCCCTTACAGACAGACGACCCTAACAGTCGAGTGGTGTGTAATATAGGAGTTTGTTCCCGGGGCTGGCACTGGCTACCGGGAGCAGTTTCTACTACTTGTTTACTACGTAATCACAATATATAAGTCACAGGGCGTTACTCTCGATAAGGTGGTTTATGATATCTCCGCGCCAGAGTTCGCGTTCGGCTTATCGTACGTGGCAGTTTCCAGGGTTAAGACCTTAGATGGCCTAATATTTGAGTCGCCGTTTAATCGGAGCAGGATATACCGCGAAGTGCCGGTATAGAGTTTACAATTGAAGATAGCGGATTACGAGGCAAGGAAGTTACAGCTATTAGATCCACAGGAAGATGAGGTTAACTCGAGCGATATAAGCGGGTATATAACTAATAGCTCTATTATATAGATGTAAGATTTAGTTGTGTAGGTTTAGCGATCGTTATAAGAAAAGATCTCTAGAGCATCGGAGTTATTGGCCTCCAGACAGGACCACGCGACTGACGAACGAAGCGACGCCAGCAATTTTAACGTTCTCCAGCACTCTACCGAGAAGGAAAGAAAAAGGAGAAACTCGTCACGTTGTTTAAAGATTGTCCAGATCACGTTGAAACACCCCTAATTAGAAATCACGTTTTCCGATGAGATGAGTCTAGATGATCTTGTTTGACCTTGAACCCAGGCAAATGTTAGAAATTGATGGTTATTAATTTCCTATTTGCATCTCTAGTTCCCAAACAGAAGCCAATTCAAGACCTGCTTCCCAGACTCAACACGTCTGCAAGACGTCTTAGTTTCCCCGCCGACTCAAACAAACAGATTCTGTTTGGCCAGCGCATCCTTCTCTGCCTGCGCTCTCTGGAGCCGTTCCCCAAGCTCCCTCTCCCAAGCCTCCTGGATTATGGAGATCTTGAGAAGCAACGCGGCCATCTCGTCGGCGGCACTGAAATTGTTCTCCAGGGGCAGCATCTGGATGCGCGTCAGGCCGGTGTCGATGGAGACCTGGACGGCGCGCGTGGCCAGCCCTTCTTCAAACGCGTACCAGGGGTACTCGCGGGGCCCCATGGGCACGAGGTCCCAGAACTCGACGCTGTCGGGGTGGGCGATGATGCGGCGCAGGAGCTCGTCGACCCAGCGCAGCTCGTTGGCGCGGCTCTCGTTCTGCATGAGCTGGAACGCGCGCGAGAAGTTGTCGTCGAACAGGCGCTGCACCTCGGCCGTGATCTCCTCCTTCTTCTGATTCTGCCACACGTCGTACGGGTGCGGCCGCTGGCCCTGCAGCTGCAGCGCGTCGCGGATCATCTGGTGGGACGTCTGGCGCAGCGCGTGGAACCACTGGTCCATGCACGTCAGGCACCGCGTGGGATAGCGGAGGAAGTGCTTCGTCGGCTGCGGCGGCCCGCAGAGCGGATGCCTGTCGCATTTCTCCAGGGGCTCGTATCTCATGAGCCGCAGCACGTAGTTGTGCGTTGGGAAGTAGTGCACCTCGGTGCTGGGCTCGTGACATCGGTTGAGCACTCTCAGGTACCGGCACATTGCATGCGATGTTCTTTTGTCTCTTGTGCGAGTATGGAATGTGAAAAGGGCCAAGTGACTGTTTGATGTCTAAATATCCATCTGCAATGTAAGGAGCTTGTCTCTTTGATCTTCTGTCAGCGGCTGGGATCGAGGTCGGAAGAATAGAAGCAAAGTCGCCTCCCGTAAAGTATTTATAGACTTGGCATATAACTTGCTGCTCGGAGGATAAAGTTGTCATGTCATTCTGACCGGAGGTGTCAGGGGAGGACAGAGACACGGATATTGCTCGGAAGTCTGGCCCCGTGACTCCCGGCTGCGTTGTCATACTGAAAGCCGTCAACTGGGTGTGTACGTAGTGAGACTGGGTTTGATATGTCTAATGCACGCGAATGCGTATTTTTGCCAGGAGAAAGCCATAGTTTGCTTCATTACGAGCCTTTTCAAACCCCCTTTCAAACTGTGTTCTCGCCGAGATATCGCTCGATCGGCATTTGATTTCCCATAGCTAGCAGGACCATCCTCCTCTTGCGGTGTTGCGGCGCGTTTTACTCTCACTGCCGACCCAGAGCGGTAGCAATAGTGAAGAGCCAGTTCTGCGGGAGTAGGGCGTGATATAGGTTCCTGTCGCTGCGCCCGAGCAGTTCCATGTTATCCGTGATTCCGGTGTTCTTGTGTTAAATCGGTTGCCAGAATGACGCTCGGAAAACTGATTCTGGCTAAAGAAGAAAAGGTATTCTTCTCTAGGAGACAGGTATAGGACACCATATCGATGTTTTCGAAGGGGCGGCCAATAAGTTTAGCGGCATTGGCGACATGGGGAATCGGGATCCGATAGCGTCGACGAAGTCTCCCCCAGGATTTTGGCGTTCGAGGATGGTTTATGACTCGTTAAATCGTCGATTAGTTTCGCACGATGACTATTGTACCGTTGGTCCAAATGGGTAATGAACTCGTCGGCTGCCATGTCGTATGCAACCTCGGTGACGGTGTATCGCAGTCCCGGTTACAGGATGTGCCGAACACGCGAGGCATTTATTTCAGCTTTCATACTAATTTGAACTCCGCGGTCGGCGATGTGCACCGTCTTCTTGTTCTGCAACCAGTAGCAGGACGATGGAGCGGGGGAATATTTCGATGTCAGGCAGCTCGCCAGGGAGCACCTTTGAAAAGCCTATTATATTTGTGTACGTGGGAGTTGTTCGTTAGGTCTAAAGCGTCTGTTTTCTAACCGGAGAAGGTCTCCTTGTACCACTAAGGGAGCCAAAACGGGAGACGAGGGCTATGTCTAGCCTCTGTGGCAGCGAGAACCAGCCGAATCTTGCTCCGCGCTTTGACAGGTCCGCGCCGGAGCAAGTCTGCGTATGCAACGATGAGCTGGTAGAGGTTGGAGATTACTCGAGGGTGTTTTTCGAAGATGGTGGACAACGACCGACGGTACGGCAACAGAACAAAGGAGTCGAGGCGGGACTGAAATGACCAAGGCAATAGGGTTTGTCAGCTTGTTATGGAAACAAATGCGCATCGATATCCAAACTCCTGGGAACTGGGATCGGTCTGGAATCATACAGAACGACGTCTGTCTCTCGTCGGATACTGACGAAAAGATAAGGTAGACAGTGTGAGTGAGCCAGGGTCGGAAAGAGGAAGACGGATCAGAAGCCCTGTACTTGGACGAGGTAAATTTCAGGCGCAGATCGGGGGCGGCGGTGAAGAGCCGCTAGAGAATCCAGGTCTCTGCGGAGGGCACTGTCTCGAGGAGGTACCTATGCGAAGGAGATTTGGCTGGGCTTCGTGTGGGCGCATCTGCGAGGGTTTAAATATTTTCAGGGTACCGGATGCTGTATCGGTGCATCCTGCCTGGGTTTTGAAAAATTAGGTCGAGCAAAAAGCCTGGCTAGGGTAGTCGATGCTGTGCTGGCTAGCTGATGTCGGCCCGGCTGCAACAATGCTCTGACTGGTAGTGATTGGTGGACAACTGCGGAAACAAACCGCCCCCTCCTCGTAATTGTGCACTACCTCTGCTGTACACCCACCGTGAGGCTGTGCATCGGCGCCGATTCGATCACGTCGTCACCTCCAGCTAACTCAGATTCTTCGCTCTCCAAAAACCGTCGCTCCCTTCCTTACAACCAAATTAGCTATACCTATCTCATTCTCAACCCTTTGTTAGTACCATCACTCTACTACCACTACCACTACCACTACCACTACCACTACCACTACCACTACCACTACCACTACCACTACCACTACCACTATCACTACCACTATCACTACTCTCAGACATGCCCGCAATCGACGTGCAAGCGCACTCGTGCGAGTACTGCCGCTTCCTCGTCATCGATATCACTGCCCAAGACAGTGACCGAGACCGCCGGCAGCGCCGGGGCCGCGATGTAGACGCCGACTACGACGACATGAGCCGCGACAATGCCTTTTTCGCCTTTACGCTCGACGATGTAGGCACCGCTGACGCCAACGGCTGCCTCTTCTGCACCTGCTTCCTCGATGACGAGATCGTGTCCCGCGAAACCGTCCTGCCCCATATCCCCAACAACCTCCCCCCGGACGACCCTTTGCTGGCGTCATGAGCGTGTTGCAGGACCAGGCCTTCGTCATCACCCCCTAGTCGACGCCTCGCCGTCGGGACGCTCGCTGCGCAGCATTATCGAGCAGCAAGCCGAGTTCTTGAGAATCAAAGACTACCGCTTGATCGCCCATCCTTACCAGGGCTCTGGGATTCTTCTCGACATTTTCAGATTTGAGTTTTTCGGCCTCTGGAATCCGGCAACAAAGAAGATGACGCACCGCACAAAGCATGGCTTCTAGGCCTACTCGGACTCGGACAGCCCAGTGTCCGAGCTTACCACCACCAGGTCAGTCGAGGCTGAGCCCGGAGCAGCCGCGGGCTTCGAGAAGCTTTCTTTTTGGCTGGAGAGTTGCCGTGCAACACACCCAAAGTGCCAGGCAATGGCTGCTTCGGCGGCCCAGAATCCCGACATGGCACCGGCGAGGCCCATTCGGATCGTCGACTTATCTCAGAGCCGAGAGAGCCACTTTCTGCGTCTCATGAATGTCAGCTTCTTCGAGGTTCTCCCGCAATACTTAGCCCTAAGCTACTGTTGGGGTGGCTACCAGGCGCCCAAGTGCGCTAGGTCGAACCGGATGAGCTTGGAGCAAGAGATCCCGTTCGCAGATCTGCCGCTGACGCTCCGAGACGCCGTGCGCGTGTGCAGGCCGGCTTCGACTACATCTGGATCGACGCCCTGTGCATCCTGCAAGACGACACAGCCGACCAAGCGCGGTGCAACTCGACATCCCCCCCGAGCCTATCGACGCGCGAGGCTGGACGCTACAGGAGCGACTCCTGTCGCCGCGGACCATCGAGTACGGAACATGGCAGACACGCTACATCTGCCAGGAGTCGGCATACAAGCGTGACTACACGGACGGGTGGCGCCGCGATGCCGACTACAACCACCAGCACAAAGACACGCTCGACCTCGAGCCTCTATTACGTGACGACTCCAACAAACAGGGCAGCCACAGAAGAATGAGAGATTTGCCGCCGATTTCTTGCGAGACTGGGATCAGGTCCTGCGGACCTACACCAGCCGCCAGCTGACCAGGTCGACGGACCGTCCGCTGGCTATATCAGGAATTGCGGAGAGATTTGCCTCGATCCTTAACATCGACGGTGTCGGCAGCTGCTACGTTGCCGGCTTGTGGAAGCCGTTCCTGTACTACGGGTCGATGTGGCACATTGACCGCGACGCCATCGCTCCGCGCCCGGTCGAGTTCCAGGGTCAGTCCTAGTCCTGGACGTCTGTCAACAGCGTCTTCCCGTCCTGGTACCCGTCGCCGGACGAAGAACTGGCGGCAGCACCAGCCTCCTCTTTCGGGGTCGCGGGGGGAGCAGCGGGAAGAAATACTAGAAACGCCGCTTCCGTCATGGTTCTGGAGGTCCAGCACTACACGGCCGGCGCCTCTTGGGGCTGCTGCGGCCGAGTGCTGCGGCGCGCCAAGTGCACGCCGTCCGACAACCCGTTCGAGGGTTCTGTTTTTAGGCGGGTGGGCACGTTCGAGTACGCGACGCACCGCGAGGGACAGCGGACGGGCGAGAGCTGGGACGAGTGGGAGAGGCGCATCGAGACCGACTTTTCCTGGTTCAAGAACACTGAGCCGAGGGAGATTGAGATCTTGTAACTAGGCCAGGAAGACAAAGTTGGTTTTGGTGTTGAATACGGATTTGGATTTTTGGTCGGAGTTGGGATACATAGCACCTAGAATCTGGGATACATAGCATCTGGAATCTAGGATACATGGCACCTAGAACCACGAGTTTTGGATTGAAAATCGATACATGACACTTTCAGCCAATAACAGCAACTCTACGGAGTATGCCGCGCTTATGCAGCAGATGCTGGCTATATCGGTTCTATTTCTATTACACAGGGCATATAGTTTTCAACACGACTTTCTTAGCTCTCGGCAGGCGCTCGTCTGCTGAGTCTGTTCCGTTTAGCTGGAACTCTGCTCAGTGGCAATTTTCATTATATGAAAAGAAAGAAGGGGCAAAAGCATGAACAACGGGAAAATAAAACCTTCCATTCTTGCACCCCTTTTTCTCGAGACTACAGCTCACCAGGGCCTTGGTCTGATCTGCTGTCCTACGCCAGCCCTTTCCTGGAATATCTGTCCGCCCAAGCTATAGGCGCGCGGTAGTGACATGCCTGAGACGACCTTCACATGTGTCAGAACTCCCGCTCAAACCAAATTAGTTCTCGACGCCGCATCTAATCAGGCCGGCCCGACAGAGCTAGTAGACTAATTACGTAGGTTTTCGTGTGACAACTAGAGGCTTGGAGCATCACTTGGTCTGCAGCAGTGTGGTGTCTAGTATTTGTTCGAGTATCCAGGACTCGTCTCTTGCTACAATACTTCTGCCTCAGGTGCCTATAAGTCTGATAGACGCAATCTTACAGTTACAGGGCGTTCCCATTTGTCGACAACCGCCCAGAAACGCAAAGTGCGGAATTTCATTCATTTCTACTACGTACTCGCCCGTGGTAACGGTGCTGGCTCGTGACTGATGAGAGGCCAAGAAGCATCATTTTGGAGCTGATGTCTCTCGGCTGAAGTTGGGGCGACCGCTTGACATCTACTGATAATGACCACCGGTAGTATTTTCGAAGCTCATGCGCAGGCGACTGTAACCGATGCCCCTATCATCTGGTCTGGTATGACGGTGACCGTCCGGTTGAGACTCCGAACGACGTTAGAGAGCGTGGTTCATTTCGCGTTCTTGTTTTGCTTCATTTCCGACGGTCGATCCGCAACTGCCCTGCGAGGATGGTAGCACCCCAAGGTCATGTCGTCTTGGGGGACAAGAGCTGCTGACGTTCTCCAACTATTTTGCCGGCTCCCGTGAGGGCGCGTTGGCGCGTTGGCGGAACCCACGACACCCCAAATGGGAAGGTCGCAAACTTCCCATGCTGTGTTTCAGGATCTCCAGAGATCCATGCTTTCACCGCCAGCTTACCTGGCAAGGTACCTCGCATGGACAGCAAGCAAGGCACGTCGACGCATCGGTCAAATCGGGCGCCGAATATCGGCCGGGCGGCAAGGCAGGCAGTCGGGGTACAGCCCTTATACAGCAGGCAAGATGCATATTACCACGTGTTGATCGACGGCGCCCGGCAACAGCGTTTATGTGCCTCTGGAAACCATTGGCTTCCGCGGCTTTATTGGCTTACACGGCGTCCTCGTGTCCTGCCTGCAATCAAAGCTCACCGTTCTTCCCCGCATCCCGTGCTACTCTCCACAAAAGGGGGATGCTACGCTCGGCCAAAAAAGAAAAGGGGCCCGGGGGGGGAGGGGATAGGGTCATGCGGCCGAACTCGCCTGTGCCATCCAAAGTCGTGCGGTGCGCCGCACAATACCCACCGCCCCTGCGGTAGTTGCCTGCCGTGACGGATCGACGGCGCACGCAAAAGCTGGGGAGTTGGGGTAGAGAGGGAGGTACCTACCAATTATGATCTTCCAGTTAGTGGGGGAAACAACGTCACAGCCGTGGGCCGTCACGGGCGTACAACCTTGCGCGTGAGGCAGGCACAACCTACACGGGGTGACCCGGTGGGTCGTGGTTTTTTGGCGACCTGCTGCTCTGGTAATGGGACGAATGTAAGGCAGGTGCGAGACAAACCGCGAGCCTGGTAGACTTCGGAGATGGAACTGTAATTAGGGAAAACTTAATTTTGCGCTCGTTCTTATTTGTAGGCGTGCTCGTGCTCTTCCCCGTTGAGTGCGCCTTCCGTCCCGGACTTGCGTTGATATCACGTCTGGGTGGTAAGACCATCGACCTAGCGCTGGCAATCGTGACGACACCACAAAACACAGGTGCGATCGACGAGCCGTCACCGCCCCACCGGTACAATGGGAGGCCCCCGCCTCTGCACGCTCTTGATTCTGGCCACGACGGCCTGGGCAAGAGCCCTGGCTCCCAGAGCCCCGTGTCAGGGCTACCAGGCGGCAAACGTGCTGCTATCTGATTCCTATCTCGTCGCCGATCTCGCCTTGATTGGAAACTGCAGCCAGTACAGCCCTGATATTACGAACCTCAGGCTGCTCGTCGAGTATCAGACCGGTAAGGGTGCCCCGCAACTACCGCAGATTATGCTTCCCCGCGGGCCACGGCGCGACGGGTTAGCCGAGCTGTGCCGAGACTGAATAAACCGCAAAAAAATTCCCAGACACGCGGCTGCACGTTTTGATCACAGACTCGGACTACAATGTCTACCAGGTCCAGGATCAGGTCTTACCGCGGCCCAACAGCCAAAATGCCACTACAACCAACGCCAAGATCCAGTTCGCCTTCACCAAGAACCCCTTTTCCTTCAACGTCACCCGCACAAGCACCGGCGAAGTCCTGTTTGATACGTCGGCTGCCCCGCTCATTTTTGAATCGCAGTTCGTCAGTCTCCGAACCCGGCTTCCGCAGAATCCTAACTTGTATGGCTTGGGTGAACACTCCGACAGCTTCCGGCTCCAGACCAACAACTACATCCGCACCCTATGGGACGCCGAGTCTCCCTTCATTCCAAACCAGCAGAACCTCTATGGCAGCCACCCAGTCTACCTGGACCACCGGGGTGCGTCGGGAACCCACGGCGTTTTCTTGCTGAGCTCTAGTGGCATGGACATCGAGATCGGCCAGACAGCTTCGGGCGACCAGTTCCTCGAGTACCGTACCATTGGCGGCGTGCTCGACTTTTACTTTCTTGCTGGGCCAGATCCAGCTGCCGTCAGCAAGCAATATGCCGAGGTCGTAGGCTTGCCGGCCATGGTGTCTTATTGGACCCTCGGCTTTCACCAGTGCAAGTACGGCTGGCCCAACATTGACTACGTCGCCCAGGTCGTCGCCAACTACTCGGCCGCCAACATCCCGCTCGAGACGGTTTGGGGTGATATTGATTACATGGACAACAAGCGTGACTTCACTACGAGCCCGGTGAACTTCCCGCTGGCCAAGGTCCGGCAGCTCGTCAGCTCTCTCCACGAAAACAACCAGCACTACGTCGTCATCCTCGATCCAGGCATCAAGAACGACGCTAGCTACAGCACCTACGCTCGAGGCGCGCCGCAGAGCGTCTTCCTCAAGGCGGCTGACGGCTCTTACTATCGTGGTAGCCAGTGGGCCGGCGAGGTCGTGTGGCCCGACTGGTTCGCGCCGAAGACACAGGACTGGTGGAGTAATGAGATCAAGATCTTCGCTGACCCGGGAACCGGCGTCAACGTCGACGGCCTGTGGACTGACATGAACGAGGTGTCCAATTTCTGCAACAACGTTGCATGCACCAACAGCCAGGCTGCTGTCGTCGGCCGGACGCCACCGCGACGACGTCCCCGGCGTGCTGGTGACGGCCCGGGACCCATGAAGGGTCTTCCGGGCCGTAGCCTCTTCCAGCCGGCATACCGCATCAACAACCATCAAGGTGATATCGCAGCCAAGACGCTCGATACCAACGTCACAAACGCCGACGGAACTGTTCAGTACGACACCCACAACCTATACGGCACCATGATGGCAGGGGCCACGCGGCAAGCACTTATTGCCCGGACGCCCGGTAAGCGGCCGTTCGTGCTGACGCGCTCGACATTCGCGGGCGCCGGCCGGGTAGCCGCTCACTGGTTCGGCGACAATTTCTCGTCGTGGGATCACTACCGCACGACAATCCGGCAGCTCCTGGCCTTTGCAACCATACATGCAATGCCAATGGTTGGCTCTGACGTTTGCGGATTCAACGGTGCCGCGCAGGAGAACATGTGCGCGCGATGGGCGGCGCTCGGTGCGTTTCAGCCCTTCTACCGCAACCACGCCGATATTTCGGCTCCAGACCAGGAGTTCTACCGATGGGCTTCGGTTGCCGACTCGGCCCGCAAGGCCATCGCTGCCCGCTACCGTCTGCTTGATTATCTGTATACCGCCATGCACCGCGCTACGTCAATTGGCGACCCTGTCGCAAGTCCCCTGTGGTTCCCATACCCAGCTGACACCAACACGTTTGGCATACAGACACAGTGGTTCCTGGGAGACGCGCTGCTCATTTCCCCGGTCGTCGACGATGACTCGACGAGCGTGACATTCTACCTGCCAAACGATATCTTTTACGACTTCTGGACACACGCTCCCGTGCGCGGGGCCGGCGCGGCCGTCACCGTCAATGACGTGGCCTGGTCAGATATACCCGTGCACATCCGTGGCGGCAGCATCGTCCCGTTGCGTGTCAACTCGGCCAACACCACCACGCAGCTGCGCCAGCAAAACTTCACCGTGATCGTGGCCCCGGGGCTCGACGGCACTGCTAAGGGGTATCTGTACCTCGATGACGGCGAGAGCTTGGACGTTGGCAGCCAGAGCTCGGACATCGTCTTCACGTGGGACGGCCAGAAGTTCCAGGCCGACGGTACGTTTGGATACGCGACAAGAGTCATAATCGAGAGCGTTGTTGTGCTTGGCGGTAACGGGTCGGCAGAGGCCGAGTCACGAGCACAAACGCATCATGGCCCGTGGGCCTTGTCCGAGGCGTTTGGGTTCCGTGCTTGATCGTTGCTGGATTTCTGTGTTTTCTCTTCTTCAAGATAGGACACGAGGTTTTCTATTTCTGGTTATCTAGGGGCGGACAATGCATTGGGGACATGGAAGAGCCGGGGCGGTTGGAAATGGGCATTCATTCCTAGGGGCATTAGCATCGATAAGGAGGAGCATTGCTACAGAGGACGGGTATGCCTGAGTTTTCGGGCCAGGAACGACTTACCTTTCCATGGTGTTATGGTTTTATGGTTTTATGGTTTCATATGTTCCAATTAGCGTATTATTTGCAGATAATAATTAGTTTTGCATTATTATCACGTTTCCTATTGGCTGGATTCCATATGAACCCGATTTTACCATGCAGGTGGGGGGTCGCCCGGAGGTCATTGCACACTCGGTTTCTCCCCACCAGTAGTACGTACGTACGCACCTAAGTATTTACGTCCTTTGATGAACCACGAAGTGGACAGGCAACAGCGGCCGAATTACATGCCCTCCATCAACCATTCATAACATATCTAGAGCGAGCCTACTAATGTTCGCCATGAGACCGCTGCACTTCCCCGACTCGCCCCCGGCACTCGTGTGCTGGCTAAGAAGCGCGGCGAGGGGCTGTTTGAGTGGCTCGATGATTCTGGGCGTACGTGATGTTTTCTCTCTCTGTTCCTTTTTCACATAGTTGTTCGAGGCTAGGTCTATCCTCGCTGCCGCTGCCTCTCCCTTCGCGGCAACAATGACGATCACGATGAATAGAACCTAACATGTATGTACCTACCTCGCAGGCCGAGAATTCGGACCCCTCGTCGCCGAGCCGCACGACCCTTACACCGAGCCCATCGACTACGAGGCCATCGGCACCGTGAAAACATACCCATTCAACGAGCCACCGCTATCACGCTCGGCATCGGAGTTGCGGTTTGAAGTGATTCGTCTCCAAGAGGCCGTCGACTCGTCGACTGAACAGGCTCTCAAGAAAAAACTGATTGAAAAGCAGAAGGAAAAGAAGGAGATAATTAAGGGAGCACGTGAGGGGGTTGGTTAGACGGTTATCCCTTTTTGATACTGAGCCTTCAGTTAGGTCTACGTCTTGCGTTAGTCGAAGTTTCGGGGATTTGTCTCAGATCGAGGATTGATCTTCGCTGCTGGCCGCTACGCCATCCCCGACAGCCGCTGGCACCCCGGCGGCATGCGCGACGGCCTGCTGCGCGCGCTGCGCCCTGCCGACGAGGGCGGGGTGGGCCACGCTGCTGAGTACTAGGACTGGTGCGAGGAGCGGGTGCGTGATTTTTAGTGATCACGCCGCGATGGCAGTGGAATTAAATTCTCAGGGTCCCTGACGGGCTCTAGTCAATATACCCTTGTTTATTTATATCCCTGCCGACCCGGCTTTTCGTGTCATAGCAACTGATGAAATTGTACTGCTAGCGCCGCGCAAACTCGGCCGCCGCGAACCACCTACCGGCCTAGTTCGGTAGGCTGGCCTCAGTCAGGGGCCCGCGGGGCAGGAAGAGCTGCGTCCAGGTTGAAGAGAAAGTCATGCTTGGCATGCTTTGCCGTCATGTTTCACGTCCGCGATTTGGCTGCTGTCAAAGGACATGAAATAAATAATAGGCGGAGTCGGTGTTGATCTAATCCCGCCGAACTTGCCGAGGATCGGAATGAAACCTGGCTCGGACAGTTATCACCAGCTAGTAAAACAGGGATTCGCGAGCATTGTGTAGGTAGATCCCGCATAGCCAAGCTAATTGGGCACCTTAGTGTTGCATGCCCTCCGCGTGTCACTCTGGCTGTTAATATTCCCACTCATGTGGCTCCCGACCCCGCTTCGATTCGTGCATGTCCCACACACTCTTAACCATGTCCTGTGGCCCCAGGTTCTCTCGTAATCTAATGGTGGCGAGAAGAAGAGCGAGCAATGACTGAACAATGTGTAAGACTTCAATCTGGCCCTCTCAGAGAGAGGTGGGCGAGGGACATGACGCTTCTATATTACCAGATAGATTGTCCTCCCCTTGAGCAGGAATATACGCAATACTGTGGCTTCTTGCAGTCTGTGAATTATTGAGAACACTGGGAGATGTGACAACGAAGGTAAAATGTGTAACGGCAAAAGAAAAAACGGGACGTCATTTTCCTCCTACACTTTGCTCGTTGGGCCTCTAATCCTGGTTGCCACTCTAGGGAAGTGGAACTCTGTGCCACCTGACAAGGTATTGCTTGAGATCTTCCGGCTCGAGAAAGTTCGACGTCCAGTTGTGGGCTCCGTTCAAGTGTCGTAGGAATCCTTCTCCATCCGACCACGGCTTGTTCTTCATGTGGCAGCCATCAACAATGCACTGGAGGTACCAGACTCCCTCGGAGTCATCGTTAGTCTCGACAGTAGCCCTGCCGTCATGGTTAGCAACACCGCTCTAGGAGAACATGAGGCATGGCGCGGTGACGACTCACAGTGTCCCAGGATCATCGAAAGTTTGAAAGTACCGCGATAGTGGAGGAAGAGGGTTCCTGTGATAGAGTTAGATCGGCCGCCCGCTCTACTTCAGAGCCCCCCGGCAAAGAGTGGATGGACTTACGAAGGCACGGGAACGCCAATTGGTGGTGTTTTCATGCCTAGTGTAAAGTCTTGAGGAGCTTCCAAATGGCTGCTCCATCCCGTACTGGTGCCCGAGGCAACATCGGAGGCTGGCTTTCGGAGCATCTCGACAACTTTGTCATGCTCTCCCGCAGTGGCCAAGTCCAAGGGCGTCTTCCTATTCTGATCAGTGGCGTATATGCTCTCCTCGTCATTCCGAAAACGGTATCTCTCCAGGAGCAGGGAAACGACTTCCTCATGACCAAAGCCGGCAGCGTAGTGGAGCGGGGTGAGTAAGCAGTCGTCGCGCGCGTTATGTTCGACGTCGAGCTCGAGCAAGAGCTTGACACACTGCGAGTGGCCCTGGATGGATGCAATATGGAGCGGTGTGAGACCAAGACGGTCTTTGTGCCGCGCCATCTCGAGCGAGATGACGCTTTTTGGGTATTCATCAAAGGCTTCATAGTAGAGGGCAACGTGCAGTCGATTTCGGCCGAAGATGTCCGAACTTGGTAAATCCAATGACAGAAGAGCAGACCGGGCCAGTGGGGCGCCGCCAATCAGTGGCAGTTTCGAAGATGAAGGCGCAAGGGCAGGATTTCTTCTGTCGTATATCTGTTTCAGCCGAGCCGTGTATTCCAGGGAACATTTGTGGTATCGAGAGACAGTATCGAGTGATTTCTCAGGTGGAGAGCCAAGGAGATAGACGAGCCGGCCTTCGATCATTGACATTTCAAGTTCGCAGCATCCAATCTGGTTTTGTCGCTTCCCACAAAAGGAGTCGCTCGCCAGGTCCACGACCATGGCCTCGGACGTGGGAACTTCCATATGCCAAGGGCTGGTCTTGAGTCGAGCCAGAATATTCATCGCTGCCCATGGAACGCCAGCCGAAGTCGATCCGAGTAGATTGTCAACCGCTTGCATGACAAGGCAAAATTCGGACTCGGACCTCTCGCCCAAGAGGAGAAAGTACGAAGAAGATACCGTACGCTGGTTCGGATCCTGGAGGCGGCAAAGGTCCAACCTCTTTTCGAACTGACGGAGGTGAGACAGTGAGTGCCTGACCCTGTGGATCCATGAGGCCTTGAGTGAGCTTTAATCTGGGTCAGTCACTGACTGCAGAACGATGGCTGCGCAAAGGGGAAGCAGAGGGTGTGGGAGCGTACAGAATTTCAACGGTTCTCCAGTTTTCTTGGATGCTATCTGAACCGTCCGTATCCTCAATAACAATGGGCTCTATCTGCGCATGTCCGGCGCTTGACCTATCGTCTCTGGAGATTGGCTGCGGGTCTGCCGCGCGCTGGCTGGCAGAACACTCCAGTTCCAAATCAGCGCAGCGGTCGCACTTCTGGCCAGGCCAGATGCGGTCAGAGGGGGAGCACTATCCACTTCTGTGGTCAATATCACGATTTGCACGAGTACGGAGCAGGTGCAGTTTTGGAAGAACAAACCCTCTTCTTGTCCTTTCGACAATGGACACATTTTAGGTAATTCAACCGTCGTCGTTTTTGCGGACGCTCCTGCCCAGTACGGTCCATCGGAATGGCCTGTATATGAGGGCTCCAGAGCTTTGATTCAGATCTTTCGATATCTTGCCTCGTTTCAGAGCATGTCGAAGGTAGTGGTCAAAGAGATGCTGGGGGCCGCAGCACTTTCAAGCTGACGTATGTAGGCATATATGGAGGCACCAATTGCGCATTGTCGCACTGTCAACCCGCGATTACCGCGCGAATGGCGGGAATGACCTTACCAAAAAGTAAACCCCACGGGCCAGCGGTGAGCTGCCTGTCCCGGGTACTGTAGGTACAGTACAGTACAAGGTGTGGGTCGGCTCTTCGACTACGTATGCCGGTAATGCAACCGGTGTGCAGGGGTGACCTGCACACTGGCAAGCGGTTGACAAAAAAAAGCGAACACATTACTTCGCAGTACTTCTCTCCAGGCCAAATATACACAAAAATATAGGTATCGTTATGTACTGAAATCTTACCACCTAGTCAAAAGACTCTCGGCCTCTAACACATCTTGCATCCGCCTTACCATGGAATCCACGTACCCATTAATTTTCGCTTGGCTCAGTCGGCTCCATCCTTCAACCGCCAGGTCCATGATATTTGCTCCAATTCGAAGATTGGCACAGATATACTGCTTTACAGCCCTCCAGCAATTCTCAATTGGCGATAAATCCGGGGAGTCGGGCGTATTGAAATAGTGCTTAAGTTCATGGGCTTGCTTCCACTGAATGCCATGGAACTGTTGCAAAATTGGTAGTGTATGATAGTGCAGCGCCACTCGCACGGACCATTGATTTTGAGTGCTCGCTTTTTGTTTTGTTAGACGACTTGCCGTCCGAAGCTCACAACCCAGTCGTGCACGTGTGGTACATGCGCGCATACTTCACAGCCCTCCTAAGTATTACTAAGTATACCAAAACGGACCACACCTAAATCATCCACCGCCGGTCGCAAGGCGCCGCCACAGATTCTCAAATTGTGGGCCAGCGCGGAAGCCCTGACCCCTGACTTTACCGGGCCATGGGGGGGAGCTTACCTATAACACGTCGGATTGTAGTTGTAAGGCACACTTTACACACCACCAAAAAAAAAAGATGTTGCCGCACCCACACACCTGTCGCAAGGCGCCGCAACAGATTCCCAAATTGTCGGCCAGCGCGGAAGCTATCGCAGTAGTCGCACTGCGTGATTATAAGTTCAACTAGTTCGGAAGGTGTGCAGTGTGTCGAAGAAAGATGACTCGCACCGACCTCTCTACCCATTCATTCTCCGTTGCACTTCCCTCCCATCGCAGAGCCACCCGAACCTTGTATGGCCCGGTCCAGAGAATGCAACAGTCGAGCCCGTCCATTTCGCCAGAGGTCATTGTGGCCATCGCGCTGGGGATTCCTGCTCTATTTATCGCCCTGCTGTCCCTCTGGGTGACATACCTTAGCTTCACCCTCTCCCGGTCGCACATCCGCCCAAGATCCGCTGTCTGGACAGTGGCTTTGAGGCCGATTGAGCATCGATTCCAGGCCACTGGGGCCGAACATGACGAGCTTCCGACAGTGCCTTATTCGGCGTGGCGTCGACACTGAGCCTGTAACCCCCTTCCCCGGCGAGCGCCTCCGCCGTCGCTGCTGGCTTCTCATAATAGTGCAGCTGTGAGTGCGTTCATGGTGATTCCCGGGAGCACGGTATCTGACCCAGACCATTTGGTAGATCCTGGGCTGTGCCCGCCCGCTCTATACGACAACATCGACGGCGTCCGTTCTTGTGAAGACAATCGGTACAACACGGGGCGATTACTCAAGTCGCTTGAGCAACCTTTGGGGCCCGTCTCGTTGCAGCTAGCTTCATGAGTACTTGGGCCGCTGCATCACCGCATTCATCTGATTCAGCTAGGGTCGGTGCCCCGCCATTATATGTAATAATTAGCTTTCTTTCTGCACGAGTACCGTCCATCAACAAATCTTGATCGATATATTCCCACATAGTTAAGCGCGCACTGGGGGACTGCAGGGTTTCACAAATATCCCAGCTTGTATACCAAGTGACTCGAGGACGTGGCTGCCCAGCCCGTCAGGACGCCGCCGTCAAAGTTTTGTAACACCCAGTCCTTGCCCTCTCCTGGCAGGTAGAGATGTTATAGGTCACGACCTAGAGCATTCAGTACGAGTCATTAGGTAGAGCTTCTCTATTAGGCCTCTGAGTTTCTCTCTCAGTTATGCCTTAACGCAAATTGCAGAAGTAGGTACCCAATTACCTTGGATCTGGTTTACAATGCAAACAGAGTTTTCGAACAAAGCCTCTCTTCACCATATCTCGCACAGAACGACCATCTCCTTCTCTCAAACTCCATCCTGGCCCAGTTTAGTAGCAACTAAGCAGCGTGAGACAGCTTGCTCATCGCCGCATCTGCACCAGTACACGTCTGACGCGAACCAGCTATTTCTCCCCGGCCTCCGCCTTGGCCTGCAGCTCCTTGATCTTGGCGTGGAACGTTCCGGTGGTGGTAGCGTCGACCCACTCGACGATCTTGGAGACCCTGGCGCCGTCGGCGCTGAAGTTGAGGAACCAGGCGAACTCGAAGTCGGCGAGCGTGGTGCCGTCGGCGAACTGCATCGTGTACGTGGAGGTGGCGGCGGCGGTGCGCGCGTCCGTGTCGATGGTGACGTTGGCGAGGTCAGAGCCCACACACCACCCGTACGGCAGCTCGGCCGCGAACGACGCCTCGTACGCCGCGTTGTCGAGCCCGACGCCCGGCGGCGCGCCGTACAGGACGAGGAACGACGCCGGGCTGAAGTAGCGCGTGCAGTCGGGCGTCAGCACCGTCGACAGGTACTTGGTGTCCTTGTGCTCGCTGGCGACCTGGTACCCGCGGACGAACATGTCGACTGTCTTTTTGATTGCCTCCCTGAGCTCAGCGTGGTGGGCGGGAGACATGTTGGTCTGGTGTTGTTGGTCTGGTGTTGTTGGTCTGGTGTTGTTGGTCTGGTGTTGTTGGTCTGGTGTTGTTGGTCTGGTGTTGTTGGTCTGGTTGGTTGCTTCGTGTTGAAATGCTGTGGGCGGTAGGAGATGATGATCGAGGTGTCTTGTTGAGAATGCTGACGCGAGAGTGGCTTTATACACGATTGAATAAGCCAGGCTGACTAGGCTGAGTCCGAGAGTCGACGGTCCTCAAATCCTTCGGAACCCGGCCGGGTTAATGAGTGCCAGAATTGTCAGCAGCATTTTTTCCGCCGATAGCTCGGCAACGGCGAATCCCTGTTAAGACACCAAGCTGTTTCGAGGAATCACTACCACCAATCATGCTGGATTTTTGGCAGTCTTGTGTGAACGATTATTGGTTCAAATTTACTTCAGTGTTGGAGGTCCCACCTATTATTCGACGGCGCTGAGCCTGCAGCAAGAGGTATGCTGTTGGGCCGGGCATTGCAACGTAGTCTATATGTTTGGGAATTGCATCCCTGTAACCAACGAGCCCAGGCACGTTGTCATTGGTGCAGGTGCCCATGGAGACGATTTACGCACTAAGCAGAAACTTGCCCGGGAGCAAATAGAATCCGGAGAGCAGGGATCATGGTGTGCCTCGCAACTGCAACTGCAACTGCAACGGGGGAGTATTATACAGTACCCGGACGACGATCATCCTATAGAAAGAGTCAACCGAAGGCTGAGAGATATTATTCCACAAGTAATCATTGCTAATTCGAGTCTATTACTGAGGACTATATTTAGAAGTTAGATTTAATTGTAAATACTCAGCACTGCTCAGGAGTCTTGTTAAACCGGGTCATAAAACTCGTTCACTTGACTGGAACCTTTTAAGCAACCTGCACATGCATAAGGCAATCACGGATGCTGAGTTAAGTGGGGAAGAGACCCAAGCCTGATTCAAACTCCTGTATTCGTACACCTGGATGTATATCATACCCTTCCATTTTCCATTGTCCGTAAATTTAAAACGACCGTTGTCAAAGGCCAAAAGCAAAGCCAAGTACTTACCTTACGTATTCATAACCAAGTTCGTACGTAATATCTAGTTCTGCCCAACGACATGCAGAGTGCGAGTCCTGTGATTTATTCGTCGTCTCCAATGCGGATCCGGCCCTGCGAGGCCAGGCCGTGCGACCAGTAGCCGCCAATGTCAATTTTGGTGTCGGCAAGGGCGCGGTGGCTGATCAGCAACCAGAGCCCAAAGACGGGCTTGGCCAACACGTCAAGCACGGAGTAGATCATGATCTCGGTGTCGACGCTTGTCTTGTGCGCGCCGTCTGCGATGCCCCACACACTAGCAGAGTGTATGTCAGCAATCTGGGGCGGGAATTCAAGAAGCATGATAACCAGAGCGCTTACATTGGATATGTGGTCCACAGAAGCAAAGAAAAGATGGCAAGGGAACTGAACAGTCTCGTGACGGCCGAGCCCTTGGCCGAGACCGTGCGGGAGCCGTGCAAGCCGACGTGCCAGATGACAAACAGGTATGAGACGCAGCCGATGGCGTACCAGCCCCAGCGCTGGGCGGTGCCCGAGTCTCCGAGCGAGGCGAACAGCCCGCTGAGGATCATGATGAGGTCAGCTACGACGGCCATGAGGGTGTGGGCGCCGTCGATGCCGGCCAACAGGGACAGGTCCAGGATCAGCAGCGGCGTGGTCAGGGCCCAGTCGACGTAGCGGCCCCAGAAGACCTGGCGGCACACCTCGTGGGGCGTGTCGGGGACGTGCTTGTGGTGATCCCAAGCCGTGTCACAGCTGAAGGTTGAAGCGTGGCCCGACGCCATGGCGAAGTAGGACAGCGTCGCGATTATGGTGATCAGGGTCGTTATGACGTGGTATACCCGTCGAGACACGGGCACGTTCCACGACATGGCAGCAAATACGCCCGACGACGCTAGCATGAGGGCGAAAACAATCCATAGCGCACGATGGCCCTCGGCACCGGTAACCTCATATCGTGTCGGGGTTGCTGGAGAGCTTTCAGCAAGGACGAAAACATCATTTAGCCAGGGAATAGGTCAAACACACGGATGACGGTAGGAATGGGCCCTGGCGCTGCCGTGTTTGTTGTCGTCGGCGACAGGGTCTTCAGCATCTCCGCGACCTGGTCTGGATGGATCATCGTTCCTGAATTTCGGTTTCAGCCGATTATGGAATGGCGGGATTCTGGTCTATTTCGTCTTTATGGCCTATTTCGTCTTTAGAAAGGGAAATTAGGAGATAAAAGATTAAGACGGAGGGACACCTCCAGCTCCCATATTATACACACACTGAGTAAGAGCCAAGGGGCGGAGAAACGCGTCACCTCGTGCAGCCCGCACATCTGTTAAGCAGAATCGACGTCATCATTCTCATGTTTCCAGTCAAAGAGGCAGCATTCGCGCACCCGATTCGACGCCTTCAAATAGCCACTGCGGGGAAAAAGTAAAGGCGAGGAACAACATGCGGGTGAACGTCAGGCTCCCGGTTCGAGCGTTGCAGGGGAGGTACACTGAGACCGCGTCCGAAACATGGTTGCAGGTGTCCCATCGTCATCCAATTGAAGCTGCTTGCGTTGTGTAATGGATTTCATTTCAAGGAGGGAAGGTTTGGCTGTGGGCTGCCGAGGCGGCTGCATTCGAATGGTTGCTGCTGCTGTGTGTAACCGATTCGCTGCGCACGCTGAAGCGAGCCCGCCGCCCGCTTTCCGGCTCCACCAAAAGAAGAGCGCCATGCTCCGACCCCAAGGCCGGCTCTGCCTGTTAGAGGGGACTCTGCCTGTTAGAGGGGAGCTCTGGACGAAGAGGGAGGCGTGTCAAATTCGCAAAGAGCTCCAGAGGCGCAGAGGTTACGAGACGGATCTGACCAACAAGCCAATTTTGATTGGACAAGGTCGAGCAAGCAAGGGTCCGCAACCCCACAATGCCCCGCCAGAAAATGTCCGAGCCGGACGCCATTCGCTGTTGGCGCTGCGCCCAGGCGGCCCCAGCTCCGCTACGTCATTCCAAGCGCACTGAAGCTCTGAGCTGAGCACCCTCCGCCTGAGCCACCTGGCTTTGTCGGACGGCCTGGCCAGGCTCACAGGCCAACAAGGAAAGAACCCCCCCGAAGAACAGGCAAGAACTCACATGTTAGCTGACCAAGACGAGGCAACCGGCCTGTTTTCTTAACCCGAACTTGCCGCAAACACCAATTGAGCTCGCAGCGCGCAGAACAAACCCCCCCGAAAGCTCCTCCATCCCATCCTCCCCGACAAACCCACGCAGAGTCCCCCGCCAACCAAGCGCCGCCGACGAAACCCAAATCACCAAGCACACAAAAAGCACAGTCAGACCCCGAGCCGACCGAAATGGCCTCCGCCGCAGTCATGAACTGCCCCGTGGTCGGCACGACCAACATGACGCTGCCGCCGTCGCACCCGGACATCGACTTGTCGCAGCCGGGGCAGACGTGCCCGGTGGTGGGCGCGACGACGGACCACCACCACAACCTGCACCAGCACCCGCGGGTGGCCATCCCCGAGGGCCGGTCGCCGGCGGACGCGTCGGCGTGCCCCGTGCTCAATAACCAGGTGGTGCGCGAGCCCAAGGCGCAGGAGATGGACGACGAGGTGTGCCCCGTCGTCGGCACCGCCACCACGGTCCTGCCGCCCGACCACCCCAGCACCGACGGCCAGGCCGACGACGCCGAGTGCCCCGTCACGAAGGCCCGCGTCGGCCACCACAAGGGCAGGCTCTCGGGCCACCCGGACGTCAGCCACGCCCCGGCCGGCGCCGTGTGCCCGGTCGCCGGCCTCAAGGCCGAGGAGCTGCAGTTGGATGCTTGAGCTCCCCGGGAGAGTAAGGATATGGATATATGGGGCGTCTTCTCTTCCACGCCAATGGGGGCTAGGGGGTCAGGGCATTTGAGACTAGGCTTGGGGGTGGGTTTTCCTTCCGCATTTTGCATCAGCTGGCAGTTCGCCTGTCCAGTGTCGTGGTTCTCGGCCGGCCTTTATGACAACCGTTGTCTGGGTGGGTAGTCCTGGCCGTTATTGAGAGAATATAGCAGAGGCAGGTGACAATTGTTAGGATTCAAGCTTGATACTCAATTACATCCTGCACTCATGAAGTGCCGCTGGGCCCAACTTTTTTTCCCGACAACAGCCCCAAATGATACGAATACAGGAATTTTTATCTGTTAGCTGCCCAGATGTGCCCAGTAACTCGACCACTGCGTCTTGGCGTAAATCGCTTCTGGTGCCCGGCGAAGTACAACAAAGCTCTGAACCAGGAAGACGGTCCGGACGATCACAATAACTACCCCCGCCGTGATGCTTATCACGTCCTCGGCCGCTGGCGAAAGGGAAAGAGCATTCAGATACATCGCTGCAAGAATCAGAGATATCATTGTTGTAACGAAAATCAAGAGGATGGCAGACGTTCTCCATAGCCAGGCCCCTACTGCCGTCGGAAATGTATAATTCCATGCCCCGGCGTATATGGCCGAGCCTATCCAGGACGTTGGCGAGGAACCAGATTGTCTGCATGAGCACCAGTGTCTTGCCAATTGCGTCTTTCTGGCTTCTCCCGTCTATCCTACGATCGTCTGGGAAACCCTCGATTTTCAAGCCGTGGAGCTGAATGGCGGCAGGAAAAGTCACTTCCATGTCGTTGAGAGATAAGGGAGGGTCGCCGCGTATCTTGACGCCCAAATCGGTTACGAGAAACGACTTTTTCAAACTCCAGCCCTCAAAGCCAAGAAATTGACGAACAGATCCCAAAATATATAGAGCCGCGTGCAGGTGGCCCAACGCATCCCAAGCGGCAAATTCTGGAGCGACCAGCGGATCTATAGTCCTGTTTAAGGAGTGATTCATATCCTCAAAATCCCAGTGCTGCGCCGACCACGCGCAAAGGGCAATGGTGCTGAGACAGTTCCAGAGGATGCCGATGGTGCCGCAGCCGCAGTTGGGCTCGGGCACAAAGCCGACAAAGCTCATTGTCGAAGGCCGGCTTCTCAGGTTCGTGACGCAAATTATGACAGGGATTGATGAAGTCCGGCGACAGCAACTTATTGACATTGGACAAGCGATGGCGCGTGGACGACAAGCTGTCCGATGTAGACTGAAGATAACGCGGGGTGGGGTGAAAACGAGAGCAAAAGAGGAATCGCGTTCTCAGATCCAGCCTCCTCATTCTGCTGCATCGGCGGCCTCCGGATCGAGCAGCAGCCAGCTGGAAAGGGGCTTTGCTGCCTATTAACCACGTGCGCCTGGCAACCTGCCGAGAAATTGGGCGCCATTGAGGCTTGAGAATTGCAATTACCGCTTTGGGAATAACTGGAGAAAGCCCCCAAGACTAGCAAAGTATCTGTTGGAATCACCAGGTACCAGTACTGGAATCAACAGGGCGCGATGCGCGCCGTATACTGGTGGTTCAAGTGTTGGATTTCGTTGATGTCTATGTAGATCGAAGAAGGAAGGTGGAAGTGGCCTACGGCCACTTATTTACGTTCGGTGGCCCCGCGCCCCTGCGCCTCCACAGCCACATATGGCTGTTTGCGCCTCCACCGCCACATCTGTGGCTGACTAGCGCGTTGTTCCAACAGTATCATAGGGATATGAAACTTAGGCACCAAAATATAAAGAATTTGAGTGCTTATCGTAAGTAAGTAGGCCTAGTATGGATATCGTGAAAACTGCAAGACCGCTGCCCGTTTTCAAACAACATATATAGTATGCTCTTCGGTGGCCTCGTCAAACCCCCAGCTCGGCACGTCGCGCTCGCGGCCCCAACACCTTAAGTAAACGTCGTCAGACACACTACGCGTCTTGATGAAGAGGCCGATGCGGCGGAACCGCGCCATCTCGGCGTCGACGAGCTCCAGCACCACACAGCGGAACCTGACCACAGAGGCCGCGTGCAAGCTGGCCGCCGTGCCCGTGCTGTCGTCTGGCCGGTCGTCCTGCCAGGGGACGAAGTAGTACCTCTTCTGGCAAAAGGCGGCGGCTTCGGCGCGCGGCACGGCGCGGTCGAGGCACACCATGACCACCGCGGATGTTTTGTCCTGCTGGTGGGCTGCCGGCTCGTCACACCCGAGAGGCTGCAGTCTGAGCACAGAGCAGTCGCCGCTGTCTGCGTCGTCGGGTGATGGCACTGGAACTAGTCTCGCTGGCATTACACGGCCCACGACCTTGAGCTCGACGGGCGGCGCCGACAGGGGGCCGAAGATGTCTTCGACGATGGGCTCGTCCTCCCAACCGCGCGGTCCGTCGTGAGAAACATCGCCAGCAGCAGCCTCGGGCGGCCGCAGCCTGACGCACCGCGCATCGACCAAGATTCCCCTCGACAGCGGATCGCCAGGCATGACGCCGTGGTGGGGATTGTTGACCGAGGCCCACGAGAAGCTGGGCGCCTGATAGCGGTCAAAATAGCCCGCGTCGCTCGGTAGACCTAGAACTCCAGCATCTGGGGCGGGATGCTCGTGAGACCACAGCCGCCAGTCGGCCCAGTGGCGAGGATCGAGGCGCATCCACAGCACCTCGGCGGCGATTTGGCGCAGCCACAGGCCCGCGACGTACACGTCGTCGCCCCCGAGAACCGCCTTCATGTGCCGCGCGATGCCGCCCAGCGCCATCAGCTTGTCCGACACCTTCGTCAGCTCGCCCCGGGAATACGTCCGCACAATGTCCCGCCACGCCATGTAGTGTTGCATGCCGCCGCTGTCGCCATCGCCTTCAGTGGGGCTAGGAACAGAGCCCGCCGCCAGCCGCGGCTGGAGCGTCTTGAGGTGCAGCTCGTCGTCGGGGACGGCGAGGTGCGCGCTGTGCGGCGCGCGGGCGTCGCGGTCCGGAGCGCTCTCGCAGCAGGCCAGCTCGCGGCACTCCCAGAAAACCTCGCGGGCGCAGAAGTGCAGGTTCCGCCGCGACAGCAGCCGCTCCTGCAGCACCCAGCCGCGGCGGTTGAGCGGCGAGCGCGACACGTGGTTGCCCCAGAGCCCCTGCTCGACGGAGGCGAACCGCTTGCGGACGAGGAGGCTGCCGGACGGGGAAGGACTGGTCTCGACCACGGCTAGATCGACGGACAGCCGGTCGAACAGGCGCAGGTCGCGGTCGAAGAAGAGGCCATCGTGGCTGGCGGTGGCCGAGTCGGCCATGATGTTGCAGAACGCGCTACGGTAGACGAGGTGCATCTGCGCCGACTCGTGCAGCCAGTCCCGGCCGCCGTCTCCGGACTGCACGATGCACAGCGAGTCGATCCAGATGTGGCGGATGCCGAGGCGCCTAGCAACCAGCATGCCTTCGAGGAAGGCCCGCGACAGGGACTCCAGCGGCAGCCCGGTCCGGAAGCAAACCAAGTTGTCCGCTGTTAGTGTGAGCAGGTTCGTTGTGCCCCAGCGGTGGCTCAAGGTGACATATCCCCGGCTGTCGCGAGCTGCGTCCCGGCCGTCAACCAGGCGGCATGAAGATACCCCGCCCTCGCCGTCCACGTCTCCAATCTCGAGAAGCCTCGTCGGGCGCCAGTGGTCCCTGTTCTCTGGGCTATTATTACATGCTGTGTGGTGGGCAAGGCAGTCTCGGAGCCACTGCTGGATGAGCTCGAAGGTTTCGGGGGAGTCGGTCCGTCTGGAAGCGGGGAGGCGCTGTTTGACAGCTTGTTTGGCTAGATTTCAGCTCCGTTTCGACTAGTAATTAGTCTTCATGGCCTGGAATGATAGAGGGGGGACAAAACGGAAGGCCGACCTCTTTCGTCCTCGATGCACAGCAGCACCGTCTGGGTGTAGTCCTGAGTATTGGCAGCGGTTCCGATCTCGACGTGGAGGGCTTTCGCGTCGTCGGCGGTCCAGCTGTCGTCGAGCAAGCCGTCGCTGCAAACACCCAGGGCATAGTCCTCCAGCGCGCGCACCCATATTGAAAGCGTGTGCCCGGTCGGCTGTTGGATAGACGAGAAGATGATCAAAGAGAACCAGGTTGTCGCCACATTTCCGTCCAGCTGCAACCGTCGGAGCCTTGCCTCTAGCCTCCGGAGGTGTTCTTGGAGACTGGCGCCAAGGCCGCGATATGCCTTCCAGCATATGTAGCATCGTGCGTCGACGGCGGCGAGGTATTCGAGCACGCTGCGGTGGTGCCCGGGGGCTGCTGGTGCGGGCGAGCCGACTTTGATCTCTATTGCCTGCAGAATTTGGCGGCACCTCCCGCACAGCGACATGGTGGATTCCTCGGTGACTCACTCCCGTACCTAAGGTAAGGTACGTGAAGAAGTAATTACAGATACCGCACCACAAGTAGTGAGGCAATTATTCCGGTCGATCTTTCGTTCAAGTGAGGTGGGAAATGTTGGATGTGAACTGAGGCTAACTGACGGAACAGAGGAAACAAGAGACCACCTGACCAAGACACGCGCCAAGTTTCCGCAATAGGCAGCCACTTACTGTCCAGTAATTAATGCCCGTCGGTCCTATCCTAAACGAAGTACCTCATCTTCGTTTCAGAAGTCCGATAACCCTAACCCCTGAACGCTGTTAGCATCGACAGGCCAAGAGATTCTCTTGTCTAGGCATGTTTTTGCGGTAAAAGATTAGATTTTTATGATTATCTCGGTGCTAGTTAGTTCCTCTCAGAAATGGGCATTATCAGAACCCCAACAGTGATTTTTGCAATATACAACGCTACCTCCCCTGTACGCCACCTTGCCCACGTTTGACTGCAGTACGGAAATAGAGGACACCATCTGCCCCGGGGAACCTCCTCAAACACCCGTCGTTGAACCATCGTCAACATTTATACAGTCGGGAGGTATGCGACCGTCGCCGCGGGCAGCACCCTCCCAGCCTCCACCTCGACATCCCTGCCGTGCCCCCGGTGGTACCGCGAGCGGCCCCCGGTCTGTCTTCCGCACACCGCCGGCCGCGTGCTCCACCCGCCACCGCCACCGCTGCCGCTGGCGTGCTTCCCAGATAGCAGAATGCGCAGGAACGGGATCGACGCCGCGATGATAATGACAGCAGGCTCGGCGGCTGTCCATATAATCATGCCGGGCTCCATGACTGCGGCAGGTTGTCAGAGCTCGCGTTTCAGACCGGCAAGAGAAATGAACGGCGAGACTTACCGGCAGAGTCGGTCAGCGCACATCCAGATGACGATGTTGACTGAGGCGACGTTGACCCAGAGCACGACGCGCTGCCACCGGGCCACGGTCAGGCGCAGCAGCGTCAGCGACGCGGCCGTCTTGCTGAAGGCGACGGCGATGATGGCGACGGCGATGATGGCGAAGAAGGAGCTGACCGACAGCGGCTTGGCGCCCCGGACCGAGTCCGTGTTGTGCGCCGTCGCGATGACCAAGAAAACCAACACGACGTATATCATCTAGTGCCAGATGGTTAGCCCCTAAATTGATATTTGAAACGCCTCCCCGCGTCCCGCTGACAAGGGGGAGAAGGGCCCCCGTCAACAGAGCAAAGTCCCGCGGGACACCCTTACCCAGCCCGAAGCCAACGCGTAGTCGTCCTAGCCAAGGTGGCGGGGGTACTTCGCCCTGCAGTAGAAGCGCAGCAGCACGAACAGCGAGCTCATCAGCATGAAGACCGACATGGTCCAGATCATGCGCAGCGAGGCCGAGATGTACTCGCCCTTGGCCACCGCGAGAGAAGGCTGAAGGGTCATCATTCTGTGCGTGGGGGGGAGTGAATTGGTAATTAGCAAGTGAGGGTGATTCCGGCGAATTAATTAGGTAGCTGTGGTGGCAAGGTTGGTTGCAAGGGGAAGATAGATGCACACACATGTGTACTTGCTTGTGCCACTGCTCGGCGCGAAAGTCTGGTCAATGCTAGAAAGGTGAATTGTAGAGAGAAAGAGCCAGGCCGAACCCCGCTGGCGTGAATCGGGTCCCGGTGCCCTTTTCCCTGTAATTAAGACAGGAGAGCATACGCTGCGAGGCAGCGGCAGCGAGTCGACACCGTGAGGGGGTGGGCATCATGTGATGAATGATGCGCTGCAGTGGTCTTAGATCAACCATCTGAACTTATCGGCGACTCACCGGTACCCCAGCTCTGACCGCCTCCGCGTCCCTGGGTCCACGATGTAATTAGCGCCAGAGCTAATTGGCTTCTGTCCTTGTTCGGGGCCGAACAGCTCGTATGTTTGTCCCTTGGGACGATGGGGACAGAGGAGAATACGTGGTCGAGAGGACAGCTGCTGGGGCTGGTTACACTTGGATGACAGGATGAAAGGCATAATCGGACTAGACCATCACGCTACTGGGCAGCACGTCTTTGGCATTGGCTTCATGTTCTCGTCCATCGAGACTTGACACGGCAGGGGCCTAAACACCTACACTCCAACTACTGAATGTTTTTTGGCGTGGCACTTACAGAAAAACGCTACAGCCAACAAATAAACCGGCCAGGAAAGCCCAAGGTGTTTTGGAAAAGAGATAGGTCTATAGGATTCAAGAATAGGGATTAAGACCGCCTCGTTGCTCGGCTTCGCCAGCGCGCTGGCCCACGGCACGCCGTCGTTGTGCAGGTCGTTCTCGAACACGCGAGGTGCGGGTGCGTCATGGCCGGCGTAGCGGGCTGCTAGTGCGGGCCGACCGTAGCGTGCTCGGCCGGCCGTGGCGTGCTCGTACGCCCAGCTTGTCTTGTTCGTGGGGTCGTCGGTGCTGTGGGCGGCGCGCCCCCGGTCGTAGCAGTTGATCTAGTTGCCCTTGTTGATCCCGCGCACCCGGCGCCGGAGGTCGTAGGATCCCCACGTGGCGCCGCCGGCGTACTTCATGCTGCCGTGCGAGATGTCGCACTTGAAGCCGTAGCCCGAGAAGGCCGCGTTGACGACGTAGTCTGTCCACTTTGTGTGGGCGATGTGGGCGACGCAGGGCGTGCCGGAATCGCGTGGCTGGGTTTGAAGTTGACTGTGAAGGGGACTTGGGTCCCCGGCAGCCCGAGAGGGGCCGCATGCGGGGCCGCCGAGTAGGCCGATTGCCGCCACCACCGTGTTGCCGTCCTGGTCTGTGGCTGACACTATCCAGGCCCCGTGGAGCAGGCCCAACCCGCTGTTTACCGAGTACACGACAGTCAGGGGAACCGAGCCATCGCCGCTCAGCAGGCCAGACGCTGGTCTGAGCGATCCGCTGTAGCTGTCATGGGCGAGTCGTCGATGACGTCGGCTGCGGCTCCTTCCGAGGCGAAGAGCTCCTGGTCTGGCTCGGCGATGACAGCGCCCTGCGATTTTCTGATATCGAGCTTCGGATCCGAGATCTGGAGGCTGGCTATGATAGGTCCGCCCATGACTGCAGTCTGCCGGTGTGCGAGTGGGAGATGGGTGTCACGTGTGTGTGCCGTCGAGATGCGCCAACAATCAATCAACCAAAGAACCAAATAAACACGATGGCAATGGCTTTCACTTGTCGTCTGAATTTCATCAAGACATCCGCCCGCCTTCCACGAGGCGCAGGGTGCTCTATTCAACTCGGCCTGTCTCTGGCCCCTGATTCGACTGTCACTGACCTAGAGCCTGATTACATGCTTGGCATTGGCTCTCTCGGTTGACACGCATTGAATTGTCTGGCCAAATAGATCTAAAAGAACAGAAAAGAAGGCTTCCTTGTACTCGTTGAGAGAGGGCAAGGGAAGTGTTGTACTCAGCCCGAAATGAGGGCATTCCGAGGCCAAGAATGAAGGAAAAATAAAGAATGAAGTAAGTACGGAATTTGGGGCCAAAAGAAAGGATACCGGGCCCTTAGTCAGCAGCCAACAGCACAGTGTGAAGAATGCTTGGCATACTAGCTCAAAAAAGTAGCCCAATCAACCCACAACACCGCAGCTTGCATCACCACTTTGATCAACCTTCCACTTTCAACCGACTTTTTCTTATTCAAATCAACATGTAGTTGTACGTCAGTTGCAGCATTTTTATCGCTAGAAGTAGCGCTTTCGAATGGTATTATTTGCATCAATTTCCAATTGACCTGTCAACCTCAGCCTGTACCGACAACAGACTCTCAAATTGAGAGTCATCAAGGTCTGATACATCCTCAAACTCTGGGTCCCCGGTATCCCCAACTAATTCCTCGCGCCTTTCCTGATACGTTTTTCGAAGCCATTCCCGTCAAATAACGTCGCCTAGCTCTTCTTGTCCTTCTTCAAGAGGCTTTGGAAGTGTTCTTTCTTGATATTCGTTACCCCTAGCTAACCGAATCACCCACTTGATATTTCCTTGGATCCTTTCCACGAACCGTTGCAGTTATTTGAGTGGAAATTCGCGCCACTGCTTCCCCCAGTCTTTCCCAAGAAACTTCCTCGACTTTGGAAGCCTCCTTTTTCTATAAAAAAACTTGATAATCTTCCAAGGCGGCTCAATCGCATTCAGATCTGGTAAATTAGGTGGTCACTCGATAACGTAAAAGCCAGCTTCTTCCCAAATTGCACGATTCCAACGGTTGATATGCGCACTTGCGTTATCTTCCTGTACGATAAATTTACCGCCAAATTCCTCGCGAAGATTTTTAAGGAAAGGAAGGAATCGAGGGAGTAATACTTCCTGCTGGTAACGCTTCCAGTCGACGCCTCCCTTATTACTCTCGCCACGCGTTTGAGCTCCCGTCTTCTTAGCATATTTCCACTTGGGTTTACGCCCACTTTTGTTCCTTACGATCCCCAAGCAATTCATTCCAACCTCGACTTCCTACTGACGTCGATCCTCTTCCTCGTAAGCGTTATTATACGCTTTCATCTGCGCCTTATACTTCTTCTTCATCGTAGCTGTTTCCTTTGGCCAACAATAATGAGGACCTATCTTATACTAGGTAAAACAGGCCCAAAATATGAACGTCACGAATTCTTTCCATCGTCGTTGGGTAACGCTCTTAAAATAACGTTCCCAAGGACGTCCCCAAAGCCTTCTCTTCCTACGTTGCTGACCGAGTATAATAGAGGTTTCATCACTCTAGACAATCTTCTTCCAGTCCTCAAGAGTCCAGTTTCGAACCTTCATAGCGAACTCCAACCGCTTCATCTTTTGTGCCCTTGAAAGGCCCGGTTTCGTAGTGATCTTGATGTTCTTGAACTTGTTGGCTTTAAGCCAACGTAGGACCGTTCGACGGCTTGGTTATTTTGCGTCCAGTATTTTACTAGCTTATTAGCTACTACAACCGTTATTTCTTCGCTTGAAAAACACCGTGAATCGAAGTCTTTTATTACCACAGCTTCAAGGACTTTGGCTTCAATAGGGCTAATAACTTTAGGGCGGCTAGTCTTCGCGGCATTCTCAATGTGGTGGTTTTGGACCCTTTCACTAGGTATATATCCCCTCTCTTTCGCTCGTGCCAATAGCCGATAGAATACGACCTTCTTGATGCCCGTAATAGCTTCAATTTCCGCTGGTTTGGAGCCCTTTACGTGTAGAACTAACGCCTGCGTGCGTTCGGCGATGGAGGACTGTTGTTTGGGCGGCATTGTCGTCGTCGAATTCGGGTTAGTCAATTTTCTGGCTCTTTGTGGAGCGGTCCGGTTATACGAGTCTTTCGCCTGCCGTTTTATTAGCGAAATTCCTCCTTACTTCGGAAAAGAGGTCTTACCGCCAGTGGCTTGTAGTGCCTGAGGACTGCAGCTAGCCTGCCCTACCCACCAGTCGCTACCACCCGACAGCATCATGAACTGCCTAGATTGCGCGTTTTTTGGCTTCAAATTTTGGCGTGTGTGGGTGCCAAAGTCTGAATCCAGTGGTGCATTAGGGCGCGGTTCAGGAAGATGCTGACTACATACAAATTACAGTATAAACAGGATCTTCCTAGCTCTTCATACTGTGACAAGGCCCCCCAGCTCCTTAGCGCTATATCCTTTCTTTTGGCCCCGACTTCCGTACAGAGGCATGCTAACCAGGGCCTGGAAAATGTGGTTCAATTCCATGAAAAGTGGGTCAATTCCAGGCGACACCCGTCGTCAGTGCACCTGCACCACATCCGCTTAGCCCATTGGGTCCCCGACTCGTTAGTTGAATGCGAGACCTGCAGCTGCTCCCGGATTTGCATCTATTGCTCCTTTTTGGGTCTGAAACTGGGGACGGCAGGAGACAAAAGCCAACCGTTTGCCAGTCGGTTTACCGACCATTGCAGGAGCGGGTCTATTTCCAGCTCTCTTAAACCGCTCAATGTAGCCGCTTTTGGCGGCAAGTCTTCGCTTTGGGAGTTGAGAATTCACGATGCCAATTGGAGGACCGACGAGGGTTGGACCATTGGCTACGTCTTCGATTGTTCAACTGAGGAGTTAAGGTACCTAATTACTGTCAGTTTCGAGAAGTCGTCAAATCAGCCATGCAAGACTGCTCACTGCACGCCGTCTTTCCTGCACGCCGTCTTTCCTGCACGCCGTCTTTCCTGCACGCCGTCTTTCCTGCACGCCGTCTTTCCTGCACGCCGTCTTTCCTGCACGCCGTCTTTCCTGCGTCTGGCAAGTCTTCACTTTCGGCCTCTGCCGTCCTGTTCCCAGAGCCAACGTCGGCGGGTGGTTATCGGGAGTCGGCGCTGACACAAACCGACCACCGGACGGAGCAACCGACCCGGCAGCCGAGCGAGTGAGTGTTGGATGGCTTTGTTCCCGTTGGTGGCAGTGCCGACCCGAATTCGCGGGCCACTGCAGAGCCAAAGAAAGCGTGTTGGGCGGCCGGCGTTTCGGTTTCAGCGGGAGCGGCGCCGAACAGCGCCCGTTATTGGACACTGTGGTGCGGCGCAAGACACTGAAACGCCCCAGGCCGCCCAGGGGGTGGGGTGCCAGCAACGCGCCAGACGTCACCTCCTCAGCGCTGCTGTTTCTCCACAGGAAAAAGCGAGCTTTAAGCTGCGAGTTTTGCGTTCGACCGACCACCGCAGCCGAGGGATTCAATCGATTGATCGATTGCTGGTTTTTTTTTAATCAATTCATCCCCCGCCACCGTCCACCCATCGGCACCCAGACGACCGGGCCGCTGCACATCCTCGTTCGTTTCTGGTTCTTGGTTTTCTCTCGGCCCATCAAAGCCCCAAGATCGGAACCCGCCACCCCGACCTGTCTTTCTCACCAGACCAGCCGCCCGTCGTCCTCCAGCCTGCTAATGGCGTCGTCCGCAGAAGAAGACCAGCACGCCGGCGGGCTCGTGCGGCCGACCGAGTACGACATCCGCGACAGCAACGTCGAGCTGGTCAACAGCGAACTCGACCACAAGGTCAAGCACAACTCGGCCGCCACCGAGCCGGCGTGGCGCGCGGGCGGCGTCGGCGCTGAGTCCGGCCTGTACGTGTGGCGCATCGAGAAGTTCACACCCGTGCTGGTGCCCAAGGCCAAACACGGCCACTTCTTCGAGGGCGACAGCTACATCGTCCTGCACTCGCACCGGGGAGCGCCCACCACCACCAACACCACCACCACCAATAACAACAACATCGACGAGACAGCCGCCAAGAAGAAGCTCGTACACGACATCTTCTTCTGGCTCGGCGCGCACACGACGCAGGACGAGGCCGGCACCGCCGCCTACAAGACGGTCGAGCTCGACGAGTTCCTGCACGGCGCCGCCACGCAGCACCGCGAGCTGCAGGCGGCGCCGAGCGACGAGTTCGTGGCTCTGTTCCCGCGGCTGACGGTGCGGCGCGGCGGCGTGGCCTCGGGCTTCCACCATGTCGACGCGCTCAGCCTCAAGGACAAGAAGGGCGACGGCGAGCGGCTGGTGCTGCTGCGCGTGTTCCGGCACCCGCCGGCCGCTGCGGTTGCCGGCCGCGGCGGCCCGGGCAGCGCGGTCGTGGTGCATGAGGTGGAGCCGACGTGGCGCAGCCTCGACGAGGGCGACGTCTTCATCCTCGACCAGGGCAACCACGTTTCCGTGTGGCAGGGCCGGCGCTGCTCGCCCATAGAGAAGGCCAAGGCGGCGCAGATCGTGCACGACATGACCGACGGCCGCCGCGTCAAGGTCAACGTCGAGGTGCTGTCGCAGACCGAGTCGCGCGCGCGCGCCGTACTCAAGGCCCTCGGCGCCTCCGACGACGACATTGCCGCCGCCGCCGACGCCTTCCACGCGCCCAGGCCCATGCGCACCTCGGCCGCGGCCACCGCTCCACTGGCAGCAGGCAGCGAGCCGCCCCGCAAGCGCTCGCGCAAGCTGTTCCGGCTGAGCGACGCGTCAGGCCAGCTCGAGTTCCGGCTCGTCGGCGACGACGGCGTCGAGGGCGGCGAGACCATCTCGCGCGAGGATCTCGTCGGGGACGACGTGTTCCTGCTCGACGACGCCGGCAAGACCATCTGGGTGTGGGAGGGCAGCCGCGCCAGCACCGCCGAGAAGGCCATGTGGCTCAGGGTGGCGCAGGCGTACGTCCGCAAGCTGCAGCAGGGCGAGGACGGCGCCGCCGCCGGCGACGTCTATCTGACCCCCATCGCCAAGGTCCGCGAGGGCAACGAGAGCGCCGCGTTCCTGCGCGCCGTGCAGGTGGTGTGACGAATAGCTACGCTGGGCGAGGCAAGGGGGGCTGCGAGGTGCAGATGCTGGGGTGGCGTGAGAGAGACGGCTGCCGTGCAATGCCGTGTAATGTAGTAGCTTTTTTGCCATCTTGATGAATTAATCGCAGTTGCAGTTGAATACTATGCTATGCCATGCCGTGCCATGCTCCATGCGCGCCACCAAAAAGAAGCACCGTAAAAGATGTTCCATCCTTGAATCCCACCCTTGAATCCCACCCCTGAATCCCGCCCCTGAATTCCTCTTACCAAATATCCGAGCCCTTCGAGGGGAATATCAGACCCTGTTGATAAACCACCCGACCTCTTCAAACAAATACCCGACGCATTCTAATAAATATCCGGCCCCTTTGAATTAATATCCGACATCTTCGACGCCTTCGAATGAATATCTAACGCCTATGAACTAGAATAATAACAAACGCCTATGAATTAGAATAATCACAAACGCCTCCCCATACCAACTCACACCGCGAGGTCTGGGCCCCAGACCTCCTTGGCGATTTCAACCTCGAGCCGTACCTTGGCCCACTGCTCGTCCTCGGACAGCTCGTTGCCCTCTTCCGTCGAGCTGAACCCTCATCGTCCAGCGCAGGCGTCTTGCTCGACATCAAGCCCAGCACGGCCGTCTTGGCCGCCGGCAGGAACCGCAGCGGCGCGAAGCCGCCCAAGCGCTCGTCGTCGAACTCGAGAAAGTACACGTCGACGTCCAGCTCGCCAAACAGCACCGCCGCCACGGGCTCGTACCTGCCGGCCGCGAACCACTACGACCGGTAGTTGCCGCGGCATAGGTGGATGCCAATAACCAGGTCGGCCGGCCGCCCCCCGACGCACGCGTTGATCAGCGCCGCGTACGTGCGGGCCAGCTGCAGCGCGGAGGCGCCGCCGTGGCGCCCGGCGGCCGCGGCTGCCATCTGCGCGTCGCACAGGTACGCCAGGTTCGTGTCATCCAGCTGCACGAAGCGGCACCCCGCCGCGTACAGGTCCGCCAGCTCGGCGCGGTACGCCGCGGCCAGGTCCGCGAAGAAACCGTCGTCCTCCAGCGAAGGGTATGCGGAGGTGCTGATGGCGTTGCGCCCCCCGCGGAAATGCACCATGGTCGGGCTGGGGATGCAGACTTTGGCGGTGATGAGGAGAGGCGCAGAGACAGCGTTGTCCCCCGTGACAGCGTTGTCCTCCGCGACAGCGTTGTCCTCGGCGACAGCAGCAACTTGGCGCGCGAGGAAGCCAAAGTCGTCGACCTGGATCGGCTTGGGGCGGCTGATCTTGCCGACGACGGCGAGGCGGGGCGGCGTCATGCCGTGCGACGTGGCGCCAGCGGCATTGTTGTTATTGACAGACGCCAGGTTGCCCCGCCGCTCGACGCCTGCGAGATGCTGCAAGAAGTCAAGAAGTCGATATGGAACCACGCCCGGCGGAACTCGCCGTCCGTCACGGACCGCAGCCCGCTGTCGACCTGCCGCCGCACCACCTCCGCAACGTGTTCGTCCTCAAGCCGGCGCAGCTCGCCGCTGCTGGTTGGCTGGGCCGTGTTGTTGAGCGTCTCGCGCGCCGCGAGCAGCGCCTTGGGCCGGAGGAACGAGCCCACTTGGTCAGCTTAGTAGACGCCTGCTGGGAGCGGCATGATGACTAGCTGTGGCTCCCGCCGGGTGATTTGCGGCACGTATGTGGGTATGTAGGTAGGTACCCGGTACCTAGGTAGCTCGTGCGTTTTCGGGTAGACTGGCGCCGCCGGCGGCACTAAGCCGGGCGCGTGAATGTACCTGGGTCGGTAACTTGGCTACGGTGATTACCGAGCAACCTTGTTTAGCAGCGTAGCCAGTCACGGGCGTGGCCAGTCACGGGTGTGGCCAGTCACGGGCGTACCCAGAAAAAAAATCTACCTTGTGGTCGGCTGCCGAGCAGTTCGGGAACGAGCGAGTGATGATTTACCAAGCTATGTGCAAACCAGTGAGTGGTTGGCGGCAGCAACACGCGCAAACGAGTGCAGCAGTCCCAGAATAAAGGCCCAGAGTCACCCCAAGAACGTTGCACTCCTACCCTACCACGGAAACGGTGCTGGGCGGGAAGACGGAGCACGATGCAAGACGGAGCACGATGCAGGACGGTCTGGGCCTTTCTCTCAGCCTGCGTGTTTATGCGTGTGTGCGGATGTGTGTGTGGTACTACATTAACGCATATGAAAACGATGGCTAGATGCGCGAGGGGAGCGGATAATTAATAAAGGCAGAATCCTGTCCGTCGGCCTAGATCCGCGGGCAATGGCATTGATCCACCCCTCCGCTCCTACCCCCTCCCCCTCTTCCCAGAGCTCCCACCGAACTGCGTCGTTCCCAATTGACTGGTTTGGCTGTTGCATAGATCTAGAACCAGGCATCCATCCCCCTTCCTACTTCGGAAGGTCGGTATACCCCGTAGAGGCCTCAGGAAGCTCGAAGCAAACTGCACAAACTGGAAGCCAAACTTGCCAGGACCCCTCCCCGTGCAGGGCCGCGAGGGGATTATTACGTGTGACAAATGGAAACTCAACTGTGGTCAGACAATGACGGAAGCGGGGTGCTTTCCTCCCTCTAAGCCCCTAATTACTGCGTGCCTGCCCGGCATCATCGTCCGGTTCCTGCCCGCCATCATCGTCCAGTAATAAGAAGCGGGGACCTGTCCTGTACTAGCAACCTCTGCCGAGGGCGAGAGCGCATGGAAGTAGGAGCTTGACCAACGTAGGTTTCTACTAGCGGCTGCTGAGGTCACCCGTACCTGTCAGCGCGGGTGCTGCCTACCTCACCGTACCTTGGTCACGCGCCCAGGGGTCCACCGGTGCGTATATAATATTACGTAGTTGCTTGCATGTTCAGACGGCTCCTGCCGCGAGTCTGTCGACCCTCTCCCTGGTAATCACGGGCGGCAGGCCGCAGAGCAGAGATCCATTGATGTTTCATGGCAATGCCCCCTTTCCTGGGTAACGAGCAGATCTGGGGGAGGACTCAACAGCCCTATCCCGGCTCCAGTCTAGTATAGACAGGTGGTAGTCAGACTGTCGGACAGAGAGCAAGACACGGAGTCAACTACCGCGTTTGAAAACGCCACACGCAATTCGCATGTCAATTGCGCCGTCGTCAGCCCGCTTCGGACTTTGTCGAATCATCTCGCGCTCAATTAGACTCTTGCTTTTGTGTCTTGTGCTCTGGGCACACAGACGCCCCGTAGCAGCCACTGTGTCACCCTGTCGTGTAGCCTCCAGATGCGGTGGCCCTCGCTCTCCCTAGGGCTGCGGAAATGATTCCCGAGATTGTGCATGGAGCTATGGAGACCCCTGGGACGGGTGAACAATGAGCGGTGTGGACTTGGCTGGCTGGCAGAGGTGGAGCTGGCTGTTATGCCTCTGTTACTCTTTCTCTTGATAAAAAAAGCACTGCATCTAATAATCGAGGCATGCCTGACAGCCGGAGGACTGAAAAGGCCCCGCACAAAACGCTTGAGCAGCTTGTGGATTATTTAGCTAGGGAGATTGGTCGGCCAAAGGGAAATCGGGCTGCGACGTAACACTTGCAAGTTCACTAAAAGACGAGATGTCAAGAAGAGAAGTGGCTTTGGCATAAAGGCAGCAGCTCTTAGTTGCAGACCCAGGCTGAGCCTAGCCATGTGAATTATAGAAATATTATGTACAGTATTGTGTGTAGATACACAGACTTGTTATTTTCTTGGGAGAATTTCAGTTTGTCGGTTTGCGGCCAGGAGCTCAAGCAAGTTGCGTGATTTCTCAATCAACAAATCCTGTGGCCTTCACTACCTAATCCCCCATCATGCTGTGATGCTCTCCCACGGCACACACGTAGGGTATCCGATGCTCCGGCCCGTGAAAACAAGGCTAGGTAAATAGCGCGACATGGAAAACAAAAAGAAAAAATACTCCCACCGCATAGAGCATCCGCCTGCATCTAAATACACGCACCCCCGACGTAACTAGTGAAAGCTGCGCTTAAACCGACTTCTCAGGGTCGACGAGGCGAGCATCGTCGCGCTGGGCACCGGCAAAGGTGGAATGGGGCTTCCACTTGGCCGAGGTGCGGGGAACGGTCTCCTCCATCATCTTGTCGACCTGCTCAAGCGAGAGACCCTTCGTCTCGGGGACGAACAGGAACGTGTAGAAAAACGCGATGGTGCAGAGACCGCCCCAGATGAAGAAGACGGACGACTTGAGGTTTCCGCGGTGCTCGCCGACCATGTAGGGGGTGATGACGGCAATGATGGTGTTCCACAGCCAGTTGGAGGCGGTCGACAGGGCGACACCACGCGAGCGGATCGGCAGGGGGAAGATCTCGCCAATCAGAATCCAGGCGCCAGGTCCCCAGGTCGAGGCGAAGAAGAAGATGAAGATGGCGATGAAGGCAACCTGGGCGTTGACGGCCGAGATGTTGTCCGCAAGCGTCTTGGTCGAGTCGCTGGGATCGACGTGGGTGTGGTTGAATCCGACGGTGACACCAACAATGGCAACAATGAATTGGCAGACGAGCATGCCCGCAGCGCCCCACAAGAGGATGGTGCGGCGGCCGAATCGCTCAACGGTCCAGAACGAAATCGGAGTGGAGAAGACGTTGACCAGGGTGAAGACCAGGGAGATCAAGAAGGTGTTGCTGATGGCACCAGTCGACTGGAGGAAGGGAGTCGAGTAGTAGAAGATGAAGTTGACACCAGTCCTGAAATCTAGTCAGCATGTCGTGCCTCATGGCGGCACTAAGCGGAGCGGGACTCACCATTGCTGCATCATCTGCAGAGAAGTGCCGAGAATGGTCTTGCGGAGGTTGGAGTTGGCCTTGAAAACGGATCCCTTGAAGCAGTTGGCCCAGGTGCCGAACCAGGTGGTGTTGGGGATCAGCTGGCGCTCGTACTCCTCGTTGGCCACAATCTCGGCAAGCTCGAGCTGGATGTACTCAGAATCCTTAGGCTGACCACGGAGGCGCGAGAGCGAGTCGGTAGCGCGGGTGAGGTTGCCCTTCTTGACAAAGTAACGGGGCGAGTCGGGCAGGAACATGAGACCAACTCCGAGAATGAGAGCCCAGATGAACTGAATGGCGATCGGGATGCGATACGCCCCAGTATCGGTGCGATCCTTGGTTCCGTATACAATGCACGAGGCCGTCATGATTCCGATAGTGATGCAGAACTGGTAACCGGCAACGAGAGCACCGCGGACCTTGCGGGGGCACTGTCCAGGGGGTGTCAGTCTCCTCTCCGGGCGGATTTCAGCAGAGGGAAGCATGTTGGGGAACTTACAATCTCAGACATGTACAGGATGACAATGGCAGACTCGAAGCCGACACCGACGCCGGCAATGAGACGGCCAGCGACAATAGCAGCAAGCGGATCACCGGCGCCGGTGATCATCTGGATGGCGACGCCGAACATGTAGATAGCGCAGCCCATGATAACGGTCCACTTGCGGCCAATCCAGTCGGCGACATCACCAGCGATGAGGGCACCGAAGAAGGTTCCGGCGGACAGGATAGACGTGATCAGAGACGAGTGGGACTCGGAGAGGGCGGTGGCACCGATGCCCTCGACGGCCTCGATGAAGAGCTTAGAGCCATTGACACCGTTGATATAACCAGAGTCATAGCCGAAGAAGATGCCGCCGAAAGAGGCGAAGGCGCAGAGCATGTATGCGCGCCAGGTGACTGGGGCCTCAATGCGCTCAACATCGTTAGTGGAAGCGAGACCGAGCTCGCCGACGTGCTTAGCGTCGGCTGCTGGGGCCGTTTCCTTGTCGAGTGAGGACATGGTGAGAGAATTGACAGGCAGAGGATGTGAAGCCGGCGACGACTTTCTCGGCGTGAGTGGGTTGAAGGCGGCGTGGTATGCCGGGTCTCGATAGGCAACGGGAGAATGGATACTCAACACGATGTCCGGGAAGGAGATTGAAAGACCTCGACACAGAAGAAGTAGAGAGTAATAACGGAAGCCGGGCGGGCGGGAGAAGCTTTATGAGCAGGAGGGAGAAGAAAGTGGAGGTGGAGTCTCGCAGTCAAGGAAGTGGGGCCGGCCTAGTAGTAGTAGTAAGGTGGTGGCTCTAGTCACTGCTCACTGGTCAATGGCGCTGGTCACTGGACCCGGCAGCAGGAAGGGAAGAAGGTAGGCGCAGGGTAGGTAGGAGGCGAGGTACGTACCGAGGACGGGACCCTGGTGGAGGTAAGGTACGTCCTAGTATTCCGTTCCATGTTGGTTACCGTACGTCTACAGTACAATAGGCAGGGGAGCAGAGGTTACATGCCCCCTGTCACTTGTCGCTCGTCGCTGTCGCTCGTCGCTCGTTACTGTCGCCCGTCGCTCGTCGCTGTCGCCCGTCGCTCGTCGCTGTCGCTCGTCGCTCGCTTCCTTATTCCGCTACGACTAGGTGCGGGAAGAGATGGAATCCAATACGCCACCACTACCATGGAGTAGCTTCTGCACCACCGCACCCACCGCCGAATAGTGAACAGCCCATGTGTTCCAGGTTTTGTAAAGCTTGTCAGGGTTTGTGGAGCACTAGCGCGGCTGACCACTCACGAGCCGCCGCAAAACTGGGGGAGCTCGATTACCCCCGACTTGGCAACACGCGTGCTTGGGTATTTCGCCGCTGTCCCGCCGGGATCGATCGCGTGCAGAGTTGCGGGGACCCATCTTCCATCCTATGGGTCCTTCCTTCCCAAGTTCGAGGCACTCTGCCTCCACGGCCTATTTCGCCCCGCCCTAGCTCCCTCATCCCCCCAGGCAAGGACTCCAGATCATCGCCGCCCAGAATCTGACCCTCGCCTCCTAGATCCCAGCCCCAGACCTTCACTAATGTTGGGCTACTACCCAAGGCGAAAGAATGGAAGGCGTGCGGCAGATTCGAAGAACCTGGGACGCCTGCACCCAAGGTGGCACCGGTGCCCCAGCAGCTTAGCTTCCCCTCCGCGGGGCGGATGGACCATGCCATGCTATGCCATGCCATGCCATGCCAATGCCATGCAGAGTAGCGCCGAGCATCTCCCAGATTTCCCCAGCAGGTTGCAGAGCTATTGCGTATCCATTTGATGGTATACGGCCCTGTTGCTGGCCTGGTGCTTGCCTGGTGCTTCCCTGGTGCTTGCCTGGCGCTTCCCTGGTGCTTGCCTGGCGCTTGCCTGGTGCTTTGCCAACCCAAAAGCTACCAATGCCCCGGGTGGACCCGTTGACGCTAACCCGCAAACCTCCCCTCGCCGTCCCAAAAATGGCTTGAAGGGAGGTCTGGTGCGTGCAGGACGGATGCACTCGGCCCTACCAATGCTCTGGCAGCAACAGGCTCATCATCAGGCGGACGGGAGCGGGGTGGGAGGCCGTATGGAGCAGAGGCCAGCAGTCAATTGACCGAGTCGGACCGGTGCGTTGCGGGTGCGTTGCATCTCGCTGCTGTCCGTCGACCTGTTTGTGTCGAATCGTCGGCGCACTTGCCCCAACAGGGTGGTTGCGCGCCCCAGCTCCAAGCCGTAGATAGACAGGTGCGGAAGCTTGTCTGGATGTACGTGCACACAGTGGTAATTCGCCCTGTCTGCCGTGTCTGCTATCAATTAGCTACGCCCTCTTCCCGTCTCATTCGATTCGATGCTCGATACGCCCGACGCACCACTTTAAAGACCGCAGAGCAATCCTCCCTACTGGAACCAGGGCCCTGCTATCTCGGCTGCGTGCATGCACTCTACAGTACGCTGAACCAGAAAGCGAACAGCAGCCAGCCCGAGTCCTGTTGTCTAGAATCCCTGTTGTCTAGAATCCAAAACTCCGCCGCCGACTGACAGGGCCCGGCCGCTGGGCCAGGCACCTTTTCGGTTCGATGGTGGATCCATCGTGCTTTTGGTCGTCATTTGGTTCATAGATCTGGCCGAAGATTCACCTAGTCCAGCCCAGTGCAGCCAAATGCGGGGTGGAGGGGCTTGCTGACGCGACAGGGATCGAGTTTAGCGTCTGTTTCTCTACTCCGTAGGCTCCTCGGCATCCGTGCGGCGCTTTCCTCGGCGCGCCATTGCCTCGGACGGGACCCAGCCCAGCCAAGATCAGTGTCTCGCCCGTCGACGAATTCGAAATTCCTCGTCTCGCTTCTCCCAGTCGCCGAGACAAGCGCCGCGGCCCGTCCACGGGAGCCACGAGTTTTGCTGCACCATTTTTTTTTCTCTTTTCCTTCGGCCGCCCGTCCTGGTGCTCCCCGGGGGGTGGCGAGACATGCCTGCTCGCCAGCGCCCGCCCTCCGAATTACCCAGCTCCGGCCTTGACCCGGCGATTCTTTTTTCGCAAGACGCCACAGCGTGTTCGTGACTGCCACCCAGCTGGTCACTTGACGAGCAAAAGAATAACTGCCTTTCGCTAGGGAGGCTCCAGTGTAGGCTTCGTAAAAGAGACCAAAGCCAATGCCAGCAATCTCATTCGCCAAAAGCTGCTCCTAAAACCAAATGGTTCTCTCAGAGACCCGTCCAATTGGCTGGCTGAGGGGCAAAAGGGTCGGCGAACAAGGGGCTCGTCGGCTAAAAACGGTCCTTTTCTGGGGACATTCTGTCAGTGGGTGGATGTCGGGGCCCCGTAAACTTCCCCGTTCCCCCACTAACTCAAATCACCTTTCCCCACGGGCAGAGAACCAAGCGGACGGACGAAAAACAAAAAAAAGGAGGGCTATCTCGGGGTAAGCTAGTCCCAGGTTGTTCTGCATCGTGCTGCTTGCTCCAACGTGGCGTGAGGCGGCTGTTAGTGTTGTTGTTCTCTCTTCCCCTTCGATTTCCTTCCGCAATTAAACGTATGGTATCCCGTAACGCGCAGAGGCAATGGGATGATGATTACAGTACCAACAAGCGCGCCGTCCGTGGGGGAAAATGGGGGAATGGGGAACGAGGAACCGTGGCCGGCCCGCAATCAAGGGTCGACAGGATGGATGACATGTGTGGCTTCGATTCGGGAGCGGCGCATGGCTGTGGTTGGCCAGAAAGCCTGGGGAAGCCGCTCTTCCTTTTTCGTCTTGCTTCCTTTAGGCCTGGTGCTTTGCTCAACTAGCTTTCTTCCCTAGCAGCGCACCACCTCTTTGCGCAAGCCCAAGGGCGCAAAAATTCCTCGCTGTCATCGCAACGTTCCTCCCGTCTTGCTCTGCTAGTCCCAGTGCTAGCCACAGTCTGGGCCCGGAGTATCATGTGACTAAGCAACCGTATCGTCACGGCCATTGTCAGGTGCCTCTCAATTCTCTCAGAGATGATGCAGCAGCCCCACAATTTTGCCGTTTTGCTCTCGGTCATGCTCCGTACACTTCTGTCAAAACCGAGCCCCGACACCGACACAATGCCAGCAGCTCTCGTGTTTGCTCGGCGAATTCCACTCGACCCCTGGCGTTCGAGTCCGGGGAACGCCTCCTCCCTCACCTGGGGCCTGGACCAAATCCAGGCTGTTGGGCCGTCGAGCTGACCGAGTGGCGGCAGAGTTTTTTTTCATCCTCTCCGGTGGGGCCTGCGCCTGATCTCGCTGTGGGCCAAATAATGAAAAATAGGTTAATTAAGATTGTGACCGTGTTTTGTGTTGCAGTTACCCCAACCGAGGCAACCTCCGGTCTGGTTGATATCCAGTCGCTCCGCAGCGCTCTCTGCGAGGCAAAAAAAAAAAGTTTGCTCGTGCGCGCACGAGACGAGAGAATGGAACGTTTAGGGCGGAACAAATCCACCCGCTGCAGTATCCCGTCGCGGGCGCTGCCGGGTCTGGCTCCAGCGCGACAGCTCCCATCAGACCACCAAAAATACTGATGTTTGCTGCGCGCAGTTCTAGTCTGCAACCCCAACCCGCCACTCTCTCCTCGCTCGACTCTCTAATTACAGTTATTGCACACATCCCCGCGCCAGTCTTTAACCCCGGGCATCCGCCCTGAGCCGCCAGATGTTAGTGTCTTTGTTCGTTGAACGTTGACCGCCCGGGACCAATTGTCCAAGCCGTGTTGTATTAGTTTCCTCAGAACACCTCCTTCAGTAGCTGGGAGGCTCGCCCGTGGCCGGCCTGCCGCCTGCCTCCTCCGCCTCCGCGTGTTGGCTACCTTCTACGCTGCAGAAGCTGCAGCGGCGCATTTAGCGACTCCCCCCGGCCTTGGAAACAATGCCCTGCGCCCAAGCACGGCGGCGTGCATCCCAATGTCCTGTTGTTGGGAGCCTGCCGGGTAGTACAGCGAGGACTTAGCCAGCCGGCTGTTGGGCGCGCTGCGGTTTGTGTTTTCTCTGCTACTAGCGTCTGTGTTTGGCGCTGACGGACTGATCTTCGTGATGGCTTCTGCCCACATATCCATCACATCAGTAATCCATTCAATGGCGTCCAAATTCCAATATTCAACGACATAGTCTAATCTGTCAGGCCACCCTCATGTGCCTCTCCCAACGAACGACGCTTGTGTCTTGAATACCTATTCCGGATCTCCTTCAGAATGCCGGCGGCCACTCAGCTAGCCAGCTCTGCCCGCCATCCTGCGGCACTAGCCTGCCGCGCCAGCATGACCGTTGACCCATGACACCCATATGGAGCTGCCAATGTCTTGTCGTCGAGCGCCAAGCGATGATGTCGGCGGCGCAGGCTGACAAACTTGGGGAACAAAGAACAGGATGCGGGGGAAAGGTCTTGTGGTCGTTGTGTTCCTGGAGAAAAAAACAAATCAAGGAATTGGAGGGAGCGACGATCACTACCCGAACTCGAGGCCAACCGAAGAAACTCTTCTGCGAATTCGGAGAGCTCCACATTCCCCTTCTCCTCAGTGTTTCCCCCCCCCTCCCCTTCTGACTTGGCACAGGCTAAACATACAGAAGGATTCTGGAAGCATTGGTTTTTTCGCCAATGGACACTAAAATTAGTTCACCTCCAAAGTCATCCAAGTCATCCCTGCAGCTCGAGTGTCTCTTTCGCAGATGTCTCTCAACGCAGACGAGATTCAACAGATCCTCATCGCGTCTGAAACCATCATCAAAGACAAAACCGGCTCCCGCAGGCAAGGATTGACGGTGCACAGGCCGGGCTCGGGTTGGTTGGCGCCGCAAGGCCGGGTTGTGAGACAGGCGGTCTGGCTGTTTAACGGTCCTGTCTCTCTGAGCCACGCGCCCGCCGAAACATAAATGAGTAAATTGCTTCCTCGTTGAAGAAACCCAATCTAACAGGACCGATCTAACAGGATTGATGTGATATGTTGAAAGCAATTTCCCCTACAATTTTCCTCCGGGAATCGGAACGAGTCAAAAGTGCTGCCGAAGGAATTATGAGTCGGCGACCCTGGACTGCACACAGCAACGGGGTCGGTGCCATGTCGTTGGGCTCCTCGGGGCGGTGCGTTGGGCTTCGCATTACACCAACGCATCCGAATCTGACAATCACATTGGGTTTGCTCATTACGCGGCAGAGCAGACAAGCTTGGGAAGATCAGCGCCAACTGCCGCGAGCCTGCCGGGCCCGATGTTCAATCGGATCGCCTCAGGCCGCGCCGCTTAGGACGGCGGGAATTGCGATCGGCGGAGGGCGTGCAGGGCCCACTGCTTTTGAGTTTTTGGTTGCCTCTTCCTTTTACACGACACGGTAGAGGGTAAAGATGGTCCGCAAAAGGTGATCAATTAGTCAATGCCGCGCCGTCCGCATGTGTGCTCATTTACCAGGCTTGCCTGCCGCATAAATCCTTTATGCAAAATAAGTGGAAAGCCGGAGGAAGGGCTTGAATGGGTCTTGACAAGAGGTAGAGTCGCTCAGCGACGATGCTGTCTGCAGAGACAAGATCAAGCCCTCGCGAGGTACAGTCTAATTCCTGCATTACTGGCCTATCCAAGTAAGCCAGGCGGTCGCGACAATTAAATATTTCCAAGTATCATCCATCTTCTCTGGCTCGGTGTTGTTAGATAAGACAAGGCATCTCTCGTTTGCCTCGGGGCCATAAAGCTGGCTTCAGGCTTCAATCTCCAGGCAGAAGACCTGCGCTGCCAGTCTTCATCTCTGCCTGGACCTCATCTCTGCTGGACCAAGGTCCCTGCCGGGTCCGCTCGTCTGCCTAGCACGCCCCATGTCGAGTCATAGCCACTGGCGAGCTGCGAACCGGGGGTGCGATCTAGGAGAAGCTATTATGGCATTCATGATTCTGATTAGACCTCAGATTCGCGGCAATGCTTGGCTGTGTTCCAACATTTCATAATTACAAGCTCGGTTGAGCCCATGGTGTGGACTGCGAACAGCTGAGGCCACAAGCTGAGTTAGTTTGGATAGGTATTCTGTGATTCATCGGAATACTGCCCGTGTGAAAGTACGAAAGAGGATCAAAATGGATACTGGCGAAACAAATTCTTTGATGGTGAGTCCTCGCCGGTATTACTCACAGCACCAATGTGGCTTGACGTCCAAGGTATTGCATGGCTGCCTAGCGATGAGGCCTAGAGTCTGGACTTGAAATGCCCCTCATCTTCTCGCCGTGAGGTCCAGTGGTGTGACTCACGACCCTCATCGTATGCCCTGTTTGGATGTGAGTTCGAACCACACCCAAGCCGTGAATTGCAGTTGGAGGGCCGGCGCGTGGAATCTTTGCGTCAGTCACATTGTAATCTACCCAGACAGTCACGTCGTAACGTACCTAAACACATTGCCCTTGATTTGGTAGGGAGTCTCTGTCCGAAATATCCTCGTCTGCCCATTTTCTGTCCAGCCTTCTCCTGGTCTGCCACATGGTTTGTGCTTTCAAGTCATGCTAAGTGACTCAACGACTTGGATGGGGAGGAAGACTCAGCGCTGCTCTCGTACTAATTAGTTGCTCATTATTTGTAAATGCCATGTTCCGGTGCTAGAGACCTCTTTCTTCTATAACTTTTATTTTAAGTTTACCCTTGTTAAAGTATGACTAGCCACTATAGCTATGGGGCCCTAAAGTGTAGGGCACTATAGTAGTTGTGTTGATGTGGTTGTGTTGATGTGGTTGTGTTGATGTGGTTGATGTTGTGGGCGCTATACCCAAATTGTTAACCAGGCCCCACAGCACCTTCTCGAACCTCCTACGAGCCTACTAGAAGACTGTCAAACACAGGGCCAGTTACGGCTTCTAGAACCTTCTAGAAGGCCTACCTTAGGTCTATATTAAGACCTATTCTTTCCCTTAGATAGATTTCTAAGCAAGCAAGCATTACACTCACCACTCTTTGTACTATAATCCTTTTATAATACCACTCCTTTCAGTCTTCTTCAGCACTTCTGTTGCCCCCCCCCCGCGGGAAAACCCTGACTACAGGGCAGAGTTCCCTGTAGCCTACGAGGTAGACTGCTGAGCAGAGTCCTCACAGTCTAAGTGGCTGGCCTGTAGCAGAGCCTACAGACCTGTGGCAGGCTTGTAACGAGTTCTACAAACCTGTAGTAGTCAGTCTGCTTCCCTCAGTGCCTTACACAGGGCCTTACACAGGGCACTGTTGTATGGACCGTAGGGCACAGTTCCCTACGATCTACCCTGCACTTGGCTCCCCGCCTACGCTACTGCTTCCGCTCCGCCTGGTTACAACACGCAGTTACCAACACTCAATAATCGCGCAGCGGACTTTAAATGGTATTTTTTTTTAACGCAAGATGTAAGGAACTGTGTTTCTTAGAGTGTAGCATTCGCTTAGTATTAGAGGTCAGCTTGCAGCGGAAACTGCTATTAGTAGACATCTTGATAGGAGCAAGATGGCGGTGGTATAGTCTTTGAGATTCCAATGCAAACTACATAGCTTGTTAAAGAACGTTGTATTTCAAACAGCATATCTTCACCGAACCTCAACATACCAAGAATACATTTTTTGAGATTATTGTATCCGGGTAGGTAGGTACTCGACCACCAGTTCGCAACATTTGTGTAAAAGATAGATTAGGGTACCCGATCTCAGGGCATTAAAAAGCACTATTTGAACCCAGCCTTATGCTCGAAGCTTATCAGGGCGTCTATGGCTGAGGGAAATCACACCGACACAAAGCAGGCGTATTACGTTGACAACTTGGCGTAGGCACATTTCAAAATACATATGCAATGTTGGAACTTGGCGGAGTCTCATGCACGTCATCTGGATACCTAGCTTGGGTAGTATGTACACATCGTACCTTGAACAGCTACCCGCAGAACGGAAGAGGGGCAATTTCTGTATTGACTAGGTTTCGTCGTTAACGAGGCGCTGAAGGTATCTTATCATCGATGCTAGCAGTTGGAATTTCGATTTGCACCAATCGGCAGCCGTGCCGGGCGGCTAGGCCAAGCCTCTTGATGTTGGAATTTTGAGCAGAACTCGGCTGTACCCCGTCAAACTGTTAAGCGACAAAATGGGTGACGTCTAGCCCCTAGCCTGCGGCAAATTTTAGCCTATTGGAACCTTTCCCCCGGGAACCTACATTTGCTTATCATTGTTTTAAACTTCCAACTATTGGACACCCGACAGCTACAACAGTGTGCATCCCATTGCGGCTCTAAGTTTTGTAGCCTCGCGAGGCGACAAGAGTTCGCCACTGCGCAGGACGCACCTCGTTTACGAATTCCAGATTGAGTCGGATACTTGTATAGGCTGTCCAGCAGTCAAGGTAAATTCCCACTCTCACCCACTGCAACACTGCCAAGCCTTGATGGATTGACCACTAGCCAGACTTCTCACACTCGCTTTACCTAGGTCATCTTTCCACACCAATAGAGGTTTCCGAGAAACTAAAGAACACAGTCTTACTCAGACGGCCCTTCCCGCCGTAATGTCGAGCAATGCCTCCCCCTCCAACGCCACCTGGGACGGCCAGAACCTCTTGTCGTCTCTATCCTGCGACCTCCCTGTCCGAGATAAACCGAGTGTCCACAACCCCGACGCCGAAGCCATCCGCTTCGAGACAAACCACTGCTACCCGGCTCAAACTACACCTCTGGGACCTCCGTATCCTTCCGATATCGATCTCGACATGAAGACGGACATGAATATGAACATGGACCACGGACACAGCGGCAACCACAACCACAACCACGAACAAGCCCACAAAAACGACTACCTCAAGCAATCCCGACAGCAGTATACTACTTGGGACTACCCGCTGAAGGCTGTGCCCATCGAGTCCGTACAGGCCACATACACATTCACGGTGGCGCTTCGGTCTATTAATATAGGCGGGATGTATATGGACGTCTGGGCCATCGTCGTCCTGACGTTCTGGATGCGGATGAGGCGTTAGATTGCATACGCGGCACAGACGGGACCGCAGATGGCTCCGGCTTGCCGTTGACTGATATGAGATATACTGGTATATAATAGATTGATAAGAGTACAGAGGGTGTGCTATAACGGGGTACCCAGGGGTTAGGTTCTAGACTAGCAACCACATGGTGTGTTTTGGCTTGCTACTTTTGCTATCCTCCTTTGTCGGCTGACGATGAGACCCCTTAATCATTATTGGCGGGTGCGGGACAGATACTGCGACAGTATTGAATTCAGTATTTTAATTTCAAGCCCCATTAAACTCTTCCAATCTTGTGACTTTGCCGTGAATATCATCAAAGGAACTAGAGCTAAAAGGATGACTAGCATTTGTGGGGTTGGATTGTTGTGTAGAAGTCCAACCAAAGGCTCCTCCCCTTTCTCCCAACGTCACAGAGGATGGTCAAAACCTACCTGTTCAGAACTTGCTCGAATGACTACCTGCCCATAGCAGGCTTCTCACGTCCTGTCGTATAGGGGGCTGATTTAGGAAATTTATGCAAAACATACGTGTCAATGCAAGAATTGATGTCTCTGTGAATCATGAAAGGGAGTTAATAACTTGTAAGCCGAATAGCTGTTCAAGTTGGGTACGGCGGCAAAGGTCAAGCATTTAGAACCGCCCTTGTAACACTAAGAGTATTCTCCTGCTTTGTAGTGTCTGGCGTTCAACTAGCCGAAACAACTTTCACTTGGGGTGTGGGCATGGACTATGTATCCTAGTGTCAGGATGTTCACTGTTTGCTCAAGATATGCCCTGAGCAACCGAGCACCCATGCTAGTTCGACTGTAGACCCACAGAGTCGTGTCAGACAAATAGAGCCTCATCTCTTCCGTTTTTCTTAAGGGCTAGGTAAGATTGGACCTCCTCAAGGCAATATTGGGTCTATGTTAACGCTGGCAAGCTTCGGTTCTATGGCCCATTGTTGCTACGCCACTAGATGACACAGACACCTGTTGCCAAGTACTATGGAGATAAGGCTGGTAACCCCATATGAGTTCACTTCGGTGTTTCACTATTAAGCGGCGCACACGCAATCGGTCTTGGTATAGCCGCCGAGCGCCGGCGGGTTTCCTGGTTGGGTCTAACACCGACGACAGCATCCTCTGAATGAGATATAGGAGCTGGATTGGGATTCCCACCGCGAAAGACAATCGGGTCGGTCCTGTCCCAGCTCACGTCAATACGAAGCGTGATACGAATCGGTATTTCGGAAGAACTGATATTTCCCTATTGGTTTCGTCATACCTGCCTTATCCCAGCACCGGCAAAGCTGCCGAGTTTAATGGTATGCTGACTGACACGACATGAAGCTACGATAACTAAATGCTATTTAGAGAGTATGTTGGGCTCCTTGAGGCTATTACTCTACCGGGTCGACGACAATGTCTCGGGTTGCCAACGCACTAGTGGATCACCATGATTAACATGCTAAGCTTGAAAAGGAAAACCGAACCCGACCAACAGCCTCGAATACACCTGCATACAAAGACAGCGGGAATATTCGAGGCGACTTATCTGCACGTCTCAGCCGCAAAGAGCACTTCGAAATTCCACGGCCTGCTGCGGAGATCTGCCAAGCCCCATCAAAGTGGTCCCTCGGCAGCGAGGGATTGGTCAAGAACATTTTGAAAGCATCCGTCAAGGTACCCACGAGGAGCTATTGGTTGGGGTTGATAGATACCGTGAGGCCCTAGCGGTCCTAAGTGGGCATTCTGATCAACTATCGGTGAGGTTTTGGGCTTCCAGGGGCCGACAGGCGTGTGTAACTTGGGCCCAGGCCTTTCTTTACACTGCTCAGTTCAATCCAATTCTTCTTTCCCTTTATTTTCCTTCTCCATTTCGCCGGGCGGAATTCACTTGGAGATTAACGCCCGAGAGACCCCAAAATTGGTCGAGGTGGGTTTTGCCGGACGCGCCTGCCTGGTCAGGGGGATGACGTGGCAGCCGCGTTGTCTTTCAAACCGATGAACGGCAGGAGCCAACGGTAGTCATTGGTGACAAAAAGCAACGCGGAGACCCAGGTCCTCTTTCTCTGGAAAGGATGGAAGGAGGGGCAGTGTGCTGCGTCCTGAGGCAGAGGAAAGTGCAGTTCTCGAACCTCTAGCAGAATCCGCGGCAGAGACTCCGAATTTCGGCATGACGCGAGAGACAGCTGCAAGTTCTGGCTGGCTGCATACTGCACAACATCGGGGTTGGAATCAATTCGCCGGACTCCCATCTGCCGTCCCACTTCCCGCTTCCCAGGGCTCTCTATTCTCGACCCAGTCAAGCAACAGAAAACAGAAGCCACCAGGCGGCCGCCAGCACCACGGCGCCGCCAACGACCCCGACAGACTGCCTTGCGCGCCGTCTTCGCCGCGCCTCGACTGCCTGCGGGCGGAACTCCTCTGCAAGCTCTGCAAGCTCTTCGATCCTCCTCAGGTCGATTGGAGGTCCGGGACCCAGTAGCTGCTGTACCTGGCGGATTTCATCCAGCAGCTTGGCGTCTTGGTGGGCCGGTGATTGCTGCGCATTTCCCTCTTCCCTCGGACTGTCGCTGGGAGCCATTCCACGCCGTGTTCCGATTTCCATTCCAACCCTGCCGTGCGACGAGGAGATCTCGAGAGTCTCGGCGTGATTGCCCGCGGTGTTTTAACTCGGTCAGACAAGTATGATTAGGTATCCGGTAAGGCGAAAATGGCAGCAACGGCTGCCGTGCGCGTGGCTGCCTTCTGGGCAAGGTGGATAATTCCGGGCGAAACCTCTATCCGGCGATAATTACATCAAATGGAGATAACGAAGTAGGCGGATGGGAGGTTCAAGATGAAATTGCCTGCTCCTCGCTGTACGCAGGCGTGTGTTTTCGATGTTGTGGTTGGGGCGCAATACTTGTCTTTTATGGTAACCTTGTTGTGTGGCAGTGACGGCACACAGCTTCTACGAGGGAGGCGGAGTACAGTCACGTACATAAAATACATATATACCTAAAATACCTCTATATACTATTCTACAGTAAGTACCACTATATACTGTTCTACAGTAAGTACCACTATATATTGTTCTACAGTAAGTACCACTATATATTGTTCTACAGTAAGTACCGCTATATACTATTCTACAGTAAGTAGTTCACTGCGGCGACCTAATAAGGGACCCAGCTCCTGACTTTTCAGGCCCCCCTCGTTTTGATCCTTGAAATATTCATCAGAGTATCGTAAATCCCTATAGCCCCCGTCTTATAATTTAGAGTCGATCGCAAAAGAATTCATGGGCAGGGACGATTTAGGGTTTTGTAAGTGGTGCAGGTAAACTATTTCCCGTGGTAAACTATTTCCCGTGCAATGGTGCATCATCACGTCGTTAGTGATGAGAGGAGGGCACCACCACCCAAGGGCGGCTGTGGTCCTCGTGTACACATGCATGTTCCTATCCAAGTTTATATTGTTTTGCTTTTGGGTATCAATCAAGTGCCTACAAAACTACGCTACCATATGCCCGCCCTCGCGGGCTCCAAACTCCGTGCATGCTGTGGTTATATACGCTCGAGAATAAAAAAGACAGAAAAGGATCTGAAATGCACGTTTTCTTTTGGCGCTCCCAACGCCCCGGTTCCAGAGAGCATTAAACTGCTCGTCCCATTTAGGTAATACACGTGATGCTTGCTCCTCACTCGCGAGAGATGGACCACTTGGTGTGCACCTTGATGCCCTTGGGGTCCGTGTCCTCCTCGGTCAAGGCGGCTGGCACGGGAGCCAAGGCGGTCTCGGAATCGCTGTCCCTGCCGGCCGTCTTGCGGTCGACCTTGGGAAGAGCCGCTACAGTGGACTGGTAGTGGATCTCGGTGTCGGGGGCGTATATGTCCTCGAGCGAGTACGACTCGTCGGCAGCGCGCTGCTTGCTGCGGTTCTTGGCCTGGCTGGACTTGTTTCTGCTGTTGCCTTCGGTGAAGCGGTCGCTGGCCTCCGAGTCGGGCTCCAGCTTCGAGGCCCCCCGCTGCGACATGCACCTCGCCCGCAGGGCGCCGAGCATGGGCAGGCTCACGCAGAGAATGCCGAGGTTCGTTTCGAGCGGGGACAGAAAGTCGGGCCAGATCATCGTGCCCGTCAGGTTTGTTTCCAGCTTGAGTTGTGTGAGGGTGAAGATGCGGATAATCGAGATGACAGTGACACTAGGTTCGAGGTCCATGTTAGAACGGGTGGCCTGCGGCGGAACTTGCCGTGTCCTAGCTCGGACCCGGGCGACGGTTCTAACTCACATGAGACCGATGAGGAAGACAGCCGTCAAGGCGAGCTTCGCCCTGATTTTCGTCTTGAGAGACCAGACGGTGGGTATTGGCAGCGATAGAACAATCAGGTCGGTGGCGATGTTGAAGGCGCCAACGGCGATGAAGGAGGCCAGCTGACTGCCGCATTCACCCTTGGTAAAGGGGTCGTACGATGCAGCAAAGGGACGGCAGAGCAGGAAGATCTGCAGGATGTTGCCCAGACTCCACGAAATGACGAGAGCCATGACAACTTTAACAGCAGTCCGCAGGCCCTTGTTGACAAAGACGCGGAGGTAGAACATCAAGACGCTCAGCTTCACGAAGCTGATGGTGATGGAGAATATGAGCTCGTACGACACAAGCAACTTGAGGATGTTCAGGAAGTTGATGAGGGGAAAGTCGGGGCCGAAGTCGTAGCCTGCGCCCATGGGAGCCCCTGTTGACCGAGACGTCTGTTAGCCCAGCACATATACACTGGTTGTTCCGGCACTGGAAGAGTCGAGGCTTACACAAGCCCTGGATCGTGAGCATCCCAATGCCCGGAGGCAGGGAGCAGAGGATCAAGTAGTCATCCCACCACAGTCCAGCCCCAGAGGAGAGGCGAGAGGCTACCCTCAGTCCAACAACGAGAACCGCTAGAAAGGTGACAACGGCGTTGATGATCAGGTGCGTCTTGATGATTGGGAGCATGTCCATGGGGACGTAGTCGAGCGCCATGGCGAACGTGTGTTAACCTTGCTAGCCTGTTCCTGAAGGCTGCAGAGTCTGTGCAAAGCGTGCAGTGTCTGCGCCTGTGCCTGTGCCTGTGCCTGTGCCTGTGCCTGGGCCTGGGCCTGGGCCTGGGCCTGGGCCGGTGCCTGTGCCTGGGCCTGGGCCGGTGGCAGTTCCGGTTCCAAAGACGGGTCGAGCGAGCGAGAGGGAGCAGATAGTATCGAAGCAAGTGAAGCGATGACGACAAAAACAAAGACGGACCACGGCCGCTATAGCACAAGGAGTATTGTTGAGTGCGTACGGCCGATGAGGCCGAACAAGGGCAGCTGCTACCTTTGTTCCTTTGATGACTCGCAGGCTGGTACCCGGACCTCTGTCGAAGAAACCCGGCGGGTTGGCATTGGAGGACCTCGAGTTCCAGGCGAACCCGTTGCCTGTTGGGAGCGGGAAACCGTCGAGAAGTATTCGGAACCGGCGACCATGGAAAATGAAAGCAAAAGAAGGAAAAAAAGGAAAACCCAAAAAAACTCGTCGATGGAATTGCAGTCGAGAGCGCGACAGTTTACGTTGCAGGGCTACGGAGTAGCTCGGACAAAGTGGGACAAAGTGGTAGATCGTGGCCCGGTAGAGGCAGGATTGCGCCGATCTCTCCCCGCACCTTTATGGCTCTGGTCTGGTTGCCCAGGGGGAGGTGTCCTTGGGAACCAGGCTAGCTAATCCCGAAAAAGGCCCGGGCAGCGTTGTAGCCCTTGGGGAAAACGCGGAAAGAGTGGGGGGCGGGTGGCCTGGGAAGTGAGCACAGGAGCTGTGCCGCATAATATTCCGAGGCCGAGACTGAAGGAATGGCTTGGAAACTTCCGTGACAAATCGATAAACAGTCTTTGCAGCGCTGCGGACGGGAAGCTGTTAGTGACGTGTGCTGTTACTAACAGCTGACATTGGACCCCCCCCCACCTATCAGTCTTGCGTCTTCTTCAGGACAGGATGTGCAAGCGATGGTGTAGTGGCATCTATGGTGGAGCCGGGAGCGGGTGCGGCGATGAACCATCCCCCCCCCCCCTTTTTTTTTTGGGACAGATAATAAGCCTTCCAAATTCCGGTTTCGGGACTTGCCAAACTCGGTGCTCAACTCATGCGCCACCTGGAAAGTGGGAGGGGTCGGCTGCAGCGCCGTTGAACCGCTCCAGCACTGGAGTGGAGGCTCCAGGACTGGAGTGGAGGATGTTTCCAGCTCCCCGCCCGGATCCGCTCCGCGACGGCCAACTGCCGCCGCCAGGCTCAAAATTTTCTTTTCTATCCGCGGATTAAACCTTGCATTGTAGGCTCGGTGTGGAATAGTATGAGCGATCTTCATAAACAAGAGGGGCGGGGCCCACATGCAAAAAGGGACAAATGTTGCTGCCGAGAGCGAACCTGCAGCAGGACGAAATATTTCCTCCTTCAATGCAACTTGTGCCCCCAACTGATTGACTCGCAGGATGCAGACCACTCTGCGTGCTGGAAAGTGAAGAGTGCCAACCATGGACGCACCTGAATGCAAAGCATGGTTCCAGGTTGACCAATATATGTATGCAGATTCCAGACCTGCCTGGACAAGAGAAGCTCCCGAAGACCAGGTATACACCGAGAGATAATTATGCCGAGGCGCCAGAAGCGGCTCGTCTCCCTCTCGTTATCGTCACCACTTCAGGCTTCACGTTGCATTGGGGGCCAGCCGTGGGGAGGCGTGCCCCCTAAACCACGCCACCCTTCGCGCCATTTTTAGGGCATATCAAGTACCGGACGGGCCGGTTTTCCCCAGCGCCAATCGACGGGAGCTCGTCTTCTCCCATCGCTGATCGTCCGAGACTGGACGGACACAGAACCCCACTTGGGTTCAAACTGAGCGGGAAGTTGGAACCGGGGATCGCGGATTAACAGGCCGTTTAGGGAGCTTAGTCAAGTGACGGAGCTCTAACCTAAATAACCTAAACAGACATGAAATTACGACGTGGTATTTTTGATGCACTACGCAAACAACCACTGAACCAGGAAGCACGTTTCGGATTGACTGCTGTGCACAGTTGCCCGCAGGTGACAGTTGCGCCTGCCAGGGCATCCATCTTGTCGCCAGTCTCCGGAGTTGAGTCTTTTTACGGGTCTCGAGTGAATTGTGAATATTGCATCGTGCATTCTTCATTATGGACTGAGTCTGGATTCTCTCATTTCCCCTCGTCAAAATACCCTCTCACTTTCCTTTCTGGCTCCGCTCTTATCCCTTTCCTGACGAGAGCGAATCCGAATTGATGTTAGCCTGCCCGCATCTTCACCTAGTGTGCCCCCAAGTGCGCCGCCCCTACTCTAGTGTCACCCCTAGTGCCAACGCGCAACGGGAAGCTACTAGTGTCCTGTGCCTGTTAGTACGTGTGGTCTGTGGTGTCAGCACCTTGTCGCTGTGCCTCCGATCTGCGCGGGTCCACCAGCCGAGGGGTTTCGCGGGACGGGTACGGCGGCGGTGGGGGAATCACTCCTGTTCAAATACGCGTTGTGCTTACCGCGGGACCTCAAGGCACGGCAGGTATTCCCGTCTCTCTTCTGCCCGTTGCCGCATCTGCGCCCACCAGTGGCATAATTAACCCCCCACATAATTATCTGAATTCGTGACACCCGCCCTCTCTCCGCCCTCGGTAAACTAACAGACTAGAGAAACGATAGACAGGCGCGGATCATCATGGCCGCCACAGCGCCGACGCCCGAAGCAGCTGCCGGGCCGTTCGACTACATCGTCATCGGCGGTGGCACGGCCGGCCTAGTGGTTGCTAACCGCCTGACCGAGGACGGCAGTGTTCGGGTGCTCGTGGTCGAGGCCGGCTCCGACCACCGCACCGACCCGCTCATCCTAACACCCGGACTAGTGGCAGCCGTCTACGGCAAGGAGGAATATGATTGGAACCTCACCTCTGTCCCCCAGGTGAGTTGCATCTTATATGATTACGGTAGTAACCAACCGCCCGCTCACTGGCTTGGTTCGCTCACCGGCTCGGGTGCATGCTGATCCCCGACCCCCTTTGTGTAACTGCTGGCTGACCAATGCCCGCTGCAGCCTGGCCTCAACAACCGGTACATCAACCAAAGCCGCGGCAAGATGCTCGGCGGCAGCTCGGGGCTCAACTTCATGATGCTGCTGTACCCGTCCAAGGGAATCATCGATGCATGGGGCTCTCTGGGCAACTCGGGGTGGGACTACGACTCGTTGGCCCCCTATCTGCAAAAGTTTGCAACGGTCCACTCGCCGCCCCAGCCGGCTCGGGATGTTCTAGGACTGACCTATCACGACGAGAGCTTGGCAGAGGGCGACGGGCCCGTCCATGTCTCCTTCAGCGAGGGCTACGGCCCCTCGAACAAGGCCTGGATCGACGCCTTTGAGGAGCAGGGCCTCAAGGTCGACACGGATCCCCGCGCCGGCAAAGCCCTCGGCGGGTTCCAGCAGCCGGCCTCCATCGACCCGGCCAACAAGACGAGGAGCTACGCCGCGACGGCCTACTACGACGACGCCGTGGCCGCGAGGCCCAACCTGGTCGTGCTGACCGAGACGGTCGTTAGCAAGGTCATCTTCGACACGACGGCCGAGGGCGGCGGCGAGGCCGTGGCGACGGGCGTCGAGATCGTCACCAAGGGCGGCGAAAAGAAGCAGGTGCTGGCCAGCCAGGAGGTGATCCTGGCGGCGGGCGCGCTGCACTCGCCACAGATCCTTGAGCTGTCGGGCGTCGGCGGCCGGGACCTGCTGCGGAAGCACGGCATCCCCGTCGTGGTCGACAACGCCAACGTCGGCGAGGGCCTGCAGGACCACGCCATCGTGTGCCAGAGCTTCGAGGTCGTCGACGGCGTGGCGTCGGCCGACGTGCTGCGCGACCCCGACGTGCTGCAGGCCCTGATCGGCATGTACCAGGCGGGCGGCGCGGGCGCGGGACCGCTAGGCCAGAGCAACATCAGCGTCGCCTACACGCCCGTCGTCGACGGGTCGGGCGCGCTGTCGCCCGACGCCGCCGAGGCCCTGTTCGTGGCCAACGCCGGCACGCTCGACTCGCCGGGCCGCCGGGCCGTGGCGTCGCTGCTGCGGACGGGCGCCGAGCCCGCGCACCAGTACCTGCTCTTCCCGTCGCAGATCTCCATCCCCGACCGCCCGGACTCCATGGCTACGTACCTGACGCCGACGCGGCCCGAGAACTACCTGACCGTCATGGCCATCCTCAACCACCCCTTCTCGCGCGGCAGCGTGCACGCGGCGAGCGCCGACGTCGCCGCGCTGCCCGTGTGGGACCCCAAGTACAACTCGCACGCGCTGGACCTCGAGCTGCTGGGCCGCGCCGTGCAGTTCGTCGAGCGGCTGGTGGCGCCGGCGTCGCCGCTGGGCAGCCTGTTCAAGGCTGGCGGCAAGCGCGTGCCCGACATTGTCGCCGACGGCCTCGACGCTGCCAAGGAGGTCGTGCGCCAGCGCCAGATCTCCGTCTTCCACGTCTCGGGCAGCTGCGCCATGCTACCCCGCGACAAGGGCGGCGTTGTTGACGACCGCCTGCGCGTCTACGGCACCCGCCGCCTGCGCGTCGTCGACGCCGCCATCTTCCCTCTGGAGCCCTCGGGTAACATCCAGAGCGTCGTGTATGCTGTGGCCGAGAAGGCCGCCGACCTCATTAAGCAGGACCGCCACACCTGAGGGCCGTAGACGGGCAGGTAAGTTTCGTGGGGATTCTAGGGCAATGCTCGACATGATTAAACAGTTTAGGATAGTGACCCTGGTCTAGGATAGATAATCTTGACTCTTCTATTTCTGAATACTTGCTTGAGGGTCATTTTGTCTCGAATCGGTGGCTGTCACGAGTTCCGGTATAACTGTCACGAGTTCCGGATAATATCTACCGACATTCCACTAGCGCCGTGGTGCTTCCGAGGCGCCTGTAGGAGTCTAGCCTCGGATGGTATGATGAGCAGCTAGCTCCCAGGTCCTGGAGACGACTTGCCAAGACACCCTTGTCACTGCTTACGGCCCGACGGAAACTAGAGGGGCGCCCGGAATGGAGTCCTCAACGGTTTGCGGCGGAGTACTTACTGAAGAAAACCCCTGTCCGTCAGCGGCTAGGACGGAAGTGTGGATGTATTGGAAGCTCATGACTTGTGCATAATACGTGCTTGATACAACATGGGATTCATGAACAGTAATGGAAAATAATAGGGGCAAGAGGAATGCGTGTATTCTACGACTGATCCAAAACCAGAAACAAAGGTCCACCGCCAAGCAACAGCAATAGGTGGCACGCACAGTCTCACATGCTTTATAAATTTTAACAATCATATGATATCCAACGACAAAGCAAAATAATCATACGCGATAACGATATCAATCCCATCCTCCATTCCCAATCGCATGCTATGATAGATCCCCGAATAATGCAACCCCCCAACCCCCCCAGGCCTCCCCCGCAACAAAGGAAACCCTCCCGGCAACAAAGGAAACGTTTATATGTGTTAGCGAGTGGAAGTGGGCAACTGTTCGCCTGCGGAACAGCTACCAGGTATTACTATGGCTATGGCTAGCAACAACAAGAATCAGTTTTTGAGCTCCACCCAACACGGCTGGTTGCCTCCCCAGCGAAGCGAGCGACTCCTTGGTGCATCGCACCGACAAGTTGAGATGGGAGACGGTCAAGGCGATCTCGCGGCGACCCTGTCCGGTCGGATCAGTGGTCAGACAGAGGTCGTTGTATCTCTCGCTCGCTCGTCCCAAACCAGCCAACTCTACGAGTCCGCGCGCAAGGGGAGGCAGGCCGAACGACACCACCGAAGGGGAAAAACAAAAGCAGGCTGTATCTCACCTCGACCGCGTCTGCCCGACCCCCCACAGCCGCGCCACAGCCCACGACTGCAGCGCCGCCGGCTGCCTCGGGGCCGGCGACTCGCTCCTCCGCGCCTGCTGCAGCTGCACCTGCGCCTGCGCGGCCGCCATCTCGGCGCGGCGCGCGCGCTCGCGCGCCTCCTGCTCGCGGTCCGCCATGCGCGCCAGCTCCGCCTTGACGGCGCGCATGTTCTGCAGGCGCTCGCGCTCGAACTCGGCCTGCAGCTGCTGGACCTCTGTCGCGCGCGCCGCGTCCGCCGCGCGCACGCGCGCCTCTGCGTCCTCGAGCACCGACTGCACGCGCGCTTCGTGCTCGGCTCTCTGCTGCGCGGCGGCCGCGTGCTGCTGCGCCAGTGCGGCGTCGGCCGCGGATGCTGCCGCGGATGCGGCGGCGTGCGCGTCGTGCAGCGACGTGCGGAGCGCCGCGAGCTCGGCGTCTTTCTGGGCCGCTGTGGCGTGCAGCTCGTGCGCCAGCTGCTCGTGCGCGGCGACGCCCTCGGCGATGCGGGACTGGAGGGTGGCGATCTCGCCGCGGAAGACCACTTCCACGTGGCTGTCGTGCTCGGCTAGCGCCTGCTCCATGTGCCGGTACATGTCGGCCAGGCGGGCCAGGTTGCGCTCGCGCGCGAAGGCGATCTCGGCGTCCAGCTGGCTTTTGGCGTCGGAGGTGGGCTGCTCCGTCTGGCTGCCCTTGTCGGCGGTTGTCGGTTGCGGTTGGCTGTGGCGTGCGGAGGTGTCGGTTTGGATCGTGTCGTGCTCGGCAGTATCGTCGTCGGGGCTCGTCATGTCGTGCTCCGTTGTGTCGATCTGTGTCACGACGGTGTCGGTGTCGGCGTCGACGTCGACGTCGGCGTCGGCGTCGGCGTCGCTGTCGGCCGCGTCTGTCTGCATCGGGTCGCCTTGCATGGCGTCGGTGTGGGGGCCGTCGGTTTGCATCTCTTCGGGCTGCATGGTGTCGTTGTCGGTCTCGGTGTAGAGCGTGGGCGAGGGTGGTGGTACGCCCTTGGAGAGCACATGAGAGAGAATGTCCAGGGCCGACTCCCTTGTGTCTTGGTAGCGCAGCACCTTGCTGCCCTCCTTGTGCAGGTGGCTGAAGATCCCCTCCGCCTCGGCCAGGCCCTTCTCGCGGCGCTCGCCCTCTTCCGGCGCCACCTTGGACCACATGGACGTGGCGATGACGGCGGAGCTGCTGGCCTCTGCTTCGGCCCCGCACAGCTCTTTGAGCAGCTCGAGGTTTCTCAGCGCTAGCCTCGTCGTCTGCTCGTCTGATATGGGGTGGAGGAAGATGATGCCGCTGAAGGTGATGCCCTGGTTGACAAAGTTGTCGATGAGGCGCACGTTCAGCTCGTTGAGCGCGTCCGTGTCGGCATCGCCAAAGCCGGGGATTTCGACGAGGTGCACACGGGTAGCGTCATCGTATGTGAAGGAGATGTCTTGGGCTGCGCAAAGGATCTAGGTTAGCTGCTTTGCGCGCCTAGGGAAGGAGGGAAGATGATTCAGGCGATGCGATATGATTGTTTTGACGTACAGGCATCCACCACACTGTGGCTTGTTTGTTCGTGGATTCCAGTGCAAGTCGAGATGAGAGAGGTCTTGCCTGCACCAGCAACGCCCACCACGGCGATGTAGACGTGTTTGATCGGTTGGTCGGAAGCCATGGCTGCCTCTTTCTATGTTGTTTTAATGGCTGGAACGGGTTGATGGAAGAAAGTGTGGGTTTGGTCTTGGAAATGCAGTCACAAGGAAGCCCAAGTTCTCGGCGAAGGTGTCCAAGATTTGGAAGCTTGGTGAGTGGTAGGTGGTTGCTAAGGCATGTACAAACATTTTGAATTCGAGAGACGGATATTCCATCCCCTTATAAGAACCTTTCCCCGTTTCCTCTCTTCGTTTTTTTTTTTTTTTTTTTTGCAGAACGCTGTTCAGGGCGCAATTCCCGTTCGGCAATTGCCAGCAACGAGCAGTCGCGATATCGTGTCTGTCGCCATTGCGAACCGGCCGGTTGGGTTGCAGAGGTGCAGACCACGTGTGCTTGCCGAATGGGCTCTGCGGCCGGCTTTTCCGGCTTGCGAGGGCCACTCAAGAGGGTCCCAGGGCGCGGTTTATGACCTGGCTGGACAAGCAGTCGCGCACAGCAAACAGCCCGACCAGATGGCACCAGGTATAGGGCCTGTCCCGCCTGAGAAGTCCGACGACTGCTTTGGGCATGGCAGTTTTTTTGAGCGCTGTTCCAATGAGAGATCAGGAATCGCCGTCGCCATTTTGCGGCCCAAAAAGATGGAGTTAGCCTCAGACTCCACTAGGCTCAAATTAGCGCCTAACAGTTGCTCCGCTGTGAAACTGATGCCTGCCAGCCTGCCCGCCTGTTGCCTTGGCTCAAAGCTTTGGTGCTGTACCACACATGATTACTCCGTAAATGGAATGGCAACTGAAACACAATGCAGATTCGGTGACTAAGCAGGAGAGAGAGGCGGAGAAGCCGAGAGACAAAGGAAGACGAAGAACTCATCGCACCGGAGCCTCATGCGGCCTTGCCCACCATGCCGTGTGTACCTTCCATACCTTTAGGGTTTGGGGGCCGTGGCCTAAAAGGGTAAGGTCGGGTGCGAAGACTGTGGTTCGTGCTCACAGTGCAAAGACTGTGGCTGTGCTTACAGTGCAAAGACTGTGGTTCGTGCTCACAGTGTTGTTGGCTGTGGTTCGTGCTCACAGTGTTGTTGACTGTGGTTCGTGCTCACAGTGTTGTTGGCTGTGGTTCGTGCTCACAGTGTTGTTGACTGTGGTTCGTGCTCACAGTGTTGTAGGCTGTCCTGTTCACTTGTTCACTGTGCAATGCGCACTTGCCACCACTTATCCGTATTGAAGCAGATTTTATGCTTCAAGTACCAAGTCGTCGTCATTTTCCCGTTGCGGGCGTTCTTGATCAGCTCACCGCAACCGGAATGCAGCCCAAGATGGCACCACTTCTTCAGCGCTGGAGGATGTGATTTTGGTCCACAGCACTCGTCCCAGGCCTATTTAGTGCTGGCGTCGCATGAAATGCATCGCAGCCAATAACAGCGCAGTGGCGGGGGCACGATCAGGCAGACGGCCGTCAGCAGAACTCGACAGAAGGATCAGGTAATGCAAGCGATGGGACGGCCGCTTACCTCACCTACCTAAGGCAACTAATTACAGCATCAGGCTGGCAGCGCCAGACAGCGGCCCTCAGTTTCGTCCTTTGCACCTGCACCAGCCTTCTCCCACGCTTGGCTGTGGTTAGAGTGCAGATAACATCGTCCGATTCGACAGCGAGGTCAAGATGGATCGGGAGATGGATCAAAGCGGGGATGAACTCGCCCAAATGTGGTATGTGCTCGACGACGGCTCCTCGCAGCCCGAGCATCCCGCAAAAGGGAGAAGAAGAGAAGAGAAGAGAAGAGAGAGACGAGACGTGGATAGAACTGATTAGCCGCGCCATAGGCAGGATGCCGTCGCCGAGTACACGCGCGATACGCAAAAGACGCTCTCTCCTGCCGAAATCCAGGCGCTGGCCGAGATCAAGAGCGTCGACGACGTGGCCGAGCACATCGAGGCATCGGACGCTGCCTTCTCTGCCTACCGCCACAAGAACGAGCGACTGATGTCGACGCTGAAGAGCTTCGTCGCACCCATCTCGGCCATAGCCAGCATCGCTACGACGCCTGCCTCGGTCGCCGACTACGGCACTGCCTCTAGCGCCGTCTTGGGCGCCGTTGTCCATCTCTTAAAGGCTTGCGACGACGTCAGCAACGCATACGACTGGGTAGAGCAGCTGTTCCGTGAGCTGCAGGAGTTTTCGGAACGCTTAGGTCAATATGTAGAGACTCGCCTCGACCACGTTCTGCGCCGCAAGATTGTTGCCATTCTGGCCGTCATCCTCAAAGTTATCGGCCGCTCTCAGAGACTCATCCGCGAACGCCGCTTTCGAGAGTACCTGCGTGTGACCTTCTTGGGCAAGGATGCGGCCACAAAGAAGCTGATCGACGACCTGAACAAGCTGCTGGGCAGCGAACAGAGGTACGTGCTCGGAGTCACCTACGCAACAGCGCAGAGGACCGAGGACCTGTCCAAGGCTACAAACGATACCGTAAACAGAGTCCTCGACACTCTCGAGGACGAAAAGGACAAGAAATCCCAGGCCGAGGACGAGAACCGGCTGAGAAACACGCTATGCAGCCCTCCAGCGCACGCTGATGTCGAGGAAATACTCATCAGGAATGAGCGATCGCTCCTCAAGGGCACGGGCGCCTGGCTGGAGACGGAGCCGTTTTTCAGCCCCTGGATGCGCCGTGAAGCTACAATCCTTTGGATTTTTGGCGGACCGGGCTCCGGAAAGAGTTTCCTATCCACGCGGTTGACGCAGCTACTGCGTGAGAAGAGCGAGCGCGAGGGCGGACACGATGCGGTGGCCTACTTCTTTGTCAAGGAGAATAGCGAGACCCTGCGCGACGCCAATATCATCTTGAAGACTCTGGCCTGGCAGATAGCTACACAGGACCTGGCTTTCCGGAAGCACGCCATGCTTGTCTGTCGTCAGCGGTCCCGAACCATCACGCCGGATTTGACGTGGGAGAGTCTGTTTCTCAGCTACTACTATAATCCCGACGGCGCACAGAACCAGCGTGCCGTCACGATCGTCATCGATGGCCTGGATGAGGCCACCGCTGAGACAAGGTACACCATTCTTGGGCTTATGCACGACCTGGTATCATCGCAGACGCCAAGAGGAGGCAACGGCATATACTTGGCCATTATCGGCCGGGGTTCTCTTCGGAGCGACATGGACTTCAAGCGGCTGGAGAAGACCTTCTTTATCGAAGTATCCTCCAGCAAGAATCGTCAAGACATCGACAGCTACATCCGGAAACGCCTCGAGGAGCTTCAAATTCTTCGAGAAATGCGCAAGATAAAGAATGGCGGCCTGAAAAAGGCCAATCAGGTGGGGAGCAAGATCATGAAGAAGGTTTCCGAAGGTGCCGACGGGGTATTCCTGTGGGCCAAACTGCTCCTGGACGGCCTGATGAACAAGGATCTGCCCCAGGTCGAAGCCATTCTGGCAAACCCCCCGTCGACGCTCGACAAAATGATCTGGTCCGTCTTCGACCGGCTCGCTAAAGACGAAGAGCTGGACCAGCACGTGCTTCGAAAGATGCTAATGTTCATGGCCCATGCGCGGCGGCCCCTTTTGTTTGGAGAATTGGACCTCGTTACGAGCCTGCCAGCCCGGAAGCCTAATTACTTCCTCTGGAAACACACGCGCGGAAAACTTTCGTCTGTTTTCGAGCTGAAATTCCCCAACGACCTTGATCCAGATGAAATGCAAACGAACGGCAGCGAAACCGAGGTCGACGGTGAGACTAAAGGCGGGGAGAATCAGGAGGGGCTAGAGTCTAGCTCTGGCGGCGCAGATTCCCAGGCAGACGGGGACAAGGACTTTGACTTTTCCTACGACAGCGATGAGGATAACAACGGGACCAGCGACACCGAGGTTGGCTCTGACGACGATGACGACATTTTCAGCACATCGTCCAGTTCCGTTACCCGAACAGGACGAACCGATTCACTCCCAAACCTTGAGTCGATAGGAGGCGGCGACGTGCCCGACGCAGATGTCGAGGACTTGCTCTCCCACTTGTCGGCAGACGCAAACAAACAGCGCACCAAGGTTGCTTTCTGCCACACACGTATCCGGGACTTTCTCGTCCGCGAAGGTAGTGCATTGACGAGGAAAAGTCCACCGCTTTCTATCATCCCGGGTGTTGACGATGTGCACGCTGATATCACAATTACCTGCCTTGAGATATTCCAGCTCGAGCTTTCTTTGAAGGACGATTGGCGGTTCCTTTGCGACTATCCGCTCTGCCATCTGCCATTCCATCTCGAGGGCGTCGATCCCGCCACAGTGCCGCCGGAGAAGGCGGGACAAATCATCGAGGGCCTCCACTGGCTTTTTGGGACGAGCAAGGGAACCGAATGCCTGATCAGGTCTGTGACCCAGTACGACGAGTTCCACAGCTCCAGCAGCGAGCTGTGGAGGCTTTGGGCAGCAACCGACAAGTACTTGAAGCTTGTCCAATCGTGGCTAGGAAGCATCGAGTCGTTTCGCCATCACACAAACTGTGACGACGACGCCATTGCCTGGATGCTGGGCGCGTCCCGATCTCTGAAGGACTTTATTCAGCCCGCCATGTTGACTGCGTCGAAGCTGTGGCTATCTCGCCCAAGCTTTGACAGCCCTACGTATTTTGACAAGGGAGAGCTTCCCGCCTGGCTGGTACACGGCTGGCTGACCTGGGTAAGCACTCCGCTGGAACTACAACCTATTTTGTCGTCGCCTTCCAAGACGTCCCGGTTGTAGTAGTTTACTGACCAATTTTGTGCTCAATCATCAGATGGAAGGGGGCCAGCCACCTCCCGAGCAGGTTAACCTCGTCGGCGACTTGGAATCGCTGACACCAGAGCGCCTCGAACAAATGGCGACCTACGCCGGACTCGAGCACGATGTCCACTGGCATACGCTGCTCGGGTGGTCTCTAATGATGGGTATGAACTACGAGGGTGCCGTTGCGCACTACCACAGCGCCATTGAACTGTACCCAGAGGCCTGGGTGGCAATTGAAGGGCTCGCGCGCTGCGCTGGCGAGCAAGGCCAGTTCGGCGACGCCATCTCTTGGCAGAAAAAGGCCATCGGCGCGCTTCCAGCGTCCATGCCTTGGATCTTGGGGTACCTTTACCCGAGAATCACCGAGTGGGCCAATGAACTTGGTCTCACCGACGATGCCTTCGAGGCGGCCAAAGCAGGATTCAAGGCGGATGACTCGTGCATCTTGGCTTCAACCACGTACCTGGCTGAATTGCACAGTCACGAAAATTCGGCTGAGATGGCCGCCACTCTCGATTATATGACCTCGTGGTCCATCGAGTCCGGGACCGGCACTGACATCCTGCTGCTGACCCGTCTCTTCGTGTATGGCGAGGACATCTTCGCCGACATTGGCTGGGGATGCGCCAAGGAAGGCAGGCCGCAGTTCGTCCTCGACTCACTCGACGAGGCCCTAACGATTGTTGACGAGGACGATCGCGAGTGGATCAAGGTTTGGCTGCCGTACAAGATGGGCCGTTTCAAGTACACGTATTACGGTCTCGAGGAACAGGCGATAGAGCTTCTCGAGAAGTTCCTCAAGCGGCTCTTGCAGAAGGATGAGAGCTTCCAGATCTCGTTCGCAGTAGAGCGCAAGGACGCGCGAAACCTTCTGGCACAGCTTTACTTCGACACGGCCGTCGCGGCGTGGGCCAGCGACCCCAAGACGCGCCCACCCGGCGCCGACAAGCTGAAACAGCTAGCCATCGACGCGCCGACGGGCTTTGGCGACGACTATGAGGGCTTCGATCTCTTCCGGGCCGACTACCCGGCAATGCTGTGGGGACGGTGGCTGCGCGATCACAAGCGCGCCGAAGAGTCCAAGTGGCGAAAATGCTTCAGGACACGTCTCCTCGACGAGATGAACACGATAGACGACGACGATCCGACTAATGATACGGCTGGAATATCCAGCCTGGCAGTGTCCCTCTTTCATGCCGGTGACAGGACCAACGCGGGCGCCATCTTGGCCATCCTGTTCCAGTCTGTCGAGGCCGAAGCAAAGGCAAGCCAGAACAAAATCGAGGAGCAGGCAGATGCTGGAGAGGTTGCAGAGGCTGCAGAGGCTGCAGAGGCTGCAGAGGCTGCAAAGGCTGCAGAGGCTGCAGAGGCTGCAGAGGCTGCAGAGGCTGCAGAGGCTGCAGAGGCTGTAGAGACCGCAAGAGCTGGAGAGGCTGCAGGGCCTGAGACGGCAACAACGAAGGAAGCCGAGGAAGCAGAGCCCGGAAAAGAAGCTCGCGAGCTGCGGCTGACAATTGAGCACGTGTCGGCCTCGTACGCCTGTAGCAACTGCAAGAGGAGCATCGGCGAGGTCTCGGAGCTGCACGTGTGCGAGGTGTGCTGCAACAACGTCAACTGGTGTGCCGAGTGCCTGGCGCTGCTCAGGGACGCGGAAGACCGTCAGACCATGGTCGAGCGCCAGTGCAATCCCGCACACGACTTCTACCGCGCCTGGCCCATCCCCGAAGAGGCCAGACACGTCGCGGCGCAATCGTTCGAACACGGCGTCACGGTGCGCAGGGCCTGGCTGAAGAATCTGAGGCGAGAATGGTGGGAATAAGTGCTGGCAAACGGCGAGGGATTTTATAAGAATTTCATCCCGAAGAGTATTCTGACCGTTTATTATCGCATTTCGACAGCTCGGAAGCAGATAGATAACTTGGTTCATTAGCTCATTCCGCTTATTCTTTTTTCGCGTCCCGCAATGCTGGCCTGCTGGTCTCATACGCGCTGAAGAATCTTTTCCTCCGTGACAAGACTCGTGTTGGTCAGCGATACAGTAATTATAAACGTGGGTCAGCTATACAGTAATTAAAATTGCCAGGAGCGAGAGAGAGGAAGGAAGCGTCCCGTAGCGTAGCGAAGGGCCACGCGACTGACGAACGAAGCGACGCCAGCAATTTAGGGCGCGACAGTTGGCTTATTTGGATAACATAGAGAGCAAGCGAAGTGACAATATCCTATCCGGAGGCCAATAACTCCGATGCTCTAGAGATCTTTTCTTATAACGATGGCTAAACCTACACAACTAAATCTTACATCTATACAACAGAGCTATCAGTTATATACCCCCTCATATCGCTCGAGTCAACCTCCTCTTCCTGTGGATCTAATAGCTGTAACTTCCTTACCTCGTAGTCCGCTATCTTTAATTGTATGCTCTATACCGGTACTTCGCGGTATATCCTGCTCCGATCAAACGGCGACTCAAATATTAGGCCATCTAAGGTCTTGACCCTGGAAACTGCCACGTATGATAGGCCGGACGCGAACTCTAGCGCGGAGATATCATAAACCACGTTGTCGAGAGTGACGCCCTATAACTTATATACTGTGATTGCGTAGCAAACAAGCAGTAGAAACTGCTCCTGGTGTTGGATTCACCAGGGTACCGGTACTGGACTCAACAGGGCGTGGCTGCACGCCGAAAACTGGTGGTTCAAGTGATGGATTGTAGATGTCTGTTCTTCTCTCTAGCTTTCTGGCAATGCCAGAAAGCCCGTTCTTATACTACTATTGTGGTGGCGAAGTGGGTGGCGAAGTCTCTATCTAGAACCTTCGAGGCCCTTCTGCTTGACAAATTCCAACACTGGCAGTTTTCTCTTTTGAGGCTGGAAAGCTGCCCTTATATAACTGCCACTATCTACACCCCCGGGATCACTGCTTCCACCCGGGTCTTCCTTACCGGGAGACCCACCCTTCCATACGGACCGTAAGGCTATTACCGTCGATGAACCGTTCTAGGGCCCGGTTCGGTACGGCCTTGGTCAGGGCGTCGGCGGGGTTATCGTCGCCGTGGATCCACCTGACCTCGTGTAGCTCACGGCGCTCGTACGACTGCCGTAGGGCCATAATGTCGATCATTAGCCTCTTCTCTTTCGTTGTCCCTAGCTTGACAAGGCATTCGTATAGCGAGTATGAGTCTGTACAGACGACCGTAGGGACTGTTGGTAGATTGAGGTGCGTAGTGACGACTTGAATCGTAGAAGCTAGTGCGTAGGCCATATCCACGCCTGCCACCATGCCGTAGACTTCGGAAGCGAGTATACTACGTGTGACTCGCTTGCTCTTAGTACTGGAGAAGTGGATGATATTACCACGAATGGTGAATTGAGTATCGATTGTGGTCTCGTTGGCTAGAATGATTACGAAGCCGAGTTGTGATGTGAGGTCACGGTTATTAGCGAAGGATCCGTCGACGAAGACGAAGAGCTTTGCGTTAGGTAGGTCTAGGGGGATAAATGCTAGACCTCGGTCCTGGTTATCAACCTGCCACTTAATACGTTGGTTGAGGGCTTTCAAGTCATCTAGCGTAGGCTCTTGGTGTTGCGCTGCGGTTGATAGGTCGAAGCAGGCTTCAGGTTGACAGATGGAAGCAATATACGCGCCGCGGGCTCGCTGCTCGACGTATTGTTGCTTGGCGTCAACTGCATTGTAGTTAATAGGTCGTAGCCTACCGGCCTGGCCTTTCTGCCGTAGGGTGATCGTATCGTTGGTAAGCGTAGCGATCCCTCCGTTGAATGCTAGTGGTTCCTTTGAAGTCAGGATCTGCTTAGGCTTTGCACTGAATGCGGCCTCTTTCAGCTGTTCTTCCTCAACACGGGAAAAAGCCTTAGTTGACAGGCCGATCGTATCGTCGGTTTGCATCCCGATGCAGGCAAATTCCGGGTTCTCCGTATTGGAAATTAACAAGCAGGGGTCGTACGTAGATGTCATCATCTGGAGCCTTTCTAAGTGATGCTTATGGTAGGTAGCCCACCAGTGGGTCCCTGCCTCAGCCAGGCCGTATAACGGCTTGATTACTCGCATTACGGTGCCTTCGGGGTACTGGTCCTGAATCTGCTTAGGTAGGTAGGCTAGGATTTCGCGGTTGAGGTTGGTTCCTGATTGAACGTAGGCCTGCGTAATGTCCCGTAGCCAGATAACCATACTGCGTTGCATGAGCGAAGGAGCTAGTGCCAGTATAAGGCGTTGGCTAGCCCGTTGGATCGTTGGCGACTGGGTTAGAATAGACTCCTTCCCGTCGTCTGCGTAGCCTTGGATAACGAGGCGGGATTTTTCGTAGGGCGTTGTGGTATTCTTGCCCTTGACTTCGTTAACGATGCGGGACTTGAAGATGCGTAGGCCTCGGTTGTGGCCTTGCTTGACGAATTCGAATACTCCCCGAGCGATTAGACTGTCGATCTCGTATTGGGTAGACTCTTCGAATGGTGCGCCTGGCGTGGTGATCTTGCCCTCGGTACGTAGTCGTACCGCTAGTACGGCGTCGGCCTGTTCCTTGTTTGTTATAAAGCTCTCAAGGGTTCCGGTTTCCTGAAGGAAGGTGTCTTGGGGGGAGGCTTTACGGGGTCGACCGCGGCGTCGTGGTCTGACGATGATCATGTCCTCTGCTTCGCTTTCCGGGGCTAGGTTAGCTTCCGATGCCGTTGTGGTTGGTATAACCGGTATAGCCTGCGAAGCTGTTGCGGTCGGTGTAGCTGGTGAAGTTGGTACGGCCGTCGGGTCTTCGTAGTAGGGCTTAACTACGGTTGATCGGAAGATGCGCGGGCCGTTATTCATTTCCAGGGTACAGGTTTCTCCGTCAACTGCAATCAGTTTGAAGGGTCCTTGCCAACCGGCTTTTTCGCGCCATACACGGACTAGGGAGTTAACCGGTAGTTGAGTGGTTCGTACGGTGTTTGGGCCGTTGCGCGTTGCGAGGGCGCCGTTGACTTGTCGTACGGCCTGTAGCCGTTTGACTGCGTCAGTGGCTTTCTTGACTGCTAGGGCACGTTGTTTTATCGTAGGCGAGGGTGCCGAATCTTCGGTCAGCCGGGGGTAGGCGCCGAAGACTAGGAGCGTAGGTATAAGGCCGTCCGGGCCGGCCGTATCGTTGACTGCTTTGACGGCCATTTGTAACGAAGCTTCCGGGCTTGCTTCGGGGTCCTCGGCCCTGAAGATATTATATGCCCGGCGTAGTGGTGTGTGGTATCGTTCAACCTTGCCAATACTGTTGTGGGCTTCAACGGGTATTTCTTTGATCGAGATCCCCATCTCCTTAGCCGACTGCCGGAACTCGGTAGATCGGAACGAAGTGCCGGCATCGGTAACTAGCCAGTCGGGGGGTCCTTGGTATACATTGATCCAGCAGAGGCAGAGGGCTTCCCATACGGTCTTTGACGATATATCCTTGAGGAAGCAGGCCGCTGAGAAGGCCGTAGCCGTATCGACGATGTGGAGGACAGGACGGCTATCGATATATAGTATATCGACGATAACCTCGTAGTTGAACTCGCAGTCGTCGTGGAGGGTGAATTTGAACCGGGCTGGGCGGCCAGCGTTCATTTGGCACTGGTGGCATACCCGGCTAAGGAACTCAAGGGCTCCGATTTCCACAGGGTGCCCGGCCGTCTTCAAGACTTTATGTAGGCGGGCGACCGACGGGTGGCCGAATCGGCGGTGGAGCCGGCGTAGCTCTGTGTCGGTAAGGTAGTTATATGCGAGGGTCTTCTCTTTGGTTAGTTGGAGCCAGGGGTGCCCCCACTTCCGTACGACGGGGACGGTTAGGTTGCCCTGCCGTAGTTGGTTATGCAGGTTGTCGAATTTCAAGCCCAAGCGATCCATATCCTGAAGGCATAGCAGGAACGGTGTGTTTGCGGGGACTACGTGGAAGTCAACCGAGCCGAAGGGGGTAGGTACGGTGATAGTGCCCAAGGGGGTGAGGGTGCCGCCCTGGCCGAATTTGATTGCGGCCTCCGTAGTTGGCGGTCCGAGCCGTAGTGACGGTAGCTCCCTTTGTAGGGCACGGAACTGTGGGTGCCCGGCCGTTGAAAAACCGGACGCCCCTGTGTCGGGCATGATGCCGTGGAACTCCGTAGCTGAGTAACGGCCTTCGAGGGTGAAGATTGAAGCGGGTTGGTGGTCCTGATCCTCGGCCTGTAGGAATGGGTCTTCTTTGGTTAGGCCGTGGCGGACTGACCTATCGGCAAGTAAGGTAACGATGGCGTTGCCGTCGGTTGGCATGGAATCGTTAAAGAAGGTACTTTGGAATCCCTCTTCCTCACTACCTTCGGACTGGTCGTCTTCGTGGGCCTGTAGGAACTGCGAGACGTTGTCGTCTTCGTCGTTATCGTCAAAGCTTTGGGTTCCTTCGTACCAGGCTAGGAATTGGGCATATGTAGCCGACGGTTGGCTACTCTGTATATGCTTGTTGCCCTTGAAGCGGTCGTAGGCCTGGCGCCTTTCTTCCGTCGTGTGGGTTGTCGACCAGCAGCCGGGCTTGCCGCATACGTAGCACTTTTTACCGGGCGAGGGTCCTCGGGCCGGGAAGGTACGTCGTGGTTTTTCCTGGTCCTTACGCCCGAAGCGAGCCTCTCGGCCGTTGCCTTTGAATGTCCGGTCAGTCCAGTGCTGCCGGGCTTCCTCAGGGGCGTAGGTGTTGAACTGTTGGTTATGGGCTTCAGCTGCAATACTAACTGCTGACCGGAGCTGGCTGCGTACGCCTTCGTAGGTTGCAGCTGGGTTGTACAGACAGAGTGTACATTCAGGGATCTTACGGCAGGCGTTGAGGACTTGTATGCGGAGTAGTTCTTCTGACTGATTGATGGTCGGGAGGGTACGTTGAAGCTTGGTAAGCTTATTGAGTAAGAGTTCGAGGCACTCGGTCCTTGGTTTCCCTGGGTTCTCGTCGATGACCTTACGTAGCGTTGTGTTGCCCCACTCTAGTAGGCGTAGCTGGTTGCTTTCTTCGCTTTCGAATTGGGCCTTAGTCTGGGCGATCAATGTAGCGAAGTCGTATTTACGCCCACAGAGCCGGTCGTAGTAGTAGGTCAGGGCGCGGCTCTTGAGCATAGCGGGGAAGGCTACGTCGTACTGGCCCTGGGTAATACCCAGTCGTTGGCAGCAGTCCTGGAAGATCACTAGCTTAGAAGCGAATACATCGTATGTATCGCCGCCGTATTTCATCTCGTCGTTGTAGAGCTTAGCCAGGTCTGTAAGCTGCTTCGCGTTCGGGGGCCCTTGTGGTACGGGTGGGTACTCGAACTGGAGTCTAGATCGAGGGTACTGGAAGTCCTGGTGAGGGCCATCTGTAGGACTGCGTTGCTGGGGGTACTGGGGTCCTTGGTGAGGGCCGTTTGTAGGACTGCGTTGCTGGGGGTACTGGGGTCCTTGAGGTGGTTCCCGAGGTGAAAATGCCGTAGGAGGTTTTTCGGGCTCCTCTATATCGTCGTCGGGCTCTTGGATCTCCCGAAGGAAGTCAGGGTCTAGGGTATTTAGTTTGAAGGCCTTGTTCCGTCCTTTCTCGTACTTGACGTCCGCGTCAGACCATCTGTGGAACTCCTTCGCTGTTGCTGCTCGTTGGAGGTTATTGTGGATCCTGTCACCATCCATAGTAACGAAGACTCCGTTACCCCGGAGCCAGTTACGTAGGGTAGTCTGTGTTCGACCCGGGATCTTCGCCCAGGCGGCTTTATCCCAGTGCTCGAATTCCTCAGTAAACTGTACCCATGCGTATCTTCCTTTTAGGGGGTTTTTCTGCCAGGAGCGTAGCAGGAAGTGGATGTGCCCATTGATCTGCTCATTTGTTGGCGACGGGAGTCGATCGAACGCGCTTAGCCGGCCCCAGGTTAGAGGGTCTACCTCCCCTTGAAGGTCGGGAGGGACCGAGGGTCCGGGGGTAGGGCTGCTGAGGGGTTCTGAGCGCGCTGGTTGGCTAGGCGTAGGGGTCGGGGACGTAATAACGTCGTTCTCTGTGCCCGTGGCCATCTTAGGCGTGTACGAACGAGCCGTTGGCTGGCCTGGAACGTAGGGATGGGCTGTTGACTGGCCTGGAAAGCTGGGAGTCGAAGGAAAGTGCTGGAAAGCGAGAGAATGCGAAAGAATGTTGAGAAGGGCCGAAAAATGAAGGAATGTTGAAAAGACCGAAGAATTGAAGCCGGATGGATTATGGTAGAATGGAATGGTTGAAGGTCGAAAAGAATGAATGAAGGTAAAAGAATGATGATTCAACACGTAGGTCGTTGTTGGCCTGGAAGGTCGTCTTTCAGGGTTTGTTGCGTGGTAGACGCTCTACGGCTAGGTGACGCCAGGGAGACGGTCACGGCCACTTCTTCCGTAGATTCGAAGGTCCTTGGGCTGCGGTTGAGATTCGAGGCACGAATGCTCCGTTATACCATCTCTTCCGTAGTTGGGGATGCCTTCCTTAGCACAGGTTCGTAGAGAGGGCCGGCCTTCGGGTCCGACCGTTCTCTACGGCGCTGTCTCTTCTGTTGCTCCTTGCTGATCTGTGGCGGAGGACTGTTGTCCCAACAGTGGTGAGTTAACCACTGATCAGTGTTGGATTCACCAGGGTACCGGTACTGGACTCAACAGGGCGTGGCTGCACGCCGAAAACTGGTGGTTCAAGTGATGGATTGTAGATGTCTGTTCTTCTCTCTAGCTTTCTGGCAATGCCAGAAAGCCCGTTCTTATACTACTATTGTGGTGGCGAAGTGGGTGGCGAAGTCTCTATCTAGAACCTTCGAGGCCCTTCTGCTTGACAAATTCCAACACCTGGTAGCCAGTACCAGCCCCAAGACCAAACTCCTGCCGAACCCTAAGGATAGAAACCACCAGCTTAGCCCTATCACGAAGCTCTTCTCCGCTAGGTAATAGGAACGGCGGCCTAGTATAGTTATCAAACGTAACCATAATAACCTACGGTGGGTCCTCCAGCGCGTTAGCGCCTTCAGCCCACGAGATGTCGTATATAGTACCCTGGGTACCGTTCACAAGCACAACGTTGGCCTAGAGGTTCCTCGTTAGCATGACACGGCAACCAATATAAAGAGGTAATCGTTTGATTAGATTACTAGCGTTGGAGGACTCGACTCTCTCTGAGACTACGCCTTCGTGCTTTACGTCCACCTGTGCAACCGCCTTTCGTAGGCCTAGGAGGTGCTAATGGTTGTATTCGTTGACCTACGCCTTAATGGGGAAGATGCGGAGGATATTATCAAAAGCCTTAACCTGAGCCGGAGGCAGTTTAATCGCACATCTCGACGTGAGAATCTCCCATAACGAAACAGATATTTTAGCCTGCCGTAATTCTTTCAGGGCTTGCCGGAATAGAGCCTGGTCTTCACCCTATTGCCGTTGGACTGTGGTTAAGAATATCGACTTATTAAACGAAAGGTGAGATTCTGGTGAGGCGCAAGGGCGGGCCGCGGGTTACGGCAGCAGCTACAGAAACTCTTGCGTTCGACGCGACTCTCTGGGAATGAAGTTGACAAGGAAACCAAGGAAGATAGGTCTAATAGACTTACCTGCTACCTGCCGCGATTGCGGTAGTCCGCGTAATCAAGGGCGATCCGTCGAGGGCCTCGGAACGACTGGAATTGGTCGATATCCTTAACGCCGCAGGTGTGGTAAACTTTGCGGGCAGCCGCCTCCGCCGCGTCCGCCATAGATACCAAATAACCTAGCCATAATAGGCAAAACGGTACTACGTGTCACGACCAGGGCAAGGCATTGAGGTGAACTCAGTCCATTGGGTGCTATCGACGAAGATTCTAAACTGAGGAGGGAAAGAAGGAAAAGTCCGACAACGCGTCGCGTGCTCGCGAATAAGTTTTCATCTATCAGTGGGGTAGGTGGGGCCTCGAGGAGGCTTCTGATAGGCCCGGGGGTTCTGGGCGGCTCTGGCTGCTTGAGGGCCAGTTTGGTGGACGGGTCCTCACACTACGGAGGAAGGGAGGTTAGCTACGAAGAGCGGGTAGATTGTAAGGTTCGTCAAAGGTGCTACGGTACGACTAATTATAGGGTGGGCGAGGAATTTCGAGGCGGGGTTGAAGGGCAATTCGCGTAGTCACGTATGCAAGCCCACCCTGGCATTGGCACTACTTGCATACGCCCCACCACGCCAGAAATTATTTAAACGCTTATATCTTAGCCAATTTCCATTATAATACGAATCGGGCTTCCGATTCAAAATTTCCGTAGAGTTATACACATAATAATACTGCTTGCATCAATTTTGGAAAGTGTGCTGACCGAATAGCAAATAGGCACGTGATAGGGGCTGCCGATATTGAATGTGACCGAGAAATCGGGTCCACCTTTCTATATAAGTTAGCCAATCCGGAAAGGCGATAAGGCGTCTTATCAATTTCACATGGTAATTTTTTCAGAGTTTCGCAGTAATAATGCCCTCCGGACAGGATAAACGTCGGTCAGCTATACAATAATTATAACGTTGGTCAACTATACAGTAATTATAAACCATCAATTAACCTTTGCAGTCGAGCTGATTTGCAATAATCGTGAGTACCTAGTCAGGCCTACGGACCTAACTGCAAATCTCCATCGAATAATACATCGGAATGAAAGCACGGTAATGAAGAAGGACAGGACAATAACATCACGAAATAAGTTTTGTCCCTCTCGGAGACCCGAGGACCCACGTCATCTGGTCAAGGTGCTAACAAAGGTGACTCAAATCCTAGCAGGAAGCCGTCTTGGCAAATCCTTTGACGGCGATCTGTGCAGCGACCTTCCTCGACTGGCGGCTCCTTGCGTCGTCGGGCTCTCGCGACATGGCATACTGTCGAATCGCGACATGGAAGCTCGACGCACGAGACTTGTGAAAAGAACAGCTTGCGATTGCGCAATGCGTACTCGGCTGACGCGTCCTTTGCCGGCCGCTTGGTGTATTTATATTTTATTGATCTTTCCATAACAGCTTAGCTTTACCGCTTCTCCGCACATCACTGCCGCAATACGCTGCAGCCAATGGCGGGCGCCAACATAATCAACCCACTCCTCCTCCCAACGCCCCTGGAGAGGAGTCATAGCTGCGGCCCTTAGGAGCTCGGCCGAGTGCTCGGATGCCCGACCTGTCTCGACATGTATATATACGACATATATATATACGGCATATATATATAAGACCAGGCCAAAGCAGCACCAGACGGAATATTCAGCCTGTTTGTCGACCCTGCCAAACACATACCCGCCCGCAAATCACGACACACCCGCCCGCACATCACGACATCCCCGCCCGCCATGGCACAAGACGCCTCCTTCAACGTAGCCCAGACCAGCGCCGTCATCGCCCTCGCCACCGACAGCCTCCTCCCGCCCAACCCGCGGCTCGACAATGCGCTGACCAACTCGGCCACGCACGGCCTGCGGCCGATCCAGGTGACGCCGCTCGCGGGCCAGCTGCTGGCGATCCAGGCGCAGCTGGTGGGCGCCAAGTCGGTGCTCGAGATTGGCGTGCTGGGCGGCTACTCGACCATCTGGTTCGCCGAGGCGGGCGCGCGGGTCACGGGCATCGAGATCGACGCGCGCCACCGCGACATCGCGCTCGAGAACGTCAAGGGGCTTGATGTTGACATCCTGCTCGGCGACGCCCTCGAAGTCCTCCCCCGCCTCGCTGCTGAGCGCCGCGTCTTCGACTTCGTCTTCATCGACGCCAGCTGGGAGACCCAGTGGGAGTACTTTGACTGGGCCGTCAAGCTGACGCGCCCCCGCGGCGCCATCTACGTCGATAATGTTGTTCGCGCGCTGGTCGAGAATGAGACGCTGGACAAGACCAAGGAGTCGCTTGTTACCAGGGTCGGGAGGGACGAACGGGTCCGCGCTACGCTGGTCCCGACTGTCTTTCAGCAGAAGAGCGCGGAGAATGAGGTCGACGGGTTCTTGCTGGCCATTGTCAACTGATGCATGGCTGCTGCGACACGTGCAGGCCTTACGTGGGGGGAGGGGGGAGGGGGGAGGGGTTTGTTTTGGTTTCGCACCGGTGTTTGTCTCGTGCGGACTGCACCCAAGGTCGGTCCTGTTGGATTGGTGTCGGATCCCGGATGGATCGTGTGCAAAACCAGGTACGAAATGCAAGTTTTGCTTGGATACCGATACCTGAACATTGTCACATATTTTTGCTCGAGTCTTGGCGTGACCCAGCGCTAGTTGGATTATAGGTGACAGGTGATTGACATCCCCGTCAAAAAATGATGCGGCCATTCCCTCCGGGTGGTATTTTCCCCCATACAAAGAGGAGCACTCACCGCACCACTCCTTGGCAGCCGCTGTGCCGCCAAGCACCGTCCATTCACAGCGCCGTTGCCGCCTGTCCGCTGCACCGCAGCGTAGCATCCCCCGATGCAACGGTCAATAGTGTGAGGTGATCGGCCTCGTATTCTCTGAAAGCAGCTGTTTCTGGGTCTTGGCGACGGACATTGCGAGGCAGGGAAGGTAGAGATACCTGGTCGAGCTGATTGTCGACTGTCACAGGGTGATTTAATTACGAAAGATATTGTTGTTCTCGAGCTTGTTCCGAGGGGCATTGGCGTTGGCGCCGAGTATAAAGCGGCGGGCTGCCATGGCCTCGAAATATTGGCCAAAGCAGAAACCATGCTCACCGCCCTCTCCTGAGCTGAGAAACATTTAGGACCGGCAAAGCACCAAACCACACGTTCTCGTCAGCCGGTTGCAGCCAAAAAGCACCGCCATGGTGAAGCTCCTGACCCTTTACACCCGGGCCCTGGGCCTCGGCCTGACCCTTCTCGCCACCGCAGCATCCGCCGCCTCGGCAGGCGAACCAATCTCGGCGCGGGAGTGCACAACAACTATCGTCGCGCCGTCCGACGTGATCCTGTTCGACATGTGGCAGCCACCAACCACACCGGGGACGTCCTTCTTCCCGTTCTTCGAGGCGGCGCTCAACGCCGACGGCACAGGCTACCGCTCGCTAGTCCGCTTCACGAACCCAGCACCGCCCAGCACGGGCACGTGCGCCTGGGTGCTGAGCCTGCCGGCGGCCGAGTTCGGGCACCTGATCCTGCAGGGCCTGCCGGCGGACACGGCGCCCGTGCTGCTCGCCTTCTACGGCGTCGACGCCGCCGCGCCCTACGCGCCCGGCGACGGCCTCGCCGGCTTCGCCCTCAGGCCCGGCCCGTACGGCGTCAACGCCATTCATCCCGGCACCCAGGTCGTCCACGCCGAGCCCTGCGCGCAGATCGGCACCGACGTGTTCGTGCGCATCCCAGAGTGGATCACAGAGGCCCAGTGGGTGTTTTGGCGCCAGGATATCCAGCCCGGGAACGCGACTGCGTCGCTGGGGATCTACTTGCAGGTGCAGCAGTGTTAGGGGGCCTAGTTGTGGTAGAGCGGGTAGTGTTGGCGGGTAGTGTTGGCGGGTAGTGTTGGCGATTAGTGTTGGCGGGTAGTGTTGGCGGGTTGGGTTCCGTGGTGGCATGTTGTAGACTGTAACGATGGTCGAGTACTAATTAGCGACCTGAAAGGGGGGTGGGAGACGAATCCCTCATCAATGAATTATTTCATTTTACCGTCTAATTAGTTCTCTCTTCGCTCGGAAATCTCCCCACTGACTCTCCGGAGGTCTTGCCCATGTTCCGAACCCACAACCCAATCACACCGCGCCTCTCCTAAAGTCTAGATAGTAGGGTGAATGGTTATTAGATAAGGTGAATGGTTATTAGATAAGGTGAATGGTTATTAGATAGGTTGAATAGTTATCAGATTGTAGGGTGAATGGTTATCCTCAAAAGGCTTGACGAGACCCCCGGCCTATCGACATGCCTTGCCGGCTTAGAGAGTCTTTTTCGTGAGCAAATGAAAATAGCCGTCGGGCTGGGGGCGCTGGAGATGGTAAGGATACGTCGCGCCATTGACCTCGGCATTGTTTTTGGTGGCTGTGTCGGTTATGAAGTAAGCCGTCCTGGACCGCTCGCTGGGCCCGCCGATGGCGCCCAAGACTTGCGCTCGTCCAGCGACTAGCGCTGTTGAACTTTCTCCAACAGTGACTGCATCCAAGAAACGTTGTATTCGAGTTAATTTTTTCTACTCGGCCATCGCACTGTGTTCTTAATCATGCGGCTAGGGGGAAGTATAGTAACCTATTATGTCGGAGGGCGAGAAGTGGAAAGGAGGCTACACCAGAGACCAACACTCATATTTAGTCAGGGTACCTACCTCTAAGTCTAGACAGTCCTTGGCGTTGAACAGGAGATTCTGGATTTGAGGATTTGAACCCCTGAAGGTGACATACACGTGCTTGGTTGGAGAAAAAGACATGGTTGGCTTTGGGCAGGCGATGTTGCTGTTGTTATTGCGGCTGCTGGAGCGTGAATCAGAACTGGGATGTTGTAGACAACGGCGATTCGGAGGACATGTCGGGTTGTGGCTCTGTGGAATGTGGGCAAATATACCCTTTATGAATACTTGCAGTACGAGTCCCCTGTATTCATCGCTCGACCAGTTCAAGAGTTTGCCACGACTTCTCAAACAGTCGTGGTTCTGGCTATTGGCAATCACGGCTTTCGAGACAATTCGTAACGCGTGTATGATTACCTAGCAGCCCTACAACGGCAAAGGCGAGACGTCGAAGGGCCGTTCTAAATAAACAAACTCATCTCAGACACTTGGAGTTTCCTAGTAATAAGGATTGATGTCTCATGGGGAGGCAGTCTGCGAGCATTGGGGGTTGGAGTAGCGACAATGTAAGAAAATAATTAATAACCGGGGTGTCTGGATGGACTGAATGTAGGAGAATTGGAAACGCGAGTTTGTATCTCTCGCCATTATTATCTACAATTAAACGATAATAACTAATTAGCTTCAAGATCACAACGGCAGGGTGGGCGGCGATATATTCGACACCCCTGTACGAATATTTGGCGAATATGATACGCTGAAATTGACAGAAGTGGGGTAAACGCTAAAAATTGGTGAGATGAATACTGTAACTTAGCGGGCTGGCGCTAAGCTACAGCGGGTATCTTCCCTTTACGTTTTGCTGCTAGCTTCGCCCCCTATGGTGCCCGCAACAGCAGTCCTCATCTCGCTAAGTTTTAGTGCATCATATTCGCCGAATATTTGTACAGGGATATCGAATATATCGCCGCCCACTGTGTCACAACGCTAGTGATACAAGAGAATCTCACAGCATGTTTCGAGGAGGACTGACAAACGCTTCATTTGGGTTCAATTTGGCCTGAAGGAGGATTGGGCGGCTATGAATGCATAGTTTTCTTCTTGAAACTATTACACAATTTTAACTATTATATCCGGCACACAATGAAGAGCCGGAGCCAGTATATCGAATGCCGTACCAATACGTCTGAACGTCCCGGGTTCATCCCCGTCTCTCAAGACAATACTGCGAGCGTACTCATTATCGATCCCGTCCTCCTCTTCATCGAACCAATACGTTTCGTGAAACAAGCCGAAGTAATAGACCCTGGTCTCGATCCTTTGTTAGATATCTTTCTCATCTTCTTCAGTATCAAACTCTGGGTATGCTGGGCCATCTTCACTATTAGGATCCCAGCCTGTGAGTGAATACCTCCAGGTAGTGTCTGTAGGCAACCTTTGATGGTGCCAGATATAAGCGTGCCTTGTAGGACTATGCTAGTCCCGTCCGTCGTCCTGGAGGATACACGGCGAGTCGATCCAGATGTATTGAGTTCTGGAATTTGTCGAATATTCCTCGCGGTATATGGTGGTACAAGACCCAGTTGTCCGGGTATGGTGCGAGCTCCGATCGAGCTGAGTTTCGACTAGTCCTTGATGCTTGTGACGCCGCTGAACCTTCTAGGATGGGGATTGCAGTGAGGTGAATTAGATCGAGCTGAATTTTCGATCGGAATCTGGCTCTAAGAGGTGTATATGTTGGCGGAAGTAGTAAAGGAAAATGAGAAGAAAGGAGAAAGGAGAAAGGAGAAAGGAGAAAGGAGAAAGGAGAAAGGAGAAAGGAGAAAGGAGAAAGGAGAAAGAAGAAAGGAAAAAAGACAAAAAAAGAAAAACAACGTACTGACATTAACATTACTGCTGCTGCCGCTATCGCTTTCTAATCCTGTCCACTAATAAACCCCCCCAGCTAGCAACACGAGAAACCTCGGAGAAGGGCAAGACGCCGAACCATGCTTCGCGTATTAACCCTAGCCCGTAATTAACGCCCCCTCGCGGCCCCACCGGCATCAAGTCCAGGCGCCTGGATTGTGGTCCGCTCCGCTTTTCTCTGCGGCGCTTTTTACGGGCATAGATTCGCCAGACCACGGTGAACGCTAAGCCGAGGCTGGCGACCACAGACACTGTTATGCCTACGACCTTGGCCGTGTTGAGGGAGCTAGATCGTGACGAGGCTAAGCATGACGGATCCAAGTGGTTAGTTATTAGACTCTCATTTAGCACGGAACGGGGGAGACGCAGTGTTTCTTACTTGCTGGTGGTTGGCTGCCTGGGGGGGTTACAGGGGGAGTTACAGGGGGTGTTTGCTGATGATTTTGTCAGTTGGCATCAAGATCATGCTCCGCCGGCAATGCAGGGACTCGGGAACTAACCTCGCCTGATCCCACGGTGGACGTGGTCGTCGATGTCACTGTTCTGGTGCTGCTCGCATCATCGATTACGGTGGACGTGATTGTCCACTCGACCACGGTGCTGCTGGTCGAGGTGACGAGATTGTCGTCCATGGTGTAGTTGTAGATGTAGATATCGTACGTGAATGTGTAAGGCACGATTATGTATGACGTGATGGCGCGCCTCTCAAGCAGGCCGATTTCTTCGAGCCCGCGACGCAAGATGTCCGTTACCGGCGTTTGACCCCCGATACGTACTGGGTCCGCCGTCGGCAGCACCGCGGCGCCCTGTGTGCCATGTGGTTGTGTCATGGTGGGCGTCTGAACAGTCGGGGTGGCGCGCTTCGCATTGCGGGTTGTCGTGACGGTGACCCAGACCGTCGAGGTCGAGACTCCGCCTTGGGAGTGGGTAGTGATGGTACTGAAATGGGTCGATGTCGTGTATTCCCACAAGGTACCGGTTGAGTAGACTGTCGAGTAATAGGTGGAGGTGACATAAGACGTCAATGAGACTGTCACAGTAACGACGCTACGAAGGCAAGTTAGGAATATATGGCTACAGCGGACAGGAGCGGTCTCATCACAGTACATGGGCCACGTACGCGTCGCCTGCTGGCAGATAGCAAAGTCCAGACACTGGACAGGGGTATCCCGGCGGGCAGCAGAAGTCGGAGCTACAGCAAGAAGCTCCATCCACGCAACAATAGTTAAATGCAGGGCAGTACAAGTCACCAGAAGCGCATTGCCTCTTTGACAGGCTACCAGACGTGGCCCCCACACTGCCTAGGAGCCTGCGCGGCACAAAGGACATGTCGACCCCCAGGCGGTAGCCAGTATCGTAATGCTTGTCGCGCTCGCGGAGGCTATGGTCGGAGTCGGCACTCACAAAGACAACAAGGCTGCCGAGAATAGTCGCCAGGGCATTCGAGAAGAGAGGCTTTATCCTTTAATTAATAAGGCCGCCGGCTGCTGAACATGGAGTAAAAGAGGGCAAGGCTAAGGTAGAGAAGAGGGAGACCCCAAGAACGAGATGTGCGGGTTCCAACACGGGCGTTGCGGCATATTTCAGTCGCGATCCTTCCGAGCCTATTGTTCAGCTGCGGCAATATTGGAAAACAAAAGTGCCTGGTATGTAGGGATGCTAGTGATCTACGTAGCTCTTGCCATGTTATCGGGTGTTCGAGAAGAAACAAAAGCCACCAAGAGAACCTCGACGCGGCTCTATCCAATGATACAAAACCACTTCACACCCAATGGAGTGAGAAATGGAGGGAGGGAACAAAGCTTGATTGGCCCCGAACGTGGTGCATCGCATCGCTAGTGCTACCCAGCAAAACTCAGAGACGAGCCTAGAACTTGGAAGACAGATAAGCACATAGACAGGGCGACCCACTTATGCAATCGCCCCCCTTTGCAATCGCCCACCACCATCACGGCCCACCACAAGAATCGTCAAAATACCCAATTATAGGCCAAATTCTATGGAAAAAAGTACATTCTAGTCCTCGTCAATCGCCCTATATTGCTCAAGCCCACGGGTGATAATTTCTTCAGCTTCCTGGACCAGGCGTGCAGGCCTGGACTTGGTCTTCTTGGATCTCTTCTTGGGAGGCTTTTGACTAGCTTTTGAGTTTCGTCAATTTCGTCAATAGTAGCAAATCTGTCGTTGGCGTCTATTTTGACCCTTTTACGTGAGTATGGCTTTTTGGATTCCAACTCGTTGGCTAAGAAGTCGTTTTTTGCCTTCAAAGCAGCGATTTCCGTATTCTTCTGATCGAGTGCCCTCCCTACCTTCGTTAACATAGTCCTGACGACCCTATCTCGGGGACTAGTGGCCGTCTTGGCTAAGCCCTGTTGCCTGCGGACGTCGTGACTACCTTGAGGTGTGTTGAAGAGGTCGTTCCGGGTTGCCCGGGTCTTCCGGGGTGGTGTGGATGGGGGGACTGGTTTTGCAGCTTCGTCCCGGACCGCCTCGGGGTCGTCAAGTATACGAGCGGGTTGGAAAGGCCAGATTCCGGCCTTCCGGAAGCCGGATATAATATTCCGGGCTGACATACCCTGCGCTGAGGCGTCCCGGTAGCAAAAAAGGAAGCGTTGCTTGTTGATAGGTGCTGAGGCTGTGAAGGAAGCCAATTCGAGGGTTCTTTGGCGAAAATAGGACTTCAAAGCCGAAAAGACAGACCGGTCGAGTGGCTGGGTCTTGTGAGAAGTGTGTTAGGTGTACGCGGTTTCTTTTAGCTAGAAGCATAAAGTCTTCGTCGATATGAGTGGCGTGTTCGTCGAGGACCAATAGGCGCCAATCGTCCTTCCTTTGGGGCTTTGTTTGAGGAAGATATACTTCCTTGAGCCACATAAGAGCTATTTTGCTATTGCTCCAGCCTGTGGGCGTACAGTCGTATTTCCAGGTCTTGAGGACTGGTAGTTCCTTGAAGTTATCCGGGAAGTGTTGGCCTTGTAGATTTTCACCCGTAAAGATCATGTAAGGAAAGGACAACCAAACACCAGCCGCGCGCACAGGGTGCGCGCTCACCACCTGTTACCAACTGGCCGGAACACTGCCAGTTGGCACAAGCCACTACGCCACGCCATAGCGCCCCGGGCCTGAGCCCCTGAGCACGTATATAAACAGTGGCCCTCGCCCACCTTCCTTTGCGAGGGCCAGGCTGAAGTCTCACACCAATACTACTCGTTGCTCGCCCGCCTTCTTACCTGCATTGTGACCACCTTGATCCGGCGTACCTGCCTTCTCTTACAGATCACTACGGGCGTCAATCGCTTGCCCTCAGCGGTACCACACTCGATAACACTGACCCAGGTCGTTGGATCAGGGCCAGTCAGGACTGCCCGAGATGTGAGGGAATTGCCAATCACCTTCCCAACCGTAGTTTCCGTCTCTTGCATGCCATGTTCGTCCAAATTGGCGATATTCGCAGGTACCAGCTTCTTGTCCTTGATTACAGCTTCCAAACGATCAAAAAAATCATGGAATCGCTCACGGATAGATTCTTTGACTCGAGACCGTTCTAATAGGGTACCTAACTTGGTCTTTACCCGGGGGTTACAGGTAAAAAACCGATCTACCCAGCGCTCACCAACTCGCCCAGGGAGCCCGGCTTCGTTCAGGATTGCTTGTGCGAATCGTCTTAGCCGTGCACGACTTGGGGCACGCCCTGCAGCTTCCTCCTCAAGAGCCCACTCGGCGACGAAGGCTTCCTGGTCGTCAGTTAACTTCTGGGTGTTTTTTGGGCTTGTCGTGGATCCTGTTGTCCACGGCGTCGTCTGCTGAGGGTGGATTCAGGGATCCTATATAGGCGCGCTACTTCCTTCTGCTGCGCGCCTTGATCAATAGCCTCAATAGCCTCGGCTATTAGCCGCTCTCGTACGCGTCGAACCATCGCATTTTGAGGCTATTCCGACCAGTATTGAGGAAGTTGTTGGTGGTGGAAGGTAGAGGGTAGGAAGTTGGCGGTGTGGGGGAAAAATTGCAAAGTGGGGCAATTGCAAAGGTGGGTCACCCTGTCTATATGCCTCAGCAGTTCCCAAGTTACTAAAGTAAAACCGATGGGAGACTCTATTGGGGTATTTAACGTTAGCGCGATAAGGCTATCTACACTGACCTTTTTTTACGACAGCTCCATACTACGCTAACGTTCATTACGCGGCAGTGATGTCGTGGCGAACGCGCTAAGCTACCAGTAGCTCGGGCCAAACCGAAAATTTAAACCTAAAAAAGCATGGCTTATTGCTCAACGGTTCGCTCGCTCTAGAAGACATAATCGTAGGCCTAGGAGAAAATAGCGTAGGCCTGGAGATGTTGGAATGACAAGGTAATTCGCATGGTAGTCACTGCAGTAACTAGAACGAAAGGTAGGGTGTTGTGTGTTGATTGTACTGTTCTCTAATTACTCTAATGCCAAGGATCGCGAACTACGGGGACATGGAGGGGCTGATTTCCAGTGCCCCGCCAACACGTGGAAAATCACGTGTTAGGCGGGTGTGGCCCGTGTGCTAACGTAGTCGCTCCATTATTCCACATTCTAGGCCAATCACAGCTCCTGGTTGATCGGTAATTCCTACAGGAGATGAAAGCGTACGCTAAGACGAAGGTATAAGAAGCATGAGTTTATAAACTTTAGAGCATAAGAACTATGTCGAGTTCACGTTATTGAATTATTTTTCTTCTAGGGTCTGAAAAACTGTCGATAGAACCGGTTGTTTTTTCTAAGTTTCCAGGCCGAAGGCCAGAAGCTACGGATGCTGGATCAATCTCCCAATGTGGGGTCAACCCTAACCCTACACTAACTCCCCTCGCGGGGCTCTCAGACCCCTATCTGATAAACTTATCCCATCCCCACTCACTGTCAAATACATACCCGATAGTCGTCGTCCACGGCTCGACACGGGAGCACTCACCGAGAGATAGATGAGTGTGGTGCGCAGATCTTTTACTTCTGCTCCGGCTTTTCAGACAAGCTCTCGCACCTAGACCATATCTGAACAATTGCCAAAGCTACCATTGACTTCAGTCCTGGCCCGAGTTTTAGTCAGCTAGAAAGCAGATTCTTGACCGACAAAACCTCTCGTAGAAAGACTCGTCGCGGTATTGCGCTAACGCCTTGCTGCTATTTTTGCAAGACCACTCTGGCCGTCCATAATGTTTCGAATTATCAGAGACTTTATGATAGGGAAAGCTGCAGTGGTGACCAAAGATGGTATAATTTATATGTGTGTAGAAGGTTAGAAGGTAGAAAAGGGAGCTTGTGTGCCCTGCCGCGGAGATAGGCCGGCAGAATAGTACTGCCTTTACACACCGCTCCCTTGCCCGCCTTCCGCTAGTCTATGGTGCTGATTATGTAATTATACAGTGGTGCTCGTGCCAAATGCACGTGCGGGGCCGTGTCAACAATTAACATGCACAATTGAGGCCATTCCCGTATCACTTTACCATTTTTATCGGCAATTCGACGCCGATCCCGTGCCATTTTCCTCCGCTCACGTCATCCTCTCTGAAGCTGGCTGCACCATACTTTGACGTCTTCTTCTTTTGGCTATTGTCTTTAGTCTCTCGCTAGAAAAGACGTGCTGATGTGATGAAACGTGCTAAAAGGCAGTATTATTATAGAGTCTAGGACTCTATATATGGAAGGATATAGGTATAAGTATTAGAAGAGGATGTGTTGAAGGTGTAGGACTTCGAAGGTAAATCATAAGCCCCCTAGTTATCAAAGGCCTAAGCTAATGATACTGCGGGAGAGAGAAGATCAAGGTGGTCAGATTGGTATGTAGAAAGTGTTGGTTGAAGGCATGGTTGATTTGTTATGTGTAAAGAAGAAGAGAAGTGCGTGAAAAAGGTGGGAGGGAAGCTCCCTATATACACAAAAATCCGCACACATCTAATGATTTCTGTACGCTTCTAAGATCAAGTCCTAAAGGCTAAGTGGCCTGATTTCCTTCGGTTATTAGAAAAAGTCAAACACAGCTTTATTGAACGAGGAGATACGGTGAGAGTGATAATGGCCCGCTGGCAAGAGAGCGGTTGCGTCTGAGGCAGAATCGCTTATAGCAGCGATTCCGACCACGAGACCAGGAACATGATCAGATGCACGTTTTCTGGCCCTTTTAAGCGTCTTGCATAAGGTGCCTGCTCTCAACCGCCCTCTAATTAACTATTAAAGTTTCTGGCTGCTCAAGGGCTTCCAAGTAATTACCCTACGATGCGACGGAATGTGTAAATGGCTTGTTCACGCTCCTGCGCCTTTGCAAAGGGCTGTACGGTGGTAGGAAAGTCAATCACGCTCTCTAGGAACGACTAGTGAAGGAGCCACCATAATGGTGTGTGTGTGTGTGTGCGTGTGTGTGTGGGGTCTAGCAGAGGTATTCATCGAAGCCCAGCGGAAAAAGGCCGAGACTGTCAGGCAGGAACCCCGCATGGGTTAGGTAAGTTGATCTGCCTGCACAGGGGAGCGGAGCGCCCGCGTCCTCGGCATTGCAGTGGGCAGGCGCGACGCTTCGACTCAACCCCACCTTCCAACATTCGCCCGACCACGTATGTGCAATTTCCCTCTTTGGCAAAGAGTTTACCGATTTGTTACTTTACCGTTTCGCCGCTTTGCTTCCTTGTCTAGTCTCGTTTCGCTTTTCAATGCCCTAATCTCCATCTGCTCACTGTCGATACTAGCATCTGACATCTCTTATCTGCTCGAGTCCTGTCCCTCTCAGGAAAGGCGCCAGCGACATCGTCTACTCTCCATACAATGGCCTTTGTTCCTCATCCGGTTGTCACGGATCTCACCGTATGCGTCTTCTCTCCGACAGTTTCTCCCTCCACCTGCAAACTGGACCCGCGAATATGGCACCGCGTAGAGAAAGACCTCTACCTATATACATGTCAGCAAAGTGCATGGCTATATGTAGCGCTGGCGAATGAGGAAGAGCTTGCAGATGGGGACCTGGTGGTTGTGGATATCAAAGTCGGCGATCCGCCTCCCAGCTCTGGCTCAGGTCATTCTTGGGAGAGCCGACCTGGCGGGATTTGGGTACTGAGAAGCAAGTTCTCTGGCATGATCGACGAGGCTGTGACAGAGGTGGACGTTCTCTTGGGTATAGATGCCGTTGACCCGCGACCACAATGGACCCTCATGCCGTCATCGCTCCAACTTAACGGTCAGCCTGAAGTACCGGTTGCAAGACTCAGCGTCCTCCACGGCAGGGCCAAGCCGAGACCAGATGCGCGGGCGGCATTGAGGGTCAGGGAGGATGGCAAATTCAAGATTGTCCAGATTAGCGACACGCACATGGTCACTGGTGTCGGGGTATGCAAAGATGCTATCGATGCCCACGGGAACTATCTGCCAGAGAGCGAGGCTGACCCACTTACGGTCGACTTCATTGCGAGCGTCTTGGATGTCGAGAAACCAGACCTTGTGATTCTCACTGGAGATCAGTTGCACCACGACATCCCCGACAGCAAATCTGCCCTCTTCAAAGTGGTTGCCCCCATCATCGAGCGTTCGACGCCATTCGCGGCTGTCTTTGGCAATCATGATAGTGAGGGCAGCCACGCATTATCACGTGAGTGACTTCTCTCACGAGGTAGTGCTCCTCAATATATGCATTCCCATTCCCTCCTCTACCAAGTATCGGGAACAATTATTAGCTGTTCATTCTTGCTGACCACTTCTTTACAGGCACAGCACAGATGACGATGCTTCAGAACCTGCCTTTCAGCCTCTGCGAGCCGGGCCCAGAGCATGTTGACGGCATAGGTAACTTCTGCATTCAGGTCCTTGCTCCGGCGCCGTCACCGCGCTTGTTATCGACCTTGTATTTCCTGGATTCGCACGGTCAAATACCGAGCAACATACGCAACCCCGATTATGACCCTATCAAGCAAAGCCAAATTGATTGGTTCGCGGAGACCTCCCAGGCGTATCGAAGCACGCGCGAGAAGGACGATAACAACGATAACCGCTTTCATCTGTCTCTAGCTTTCCTCCACATCCCTCTTCCCGAGTTCGGTGACAGCCGTCTCAGCATACGCAACGGCCACCGGAGGGAACCGACTGAAGGCCCCAGTATCAATTCCCATTTCTACGACGCCTTGGTCAAAGAAGGCATATCAGCACTAGGCTGCGGGCACGATCACGTGAATGACTTTTGCGCTCTGCTGCCACCACAACAAACGCAGCGGGATGGCGACAAAACCCCCTATCCTGGCCCTTGGCTGTGCCATGGAGGTGGCACTGGGTTCGGGGGATATTGTTCATATGGCGGAGTTCGATTTCACCGACGAGCGCGGGTTTGGGAACTCGATACGAGCACCGGGAGCTTGAAGACTTGGAAGCGCATCGAATACGCTATGGACAGAGTCGATGAGCTAGTGCTTGTGGAAAGTGGAGCGGTGGTTAATGTTGGGGAAGATGATGAAGACATGGATTAGCCAGACTCGGCCAGGCATCCGACAAGCAGCAGCCATCAGAAGTCGCTGTGACACTGCACGCAGCGCAAACCTCAATCTACATGCAGTAAAAATTTGCTTCGGCAAGTCCGTGAATGACCATGAGTCTCAAGGCCTGATGCCGACGTCGGGTGTCAGGAGCAGAACAGTAGCGAGCCTAGAAGGAACAGTCAATTAGGGGGTAAAGCGATAGACAATTCGAACGCATTGAATGGCCTGACCGGTCACATTTTCAGTGGCAGATGGCAGCAAATCGGGCTTTCTTCTCGGTCAGGCTCACACAAATGTGTACGGCTAGCAACGCCACACCACACATCTGTGCACCGGGCAACGCCACACCACACATCTGTGTGCTTGCGAGACACCCCCCCCATTACAATTCACAACCTGATTGGACAACGGCAGCCATGCTTGGGCAGCGGCATATACCGGTGACGCGTACCATGTGGGTGATTGGATCGGTGTCCGAGGTCGAATGTCTGTCGCGCCGTAGGTCATGACTTTGAGGTGGATCGTGGGTGTCATTAAGCTGTGACGTAGTGAAGTTGGAATAGGGGATCTTTTCCTGTTGGCACTCTGTATCCGGACGCCGTAGAACTTCTAATTACTCAGGAAAATCTCACGTCGTGAGAACTACGACGTCAATAGGGATCTCCGCTCAAATATCTCAGATGTTGTCCAAATGGTCTGTAGGCGCATTCATCAAAGTCCGATCTGGTCTGTCCCTGGATTAATTACGCTGATGTGTGTCTGGAGGCGCCGGGGTTTACCACCATGCATAGCTGTTCCTGGAAAGGATATGAGGTGATTGGGCACACAAGTGTTCAAGGTACTGATCGAAGAAGACTAGAGAACAGTTATATGCTCCATTTTAAGTCATCTTGGGCCCCTGACGTCCATGTTCCCGAGATCCATCCCGACCCAGACACAGATATAATTACACGGGGACACACGACCTCCCAACCCTCTGATAGTTTATAGGTGCGCTTTGGTAACTTGTACTCGCCTCTATCCTTCTTCCAAACCGTTCCAGCTCATCATGAATCGCGCCGCTTCGGATCCATCAACCACGGTCATTGATGGGCGGTAAGCCAAACTCCCTTCGAACTGCCATTCTAAAGGCCACATAATTAAAAAAAAAATGGCAGTCATGGACTAATCAACTTGGGTTCTCGGGATGAAGCACTGTATCTGATGGGGACAATTTGAGGGCCCGTCGGCTCGACAACTGGCTACGGGACTTGAATCCTCCCATCAACCACTCGCTGCTGCTTGCATCAAAGACTTATACAACTTCCCCGAATGTGGCCAGTGTTATCCAACATGGCGACCACGGACGTGCGGCAGCTTGAGCATTCCAGGGTAATACTGACACCTCGAAATGGAATCAGTAAGAATACTTGAAGAAGTAGGGGATGGGAGGGGAGGGGCGAGCGAGAAAAGGAATCGGATGACAGCGATAAATTAGACATTGCAAATTGAATAGTGCCGCGGCGGGTGCCAACAGTCTCTGTAGTTGGGTTTCTTTCGTTCTTTCTTTCGTTCTTTCTTTCTTTCTTTCTTTGTGCAATTGCCGCCACCTTGACCCGGGCAATCTCGATAAATCTGTGGTAACAAGCTGAAAGGCAATGTAAGCTGCATGTCAGAAAGGCCATACCATTTCAGGTATGGCTCCGGGCACGCCCCGCACAGGCCACCCTCATTACTGCTAGACCGCCTTTTCCACAGGGTCAACAGCCGAGTAGAGGTCACCGACGGGGCACGCGAAAGCTTCCAAGTTTTCTTCTTCTTCACATCAACCACTATATATCACGATTACCCTCATCCGAGTGCTTTGTGTACTATTTAGCTTCTGAGACAGCTTCGCTTTGGCCGCCGCATCACATGTCGTATCTAATAAAAAGCCCACTGGACAACGATTATCAGTGCCTTGATTGATGATGCTAGACCCCCGAACGTCAACACCAATCTCAGGACACTTGGTGCAAAACAACTGTAAAGAATGAGATGCATGTTTTTCAGGGCCGCCAAAAGCCTAGAATTCCAGGCGTTCCCCCCCCCTCCAAATTGCGGGCCAAACTCTAACTCTAGTGGTAGGTGTTGGCAGGGTCGTGACTTCTCCTAACTAGGCATGCGGCGTCAGTCTGATCGGCTCGATCTCGACGTATGTGGGGGCATTTAAAGACCGAGCCAACCAGAAGGCAGACTTGGGCAGAGTCGGGAGCACAGCAGCAACGAGCTGCAAGAGAATGGAGCCTCGCGCCGGCTCGACGAATCCTCGGCTGAGGCCGACTCCTGCAGTTACCCGTACGTACGGAACCCTACATACCTAGCTAAAAGCCTTCAATCAAACTCCTTTTGAGACTCAGTCATGGATACATTGAGGCCTCCGTCACTTGCCCGCGACTTGCCGGAAGGTTGTCGCAGGCTCTCACATTTCCTTCCGCCCCCTACGACCTGCCCACGAAACCTATGGCAGTGCGCTGGAAATCGGAGCCTGATACAGTGCGCAGTCAAGCCGGCCACGAACCGCAAAGCCGCTTGGCTCCGTGGTGTTCGGCGCACTGGCAAGGCGTGGCAGCCGACCGATCTCCCGATTGCCCGCCGTGCCATAGCGGGAATTGCGACAGGCAATAAAATAGAGGGCATTCGAACCAGTCGGGCTCATGCGCGATAGTCCCCAGATCGTCTCTTGGCTGCCCCCTAAATGGTCGGGGCGAGGAAAACCAACAAGCGGGGCGGCAGTAAAGACATTGATGACCAAAGGCCACGGAAGCGGCAGGGCGGCGATCAGGGAAGAGCCAATCATGAACCGCCATTTGCTTGCCATTTTGCGAAGCAAGACCCAACCGGGCATGATTCTTGCCTGAAATTCGGGTTCACGCGAACTCCTGACATCTGGCAGCACTTCCGGCGCAAGCACCCTTCTGTCCCGACGCGCTGCGTCAAATGCGGCCTGTTGTTCAGCGGGGACGAAAAGGTGCGGGAGTGGCAGGAACACGCTCGGCAGAGGGCGTGTCTCAAGCAAGAAATCCCCTTCGTCGGCGGCATTACCCCGGGCCAGTGGGACGATATTCAAGACGACCAGGAAGCCCCCGGGCCAGGGACTCCCATGGAGCGCCGCTGGTACAGAATCTGGGAGATCCTCTTTCCTGAGCTGCCCCGGCCGCCTTCGCCGTATGCTGGGTCCGGGTTCCGCGAACGCATGGGGCACGTTTTCCAGTCTTTTATCCAGGCGGGAGAAGTGCAAAAACTGGTAGAGGCCTCGGGCTTTGCCCCCCAGCAGCATCGGCAGCTCATGGACTTCTCCGCATCGTTGTTGGGAAGTGTGCTCGCCTTCGCCCTACAGCGGGATGTAGAGAAGGCGGGCACCGTCGGAGCAGGCGTTGAGTCGGCCAGAAAACCTTCTGCGCCGATTAGACCACCCCCGTTGATTACAGATGGCATAGGTCCACTTATTGCCAATCCTGGGCTGGGGTTACCGCAGCAACAGGAGATGCTCCCGTTTGCCCCTTTTGATAAGATATCCCCCCCGTTCTCTCAGATCCATCCGCTTTTCGATCAGCAACAGCACATTGCGAACCATTCATCAGGTTTCAACTTGTTTCCCGCTTTAGTCGATGGCGTCGTGGATGAAGGTCACAACTATTTGATTGACGGGTCTCAAAGAGGCTGGGCGTGAAAACCGACACTGGCCTTTTGCGTAGGTGGATTATGTACTATTCAGGAGAGACTTATATATCAGGGCTTATATATCAGGCTTGTTAGCTACATGTACTACTCTAGTTCACTAATATCAAGTTAGAGGATTGCCTGACGGTAGTATTCTTAGCACTATTAAATCATCCGCCGCTCAGTGATTCCCAAGATTCCATAAGTAATTAGTTCTATCAGACCTGGCCAGTCAAGGGTGCGTGATAAGCCTATCGATCATCCGGTCAAGTGCCACCGCCCGCAACATCGTTGTATCCCGTTCTTCCCATGCTGAACCACGGCCATTGGCGAGAGCCGCTTTTGACCCGACGAAGTCATTCGTGATACCCTGCCCCCGAGTGCCCCAGAAGGTCCTCAGTGAGCTCACGTCTTTGACACTTCCGTGATCGCTGGGTAGCATCGGCCCTGCCGCCGGTGTTGCAAGCCCTGGGAAAACAATTTCCCAGACGGCTAACCACTGTTGGTCGATCAAAAGCCCGGCGTCATCTAGCCATGCTAACTTGGCGAGTTGGTCGGCTGACACAGATGCGGGCACTCTCTCGGAGCCTTCGGGGAGCGCGTCGCAAGTGTCGGCCCAGATATGGCTGTCTCGGCCGGCGACGGTGTTGAAGAGGGAACCGCAGATCGGGCAGCTGTACGGGCGCCTGTGGCTGGCCCAGAGATGTCTTTTGACCGAGAGCATCCCCTGCAAATCGCTCCTCAGGCAACGCGAGTGTGCCGAGGGGTTCTGGATGAAAAAGGGGCAGGCGTAGCCGAGGGGCGAAGGAGAAGGGCAGCCCCGTGATGGGGCCTCGAGTGCGAAAATTGGGAGCGCGACGTCTGCTAGCTCGTCGCCGAGTTTGGCAAGCACGTCGTTCGGGTCCAGTCGGGGAGGGCCGCCCTGTGGATGGGCAAATATGGATGAATCGCCATCCACTCTGTCCGGCTCTGAGTTATCGAACGACATCTCACAGCCTGGCGTGTTGAGATAGCTTGCCGTCGTAAGTGAGACAGCAGGGCGGCAACAGCAGAAACCCTAGCTGGTGCACTTTTTTCGGATCGACCCTGGCTTGGAAGAAAAGCAGGTGTTGCGCCTGGCGATGCTTCTATACCGCGCGCGGCCATTATCAAACAAAGATTTCGGGGATTTTGGCTGACAACTGCTAATATAAGTACGCATTGAACATCTCGTTGTTGGAACAAGCCCTCTCTTTTGTCTCGACGCAGTGAAAACCCCCGATCCGCGGGCTACCTTTCATGCAGATTTACGGGGCGGTGGGGCCTGCACGGAACATTGAGATCGGGTAATTCAATTGGACGACACTGACCTGGCATGGCCTCACCATGGATCGGCCTTGTACAGAAGTAGGGAGGGAGTGGTGGGGCCCATTGGCCTATCAGATCGGCCTTTAACTGCTTGAAGGGCGACACTGCTGCTGAGTCAAATCTATCACGGAATAATCAGGGCTTGAACGGAACTTTGTCGAATAGCTTGCATTTTCTGAGGGCCAGAGGCCCGAAGCTACTGAAGCTACATCTCTCCCCCGATGTGATGTAGGCCCTAACCCTAATGCAATTACTAGTGCAGGGTTCTCGGAGAGAACGAAAAGGAAACAGGCCAGGAAACCCAAGAACAAAACAGACCCAAACGATCAAGCAAAGACAACCATGTCCAAGGTCGTTACGCCGGACCGGCGGCGCGCAATATAATACGCATAATTTACCTCCTTCAGCTGAACCACGACCCTACCGTCGTCACTTGTTGTGAACCGGAACCTGGAGGCCAAGGTCCGCTCAATAGGCCTGCCGATATACGGCGCCCAAGCCCTGCGATCCTCGAAGGACTGGCTATTTCGGATTTGGGCCAGAAGTGACTACTCTAACAGCATTATGCTAGTCAGTTATTATTGTTGTTTTGCTCTCGCCAGTGCGGGAACACCCTGGGCAGGAACACCCTAGGCCAAATTTGGCTACACTTCATAGGTAGTACATACCCCCCAGTCAAGACAGTCGTTGACCTGGAACGTGTGGACTTCATGGCCATCGCTACCACCTCCGCCTGCGGACTTCGGCTGCCTCACTCGCAAAATACCAATGTTGGCCAGTAAAGTCATGACTGAGACTAGGCGAGGCGATGTTGTTTTTGGCTCTTGCGTTTGCGGGACCGTGAGGGGGAATCGAGGTGATGTCGGTTATGGTGACTATGAAAGACAGCGATATCACTCCAGGGGAAGCGGGAGAATCGAGAATTTATAGATGGGCTCCGACTAAGCCCGATCGGAATCTGTTACTCAGCCCTTTGGCTGTTAGTTATGGCTACCTACACTGTCTCATGCATTAAGGTGTCATATTGATTGCCAATGACAATCGGGCTCCAAGACAATGATCTTCTGTTTTGGAAACTCAAAGTCTCCTGACTATGGGAACATGGTTCGGTAATTAATAAAGAAATATTTCAGTTTCTGCCTCAAACAGCACATGACTCAGTTGCTGCCTTCTACCTACCTTACCTGTATGATAATCAGAAGAATACAACACCGCATTTCTGTGTCTCGTTTGCAATACCGCAAATCAAAGCAAGCAACAGTTCAAGGGATTTCTACCGTCGTTAAAGCGAGACAACGTTCACAGCATGTCTTAGGTGCCTAGTTGTGGCAAACCCAGCACTTGTTTTCCTGCTAATTAATTAGACTCTATCAACTTGGATTGGTCAACAATCTTTATCCATGCTGTGCCAGACGGGCAAGCAACCTCTGAACCCGATTGCAAAGCACAGCGTGCTGGCGCTGTAACATCTCTGTCAAACATTGAGCGGTGAGGACTGGAGACGAATTCAGCTTATTCCGTGGTCTAACTGAAAGCGGTGTTATGGCATGGGAACTCCTCATTCAATCCCTAGATGTTTGTTAGTGGGGGACTTTTTGAGACTTGAAAGGTCTCACTACCTCACGGCTCGCAGTACAGGTTTTCCGCCAAGGGAGGTAAAAGTTATTGGGATCCTATCTCAGAATCCTAGAGGCCTGCCTCTTCTCGAAAAACCTATGGCCATTTTCAATCTAGGTTGGACCACCCGGCTCACCAATCAGACTGCCCCATTGAACCGGATTCGGCATGATTCGATGGTTTCTGACACGACTGCTCAATGTTTACAAACCGCAGCAAGAATCAGATCACAGAATTGATGCTATTTTTACCTAATACTGGTTCATCATCTTTCCTGCGCTATTTTCTCTAACCTCATGTTACCCTCACCTCTCTCAGCGCTAGGTCATCTTTTCCCGCGGCGAGGCCTAACAAACGTCGCCTGGATTTCTACCTTGGCCAGCTTCCGAGAGTGTCAGCAACCAGTGATTTATATCAGCCAAGCTGTCTACCTGTCAGCCCATTTCTGCTTCTCATTCACTCAAAAGTCATTCACTTAAAAGCCCCGGCCGCTCAAGAGCACAGTCAGCCACCAACTCACCTGCCAAACATCCAACGACACACCGGCCTCGCTGGGCCCACCCGTGGCGTAGGCAACGACAGTGTTCAAGTATGCGTACTTGGGGCTGGCCGTCTCGAACAGGATCTGGACGCCGGGGGCATGGCCCTTCTCCGAGACCAGGATGGTGGCGTTGTCGTTGGTGTACAGCGTGTACAGCGCGTCGGGGCTGAAGGTGCCCTTGGCATCGGTGAGACCCCAGTCGATGCCGCTACCCACCTTGCCTGCGTTTCCACAGTGGTAAGCCCGTGACGTGATCTCACTCGGTGCCACAGATCCAGAGGGCTGTGGCGGTTGACAACATACCCGCAATCTTGGGGCCGGCGAAACTGCCCCCTGAGATGGTCAGAATCGCCCGGTTGCCCGTCGGCACGGCGCCAATCTCAATGGGCGCCGCAAAGGTGATGTTCACACTATACAACCACGTCAGGGCTGGCGGCTTGGGATCGGCCAGGCCTGTGGCGGCGAGGGCCAGCAGCGTGAGTGGGAGTGCAAGCATCTTGGTGAAGGGGGTCTTGTTTCTCGGATGTATCCACTGTCTGGGACCACCCACCCTACTTTTTGTGGAGAATCACCCTGACTATATACCATCGCGGGCCCAGAATCCCCCGCTTGATGCAATCCATGGCACTTGTTGGGTCATGTCCGATTCGAGTTCGTGCTCGCACGGAATCAGCGCCAAGCGCGCGGTCGGCTAATACGTGCGCGGGACGTAATAAGGGCTGTGGAACTCGACAACTCCCGAGATTGTTTTGCCTGAACCCGTCAAGAGCCGAGCTGCAAATTGCGCTCTTCTCTCCGAGAGGGCCAGGGCCCAGAACAAGCATGGTGGGTCGCGGAAGCGCCATGCAAGGGGGCCCGTCTACCAGCATTGCGCCAAGAGGCGCGTTCACGTCGGACCGGGCCCAGATTCCGAACCCGAGCTGGTTATCGGCAGCGGCCCCTTCCATCCCACCGAGCGTCCTTTAACACTGCATGGTAGGATTCAGCCAGCGTGCTGGGTTTAGGCGATGCCACCCAGCCTGTGCATGGCCTTTGTAGGTCTATGCAGGCATTACACGGCCCAGACTTGCTCGTGTAATAAACAATAACAGACGCTTGAGACCCAAGGGAGTGCAGCCTGCTGAGGATCAATTAATTTGTGTCACCAAACTCGGTGAAGTGTAAGAACATCTTTCTAATATACCACTGTACTGGACCGTAGTCGTTAGGATCGTTAGTAGTCTCGCCTAAGACACCCTGCTGATACTTACTAGCTATATGAATGCCCTAAACTCTGCATACTTTTGCATAATCGTGTATTTGGGTTTCTTGTCTCTCGCGAGCCACGTTGATTGTCTCTCGGAAGCCACGTTGAATCCTGCTTGCCGGTACAGTTACCCCCAACCAATCACTTTCGTTGAAATTCTCGCCGAAGCACCCTGGAAAATAGTGAAGAAATCCACTTGTTGGCCCGAGACGCCCCTCGATCCCCTGCTCCTAAGCCTTCGGGGGTTGAATGGGATCCATTTAGACGTTGCAACGTAATCAAAGTGGATGGAGCAGAAACAAACATGCCTGCAGTATGGCGCTGAAGGTCCAATTGCACGCCTTTTTGACGTGCTGTCACGCCAAAAAGACCCAACATGGCAGCATTGAACTTGCCCCGTAGGCCGCACACTACCGAGTGTGGTTATGAGTACACAAACGCAATTACGTACTGCCGACCCCCGTGTCGACGCTCTTCTCCTCGTCGGCGGCTGAGCGACAGCCCTCGCACCGCGGCTCAGCGGCCTCTGAAGATGACGTAGAACAGCGCCGTGGCCACGCCCATGGCAACGGCCAGCGCCGTATACACCCAGACCATCTGGCGCGGTACACGAGGCTCTGCACGGCGGCGGCGGCGGCCATGGCGGCGGCCTCCAAGAAGAAGCCCGCAACGACGCGCGTGACGGCCGTCAGGGCGAAGCCGGAGCGGCGCAGGCGCGCGAACAGCACGCGGCCGACCAGGGGCAGGCCCAAGATATGATGGCGAGCGGTTTGGCGTTGTACAGCATGTCGTTGGGCACGCCGGCCGTCTGCATTTGCGCGGCCTGCGCGACAAGGTTAGCGCCGAGCTGCACGCGGCACAGCCACAGCACCGGCCACGCCAGCAGCATGCCGCAAGCCGCCAGCGCCGTCTTGAGCTCGTCGACGAATCTCGCTGTCCACGCCACGGCGCGCCCGTGTCGCGCCTGCTGGTGGGCCGGCTTGGCGCGGTCCATGCGGAAGCCGTCGCCGCCGCCTCGACCCCTTTCCCGGGGGCCACGAAGCCGCCATCGACTGAATTCAGGTGCTGGCAGTCGACCACTCGCCGGGCCAGCAAGTCGGATGGCACGATGTAGCCGCTGTCGGCACGAAGCAGCACCTTGACGGAGCTTGTGTCGTCAGAAGCGAGGTTTGTCAGGATAAACTGGCCCACGGTTGAGGATGAGTCAATAGTAACGGAGGAAAAACCGTCATCACTGCCCCCGCTCGTGGTGCGGCGACATCGATGGCAACGAGGCCGGTTTCTTTGGCCAAAGGGGCCACAAGCCGCCAGGCGACGTCCACCGTTCCGGTGAGTTGATTAGCTAATTATCTGACAGCGTGAACAACGTCGTGTGGGCGAGGCGTGTACCGGATAGGGGACAGAGATATGATACGAAGAGGCGGCTTGGAAAGCTAGCGAGTCGATGCAGAGTTATTGCCTTGATAGCGCGTTAAGCTGCCTTTAGCCTTGCAGTGAAGCTAAGAAGCGAGAGCTCGAATCCCGCATCTCAACGAGGAGTGTTTGAGGACTCTGGAGCATCAAGTCGGCCAAAACCGGATGATCGAGGGCTGTGGGGATCGAACAGGGCTGTGGAGAAGGCAGACACGGAGGCTCTGGGCTGGTTGTAGTACGAGAGGGCGGGACAGAATGTGCAAGAGGAAGGTAACAGAATAAGCGTTATTTTTCACGGCATTATTAGCAGGTGGAGGTGTAGGGCTGAGAAAAGAGATGGTTGTTTGTCACCATCATGGGTTGTTCTGGTGAGTTTAGCATTCTCGATATCTGTCACCGCACAGTCAACTAGATGAGGCAAGGCTGCATTAAGGTCGCTGTATTGGTAGAATCTAAAGCTAATTAAGGAAAAGAAAAAGGAAAAGAAGTTCCAAATTCTGTGCGGGGCTTGAAGTAGGGTTGGTCTGTGGGTCACGTGTCGGGGCGCTGCACAGGCCACTTGGTTTCGTACCCGACCCCGCACCCCAATTGGGATTCCTTACCAAGACCCCTCAGCCAGTTGTCTTGGCACTTGCCAGCCAGCTGCCTTGGCACTTGTTGTGACACATTGTCAATATCCACAACAATTTTCAGCCCAGTCTCCACTCACCGTTAGCATCTGAGAACCGTAACATACAAAACAGTAGCAATACGGTCCAATGTCTGGAAAGGTGGAGAAGCTGGGGTGGAAGAGGTGCTGTCCCGTCGTGCTAGAATAAAATCCACGAATTCGTTTTTGACCACGAGAAACAAAAGGGGGCAAGGAAAGACGCGATCTCGTACTAGCTCGCCGTGGATACAACCCCCTTCTTCGTTTACGTTCTCGTATCATCCTCGGACTCGTTGTGGAATCTTGAACCCGCCCGGCACACGAGACTGAAAGAAGCCCTTGGGATCATATCCGTCGCCAACGCGTCTGAGAAACTCGACATTATCGGCTCCGTATGACGATATTGGGTCTTGAAACGGCCCGGCGTAGTTGAGATACTGGAACCGCTTGAGCTGGTTGCGTGCGCGTCCGCAAGACTCAATCTCCGCCAGGGCGCGCCTCGCTGTCTGCGCCACGGCTGCCGTCGAGGAAGACCTAGACCAGAACGCGGACAGCAAGACGACTTGATAAATGATTTTGGTGAGCATCGCTGGCTTTTTCGGCTCACGGGAATTGTTCGTGCACGCAACTTACCGAATGCATTCCCATCGGCAGGGCCCAGACCCAAAATGTTTCCGCCCCTTTTCCCGGCGCGCGCGAGCATGACGGAGGGCAGCGGCTCAAAGGCAATGTTCCATACGACGCCCCCGGCGGGGTTGAATGCGTAGAGCGTGGCGTTCAGCGCGTCGAATATGTCGCCCATTAGCTCGGCAGACGGCGCAAATGTCGCTGTGGCGAAGAACCAGTACCTACACTGGCCGTCAGTCTTCCCTCTTGGCTGCTAGTTATTTTGCCATAGACTCTCACATCTGCGGGTTGGGCGCTTCGTCCGCCAGCGCAGCGAGGCTGGTCAGTCTAGAGCTTTGCGCAATGCTGGGAACGGCTGCAAGCGGCGCAAATATGGCTGGCTCCAAGACGGGCCGTGTGTAGACGGCAGAGCTGCTAATCAGCCAGCGCTGCGAGGTCGAGTTGTACAGCAGGCCGGTGACCAGCGACGCGTATATGTCGAACACGGTGGCGTTTGCGATCGCAGAGAAGGCGTCAAACACCGACGCCCGCTCCTGGATGTCGTTGGTTGTGGTCATGGCCGAGAGGTTGCCCTGCGGGAACGTGGCCAGGTCGAAGCGCGTCACGATGCCGAGGTTGTTGGCCCCGCCCTTGAGCGCGCGGTAGAGGTCGGGCTGGTAGCTCTCGTTGGCGTTGGTCAAGCGGCCGCTGGCTAGGACAAGCTGGAGAGGTCAGCCTATGCTGCTGCAGCGCAAACACAGACCATCCTACGAGTTGCTCACCTCGAAATTGACGACATTGTCGCACGCCCACCCCACGCGCGGAGAAAAGTGCGAGATGCCTCCTCCGACGGTGAGCCCGCCCACTCCCACCAGCCCATTGCGCCCTCCCGCAACAGCCATGCCGAACGGCTCCAAGTACCGGTAAACGTCAAGCCAAGACGCGCCAGCCGCCACGCTCGCCACCGATGCGTCATGGTTCGCCGCCACCGACGCGTCATGGTTCACCGCCACCCGGTTCAGCCCAGCCATGTCGACCGTGACGCCGCCGTCCATGTTGGCGAATCCCGCGGCCGGCGCGTGGCCCTGGCCCTTGACCGCGAGACGGCAGCCCTCGCCGGACGACAGGGCAATGGACACGACTGTGGCGACATGCTGCGCGGCTGTCGGGCGGACGACGCACGCCGGCGCCAGCGTCGCTTCCTGCAGCGACCAGAACGAGCTCGACGTCTGGCTGTACGGCGCCTGCCCCGCGAAGCTGACTTGTGCTCCGAGCGCAGCGCTCAGGCGGGTGCACTGCGCAAAATCCGTGTTAGTTGGGCCGTGATGGGTTATGTGCTTTGGCGAGCGCGATATACATACGCAAATATCCATGTCTTGGTTGAGTTTCCGGGCATGAGGCTGTCCCGTGGAGCTAGCTGTGAGCCAGATCCCGGATATAAGTAGGATATGTTTACGGTGTTACTCGGGCGCTTTGCGGCGCTTCTCCGGCTGTTTAGGCACGATGACGGAGCAGCGAGCGTGAGGATTGCCATCCAATCCTCAAGATACTGCCGGGCAGCGGGCAGCGTGACGGGTTTTCCAAGGCCGAAGTTGCTCGCCGACTGCAATGGCTGGCCTAATTGCTCGTCAGGGCTACCAAGACATTTATGCCATATTAAGATTGAAGCTGGTCACGAAAAGAAAGCCAATACCCGGCGGACTACAATATTTATAAACTACGTAATGACAGGCAACTTCATATCTTTGCGAACAAACGGACGTCACGAAGGGGGGGTTGCCCACTTAGTCCCGATGTTTGGAAGCTTCAGTCATGTAGCTTTGCTTACGGATCCGTACCTAGAGTGATCGAGGTCATGAGTAACTGCCCAGCTGCCCAGGTTCAAGTGAAAAAGTAATCGACACTTGAGGTAGTGACCATGAAAAAAGCGACGGAGCATAACCAAAGCTGCCGTCCCACAGTTCAGACGTTTTCCATCGTCATTCCGGATTTGCACATAAATACCAGCCATATAACGCGGTGGTGCGGTTGTCAAGCTGCGCAGTGCTAGTCGCGTCAAGGCAATGCTGGAATAAAACGACCCAGGATTGCCGCCAGTATCACCACTAATCGATGTTAACTTGGCTGCTTTGTCGAATTGTGTGCTAGAGATTGAGGGTGTGCTACAGAGAAAGATTCACCAAAGACTGGCCAAGAGAGAATGATCAAGGTCAGTTATGTTGCGGGGCTTAACCCTAGCTGGCAAGCGCATAGGCCACTGCCCCCGCACGGGTTCTCGCCCGCACATTTAGTACGGGGATTTCCCCCTACTAGATAGTTCTAGAAGTTCTAGAATTAGCTTGCCAATGCACATCACATATCGTCACCCCAGCAGGTTATGAAGCCCTCTTTCGCTTCCATTGAAGCTATCACCAAGCCGCTTTTTGCATTCAAGAGCGCATATTCGGTAGATTAGTCCAGTCGATTGATTTGCCCTGTATTCCAGGCGCGCAGCTCCTCAGTGCGATCTGCAACCCTGCCCGAAGTAGTCGAGCGATTACTTTGACCTACCCCGTGAGCACTAGTCTTGCGAAAAAGTCCTCAATCTATCGCCAGCCGACATGGCCAAGATGAAACAATTCCTGTCATCAATTGACAACCTCTCGATTCCTCCGTCCCTCGGAACTGCCCAGACAGTAGAATCCAATTTAACCTTCACAAAGCCTTCTTTTAGCCACGCAACCAACCCGGCTAACGAAGCCATCACCAACTGCACGATGGCGGCAGATCATCTTCGACTACTCCGCGCAGAAATTGCAGTCCTGGAAGGAGAAGAGAACCTAGTCCAGTGTGAAAGTGCCCTCTAGGGTTATCTCAACATCTATGACTTGTAGAAGTATATTCTTGACGAAGTCAAGGAGCTAGTAGTCGAAGAAACCACCCCTGCCCAAGTTGCTGTCCTTATTCCATAGCAAAAGAAAGAATGGCGCATGAACAGGGCGGTAATAGCTGCGATGATAAACAACAGCCTCTCTCAGACTGTTCATGAGAGGCTTGTTGCCCGCGGCTGGGACCCTCGGGAGCAGAACCCCAAGGTCACGTACGAGCTAATCAAGGAAGTCATACCGCGCCTTTCCCAGGAAGCCGTCATGGACTTTGTTGTGGAGTTCGTGAAGATCGAACGACCTGCCTTTGCAACAATGCAAGCCTTCTTGACGAGACTGCGCTTCCTCTACAAGAAGATCACGGACTCGAAGGCGGGAGTCACCGAAGAATTCCACGTCAACCTTCTAGTCGCCAAGCTCAAGAAGACATACCCCGATCGCCACCTCTTCTGGCTCAACGGCTTGAAAGAGAAGACTCTGACCTGGCAGAAGTTAAACCAAGAGCTGGAAGAAATCGCTGCGACCGAAGAAACTTAAGCACGGTTCGCCAAAGTCAATGCAGGTGCAGAGACAAAGGCAAAAGAGATCAAGAGCAACAAGGAAGAGAAAAATAGGAAGATTTGCGGATGCAACGGCTGTAAAGCCAACGTTCCATCAATCTGGGAGCACAAGGCATGTGGTCATCACGGTCCAAAGAAGAGAACCGCATGTTGGATGTGTAACCCGGAGCAAGCCCCGGAAGACTGGCCAAGGAAGGCACAGGCTTTGGAAGAAAAGAAGAAGCGTGAAGCTTCCTCAGGAGCAACACCGGTTGTAGTCGTACACAACAGCTCAGGCCTAGCGAATCCTTCAACTGCAGAGCCTAATCGCAACACCAATACGACTGCAGAGCCGGCTCAGCCGCGGGCGCGTAGCGTACAAGGTCGGCATGTGCGTAGTGATCAGTCGGATTTCTCACGAGCCCCTGGTACTAAGGGTCATTCTGACGCGTACCGAAGTCCAACAGGCTCGAGAGGCACATGAAATAACGAAGTACCACGTTTGTCTTTGACACAGGTGCTTCGAATTCGAGCTTTAACCACCTAAGATGGTCTACAGAGCTCCATCTTAAAATATCCTTTACCCAATCCAGTCCATTACTCATGGTCTTCCGGATCGATCGGCTCTACTACACAGGAACCGTTAGACTCAACACCATCACGACCACAGGCGAGAGTTTACGCCTGAAATTGGCTCAGGCGTACTGCTGCCCTAAGTCCCCGGCAAATCTGGTTAGAATCGTTTCTCTACGGTCAAGCAACGCCACCTGGCGAATGGATGAAAATTCCATTATTCACAAGCCAACCGGAAAGAGAATTCAGTGCGGAGAGTTCAGGTACACACCCAGTACTCAACAGGCGCGCATGTAGTCTTTCTTGCAGGCGGCCCTATATACTGGAAGTCAAAGAAGCAGACTTACGTTGCACTGAGCACAGCAGAGGCCGAATTCACAAACCTCACACCTGCAGGGCGCTCAGCGATGTGAATCAACAGGCTGTGCGGGGAATACGGAGTCAAGCAGGGCACGCCGTTAGTCTTGTTTATTGACAGTGCAAATGCCCTCACAACGGCCCTCAAACCCCTCAACCCCCTCAACCCGGAACGTACGCGATATATAGACATTCGCTACATGTGGATTATTGACGGGGTCATGAAAAAGGAAATCAAGCTCATCCAAGTACCAGGCACAGAGGTGCCTGTGGACGGATTCACCAAGCCCTGGTACTGGAAGTGCCGGTTAAAATGCTGGGAATGGAGTCCAGGAATACGGCCGAGGATGAGCTGACTATAAAGCCGACGCTTCTCGGCAGCCAGAGCTGTACCGCCTCCATCTATCCATCAATGGCGGACATCACGGACTACAAGCTCTCTGCTAGCAACGAGCAATTGTCGCTCGACTTCTTCGGCGTTACAAATCTTCTCTCTCTCGCGGTAGATACAGACGAGTTCGTTATCTCTACCATGGGAGACGAGGCATTGACCTGCACCTTACACCACCATGGTATTGGGGACGCTGGGACGGGTTGTACCGAGTTTGTTGAAGAAATCGAGTCTCACGACCTCGATAACGACTCGGGCGTCACCACTCCAGGTCCTGAGTACACGGCCTCGATGTGTCTACCAACCTCTGCCTCTATCGGCACTATAAGATTGGTTGAGGGAGTTAGCTACACCGCTACCTGGAGTGAGTTAAATAACCCCATGCTACGGTCTGAAAGAAACATAGCTAATGCTGGTTTCTATAGTGTCTATCCAGATTATAGGCAAGGATAAGGCTAAGGTTTGTGCGGTTCGATATTCGCCACTTGGACCGCTTAGCAGAGAAGTCGACCTACCGACACGAGGATTATCAGTTTCGAGACAGAAGCCAGCAACGTACATAATCCACACGGATTACTTACACCGGCCACAACATATTGCCAGCGCTGGCAGCGCGACGGTTGTGCTACTCCTCAGACAAGGTAGCAACTACCAGCTTGACTATAGACTCGGAAAGGCAGGCATTAGCTATGCCATTTCAAATCTTCTAAATCGGTTCACAGAGGCAAATTATGTTTCTGTACTAATTAAGGTAGCCTAGATATTTTCCTCTTCTTCTACTTCACGCCCCCTTCTTTCTCGTTCAAATCGGCCATAAACTTTCTAGACCGCCGGATTCTCGCTAGACCTTACTTATACGCCCTCTCAAGGATACGTCTCCTCCAAATCCCTTCTGTCCTATCGCTCAAGATACCGAGCTCGAGAGCGTCTCTGAGCATTTTGTCCCTGTCGCTAGGCATGAAAGCCTCGTCTCGGGCGGAGGAAGATCTTTAGTCCTCAGCATAAGGCTATCATTGCGAGTTATATCGACCGGCCATCAGTCCTTAATCGTGATATTGCAAAGGAGCTTCGCAAGCAATTTCCTGACCTTATTTTCACCCGCAAACAACTACGGCACTGCCGCTGGTGCGTTAGGAAGCTTGCAGCTCAGGGATACACGCCATTCCAAGCCACGATGAAATTATTTGACGATGACGGCGTCCATTACGATATAAAATGGCCAGCCAAAGACCGAACCAAGCCAGAGGGACTTTTCTGGGTTCCTGAGTAGTATGAAGAGCAGTAGAAACGCTTCCATTGGGCATTGGAAGGGATAGATCAGTAAGGCTGTCAGTTGCATGCAGTTGTGAGCAGTTGTGGCAGGCCGCAGTTTTTTATTGCGTTTTTGGTCATGTTACGTAAGCGAATTAAACAAAGCCAGCTTAGATTTTTATTGTAGATTTGAACGATTTGAGCGATTTTACGGCCCTGGGTTAGAATTACCGCGTTCGGAAGTGTGTTGACGTTGGCGACGGTGGCGAGGTGCAATTACGGGAACGTAACAATTGCGTTGCCAGCGCTTGAAGCGGTGCAGCCAGCGAAAAGTGGTAATTTTGGCTAAAAAATGTAGTAATTTCCTGGGCGGCGAGCTGTAAGGCCCTAGTGTTGGAATAGTGATACTGGTGACCGCACACTAGCAGGGAGGAAGCAGAGATCGCGCGAGTACGCACGTGCAAGTAGGCACGTGCGGCGCGCGGACCTCTCACACACACACAAAAACCCCGGTCGCACGCAGAACCTACCTTAGTTCCGGAGAGAGAGAGAGAGAGAATAGACACAACATTACCCCCGGTAGATCTACCAACCCTTCGACCTGTAGGATCCCTACGTAGTTTGAGTACCACGAACACCTAGCGCTGATGTACTTACAGTGCACGGCAACGGTTTGACAGTGGATAGAAATGTTCTCTTAAATTTTAGGAAGGCATATCTATCAGCACCCGCGGCCATCCCTTCCCCGAATCCCCAATTACACAGGAAACTTGAAATCCAGCTCCTCAACCTCAATCGCCTTCTTGACGCTCCCCCTCGTCTCCATCGCGCGCGCCAGGCGCGTGTACCTGGGGTAGGTGTCCATGGCGAAGCCGTTCTCGACGCCCCAGCGGTAGAAGAGATAGACATTAAAGTCGACGAGCGAGGGCTGGGTCTCGAGCGTGCCGAGGGCGAAGCCGGCGTCGGCAGCGGGCAGGCGCCCCTCGATCAGGGCATAGCATTCCGCGATAGAAACACGACTGCCGGCAATGACGAGCTTCTCGGCGTCGGGGTAGCGCGCGCCGTCGACGTAGCGGCGCGGGCGCCACAGGGCGCCGTAGCCCCGGCCGTGCAGCTGGCCCGAGAGAAAGGCCAGCCACGAGACGGCGAGGGCGCGCGCGACGGCCGTCTTGCCGGCGATATGCTGGGCGTCGCCCGCCGTCGGTGCCAGGCTCGCGATGTACGTGAGCACGGCGGGCATCTCGGTGATGACGGCGACGGCGCCGTCGGCTTCCTCGACCTTGAGGGACGGGATCACGCCCAGCGCGTTGACCGTCCGCCGGTACTCGGCGTGCGACAGCGTCCCGTCGGCCGCTTCCCACAGCCCGCCCGCCCCCATCGTCATACGCACGGCCGTGAAGGGGATGCCGAGCTCGCGGAGCACTGAGTGCGGGATGAAGGCGCAGCTGCCGTTGGCGCGGTAGAGGGTGAGTTGGGGGAAGGACGCCATTGTGGGGTCGGAGTGGTGTTGTGGTGGATGATGTGGCTTTGGCGGAGTGGTTGGAGAGATTGGTTCACCGGGACATGCATCTTGACAGGTTCGCAGGGGACACTGGCCCTGGCATCTTATAGACGACTTTCACTTGTCTTGGCCATTGTCGACAGTGAATTGGGCCGGGGCGGGTTCCGCACGGACGACGTCATGTTTTTTTCGGTCGATGCTAATTTTGGGTGACAAATTGGCCTTTTGTTACTGAGAATGGCAAAAGGGGTGTTGGCTCGGGACGGGAAGGATTTAGTGATGACAAACCCTCCCTTTTCTTGTTAGTCGTCTAAACTGGTGGGTCGGCATTCCCTATTTGGGTTAGTGCGGTACTGGGTGTGCTGAAGCAGACACCAAAACCAAGAACTCGAGACTCAAGCAGTAGGGGAATTTCGCCAGAGACACGACGCGATCGTCCTTCTTCTGTCACTATGGCAGACAGGTAGGTGCATCATTATTGACAGGGGAGAGAAGTTGGAATCGAGAGAGTTACGACAGTAAAACACAGCTGAACTGACCACTAGAAAATATGTGGATTTCGGATCGCCTTAAGAAGTAATATTTCGGACTCTCGGAGTATCCGTACGGGATGGGGTAATACGTGGAGAATGAAGAAACGTATAAATTGCCGGATACGCTGCTTGGCAAAATTTGCAAGAGAAAATCCGCTCCGACTATTTGAAACTAGAAACCCTTTAGAATGGGTTACACCAAATAAGGTACAGTATGCAGAGATTTCAAGATTACAAAAGACCATCTTACCCTGACTGCAGAAAATGGGGATAAGAAGATACATCAGGATCAAAGCAATAAATTGCACGCACTTGTATAAACAAACCAGAAAGCACGGAGATATTACTACCGCCGCAATATGCAATGAAAACACCAACTAAATAAATACATCGCATAGGGTATCTTCCTCGCATGTCCTTCAAATTTAAGCAACCGATCAAAAGTCATTCCAAACTAACCTCCCTCACGACGGCAGCGACGAGGCAGCACGCGACAAAGATCCAGACCCGCCCGACCTAACACCACCGCAACCATCGTCACGACCTTTTCCCTCATCACCGTCGTCGTCATCAACCCCCCCGCTCACGTAGCCGCTCTCGCGCGACCGCGACACGGACGGCGCGGCGGCCCGCTGACTGCGCTTGTGGTAATAATGCTGCTGCGGCGAGTCGTGGTAGTAGAAGGCGCCGCCGCCGACTGGTTGCGGCGGCGGCGGCGGCGGCGGGTGTTGCATCTCCGGTGGTAACATCACCGCGTCTGAGCGCGCGATGTCAGTAGTCGTGGTGGTCCGATTATCATGCGGCAGACGCTGCGGGAAGTGGTCCTGGGCGGTGTTGGTCATGGATTGCCCGCGGCTCCGGCCCGTCGCAGTCGTCCAGCTCCGGGCCTGGCCGTGCGAGAACTGGGAACGGGATGCGGCCGACGTTGCCGAGGGGTAATAGGGGTAGAACGACGACGGCGGCGCGGTAGTGGTGCCGTCGCGGTGGGAGAAGTAGCCCGATGCTACGGATTGTGTCGGCGCGGGACTCGGCGTCCGCGACCGCGCGTGGCGGCTGCCTGCTGCGGGTTGGCGCCGTCGTCCAAAGGTACGGAGGTGGTAGTCAGGAGAGAACGAGACCCGCCTGCATGCTTGAATATTAGACTGGCTGTCAGAAGGGGTTCGGGTCAGGGCTCGTATTCTTCCCCTTGGTGTTTCAGTCTGGAGGCCAGGTTCTGCTGCCGCTGCTATTGTCGCCGCTGCTGCTGCGGCTCCTTGGATGTAGGTCGGTGCTTGTGCCGGGGCCGTGGTAAACGACGTGGCGCCTTGGTTGGCTGTGTTTTGGTACTCTTCCGTCGACTGTAGGCGCTTGACGAAGCCAAATCTGGCCATCTGGGAGCAAGTAGAGACTCATGTTAGTTTGGCTCTGGCCTGTTCTGACCTTCACTCAACACTCAGTAAGGATTGTATGTAATTACCTGCTCTTCGGCCTCGCATTGGAGGTCTCGCGTCTCGTGTTGTGGCCAGTTGATGCGCTCGATGCAACATGTCACGCAAAACTTTGACCGGTCGGGAGGCAGGGGCCTGCCCGAGTCGTTGCGCGCTCGAATCTCGGCCGGTTGCGACGCCGACTTGAACATGCCCCAGAACCCGCGCCCGATCTCGCGGAGGCGGACCTCGACATCGAAATCAAAGTGCAGGTACCGGCGCAGCTCATAATGCCCGTACGACGGGTCCTGGCTCAGGATGTGGTCGATGAGCTCGGCGTCGACTTCGCGCGTGACGGTGATGGGGCAGTTCATGCTCTCGTAGATCTCGGGCGTCCACAGATGCAGCTGTGCCTCCGTCTGTCCAGACCAGTGTGCGGCCCGGTTGTAGACGTGCTGTGACGAGCTCCGCATTCGGCAGCGCCGCGGTTTACGGCAAGCACACTTGTGAGCGTGTGTCGACGAGACGCGGAACTGGGCCTCAGGGCTCGGTGGGACTGGAGACCCGATGCCGAGGAGAGATGCAAGGCCGGCTTCCTTGGTCTCGATTTTCGGCTGCGGGTCTGCCCTGTGTTAATCGACGCCGAAGAGCTCTCTGGTCGACTTTTGGAGGAAAGCAGCCGGGAGGAATCAACATACACGTTTCATAAGTAAGAGACTTGCGCCAGCTGCGCAGCTTCCTCTCGTAGGTAAGCTTGCTGGCATGCTGTGCATGCACAGTAAAGGCAGGCATGGGCTGTCCGGCCACGGTTGCGGTGACGCCGGCCTGGACATCTGAGGTCTGGCCGTTCTCATTCCTGATTTGAATGTCAGAGGCAACCTGGTCGCCCTTGGGAACAAGGTCGTGCCTTTCTCCGCTGCGGTATAGGTAGCGGACGTGGACCGAGTCGAAAATACGATTGTGTCTCTGCAGCCTGTTGAGGGGGCGTTGGCCCGATTAGCATTTTGTCACCAACGCACAGCATCCGGGGGTGCATACTCTTCGCCGACTTGATTGATGTTGAACTGAAGCTGAAAGTTGACGACGATGCGATAGACGGGCTTTGCATGGGGGTCGCCATGACAACTCTGGGGCCCCGATCTCTCGATGCGCATCACGGGCTCCAGCACGCTGACATTTGCATACCTTCCCCTGCCGCCGCCGACATTTTCTTCGAGGTAGAGTGGGTGGATATGGGACAAAACCCTGGGCCTTTGATGGGATCCCGTCCTCGGCGGTGCGGCGAAATTGGAGCGCGTCTCCCGGCGGCGAGAATGGCGGCGATGGTGCCTCTCGCTATCAGCCATTCCGATACTTCTGGCACCGACATGGCGAACAACGGGCAAAGCAAAAGGTCACTTGGTTTCCGTCTTTTTGCCATTTGGATACGTACGGGGCTTTAATATGTCCTCAACTACCAGAGTGCTAAGCTAAGCAGTGGAGTGCAGTGTGCAGCTGGCTGAGACGGCAGAGTGCCAAAATGACAGCGTTTGTATTTTGAGCTAGGTTGGGTGTACGCGTGATGCGAGACACGGCCTGCAAAACACAGCACACGATCCTAACCGCCGCAGGCAGCGCTGGAATGGTTTCGCGTCTCCAGTATTTAAGCGCAGCCCATTTCAGTTCGGTGTGCACGGATGACAGGTTGTCTCATCCGATACCCATCGCGTGTGCGCCGCGCCTCGGAGCCTCATCACCTGCGTGGGGGCCTCGTGGCGCGCCCGGATGACTTCCGTGGTTGGGGTCTTGGCAAAACAGTGCAGCGGCAGCCCCCCCAACTCCAGGTGGACGAGTTGGGGACGGTGAGGAGAACCTGGCAGCCCAGGCGCAGAAGGCCTACAGCGGGAACTAATGGCCATATACCGACGCTTATTGACGCGAAAAGGCTGGATCAAAACTCTAATTTCTGCCCGATGACAGCTTGGCTCTTCATGCTTCAGTTGCATCTGCGATCATCCATCCGATAAAACTCCAGCCACTATGTCCACGACGCCCATTATACAATTGATTTTTATTGCGCATCGAGTCTTACCACGATAGCTCGAATCTGCACGGAATATCCGTCCCATCCTTGTCGTATGTCGGGATGAATTCTCCCGGCCCCAGGGTGACGTCATGTTCTAGGATTAGGGTCAAATATGGTAAGCTGGCCCCTGTGGAGGAAATTTCCAGTGAAAGGTAGGTGAACGATTTCCGGACCTACAGACTGCAAAGGGGAACTAAATACCACCAAAATTACGTCAAACCGGAAGATCCAGCGGTTCACCTCAAAATCATGACACCCATTTTTAGTTTCCTGTGCGCCGGACCAAATACAGACCAGGGTCTGACTCGGCCCTTGGAGAAGAAAAATACAACACGCGGGGAGAAGTGAGTCTGACAGAATCTAGATCTGGGGATACCCCACCTTTTTGGCTGCTCTCTGGTCTGGATGCACCAGACGAGAAGTCCAGGTTGAGGTGGAGCAATTATCATGTCGCCCACGTTCTCCTCACCATTTCCTCCACGTTTCCCCTCGTAGCTTCGGCCAGGAACCAAGTTGCGCGTAACAATTATCTCTAGGATCTGCACCACTCGCCGCAGCCCCCGACATATTTTTTTCTGGCTACACGGCACGAAGACAATGGAATGCCAACATCCTGGCCCTGGAGGCCGAAGGATTACCCCAGTAGAAGACGACGGTGGAGGGGTGAAATTTGGACCCAGAAGCCTCGGCAATCCATAGAAGCATTGGAGATGGCGAGCCCAGCTCCGACGAGATTTGTCAGTTTTGTGCGAGCAATGCGCTGGAACCGCTCAGATTAATTATTTTTTTTCGGATGACGCTGCCGAGTCATGGCTGACGCGTGTGCCTGGGCAGACACGAGGAAACCCCACAGCCAGCTTCGCCAAGCCATCCACAATATCGCCGAAGCTGAGGGCCAACGCCCGGGATGTGCCATGCTCAGTCCACGTTCCTGTCGGTCTCGCTGCGTTGGAACACCGGGAACTGCCTGTCGTCACATTTTTTTCTTTCACTTTCCTTGGCGAGAGTCTGCGAGGCCTCGTGTGTAGCAAGAGACTTCCGATTTAATTACAAACACCATCATATGGTCGAGTTGCCAAAGTCATTATCCTTCCAGAGCAGGTATGTTAGCCATGTAATCGTGTGTGGTTTTGTTTGCAGATGATGCATGTTCTATGTCAGGCAACCGTCAAGAGACGGACGGCTACCGGCAGCCGTTGGCAGACCTGTGGATGTTTCGGTAGAGACGAGGCGCCAGATCTCAGATCCGCCGTTGCAGAGCTCCACTCTTCATCCGGTTTGCCAGTCTAGACTGGCCCCCGGTGCGGTTGAGTCTGCCCTCTCCACGCTAGCCAGTAGAGCATGCAGGATTTTACTTTGAGGCTCATTCCCCCTCATAAGCAGTTCTCCGTGTGCTTGGCAGCCTCCCCCAGTGATCCCCGGCTTTTTTCTCCAACATATCCCCGGCCGGCCAGGTTCTCTCCACACCAGGGAAGGAATCCCGGTGGAGCCCCCTCCCCCAATATGCCCCTTTCGCTCGCCTAGGCCGAGAATTCCACTGCCCGGACGGGGATGAGGCGGCGACGACGACACCACGAGGACAGAATCAGGCCGTGAAGCTGGGTCTGGCTCGCGAGGGAGGAAAAACTGGGCACGCTTCCCCCAGATCCCCGCGTTGAGGAATCCCACTCCTCGACAGTATATAGCCCCTCAATTCTCCCGATCTTTGGGGCTCTTCTCTTCTCCATCATCCAGCAGTGTTTGCCTCTCAATCCCCGCCTTCGTCTCCCTTTCGAGCTTCGCAGGGTGCCTTTGTATCCAAGCAACTTACCTTCGTTTCGCATTCCCACCCCAGCAAAGATGGGAGCTCCCGGCGCTACCAGTATGGTGGCCCGTGTTGAGGCGCCAATGACGGCTAGGGCCTACATGATGTGCGTCTTTGCTGCCTTTGGTGGCATCTTCTTCGGCTACGACTCTGGCTACATTTCCGGCGTCATGGGCATGAAGGTCTTCATCCACGCCATCGAGGGCCCCGACGCTACCGCCCTCACCTCGTCCAACAAGTCCCTCATCACATCTATCCTCTCGGCAGGCACCTTCTTCGGCGCCCTGTTTGCCGGCGACCTCGCTGACTGGATTGGGCGGCGCGTCACCATCATTCTCGGCTGCCTCGTCTTTATGGTCGGCGTGACGCTCCAGACTGCTTCCGAGGGCTTGGGACTTATTGTTGCCGGCCGGCTGGTGGCGGGTCTCGGCGTCGGCTTGGTCTCGGCCGTCATCATCCTCTACATGTCTGAGATCGCGCCCCGTAAGGTCCGCGGCGCGCTCGTGTCCGGCTACCAGTTCTGCGTCTGCGTCGGCCTGCTGCTCGCTTCCTCGGTCGACTACGGCACCCAGGACCGCACCGACACGAGCTCCTACCGTATCCCCATCGCTCTGCAGATCCTCTGGGCGCTTATCCTGGCCACCGGCCTGTTCTTACTTCCCGAGTCGCCCCGCTACTTTGTCAAAAAGGGCTCCCTGGACAAGGCTGCTGTCGTCCTCGCCCGTCTCCGCGGCCAGCCGCTTGAGTCTCCGTACATCCAAGACGAACTCGCCGAGATCGTGGCCAACCACGAGCACGAGATGACCCTGGTCCCCCAGGGCGGCTACTGGCAGGCGTGGGCCAACTGCTTCCGCGGGTCCATCTGGGAACCCAGCAGCTACCTGCGCCGCACGATCCTGGGCACGTCGATCCAGATGATGCAGCAGTTCACGGGCATCAACTTCGTCTTCTACTTTGGCACCACCTTCTTCCAGCAGCTCGGCACCATCGACAACCCCTTCTTCATCTCGCTCATCACCACCCTCGTCAACGTATGCTCCACCCCCATCTCGTTCTGGTCTATGGAGCGCCTCGGCCGCCGCTCGCTGATGCTGTGGGGCGCCCTCGGCATGTGCGTGTGCGAGTTCATCGTGGCCGTCGTCGGCACCGTCGCCCCCGACAACGAGAACGCCGTCCGCGCCATGATCGCCTTCATCTGCATCTACATCTTCTTCTTCGCCACTACCTGGGGCCCCGGCGCCTGGGTCGTCATCGGCGAGATCTACCCGCTGCCCATGCGCGCCAAGGGCGTCGCTCTCTCGACTGCCTCCAACTGGCTGTGTAAGCTTTGTCTTCTTCCCTCTCACAGCCCAATAAGCAGAGACTAACAATTCGCTCCACAGGGAACTGCATCATCGCCGTCATCACTCCCTCCATGGTCGACGCCGACAAGGGCAACCTGGGCGCCAAGGTCTTCTTCATCTGGGGCGCCCTGTGCACCAGCTGCTTCGTCTATGCCTACTTCCTCATCCCCGAGACCAAGGGCCTCACGCTCGAGCAGGTCGACCAGATGCTCGCCGAGACCACGGCCCGCACCAGCAGCCGCTGGGTGCCGCACTCGACCTTTGCCGACGAGATGGGCATGACTGAGAAGGCCGGTACCGGCCACATCGAGCACCAGTCCGACGCCTCGGAGAGCGTCTGATTGTTTTTTGCTCGTGGTCACACATTTCTTCCATTCTCATCATCAGCCTTTGCTCTTCGATCATCAGCTTTTGCTCTTCGATCATCAGCCTTTGCTCTTCGACGGCCTCACTTTTCCTTTGTCATTTTGCTTTTTTTTTTTGGAGTTTGAGCATGGTTAAGGTGGTTTTTGGGCTTGTTTTGCATCCAGGGCGCGGACGGTCGAGGGATAGCTTATTCGGGAGTCTTTGGGGAAAGCGTTCTCGGACGATCAATGACTTTTCTTTGCCAACACATCACTACGACACGGCTTCATGTATGGAGGCGGGGGACTACTGTACTATACTGTACTCTAACATTGAATTTGATATTTTTATGTCATTGAGCTCACACATCTTGAGATTTAATGCTCATTATTTACATTAACTTTTCTCTCCCTGGTCTGGCACGTGAACAGCGTAAGTGATGGACTTGAATTAGGTGGATTTATTTTCGCGTGTCATTGCGATCTTCAAATTGTTGACAGGTACTACCCTGAATAATTCCCATTATTCTGCTCCATGCTCTTATGTGCTCAAATCTGCTCCCCCTACTAAAAATAGCATCAAGGGAAACACCCGCCGCAGTTAGATCCACGACGTCCGGCAGCAGCGGTCCTCCCTAAACTTCAAACGAGAGAGCCTGTTCTTTGACCTTGCATTCTCCATCCTTCTCCTGGTGAGAAAGCTCGTGCTCGCCTTCTTCGCACTTAAGCTTCTTTGTGTCCTGATCGTGGCCGACTTTGCGCCATTTCTTGCATTTACAGCAGCAGTACTGCCACTCGCAGTTGGCAAGGATGAGGCTGTTCATGACAAGATTAACTGCACTACAATCAGCGACGCGCTGCGTTTAATTCTGAGGTTGGAAGAATCCCTACAATATCGGTAGGTTACGGAAGTCAAAGAGAGTGGCGAACTCTTTTAGATTAATTTTCGCTGGTTGTTGGATAAGAAAGTTGTGAGTGTAATGACTAGGGAAAGGAAATCTGGAAAGTTGGGCAGTATAAATATGGCCACTCGCGTTTGAACAGGTTCTATTCAAGCTATGAAAGTATTGCCATCCTCGTGCCATATGACAGAAACGGACAACTGGGGCCAGTACCAATACTATACGAGTCATGATGCCAACGCTCTGGCTCTGATACAGTCATTTCGTTTGGGTTGCCAGGAGAGCTCAGAGTTCTAGAGTACGAACAAGAAATAGGATTTGTTTTGATGATAAATCTCACGGACTGCTCGTCATCTAGTAGTTAATGCACTCGGCTCGTCTCTCTTTAACTGTAGAACACTAACCTAGACCAATCTCCGCGGTTCTTTCTCGTCCCAAGTCCATGTCCCCCCCGGGTCCAAAATGAAACAAATCCCAACGCTGCTCCCGAGCCGGACATGCCCTTGGTTTCAGCGTGTTCAAGGCGACACGCTCAGTCCTCTCTCATCGAGATTGAGGTCGCGTGCTTTTGGACCAAGCCGTCGCCGCCATCCCGGTCGCATATTTTATGCTCTCATTTTTTGCACTTGAGCTCGTGTTGCTTTTTTGCATCTCCAAGACCAGCAGACTGTTCCTTGTCAATGTTCTCCAAATAGTCGCAGTCACAACAGAGGTGGCTAGAATTATTTTCTTCGTGCCGGTGCTTGATGTGCTATTGCCACATTGTTCGGCCCAATGTGGAAATCTTGATATTAGTGCAATTCTGAGAATTATTTTGAGATCAAGTGAGCCGACAATGAGCCGCCGTTTGCACTGGCCGATACTTACCCTAGGAGTTATGCGGGCTATGATTGAAGCTTGCTTTAGTGTCTCTTTGAGTGGTACGCTATAGTGTTCCAAGTGTGTTTCGAGAGAGGTCTTTGCGGAGGCGGCTCCTCGATAGATTTGACAACTTGATGGTAAAAAGAACAGGTGAGCTTCAGTTGGAAGATTTCTCGTTTTGTAGCGGCCATTTGTGTATCTCACCAATATGCACAGCTAGCTTGTGTCTGGGATGGGATGGAACTCCTGTCAAGACGGGCAAGGATTCAGCCGAGGTGGCAGCGTCTGGAGTCTAATCGGATCATTTTATGCCCCCCCAGTGCACTTGAGGGGATTCTTGTCTAAGTTTTCGCCCCAAGACCGAGCCACGAGTGGTACAGCCATGTCCAGATCTTCCGCGTCACTCCACGCCTGGGAAGGGCATATGATGTATCCTGAAACAGCCGTGGCGAACATATTCCAATGTATCTGCGTTTTATTGTGCCCTTTGATGGGTATAATACCACCTGTTTCCGCAATCACTTTCTACAGCCATTCTTGATTGCGGCACACAACAGCCAAACAACCGTACCATCAATTAGCAACATTTTGCCCATTCAACTACCAAAACACTATTTGGTTGCCACCCAAATTCTGGCAAACCCACCATTCCCTCCGCACGTCAGGGTCGGCTACATGGTCCTTCCCGTTCCCAAATCTAACTCAAAGCTCTGCCCCAAAGATGCCAGAATCGGACCCCCCGCATGGTTTGCAACGGTCACGACAATTTGGGACGCCAAATACTAGTCCAGAAACCACAAAACAAAGAGGCGTGATACAGAAGATCAGAAGGGTAGCCACTTTGTCAAGGAGCACCAAGAACGCGGCACTATCCGAGTCAAGTGGTAAATCCAACGGCACAAGTCAGCCAACAAAACCTGCCAAGCAGCCATCGCCAAACAGCCATTGCCAAGCACTGCTAAGAATTCACCCAGCAACCCAACCCTGGCCCTCGAGCCCTCCCCGGCAACGACTCCACGGGCGGCTGGAGGATTCTTCCGTGGCCTTTCCGGCATGATGAACGCATACAACAACAACGATAATCAGGATTTGGATTTTGGCGATGACACCAGGCCTCAGACAGAGGACATTAAACGCTTCAACGACAGCGACAAGGAGGAAGACAAGGGTTACGGTTCTGCAGTAGGCTTGGGTGATGGGGAGTATATTCTGCGAGATGACAGGTTCTTTTTGGACAAGATCTCAGCAGTGTGAATAAAGTTAGGCCTGGGTACCCATACATCACCAGTCTAGATTAGCCGTGACTCCTGGACACTGGACGTGAGAAAATAATTTGACCATCGCTACAAAATTAAATGAAGTTCTCTCCGCGGTTGCCATCTAATTATCTTTTGGTAGTCCGCGACACCTTGTTAGCCCATTTGTCCGTATTTATGTATTGGAAGCAAGGGGTGCCGACATGTTTTTTAAACCATCTGAGAAGTTTGTAAGTCTCATCGTGCTATTTATTACTGCTATCGAGCAATATAGCCATAAAGAAGCAAACAGTGCGCCAATCAGAATGACCAAAGCATAGGAAAACGCTGGGCTAGAAATGAAGCAAACAAGAGCAATAGCTTGTATCGTTTCTGATCTTATTGCTACCTATTAAAGATGAATTTCCTTGCCGAGACGTGGGCATCCTTTCTCGCTCCACAGGTCTAAGCAACCCAAAAAACCAGCTATTCTATTCTAGTACTTGTTCAGAATCAAGGTCGCCAAGCAGCACAATCTAGCTCTTACATAACAACCCAACAACTCTGACCACCCTCTTCACTTTCCTAGCTATCACGCTCGCTTCTAAGCCAACAGAGGACGCCTAGGAGCTTGACCTCGACCCAGTTTAACTAGCCACAAAAATGCCAGAGACCGAGAAAAAGGAACAGGAGACCAAGACGCCGCCACCCAGCAAGGAAGATAAAAATGGCAATGCAACCAGCGATGCTACTACCTCAACCAAGTCAAAAAAGCCATCATATCGTCCCTCTAATCCCGGCCGTTGGGCTCCCTACTAGAGTCAAGCGGGCCTAGAAGACGGCCCTGGTGCAGCTTGGTCCAATACGAGTATGCTAGGCTTGTGATTGCATTGAATTATGGCTAAATGGGTTGAGAAAATATGGGATTCTTCTTACGATCGAACCTCTTCAAATTTGAGTGTTGACTAGTTCACTCTTCGCTCTCCCTATATCGTGGAAGGTCGCGCCCAATAGTCATTTTTGGATCCTGTGCTGTGGTATCAGCGTCAGGCACGGCGGAAGAGGAAGTTACAGTCCCCAAAATTAGGAATGGAGCTGGTATTACATTGTTGGCGGTTCAGGAACAGACTACGGCCGCACTTTTTTTGCCATGTGCTTAACATCCTGACTGTAGTAGTTAGTTCTTCAAAATAATAATCCGTTGACATTCGAGTCTGCAACCATCCCATTTCCGTAGGAAGGTTCTCTTCGCGTCTGAACGTAACACTACTAACAGACCACTACGAAGTTCAAAAACCGAACATCCTAAGACTCAGACCACCAACCTCCAACTTACATGCCGCACACACCGACTTAGTTATGGATGGGGCAAACATGGCCTGCCTCATATACAGCAGGACTGCAGGAAATATGACACATAATAGGTGAAGTCATTTGTCTTATAGCTGAAATTGCATATGAAGTGTTTGTTGACAGCTTTACAAATCAATTCACCACCACAACCACCTCCGCCCGTCTCAGCCTAAGCAACTGCAATAACTCCAGAAACTGCTACTGCCTACACAGACACCCGCCACCAATACCATCCCCGCATCTCCCAACCCCCAAAACTAAAACTCCATTCACATCACCTCCATCATCCACCAACATGCCATTCAGCTTCTGAAAGAACAAGGCTTCAGGCAGCCCGCTGAACAAACTAACAAAGAAGCCGCCGACGCAGACCACCGCCACCACCACCACCACCACCACCATTTCCGCCGCCGCCTCCAGGGGCACCAAGCAAGCAGACGGTCGAGTTCGTTAGCCAACAGGAGAGGAACACCAGGACCGGCAGCATCTGCTCCATCACGTCCGACGGCATCGGCACCGGCTCCGGCCGCTCGTCGCTGGCCATCCCGTCGGGCGGCATCCTTCGCGAGGTCACAATCGAGGTCCAGTACGAGGATCTGGCGAAGTGATTGGTTTAGGTGATGTCTTTTCGGCGATTTAACTCTTTGGGGGCTGGCTAGCCTTTGCTTTCGGTTTCGAGAGTGACAGCCGTGGACGTGTTGCCGGTTTGATGTGATTCCGGTTCCTCATGGTCTTGACTACCACGCCCACATCGCCCCTGTGCCAGGATGTTTCCTTTGTTTTATTTCTTTTGGCCAAGACGGCGTGCATGTTACGTGGGTGGCGAACTAAACTTCTAGTTGTTTACAAACAGGTACTTGACTGATATCTGACAGAACAATTGTTTTTCATGTCTCTTCCTCCCCAACCATATTCCCAGTCCGGCCCATCGCCAGACAACCCTGAACCAATTCCCCCCGTGTGCAGCTCTCTTCACGTGTCCTTGCTCGAGACCTTCTTGGTTGTTGTAATGATGGTCTTCTTGACGGGTATCTCGGTGGTGATCTCTGGCATGGCGTTCGCGTCATAGCCCATGGCGTGCCCCGAGGCCGACGATATTTTATCCGGGGCGGGCTCGGGACCCTCCCAAGGCAAGTTCCTCGCCTTGTCGGGGTTGCGCTTGGAGGGGGCGTCGGGCGAGACGCTGAAGATCTTTGTGTTCTTGGGATCGTTCTCGATGTGCTTGTCCTTGTGGGCGCTGGCGCTGGCGCCGCCCTGACCCGAGAGCGACTGTAGCGTCTCGGAGACGGGTATGGTCTTCTCGGAGTCGCCCATGGCCCGGCTGCGCGGCTGATTCTTGCCGCCAGCCGTCTGCCACCACAAGGTGCTGCCGATTTCCGTGGCTAGGAGAATGGGCCCAGGTTGCTGGCGCAGCATGCCAGTGACAGTCATTTTGGGCTGATTTAAGGGTGAAAGGAGAGGACGTTGTTGGGCTCTGTCGTGGTCGAGTACAAATGAAAGAGGTGTCAATGGGCAATCCAATTGGAGCTCGACGTGCTGTGGATTTATTTGAAATGATGTAACACAGCCTAGGCCATCACCCTGACATCAAGCGCCAAAATTGAGTTTGGCCTGTGAGACGCGCGCCGCTGGAACGAAGCTCCGGGAGGTGGTTGCGACGCCATCCAGAAATTCCATTCGCCTGCCGCTATCATGGCCTGACGTCAGGGCATCTGTGGCTGCATCATTCGCCGGCCCAACCCTTCAAGTTGGCATGCTTCTCCCGATGCATGGGACCTACATGGCACACATCGCGATACCCGACCGTTTGTAAGGGATTCCAGGTTTTCACTACCGTGGCCGTTATCCCTGTCTATTGTTATAGAAAAATGATACATGAAGTTATTAGGTAACAAATCCTCAAATAGCACGAAAGAAACACTATTCACACAAACCGATAACCTGAGCTCTGATAACGAACTTGAACTTCACGCCGGCCGTCGCTTGTATTAGTCCGAGGACGACGTGCCAGGGTTCTTCGTCTCGGCGAATTGCTGCGGGCCAGTCTGGTATGTAAGGGGCGGTGCGCTATCGGACTTGTTATCGCGACCAAAGGCAATGCCAGGATGAGCGATGTTGAGACAGAACACGGCAAGAAGCATCATTCTGGAAACCAGAAGAACAATTTGTCAGCAACCTGGGCTTCAAATTTTGCAAAATAACACAAAAAGGCGAAAGATAACTAGTCGGAATGACCAAGGAAAGGGGAACATACACAGACTCGAGGCCAACAAACAGCTTCTCGTCGTGGATGAGCGGGCCGTCGTAGCCATCGCTCAGTTCGTCGATGCGATACACGCAACGGACGAGGATGAAGAGAATGGACAAAAGCAAGAAGCTCAAGAAGATCTTGATTCGCGAGGGGAGCGGCGCGCCCTTCGACTTGTGGACGTAGCGAGCGACGTAGTCGACGAAGAGGCCCACAAATATGACCAGCGTGACGACTTGGAAGGCGAGACCGACCATGGACAGGCGGACGCCGGCCTTGTTCCCGGTGCCGGCTTGGACGGAGGAGAGGGCACCGCCGGCAGCTTGGAGGATCAGAGAGAAGATATCGCATGGGATGAAGATCCACACGAAGAACTTGGGATTAAAGCGAGACAGGGACCGGTCGAGGTTGTTGATGCTGTGGATTGACAGCGGGTGTCAGTCAAAGTCGGGGCCATTTGGCAACTGTGACGGGGCAACACTTGCGTTCTTGTCAACAAGACGTAGATAGACGAACAAAAGAAGACAGGCGCCGTGGTAATGCAAACTAGAAAGAGATGACGCATCTTCGTCAGCATGCACCCACCCACACCAGATCTCCGGCTACCACACTACCAATAATCATCATGCATCACAGTCTCCGCGCTAACTCACCGACCTGGATAACAAAAGCATTGAAAGAAAACGGGTTCGTGTTAAGCATGATCCTCCCGGCGTAGCCGATCATCTCGTCGACGCAGCCCAATACCATACAGATCATGAAGGTCCAAGACCTCCACACGGCGCCCTGGGCGACGTGGATAAGCAGGGCGAGGCCGAAAAGACCGATGATGACGGCATTGCCGGGGATCGAGGGCTGGTACTCGAGGATGCTTGCCGACACGGGACACACGTCCAGCGTGCAGTTTGCATTCTTGCCGAAGGCGATGAAGTGGTGTGTTCCGTTATGCGTTGACATGGCTGCCGATGGAGACAGGAGTGTCCAAGAAGGCGTTCAACCGATTTGGGCAAATGGTCGCTCAAATGCAGACGCGACAGGAAGGCCGTCGTAGTTGGGTGACAGAACTCCAAGAAAAGAAAACAAATAAAAGGGGATGGTGGCAATGTGCCTCAAAATGCTAAGATGCATTAGCCTCGGATTCAAGATGCCAGAGTCAAGAATAAAGCACAGCTACACAGCAGGTGAGGAGTCATCTAAATTATATAATTAGTTAAGCGAATGTGAGTTGGAGCAGTGAGATTGGGGGCGAAATAAGAAATTGAAACCAGCCTTAGCCCCATTCGTGCCCGGGCAGCCATGAAAAGCCCTGCAAGATTGTGCCGCTGGAAATAGGCAATAAGGCCAAATCGGATGTTGACAGGGTCAGGGGGGAGTTTTCTCCCCCGTTGTCAGCTTAGCGGGTGCAGGTGCTGAGTGGCTGAGACCTGGGGGCTAGGCTTCGCCGCTTCGGGGTGCATGGTTATTAGGCAGCCAGACTCAGCCCAAGTTTGCGATCTCCTAGGCTTGCAGAGTACAGAAGGCACTGAAAGTCGTCCACGGGATTTGCACGATGGCGGCGCAATAGTGGGCTCCCTGCTGCGGGCGTCCCTCCACCACGCCGAGCCACCGCCTAACACTTGACGCCATCGGCACGCCGGGTGACTCTTCGTGAAATCTGCTGCGTGCCGAATGAGCTAACGAAACCATCGCCGGCATCTGGAACGCATATTGCATCTTATCATGAGTTCCGTGTCAAGTTCATCGGCCAGGCTCTAAACTTAATCTTGATTGAACGACAAACGAAGATGACACTGCCAGGGACTTTTGCAGAAATTTCGCCAGGGCAATCGAGAGGCCGTGCTGAACAGAATACGATATCGACATGCTGATTGGCCAGTCTTTGTCCCAAACTGGCAAGCCGTCTGACCCTGTAACTTCCGACATAGGAGGGCCGAAACCGTCCGTTGCCGCACATCGTAACATCGTTGCATTAGCTAATTGTCTCTGTCAGCACTGCCTAGGATAGCCAGTGGGCATGAATGCGGCGAAGGATTGGAGAGCTCGTCAGCCCTGCGAGCGAGCATGAAAAGACACTGCGGCCTCTCTAACCAAACTAATTTTGGAGTGTTGCTTCGAAACGTCAGCAAAAGCCTGATCGAGGTTGCATTGCCCATAGTTGATGAAGGAATGTCAGGGACCATGGAATGGGATCTAGGCTACAAGTAACCATTGGCTTGTGCGGTTCTATGACTGACGCAGCATTGCGAGTCCGCGCCCCTTACCCACAGTCCCGCAGGGCAACAAGGGGATGCAAGCACGGATTTAATGGAGAGAAGGACCAATGGATGAAGACGATAAGATGAATAGCTTGTGACTTAGGTTATTAGTGTGTCCTTACGTCTCAAAACAACATTAGCGTCAGCACTTTGACTTCTTCCTCCAGCTCTTCAGGCCGCCCGGCCAGCAAATAGCAATGATTATGGTACTCTCATATTGGTACCGAAATCGCCAAAATCTCTAGCGCCCACCATAAGAAGCCTTTCTTAGAAAAGGAACGCCAAAACGCCTAGGCTAGCCATCAAGACACTCAGAGACCACTGAGCTCTCACGCCAATGCTGGAGATGGTTGTCATAGGCGGTGGTGTTGAGCCTGGCGATGGTGTCGGGGGCAAGGAAACGTTTCCGACGACCGAGGCATTCGGACCTAAGCCGCCAACCAGCGGCGTCGACCCGTTCAACTGCACAATGACAGGGACAAGCGCAGTGACATCCGAGATATTAAAGCACTCCCACTTGTAAGGGGCGCTGTAGTCGACTGCAAACACCGTCACCGAGCTCATACAACCGGAGTTGAGCACATCCTTCTCAGCAGGTATCTTGCAATTGCCGTTTGCACAATGGCTGTCGTCTGATCCCGAGTCGCGGGAACGGTTGAAAAGACCAGTTTTGCTGTTGAATACGGCCTTCGCCTCAGCGTTCCCACCCATGCGAGTCAAGACAAAGGGTGGGTTGGTGCATTGTTCATTAGTGTATGACGTGATGTACGGAAGATTGACCGTCAGGCCGTATCCCTGGGGCAGAATGCGAGAGCCAGCGGCCTTGTCGATCAAAGCTTGAACAAGAGTGGAGGCTAGGCGAGCCGTGATTGTCGCCGGGTCTTGGAGGCCCGCCTTGGTGCTGGCATTCACCCAGAAGTATGGCGTTGGGACAGTATTTCCGCTGAAGAATGCAACGGCCGGAATGCCACGCTCAATCGCCATGTATGTTGCCCCGATGGCTCCAGAGGTGGTGTAGAGGAAGGGTCCCACGTTCCAGCCAGAGTTTGGGCCAGAAATAACAAGGTCAGGGGTCTTGACCTTGGTGAACGTGGGCAGAATGTAGTCCAAGGCCACCACGACCTGTGCAGCCGGGGTGCCGTTGTAGTACCAGATGTGGCCATCGTCCGGGTCGGGACCGATGGAAGGAGCACCAGATTTGACGAGATCTGAAAGAGAGGTCAGCAAGTTCCAACATGGCGAGATAGGATCAAGTGCTCGCACCCCAGTCGCCGTTTCTGGTCATCTTTGGGCTGTTCGTGAAGTCGAGGCGAGTGCCCGAGCCAACATCGAAGGTCGCAGACGCCACAAGGTAGCAGCTGTGTCCGAGATCGGTCATTTGCTTATACAGCTCGCGGATATTGGCCGTCCCGAAGCCATCGTCGTTCTGCAAACTGTTAGTTGATTTGGGTAGCTGAACGATTGGCTGCCAGAACCTACCGTGATCAACACATTCAAGCCTTGGACGGCAGCGGCAAACGCAACTCCAACCTTGAGGAGAGAAAGATTGCGCATCTTGAAGATGAGGAGCTAATGAAACAGACTAAGCAACTAATTTCAATTTCAGCGGCGGTAACGTCCGATGGACGCAACAGTAGTGCCGAGAGGGTATGTGTGGTTGATGTAGGGGATGGTGTTGGGATGTCGAGATGGATGTCTGGCAGGACAAGAGAGTTTGGTGTTTGTTTTTTGGGGCAGAGAAACTAGGGTTATCTGGTGGACCAGTAACACCTCGCCGTAGGAAAGAAGTGCACAAGGCATGTGGTAGCGATTACGTGTTCGATGGCAAGAACGGCAGGAGTAAAGCACCTCTGCGACTCGGGAGGCAAGAGCTTTCTTTCCTAGTCCAAAAGGCCCACTTTCTCAACCGAACCAGCAACATCCCAAATGTTCCTGCATTTTTTATCATTTTAACCCTGGAGAGTACTTTAGAGCTTGTGAAAACTGACGTCAATAGTCGAAAGATTCATCGTCTTTTGGTCTAGACCGTGGTGTTTGCTGACGAGCTCTGTTTCCTCTTTACTACTTTACGGCTCTCGTAGTAGCCACCTCCTCGCAAACAGATACTCTTTCTATTGTGCGTGATGAAAAGTTGTTCTGCCTGAGACTCGTAGTTGATGGCTATTGGCTTACTTTGTTATGATGGTGTGTCTCGCTCATCAATGGCATTTGTCAAACTTTTGATTCATGGTAACAGCAACCAGAGGATACCGCAATGCATTTATTCGTCATCTTCGTACATGTGCTCGAGTCAGTTGTATGCTTCCCTATCACTAAACCATCCCCATCACACCTCGCCCCCAACGAAGACTATTACTAGCCTCATTTCACACCCCTTTCCCAACAGCAGGCACGACTGCGGCGTGACCGAGCGCCCCAGCCGCGCCGGCTTTCCTTCTCTACCACCGAGTCATCACTCTAGAAGCCGAGAGCCTTGTTGAATGCATCGGCAGTGGCGGCGTTCTTGGTTCCAAGGGCTGAGACTTGGGCTTTCGCCGACTCACAGAGCGCCTTGGCCTCGTCGTTGGCATCGCACACGTTGGTGAGCTGGTCGCAGACGCGGTTGGTGATGATGTTGGGGTTGAGAGCGTCCTGTTGGCCCTTGGCGACGAGAGGGTCGGTGGGCAGGAAGGTGCCCTCGTCGGCCTTGCGGCCAGGGCGGCCCAGCTGGAAGTCGATGGTCGGCGTGCACTTGCCGAAGTCGGCCGCGGCGCGCAGGTTCACAACCGCAGCAGAGGCGGTCGCAGCCGCGAAGAGGGCAAGAACGAGAGTCTTGGCGTACATTTTGAGGGAGAGTTGGGTAAAGACCGGCTAGCGGTTGCTGAATAAATAATTATAAAGAAAATGTAAAGAAAAGTTCACAGAACCTGGCTAGAGATCAACTCTGAAAGAATGGAATTTTTGATCTTGGGTAGGGAAAGAGAGATAGAACCGGGCACCCAGACGCGAGCTGGAGGGGGTTTAATAAGGACTCGGCCGGATGAACCGCCCAAGTACGACACCGGGATCCGGCCGTGGATTGACTGCATCTCGAAACAACGATCTGGATCTCGCCTAGCTGGAGATCAGACGGCCATCTCGAACTCGGACGGGGAAAGATGGGATGAGACGACAGCCGACGTGGCCCAGAGTCGTTGCGCCACTTGGCGTCCAAGCGCCCTGAGCGGATATCCTCCCATCTTATGCCGATCTTGGCCTGCGCGAGCCCCAAGGGATCATGCAAAAGTGCAGAGCCGTCAACCGGCTCAAACAGCCCTGTAGCGAGACCCCTGGGGAGCTGCCAGCCGCCTATGTCAAACGTACCCCGCCAGGTTACACCGACGCATGCAACACCGGCAAGACTGGTGCTGTTTGATGTCCGACCGTTGCGTCTCTCCCAAATGCCTGCGGTTTCTCAAATACGTCATAGGGCCGGTTTGGCTCATCGTAACCGCCTGGTCCCGAAATTGCATTCCCTGGAGCGAACAACAGGGTTGGTCGGTGGACCCACTGGACGCTGTTCAAGTCCAACAGTTTTGCGGTCGCCATTGACACAGGCAGTCTAGTTGCCTTGGTTGCTTGAATAGGACTTGATGCAGGTTCGCCCGCTTTAGCCCGCACATGCAGCACCTGACAGCCGAAGGCGAGTGTGGTGGATCTGAAAGCCTCGGCGCCCGAGCGCTCTGTTGGAAGCCCTGGCCACCTGGGGTGGTGCATTCGGGGCAGGCCAATTTTTGGGGTTGGGCACTCTCCGGACCCATAATTGTAGATTTAATCGAACCAATTAGAAAATAGAACCAAGGTCGAGAAACTGACTTGTGTGGCCCCCAAATCCCCCAACCAACCTAATTGGACACGCCATGAGTTGAGAACTCGATTCTCTCTTAAATGTCTACGTTGGGTCTTTGTGGGAACTAACAGTCAACGGGATGGATGCACAGCCTCAGTGGCTGACCAGCACACGGGCCGCTATGCGGTACGTGTCCGAGGCGCAACCACCACGTAGCCTCCGGGCATCGCCAAATCCAATGCGCACCCTGTTTCCGTAGTTCGTGATCCTTCTACATAGAGCAGACCAGAATACAACCACCACAACCACCCCATTCGCATCGGTTACTGCAGTGACTATGGAACGAATGACCTTGTCATTCCAACAGTCTTGTCCGGAGTAAAAGCAAGCAGGCGGAACTGCCCTTCAAAATGGGGTAGTTCCAAAAATAGTGAAGATTCTATCCTCGTGGGCGTGTTGTGTGCCTTTCAATCGGCAGAGAAAATCGCTCGGGGCTCGCTCGCGAATTTGTTAGCCAAAAATGGACACAGTAGATAATACGAAGCAGGCTCTCTCCCTCCCCCGATCTCGAGTTTGGAATGCAACTCGCACACGCCAAGACGCCATCCTCACGAAACCAAATCAATCTTGCATTGTTCAGCTCGGTCCAGCCGGAGCTCGGGACTAGCGTTATCTAACTAACGAGCTAAACCCATCCAATTACTGTTTTTTAAAAGAGTATTTAGTTCAGCATCATCAATCCATCGTTGTGGATAAATAAGGAATGACGCGAAGTTCAGAAGTCGAAACGGGCAACCTATTGTGAAAGCGAAGGGTAGGGAAGACAAGTACAACAATTCCAACGGAAGCGCTATGGAGGGCATCCGCTGTAATTAATGTTGATGTTTCATCGGGTTTCGGGTTGGTTGGCATTTTTGATCGGAATCCCTTGTGGTTGGACGGTTGTAATTATCGGCGGAAACTGCCTTTCGGATTCACGCGTCCGGCTCGTCGTCACATAAAACCAAACACAAATCCACTGGCGCGTCCCTTGGTCCAGGCCGGCGCGCCGGGGCCTTCGGCGGCCAAGCCGCACGGTGTCTGATCCCACATGCGCATGAATTCGAATTGGAAGTCGCTGGGCTGGACGGGGACGTCGCTGTTGTTTGTGGAGGCTCGCGCAGGCTGCTGGTAGGCATTGTGTAGCAGCAGCGGCGGCGGCGACAACGCAGATGCAACTGTGCCGATGTTGGGTGGCGAAACGTCGATATTCCACCTCTTGGCAAGATCCCGTAGCAGATGCAGCCCGTGCAACGCAAACCGGCTCGACTCCATCTCTTCCAGGTCTGCTATGCCCTGGATTATGTCCTCGGCCACGCCGGGGCCTAACTGTGGGGTTGTCGCCGTATGACTACCTACGTTGCCGCCGCCTCTCTGTCCGCTAATCCAAACAGTGAACCGCATGATGGAGGCCGCCAACACAAAGTAAGGCACAAACGACGACACGCGTTTCAAGGTGTAGAGCTGGGAATACGACCGCAAGAGGGCCCGGATCGCGTCTGCGGCCTGACAGCAGACATCTTGTGGCGAGATGGTCGAGTTGGGGATCCGGGTTTTGACGAGCGGACGGAAGAGGGTAATGATCGAAAAATGGTAGTAGAGGCTGCGGTCCTGTGTTAATTGGTTGTTTCGTGCGTGGATACTAGAAATTAACCAGAGTGGGGGCGGCTATTACGGACTGTACAAATAGAACTGCTGGGGTGGAACTCAACACGAGCCTCATGCTATTCGGGATTCCGTCGTATCAGTCGAGATAATTCGTGTAGATATCGAGAAGAGCGTCTCTGGTTAGTGGGCGTCCAGGGGTACGTAACATAAAGACGGACTGATGGACTAGGTCGCTGATCTCACACAGGCACCTGAACACAGTGCGTGTATTCGATGGCTGGCTGTATTTGGTGTCTGAAAGGGAGGGCAAGAAATTAGCGAGCAGGACAAGACACAAGAAATATTCCGTGATATTAGACAGGTATCATACACAGGCCGTCGTCGGTACAGGGGATCCACAGTAACGACTCAATGGCGCCAATGATTGGAAGTTTAGGGGTCGTGGGATGCGGAGAGACGTTTGTGGTAGCGATATAGACACTAAAGTCCAAGCGCTACAGTCTAATATTTTTAGTTTCTTCCATGTTACTTGTACTCGGGGTTGACTCGGGGGGTGTGATGGGGAAGGGGGGGGTGCGGGATGTGTGCGTGCGGTGCGTGCCAGAGCTCTGCAAAGCAGTGTAAAGGAAGCCCTCTTACTGGTCTAACGAGTAAGCACCCCAGAAGGTGGCAGCCTCGACATCCATCCTGTCCTGATCCAGCGCGCCAGAGGGCCGGTGTAGGCCCATCTCGACGGCCAGGCGCATGCTCTGGCTAGCGTAGTAGCTGCTTTCCGACCTTCGGCCACAGTTCGCCTCCCGGATTGCCATTATGCCTAGGGCTTGTATGGTTGTCAAGCAGGCGTGGTCTGTTTGCAAGTCAAAGAGGCGGAGTGACTCGCTAAAGAAGTGGTTTCCCGATGTAAAGCTATCGTTGGGGTCTGTTCGAGTACTAGGGCGCGTTGAGAAACAGCAACTAAGAGCTAACAGGGTATTGACAAGAATTGGCGAACAATATCGCGGCAATCCAGCCTCGAAATCCTTCATAAAGTGTTCTTTGCTGAGCGTTGCATAGATGGGATACTCCCAGCAAAAGTACAGACCCAGGAGATGCAAAAGACACAGACCGCTATCCGACGTGACACCAGTCCACACATGCCCTGCCGCCCTTGGGTTTTCTCCATCCATGACGGTATGAGACAGGTTTAGCGCGACTATGTTGCTAGTATGTGGCGAGGCCGAGTGAGATACCTCAGGCGACTGCGTTTCGATCAAGCCTGGGGAATGCCAACTCTCCGAGGACACGTCATTGGACACGGGCAATTTCGAGATCTCGCCCCCACCGACAGAGTTGCGCTGAACAAAGCCCGCATTAGGCCTGGCTCGGAGGGCGAGAAGCATTTCCCAGGCGACAGGCTCCGGGGCTGTCGACATTAGCCAAATAAATTCCACGTTGTCACTTGCTACCTTTGAGAGGGCCTCGTTTTCCTCTCGAAGAGTGGCCGAGTCGGCTGCTGAATATGCACACTCTACATTGCGCTTGAGGCAGAGAGAACACGCTGGACGCTGACCGTCGCACTAACACATCACCGCACGACCCGCATCAGCAGCTCTCAGCACACTCAACTCATCCTGGCTGCCGTTTCGCCAATGATTAAACAACAAGCATACACCAGACTTTCGGACCCGGCAAGTGTACATGCCAACCTGGTCACAGCTCCCCGTTTCCTGCTTGGGCCGCCCGCCGATTCGGGATCGAACTGGGACTGGGACTGGGCCTGGGCCTGGGCCTGGGCCTGCGAGTCAGACTCGGAGCCGGTATTATCAACTTCCATCGCGGCAGGCAGGATGCGCCTGAAGGAGGGGGCATTGCCATTCATGCTGCGGCGGTGGCGTGAGCCCTACCGAAACGGCAATTGGGGATGGTTAGGGCGCCCGGAGGTACACTGGACAACAGGGCACTCTCCAGCGCCCAAAGTGTTGTAGAACTGGCAAGTGGAATGTACCTGTTGATGGATTGGAAATGAATCATGAAAATGATGGAGCGCGCGCATGGCCCCGCCCGCTGGGCGGGGCGGGGGTATCAGATCCCCTGCGCAGTTGGTTGGGGTGGGGTGGTTAAATCTGAAAACTGTGCACTTTCCGGAAATGATGGTTAGGTAATTCAGCACAGTGCCCCGCCAGGCTCAAAATCAGGCACTGTACTGTGTACGCATCCGCATCTTTGTCATTGTGTGTCTACCGATTAAGGTGTGGACGTCCATACGGCTTCCCCAGCCGTGGAAGAAATAGAACCATGTCCAAGTTTACTTCAATGGAGTGTGTGTGGCTGACTTAAGTGATTGCTTCATCGACGCTGACGCAGCGCATACCGCTTCTTCTCAGTCGCTTGCGAATTGAACTAGCCGGGTGCTTTGGTCCTCGGTCCATGCTGTGTATTTCCTTTCTCCTTTACTCTTCTATTGGCCTTATTTTCTCGGGAATCGTGATCGATCGGTCCTCTTTTATCACATCTCATCAAGATATCTTTATCAAGCGAGAATATCACTCAGGCTAGTTAAAATAAAAGACCAGAAGAGAAATGTGGACCGAGATCCCGGTGCCCCTGCTAAGGTAGTTCAATTCGCAAAAGACTGAAAATAAGCGGTACTGTCGGTTGGTATCCCTTACCAACCTGGTACATGCACGGGTACTGTACTGTACATACCTACCTCAGGTAAGGTACCTTACTCCGTAAATGCAGAGGCAGCTCGGTTAGGTACCGATTGTATAAGCTTGGTACTCTTAAAATTAGGGGCCAAGTACGGAATATTCCGTACGAATACAGGGAGGCAACATTACCTTACACCGTGCGTCGCGACGAGCCTCTTTGCTTTCGAGAAGCGAACATTTGTTAGAAAAAAAACCCCGAATTGCTCATTAGTACCATAGGGTCGCTTTCTTTTAGGGGCGGGTTTCCGCCGATTAGCAGCCTGCAACCGGAACAGCTCCAAGGTTTGAAACTTACGATGTTATTGGACAAACGCAAACAACCTGTTACCTTCAGCGCATGCACTGCCCCGTAACGCCAAGCTTGAGCCGACTGCTCCCCCAAAATACCTGCTAGCGTGCCCCCCACTAGGCCGCGAGTAAGGTAGCTGAGGCGCTGCCTAGTTGTGTGCGTGCAGCACGTCCCGTCTACACGGCGACAACTTCCAGGCTCTACAAACGACGCGGTGACATGAATAGAACCTGACCTACACCTCCCAAGTACCTGAACCTCCCAAGTACCTACACTTTGGAGCGCATCCTGTCTGGCCCCCGTTTATAAAAAGGCCTGCCCACCACTTCTCCGAGTGACCAGAACAGGGGAAAAAAGCAGGGATTACCTATATGGTGTCTTTTTGCCCCTGACCTGCGATGCCAATTATCCGGCTCCAGCGAATTGAGATCCTCCGCACAACGGGGGGCCGGACCCTCCCCCGCTTTATTTCCACTCGAAGAAGCAAGCCACCAAGAACTGATTTTCGTCAGTCACCACATGCCTACCAGGTACCTACAATACGTAGCCTTGTGAAGGTTTGACTCGATACGTGGCAGAACCTCCCATATTGGTAGTACGAGCTGCGGGCACCGTCCGAAATCTCAATCAATCAGGCCATGGATACTTTCGCCTCATCCGCCGCGCACCGTCGCCCTTCAGGCCTAGAACAGGCAGAGAACTACGAATCATACTAATTCTTATGGACGGGGGAATCGCAGTCCTAGTTGAGGTGATTGACTTGCTTAATTACCCATCTGCTGATCCAGGCAGCATCCATATTCACGACTATTTCGCACGAAAAGGGACGCGCGAAGAGCCCCGTCCCGATGCTCAATGGCTATTGCTACAACCACACACTTATCGAATAGCTACGGCCTACCTGCCTACCTGCCTACCTATATATCTCACACCAAGAACGAGTCTGGAACGTGCCACCGGAAACGATGCGCGGGAAAGGAATCTAGGAACTTGCGCAAACTAAGCACTTGATTTTGCGCCGGCGCAAACCCACCTGACCAGAGCCAAACCCATCTCCATCAGGTCCAGAGGTTATGGTCGTGGCCGGGGATCTGCCTGTGGCCGACGACGGTGAAGGAGGCGATGATGGCGTCGAGTTCCGCCTTCTCGCCAGCCGACAGCTCGACGACGCTGCAATTCTCGCTGACGCGCGACGCGGCGGTCGCGCCTGGAATTGGAATGACAACCCCACACTCGCCCGTGTTGGAGTGGGCGCGGATCCAAGCCAGCGCCACCTGCGCCGGCGTCGCGTTGCCCTTGCGGGCTGCGAATTCCTTGACCTTCTCCACCAGGTCCAGATTCTTGGACAAGTTCTGCGCAGCGCAAACTCTGGTCAGCAGGATCGTTCGGGGATAATTCAGCGATAGGTAGTTGGGTTCTGAAAGGAGAGAGGGGTTGGGGTTTATGCTGCTCACATCAGGTTGGAAGCGGCCGAGGCGGAGCCGAACATCGCCCTCGGGAAGGTCTTCAACCTTGGTGAACTGGCCGATAAGGAAGCCGTAGCCGAGCGGGGCGTAGGCCAGGATGGCGACGTTGTGCTTCTTGCAGGCGGCAGCCACGCCGTTGGTGAGCATCTCGGTGCTCCAGAGGGAGAACTCGATCTCGACCATCGAGATGGGAGTTACAGCGGATGCGCGGCGAATGGTGGCGGCGCTGACCTCGGACAGACCGGCAGAGCTTATCTTGCCGGCGTTGACGAGCTCCTTCACGGCGCCCATAGTCTCCTCGACGGGAACGTTGGCGTCCATTCGCGCAGGGCCGAAGACGTCGATCTTCTTGACTCCGCCCACCACGCGCTGACACTCGTCAAAGCTCTCGAGCACCTCGGATCGCTTGGTGGTTGCCGAAAACTTGACAACGTCGAAGCAGCCGCGGACGAAGAGTGTCACCTTGTCCGCATCCTCAGGGTACTTATCAAAGTACCGACGGATCAGGAGCAGCCCAGCTATGGGCGGCTCAGGCGGGTAGCCATAGCCCTGCGCCGTCGACCAGACAGTGGCTCCGCTGGCCACGGCAGCTCGCATTGCTTCAAATGCTTGCTCGTCAGGCGTTTGCTTGGGGCGCCATGTCATGCCGAGGAGGCCGAAGCCAGTGACGGGAAGTGCAGGAGGCATGTTGAACGAAGAGATGGAATCCAGGGGCTCGTTGGCGGTTTGAAGCGAGAGGGTGATCTTGCACACAATTCCACTCTGAAAACAAGGACAGTATTCGAGAGGACGACATGGCGATCGATATTTATGCACAGAAGCCGTCAACTCCCTGATATGTTCTCCTTGTGTCAACTGACACTGCGCGGACTTAAGCCCGGACATTGGACTTTGGGGTGTGTGAAACGAGCTTCTGTTCACACACTTTGCCATGACCGCCAGTTGCATTCATGCAGATCCAGCCATGGAAGCGGCGCGCAGACAATGACGGTGGTCTTCCCGATTCCTAGATTAATTAGAGCCCAGGCCGGAGTTAACGTGGTTCTTAGCTGTCTGTTCCCGATTTTACCTGCCGACAAACCACTGATTCGCGATCCATGCAAGCCAAGGTCTCACCATCTCAACCATGCGTCTCGATTCGCCAATTGGATACTGGTTGCCCCTTTGGGCGAAGAATACGCAGCCTCTTTGGGCGGACGATACGCAGAAATCAATTGTGTATTCCTATCCGTCTGCGAAGTCTCCACCTCCCCTGACATCTTCCGGACTCCCGGGCCAGTATTGTTAGCAAGTTGCCGACCTAGTTCTCCCCGGTTGCCTCGACCAAGATGACACTGTCGATCATCACGGTGCCGGCCTTGTCGGCCACAACCTCCAACTTGACCTGTGCCGTCGTGTTGCCCGCCGGCGCGGTCCAGAACAGCTGTCTAGGGGCGAAGTATAAAGTCCCCACGCCGCGGTCACCTGGGTCTGTCGTCTGCAGAGGCACGTTGTTGATCATCACACCAACGAAGCCAAAGTTGGTGCGGTCAAAGTAGGTCGTGTAGGCGAGCATGTATGTCTTACCTGGGGTCACAGGCACCACGGGGCTGACAAGCCTGGCGCTGACTCCAAGCTCCTGGTTGGCCGGGTTGGGATCAGTGGCCAAGTACGCCTTCCACGCGAAGCTGCCAAACGGCGGGTTGCTGGGGTTGATGGTAACGCCCGCAAAGCCCGAGATGCCCGCCTGCGCTCCCGGGTCCGGCTTCTGCGTCGTCCACCCTCCGGCGCCGCACTCGAAGTCGCCATCGGGCAGGAATCCGAGCGGCGGGTGCGAGCCGCAGTACGCCGTCACCGGCGCAAACGTGATAGTATCGAGCCGCGCCTCGGGGCCTATCCATTCGAAGGTTATGACGGCCGATGTGACGCCCGCTGGCGGCATCCACGCTACCTGGCTGAAGTGCCACAGGGTTGGCGTGAAGTCGAGGGCGTCGATGGTTACCAGGCCTTGGCCATTGATCATGACACCGACGAAGCCGCCCGTCGTGCCGTCCATCCACGTCCCAAAGGTCAGCTTGTAGCTGACGCCGGGCGTCACGGGCAGCGACGGGCTGATGATGCGGGCGTCGGTGCAGCTCGTCGTCGAGCAGCTGTCGGGCCCCGTGAACTTGGTCACGAACGACTTGGCTCCAGTCAGACCAATGCCGGATGCATTGGCCACCACGTTTTGCTGGACCACCTGCACAATCCACGGCGCCGTCCCGCATTCGAAATCGCCATAGACGAGCCCGCCGTTGCTGGGCGTGGGCGCGCAGGAACTAGTCGGCGTGGCGACCGATGTCGAGCACGTCGGCCCGCATTGGCACGCCGAGACATAGCGGCCTGGGCTAGTTCCGCAGGCTGCCGTGGCTCGGGTCGGGAAGTTGGTCGCCGTGACCCCTCCCGCAGTAATGGTGGCGCAGAATGCCGATGCAGCTGACACGGCCGACGGCGTCGGGCAGGGAAAGAGAGCCCGGTAGCAGCTAATGCCGGGGTTGTTTAGTATCCCTTGGTTCTCCAGACGTTGCCATGAGTTGCACGTACTTGTCTGCAGCACAGGTTACCGCGCTCGCTCCGGTGGCGAGGAAGCCGGCCGTGACAAGAAGGCCGACGTTGAAGGCCGAAACCATGATGTGGTGCACCGCTTGGGGTGAAGTATACGTGTGGTTGGATATGGAGACGTGGTCTGTATTGGGTAGGCGAGACCGCTGCTGTGAGCTATTTTTCAATAGTCCGTCCCGAGGCACTAACCGACCCTTTTGTAGACTTTCCAACCCCCTCACTTTGACGCTTCAGCCTCGGGGATGCATCTCCGGCATCCTGGCCGTCGCTGTTTGTGCGTGCGGGCTGTGACGTGGACGAGTGAAGCACGGCGGGGCTTGCATATACGACAAAGCCTCCTCGAAAACGAGTGACTAGCTTCTCGCAGCCCTCAAGCCACCGGTCCGGTATTGGATGCCAAAACCGAGACGCAGGTCAACTGTCAGCCCTCGGCGGATAGATCCGCCGCACTACACCCTCGGCCATTGTGTTCTGGAGGCGGCTTGCACCGAAGAAGGCCCGAGCCTGACCATGCTGTGTTGACGGCTTCACTCATCATTATCGTGCCGAGCGCCCCTTCCGCCATCCATGTTGCTCGTAGGTCTAGATGTGTACGTAGGTGTATGTGTACGTAAGTGTATGTGTACGTAAGTGTATGCGTATTGCCTTTTCATTGTCTAGCATTCGCTGCACGTGCTGTGGTTCTTGGCCAGTTTAGCAGCTGCTTAGGACGTTGTCTCACCAGAAAACGAAGCCAAGCTCCCAAAACAGTATGCATCCCGTCACCAAACTCCGAATCTGCCATGATACGAAGTGTGCATTTTCTGGACAACACCACTGTCCACGTATGTACGCAAACAAAATCAATGCCCCTCGAGTTTGCCCTCTTCCTGTTCCTGTCCTAACTCACTCGAGATCCTGCTCACAACTTCCTGCAGCGTGCCGATGCGCAGCAGGTCCTTGGGGCCCGGCACGCCGCGCGAGTCGACCTCGCGCAGCGCGCGCGTCGCATAGTCGAGCGCCTTGCCGAGGTCGCCCACCTGGTAGTACAAGCGCGCGGGGATCTCGTACAGGCTGCCAGCCATGTGCGCCGTCAGCCCCTCGCCGTCGACGGCCGCGAACAGCGCCTCGGCGCGCGCCACCGCCGACGCAAAGTCGCCCGCGCGCGCCAGCGTCAGCACCTCGTCCTTCAGGCCCCGGATCGCCTCCCGCGCCGTGTCAGATGCGTTGCGCGTCGCTGCATCGGCCGCGCACAGCGTGCATGTGCACTTGAATCCCCACACGTTGAGCAGCGTGTCTTGCCGCTCGGCGTGCGTGAGGCTTGCGTCGGAGTCTATAACGGGTTCGTGGTTGGTTAGTGAGTAAGCGCAGTGTTGGGATGAAAGGGTCGACTTACAGCTGATGGTGATCTCTTCGCCAGGCTCGATGTCACGAGTCGACCACACCGTGATCGAGAGCGTGGACTCGGAGAAGAAGATCAAGGCGCTGGTCCATGTCAGCTGTTTGCCCATGTCTCATTTGTTCATCGCTGGAGGCATAACAGCTTCTCTTTCCTTACTTTGGGTTGCAGGCATGGTTGACCCTCTACGCCACAATCTACTTGTTAGCTAAAGTGTCGAGCTCAGATATCGATATCATTACTCCAAGCCTCCGCCTTAGATCGGATGATACCAGAATTCCTGTAAAGGAATTTAAGAACACTCACCGCCAAGTCGGGAAACAAGGCCATGTACGACTCGTCGCCAACAGTCACGGCAAACGAGTTGGTGAGCAACAAATCCTCCTCGACAGACATACTCTCATCACCGCGGCCCTCGCCCTTGCGGGCCAGCGCGTACAGCTTATCCGGGTCGCGCAGCTGTGTGATACCGCGGCGGAGCAGGTCCTGCACCTCCTCGCGCATCAGGTCGGCCGGGTACTCATCCGCGGCGAGGATCGCGGCGTGGTCGACGAGCACCACACGGCCCTGCTCGATGCGGCGCGTGGCGATGGCGCCCTTACCCTTGCCCGGCACGTCGCGCACCTCGAACGGCGGGTCGTCGAAGCTGCCGCCAGCCAGCTTCTGCAGCGTCTCGTTGTGGCCGCGCGTGGTCGGCGCGCGGCTGAGAAAGTCGACGTCGTGCGCGAACAGGCTGACTGCCGCCGGCGACGCCGCGAGCTCGGGCGTCGTGATGATGCTCAGCCCGTTGCCCCCCTTGCGGCTTGGCAGCGCCGCGTTGGTGAAGACGCAGTAGGGGCCGTCGGCCGCGTCGATGCAGTACGGCCGGTGTGTCCATGGCGCCCACGCCCCCGGGTCGGACGCGCTGGCGTGCTCGTCGAGACACGCGGGCTGCCGCTGCTGCAGAGGCGACTGTGGTATGCCCCAGCCGCACTGCTCTGCTGACAATACGGTGTGTGCGAGGGAGAGCGAGGCCGCAAGTGCGGCTGCGATGCTTGTATGGAGAGTAGGTTTCCGCGTCATGGTGGCTGTGATGGTGAAGTGCTGTGAACTTATGACACTCACATGGTAAATGAGCCTGACTATCGCCAAGGCAGACCTCAAGCACCTTCAATTAGACACGTTGTGTGTAAATTGACAGATTGCAATGCTGGGCTGGGCCAGCCATTTAGCCGCGAAAGCGGTGCGTTGGACTCTTGTTTCAACAGATCGCCTTTTAGGGTGTACAGGGTGCCATTCAGCATTTCACTGGCAGTTCAGGGAGCATTTATCCGCACAATCTTTACTATAAAGGTGATCTGGCGCTCTTTGTGCAAACTGACTCCTTGGTGTTGTCTGTACACTGCAGCACATAAAAGGATAAGCCTTGTGTTCTCATCAGGGGGCACTTGATCTACAAGCCTTTGAATATTAGTCTACTCACCTGATTCCTTGCATGTACTCTCCTTGGCCATCTTGGCTTGAAGCATGGCGGTAATTGATAGCTTCACGCAACAGCCATGTGTATCTGCATGCCCTTTTCCGTCTCCTACCGCACAGAAACACCAGGGCAACGAAGAAAATGGGCCCCTCGGACAAACCCACTGTTTAGCCGTCTGCTTCCATAGTTCCTTTCCCTTTGGTGGCAATCAGCACGGCCGGCCCGTTACTGGGCGCGAGGACCATGAAGTTCATGCACGTCGGCACGACCAGCGTGCCAGAGTCGCGCGGCCCGTACTGGTCCCGGAGGCGAGGAAGCAGGTCCGCTATATGGGCTGCCTCGCCAAAGTCTTTCCTTGGGGTCTAGAGCAGGACGTCTTGGATTTCATTGACGGTCGCCGCGTCACATTTGAGCAGGCTCCGAGTTACTTCTCGCAGCGTCTCATCACACCACTCCTTGATGTCTCAGAGCACGAATAGCTTCAGTATGGGGAGCTTGAAGAGAGGCTGGATTTCAGACAAGGGCTTGAACCCGGCAAGCACTTCAAATTTTGTAAGGGCAACGGCAATTTCAGGCTTGTGGTTGGGGTCCGTGAAGTTGTCGGGGTCTTTCTCGTGGAGTTCAGCAACCATGTCTTTGTTGAGGTAAATTTGAAGGGGAAGAGCCTTGGCTATAGACAGTATCTAATCGCAGTCAGTTACCAATGTATCTACCAAGCTGGGATCGGACTTGACTATAAGCTCTATACAATTAACTCTAGAACTAATGCATGCTCACTTTGGGTAGAAATGGGAGCTGACTCCCGAATTGCTCAATCGTCTTTGCGCCAATCAACCTGTCCTCGTCTTGTTGAGGGTGCCGACAAGCCGAAAAACACAGTCTGTCATGATGGGCAGATAATTAAGGTGGCCGCAAAATGGTATGCAAGTCTCGCTCGGGTATGTGGCTTTAAATGCAGAAGCTCGGATGACGCGACGGAAAGAGCTCGAATTACATGAGACGCATTTAAGTCTAGTACTGTATTTGTTGCACGCTGAAATGGTGTCGTCACTGATTCTCGCAGTGGGGCGCCAAGGCTTGACAGTTGTGCCTGTGCCGCCCAACAAACCATCGCAACCGTTGCAGCAAGGCAACTTCAGCTGCTACCAGCTGGTGGCATCAATGCAAGGCCGCTCAGGGAGCGCTGGTCGCCATCCACGCCATATCATAACGCCATCATGATAAGGGGGTACACGTGCAAAAGGGTGTACACGTGCAAGGAAAAAGCAGAGCTTGCTTCCTTGCTTCCGGAAACGACAAGGAGATAAAGATTACCGAGAGGCCGTGGAAGCGACGACTTATTGTATGAACATAAGTGGATACAGGGACCCACCTACTTCATCGCGATCCCGGATTTTAGGGAAGCTACAGGGCGGGTTGCGTCACAGCGCTAAGGTCCAGAGGCGATGGCCTGCCAAACCGACGCCATTGATGTCATAGGTCTTGGTTTGCAGCACTTAGCGTCCGTGCTGCCTGCGCGCTACTAATTAGATCAGACGAATGTTCCCAACGACCTTTTAAGTCTCGACGGCTCCAACCTTCTTTGACATCATTGTGGATTTGACATTATTGTGGACATGCGACCCGATCCAACGCACTGGTAAAGCTCGCCAAACCTTGTCTCTGCACAGTGAACGAGCGGAACATGAACGGCGATACTAGTGCCCGGCAGACGCCACCAACGGCGCCAGTGGTCGAGGTTGATAGAGAACGGAATGCTGCAACGGGAGACGCCGGGCCGGGGACGGGAATCAAGGACCTTTTGCCGCTTCCAGCAATCCATCCTGCAGAAGAGTCGGCCGGCACGACCAAAGAGAGCGTCGCTAATGCCCCTACTCTTTCGCATGCGCTTGCTACCGACGATCATGAGTTGAAGGGCGTCGCGCAGCAGGACCACGCCGACGAGGTGCGCGACCTGGGGTGGAACGAGACCAAGCAAAACATTGCCGCGCCTTTGGTCGGCGGCCTGAATAATGAAGAACTCTGGCTGCTTGTTCGGCGATTTAACAAGGTTAGCACCGACACAGGGCTGTTGATGCGTTGACTTGGTACCTACCCAGGTAAACTAACAGCGATTGTCACTAGCAAATATACCACCTCAAAGCCGTCACCAATGCGCCCCCCGGCGGCCTGGATCTCGTGGAGGTCGAGTTCAGCCCAGATAAGATGAGGTCTATAGTGGAGCGCCTCTACATGACGGTTGGAGTTGACCTGTTGGCTGGTTACAAACACATCGCCCGTTTGCGGTCGTGGCGCGAGACCCGGCGCACTTCTTACTTCGCCGCCACATACTTTGTCGCATGGCTTTTTGACTTTCTCGTGCCGCTCTTCACGGCTGTGCTGATTGCCCTTGTCGCATACCAGCCGTCTCGACACATCCTATTCCCCCCGGCCCCCCTCGCGCTCGTCGACACCAGCACGGGCGGAGTGCAAAAGCCTAAGGCTGGTGTGCTTGGTAGCCACGATAGCGTTACTGGCGCCCCTGAGAACCACAAGGGAGAGGCTGTCGAGCAAGAGGCTAGCAATTTCTTCAACGGCGTTGCGACAGTTGCTCTGAATGGTGCCGCCGGGAAATATCCCGCGGGCGACCCCAAGGCCGCCGAGAACGAGCAGGGAGGGACTGATTCGACACCTGATCCGACCGGTCTCGCTAGAAGCGCGGCCGGCGCAAAAGACAAGTCTACTGGATCCAAGACGGGCAACAAACATGACAATACCAAGGTTCCGATGGAAAAGGCCATGTGGGACAAGATGGAAACCATCATGCACTCCCTGAACGATGTCGCCGACACGTGGGAACGGTTTGCCAAGTATGTCATCAGGGCCCAAGGAACACATATACATGCCTGCTCCGACTGCACAAAAATGACACTAGCTGACGCTCTCGATGTAGTGCGCTATCTCCAACTCGCCCGTTTCCCCGCGAGACATCGCGACTCCGTCTTGCGACGCTCGTCATCCCCCTATTCGGCATATCGCTCTTTGTCACGTCGTACATTTTCATAAAAGGCGTTATGTTCGGCGTAGGGCTCGGCTTCTTTGGCGATCCTGTTATTTCGCGAGGTCTTGACTGGCTTAACAGAACAATCCCAGACTGGCAAAAGATCCTTGAGCTCCGGAAGTAAGTCGCCAAAGGCTATTAATTTTTACCAGCGCTACATTGTGGATTTTATGCTCACACGCAAATAGCACCATACTCAAGGGTGTTCCAACCAATGCCCAGCTCGCTCTCACGCTCCTCCGCCTCGGCGAGGCCAACAAAGCCCCCATCCCCCCGCCACCTCGTATTGATGAGGCGCCGCCGAGGGAGCCTGCTAAACTGACCGACGAACAACTACGCTCGGCAGCTGCAGAGCCGCCACTAGGCGCCAATAGTGCTGAAATCAACGAAGCCATCCAGAACGACCCTGCGAAGGCGCGTGAGACAGGATCAAGCACTGACGTTGGCGAAGATGCCAAGCACGGAAGTAAGGGCAACCGAATCCTCAGCTTCTTCCGGGGCACGACCAAATGGTTTGTCAAGACGGCCATCGGCACCGACAAAGTACGCGCCAAGATTGGCAGCCACCACGCCAGGGACCGCCTGGGCGCAGTGCCACCGGTCAACAACGTGGCTATCAGCGGGCCGGTAGACTTCAATGCCAGATACAACGGCAAGAAGGGCCACGTCTATCTCACGACGTCGTCGACCATTCCCGCCATAGGCTTCAGTACCAAGGAGACGCGCGAGCAGATTGGCAATGCCCTCCGCGAAGACCTGCACCCTATCTGGAGTGTAGCCATTGCAGATATCGTTGAGCTGAAGAAAGTGGGCGGTTATGGGTGGAAAGCGAGGCTAGTGGTCGGCTGGTCGCTCGAGAGGGAAGTCGCCGACGGCCTGGAGATCAAGACGGCAACCGGCGAGGTCCACAAGGTCACGGCCCTGCCTCTGCGTGACGAGCTATTCAACCGGCTGATTGCCATTGGGGGCCAGAAGTGGGAGGCTTGGTGATGTCACCCGATGTTTATGGGGACTGATTTGCGGATGAATAGGAAGCCTGAAATTATCTTGTTGGGGCCTAGGTATACTATCATACATGGTAGCCAGGAGTACTGTATTGTAATCTCTTACCACCCGATTTTGCGGAGTTTTCGGCGTTGCTTTTGGTACGGGAGACTGGGGTTACGTATGAATAAGAGGGCATGAGACTAAGAATATATAGTGTATTAATGCCTGGTATATTATTTTGTTTTCTTTAGTTTCACCGACACTTGACAACAACCGTGGTCAGTGATCGGCTTAGCAACAAAACCGTCATTCCCCTTCTTAGAGCCATGCCCGCGTCGACCTTGACAAACTTTTTCGTGTTATCGGTAACCCACGTGTCGGCCTCACAGGACGTGATACTCTGTGCCGCCGGAACGGCCACGGGCACGTCCGCGGTAAAATCTTGGTCCCCGTTATTAACAACTTGCACGACGATACTGCTATCTCTGTTCGTGTACGCGCTGGCCAGGATATTGATATCAGTAGCATCTACCGCGCCTGGACCACTGCCTTCTATACTTTCTACCTCGACGCGGACCCGCCTCGCGCCAGGCCGAATAAACCGGCTGAAGTGTGCCGACGCCCAGTACGTCGACCCAATAGTATAGTACGGAGCAGTGCTATTGTCCGCTGCTATCGTGCCGTTGCTCCCGCCGTCGTCAGGCCCCCACATGTTGTCGTACGTGACGTTGGCGCCGCGCTTCGGCGCCCGGATGAGCGGGGCCTCGGCAGCGGCCTGGCCGACGCCTATCCAGTAGATGTACGCACTGGCATTGCCGACGGCAAAGGCCTCGTGCAGGCCCACGGCCCACGTGAGCCCCTCGTTCTCGGACCCGTTGCGGAACCACGTCTGCGTCATGCCCAGCCGCTGCATGATGGGCGAGATCTCCGTCACCCACACGCGCGCCGTGGTGTTGAGCGGCCCGTCGGGCCCTGCAGGTGCCCCCTTATACGTGTGCGTCGTGACCACCGAGATCAGGTCCGCCGCCCCCGCGTCCTGCATCTCCGCGAGCAACGTTCGCGCCATCGACCACCCCTGCGCGTCGCAGCACGCGATCTGCACCCCCGACAGCCCCAACCCGCCAAGCGACACGCTCAGCGCCTCGGCTACCTCGACTGCTTGGTATCCGTCTGACTGCATGGTGGCGTACGGTTTGCTGTAGTATTGGGGTGGTTAGTCGTTGTTGTTGACTGTGGAATTCAGGGGTAAAAATGGGGAGCTGGTTCCGAGCCAGGGGTAAAAAAGCCCAACAACAACAACAACAACAACACAACAAACCGAGAAAGGGGCTCACATCAAATTCGGCTCGTTGAGAAACCCCAAATACGACACTGGAATCCCCGCCCCAATGTACGCCTGCACATAGCGCGCGAGATACTCCGCGTACGCCTGGACCCAGCTAGCGCCGGCACACAGCGTGCCGTCGGCGCTGCCCTCGCCGCGAACGCCGCACAGCCAGCCGCCCTGGTCGTCGCGGCCGTTGGTCTTCATGTACCCCGGGGCGCTCCACGCGTCAGCATAGAACGTCACGACGCCGTACCGGTCCGCCGCCTGCTGCGCGACCCACACCTGTCCGCTGTCGTTCCCGTCCCACGCGAACCCCGCCTCCGGGCCCGCCGCCGGCTGCGGGCTGTTCATGTGGTCGCCGCGGCTGTCGGGCGAGCTGCCCAGCCCCAACCGCAGCATGCTGAACCCGGCGCCGGTGGTGGCGTTGAACAGCAGGTCCAGCACCGCTGCCTGCGGCGCCGCCGGCAGGTTGCTGATCGCGTGTGCCCGCTGGAACGCCTCGCAGAACCCGAAGCCGTCGATTGTCTGGTACGCGGTGGCCGCGTCGACGGCGAGGGAGATGTGTGCTTGCGTTAGTGCCACGGCGTCGCTGGCGGCGAGCGCAGCTGCCACAACTGCCAGCGATAGAGCTTTGGGTGCATTCTGGAGCGCCGGGAAACGCATGGCTGCTCTGACGATTTTGGGTAAGGTGGGTGCCGGTGAAACGCGCAAGACAGCACACAGACTGGATGTGTTTTACGGGTAGGCAGCTGATGTCGTTGTCTCTGGGAGCCAGCACGCTCATCTTGCCAGGTCGGGGGCACGCGGTCAAGCGGGAACGGCTCGCGGCGGCTGAATTCACCGATGCACATCTAATATCGTCGGGGCCCGGGGGTGTGGGAATTAGCCGTGCTTTGCAGTTAAATACCGCGATCTAGTACCGGAACTAATTATTTCTAGGCACGCAGAGCCCCCGTGTGGCGACGTCTGTTGCTCGCGATGGCTCTAGGTTTGTTTGGGTTGTATAGAGTTTGCATATATCAAGGCCAGCTGCAATGCACCTAACTAGGCTTCGGAAAGGACATCTTTAAAAACACAAGACGAGTTTCTCCCTAGTAGGTGGAACTAGCTACCTTACGTAGATGCCGCGAATGGTTACGACAAAAAGCCCCGTCAGCTAGCAATGGTTAGGCAAGGGGGAATGACGGCCATGATAACCCCCCCTTCCACTTATTATTTGCCAGTCTTGAACCTTCAGCTCAATTAGCCCAGATGGACCACGCTCGCAGACATCCTCCCTCCTGAGGTATCACTGCCAGTAACTACCACCCCTGAGTCTAGACATTGAATCCAACTGCACCTCTTCAAACAGCCCGCCCTCCCCCAACTTACACTGGACGCGTAGCTCCCTTAAAAGTAGTACATGAACCAGTAGTACGGAGGATCGGGTTCTACGTAGAGCGTGCACCAAGGAATAAGCGGTTAGGGGAAGCTCGTCTTGGAGGTCATGTTGGGGTATTTGTCAAACAGACTGCTGATGGTGTCGGTGGTTGTCGTCGTCGTCGTTGTCGTTATCGTAGACGACGACGGCGCGGCTTGCGCTGTCTTGGACGACGACTTGCGGCCGAACAGGGTTGGCCGCTTCTTGGCCTCTGTTGTCGTGTTGTCTTTAAGCAGTGGAGCTTCTGAGCCTGCGAGAGAGGCCACGTCAGCGTCTTTGCTGTTGGTGTTGGACATGTTGGACTTGGCTGTGAGGATGAGTTATGGTAGATAGTGAGATTTCTGTGGTGGGGATTGTTGTCCTCGGTGATTTTAGTGTGAATTAAGTGTTTTGAGGGAAAAGGTGATGTAAAGCTTGGTGAAAAAGTAGTCTAGAGGGTTGAATTGAGTTTTTATATCCATTTACTGACCCTGCAGAGTCACAATCCCGAGTTTTTCCGTTGGTCAGCAACGCCCAAGTAACGGGAATTGTGGAGCAACGTCTCAAGTCCGTTTGGAAAACGCTTGGAAGCGTCAGCATGCCACGGATTTACCCATCCCTCAAGCTTCTAGTTGCCACAGTGTTTAACAGACAGAACGATGTGGCCACCTCTCAGGCGATTGTGGGCTCATTACTTGGATTGTTGATCAGGCCAATTTTTTACCTATCTATGAAGTGACTTTTGGCTTCTAAATCTTGTATAATTCCCTCGTAATAGTCCGACTCTATTGCATAACTTAGCCAAGATCAATAATCCCATGTGGTTGTTTCTATCTTCGTACACTAAATATCAGTTTCAGCTCGTGCCTCGTAATCATGGCAGGCCAGACAGAACCTTAAGATCACTATTTCTTCTCAGTTGGTGGGTTACAAAATGGAAACAGAGTAAGGAAGTCGTGATTGTGAGCTTTGTTGTTCACTTCTACAGCTAAGGCCCTCTACAATAAGATAACACTACAATTGGTTACCAATCATTCTATCGGAACATGCGCCATCATCATTGGCCAAACACACGGCTCAGGCAAACATGAACGCACAAGCAACCCCCAAGAAGCCCGCAAGAAGAGCCCGCTGCACTCCGGTGGTTCGCAGAGCGCCGCTAGTGCCAATCTCGCCATCTGTCTCCCAGCAATTGAAGTTGACATAGCTGACCCAGGCGTCCTCGGTGTCGTACGACCACAGCTCCCAGTCGGGCGCGGCACGGCCGTGGCCCCACCAGAACTCGGTGTGGTCCTGCGGCTCGGCCCGGCCCAGCTTGAAGTACTTGGGCAGGATCTTGAGCGACCACTCGGCCTGCCCGGCGGCGACGCTCATCACGGCCACCTGGTCCCAGACCAGGTGGTCGACGGAGCCGATCAGGTCGCATTCCTCGCTGTACAGGCTGGCCCGCCGCGTGCCGTCGTCCTGGTCCGAGAGCTCGAGCACCAGCTTGCACGTGCCGTCGCTGGCCGGCGGGCAGGGGCCTGCGGGAGTCGACTTGGCTGCGTCTCGAGGGAGTTGGGCGGCGCTGGCGGTGCTTGCAAGGAGAATAGTAAAGAATTGCTTGAGGTTGGCCATCGTCTACGATTTTGGTGACGACCTCGAATGTGGTGACTAAGGGGAAAGCGCGGCGTGAGATGTCGAGAGCAATACGTTGCCTAGGTAAAGTTTGGCAATACAGTAGAAAGTACGCAGCTTCAAAACTACTGGCACATTCCCTTCGAGCGTTGACAGTTTGACAGTTCGACAACTGTTTGAAAGACATCGGGGTTCATTGGTGTTTTATAACAACCGTGGCTTGCAACGACGTACGTGTGAAACAGGGCTATGCTAGGATGCCGGTTGCACTGAAAACAACAGCCTTTGAAACTGCCCACTATCATGTGCTTTGGCCTGAACGGAAAGCATGCTATTCGGGCTCTAACCCCTCTGTGCTTTGTTTGTTGGAACTCAAACAGTGCTCCAATTTCCAATATATCGAAGTGGTTCGTTTGTTTCCTCAAAATCGGTGATGGGGGCATGTTTGTGGAATCGAATTGAACGGATTGTTTTAGCTGGGGAACATTGTACAACATGATGCAGAGCAGGTTCGATGCTGTCTGGCGTGCTGTGCGTCCGTCCCTCGTCTTACCAGCGCACATCGCAGTCCCTCCGGGCTTCTCATTGCTGGCAGCGATTGTATCGGAAGACCATTTTGGCTGGGCCACTGGCGCTCCACCACCACCCACCAATCGGTCGTGGTTTTTGGTCATCTCCCTGATGATATTCTCCCCGATGATATCCAAAGAAGAGCACATCCACCGTCACTTGCAGGCTGGGGATGCCATATACATCCTGGCATTGTCGGGCAACGGGGCGCGCAGGCTTGGCAGAAATGCATGGCGCGAATGGGAAGCTGTTCGCGTAAGGGGAGAAATGGCAAATAAGAACATGCCAACAAGAACATGGAGATCTCACGTCCCAGGCTGCGTCTTATTCCACGCCTCCCAGAACTGGCTGGCGTAGTTGGGTATGTATTTGACCGTGTCTGGGGGCTGGCTGCGCCATTTAATCCTATCGCCTCGGGCCTAGTCAGGCGGGCCGCGAGCCTAGGTCGACGTGTACCCCTTGGCGTCTTTGATCTGCTGGGCGCGCTCGTCCGAGTACTCGAGGTTGACGGCGGGGACAACGGCTATCTTGCCATAGCCATGGAACCACATGTCCTTGCTGAACAGCTGCGGCTCGCCGCCGAAGCACTCGCCGTCGCGCGCGCGGCGGAACGGCACGGGTCCTTTCCCGGCATCACCACCATGGTCATCATCATCACCATCGCCCATCGTCATCAACGGCGCCGCGGCAAACGCCACGGCGCCGTTCCAACACGAAAACACCTGGAACGGCTGGCGGGCGGCGAAGCGCGCCGCCGCGGCCGCGTCGTTCCAGAACAGGTTCCACGCCGAGTCCCAGTTCCCGTCGGCCGGGATCTCGAAGAACGAATCGCCCGTCATGCCGCGCGCCACCCACACGTCGTAGAAGGTCGGGTCCCGGCCAGCGTACGTCCAGTCCATGGCGCACTTCATGTCAGCGCCCTAGAACTAGCGCTGGTGGATTAGTTTCAGGATGTCCTCGGCGCAGATGGCCACGTCGTTGAGGAATACGACGGTCGTATCCGCGGCCGAGAATCTCGCCGACTCCGCCTTGCCGACGAGCGGCTGCACGGCTAGGTTGCGTAGCTCAGCTAGCCTGGCGATGCGATCTCCTTCCTGCGGGTTGATGGCGCTCGACCGGTAGTAGTACGTGGTCTTGAGGGCCTCGAGCTCTGGCCGCAAGGCCGCCAAGACTTCGGCCGTGCCGTCGTCCGAGTTCCCTTCGGTTATGGACAAGGCGCAGGCCTGGGGACCGAGCAAGCGGATGGCTTCGATAGCGCTGCCGATGAGGCGCGGAAGTTTGGGCAGGCATTGCCGAAGGTCCAAGGCAAAGAAATATTGCACTGCTGGCGATTCGCCCTCCTCTTTCCTTATCAGATGTTGGTAGCGCGACACGTCTGGTTTGGGGCAGCGTAGCCGAGGCAGCTCCGTCGCTTCCGGAACCATGATGGCGTTGATATAGGCCGAACGGCTTTCGCTTGATAGGCGCCCTGGGATCCATATCGCGTTAGTCAGGTTCACGCTGAGGGTAGGTGTCGAGTTGTGGGAGAGTAAGGTGAGCGGGTGATCCCATGAAACAATACCTTTGTCTGGTTGTGCAGATGGGGCAGGGGGGCTCGTTGTACTTGTAGGAGGCGGTGAGAAGCCTGGAGATGGGGATGGGGATGGGGATGGAGATGGGGATTTGGGGTTAAAATTTATTCCGTCCGAAAAACCGGTCCGAAGGAATGGCGGCCGGCCCCGAACAAAGTGGGAGAAACTGAGGTAGAACCCCGTCGCGACGGCCAAGAAAACCCAGGTAGCGGGGGAGGCAATTTTTCGTCGCATTTTCGCATCTCGCGGCAGAGTGACCGGCGAGGCTTGGAAATGGAGGTTTGGAAATGGAATGGGTGAGGGTCGGAGAAGTGGTTGCGCGTCGGGGCGGCAAGCAGCAGCGCAAGTGATCAAAAGAAGAAGAGAAAAAAGGGAGAGAGACAATCGCCATTGCGAAAAGGAGGTAAGTGGGAGAATTGATGGGAAAAGTGGCTGTATTGGACCGTGGCCAGTCAGTCTTGCGATCTGCCTGCCGAGAGCGGCACTGCATTCAATCGATGCATCGGTATGGCTTCATTTCTTCATTGTTTACTTCGTCGCGTAGTACTAACCAGCGATAGAAATGGCCGCCCTTAAAGATCTGGGCGATCTTAGCGACTTTGGCGATCTCAGCGATGCGCCCGATCCGGCGCCGCCGGTACCACCACCCCTCTCGAACCCACCTGCCGGCCATAAGCTTTTGATCACGAAATATGACAGCCTCGATGATCTTATCGACGATTTGAACGAATGGACCGCTTCTACGAGCTTCAATACGTTCAAAATACGAGCCTCCAACTACGCCAAGGACTTCGGCGCAACCAGGGTCGATTTTGGCTGTCAACGTGGAAGAATCCAACAATCCAGGGCAACAGTGAACAAAACCACCACCGATCACAGAGGCTGTGTTTGGCAGGGCGTAGCCAAAGCCCTCGTTTCTAACGATAGGAAATGGACCTTTGAGCTTCATCCCGAGCATACAGAGGATACAAATCATCTACCGAGCGACCGGGACTTCAACCTTCTGAGGTCCAAAGTCGTTTTCGGTCCAGAGCATAAAGCAGTCATCGCCGAATACATCGACCGCCCAGCTGTCCTCAATAGGGAGGTTGCCAAAGACTCGCGTAGGGCCTTTCCGGACCTTATTTTCACACGCGGCCAGCTACGAAAATGCCGTTTTCGTCTTCGAAAGCTTGCCCTGAAAGGATATACACCACTCCAGGCCACGATGAAGTTGCTTGACGATGCCGGCATATACTACAAAGTTCGTTGGTCTACCGACAACCCTGACAAGCCACGCGGACTTTTTTGGGCCCCTAAGTGGTGTGAGGAGCAGTGGAAACGCTTCCCTCGGGTCCAGTTGTACGATAACACGTACAATTCAACAGAGCTTGAATATGGTGGAGGGCATGAAGGAAGCCTGTAATGAAGAGACTCGTAACCAACAAAACCGCATTCGCTTCGATTACCTAGGAAAGCAGTGGCTAGGTGAGGCTCCTTCGCTAAGATCGCCCAGATCTTCAAGGTCGGCCATTTCGAACGCTCCGCGGGTCCCGACCACTCAGCCGGGCAGGCAGTCCGGGCTTATGCCTTCCATTCGGCGGAATCCCTCACAGTGGGAGGGCGCCCCCCTTGACGATGACGACGACGATGTTGACTACGACGACGTTGACGAGCTTAGCCAGCCGCCTCCCCGCCGTACCGTCAACAACTTTGACTCGGCTCGCCGTGGCACCCGGGGTTCAGGGAGCAGGGGAGGCCGGGGCGGCACAACAACATCACGAGCTTCACGTGGCCCTGCAGCCTCTGCAGTGGCTGAAGGTCGTATTGTACGGCCTACACGAAGTGGAAGGGTCCCGCAGCCGACTGCCCGGGCCTTAGAAGGCATGGATCAGTAAGGCTGTCAGTTGCATGCAGTTGTGAGTAGTGTAAGCAGGCCTGTAGTCTTTTATTGCATTTTTGGCCCTATTACGTAAGCGAATTCAACGAAGTCAGCTTCGCATTTTACTGGAGATTTGAACGATTTGAGCGAATGTACGGTCCTGAGCTTCAATTACCGCATTTGGAAGTGTGTTGACGTTGGCGACGGCGGCGAGGTGCAATTGCGGTACAATTGCGTTGCAAGCGCTTGGAGCCGGGAAGCCAGCGTATGTGGTAATTTTGACTGTAAATTGTGGTATTTTCATGGGCGGTGAGCTATAACGCTTGGGCGCCTATGTACCTACAGTATATGGAGACGTTTTAACAGTCGGAGGAGACGCACTCTTAATTTGATACGCAAATGATGCGAATAGCCTCAATTGCGGAAGCAAAAGGAGCTCATAACCTATGCGAGGGCACGTAGGGAATGCATGTGTGTGATTTCTTTCTATGGAAGCTAAGCTATCTACGCGTGGGCGGAGAATCTATGTGCGGGGGATAGGCTAGATCTACGGGGGCCAACCAGTGCCCCGGGCTAGGCCTGGCCCTAGCACAATACGCACTTCGTGTAGTCGACTTCAAACCTCCATCGCTTCTCTGTCGCTGGAACCACCATTTCGAGCACATAACCTGTGTGCCTCGACTCCGGTAGAGACATTGCGGCGCTTGGACCAGACGACAAACGAACCGTTCCATTGTTGTCCAGGTTGAGCGATCCATAAGGCTCGGTTGTCGAGACATGCTGGGCCAAGGTACGGAAAATAACCTCCTTTTCCTTCATGAGCATGCTGCTGAAGTATGTCTGGCCGTCGATCTTGGATTCGAATCTCCAGGCCATGAGTGTGTAAGGTTCAACCTTCCCCTTGACCATGTCCCAGCTTGTGCTGATCTCAGCCCAGGCAAAAGAGTTCCAGTTGCGCTCGCGACCTCCAATTCCCTCCAGGATGAACGGCGTGCCACGGATGGTGAGATTGGCTTCAGCGACCCCGACGGGCACGTTTTCGACCCAGTAGGGGTAGGGCGCGAACCAGTTGTCGCCACGCGGGTGTGGGTAGACGAGTCCATTGGGGTAGACGGCGGGCGAGATGGCGTCCAGCGTGAACGTGCCTCGCACGGTGGCCGACTCAACCTTGACAAGCGTGCGTGAGCAGTCGTTCGTTGCCTCAAAGGTCCAGTTCATGCCGGACGTTCCGTTGTACCAGGTTCCCTTGGTCGCGTATTTGCAGGCCTGAATCGTCGAGACGTCCGCAAAAGTTAACTCGATGAATCTTGTTCCGTTTGGCCAGACAACCGCCAAGAACATCCGCTGAGCCAAGGCATGCCCGGCAACGGTGCCTCGACTGAAAGTGAATCCCATCCCGGACTGGCCGTCAGCGGACACCCCCTCGAACGACCAGTCTTCGCCCTTTGTCAGATTGAAGCCTTCGGTCATGGGCACACCGAAGGGAGTCCACGGACTGTCCTTCATATGAACCGTTCCGTTGACGTACGCACCAGCGGCGTGGGTATTGTTGGAGCAACAGTGTTGTATGCAACTAGTCGCAGCCGCAGTAGCCGCTACTACAAGAATTGAGAGAATGGAGGTCGAAGGTATATTGAGTAGGGTTGAAGTGCTGGGTCGACGAGGGAACAAGATCAAACTAGGTTGAGATGCAGCGTGAGTGGTGAGAATTCGGGAACGACGAAGGTAGTGAAGCCTCTTCATATATAGGAACGATGCGTATAGTAGGTCACAGAGGTCGCCATCTTGGTGGCTCAGAGGCTGCGTATGCTGTTCTTCGCTAGTTACTTAGTCTGGAATGATGCGAACAGGATGGGAGGGGGCCACACTATGACTTATTCAGACGCTGTCGAATATTTCCTTTACGGGAAATACACGGCATTACGAGCTACTAGGTCCTTGGTAATTCCGCCGAAGGCATGGGGATCGGAGTTGCGATTTCTTGCTTAAGAAATGGCGAAGTGCCAGTGGGAGGATGCGTATCCCTGCAAATCGGCCTCGTAAGATCCCTCTTTGGGAAAGGCCCCATATCTGAGATCGGCCTGCTGCCTAATAAGGGGGCTTGCTTAAATAGTAGGGCTAACTCTCATGCTCTCCTGGGCCGCCACAATCGTCAATTACCGGATCCATCCATAAATCCCGCCAGAGACCAACTCGATTGACGGCTGCGACACCCCGTTCTGTTGTAGAGATAACAATTTGCTCCTTTGGGCAGTGCCGTCGACCATGCAGGAATCGAGGCCAGTGAACGAGTTGTGCCACAACTCTCCGAGAAAGCCGAGAAAGGCGCGAAAATCAAAAGGAAAGTCTCGGTTGGGCTGTTCGCTGTGCAAGAAACGGAGAGTCAAGGTACATCGGCGATTATGTTTGGCGGCCAGCAAACGATGACCACTGACCGCAAGCAGTGTGACGAGTTGCGCCCGGCGTGCTCGCGGTTTTCTGCTCACCCCCATCTTTGCGCCTATCCATCCGTCAGCGTGCCGAGATGGAATAATCAAGTTATCACCTTCCTCCTACCGACTATTCCCGAACGCCTGCCTCGATCGCAAGAACCAATGACCAGAGCAATACTCTCTCTCAGAGCGAACACGACAACGCCGCTACCGCCTCAAATGCTCAATCGGCAATGCACCAGAGTTATCTGTCTCTGGTGATGACAGAGTCTAGCAAAACTTTCGACACTCAAGACGTTTTTCTCTTGGTTCATTTCACGTCAACCACTAGCTTCGACCTGCTTGGAAGTCAAAAGCTCTGGGCTAAAGATGCAATGCAGCTCGCGTTCCAGGTATGAACTAGCTCGTATCGAATCGATAAAGACTTTTTTGCTGATACTAATCATTTGCTGCAGCACAATTTCCTCATGCACGCAATACTTGCTCTCTCAGCTCGTCACCTGCAAGAGGCGGCACCCCTCCTATCTCAGAAATGCCTATCTTATGACTATAGTATGCTCGAGGCACATCAGTTCTAGAGAGCTCTGTCAGGCTTTAGCAACGGGCTCAATAGCGGCACCTATTCAACTCAAGATGCAGGCCTCGCCACGTCATTCTTCTTTTTTTTTTTACGCCAGCGCAGCCTGCAATGCCGATCAACCCCCGGCACAGGCCTGCGAGGGCGCCTCTTTTACATTCCTTCGCGGCATTCAGACACTTGTCGCCAACAGCTCTTCTGTTGCCCATAGTGGCCTCTTTAAGACTTTGGTTGCGCCGCCCCTCTTGTTACCGACTCTCTTTCCACAAGCCGTCACGGTCGTCGGACCTGGTGCAACCCTGATGGGACTTCTTGACGGACTGGCTGCTAGCTCTCCCTTTCAAGAAAAAAGAGAGCTATATGTCGAGCGGATTGAGTCTCTCACATCATATCTCTCTGCAGCTACGAGGCAAGATATCGGGGCTGAGGTAGCCGAAGAATTGCTTTTGGCATGTTTTACATGGCAGGCATTTTGCCTAGCTGCGTTCGTCGCTGCGACCAACAAACAAGATCCGATTGCCTTGGCCTTCTTGGCGCACTATTATGCGGCAGTCGAATTAATCATACGTGTGGTTAAGAACAAGTTTTGGTGGTGGCAGAACAGACCAAGGCATATGGTAAAGCTGATTGGCCAATCCATCGACTTGGCATGGGTGGCTTGGGTTGCATGGCCAATGGAGGTCATTCAGATGTTGGGAAGGTAAATAGGACTAAGTTCTAGGGACGGAACTAGGGACCGTATTGCTTAAAGGAAGGAATATATCAAGGCTACGGCGAACGATATATACGAAGGTGATGCTCTAGACTAAGGATCCTATAGTGCAAGACGGCGGCTTCATCAACTCGTCGCCCAGCAGTCTTCGAGATTCCCCAGCTAGAAGCACAACGCTAGAAGAGCCCAAGATTTTGCTATTACGGTGAAATAACACTCTCGCAAATCTGCAGCCCATCCTCGCCGAACTAATCAGCGGCAGTGATGTAGTACACACCGCTTGAATGTGTGGGTCAACCGGTCTGTAAGGGCTGGACGCTCAGGGGTGTGACGCTCCAGGTGGAGTTTTGATGTGAACAGAGGGCAAGCTCCTGATACACGAGTAATGCAGTGAATAGAACTGCTACTCAAAGTGTATGAGTACAGTAAATGTATATGACTTGCTTGAAGAACCAAGCACGCTCAATGTAGGACCATAGTCATAGGCATTGAATTTATCTAAATTGAGTAGCTAATCACAGCTATCCTGAGCTCGAGGGTCAGTACCTCGAGAGCGGGTTCTACGGAACCCGCTGTGGAGATGTCTAGTCTTAGGTGGTACACTATTGGCTCCTCGTGCCCCTGCCAGCGTACTGGTCCAATCATGAAAAGCCCTAGGCCCGGTAGCTGTCTCTTTGCGCCTCGGGCCAGGCCCAATGGTTCAGCGACGCGGCTCCGCGCCATCCTTATACACCCCTTTTCCTGATTAGCTACTCAAGCACCGGGACTCACCGAGGTACAGTCGGGGATCGTAACATGATGCAAATACTGGTGTGCTACTACTACTTACAGTAACGCAGAATCAGCATTAGCAAGCCCTCAAAATTAACGTGTGCTGGCTAAGAGGAGAAAGATTTTAAGGCTAAGACGATTAGGGAAGATAAACAAGCTGGATAAGCTGCTCCGTCGGACTATGAAGGATATAGCACTTGATTTGACTATTTATATATGTGAGTTAAAAGTTCAGCTTTAAATATTATTATTTAAACTAAATATATAAACCTAATTATCCGCCGGGTATTGGCTTTTTCTTTCTTTTCGTGACCAACTTCAATCTATATATCGCAAATGCGACCCTAGATCTCGTAATGCGCACTGAGGCACCGTACCTGGCTAGCCACCCGGTCCCCTGGTGGTGTCCAGAGCGGCTTACAAAGAGTGGCATCATCGAGACGCAGGCCGGAAACTACAGACGGGGAGTTATTTTAGACAGACGTGCTACCAGTTGAGGGATGCATTGTCAAAATCCTGGACCTTCTTAAGCTCTTGTTAACCTAGTTTACTAGAGCTGTACCTAAATCCATAAGTGGCCGGCATTACACAATCTGGGACAAAGGGGCCATATCCAGTGTCACCCCACGACAGGCCAAGAATCTCAGCGAGCTGCTTCGCAACCTCGGTATCACAATTAAGCGTGTTCCCCATTAAGGCTTGGGCAGTATACATGGGATGGTAGCCTGAGCACGTCAAGAGAGTCGCAATGGTCTGGGATTCGAAAATTTAGCAGTGGGCGGTTTAATGGTTCAGGGGCCTATGTACTCACCTTGCTAGTATGGCCTGACGCGATGCTCAAGGGCCACAGCGCCGGGTTCACGGGCATGGCAGAGGCCAAGGCCATGCCGACAGCGTCCGCCGCGACTTTTTCGAACTTGGACACCCCGTCTCGCATTCTCTCAAGGTCACAACCTTCATCGCGCACCATCCTGTTCAGAAACCCCACAAACCAGGATAGCAACGACAAATCGCCCTGTGCCTCGGCATGTGTTGGCTCCTTGCATATGACGGCTAAGAGAGCAATGCTGGCGGCTACGGGGTAGCACAAGGCTCTCCTGGGGACCGAGGTTAATAAACGAGAATGATCAGAATGGCAGGAGTGTAGTACTTACCAGAGCTCTGTAAATGACTGAGTGGGGAATCGTGACATGGAGCGTATAGTGGCTCTGGCGGCTGCCCTCGAGACGCTTTTATGTCGACTTGTTCGTTTGTTGATGGAATCAATGTCACGAGGTGATTCAACTGGCAGCATTTCCGCAGTGGTGTGCCGCACAGAAACCCAACTCACCAAGGACAGGCTGTTGTAGTAGACCAAGTGTAGCATGGCGACGGACACGTCCATGGGCGACTCGTTGCTACTAGCACTTTCAAGTTGGTCAGAAAACCAGCGTGGACGAAACTCGAGTGGGACTCGAAGGCACCATGCCTCAACCTCTGACTCGAGGGCAAAGAGGTCTGGGAGTTTATGGGTGTTGAGCTGGACCACGGTTCCAATCCGTTGCTGGATTCTGGCGAGCTCGGCCCTGAGTCTGAAGACCATATTACGCTGACCCAACTCTATTGGCAGATCTGCCGTGACACCTTGTTCGGCGTGATGATGCACGGGTGGCAGTCCGGTGTTTATTGTCATCTCCATGTCGAGAACGAAGGTTGTCCAGAAAAGCCGGCTCTGATTTTCTCTTTCGTCTGGCGATGGGATGCGGTACGCTGCGGTCATGACACGAGGACTAGCCGATTGCTGCATGTGGACGGCCATGGATAACAGTCGCGACGTTGTTCGTGTGTCTGCCGACTGCCGCATAAACAAAGCCATGGCCATGACGGCTTGTGCTGCTCCGAGGCCATCTCCGTGGACGATGAGCTCTGGTAACATGGCGTAGGCGTTTCGAAAGAAACACCACGAATACACGGCGACCTCGCGAAAAGAGCTGTTGAGCGTCTTGAAGTGTACCGTGCTGGCGATGATGGCGTTCATGACGCCCTGCCACCCAGCGTCGGGGTTGTTGGCTGCATCTGGGTGCTTGATTCGGTCGACGAACCAGGGTGTGTGGAGGAACGGAAGCTCTGCGCACACTTCATTGAGAAACCGCTCCGCCACCCACAGCTCGGGCGTTTCAGCGGTCAAGGGCGAAAGGGCTGTCCTCTCGAGTCTTTTGGTGCATTCCTCTCCCTGCCAGAGGGTGAAACGCTGGGATATCTGGCGGTGGAAGGGAAACACCACATCACTGAGGACCGATAAAGGCCCAGCGTCGATATGGTCGATACGCGGCGGACCGGCGTGGGCAACTGACTGCGGCTCCTTCAGCGATCTCGGAACCGTATCATCGGATGACGAATCCTTTGTCGATTCGTGTCGAAACTTGGACTCCATCTTCGCCAAGCGCGCCTCGAGCGCCTCAATTCGCTGTTTGCTACGCAAGGTTAATTAATTCTCAAATTTCCAAATCTTCAAGAGCGGCATTAGATCTTGGTACCTTTTTCCTGGCCCGCGGATTTTCTGGGTGGCAGGGTAGGCACAAACATGGCCCCGATCAGAACAGGCGGAACAGGTGGGCGACTGCCCGTCGCACCGCATCTTTCCAGTCCGACATCGCGTGCATGCCTGCGAGATACTGTCAGAAAAGCGAGGTCCAATCCCAAACTGCTAGTAGAACTAATGAGACACTAACAATACTTGCCTTAGAGACGCGTTGCCCTCGTGTTCTTTTCGATAGTGGGCTCGGGGAATTGTTTGCCATTTTGGCCCCGGAAAGCCCGGCCAGGGATTGACGGCGAGAGATGATGAGATGAGTTTGTAATTATGGTGGAGTAAAAGCCCGAGCTGAACAGATGTGTGGAACTTGAGATGCGTGCTGTTTAAGACCGGAAGCAGAACGACGAATCTGCCGGTGGCAGGTGCTGGCTTACTGGTTTGACGGATCCAAATTCTTCAGGTGGAAACAGTAAGCGGGTCGTCATGACGGAATTTAACATATAATTAGCCGAGAAATGGCCAAGCGGGGTCGCAGTAGCCTGCCCAATGCTGTTAATAAGCAGCAAAGCAGACCGGCCCGGAACCAATCTGCATCCGGACAGGATTGTCTCGCTCCTTCGAGGCAATCAGCTGGATAAGCCATGACGTGTAAGTGAAGAAGGATATAGCATTACTGCCGACAAAAGCAGCCATAAAAACAACCATAAATTCCCTGACTCTTTTTTTTCTTTGCAGCAGAGAGACAGAGACAGCCACATCAACCCCTCAGAACCATACCAGGGTCAAATCCAAAGCCAAACGAACTACCAATTCAGATCATGGCAATCGTCGCAGTCGCAGGCGGTACCGGTAACGTGGGCCGCGCCGTTGTTGATGCAATTGTGGCCACCGGCAAGCATCAAGTCAAGGTCCTTGCCCGAAAGGTATTAACTACCGACCTTCCGTCCCAACGGCCACGTTAATTATCATAATTACGCTAATTATCTGACAATTAGTCTAATCCCGATCTTGAGGCAGAAATCGGCGTGCCCATTATCTCCGTCGACTATTCCGACGTCGACGCCCTCGTCAAAGTCCTCGAAGACAACAACATCGACACCGTGGTATCGGGAATCGCCATGCACAGCGCCGACGGAACTAGGCCAAACGAGGTCGAACTGATCCGAGCTGCCGATCTATCCAAAACCACCAAGCGACTGGTCTCGAGCGGGTGGGGCGTGCCTGTGGATGACGAGTAAGTGATTGGCTTTCTTCCCCCCCATGCCGATATGGTTGATGACTTACACAAGCTGTTTCGCAGACGCACCGGCACGATCACGTCGACACTGCACAAGATCAATGCCAAGAAAGAGTTGCAGAAGACCAAGAATCTCGAGCATACCGTCTTCCACGTCGGTTACTTTATGGACTACTGGGGCTTCCCTGGTGTCAAGTCCTACATGGCCCGAATGCCACTGGTGTTCTGGCTGGACATGGTCAACAACGCGGCCGCCATCCCCGGATCCGGTAACACGCCCGTCATTTTCACCCACACCTCCGATGTCGGCAAGTTTGTTGCTGCCAGCCTGGACCTCCCCAAATGGGAACCCGATACATTCGTCTACGGCGACAGAGTGACGTGGAATGAGTTTCTTCACTTGGCCGAGCAGGCTAAAGGTAATAGATCCCGCTTGTTGCCGGCAAATTTCTCCATGCATGCACGCATGCTGACACGGCACAGGAACCAAGTTCAACGTCGCCTACGACAACGAGGAGAAGCTCAAGCTGGGTCAGACGACTGAACTTCCCGGTCATGTGCCGCTGTACGCGTTCTTTCCCAAGCCAGCCCTGCATGGCATGGCCGCCGCTTTCGGTCTGTTGTTCGAGGGCGGTGTCTTTGACATGAAACCCGCAAGCTTCTTGAACGAGACTTTCCCGGAGCTCAAGCCGCTAGGGGTGAAGGAGATTCTGGACAAGTCGTGGAAGAAATAATTCTGAAAAGTAGACTAGATATATATTATATCCATGACGTATATACCTATGTTATTTGATCAAACTGCCGCTATAATTAGACGAGTCATTTTTGCATTTCTCTCGACGGATACTTTCTTGTTGGAAAGGGTGGTGAGGGTGGGCGGCGGGTTCATACAATCACCAGTACAGGAGTACACTCCCTCGTTGCAGCCCTGAACCAGATCGTGCGAAAAGCGGCAGGACACCAAGATCCCAAAATTCTATGCTCCCCCGAATGTCTTCTTCCATACCTGCCGACGTCCAACTGCCGGAATCTTCGAGATGTCATGGTGTCTACTAATACGTAAATAGAATTCTTCGCTGGTGTTCTCATTTTTGTTAATAGGGATGGAACTGTCTTGCTCTGGGGGCTCGGAAACGGATCCTCCCACTCATCTGCCTGATTATTAATCCTGCTCTGCTGTTAGAGTACTAATTCCGACATTTCAAATTACTCATGGCTACTATTCACCGTCGCCATTCGCTTCTTAATTACCGTGACACAGATTTCTACCTGCACGGCCGGGAGACGTTCACAGCCTTGACCCCCAACCACAACTCCCGCTAAAGACGCCCGCCCAACAACTAGTAAGTTCAGCCAGCCGCAACTGAGCATCAAAGCGCTAGCATACCAAGACGCAATTCGTTCTAACGTATCATTTCACAAACAGCAAAGCCAGCTAGCCAGCTAGCCGCAAAAACAGCAATCGCTAATTCAAGTCACAGAGACGTTGCTTAACATGGTTGCAAGCTCGTACGTCTTGCCGCCTGCAGCTGTCCCTGTTACGGATTGTTGGCTGGAGGAATTGCAGGCCACGTTTCAGCTGCCAAGAACATTAACCGCCAGCCACGAACCTGCAACCCCCTAGTGCAGATTAACCTGCAAGTGAAGAGTTCATTGCAGAGAGAGAGAGCGGTATCTCGTGAAAACGGGGTAGGGCTACACAGTGCTATGGAGATACTGGGAGTACAAGCTGCAGTGAGTCGGCACACTTTCAAGACTCTCCAATTAAAATTCATGAACCCTAGTTCTAGTCAATCTACACCTTGAGAACACTCCTCGTCCTTAAGCTAGATTCTGTAGTGAACTTTGGAACCTCTTTAGGGGCCCAGAAGAATCTGGCCTCGGACCCCCTATGGTTCTAATAGCACTGGTATATATCGATCCGAGGCTGGCTGAGATCAATCTTATTCTTGTGCGCGCCTCCCTTCCCCACTCAGTCGAGTAACTATCAAATCTTCGAGACAGCTGTTTGTCGTGATGCTCGAACCGATGTGATGTATGGGTGCTGCGGGCTTTTCCCGCCATCTCAATTTCTAGCGGTAGGACGGACTTGACGCTGCCGGGCTGGCGTCCTGATTTCTGTGGCCGAAGTGGTTCTGTTCTCCTTTGCGGAGAAGTTCATGACAGGATGTGGACGGTGACCTGGGTTGCCTGGTTACTTGTTTAGGCATAAAGGAAAGCAACTCCCAACGAGTATTTGCTGCTCTCCACCCCACATGTCATCCATCAACCAAGAGACCAGCCCTATTCCAGAACCTTCTTGCCCAATACTCATCAAGTATGCAAAACACCAGACCCTGAAGAATCCCGTCCACACTGCAGCTGCAATGACCGACTTTTTTTGTTTATGAGCAGCATGGAGTCAAACACTCAAGCAAAGATACTCTGGATGAACAAGAACCTGGAGAGTGCCTGGAAGGAGGATCAGGACAAGGATTACAGCTAGCTTCTCAGTGCTGAGAATATCCGTAGCCAAGCTCATGGCGCGGCCTCGGAGTGGTGTCAAGCTCTAATGGCCTGGCATCCCCCATCTCCACCGGCGGCGCCGATCCTGTGTATACATATTTGGCCGGCTCGCCTCCCGCGGACATGTACTCCGGCGTGCCCCTGCTATAAGCTGCAGCGTAAGTTCTTGTCCCCCCGTTCCCCGATGACCAATCCTGGCCGCGGCCGGCAGAGGACACGGAGTCCTCTTTCTGCCGCCGCCGCAAGAACCAGTATACCAGACCCCCTGCTAGCAATGCAGCTAGTGGGATACCGAGCCCGAGCCCGACTTTCAACCCTATGTTTGATCCCGACGCAGAGGTGTCTTTTAGTTCGCTGATGGGGATGGAGGTGGACGACGATGTTGAAGAGCTGCTAGCTGCCGTTGATGTGGCTGCCGTTGACGTGGCTGTAGAGCTTGATGTAGATGTCTGGGTTGTCGAAGAAGACGTTGATGTTGATGACAATTTCGAGGTGCTCGGCGTTTCCGTGAATCTTGCAGGTCCGGTCCCGTTAACAGGGGGATAGCTCGTCGTGGCTGCTGTCACACGACTGGAGACAATGTCGCCGCTTTCGTCGAGAAAGATGCCGCGACCGTTGGAGCAGCATCCCGGGTCGTTATTGCAGCAGAGGCTCCCGTTCTCGCATGGCGTCACGCGCGGGAATCTGCCTCCTCCTTGCTCTGTCTCGTCTAATATCAAGTTCAAAATGTGAGTCGCCGTCTGTATTAAATAGTTTTACCGGAATTGTGCTTCTGAGTTGGCAGGGGGGTTCGGAACTTTACTGTAGAGGCAGATCTCCCCACACATGCCATCCCATCCTTCCACAGCGCATGGCCCGCGAATCCATAAATCTGGGGGATCACCAACATTATGACAGAGCCTGTTCGATAGGCATGTCGCGGTAGCGCCGCAGCAAGCATTGGAGCCGGGGCATCGTGTGTTGTTTGTATACCCGCGGCCACTGATGCCGAAGCAGGTGATTTCGCCAGTCTGGGCGAAAGAAACCGCGAGATGGGCAACTCCGGCAAGTAAGACAGCCTTCCTAGCGGAGGACAGCAGAGGGCGGCCTGCCATCGGGCGTTTAGGACGTCGTTGAATGGATGACGAACTGAGCCTCAAGCCCCGCAGGACAAAACGCTGCACTGTGGCATGGAGCGAAAAGGATAATGATGAAAGAAGTAGTCAAAGGTAGTCGAGGAGCGGCGAAAATGTGCAAGCTTCCTGGAGCTCCCGTGGCTGGCCACCCGCGGTAAATCATGATTGACGGGGGCTACAACCTTGTGCACAGAACTGCTACTGTAACAAAAGGGGGAGAGCAGCGCCGCAAAGGAGGGAAGATTTGCAGTTGATCCTTGCCAAGCCCATCGGCGGATTGATTACCCAATGAACAGTCGCACTTGAAAGCACACTGAAACCGCGTCGGAATCTTGGTCCTCTTGGCCTTGGCGCGGCAGGGAATGGTCGTGAGACTCTGGTTTGGGGATGTGGGCGCGAGGCCCTTGCGACTACGTGGCCCATCAAGTAGGCACGTAAGTAGGCACGTGGCTCACGCCACCTCCCTACTTCTCCTGAAGTACGGTCATGAATGCCGCTATTCTAACAAAAACAAAAACCATAGACATTTATAGGCGTGCGAACGCAGGAAAATTTTATGAATCGGAAGAGAAAGTAATTAACAAGTATTATTATCCAGCCAGTATTTAGATCCTCTCTGTAGGCATCTACCCGACGATTATATTTTCAGTACGCGAGCGGACTTGAAGATTTCCAGGTATCACGGTCAAGTTGTGCTGACGTGGGTTTCCTGACGTAGGTAGCATGGGGCAACTTTGGCGCTATTCCGTCGTTGACGTTGGGCCCTTGGTGTGCCAGATTCAATTTCTCACATCACATATCCGGCTAAAAAAGCCTGCGAAGCTGTGCACGGCCGGTTCCCTGTAACCTCTCGCGCGAGACTTTGAGTGTTATGCGCAGCAGCCTTTTCGTTGTTTCGATTTTATTCGTGTAGAGAACGTGACCTAAGTTGCAGCTATTACTAATGCCCCCAGGGGAACGATTGTTCCAACTCTGTTAACTTTTGTCAAGTCACCTGAAGTCATCTTATCGAAGGAACTTGAACCTATGCTGTTGGTTGGAGCAGGGGAGACACTCATCAGTAGAATGCTACCGGTGTCGGTGATTAAAGTTGATGAGGTACGTGGGAAAGCTGTGAGGACCCTAGCCAGGAGTAGAATTAACTAAAGAATAGCTGATATGCCTATGAAATAAAGAAATATGTTTGTCTATAGGAAATATTCTAACAGTGAAATCTGACCAAGAATCTGGGACTTGCCGGGCAGCAGGCCTTTGATCCCGAACAGGAGGTACACTTCACGATCTTGTTGGTGTCAAAGACGAAGCAAGTGTCACCATTAGTCTCATTTCTAAGACTCACCTCGGCTCAGCGTGATGCTCAATACACCTCAGCTCCTGCTCAGGTTCTAAAGCTAATACGGATATGGTGAAAAAATGTTGTCGCGGTTAACTAACTATTGAGGAACTTATAATCTAATCCATGGATAATAGCGGGGAATTTCCAAGATTTATTTTAAAAGGTTTTAATTTCTTACTACTTGCTCTATAGGATTTCCGCTGATGGCTATCATCGCTATTATTATCTTTATTTTGGATTCCTAGAGGCCTATCTCTTTATAATACCCAATGGGTTTCCTAACCGTTTTATTTTAGGCTATAATATTTACTCTGCCCAAGTACGCTAATCAACATTTAGGTATTAGAGTATATATATGTACATTAACCATTGGGTGGGTACATGTAAGATACCCAGCAAGGCACTGTCAGGACCTATGACTCAATGCACTACAACTGTTGAAGCCATGCGCTCTCCGATGAAATCCCCTACCATTGTACCAACCCCGATTCGAGTGTAAACCCCACCCTCTGCTGTGGTGATGATCAGCAGATAGTGCGTCCTCTCCTTGACGGGCGTTTGCCGGTGACTGGGTACCCCTCTTCGTCCCAACGACAACGCATTTCCAGTCCTCCCACCCCTCGATAGCCACGCTCTCGCCCGCATCGAGAACGACCTCGAAATCGCCCCGGCCAGGATCGAGGAGTGGTCGAAGTGGTTGCTTTACGAACGGGTAGGCGACAGCACGCAACCCGTTCGCCGCCGCCTCTTCCTCTCTTCTCTCCCCCCCACGGTCTTCCAGGGGCTGTAGATCTGGTCCTCGCGCCAGTCGACCTCGCCGAGCGGCAGAGTCAGAAAGTCGATTACGCCGTCGTATGCGGCCCACGACCAGCTGGGTGGCCGAGCCCGACGGTTGGCCGCGGCGGCGTCCTAGTCGGGAGGAATGCGCTGCAGGGCCGCGACCCCCTCCCCGCGCCGCCACAGTAGCGTGCGCGGCAGCAGGCTGCGGCCGTCGTCGAAGATGCCGAACCCGCCGCGAGCGTTGAGATCGGTGAGCATGCGCCGCTCGAGCCCCGCGATGGCCACGGCGCGGTCGGTGATGCGGCTCAAGTCCAGGCGTGAGTACCGCTTGTAGATGTCTTCGTAGAAACGGATCTTCTCGCCGCGGTCGGTTAGGTTGCTGGAGAGTTTGGAGGGAAAGTGTGGGTTGCCCAAGAAGGAGGCGAGCTTGCTGAAACGCCATCCGTTAGTGTCTAATTAATACTAGCCAAGGGAAAGGCAGCAGCAGGTAAGTACACAGGGAAGCGAAAAGAACGGACGACTTACTCGTTTACCATGCTCAGCGTCTCACAACGCACTCCCTCGCCGCATTCCCAGTACGCCTGCCAATCCGTAAAGTAGATGCTCCTCCGCGCGAGCGCCCTCTCCTGCAGCACCCACCCTCTCCTACTGAGCGGGCTGTTGAGCACATGCTCGCCGAAGTCGTCAATGAACTGACACACAAACAACCTCCCCGTGCCTCCTTGCCCGCCGGCGGCGGCCCCCGCGTTCTTGACGGGAAGCTCCAGGAACTGCCGCTGCTTCCTCGGGCCCTGAAACCCATCCGTCTGGCCCCTGGCACGGCTGGCCGCAATGACGCAGTACGCCGAGCTGAACACGTCCTCCATGCGCTTCGACTCGACGCCAAAGTCTCCGTCCGGGCCCTGGACGATGCAGATGGAGTCGATCCACAGGTGGCGCAGGCCGAGCTCGCGCGTCGTGGCGATGGCGTCGCGGAACGTGGCCGGGAAGTCGCTGCGCTCGACGGGAATGCGCTGCTTGTGCTGGTCCAGCGTGGACGAGAAGGTGCAGAAGTGAGGCTCGGGACCCCACGGGTGCGAGAGTGCGGCGTATTTGTACGGGACGGATGCCGGGGAGGAGGCTTGGGTGTCCAAGAGTCGCGCGAGCGGCTTGGCGATGGTGCCCACGTCGATGAGGCGGGTTGGCGGGCGAGGGGCGGGCCGGCTCCTCTCGACGGGGCGGCATTTCGGGTGGTTTTTGTCACAGTCTGAAAGCCAGCGCCGGAGCGTGCTGAGGTGCTGCCAGCTAGCGGCCTCGGCGATCCGGGGCAGGCCGATTTGGATGGCGTTGGCGTGGGGGCTGACGAGATCTGAACAAGTCCACGTTTAGTGGTTACCGGCAAGAATGCCGCGAGGAGGTGCTTTACCTGGGCTACGGCAGATGGAGATGACGGGAAGAAGGCTCTCGTTGAGTTTCAGAGTCGACTGCTCACGATCGAAGCGGATGCTTTGCACTGGTTCCCCGTTGGGGCTGTGGCAAACCTCCCACCGCATTTTGCAAAAGTCACACGAACTCTGGCTGGACTTGAGGTCTGGTAAAGTATCGATGATGTTGAAGAATGGCTTGCAGACATCGAACCCTTGGCATCGGTCGCACAGCCGCGCCGCTAGGGTAGACATCGGAAACAGATCGTTGTTTGCCAGCGGTTGAAGAAGCTCAGTCGCAAACTTGTTGTCGACCGGGAACTCGACCTTGTAGACCTGGGAGAAACATTAAACATCTGAAATTTCATTTCCTTGAGGTCGTCGTACTTGTATCTAAATTATCCTATTAGATTCTATAGAAGCGGCCAAATGGAGTGGGGGAGAGACTTACGGCCTGATATGCCCAATTAGGTGAGCGGGGAGGTCTGAAGTAGGTTGTTGTTGGAATCACCAGGTACCGGTACTGGAAACAACAGGGCGTGCTGCACGCCGAAAGCTGGTGGTTCAAGTGATGGTTATTGTTGTCTATGTCTATCTAGAAGAAAGAGGTGGCCGTAGGCCACTTATATGGAATCTGGGACCCCTACGCCTCCACCGCCGCCTGTCTGGCTGATAAATGCGTTGCTACAGCCACCTCTATGTGGCTGGAATGCGCGTTGTTCCAACAGAAAGTCATTGCCTTGAGAAGCTTTCGGTCACTCTTTTCAAGGCCGCAGAGGAGGGCAACCACAAAGACTTTCTTAGCGCATTTCTTTTGGTGAAAAATATACTTGACGATGGAATCTTCATCCTTCTTCTTGTCTTGGGGCAGCCCAGTTGTTTTCGGACAGCCTCTTCGGTGACCAACTGCTCGATCAACCCTTCGGGAAGGAAGTCTTTATTGTCGTAGCTGCTTGTCTTTAAATGCCCCTCAATCAAATCAGCCAAGCTTGTGGGGGTCGGGACATTGTCTCTAGGCTCCGAGATCAGCGAAGCAAACGACTCGCTGGACTCAGACTCGTCCTCGCTGACGGTACAGGGAACTCTGGTAAACATTTCTGAGCTCGAGGTCATGGACAGCAGCCGGCGAAAGAGGACCACGAACGTGTCGGCTAAGGGATGAGGTAAAGCTTTGAATGCAGGTGAAATTGAGAGCACAAGACAGGCGGAGAAAATTCCGTGCATCATTGTTCTGGGCAGCTGCCGCCGCCTCTAATAATACAAAACATCCGTAGGCTATATTATTGGGTCGCAGAACGCCCCCTTCCTTCGGACTCAGCTCGGCCGAAGACAGTTTAGTGCCCTGTGACAATGTGCCAGCCAAAGCATGCCCCCCTCCATCACCTAGAATTTGGTGGACGGATGAGAGCCTCGTCGAGCGATTTGTGAGGGGCAGACATGCATTTTCCAGCTTATCGGTCGGCTAGAACCCTTTGCACTGTGCGATTTCATCGAGGGAGAGCCGTCGTGGGGTGCGGATGTTGTAGACGCCTCGGATCATCTGTCGCGCCAATCAGCCCCTGCACAGCGACAGCCCGATCGGCGGTTTCGGAAGCGGTTGCTGTTGCTCACTGATATTCTGTACTGACCAAGCCCGAACTGCTCGCGCAGGAGCGCGATTAACTTTAAGGGATTCGTGTTCCGTGCTGGAAGCTCTTGTAACGACGCAGGCTGCTTTTCTAACGCCTCCATGTCGCTTCGACACAAAATTACAGTCCAGATAATGGTGATAGAGATCGAGAAGAAGGCCGTAGAGCTCGACAGCGCTCGCGTAGGTACTTATAGGGCTGCCCGCTGGCGCCTTCCTTCGTTTAAGTAGACGAAGCATTTGACGAGGCATTTTGCCGCAGTGGAGCCTGGTGCGAAAGTAGCATTCCGATTGACACAAATACATGCGACTAGCCATCCACCGACCCCCAAATCCGATGTTGGTCGGTCAGCGGCCAGTCAAGCCGTGGCAAGGCGTCTGACCGAGACCGTGTGGCACTGTCTCCCGGGGCTCTTTGTGCGGGCAGTGCGCCATTGGATGTAGGAGGGCAGGGTTGACCGACATTGAAACCGGAGGGGCGAGGGTGAAGGTTGCCTCCCGCCAGGCGCTCCTTCCCTGCGGCCAACCTAGTCTTCTGATAAAGGGCCGACATAGCCAATCAAAGCCGCAAATTCCATCTGCCACTCTCAATGCTGCGTGACTCAATGCTGCGTTACCCACCCAGTGTCTAAACGTAGCTTACACATTTTTTTTAGCAAATGAATACAGGTTTGGTGCAGTCTCAGAATACCATTTTTGGTTCGCTGACGGTGCGGTATATACGAGGCTCCCGTGGGGCCAAGGAATGGGTTACCCTCCCCAGCGCAAGGACTAAAATGCCACATACATCCCTAAAAGGGATTATCTAGATAATAGATTGGAATCGCCAGCTGCCTCAGGGGTTAACAAGTCAATCTTTTACACGGGGGCTTCAACAAAGCTTCATCGGATCCTTCGGTGAAGGACGGCACCTGACCACTGTGAAGAGTGGCCCCCTTTTCTGGCCTGGGCCCCCGTATTATAATCATGGTGCCCCCACAGCGCGTCTCGTAAGATAGTGCGCCTCCAGTGCGGTCCAGGCTTTCCCACCTGCCCGCCGCCCGGTGGCATGCATAGTACCCGACATAACTCTAGATAAAACCCTAGATAAAGAACGCCTTGCTAGGAGACGCCCGGCGCTTACCAACGCCTTGAGCCTCGACAAGCCGAGCTCACCCTCTCACATATTCTCCGTCATTATTCAGGTTAAGCGCGCAGCCCGAGCGTCGTGCATAATATTCACCAGTTTCTTTCTTAACTCGTCATGAAACAGCACAGCCTTATCTTCACTCCCCACTAACCCAAGGGTAAGCAATGGCTTCATCGGCAGACGATACAAGCAACTCACCCATGGGTTTGCCGCCAAATCACCCAGGGCGAAGCGAGAGGCTGCGCTCTGAGACCACTAGAGTGCCCCTCATAATAGCCACTAACACAACACACACTACGCCTAACAGAGAGCAATACGGGGGCTTGGGTCAGACTGAATTCGCAGCGACCCCGTTTTCCGACAACGGGTGGCAATCAACTCCCCATAGCAGACTTACGCTAGACAGCGGAAGCCCAGGCCTGCCCGGCGCGAGCCGCGGAAGCTCGCCCGACCCAGCGACAGAGCCTGACAACAAATCAGACTGTACGACATCCTGCAGTAGCTATGGGTCGCTTTTAAGTAGAGAAGACGACCACCAGTTGCCGGAAATCGTCGTTTTGGGAGCGACGGGGCCGGAATATGAGGAGATTGGGCAATCCGACGACGAATTGACCAGGGAGGGGTTAGACCTCGCTCCGAGTGGCCCAAGCCGCCAGGCACTCGCATTAGATGTCAACCAAGCAGCCAGAGCAACTTTCAGCAGAGAAGATAGCCCTCTCCCGAATCTTATTTACAGACCAGCGTTTCCATCTTTGTCAGAACAGCAGAGCGAAATCACGGATTTTGGTGCCGAGTTGCACTATAAACACCGACGGTCGAGGCAACGCAAAGACAGTCGATCAAAACCAAGCGGCCACCATACCTTGCAGGATCGGCTCTGGGAAGCCCTCGCGCCGACCGAAGACAAGAGCAAAAAAGGGTTCTTTCCCGTAAACTTGCTTCCACTTCTACTCACGGAGCAGTCTGTGTCCGAGGAGCTCAACAAACACTTCGGCGACAAGAGTACGAAATACGCGCGAAAGATCTGCTCTGAAAAACGGGTTAACAGCTTTGAAGAGGATGGGATATCAAGCATGAAGCCAAGAATCAGAACCTATCGCAGGATATTCGCCATCCTCGTGCTAATCGACAAGGCGCCAGCCATTCACCAGTTCATCAGAGAGGGGGTCAACGACTCAGACTTGCCGCTAGTTAGGTCAGGAACCGAGAAAGACATGCGAAGGTCTCGAGCCCTCGATAAAGAGCTGAAGTGCTTCGGGAGCGGATGGACGGGGATCCAAATCCGAAACTTCGTGGAATATCAGTGGACAACCCTAGCTCCATTCTTTTCGAAGAGCGAAGAACGCAAGGAGGTTCGCCACTACCCGCTCCAAGATCGCGTGATACTACCTTTTTCCCCAAACAAGAAACAGGGCGAAGTAAACGAGGAGCTGCTCGGTGGCGGCGGCCGCGTGTTCAAAACCGGCATCCACCCCGACCATCACAACTTTCACGCCTTCTTCGACTGCCCTCGCGCCGCATCCCCGCCAGACCATGGTGACGAGAGCCCCGAATGCACCTGCGTTTTCGCCATCAAATGCCTTCACTCGCAGGACAAGGAGAGCTTCAAGAAGGAAGTCGACATGCTCAAGAAGTTCAGCAACAATGCACACCCGAATCTCATCTCCCTGCTCGCCACGTACGAACAAAATGGAACGTTCTTCCTCATCTTCCCGTGCGCCGACGACGACCTGCAAACCTACTGGAAGAAGATGCCCCCCCCCCCGCCGGGGACGCCGGCGGCGTGCGCTGGGCGGCGGAGCAGTGCCTGGGGATTGCGAAAGGGGTGCTCAAGATCCACGAGGACGATTCGGGCAACGCCCGACTACAGCCCCACGACCTGAAGAGAATCGTGGGGAACCACGGCGACATCAAACCGGAGAACGTGCTCTGGTTCCGCGACATCACAGAGGCGCGAAGCGACGGCCGGTCCAGCGGTCGCGGTCGCGGGACGCTCAAGCTGTCTGACTTCGGCCTCGCCGACTCAAGCTCCAGTCGGACCGCATCCAGGCGGTTCCACAGCAACGTCGCCGTGACCTGCAACTACCGCGCTCCCGAGTGCGACTTGCCCAACCAGGGCGGAAAGGGACGGCAGTACGACATGTGGACGCTAGGATGCCTGTATCTCGAGTTCGTCACCTGGCTAGTTGGAGGCACCGCGCTGCTCGACGAATTCGTACGTGAACGGCTGTCCGTGGACATGGCATGGTACGAGATTGAGACGGACACGTTCTTCCACCTGGATAAGGACCCCGAAACGAAGAAACTCTACGCGGTCGTCAAGCCATCGGTTACAGCGGTGAGTTTCCGGACGCCGAGATGAAGCTTCTTGATCAAAAGTACTCATTTGCGCAATTTGCAGTTCATCCAAAGACTCCGCTCCGAAAGGAGGTGTACGCCGTTCATTCTCGACTTTCTGGACCTGATCGAAACGGGGCTGTTGGTAGTCAAGAATCCGAAGCCGTTCGTCAAGGGAAGGCTTAGTATCAACGAAGCGCATGCTAGGCTCACCAAGATGGTGCAAAAATGTAACACGGAGCGGGAGTACGCTTGCAAATCGTTGTACTATATGTCTGCAAGTCAAGGGGTTGAGTAGGAGGGGTTGAATAGGAAGCCCCTGCGGGAGTGATATTGAGCCGAAAGCACCCACAAAGACCGCAAGACGCCCAGATAGGGGGTGGGGAACAAGACTTGGCGCGGACCGCGTGAGCATACCATGTCCAAATCATTCAATACAGAACCAACTAATACAAGCTATCATAGACCTAGAGGAGAAAAACGTACGCCAAGGCGACCGTGCCTATCGCGATGGGAAGAAAAAAGCAAACATGGCCTCACAACATAGTTGAGCGCCATTCGATAATCGGACATGGCGCGCTTTTATGAAGACGAGGGTAGACGCGTTGTGGTTTAAGGCCTATGGCTTACATTCGTTGATTCTGTGTTGTACCCGCGAGTGGATACGGTACCATTCCCGGCCAACTGCTCGTGTGCGACACACTCACTCACCCCCGTGCGGTGGGCGTGAAGGTTGTTGAGGTGACTATGCCCCTGGCCGTGTCAAGCTCGACCTGCACACCCGGCGCGATCTTGGGCGTGCTGTCATTGTGCGAGAATTGCAAGAAGCCTGGAACAAGAGAGGGGGTCAAGTTAGAAGACGACTCTAGACGACCTTGATTAATAGAGATAGAACTGGGAAACTCACGATCTCCTCCCTGCGCGCCGACAGTGCACTTGGACCCGGCGTCGCCGTCGACGGCATTGTACTTGAACGTGGCGACGCCACGGCGGGCCTCGTAGAGGGTCACGCTGAAGTGGTAGTAGTCCTGTGTGGCGCCGAACTGGGTGACGAGCCACTCGACGGTGAGGGTGCGGGCGGGGGCCTCGCCTGACACCTGGTAGAAGACGCCGTGCTTGTGGTCCTTGCAGATCAGCAGGTCGGCCCACAGCGGGAACTGTTGGATTGGCTACATCGTACCAGCTGAATGGAGCCTAAAAAGATGTGTAGGCATCAAGGCCTACATACGGGCCGATCATCGTTGGTGGCCTAATGAGTGGCAAGTTTGATCGAAAGGGCATTATTATTTGCCACCTACTTCGCCACTATGTCCATCTATAATAATGGCTCTCTGGCTTCGCCAGAGAGCAGGGGGAGAATCAATTCAATAAATTCTCATCAATATAATCCATCTGTGTGTCGAATCCAACAGGAACAGCGCGTACTTGGGGAAGTCGGCGGCGGCGTTGAACGGCAGCTGCCGCGCGTCCTTGTACTTCAGGGAAAGATTGTCCGTGTAGTACTTGCTCTCCGGGCTGGCCCCTTCGATGCTGATGATGCCGTTGTCGCTGATCCAGATCGTCCGGGTCGTAGTGCTCTCGAACAGGGATACGTCGAACGGCAGGCTGACGCGCTTGTACACGTCGTCGACTTTTTTCGGCGCCGACGCCGGGTCCCCCATGACGATGATGGGCCTGGTGAGCATCTGCAAGGAAGGATGTGTTTAGTATCGTGAGGGCCATATGATAGACGCTAGGTATTTTCCAAGACTCACTAGTGCGGGAGCGGGCTTGGGCTGAGGCTCTCCTCGCCTCGCCGCCGCCGCCTCCTATTCGGCCCTTCTCTCGGCCTCCTTTTCCTTGCGCTCTTTCTCCTTGCTCTCCTCTTCTTCCTTGGCCCTGCGCTCCTCGTCCGCCTTGATCAAAGCTCTGGTCTTCTCCTCAAGCTCGCGCCTCTCCGCCGCGGCGGCACTCGCCTTGGGGATGCCGCTAAACGCGGGCGCCTTGGCGCAGACGTCCCACTCGCCAATGGTGCGGCGCGGGTGGAAGTATACCTTGGTCTTCCAGTCACCCTCCAGCAGGATGGCGGCGACGGCAGACAGCGGCGGACTGTCGATGCCACCGGGGGCCAGAGACTTGGACGCCGGGCCCAGAACGGGTGCCACCGACTCGACATAGGGCTTCCAGCCACCCAGGTGGCGCGAGTACGATATTTTGTACAAGGCGTCGTTGTCATCGGTGGTGTAGATGCGGATCTCGAAGAACCTGGTGCCGTAGTTCCACGCCACTGCCGAGATCATGGCCGAGGGGGGGATCTGGTATCTCAGGGTCTCTTCGACTGTGGCCGTAGTTTATCAGCGACTTGAGGAAAAAATTCATGGCTCGGGAGAGGTCACTTACTGGCCCGCCATTGAGTATGCCCGTCTCCGTAAAGTCTCTTAGCATGGCCACATCGTCCTCAAACCTCCCACCTTCGTCACCACTACTACCACTACCAGACTCAGATCCTGAATCCTCTGATGCGGCAAGGTGCGTTACTTGCTGAATAGTTTTGACATCGATGGGCCTAAGAAGTGACGGAGAGATGCCTTGTCGATCGAAGAAGCTCATAAGCGAGAGAAGGTCGGCTGCAGAAGGTTTCCGCGAGCGGATGTATTTAAAGGAGATCTCCCAGGTGGTGGAGATAGCATTTGATGCCCCACCATCCCGCCGTAGATCACCCGCATCGTATTTGAGAAGCTGAGCCCGCTTGCGCTCGCACTTGCGGAACTCGGCCAGGTACTTGGTTACCGAGCTCATCGGTAACCTTGCCTGGATGTATGCCGCCGCTTGGCTGATGGCAAGAGGAATAAGGTCGAGCGCTTGTACTAGATCTTTGGCTGCGTCCATATCTGAGAGCGGGTCTAGTTTTTTCTCTAGGAGAAGAAGTGCATCACCCAACGCCATCGGCCCAACCTCGATGTTCTTGTGGCTCCCGGTAAGCCTAAATGCTAGGTATTTGCTACGCGTCGTGATAAGGATAGACCCGTTCCGGCTCTGTGGAAGGTAGCTCGCTAACGGTTTTCCTTCGCGGCCGCCGTTTGCCGCGTAGAACACGTCTCGGTCGTCGGCGCTATCAAGGATGATGATCCATTTGCCGTTCCGTTCGTTAGACAACCAGTCGTATACAAGTTGTGGAATGTAGGCTTTGTAATGTGTTGAGTGCGGCCTTTCGCGCTGGGAAACGACCGCTCATCACAAAAAAAACAAAAGTTTCCGTTCTATTGACCAAGACCCGAGGTTCTGTTTTGGTTGGGCGAGCCCCATTTTGTGGTAAATAAGGTACATTTGGGTTGGGATTCTGGCCGGGGTGTTCTCTTGCGATGTGGGCGCTCCATGCCGACGGGCCTGAGATAATGAAACGTTCGCCGAGCCAGAGGCATTCGGGGCATTCAAACGGTGCATCAAACGTTCCTTTTTTGAAGTGGCACCTAGTGAAGTGTCGTGTTAGGTTCCTAGGGTTAGAAAAGGACGGACAACCAAGCAGACACTGGGATATCCCAATGGGAGCAATTCCCTGTGTGCCGAGGTCTAATAACGAGCCTGGTTCTCGTGCTACCAGTACTGCCACTGATGATGGCCGATGTCGTAGGTAGGCGATTAAAATGGTAATGAAGCGCGCCGAACGATGGATATCTCCTGGTTCTACCCTCTTCAAACACATGCCGATTGCTTTGGCTCCGAGAGAGCTTGGTGCTGGAGAAGGAGCAAGGGGTATAGGACGTAACGCGGTTGTGTCCAGCCCTCTTGCTCTCAACCTGTCACTTTCTTGCTCGTACTCGGCTTTTCTCCGAATAGCTTTCATACCAGCCAGTTTGCTCACTCGACTGTGGAGTGCTGCCCTGACCCTGTTCACCTCTCTTTTACTGGCATCACTTTGAACAGCATCTTGAACGCTCGCACGGAGCTGAGCCACATCCAGACGCTCCTCGATGGATTTATAGTCTTCTAGGGTTGCATCAACTGGAGCGAATTCGTCCCGTCTCCCGGAAACGTTGCGTTGTAGCTGGAATATGGCTTCGTTGTCCCCTGGGCTCTGCCCGAACGCAAATACCATAAGGTCTTCAAATGAAAAGTTTGGCTGGTAATATTTGCGAAATATGTCTCCATTGTGCCCCAATATCCAGTTGCGGATTACAGGTGTAAGGTGACCTATCAGAAAAAGGTTAGCCAAAGCAATCGTGGAAATGAACGCCCGGTTTATCGTTGAGAGTTGCTCCGGCGCCTCACCCGGGTTGAATAGGGACGCAATGTGTCTCGAAGGCCCAATGCCCAGGTTGCTCGACGCCATATCTTCTAGTATTGGTCGTAGCCGATGGATACGAGTAGGCGGTCTTCTGTGATCAGCTCCTCCTTCCACTTCAGGGGAACTTGGTCGACATGCTCGAGGTTAGGACGTTGAAATAGTTCATCCACAGATTTATAATCTGCTTCAAATGCATTCTCGCTCAATGCCCGCGCCACAATATGACTTAATAAATAAATGGACTGGTCTGGCACGAAGGTCACGCAGAACTCGACACTAGAAAGGTTATTAAAAAGTCTTCCGGAGAAGGCTCGCAGGTTTGCTTACGTATCATCCTCCTCTTGCAGTAAACTTGTCTTTTGTTTGTTGTGGAATAGGGTGATACGGGCAATAATTTTGGTGTTCTGCGGATTATCTGGATCCCGCATAACCAACAGCTCTATCTGCTTGTAGAATATCTCAACAAGGGAGCCAGGTCTAAAACCAGTAATACCACGTAATATAAGAGTCATGCAGAAGTCGAGTCGAGTATCAGGTTCAGCTTGAACGGCATCCGTCCAGGCCGTCGCCAGAATTTGCCGTATATCACCGCTAGTTGCCTCGAGCTTATCGAATAGTTGTTCACGGGCAAGATCGAACTCGGGTACCAAGTATTGCACCGTCCACTATAGTTATCACGATACCGATTCGCATCCTAGCGGGCTAAAGTTTGGGAAACATACCAAGTATATATTATATATCGGGCCACTCATTCGAGCCGGGTTCTTGAGGTTGAAGTAGGATGTGGCTAAGGTCCATTGCATCGCATGAGCAGGATCATTTCGCCTCATACCATACAAAATATGACTTTCCGCGTACCCAACTACACTCTTCAGCTTCTCGAACACGGTGCGGGCGCTTGTGATTGTTAAGAGAAAATTCCGTCTCGGTTGGTCCAAGGGAGGGGCGCTCTGCTTCAGATTTCTGAACGCAGTACTGAAGAAACTTTTTAACCTGAACTACGGCTCTTTCTTTGCTAGCGGGGTCTCTACAAAGGTCAAGAATAACCTCCTTCGGATCGAGTTGTGCGATGCCCTCGAAGTACCTAGACAGGGCGACCCACTTATGCAATCGCCCCCCTTTGCAATCGCCCACCACCATCACCGCCCACCACAAGAATCGTCAAAATACTCAATTGTAGGCCAAATTCTATAGAAAAAAGTACATTATAGTCCTCGTCAATCGCCCTATATTGCTCAAGCCCACGGGCGATAATTTCTTCAGCTTCCTGGACCAAGTGTGCAGGCCTGGACTTGGTCTTCTTGGATCTCTTCTTGGGAGGCTTTTGACTAGCTTTTTGAGCCTCGTCAATTTCGTCAATAGTAGCAAATCTGTCGTTGGCGTCTATTTTGACCCTTTTACGTGAATAGGGTTTTTTGGATTCCAACTCGTTGGCTAAGAAGTCGTTTTTTGCCTTCAAAGCAGCGATTTCCGTATTCTTCTGATCAAGTGCCCTCCCTACCTTCGTCAACATAGTCCTGACGACCCTATCTCGGGGACTAGTGGCCGTCTTGGCTAAGCCCTGTTGCCTGCGGACGTCGTGACTACCTTGAGGTGTATTGAAGAGGTCGTTCCGGGTTGCCCGGGTCTTCCGGGGTGGTGTGGATGGGGGGACTGGTTTTGCAGCTTCGTCCCGGACCGCCTCGGGGTCGTCAAGTATACGAGCGGGTTGGAAAGGCCAGATTCCAGTCTTCCGGAAGCCGGATATGATATTCCGGGCTGACATACCCTGCGCTGAGGCGTCCCGGTAGCAAAAAAGGAAGCGTTGCTTGTTGATAGGTGCTGAGGCTGTGAAGGAAGCCAATTCGAGGGTTCTTTGGCGAAAATAGGACTTCAAAGCCGAAAAGACAGACCGGTCGAGTGGCTGGGTCTTGTGAGAAGTGTGTGAAGGCAAGTATAGTAGGTGTACGCGGTTTCTTTTAGCTAGAAGCATAAAGTCTTCGTCGATATGAGTAGCGTGTTCGTCGAGGATTAATAGGCGCCAATCGTTCTTCCTTTGGGGCTTTGTTTGAGGAAGATATACTTCCTTGAGCCACATAAGAGCTATTTTGCTATTGCTCCAGCCTGTGGGCGTACAGTCGTACTTCCAGGTCTTGAGGACTGGTAGTTCCTTGAAGTTATCCGAGAAGTGTTGGCCTTGTAGATTTTCACCCGTAAAGATCACTACGGGCGTCAATCGCTTGCCCTCAGCGGTACCACACTCGATAATACTGACCCAGGTCGTTGGATCAGGGCCAGTCAGGACTGCCCGAGATGTGAGGGCATCGCCAATCACCTTCCCAACCATAGTTTCCGTCTCTTGCATGCCATGTTCGTCCATATTGGCGATATTCGCAGGTACCAGCTTCTTGTCCTTAATTACAGCTTCCAAACGATCAAAAAAATGCTGGAATCTCTCACGGGTAGATCCTTTGACTCGAGACCGTTCTAATAAGGTACCTAACTTGGCCTTTACCCTGGGGTTGCGGGTAAAAAACCGATCTACCCAGCGCTCACCAACTCGCCCAGGGAGCCCGGCTTCGTTCAGGATCGCTTGTGCGAATCGTCTTAGCTGTGCACGACTTGGGGCACGCCCTGCAGCTTCCTCCTCAAGAGCCCACTCGGCGACGAAGGCTTCCTGGCCGTCAGTTAACTTCTGGGTGTTTTTTTGGGCTTGTCGTGGATCCTGTTGTCCACGGCGTCGTCTGCTGAGGGTGGATTCAGGGATCCTATATAGGCGCGCTACTTCCTTCTGCTGAGCGCCCTGATCAGTAGCCTCAATAACCTCGGCTATTAGCCGCTCTCGTACGCGTCGAACCATCGTATTTTGAGCCTATTCCGACCAGTATTGAGGAAGTTGTTGGTGGTGGAAGGTAGAGAGTAGGAAGTTGGCGGTGTGGGGGAAAAATTAAAAGTGGGGCGATTGCAAAGGTGGGTCACCCTGTCTATACATTATTAGTGATTAGAAAAAAAAATCCGAGCACGCCTTACTCCGTCCATTCAATCCAAGAATTATATCGGCTTAATTCTGTTTTCTTGGAAATTGATCTTCTATCGCTCAACGGTCGTTGTCGGATTGACTCTTCGTTCTCTTTATCCCGCTCTCTCTGCGACTCGAGGTCATTCACGAAACGACGTGTTGGCTGTGCTGGTAGCCCGCTTGTGGGCCTTTGACCTGGACGCCTGATTCGCTTTTTGCCATCGCAGGGGCCCAGCGAAGATAGAGATAATATGAGTTTGTTTAGGGCGACGATAATACAAGGGATGGCGACGAAGTTGGTAAGTTTTAGGGAATTGAGGGCATAGCGAGCGAAGAGGGGGAGGGATGATATGAGATTTTTGTCCGTTTCATGCTCCTTTTTTTGTTTGGTCTTGTGAACGGTCGTCGTTGGTTTGAAGGTTACGAAACGGCTGCGCCGTGAGACGCCACACTCTTATTCGGTGCACTTCTAGAGCCCATTTTCGGGCCCTCGGCGATCACCCAGTCAACTCTTATCGGAGGTTGTTCCATACTTAATTACGAAATATAGAGTAGACAATATATATTTCAAAATAGAAAGAGATGTTATTCATTCACCTACCTACCTACCTAGTATACGTGAGTTGTAAGTTGTGGATAGGTAGGTTGTTGTGGATGGGTAATAGTGACTTGATTGGGTGTATCCGATTAATAGTGGGTCTACGACTCCGGTAAAGAAAAAGTCGCTCACCGTGGCTTATCTACGGGAGAGCGGACGGGATCCCGAGTTCTCCACTATCTATGGCCGTATGTATAATGAAGAGGCGAAAATGTCATTTATAAAGTATCCACCTCGGATTGAAAGGTGGGTATAAGATGGACAAGGCTCTAAGACGGAAGTCGGTATTGACAGAGCTCTAGTACGGGATCTATGGTCTCCTTTCTAGGACAAAGCATACCGTATTATATATATATGCGCGGCTAATTACCACGCGGCGCGCGATTTTGGCGATACACAGAGCGCAATCACTCCTCGAGACGCTTTGCTGGCTGGAGGACGAGGTACGCGAAATAAGCTACTACTAGTCACGAAGCTCGACCCGCGATACCTCGCCCAGCGGTGGCAGAAGACCGTAAGGGATGCTGACCCGCCCGAGAAGATGACCGACAGCATGCTGACGGCCATCTTTTTGGTAGATCTATCAGCCGAGGCCGGCGGACGGGCGCGAAGCTATATTGTCACGCGCATTCATAGGGTAGGGCATCTGGTATTGGGAGGTTTAAAGTGTCTAAAATTGTCTTGTCTTCTACCTCTTTTAGTAGGGTCAAAGGCCTCTCTTTTATAGTTGTGAATAGTGGCAAGATTGAGTGGCAAAGTAGGTGGCGGGAGTTGACCAATCAGGTTATGGTAGTTTCCAGGTTCTTCCTTCATTATTAATCCATATTTTGTGATACTGTGAAATGCCGCTTTGCTATGTCGTGGTTATATCAGGAAGGAGCCCGCAGGCTCAGCGCCGCAGGCCAAGAGCGCCGCAGGCAGTGGGGGTCCTACGGGGTTAGAAATCCAACAATTAGATCATGAACATCGAAATATAGAATTATCACGAGAATTTGTTTTGGTGGTAGGATAGCTATCAATCCGTTGTGGGTAGTCCGTGCGGTACCTTCAACTTTCTAGCCAGCTCCCCCGCTAAAATAAGCCACTTTCCTCTTCAACCTCGTAATGCAACCAACTTCAGTCAATCGCACGTACGATTTATCGCTTTCTAGCTATAAACAGATACGCTGAATACTTTATGATTATTACCCTATTAAGTTCTACTAATCTATTACCAGGAACGCGTGTTTTTCGAGCAGCCGCGATGGCTATGGTGGGGTCCCTCAACCGCAGCCCCCACGGCCCGATGCGCCAATCCAGGCGGCCGTGGCCAGCCTCCCGACGGCACCGATCCTACCTACAGAGACCCCGAAAGACCGGGTTCCTCCTGATAACCAGCACTTTATGAGGGCTCCTAAAATGCCTCAGCTACCAATTCCTTCGAGCGAAGCGAGGGCAGGCCGCCGCAGGCGCCGCCGGAGGCAAAAACAAGAAAAAAAGAGGCTCCGTTCAGCTGACCCCTTCCTGATTAGTCAGGTAACCTATTTTAATTTCTCTTTTGTCTGTGGCAGGCCGGCAGGTCCCCGTTCAGCCCTCCAGCCTCAACAGATCGACCTTCGTCAACCATCTTAATCACTTTCAGGGTTCCTCTCGAACCTCGATACCGATGCTGGGTCATCTTTTTCTCCTTGCAGAGTTGCTTGCTCGGACAACCGCCTTTGCAATGTTCGAGGGCCAGGACTCTCACAAGACCACCACCAACATCTTCACAGTCGTGGAGTCATCGACGCCAAGTTTGCTACTATTTACTACAGCGGTGATTCTACCAACGCTCGAGAACCTGCTACTGGCTATAACTGTCGAGCTGATGGCTTAAATTTGGGGATTTTGTCCAAAGACCGTGATTGTGGCAACCGACTGTAGACTAGTCGGGCGTTGCGTAGACGGTCACAGTTGCACTTCAGGGTGTGGGTTCACCGCGAGACTACCCTGATGACCATTACATGGCACAATTCCCGGATTGTATACTTCTGCAAAGTACTTTCTAGGCCACCGGCTGACAGAGCAATAGCTCCGAATCCCAGTTCCCCTTTAGTTCTACAGTTTTGTTGTCACTCAGCGACGATGTCCGTAGCTTCTCGTATATTGCCTGCGGCCGAGGACCCAGTATAGATCGCTATTTTGCGTCTACCACCGATCCCCCGCCCAAACCGACAACACCTGCGCTCCCTTCAAGCCCCGTCGCTTCACCGTCTCCGCCGACTGTTTCTCCCACACCGCGGACAAGATCGACAAGTGCTCGCTCGACACCATCCAAGACCTCATCACTGGCCACGCCCTCGTCAACCACCGCATATCCCACGTCTGCCACAACATCTGCCGCTGACAGTGACCCACTCTCGACCTCCGTGTCCGGGTCCAACAATGTCGGTAACACAAACGACACTAGCAACGCCACCGGTGCCAGCATCGCCAATATCAACAATAATAACAGCACTAGCGGCAAAGACAGCAGCGGCGGCGGCGGCAGCACGAACAATAACTTGGGCCTAATCGTCGGCGCTGCCGTCCGTAGCGTTGCGCTAATATGTGTCTCTCTCGTTGTGGTCCTCTGGCTGCTGCGTAGGAGACGCGTCCGGGAACTGCGCGCTGGCGTCGGCACTAACGGCAAAGACTCGGCGGAAGCAGACCGAGACTCTGCCACTCCGCAGCCACAAACGCCACAAACACAACCGCCGTTGCACGAGAAGCACCACTGGTCTGGTGGATGGGGCCCCGGCGAGCTGCCTGGCCACGTGGACTACGTCAACGGGAGACCCCAGGGGCTGCCTGGGAACACCCGCACGCCCCCGGAGCTCCCTAACAAAGCCCGTATGCTCCCAGAACTGGCTAGCAATCCGGAAATGCCCCCGGACCTTCACAACAAGCCCCACATGCCCCCGGAGCTTCCCAACAAGCCCCACAGGCCCCAAAGCTGCCTGATAACACACGAATTCCACCCGAGCTTCCCAATAACACGCACTTGGTGCATGCGGTGGAACTCCCAGCCACGCCGTTCCGGGAGAGGCGACGGACGCGCACTGGCTCTTAATTAAGGATTGGTGTTGGCCTGAGAGGGTTCAGGATCAATGCGATGACAACTGCGTCTAGTGTGTTGGAAGGGGTGGGTGGCGTTGTTTGCATTTGCTTGCTACCCTTTTCTGGCATTGCCATTCTGTTAATGAGTCGACATGTCACCTCGTTGCAGTTCTGTCGAGATGATTTTGATGTTTGGAAATGAAACTATGGCCTATTATGCGAACTCTTTCTGTTGAGAAAGGTAGCAAGCCTATTTTACTGTTGAAGGAATCATGGAGGCAGTCCTGGTTATAGCCCATCACCCTCCAGCTGGTCTCGCGCCAGCTCCATGGTTGGTAGCTAATCCTGACGTTGCCATTCCCCTCGGCAAGACAGCGGGACCCTCCCAGCAGGATCTATGCAAATTTTCCAACGGAAACACAAATGTAACTGCCGCCACGTCCCACATTACCGCAAGCCGAGTTGCAGCAATCCTGTGGACGATTGAATTTGCAAGGGGCCCCGTCAGGCTGGCATGCGGTACAGGTCGTGACGACCTTGGTAGACGTCTTGACCTGTGGCGATTCGTCGGTTGTCAGCGAGTCCCACAGAGCAAGCTCGGTGTGGAGGGCTACTTACTAAAGGCGCAGCCGTAATGGTTTTTTTCAATGGCTTTTTCGCGGCCGATGGGTGGATGCAGCCGCAAACGAACAGAATCTCGGCCGGGGCAAGTTCCTGCAGGCACTGGGGTATCTTCTTGCTGTCGCTCTTGCTGTAGCCAGTCGGCTGCGCTGCAAGGGTCCTGGGGGCAAGCTCCACAACGGTCCTGGGGGCAAGCTCCACAATGGTCCTGGGGCAAGCCCCTGTTGCGGTCGTTGTGGTAACCGAGGTCACGGTCGAGGTACTGCCATATGCAGGACTGATGAGCGGTATTGAGACAAGGGAACTGTGTGGACTTACATGGTCGGGGTGACGGTCACAGTGACTACTGGCCGCGGTGCATGCTTCAGGTACGAGCGGCAATATTTGATGATTTCGGGGTCCTTGAGGATATTTCCAGGGATATGCGAACAAAAGCGGAGGTCGGGGCGTTGTTGGGCGTCAACCTGGCCGCCCTGGTTGGCGCCTTTGCTGCCCTGATGACCGGCAGCAGGATCGTGATGACCGGCAGGAGGATTGTACCGACTGGCAGGGGGATTGTATTGACTGGCAGGGGGGTTGTATTGGCCGGCTGGGGCACGGTATTGGTTGACAGGAGGATTGTATTGAACAACTGGAGGATTGTATTGCCCGAGGGCCAAATCGAAGGTGAGGAGAGAAAACGCCCCAAGCCAGAGAGAAGCGGAAGGCATTTTGCAGTGTTAGTGTTCAATGATGTGTGGTGCAAAGGAATGAAACTTGATAATGACGAAGATAGAATGAAACGTGATAATGACGAAGATAGAATGAAACTTGATAATGACGAAGATAGAATGAAACTTGATACTTGATAATAACGATGATAGAGAAGGAAAGGCAAGAGAAAGAATGCAGTGTAGAGAGCCAAAATCGGACTCGACGGCCGTCGACGTCCCATTTAAGCTTACCAGGTCCTGCCGGCATATGCCAGACGGTTTAAACTCCAAGTCCAAGACGTCACGACAGACAGCCACCGACACATGCTGGTGCCACCCGGCCACGTGCAACCATGTCCTCGACCACGAGGCTCCATAAAACTCACGCATTAGACCAGCCTACCGGAAATGTGGCGTGCAGATATCCACAAGGGCTTTGACCAGACATTGCCCAGAAATTCTCGTAACTCCTTCTCCAATCCTGCAGAGAGCGTTTAGGTCTGCCGTGGTAGGGGTCCACCCACGGGATGCCCCACTTTGCCTTTTTGACATGTCATTATCGGTGATGAATTTGACAGTGGAAGTCGCTCCTAGAGTAAAAAAAAAAGAAAAAAAAAGAATTTATTGGCGATATAATTGTATTGGCGATATAATTGTATTGGTGATATAACTGTATTGGCGATATAACTGTCCGCCTGACACAGCGCGCTTGACATTTTCTGTAAAGCCAATCCAAAGGCATGGACGCGTTCGTGTTACAGTTACATCGTGGTCCATCCCGCTTCTGGACTTAACCCCCGACCACTTTAATGTTACCTCAAATGCAGCCAAGACTTAAAATGCGCCCGAAGGAGGCGCATAAAATGCAAGCCCGTCCCGCCGATCCCTCCCCGTAATCTTGAACCCGACAATATCTCTCTTTGTACAGTTGTTTGTCAATGCCACGGCCTCGAACTAATACCAAATTACCAACATGCTCGGAGTTGACCGCCAGCACATTTTAGATTCGAGCGACTGGATCTCAACCGACAATGAACACCCGGTTCGGTACATTGAAGCATGGAGGCATGCAGAGCCGGTCGAGGGTAAGGCCGCCTCTATTTGAGTCGCGCGTTCAAGCACCCTCTCTTCTCTTCGCTGGGGCTAACGAAACCAACTATTAGGGGACGAGACGGCAGGACTCATGGCCCAAGGAGAGCTTCAAGACGCCGAGGCAAATGACTGGCTTGTCCAAACAGGCAGCTTTGCGAAGCGCGACAGTAAAGAAATCGGGAGCCCCAAGGAGGCTACCAGGTTGGTGATCTGCGAGCGGTATGGCTGGAAGCCTCTCGGATTTGAAATGAGCCAGGATTCATTTCTGGCAATCGAATCAAGCTTCCGCTTGCCTCCCGAGACCCTCTCCATACTCAACAGCGATGGCGGGCAGTATCACTACGCCCTCGAGAGAAGCAGGTTCGAGAGCGCGAACACGGTCAGGTCAATGAGTGAGAAGACTTCCAGATTCGATGCAACTTCCCTTGATCGTAGGAACTAATCACAGAAGTAGCAATCATCGTCAAGCTCCCGCAAATGTTCCAGCTGGGGAACTGGGGGCTTGCCCTGTCGCACTCGTTCGACACGAGTACCACATCAGCGTTCTTACACGGCTGGAATGTCCTTTCCGACTACCACCCCGTGACCAGAGAACGGGTAGTGCCCGCCCAGGAGAGGATCGGACCGCTCATTTACTCGGCGATAGGGTCCTGCGGCCGGCCAACCCTGCTGCCGATCATCCTGCTCAAGGAGCATCTGTCCCGCATCAACCTATTCATGGGAGAGCTCGAGTCCACAGCCACGGCGATCGAATCGACGTTCAAGGTCACCAAGTCGGGAAGGCTAGCGAATAGCGAGGGCGGGCCACTGGAGCTGATGAAGCTCATGGCGAACGAGGAGGAGCGGACGAAACTAACGACACTCTTGAACACGACAATGACGGATACCGTCAATCTCACGTGCGTCATAAAGTGGGACCGCCGGTACTGCAAGTTTCTCAAAGAGCTGCACGGCGTGATACGGACCTTTGACTCTGAAAGCTCTTCGCAAGTCGGCGAAAGCGAGCTGGAGATCATTCTCAGACACCTCGAATGCGATCTCGAGTCGGCCTTTGAGTATGTCGAGTCAATAGCTGCGCGGCTCAACTTGCAGCTCACAGTGGTACGAATCACTAGTCCTTGACGAAGCGTCACGGGAGACGAGGCTTACAAGATTCTGCAGCTGTACAATCTCGTTGCGCAGGCGGAGAACGACCTGACGGCTCGAATGACGGCAGCTACCGGACTCGACAGCGCGGCCATGAAGACGCTTGCCTTTGTCACGACTGTTTTCTTGCCGCCCACTTTCATCGCCGTCAGTAGCATCTTGAAGTTCCCACCGGACTTCCTGGCTGACGAGATTCACAGACACTGTTCAGCATGTCCATGTTCGACTGGCAGGCCGGCTCTACCTCGCCATCATCTCCAGACGGGGGCGGCTTAGACGGCTATGTCGTGCGGGCCTTTTGGGTCTACTGGGCCGTCAGTGTGCCGCTGACCATTCTTGTGCTCGTCGGCTGGCGCGTCTGGTGGCATCACCAGAGATCGCAATATGCACGCCAGTACCAGCACAGGACGCAAACCAAGGAGGGGTCCAAGATTGCCTCGGAAGCGAAACTGAAGAAAGGTTGGGCCAAGTACCTCCGTAGGAGGAGAGTGGAGCCAGACTATTAGGCGAGCAACGAGACAGCTACGCGATCTGAAGGAACCGGACAGTTGCAGATTATGCATTTCTCTTGCACGCCTAATAGTCTGGCTCGGGCAGCTCCTAATTAGTCAAGCGCCTGCATACATGACATGTTCAAGCGGCGGGCACAGAGGCTTTTCCCAGCCCAGGAGCTTGCTCAAACTTCAGCTGCCACCTTTCCCACTGGTTGAACATGGCAATGCAGTCCAGCGCGGATGGGGCGCCGAACTGAGGATCGGCACCGCCCTCGAGGAGAGCCTGAGCAATGCACAATTCCGGGTCAGAGAAAGAAGGGACAAGGTGGCGGAGAGCATGGCAGCTTGGCAAGGGACCGACCTCAATGACGGCATCCTCCTTCTTGAACACGGCCCCTGCGAGCGGGCTCTGTCCTCGGTCGTTGAGCCGGTTGGGGTCGGCCCCGTGCTGAATCAGCAACTCGACCAGTTCGGCGCGGCCGTGGTAAGCAGCGAGCATCAGCTGTTGGAGACAGCAGTGAGCATCACGTTCGGGACAGCGGGCTATCCCAGGCGGGGGGTATGAGAGCAACGAAGCGAGCTCGCGCAATAATATAAAACGAGACCAGGAACAAGAAAAAAAAGAGGAAAAAAGAAATGACAACTACCAGAGTATCTCCCTTGTCATTGGTCAAGTTGGCAGGCAAGCCGGCAGGCAAAGCTTGCCTGAAAACGTCCAAATCGCCTTGCCGCGCAGCGTTGTACATGCGGGTCGCCAACTCAATTGCCTCTGGAGGAATGGCGCTGGCGGCTGGAGAGGGCTGTGCAGGGATGTCCATGCTGAATGAGGTCTGCGCTCCAAAGGTGCTTCAAATCGCGCAACCGTCAATTCCAAGTGCGCAGAACGCAAAGGTATTGTGTCTTCTGGCTGGAGGCGTGTTGCATGGCCAGGCTAAGGTTGCCCGTCTCGGTGACGACCATATGATATGCTGTTGGCCGTCGGGGTTGAGAAGGTGCGCGAAGCTTTGTCCCAGAAGGCTTTCCCTTGGCTGGCAGCTGGCTCGCAAATTGCCAGCGGCTGTCTGCAGCGGCTGCCCGCATGTCGTATGACTAATCACCCAAGAAGACGCAGTTCACCACCCCGCAGTCCGCCGACGGAGAATTGTGGGGTTAGCCCAAAATGAACAGAACCGAACCCAAGAGCCACCACGTTCCATCGCCAGGCACCGTCGCCAGGCACCGTCGCCAGGCACCGTGTTCGCCATGCAAATTTACGACTACCTACGGATGCCCTGATAAGGTATCCAATTCATACACATTTCTACGAGTAACTGAAGACAGCCAGAAATCAGAACGGAGGAAAAATGGAGGAATAAAATGGAGGAATACAATGGAACCCAGGCAGAGCCTTGGTCGTCCAACACGGACAGCTCGGAAGCGGCGAGACAGAGGCCCACTCAGCGTGGCGTGGTTCCGGTTCGTTCAATTATTCTACAGCCGCCGATGTTGGCCTGGAACTCTGCACCAACACAAGGCCCGGGCCGATCTCAGCGTATTGCTCCACTGAAATCAAGCTTGTTGGCTTCTGGGGCGCCGGGATTGACAAAGCGAGCCTCGACGAGATTGACGTGAGATGCGACGGCATGTGGGCAGCTTTTAAGCCCGACAGCAGCGAACGGCGGGGGGGAAGGGGGAGGGGGGCAGAGGGGCAGAGACAGAGCGCCAGCGCAACAGGCGCTGTAGCTCACCTCAGCTGCAGCAACCATTGCCCCGCGGATTGGAAGGCTCGCGGCCCAACAGCGCAGGCCATGGCAACTCGTCGAGGCCCGCCGCCGTTTCAACAGCCAAATGGGCACAGCGGGATGCGCCGCAGGCCAAGGATGTTGCCGCGATTGAAACGTCACAGAAAATCTTGTTGGCAGCAGCTGGCCACTGAGCTTCCGCCATCAGCCAGCAGCGCCGCAGCATCAGCGCAGCCAAAGTGACCCGCCGCCGCGAACGCCGCCGATTTTAGCGGGTCTCCGATTCCCCAGAAACCCAAGACACCGAGCATCTGGGACAGGGTGGGACATTGCCTGTTGGACTTGCAGCCCACGGCGGCCGGGCGGCCCACGCGAGCTCCCCGGGGCCCTTGCAGCGGTCGAGGGCGCAGGAAAGAATGTCATGGGGAACGCTTTCGATGGAAGTGAATAAAACAACACGGCTTTCCCGTGCTTGGCCGCCCTGCTCAAATAAGACCAGCTGAGGTGGCTTCTTATTTGTTTCTTTTCTTCTCCGTCCTTCCTTTGCCCTGTTGATCCGGGGCTGCGGAGTAATCCGTCACACGACACGCAAGACGTCGCAGTCCGTCTCTGCCAGTGCTCTGTGCTCTGTCATTGTCGCCAATCGACCGAAACAGGTTGCTCTCTCTTGTGGAATAAGCGGCAGGTCCGCCCAGTTGGCTCTTACAAGACACGCTCTTTCGTCAGATTCGGCCGCCCGTCATGTCGTCTGGGGGGGACTCACGGGACATGGACCTTGATATGGACACGCGGTCCGAGCCAGGGTTCATGCCGTCACAACTCAACGACGATGGCGAGAACTCGGGCAGAGGGGTTGGGGGCGAGACGCCGCTGCCCTCTATCGACTCGTACCCGTTCCGACTGCGGGGGCAGAAGCTGGTCGTCGTTCCCGGCGAGGGCTCGCTGCTCGACTACTTCGACCTGCCGTCGCCGCCCAATTCGGTGATGCTGCACCGGACGCTCAGCCCCTTCCCGACGCCGCCCACGAGCCCCGTGCACCCGGACTCGTCCATGTCGCCCCACCACAACCGGCTTGCTAGCAGCCCGCTCGCGCTAAACCCCCCGCTGGCCCCCTCCGACTCGTCCCCGCCGACGCAGTCGATGGCCTCCATGCCGTCCCACCTCAATCAGCCAATGACGCCGCCGCCCAGCAACACCGACGAGTCGTCGTCGTCCTCCGAATCGTCCCCCGAGCTTGGCTCCCCGCCAGCCGGCGGCCGGCGCGCCCTAAACAGGAGGACCCCCTACTACCCGCCGAACTCGTCGCGCACTGTTGACCGCACCCGCATCTACATGAACCGCGGCCCGCATGCCCTGCCTAACTGGACGCCCCTGACCAGCCTGCCCCGCCACGTGCAGCTGCAGATCGAGGATCGCATGGTCAAGTTCACGGCGCCTTGATCTTGCGTGCAGACGCAAAGGAATTTATCGAATTTCCGTTTTCTTCTTTTTTCCTTGAAGTGCCGGTTTGTAACATTTACTGCCGGGGGCAATATATCAATGGCGACTTCGCTCAAAAATCATCAGGGCTGCATCCAGGCCACACGCCTCGCCAACGTGGAGGGGAGATGGCATAGTCGTTCAAAATAGGGGTTCTGGGGGTTTCTTTCGTTTTTCCCCTTTTCTTTTTTTCTCTTTTTTTTCTCTCTTTCTTTTTCTCTCTTTTTTTTTCTTTTTTTTCTTGGGGTCAACCACGGGATCGCAAAATTCGCGCATGGAACATGTGCACAAGACAAAGGGAAGGAATTTCTTTCTTATCGAGCTATCAGAGCTCACTGCATTAGAAGGAAACGCCGAGCGGCGGAGGCACACGCAATCGCATGGACAAAGGTGTTTTGGTGACTTTTGTTGGAGGTTGTCAGATTGTGCAGCCGCTCAACTTTGAGCGCAGGAAGGGATCGAGACTGTTTTCTCGCATATTACTGGATTTAAAACGTTTTTCGTTATTTCCAACAGTGATTATCACTCTTCTTTTCTTTTTGAACTGGGTCTATTTGCAACTCTCGAGTTGCACGTTCAAAGTCTTTAGCGAACATTAATCCAGTGATTACCGAGAGCTTGTTTCTGTGGAACTGCTCCTTCGTTTCTCGCCCCTAGTGATTCTGCACCAGACCAGGGCCGTTGATCATGCAACTCACGATCCCAAACTCGAAGCGGAAACATCCGTATGGCAACACAGGTTTGCATAGGCACACATCACACGTAATGAAGCTGGGCGACTGTGGGCAATGGCGTGCTGACCCCAGGAATAAACAGGCACCTCCAGCCGATTCGGCAATTTCTCACGAGGCCGGACTCGCTTCGACATCAGCTGCTTTAACATCAGCTGAAGGATCAATAGCGACTTGTAGGGTGGGCGGCGAAAGCAGGCGTGCCCAGACAACCACCACAACCACTAACGTTAATTTCGTCGAGTTTCAGACCCGTCGCGGGCCCAGCCCTATTACTGAGCCACAGCACTTGCACAAGCGAGCGGCGGAGATGATAAAGTCTCCCAAATGTCCCCTTTCCCTTTCTCAAGCACCCGAGATGGAGTGCGGTCTCCGTGTGACGGGGCCGGCCGCAAGCCGGGACCCCGGCCAGCTCCACCAACATCAGACCGGCTCGCATTGCCAATGGGATTCCTTGCGCAATTCTCCTCTGCCCGGCTACGACATCGGGCCGTCCCACCAGCTCTGGTGGATACGGTGGCGGCCGCGAGTTCAGATGTGGCAGATGTCCTCGTGAATCTCGGCCCGGCCTTGACACGTGCAACCCCCGGGCCGGGAGTCCTGGTTTGTTCTCGGGAATAATCATTGCATGCCGATGATTGACAAATATTTCCATCACATGCCGGCCAAAAACAGATGGGACTGAACAAAACCGGCGGTCAGAATACATGGATGTTGACATTTCTTCAACTTGACAAATACCAGCAGGAAAATAAGCAGTGGGAAAATACAAGACAAAAATACGGACAACCCGTCGAATCCACTTCCTCCAGACCCTTTCCGGGCGAGGGAGATCACAGCATCTGCATGAAGTCGCCGTCGTTCGACACAGTCGCCTTCCGCTGCGGACGCAACCAATTTGGAATTGGAATCGGGTTTATCTTGAACGAGGGGAAACTCTCGAGCGTGAATGTCGGTGCTCTTTTCTTCTCCGTCGGAGGGGGCGGACTGCTGATTTCTGTCTTTGGGGATTCTAGCTTTGGGGGTTCTAGCTTTGGGGATTCTAGCTTTGGGGTTTCTGGCTTTGGGGTTTCTGGCTTTGGGAACCTGATGTGCGCGTCGGCGTCGACCTCCGGCTGCTGCTGCTGCTGCTCAGGCCGAGCTTTGGAGGCGATGAGTCCCATTTCCGGGCCTAACTAATTGGAGGGCAGATGCTGTTATCCCCGGAAGTCAGTGATTTGTGATCATCAGCTGGCCGTCAGGGCACCATATGCGTTTCGGGAGCCGTCGGGCTGACTCAGATGACCCGACGGTGTCTTTGACTTTTTGGGCCGAAGGTGGAGGGCATGATTTTGAATTCCACGGAACCGAGGGACAGGGGATACGACACCTTGAACGAATTTAACACACACCTTGGATTTGTAATTGCCGTGCTGATAATCTCTGATTCCAGGATTTGGCACGTCGAGTGTTGTGAAGTGGACAGGCCGAATGTTGTGCACAGCCCCTGAATCGCGATTACACGTTCAACTTCAGTTCCACTGAGACGCTTGACGACGACCTTCTCTAGGAAGAGCAAAAACAACGAGATTGGCGATGAAATGGAATGCCAAGCGAGGCTGCAATTTCCCCTGCACTCACAAATTGCCGAGGTCTGGACTCCAACTTTGGCTGCGCCGCAGCGGAGAATTGTCAACGGCCGCGGCCCGGTCCGGGCCCGGCCGCGGCCCCCCCTTGACCTAACCCCTGCCCCCGGAGACTGCGCCATGAAACGGGCAAACGAGCTGGCTCCAAACGTCACAAAAGCGCCCACGTGGTGGCTGTCTCATAAGTCTCGTGCTCTCCCCGTCTCGTCCCCTCCATTACCAAACCGTCGGCGAGACACTCTGGTCTCCTGGACCTATCACTTGTCTCTCTGCTGAGCAAGCTCCCGAATCTCCCCGGATTCTTGATTTCGGCTAACCGAAGCTGGCCTCGCCGACCAAACCGGCCACACGCCAAACACTTGACGGACGCGTCCCAGCCCGGCCGGTGAGGGCTGGGCGGGGTTACGCAAGTCTCGCACCTCGGCCACCAGTTTGAAGCGAGTTTTGACAGGCGCTATTTCGAAATGAATATAAGGCAGTCGTACCTCGCCGCTTGGCTGCTTTGCTGATCCCCCTTCATCCTGCTTCTCATTTTGACAACCTGAAGGTAACCCGCCGCAGACTGCCTCGACTCTCTCACGACCTGAAATCAACCCAGAAGTAGCCTCAGTCGAGCAATCCAGGCTTCTGAGCCTCTCGTCCTTCTCGCCTTCTCCACGTGGCAATCGGCGACGATCACCGACAGTCGGTCATCATGAATCGCTCGCAGTACATCCCCCAGAACCCGTACCAGATGTCGCCATATCCTCCGCGATATGATGGCCAACAACAACAACTTCAGCAGCAGCAGCAGCAGCAGCAGCAGCAGCAATACTCACCGTACCCAGGGCAGCAGCAGATGTCCCCCAACGGGCAGATACTCACATATCCCCCATCAACATACGCAGGCCATGGCATGAACCAAATGGCACAGCAACAGCAGCAGTACCAGCCTGGTGCCATGTGGGCGAGCGGGTTCCCAGCGGGGCCCATCATCGAGGATCTCTGCGCGCCGCCGATGGGCATGGTGGGGCCGGGCTCGCCGCCGATCAACTCGATGCCGGCGCGCATGCCCATGGGATCGATGCACCCGTCGAGCATGCCGCAGGTGCAGAACGTCTTCGGCCTGCGCCACCCCACATACCACAACATGGTCATGCCGCCGCAGAACGCCATGCAGGCCCAGAGCATGCAGTCGCGCATGGTCGGCTCGTACCCGCCCTACGGCGTCACCCCCCGGCAGCAGGCCCAGGCACAGCAGCAGGCGCAACATCACGCCCACCAGCAACAGCAGGCGCAGCAACACCAGCAGAGGCAGCAGCAACAGCTGCAGCAGCTGGACCCGAGTACCATGATGCCGCGCACTGGCGCCACCCGCGTCGACACCACCACCGGCTTCCCCTCGGACGTGGCTCCGTCTGATGATGCGGGACTCGGGCAGCACATGACGTCTCCTGGCGGGAACCCACAGGCTGGCATGCCGCTGACGCCCGACAACGGCTACAACAGCTTCATGTCGCCTTAGGCGCCACACTCTCTCTCCATCGACACCTGACACGAGTGATATGGGTCTCAACACAGACAATGAATTATGCACTGGCTGAAGACGCCTTTTCCTAGGACCAACCCTAGAGCCCCTTTATGAACTCAAACTAAGCGTGCTACATAGCCCGGCAGAGCACACACACACACACACACGCACGCACGCACGCACGCACGCACGCACGCACGCACAACCGTAAGATGAACGCACAAACCGCCCAAAAACCAAACCAGACTTGCCATGTCATCTTCTTCGTACCAAGAAAGTGATGCCACGAACTGCCAATACCCTCCCAGTAGCATGCATAATACCTGTTTGGGCGAGTCATCCCCTGTCGCCATCATGCATCCTTGTCGCCATCATGAACTCTAATATGATAAAGTCCGTCGTGTGAGCAGAAAGAAAGAGAAAAGAAAAGAAGAGGAAAGTGGGGGACGACAAGAGGAAAGGAACAAACGCAAATGCCCATTTTTAATGCACGGAATGAATGAAATAATACTTGCCCACGCCTCGACGGAGACCTCAATGGACTCGGGCACGAACGCCCCCTCCACAGCCACAAACACATCGTCAGCGGCGGCCGGGGAGCATCACAACCACGACATCGCAGGATGGAAGACGGGGTCTCGTTTCCATTTTTTCTGGGGTTTGCATCCTCTGTTTAGGAGGACGAGGGAACTTGGATGGATTATGACTCGGTTATGGCTGCTTTGAACTTTTACTACTAGGATATTACTTATTGGCAAAGAAAGGTGCGGCGGTGGAAATCATTGCATAGCATAGCATAGCGTGGCATGACGTGGCATAGCATAGCATGGGGGGGGGGGGGGGGGGCATGGATGGCATGAGGCGGGAGTTTCATAGGCGCAAATCGAGTTTTCAAAACAATCCCGCAGAATCGGCGGTGTCGTGAAAGAGGTTAAGCAGAGCTAGTAGTGAGATCCAGTCACGCGTGATGCTTTGTGCTCACAATTATTACTCGAGTATCAAAAGTTTCTCGCATGCCACATTGCCACGTCTTTCCCTCTTGCTTCGTGTTTGTCGCTTCTGGCCCAAAGGGACATGTCTGAAGTGATGCGAGATAGTTCAACATCTCATTGTTCTCATTGTCCCTATTGAGTTCTCGCGTGGGCACTGGGAACTGCTGAAAAACGTGGAAGTAACTTTATCGTTTAATATTCATGCCTTGATGTCTAATTGTTTCCAATCTAGGACTCTACGGCTGGCCAAACCCATTATCACGACATCTACACCTCAGCCTTGTCATATTCTAATAACTATGCCAGTATTCCCCTTCCCTTAAACGCCGACCAATACGGAAACCCATATTACACAGAACCTGGTAAATCCCCAAGCATCAGTCCTCACGCTGGTGTCTCGGCGGCCTGGCATTGGCGGAGGCTACATAGTGGCCCCACGTGATCAGCTCTCGGCTGCAATCATCCTGGTCGATGGTGCACTCGATCAGGGTAGGGCCGCCATCGTGCTTAGCCGCGATAGCGATCGCCTCGGCCAGCTCGCCCGCCGTGTTAGCCACGAGGCCCTTAGCGTCGCCGTCGGTGCTGTTGAAGGCCCTGATAAGCATGGCGTAATCCCAATTCTTGATCTTGTTGTACGAGCCGTCGTGGATCTCCACCTCGATGGTGTAGCCGCGGTTGTTGATGAGGATGATGGTTATGGGGATGCGGAACCGCACCATCTGCGACACCTCCTGCGCCGTGACCTGGAACGAGCCGTCGCCGACCATGACAATGGTCCGCCGCTCCGGGTAGTGCAGGGCGTAGCCGAATGACGCTGGTATGGACCAGCCGATGTGGCCCCATTGCATCTCAATCTCAAACTGCGCGCCTTGCGGCAGCTTGAGCTGGATCCCGTTGAACCAGCTGTCGCCTGTTTCGACAAACAACGACGTCTTGGGACCCATCATGTCTTGCACTTGTCGCGAGATCTCCTTTCGGGTCAGCGCGTCCTCGGGGGCGGCGACATGCAGGTGCAGGGGATCTGGCCGTAGGCGATTGTATTCGACCATTGTTGTGTCGTTGAAGGACACCTGCTCGGCAAGGCGACCGAGGAATTCGGGGAGCCGCACGCGGCTGAAGTGGGCGCCTGGGAAGGTGACATGGTCCATGTCGGCGGCCATCAGGGGGATATCGGGAACGGCGGTCCAGCCGACGGTGCTATAATCGTTGAAGATGGTTCCCACGCAAATGAGAGCGTCGGCCCAGTGCACGATGGTATCGGCTGCGCCTGTACTGACCTGGCCCCAGAAGATCCCGACAAACTGAGGGTGGTCTTCAGGAAACATGCCCTTGGCCGCGGGCTGCACAGCGACGGCACACCCCATTGCTTCGGCCAGCCGGAGCAGTTCGGCCTCGGCTCCAGCCCGTCGCAGTTTGGGCCCGACGAGGATCACGGGCTTCAGCTTGCCACTAAGATACTCAGAGGCGCAGTTGCCGGCAGCTTCAAGCGCGGCCGGGTCGCTGACAACGTAGTCGGTGACGGCGCTGATTGGTCCCGGCCGCACGCAAGAGGCGCCAGCCAAGTTGGTTGGGATCTCGATGTAGCACGGCTTGCGCGCCAGGAGGGCGTGCCGGATGGCGCGGTCAATCAGGCGCGGGGCCTCTTCGGCGCGGGCAACCGCGACAGCACAACATGTGATCTTCTTGGCCATTTCGTACTGGTACGTGTAGTCGCCATTGCCCAGAGTGTGGTGCAGGATGTGGAATTGGCCGGCGTCGTTGGTGTTTGGAGATCCGCTAACGAGAATCAGGGGCAGATTCTCGGCGTAGGCGCTTCCCGTGCCGTTGAAGGCCGAGAGGGCGCCGACGCTGAAGGTGACGACGCAGACGGAGGCGCCGTTGGCCCGGGCGTAGCCCTCGGCGGCCATGGAGCAGTTGAGCTCATTTGCACAGCCAATTTCGGTCAGGTTGGGGTTGGCCGAGAGCTTGTCGAGGAGAATGAGATTGTAGTCGCCCGGCACGACGAAATGATGGCAGATGCCAATCTCGGCCAGGCGCTGGGCGAGATAGTCGCCGACTGTGAACTTTTTGTCGTGTGCTGACATTTTTGCCTTGTTTTTCTCGATGCTGAGTTGAGTGCGATGCAAACGCTTGCTATTGCGAGGAGCCCCGTCGACGCTGGATCGTTTTATCTCTTTTCTTTCGCCGAAAATATGCGGTCATTGCGGGCCGGTCGCCGCTCCCCGACAATAGGAGCATGACGAGGGAATGCGCTGATGTCTGCATGATGCACGTTGGTAGGTTACTGCTGCTAGGCTGTGCTGAAGAGGCGCCGCCAAGGCGCGATTCGTGTGTTCTGGAGCAACTGGGTGGCGTGAGGTGCGCAAGCACCTCACAGACTGCCGGGCTTCGTCAGGAACAGTGGGGGGCTCTAGGCTGTGGTCCCTGAATTTGTCCAACCGGCGGATGCATCGAGCTTCGGACCGAAGCTGGGTGGGGTGCGAGTGGCAGCATCAGACCACCCCTTTGCGGGCAGTTCTTTCCCAAATGGATGCAACAGGGAAGTCACAGGAAAGTCCACCGATAACTCGAAGAAAAGCCGATGTCGCCCCAGGAAGGAGCGCCCCGCGCGAAATGACACGAGGAACATTGGCCTTCGGGTTTTAGATACCATTCGGGAGGCTGAGAAAAGCGGGCCGCTCGGCGCCTCCCGGCCGCCCTCCAACGATTTTAACGCTTCTTGCTAGGGCCAAAACCCCTCCACGTCCTCCATCGGGGCGGCGATTCGGAGAAGGAAAGAACAAATGCCAAGCCAACAACAAGATTAACGGACAAATCCAAAGATTCCAAACGTCTGCTTTTCTTCCGATATTACGGAGTGCGTGATGTGCAACTTTGCCCAGCATTCACTTGGACCGTGTATAACCCTGACGTGGGTGGAATCCCATAATTTACCCTGACTAAGGTGCTCGACTCGGAGGATATCGAATAAAGTACAAGCATAAAGAGAAAAGGGTTTATTCGAACTGACTTCGGTTGTACACTCATCATAACAATTATTAGTCACCCATCAGTTCACCTCCGTAACAGCCCCCCGTCGTGTCCCTCGATACCAACCACTCACTGACAGATATAGCTCTGCGCCAAGTTAGTCCCGAGCCCGCAATCGTACGTGTTAATAGTCAGCGGGACGGCGGTGCAGTTGTGCGTCTGCGTGCCGTCGGTGGCGAGCGCCGTGGCTTGCTCGGCCGCGTCCAGGGGTGCCCCATCGGCGTAAATAAGCGAGATTGAAGCCGTGGACCTGGAATAGGTGGCCGCACAGCGGGTTGGTCGGGATGCCTGCTGGGATGCCTGCCGGGACGCCTGCCGGGACGCCCTGGACGACGGTGTGGTTGAAGCGCAGGTCCGGGATGGCCGACTTGACGGGTGTCCCTGTGTGTGTTTGAGCCAGTATGGTGGGTGTTGGACAGGGGGAGAGTTGGTAGGGCAACACCAACAGGATTTTCATCGTGCTGTTGTCACGAAAATGCCGTATTGGTCTCGGAGAAAAGGACGGGCGTCTAAAACAACGCCTACGATCGTGTCGCCCGATCATCCGTGATCATTGAGCAGGGGGGAGGGGGGGTCAACAGCCAGGGGCTGCATCACCTCACTATGATCTTCAAGACAACCTGTGTAGTAGTTAGATAGAACATCTACTTTCGTCTCATATTGTACACTCTTATTAGCTATGATATTTCCAAAAAGAAAAACGAAAAACAGACCAAATAACCGTCTTCAGTCAACTATCAATACAGCTTGGAGCTGAAGTGCGGGTTCTGCCTGTCCCCGGACAAGACAGTACCGTTCCCAAGCACGGTGCCATTCTTCAACACGGCTGGCCGGCCCAAGTGGAAGCCGGGCGCCGGAGCCCGGTCCACGGTGCCGTTGGCGTAGATGACGCCAGTGAACGGCGCGTCCGCGGCGGGCGCAACGAAGGCCTTGGCGGCTGAAGCGGTAGAAGCAACAACAGAAGCGGCAGCAACACGATTCTTGAGGAGCGGGTTCCTGCGGCTACTAACATCGCAGTTCTGGCTGGCCATGTAGAGGTTGAGGCCCATGGCAAGTACACGGGCCTCGGCGCCGAGCTGGCCAGGGAAGGCGCTCTCGCCGGTGTGGATCAGGCCGAGGTAGTCCTGCAGGATCACCGTCGGCCAGGCCTCGGGGCTCATGGAGTTCACGGCGGCCCAGTACAGCGACGGGTTCGTGGGCAGGATGGCGATGCTAGACAGGCCGTACAGCGTGGCCGTGACCACGTCCGGCGTGCACTGCCACTGCGTGATCAGGAAGCTGTCGCCGCCGCCGCCGTCGCGCCGCGTGCCCGTCATGTGCGCCACCTGCGCCGCCGCCAGCGACGCCGTGTCGCCCTTATCGGCCCAGAAGTCGTCGCGATCCATCCAGTCAGGCCCGTGGAAGATACCCGACGCCGGACGCTCCGTCGGCACGCCGGCCTGCAGCCGGCCGTCGGTCATGATCAGCACGCAGCCCTTGCCGCCATTCTGGTCGAGGAACTTCTGGGCTGCCAACCGGTCGAACTTGGTCGTCTTGTCCAGGCCGCTGGTGCATCGGTTGTTGATGCTCTCGAGCTTAGTATAGAACTCGTTGGCCTTGGCGGCGCTCCAGTACCGCGTCCTGCCGTCGATGCTGCTGTCGAGGTTGACTAGGTACCGCACCCATAGGATGATGACCTCGCCCGGACTCCCCTGCGTGAAGCGGTTGATCCCGGCGATGATGTCATTGACGGCTTCTCCGGTCGCGCCGACGGGGGTGTTGCTGGTCTCGTCGTTGACGTGGGCGGCCCAGAAGTCGCCGCCGTTCACGCTCACGAGCCGCATGTCAAACCAACGTGATCCCGCTCGTAGCTGGTCGTACGTGTTGAGTCCCTGGGTCTGCGTGTTGGGCGAGCTGCCGAGCCCGATCCAGGCTTGGCTGATGGTTCCCATGCCGGCGTCGTGCGACCCAGGCACGACGACGTGCCGCAGCTGCCGGTCCTTGATCACGTCGTACAGCTGCCGCATCCAGTTGTTCTGCTGCCCAAAGTCAAGGGACGTGATGTAGCCATATTGCTCGCTCCCCGTGATCACCAAGGTGACGGACGCTTCTGGCGCTGGGTCCCCGTACTCTCGCTGGCCCAGCCCCATCCCCGTGAGGTCGACGACAGTGCGCATGGGGTAGGACCCTGGGATGTGCGTGGTCCCGCGGATCGTGAACGTCTTTCCTGTTCCCTGGAGTTGGTAGTAAGCTTCGCCGTTGTCATCGACAGGATTTGCTCCGACTCTATTCGTGTAAGTCATTGTGTTTTGTCTCGCCTTTCCGGATGGGATATCGCCAAAGTCAAATACGTCAAACTGGTACGAATTCTGACTCGTCTTGACGAAGCGGTACGGAGTCAGATTGACTGTGGATTAGTGTCAGCACTGCAGGTTGTGGTCAGATGTTGTGATGGGCGAACGAACCAATTGTGATGTAGTACTTGTGGCTGGCGCCCGAGTTTATGGGCAGCATGTATTGCCAGGGCATAAAGCTCCCAGCTGGCATTGTCTCGGTGCTGTACACGCGGTCTGACGCCAGACACGTGTCTCCCTGGTCGTTCTTTGCGAGTGAGGTTGTTTGGCTAGCCCGAATATCAACGACATTGTTTACGTCACTGATATCGTCGGCCCTTGGTCGAGCAGGCCGGGGCTGCGAATTACTCTTGACCCTGGCAAGGGGGCTGATTTGGGGAGGGACAATGGCTGCCCGCGTCTGCCAACATAGACAGATCCATAAGAGGACCGTTACCAAAGAGTGCCACATTTCTACAGCCCGGATGGTAATGGGGGACAATAGCGCGAGTCTTTGGCGGAAGCTGTCGTCCCACACTTCGCCCTGTTCGCAGAGATGCGGAACTAACTAGTCGTGTCCAGGGTTGTTCAGACCATGGTCGCTTCTCGAGGGCGTGGAGGCTCTAGAAGAGCCGGATGCAAGGGTTGCATGTCTGGAATGAGTGTAAATGGGATTGGATGTGTGTCCAGGCTCCTATTTATCTGATTCAAGGTATCCAATCCCGACAGAAATCGGGGGGTCCGGCGGCCGCAGCGGCCATGATTCCCTAGTGCAGGACGACCGAGGTGGCTCATTAAAGGTGTCCCGTGCCCCGATGGATCGACGTTGGCCACGTTCCTTTCGGGCCGCTTCTTGTGATTGCGGATATCGAGATGCTCGGCTCAAATTACAACGACAGATTTCAGCTCGAAGTTGTTGGAACAGTGCTGAATTGACAAATAGCATGGCTGAATAGCATGGCTGAATAATATGCATTGAACTAATGTGCCAAGATCATCAAGACAAGAAAAGAAAAAGAAATAGAGAAAAATCAGGAACATTTTTTGCATGCCCAGTGGCAAGTGCAAACAGTTCATGCACCAGCGGCACAGCACTAAGGGCCAGCGGGTGAGAGTGGCCGAGTCGGCAGGGCCTGTGGCGGGAGTGTTGCTTGGCTAGAGATTCGGTGAGGGGCAGCACACTCGGCCGCCAGGATTGCGGCCAAAATCAAGGTTCATGCATCTTGCATCGTTGCCCGTGACTCGTCTACCCGGATTCGGCAGGTGCAAGGACGGGATCGGTAGCATTTTCCAGGCACGACGCCGGTGGCAACGTTGTGCTGGCCGCCACTCATTAGACCTAGACATCCATGCACTCAGTGGAAATACGACTGTTGCGATTGCGTCTGGGGTGCATTTGGCTCGCTTGCCTATGCCGTCCAATTCAATTTGTCCAATTCAATTTGTCCAATTCAATTCGTCCAATTCAATTCGTCCAAAATCGCGGACATCCAACCAATGTATGACCCCGGCAACCACGACGCCAGAGAAGACGGAGACGGAGACGGAGACGGAGACGAAGACGAAGACGAAGACGGAGACAAGAGGTTTGAGGTCGCACACCCGCCGGAATTGAGGTATATACTATGTGCACACCCAACCCAAGTGGCAAGTGCAGGCTGCGGTTGCGGTTGCAGTTGCGATTGCGGTTGCGGTTGCAGTTGCGGTTGCGGTTGCAGTTGCAGCGGCATAATCGTTGCTCACCAACTTGAGACGAAAAGGCTACAGGCTGATTGCTGCTCAACCCCACGTCTCTGCAATGGGCTGTCGACGAGATGGCAACTTTATTTCGCGGCAGGATGCGTGTCCTCCACATTTTCTGCGCCGCCCCGAGAGCCACGCACACGTGTAACGGTGGCACCCTTGCAGATTCAACGGCCCCGATTGCGCCATGTCTGATACGCCCATCACGCCGGCCTCGACGGCCACAACCCCGGCTTTTGTCGCGGGGACGGCGACGTCGCTGCTGGCGCTGACGACGCCGTTTGCGCGGCCGCCGTCGTGCGGCGAAATATTCAGCACGTCGAGCATCGTCTCGAGCTACTGGTGGGACGACTACTCCCTCACCACGGTGCAGGTCTTGGCATCCGACGCCGCAGACCCGCGCTTCGCCTCGTGCCAGCCGCCGGGATGGGGCGCCGTCGTCTCGGCGAGCCGCTTCTCCTTCAGCCCGGCCGTCTGCCCCACCGGTTGGACTGCCTACAGTGTCAAGGCGCTGGCCGCCCAGTCGACGACGGCGTACTGCTGCGACCGGTTCGTACGAGTCCAGTCTGGAGACGCGCATTGCTATCGCTGACTGCGAACTTACTTGTCTTGCCTACCTAGTGACTACCACCTGGAGTGGCCCGTCTCGGACCTGTCCATCAGCGGCATCGCCAGCCCAGCGTGCTTTGTGAACCTCGGCACGACGCTGCTGCCATCCTCCTCGTCGTCGGTGCTCTTTCCCAACGGCATCCAGGTGCACAACGCCTGGCACATAGCCTGGGCGGCATCCGAGACGTCGACACTGTCACCGACGCCGCCCCAGCTCGCCTGTGGTCGCACCCTGGCAACCTGGGTGCCCGGCGAAATCGTCCCGCCTTCCAATGTCAGCAGCGCCGGCGTCTGCCAGGACGACTCCAGCAACAGCGGGGTGGCGATTGGCCGGTCCTTGTATCTATTCCTTGTCGTTGGGCTGCCGCTCATCTTTGTCGCCATCTTTGCCTCGTGCTGCGTGCTGTGCTTTTGCCGGCGGCGGCGCGGGGTGCGCGGGGTGCGCGGGCGACCACACAAGCTGCCGGGCAATTAGGCATGGGTGACGATGCAGCCGCCTGCGCGTGTTTGTGTGTTCGTTGGTGGCTGTAATTGTGCTGGGGGTGGGGGTTTAGCAGGACCGCTGGCAGGACCGCAATTAGGTCATCTAATGTTTTCAAAGTGGCAGTCAAGGAGTGACAGTCAAGGTGTGGTCTGTGTGTGTATTAGACGGTTTTGGTCGAGGTTTGAGAAGCTGCGCAGCAACAGGAATGTCGAGACAGTGGCGGCCAACCGGGGCAGGGATGGGAACGCCGGATGTGGAAGGGAGGGAGAATGGGTTTGGCTCAGCGATGAAACCTTTGAAGGCGCGGCTGGGACGGCCGAAGTGTAACTATTATCAACACAGCGGTTAATTACACCTGGTGGCCCAAATTCATGGATGCCAGTGTCAACCTGCTGTGGTGTGCCGAGAACTTGTGCACGCTGTCCTGTTAACCAACGGAGCCTTCTTACTGGCCGAGTTTGTCCAAACACAGCCAGCATCTGACATGGCTTCTACATGTTTTGTTGGCCGCCCCGTGTTACCATCCTGCAGTTGTGTACCTTAGCCTCCTATCTCATCAAACGGGAACCCACTAGCTAATTGGCTTAGCATGAGAATAACTTCCAATTCTGGGCAATATTCTCTCTACCTCAGTCTGCTTGCCAAGGTACCAGAAGTTGACAATGGAGGTGCCACATTACGCCTTGTTCTTGGCGACCTCCTTTGGGTAACACTAACGAACACACGAAATCCAATTAACTTTGCTTCCCAGACACTTGTCCAACTGGCTAATACCACCCATTGGAATCTGTTCACGTTTACTGAGATACCGCGTGGCTGGGCGACGGCACGGATGGCCCGGTTTTTGAGCTTGGACGCTGGATGCATGGCCTAGATTCCCAAACCTCATAGCAGTTGGTGACAGCTACAAATGGTCCTTTGTGCTCCCTTGCGCTCATTCGTTAGTCCAGGCTGAAGCTGACATGCTTAGCCTTTCCAGCAATGGAGACAAGAACAGCTTTCCAGGACAAAACGTGTACGTGAGTAAAGGGTGGCTTTCCTGAACCTCGAGTGATTGAGATAAATACCTGGACCGGCCCGCCTAACCTCTCGTATTCAATTCCCACCACTGGGCCCACCACTGGGCCACAAACAAATCAAACATAACATCCTGCCCATTAGCTCCGGACACTATTCCGTATTTTTTTGCCCTCGTTCCTTCATCGAACACCCGAATTTCCCGATTTCCATTTCCCTTTTCCGCCCCATAGCACACACCGATCAAGACTTCATTCCGGACTTCACTCACAGTCCCTGACCATTCCACTGGCATAGCACCAACCAAGCTCAGACCGTCTCCTCTATTATGTCACCTCAAACCCAGTCGGCTACCTATAATATTGTGAACAAGCTACCCAGCAGCTGCTCTCTCTTCAAGGCCACGGAAAAGGGCAGCGGCAATGGCACAATTGTTGTAGCCAAAAGGTTACTGGTCTCCGACAAGGATGCCGTCCGCAAAGAGCTGCTAAATATTCACCATGAACATCTCATGTCCTTGACCTTTGATCCGCCAGGAGCCAATTCCGATGATGGGACTCCTGAGCCAGACAAAGCATCTGGGTTGTTGATTATGGACTACTGTGAGGGAATATCTCTACAGGGTTTGATCGACAGGGCCACTCTCCTTTCCCTGAGCGAGGTGGCTCAGCTCATCGTCCAAGCTGCAAAGGGCCTGGATGCTGCTTTCGGGCCATGGCTTTCGTTGGGGTGACAAGGCTTCCGACAAGGCGATCCAGCAGCGCAAACCTTTACACGGCCTACAGCTTAAGAGTGTGAAACACGACAAAGGAATACCTGAAAGTGAAAGACAAGCTGACGAAGCTGGGCAAGGTATTCTGGGAACTCACCCCTATCGAGCCCAATAATAACCAGATGAGAAAGATTCATGCCAATGAATTGAACAGCGGCCTGCGAGTCAAGAGCGACGATGAAAAACTGGCCCTGCACTTACGCCTCGACCCTCGACCCTCCGAAAAGCCATGACTCCATCGGTGTTTTCTACATCGGCTCCAGCATGAACAGGGCCGATGTGTAGCTTCAACCAACCGAGAATAATCAGGTGGACTAAAAAGATGTTTCCATGACAATCGGAACCGCAGGCACAGTCACCATAGACAGCATAACCAAGAAAGGGGTCGATTTTATCCAGGACGGGAAGACCCCAGCGTCGATGCGTTCTGCGACCAGGCGAGAAATGTACGACTTCAGTAACCAAAGACTACAAATTCAAAGCCTACTTTCCAGCAACTGCCCCCCCCCGGGAAAACGCGCCTTCAGACCCGTCTAGTTCAGACGCGCCTATACCTGTGAAATCCTCCTCAGATGCGGACTCACCTCGACAGAGTGTCGACCAGGCTCGCAACACCAAGAAATGGATATCGGCTCGCAACGGCCAGGTCCGCTATGAGTCCAGATCGGACAATGCCGTAAAGGACGATGCACTGGGGGAGATTCTGCAAGTTCACCAGGAGGGACGGCAGGGGATGCGCTGTGTTGGGATAATCACTACATGAGAGTCGACCGGAATGCCAAGAGAAGTTGAAACCCTAAACGGTTGAAGTCATGTAAGTGCCACCTCCCAGAGAAGTGGAGAATGGTGGAACAATAATTACTTGGGTCACGGCCATGGCGGGTTCAGGAACATGCTGACAATCAATATCAACCCCCCATAGCTCAACATTTTTGCTTCTGTCTTTGATTGGGCGACGAGCAGACCGAAGGAGCAGATGGTACTCATGAGCTCCGCCAACGGCCGGAGTAGCATCATCGACAAGAAATGGGGCGGCTGGAGCACTTACGAGGCTGCTAGCATCATGCTGCACGCTGCCTCTGGCCTCAACAAGCTGCACCAGGAAGGAATCATCCACGGGGCCTTGGAGCCAAAGAGAATACTGGTGTCCCGTGGTCCTCTACTGCACGTTATGATAGCCGACGGTGGTGTTACCCAGGTGCTGGGGGGCCGGATCCGGGGCGGGCGGAAATACATCGCCCCGAGAGCTATGGCTCGAACGGGTCGAAGCCCATCACGAAAGCCGACGACGTCTACGCCCTGGCCAAGATCGTGCTCGAGGCGGTGCTGAAGGTGAAAACCAAGCAAACGAACCCAGACGTGCCTCTTGATACCGCGGCCATGGGTGCCAAGAACCAAGACACGGCCCGCGCGATACGCGACTCCATCACGGGCTACAACTCGACAGCCCAAGACGTCACCGCAAACAGGGAACCGTGAAAGCTGATAGCGCAGATCCTCACCAGCCCGGCGGCCGCGGTTACTACCAGCGGCAACCGGCCAGCCCAGCCAGCAAGTCCAGCGGCCGCAGAGGTGGCAGTCGTGGCGCAAAGCGTTCTCGATGGCATGCCCAAGCCCGTAGCGCCACCACAGACGGCGGCCGGCCGGGCCCTCATATTCTCAATTAAACGCAATAGTCATTTAAGAGACCTGATAGTAGCAAAATTGAAGATTAATTACCTAGTTTATTCAAAATGTAACTAGAGTTGAGTATTATTTTACAAGATGACGGAGCGAAAGAAGCTAAACATGGAACAAAGATGAGCATCATCGCGACAACACGGCACTTAACTCCTCCCCATTGAGAGGTGCCCAACCAGGCCTGATATCCAAGACACAAGCTCACAGCGACCTCACACCTTCTTCCTTCCCTTTGGCATCCTAGCCACCCAATACAGCCCTATCGCCGCCACAATATTGAACGCGATGAACGCCCACATGATCCCAAAATTCCGCCACCTGTCGTTGTAGTCGGCGCTCACGGCGGAAAGAAACACATTGGTGTCCTTGACTCTGCAGTAACTGCAGTTGTTGGTGGCATCAGAGTCAAGCAGGTAGCCTCCAGCCCTGTAAATGTACTCGGACATGTATGCGCCACAAGTCTGACCATCAGGAGGAGTGACGGTGGTGAATTCGTTGCTTGCACATGTGATCTCGACGTTGGCCAAGCCTGTCGACAAAATTGCCGAGACAAAGTACGACAGGGGCGAGACGCGGTAGAGGAAAATCCAGAAACGCGGCATCTGGTCTGGCGGAGCCAACACGCCACAAAAGAAGAACACAAGGACGAAAAAGAAGTTGGCGATATTCCCACCATCCTCGGCCGAGCCAGCGAAGGAAATGCACACATGCGCAAAGGTAGACACCCAAAGCAAAAACTGCCAGAACAGGAGCCACATCAACGCGCCACGCTCGGTGCCCTGCCCAGCGGCGTCGGCGTTTCTGTAGAGTCCAATGGGGAAGTAAAACAACGCCCACATGAACAGCGAGGCGAGGGTGCTCCAGGGGATCTCAGAGATGATCTGGGAGACCATGAAGACGCTCCAGCTATAAGTCTTGGCAGGGCGTTCGCGGACTTCGTACAACGAGCGCTGCTTGATGAAATTTGGCATCTGCTGTTCGACCAGTTGCCCGACAATGCTCATCATCTCGAAGATGGCAAACATTTGGTTTTGCAGCCCCTGCATCGTCAGAGGTGCGTTGAGAAATACCAGGCCAATGAACAGGGCGCTACCGACGCAAAGGACGAGTTTGGAGTAGATGTAGGACGGCGTTCGCCAGGACTGTTGAAACACGCGCTGTGTCACGACGACAAACTGCGCCCACAACGGCGCCGCGAATTCGTGGTATGAGGAAGGGTCGTCTCGGTTGTCTCCGAATGGTTGATCTGTAACCTGCATTCGAAGGCGTGCCAGTTCACCTTGGACACGCTGAAACTCTGGACTCGAACGCCAGACTTCATGCCAGTCGACTTCTGAAGTGGCGCCCGGGACCGCGCCGATAGCCTCGAGCATCCACTCAGCCGGGTTACCGCCGGGAGGGCAAGGTTCGGCGCCATTGCCTTGGAAGTAATGCGTGAGTGTGTTGGAGTTCTCGCCAATCTCGCCTGCAGATGACAGTAGTTGGTCAGCGTGGCTTGTCCAGGTGATGATGGCTCAAGTAATGTCGGACGAGACACTCACCAAAATAAACAGTCTTTCCACCTTCGGCGAGCAAAAGGAGTCGATCAAACCTCTGAAACAGCATTGCGGAGGGCTGGTGTATGGTGCAGAGGATTGACTGGCCGGCTTTCGCTAGCTTTTCCAGCAAGTCCAACACTGCCCAACTGGTTTGAGAGTCGAGACCCGACGTGGGTTCATCAACGAACAACAAAAGCGGCGGCTTAGCAACCAACTCAACACCAATGGTCAAGCGCTTGCGCTGTTCAATGTTGAGACCTTCTCCCAGTACTCCAACAACGGCGTCCGCATATTCTTGCATGTCCAGGAGTTCAATAACCTGGTCCACATAAGCTAGTTTTTCTGACCTGGGAATGTTGCCCGGCTGGCGAAGGAGAGCAGAGAACTTCAGAGCCTGCCATGGTTTTGTCAGCCCAGTCGGACTTGAAAAAATGTGTAAATGGGGTCTCACCTCCCGAACCGTGCTTGTCTCGAGATGAAGATCCTGCTGCTGAGCATAGCCTGTCTTGCGTTGAAAACTCTCATCACGAATCTTTCCGTTGACTAACATCTCACCAGTGATCACACCCACGCCCGCACGGCGATCAGCCAAGCAGTCGAGAAGAGTAGTCTTACCGGCGCCCGAGACACCCATCAGGGCCGTGAGGGTGCCGGGCCTTACCCAGCCATCAACATTGTCCAGGATGCGCCGATTCTCTCCATTAATTTTCATGTCATAGCAAACATTGCTCCAGTGGAAGACACTCGTGGACCCCTGAAAGCCGCTCTCTTTGCCGGTAGGTTCGTGTCCCCGACCTCGCTTTTCCAGAACAGCTCCAGATTGACCGTCAAGCGACTTCTCGGCATCATCGTGGCGGCCCTCGGTGGCAGTCTTGGGAACAAAGCCTTTGCGAAAGACGAGAACCTCTCCTTTGGATCTTTTGGCCCTAACATATTCGGTGGCGATGAAGTAGGCGACATGGTTAAAAACCACCATGGCGAAGATGACACCGACGTTGCGCCATTTGTGGTTGTGGTAGTAACTGTACGCGGAATTAATGTAGTCGTCGCCACTGACGTCCAGCTGGCCGGGGACGGCCCCGACAGCGTTACAGGCTGTGTTGCTTGAACTCGCATTTTCGTAGTCTGGAATATGAGCTGCGCAGAGAAACTTCCGCCCGTGAAACTCGTTGATCATCAATGCCTCATATCCATATGCCACAGGGTTCAGGTAGTTGATCCACCGACACCAAGGCAGCATGTAGTCGACAGGGACGACAAATCCGGTGAAGATGAGCAGGGCAAGCATCATAACCGAGGCCGGAACCATAGCCTGCCCCTCAGTCCTAGAAAGCGAGCCGCTGCAGATATGCGGTTAGCTATTCGCCAGCTTCAAGCTGTGTAGCGGAGGCCAGCTTACACGAATCTGAATATACCAGACATGGCTAAAATAACGAGGAATACAACCAACAGGTAGAAGAAAAAGGCACCAGGCTCACGGTGGAGATTGGTCATGAAGTAGAAAACCAAGTTGAAGGAAATGGCGCCAACTATTTTGGCGGGAAAATCGACCAAGACGGAGGAATATGACTCGGCTGACGGATGGTAAAAGGCGTACTGGGCGTGTTTTTCTACGATGGGCCGTTGAGCATACAGCGTCATGAGCTCAAGAATAGAGGCAAACGCGTTGAACAAGACGGCCATGAAAAGAACGACGGCTCGACCATAGAAAGATGCGGTATCTTGGCCCATGTTGTAGAACAAGGACGACATGATGAGGGCCATGAGGAGGTTTCCCGACATGACGCCGATGGTCGGCGAAGGATCTGCCCTGAGTCGAGCCCACCCACGCCACATGCAAAGTCTGACCTGTTGGGGATACGTCAAGGTGTAGGGGGATTGGATGCGCTGTCCTTTGGCCTGGTGGTTCGTGTGTTTGAGCCGTCGGAAATCCTCGGCATCACTGCCACCGATCGGATGCTGAATCTTGTATGCCTCGATGTCAGTTTGCAGCGCTTGGTATTGAGGGCTCCTGACCCAGGCAGCCGCGAATTCGACGGCAGTTCGCGGGGGTACGTGGCCGGGAAGAGGAATGCGCTCGGCCGGAAAGGTCATGGACGTGAGGAAGTCCGGGGTCGTCTGGCGGGGAGGACACTCAAACCCAAGGTCAATAAAGTACTGCTTGGCCTCGGAGGCAAGTCCAAAGTATATCTGGCGTCCTTCGTACAGGACCAAGGCTTTGTCGAACAGGTCATAGGCGTTTTGGGGAGCCTGGTACATCGACACAGCGCATGTCTGGCCAAACAGGTCCGACTGAAGTCTGAGGGTCTTGCAAAACTCGATCGCATTCGCCGAGTCTAGACCACGGGTTGCGCTAAAGTCGCCATGTTAGCAAGTATTCCTTCTTTTGATGATGCTCGGAAATGCCACTCACTTGTCCCAACACTGCAGTGGTGCATTGGACAGCGTTGCCTCGGCAATGGTAACCCGTTTTCTTTCTCCTCCCGAAACCCCTCGTGTGAAGTCGTCTCCTACCTTGCTGTTGATGGTGTGTGTGATTCCGTACATGGCCATGACGACGTCTCGAAGATGCTCGCAATATCTGTGTGGATTGGTGTCAGTAGGGGCTTCGGATCAGAGGGCGACCATAACACACTGGTTGCGGTCGATGGTCTGGGGTAGCTCCTTTGGACAGCGTGCTCGAGAGGCAAAGGTCAAGGTCTCGCCCACGGTCAACTGAGGAAAGTGTACGTCGACCTCAGCAGTGTATATGGCATCACCCCGATGGGCCGTGTGCATCTCATCGGCCGATATTCCGTGGTAGTTGAAGTAGGAGCCCTTGCTGACGTGGAAGCCGTTGGTGTCTCCCGAGATGGTCTTGAGCAAGGTTGAACAGCCTGAGCTTGGCGGACCCAAGACAATGCACATCTCGCCGGGGTGTATGATGGCATCAAAGTGTCGGAGGATGTCAATCCGGGTATGGCCTGTCTTGGGGGAGAGCAGGCGTCGGACCATGGCGGGCAAGGCGAGCCATATGTTGGCGACATCCTTCTGGAAGTCGGCGGGGGTGCCGTAACCAAACACACTCAAGTTCTGCAAGCACAATCCGACGCGACGGAAGCTCTGACCGCGCTGATGGGCGGTCTTGGCAAGGTTTGTGGCCCAAGCGTGGGCGTTGAACTTGCCGCCGCGTGGATTCAGAAGAGAATTAGGATCGTTGCTCCCAAAGATGTGCAGGTTGTTGGCCTTGGAGTCTTGGTCGTTAGTGCTGTTTTCGGTGAACTGGCATGCGAGGTCCTGGACTATGGGCTGTTGTGGGTCCACTGGCTGGTTCTGGGGCGCGGGAGGCCCCATGTCGAGAAGGAAGAAACACCTGGTATTCTGGTATTAGTTGAACAAGGCGCAGGGAAGAGGAGACGAGAACAAAATGATCTGGCAATGATTCATTTTTCCTTTATACAAGCAAACACCCCTGAATGAAATTCCATATCCATCACGGCCACTTCGGGGTTTTGCGCACTGGAGCAAGTGCGGGTGGGTTATCGCCGGACAATGCGAAAGAGGGCGCCCTTCATCGCTCAATTTGCCAGTCATGCACAACGTGATGTACAAGGGGTAGATACGGCTACGAATAGGGAATGCACCCGACTTTCATCGACATGCCACCGTAATCTTGGAGCACCTAGGCAGCAGCTAAATTTGTCGGGCAAACAACCAAGGATGGACGTGAGTTTCCCATCGTCGCAAGACACGCTCTCGGCCGAGAACTGACTGAAATTGCCGGCGAGGCCGGCGAATTACTCAAAGGCCTCTTCCGATTAGCCGCTCGGAAATAAGGCTTCCGAGCTCTCCGTATGCGGCAATGCGCCCAGTCTGATATTGATTGTAGCCGTTCGCTCCTACAGCTTGACCGGCCACGGATCGATCATCTTTCCCTCCAATTCTTTATCGGTGCCGGAATTTGCACGAGTGACGGCCGGCATGAACTCTCCCACCCATGCTGTACCGCCGCAAGAGCATCTGCCCAAGAAACGCCGCCGACCAGCGCTGGCATGCGAGGGATGCCGCCAACACAAGATCCGCTGCGATCGAGTCTAGCCCTGTTGCGGCACCTGCATGCGCTTTGGAAATCTCGGATGCACCTACAAACCGCCTCTTCTTCTACCGCCTCCTTTTCCACCGCCTCCTTTTCCACCGCCTCCTTTTCCACCGCCTCCTTTTCCACCGCCTCCTTTTCCACCGCCACCAATACCAAAGAACACAAGACCAGCCGCTCGTCTTCTGGCTTCACATCCCATTCCCACGACCTCCACGCCACCAGCCGCCATTTCCGTCATCAACACGCCTGAGGCCCCAGAGCGCTATCTAAGCTCCGCTAGTTCCGTCAACTCGTCAGCTTGCACTGTCGATTCCCTCGAGCGCCGTGTGAAGCAGCTCGAGACGGAGCTGCAATCTGCTCTTACCAGTCGGAACCAGGCTGACTCCCCATTGCCTTTGAGACAACGGCAGTCATCACCCCTGCGTGTGCCCGCCGACTCGAGCGAGATTAGCAAAACCAACTTTGTCTCACTTCCCATACGCGGCACAATGTCGAAGACAAGGTTCTTCGGTCAGAGCCATGGGCCAATGGCGTCAGCTTGCTGCCCTCCAAGTACACGGTCCTCCTCAGCGTCATGGACTGTGCCATTAAGGCCTGCTGAGTTCTGCTGCTGCCCTCGCTGGCCATTGGCCAGAGTATCTCCGCCCGTCCTGTTGCAGACCGTCTCATCGATGGTTACCTTTGGACCTTGGAGACTATCTACCGTGTTCTTCACACCCCTTCCTTCCAAGCCGAATACGACCGTTACTGGGACTAGCCTCACACGTCTAGCCAGCCTTTCATTGTGCTGATGCAGCTTTGTATGGCCATCGGCGCCTGCTTCCATGATCGCACACAGTCCTTCCGAGCCCAGGCTGCAGGCTGGATCTATGAAGCACGCTTTTGGCTTGTTCTCCCTGCAGAAAAGACTCGCCTGGTCATCACCAGACTGCAAATTATGTGTCTCCTTCAGCTCAGCAAGCAGACAGCTGGTGTTGCCGGCGACCTCACCTGGATTTCAGCCGGCAGTTTTCTCCGCTCCGCCATGCACATGGGCTTGCCATAGCTAACCTCGTTGACAACCCATAGAGCAGGACATGCCTGGAATACGAAGAAACATTGCAGCTGAGCTCAGAGCTCGTCACAGCCACCCGCGTTCTAATGCAGAGTATGCGCTCCTCCACAAACGACGATCGTAGCGCAGATGGCGGATAGCGTATCGGGCTTCCAACTGCACTTTCTGGAAATGACCATGAACCGCTATCTCCTTGTCTTGTATCTTCCCTGGTGGAACAATGCCTTGCGCAGCCCTAGTCACTACTCCTCACGCAAGATGACTGTCGACGCAGCCCTGACACTTGCAGCGCTCTCTCAGACCACCGACGGTCTAGCCGCACACACCAGTACGGTCGGATGAGCCCCTCGCTGACCGATTTCGGCCGCCTACTCACCTCTGGTTCGGGCCCTTACCGCTCAGCACCTATCTATGGCTTGCTGGTTCTCGGCCTCGAATTCATCATCCTCAAAGAGGAGGAGCTAAGTAACCGTGGACTTACGACAACTACCACTGGGCAGTGCTGAGCAACTCCGATCCATCTTTGACTGGTCTTTAGAGTGGTGGGCGCGGCGGATCTGGGCAGGCGAAACAAACATGAAATCCTACGTGTTTGGTCAAATACTCGACTCATTGATCCAAGCCCTGGACCCCGACCTGAGCGACTAGTCCACTATGGAACTGATAATGGAACAAGCAACCGTTCGTGTGGAGGAGTGCTACGAGGTGCTGAAAGCTGTGGTATGGGACGTAGAGATTGGCGACAGCTACGAAGCGAACCATAATCAAGGCGGTGGGTTATCTGGGATGAACCTGACGGATGGGTTTCTTGATGACTGGGATTGGGATAACAATACGGTATGTTTAGGTGTTAATCCGATAGCCCCTTCTGTGTACTTGGTCAAAGTGGCAATATGGGTCTTTGGTGAGTTTCTCAGGTAATCTGTTGGCCGCAACCACCACAACCCGCAAAGTGGTGTGTACGATATTGCCACTGCAAACCGCGAGACGGGTGATCACCACCACCTCCTTACTGAACAAGCCGAAAGCGACTGTCAGAAACACTGCACACTGGATCTTGTGGAATTGATGGAGTTGTAATTGCTTGATTGTATTGCCCTCTTTCTAGGCTCTCTGGCTCTGCCAGAGAGCATTTCTTATAGCCATGGCCAGGTGGCGAGGTTATTGCGCGTCTGTGGCTAATAGTGACAAATTCATGATTCTAGCACCTTCTAGAACCCTCCTTTTTTCTGACACACCCCCTCAGATCCAACAGAGTTTGGATCTGGACTTATTCATATTAGCTTCTATGAGGTTGGCGTATTGGAAAAGGTCGAGGGTTCGATTTCTTCTAGGGGCGTTTCCTTTTGCTGCCTTTTTGGCTCGGTAACCCCTATTTGCTGTAGGAATCGTTGGTGTAGTGGAAAAGTCAAGGTTTTAGTCAAGCCGTCAGCCGTCATACTGCTTGAAGGTGTATATTCAATCTTGATCCTTTTGCTGTTTACTTCCTGGCGAAGCCAATGGTTGTGAATGTCCACATGCCGTAGTTTTGTTTGGAGTGTGGCTATTTCAGCCGTTACAAGCCGAATAGTTTGTGTGTTATCGCACTGAATTGTAATGTGGTGGTTGTGCAGTTGGACGGACAATTCAGCCAAGAGACGGCTTACGAAAAGGCCTTCTTTTGTAGCCTGAGCCAGGGCGAGAAGCTCAGCCTCAGTTGTAGAGGTAGTAACAGTGTCTTGCTTATTAGCCCTCCAGCCGACTAGGCCACCAAACAGTTTCATGGTATAGGCTTGTGAGCTTTTCCGATCGATCGAATTATCAGCAAAGGAGGCATCGCTAGCCACAACAAAGTCGTCTTCACCCCCTAACTGTAGGGCTAGTGTTCGGGTATTATGAAGGTAGTGAAGTACTTGATCGGCTGCCTTGTGGTGTTCTGGGCTAGGATTGGTGTTGAATCTGGCTAGCCTTGATGCTGCAAAGGCTATATCTGGCCTCGTAATTACTGCGGCGTATAGGATCGATCCAGTCTTTTGCTGGAAAGTCGTGACTGACTGAGGCGTGGCCTAACCATTATATGGTAATAATTCTATTGTAGCCATTGGAATCTTGGCCTTGGTGGTCGCCTGCGTGGTGGCCAGTGTGACAATCTTGTCAAAATAGGCCGTCTGGGAGAGCCAAATTAGGCCTTTAGATCTATCTCTTAGAATCTCAATACCCAGAAACCACTGTAGGTTATTTCCACCTGTCAGTTGGTATCTTTGCTGCAGTTGTAATGCCAGTGCCTGGGCCGTAGCCGTATCCTCTTTGCGATAGGCGAAAACAATATCGTCAACGTAGAAGAAAATAAGGATACCGTTCTGGATAAGGATACAAGGCTCATGCGGAATAGTCTGGAATCCTAAGGCTTGTAGGGCTGTAGTAAGCTCCTTTTGCCAGAGTAATGGAGACTGTCGGAGTCCATATAAAGCCTTTTTCAGTCGTAGAATTTTTCCAGGGCTTCGATAACCAGTGGGCATTCGCATATAGATCGTATCTTCAAGGGTGGCGTTCACAAAGGCGTTGACTGCGTCATACTGAATTAATTCAAGGTTGAATCGAGCCGCAATGGCCATCATCGTACGAAAAGATCTGGCTGCAAGGGTGGCTGCATAGGTTTCTTGCGTAGTAGTCTTTTGTTGGTCACCCCTAACTACCAACCTGGCCTTGGCTTTCTGAAATGAACCGTCTTGATTTGTTTTGTAGGTATAAACCCACATACAATCCAGAATTTGAATTTGTTGGTCTTGTATATTCTGCCTCTCTACTTCAGCCCACGATTGCATTTGTTGGTGGCTCTGAAGGTGATCCTTTTCAGCCTGTAGAAACTGAGGGCCGAAAGGGTGGTTTTTCAGTTGATGGTGTGATTTCGGCGGAGGGGGTAGATCCTGGCTGTAGAGCGATTGTAGGCCGTGTGGCCGTCTAGCCAGTCGTTGAACCATAGCTTTTGTAATAGCTTTACCTCCTTTGAATGCAACAGGTTGTAGTAGCCGGCCTGCCATAAAGGCAGCTGTGAGGACCCGTCCACCAAACTGGCCCTCAAGCAGCCAGAGCCGCCCAGAACCCCCGGGCCTATCAGAAGCCTCCTCGAGGCCCCACCTACCCCACTGATAGATGAAAACTTATTCGCGAGCACGCGACGCGTTGTCGGACTTTTCCTTCTTTCCCTCCTCAGTTTAGAATCTTCGTCGATAGCACCCAATGGACTGAGTTCACCTCAATGCCTTGCCCTGGTCGTGACACTGTGGAATTCATTGTCACATTCCACTACCTTTGGCCGTAGTTGGTATTGATGCTCCAGGGTGTTAAATAGGTTGTTAATAGCTGGGATGATTGATTCAGCCTCCCTATCTTGAAGATAGTAGTCCCAGGTTAGGCCAGACCATCTGTCAGAAAATAACAGTAGGCATCGATAGCCATTATAGCCTTTGTTGAAATCGAAGAGGTCTATTGCAATTCGTAGGCCGGGGCCTTCATTGTGCTCTCTTGGCCTTCGTTGGATTTGCCGCTTTGCCTTTGATACGCCGCATGCGTCACACTGAACCGTAGTAGATCCCTTGATTCGTACGCCTTGCGTATGATTGACTAGATGCTCCAGTGCCTGTGGGCCAGGGTGGCCAAGTCGTTGATGCCAGAGGTTGGCAATGGCTTTATTTGGCCGTTTCTGTGTGTGGCTGTTGAATTTGTTACGCCGTGTGACAAATGCTGCGTTTGAGGGGTTGTTTGGTATGTTTTCCATAACAAATTGGCCGTATTGATCTGATAATTGGCAGATAATCGAATGGTTGGCTCTACGAATGTAGTTATTGCCAGGGCTGGTATCCCACCAAAGGCCTTGTTTGCGTAATTGTCGTAACGAGACAAGGTTACAGGCAAAGCCAGGGCAGTAGGCCACATTCCGTAGCCGTAAAAAGCGTTGTTTTTGTTGTGGCCCCTGGATTTGAATATCGACGTTGCCGTACCCCTGGATTTGAACTGGTTGTTCACCGGCCCAGAGAAAGTCGCCGGCCGGCGCCTTGGAAAAGTTGTTGAATCTGCCTTTTTGATTAAAAACATGGATCGTTGTCCCAGAGTCAAGGATAGCAGAATTCTTTAGAGGGTACTCAGCTGTATGGAATGCTGCTCTTATAATAAGAAAGCTTCCAGGGCAACGGCCAACGTTACGGCCTAGTCAACTTGACTTTGTTTTTAGCCTTTCCACTTCCTTTTGAAGATCTGGACTCAGAAGGGCTTCTTTCACCCTCATTCGAAGGTGTTCCCTTTCAACAAAGCCATCAGGGGCTTTTTCTGGGAAAGTATACCAGCATTTTTCTAGATGGTGGAACTGGCCGCAACAGGGGCATATAGTGGCTATACCGGGTGCCTTCTTTGGCCCGTTTTTCGGTTTTCCGCCTTCTGGTCGGTTGGCTGGGCTGGAAGCGTTTTGCTTCCTTCTTTTACCACTACCAGTGCCGTTCCTAGAGCTAGAGCCACGCTGCCGTTTCCGGCCATTATTTTGTTCCCCCCCGTCACTCCCGGGTTCGACTTCGCTATCCAGAGCGTCCTCTGGATAGGCATCAGTTTCTTTTACTGATTTGCCTTCTTTGGCTACAAAAGAGGGGCCAACCGAGCCTTTTGCTATCCGGCTGCCAACCGGTATGCGGGCCTTCGTCGATTGCCGCACCTCTTTCCGAAAGTCGTTGGCCACCGCACGGTAGTTCAGGGTTAACTCTGCTGATTTGGCTAACTTGTACGATGTAACCCAGTGGCCAAGAGTTGGCTTCACTGCATCCAGGAAATCGAATAGCCAAGTCTTTGTGCTCAGGGCCTCAGGAACCCCTTTTCGTTGTGCCATAGCTATGGCTTGCTCCCAGGATTCAGACCATTTGATCAGATCCTTAGGGGCTCGAAGTAGTGGCTTCGTAGCCACTCGGTAGGCTTCTCGAGCATTATAAAGAGCTTCGTCATCACTGATTCCAACCTGTGTTTTCAGGGCTGTATACCAGTGTGGAATAGGCTTGGTTGGATCGCAGGAGGTAAGTTGAAGGTGTGGGCTAGTAGTTTTCAGAATCCACTGCTTTAGCCTTTCAACCCTCTCGAATTGCTGCATATACTTCTTGTCGTTGGCTTGGTAGACTGTCCAATCCATTTGGTGGGTACGGAGGCCATCAGCCGTTAGATCCGCAGTAGTAATTGGTTGGCTTGGTTGCTGATTGGTTGGGCCGAGTTCGTCGTCGCCAGCCATAGATGCCGTACTACCTCTAGCTGTAATAGTGGATTGGCTGGGAGCCTTATGCTTGTAGTGCGTAGGGTTTGGAGCCGTAGGTTCATCGAGGAAAGGGGTCACCCCCTGAATTTCATTCCAGATGCCGCCGGCTATGGCCTGGGCTTGGAACTGTAGGTTCCACGACTCCCAGTCGTCAGAGCTGGTTAGAGAGATAGCCTTGTCGTTGGTATTCATCTTGTTGGTTTTGCTGATTTGAAGGGTTTAGACTTATTGGTTGGTCTAAGATCCAGAAGTGCAAGTCGAATGTGCTTCTTGTTGTTTTTGGTGGGGTTGGCTGACTAATCGGTGCGTCGAGCGAATGAGACTCTTAATTGTCAGAAACACTGCACACTGGATCTTGTGGAATTGATGGGGTTGTAATTGCTTGATTGTATTGCCCTCTTTCTAGGCTCTCTGGCTCTGCCAGAGAGCATTTCTTATAGCCATGGCCAGGTGGCGAGGTTATTGCGCGTCTGTGGCTAATAGTGACAAATTCATGATTCTAGCACCTTCTAGAACCCTCCTTTTTTCTGACAGCGACTACTCACACGCGAGCCAGCCAGCCGCATTCAATGTGCGGGGCATATAACCAACCAAGCACCCAAGTTCTAGACCCTCTATGATTTTTCTCCCTGCACCTGTTCCTTCACCGTCTCTGATCCTTTTTATGCAGAGATGAATGGACTCTCGATCAGGCGCAAGCCCTTGGAACAGAATCCGGCGGCAGCATCTTCACCAAATTCATTCCAGCGCCCTCCAACCTTTCCTTCAAACTTCACAACACCCACCTGTCACGTACAACGGTGTCCTCAAAATTCGGTCCAAAAAGTGATGCATTTAGGAAAATCCTCTCCAGTGCAAAAGGGCCTACTTTGTGCCCTGTTGCAGCGAAAATTCTGTGCAGGGTTGACGTACGCCCCTTACTACATTAGGAATAGTTGCAAGCCACTCAGTCGTTACTGTGAGCCCTATTGCGTGCGTGACACCACCCAGCAATAGCGACTAGGCTTCATCCCGATCATAATCCCTTGCCGCGAACAGCTGGTCCTGCCCACCAGCCCCATAACAACAACTAGCCTCCATTTCGGCGGCGGTCAGCATCCTGAGCGTCATTCAATTCAGCGGGGGCCTCCTAAAAACGGTGCGGGAAATTCATCAGTCGACGACCGGGTTATCGGCTGAAAACACAAACATTGAGCTCAGCTGTGTCCAGCTTGATCAAAAAGCCAAAAGCTTGGCCAAGTTTGCTAGAGAGAACATCCAGTCCTTCCCGTCAGGTGAGGATGGCGAAGAACTGATTAGGATCTCGGAGAAATGCGCGGGTGCATCTCAAGAGATCTTGCATTCGCTGGACCAAGTTCGCGCCAAGTAGAGAAAAATTCAGAGCGAGTCAAGTCGGCTGGAAGATGGGCCTGCCTTCTAAGAAGTTCGCTCAGGTGAGAAAGCCGAAAGCATTCAACGTCGGCGACTTAAGACGTTCGAGTCGACAGCTGAGAGAAGGCTCCGCCTGTTCATTGACGGCCTCGACGAGTACGAGGGTGACCACACCAAAATAGCCTAGTTTCTGGTAAGGATCGCAGCACATGATTACGTCAAGGTTTGCGCGTCCAGTCGCCTATGGGTCAAATTTGAAAACATCTTCAAAGGCTGCCCGACCCTACGCCTCCAAGACCTCACCAAAAACGACATGGAGATATACGTCAGCGGTCGCCTCAGTGTCAGCAAGGCCATTGTCATGCTGCAAGAAAAACAGTCGAATGAGGCAAAAAGGTTAATCTCCAGTATCGTGAATATAGCAAGTGGTGTGTTTTTGTGGGTAAGGCTGGTGCTGAACTCGCTCATCAAAGGCTTGGACCTTGACGATGATTTTGAAGATCCGACAAAGAGGCTTCGGCGCCTTCCGCGCGGACTTGAGGAGCTCTACGCCCGCATTCTGAGGAGAATTGACCCGTCCTTCTATCTTAGTGAGGCAGCCATGCTCTTTGAAGTTTTGCGAACGGTGAGGCAGAACGAAAACTTGGCAATGATCCAGATCAGAGACGACGAGTGGTCTGGGTGAGTGATGAGTATCGCAGTGCTCGCACTAGCAGACAGAAAGAACACTAAGCTCCTCCTCGATAAAAGTTCCTGGGCGGATTCAAGGGAGGCTTTCTTAACTTCTCCATGTCTCTAGACAGACAAGCGGCTGAAGTCAAGATGTATGGGTCTAATCGAAGTGAGTGGGCGCCCAGGAGAACTACCTCAGCGCCACACAGTTTCGTGCATCCACAGGACGCTTGTCGACTTTCTTGAGAAACCCCAGACCCGCGTCATAATTCGGGACTCAATCCAGGACAAACGCTTTTCCTCAAATCTGAATCTGGCTCACGCGTGCGTTTCCCTGCGAGGGCCTAAATGAATGTGGTAGGTCCGTGCACTGAACCGTGCACTGAACCGTGCACTGAACCGTGCACTGAACCGTGCACTGAACCGTGCACTGATTACGTAACAGGGTCCGTCGCAAGTTCTCACATTAATAGCGTGGAAAGTGGGGAGGACAGGGGTTGTTGGTCCAACCCCCTGTACGGGCTAGAAACTCTCTGAACTGGGCGCGGAAAGCTGTTGCGTACAACGGCACGTAGAAATGAGCCAAAGAGTGCTTGCATTGTCTGTCTTCAAAGAAGGGGGGCATAGCCCAGATACCCTACTTGTATGCCTTTTCGGCTCTGCTGAACTAAGCCACACATGGCTTAGCGTGTGCGCCACGTAAGCAGAGCCTCGGCTTCTTGCCGCAGAAACCCCTCCGAACTGGGCGCGAATAGTCAACCGAATTTGACGTCGACGATGGTCGCCTGTCGCCTGATGTCTAGAGTCGACTAAATCGCCTGCGCCGCCAGCGTCACCACAGCGGTCAAATCTCAGCCGACGCTCGCACGGGTCAAAGGCCAATCAATAGCTATGCCTCTCGGCGGGCTGAGGCGATACATCATGGGCTTCTTGTCCAGAAGGTGGTTCCTCTCCGCAGCCTTGTTTCTCGGCATCGCAGTCATAGCCAGCATGTGGAGAAGCCAATCGGACCGCGAATACATCGTCGCGGACACAGCGCTGCCCGTGTCAACGTTGAGCAAGTTTTACCAGTTTCTCGCGAGCCACAGGCTGTCCAACGGCCAGCTCTTGGCAATGCCCGCGCTGTCGCCCGACGACCTAAGGAAGTTCACCATGCCCTTCAATGAATGGGCGCCACCGCCCTTCAACAACAACACCATCCGCAGCGACTCCGCAAGCAACCGGCTCATTATGTCCATCAGCGGCCTGGATCAGTTGTTCGGCATGGATCTGGTGGACCCCGAAACCCACCACATCAAGCAACGCCAGTGGCTTGGCTTGGTCCCCCTCTCAGACCGACGCTGGGCGGAGAAGCAACTGGATGCACCCGAGAACTTCGACCGCGCCCTCGAGCACGTCATGAAGGCTGCTACCGTTTACTTCAGCTTGCCCGGCAGCATCCGCAAGATGCGCCGCGCCTTCACCAATGCCCACAATGTCCTCACCCACTTTGACACGGTCCTCGACGCCCACTACAACACCACCGCCACGGGCCCCCCATCTCCCGTCCCTCATCTCCCGTCCCTCGCGTCGCCGACCTCTGGTCCGAGTTCTTCCTCACCCACATGGTCTCCGTCGGCAGCTGCGCTCACACCTGGGCCTCTGACCACCTCGAAACCCTCGTCGACAGCCTCTTCGCTCAACTAGAGTCCGCCCCGACCTTTCCCGGCGCCACGCAAGCCAGCCCGCAGCAGGATGCCCTCTTCACGCAGTACGTACGCCTTGCCAATGTCGTCGCCTACGTTGACGTAGCCACCCTCGTTCCCCTAGCCGGTTACGTGGTCTCGCTCCCGCACTGGCGCGCTGCCGTCTCACCGCCCATTGTCGACTGGCCTGCTTACGACGGGAGCACCCCGCTGGTCCCGGGTAGTTATCCCGCCGACCTCAGAAAGCGCCTGCTCGCCTATCAAAAGCGGCTCGTGTACCTTGTCCGAGAGACCCTGACGGCCGAGATAACGGCGCACCCGCCTATTTATAGTGGGGAGGGTACGTGGTCGCTGGACGCGGTAGTCGGGCCACTGCGCCTACAGCGTGAGGCGTATGCGCGTGGGAGGAGAGAGCTGTGGGGCCAGCCGGCGCCATGGCGCGAGGAGATGTGCATCGGGTCGCTAAAGCTGTGGATGGAGCCCGCGAGGGTCGGGACGCCGGCCAAGTACGACTCGTGGGGATTCGTCGGGTATCGGCTTTGGTACCGACAGTCGGCAGCCGAGTGGGAGAGGTTTATCAGCAAGTTTAACCACGACGTTGCTGGTTGGGGAGCTGGTGTCGCCGGGGTTGACGAGGTCAAATCGAGGGCCGAGATCAGGTGGGTGGATGGGAGCGAGCATGGAATTGCCGAGGGGGATGTCGAGGGGGCGAGGCAGCACTTCAAGACGCTGCAAGAGAGCGGCTGCGGCGGTCTCAACACCCCGCCCGCATTTCTTGTTGCCGACCAGATGTCCATCGATGCGTACCTGCAAGACGGCTACGCCGTTCCCGGTCAGGGTCGGCAGCTCATCGACGAGGCCGACCTGGCTCCCTTTGTGACGCTCGCTGCTGCAACCAAGCCCGAGGCAAACCGTCCGGGTCCTATTAGTGGGAGTTTGCCCAGATTCGACGGGACCGTGAGGGTCCTGGGGTCAGTTCTGCTTGACGATGTATGGCATAGTGTGCCCCACCTCAGCGTCGAGGACTTGTGGAGGATAGCCGTCCTCCATCCGTCCGAGGTTTATGTAGGCGTGGTGACAGAGTCCCAGGTGAAGAACTGGGCTGCGTCCAACAAGAGTGAGGATGGAGGTGCCACGTGAAGTAGGCGTTTAAGTTGAAAAGAGATGGAAGCAAGAGCTTAGGTAATGAGGTACTGGGCTATAGGTAAGACATAGCAGGAGGATTTTGACGTGGCGTCTGACCCGGATGTACTTGCCGCAGTCTCAAATCATAAAATAGGTTACCTGACTAGTCAGGAAGGGGCCAGCTGAACGGATGCCTCCGGCGGCGCCTGCCGCGGGCTATCCTCGCTTCGCTCGACGGAATAGGTGGCTTAGGACTCGGCTGGGCGCAGCGCCGGGCGCAGTTGAAGCTGCATTGTACCGACCATCTGAAGATGCAAAGAGACGTGCTCAAATTTATCAATTTGTAACCTCGGCCAGAGAATGCTTCCACTCAGAGCAGAACCTAGCAGGTCCAAGCAGTCTAGACAGTCCAGACACACCAGACGCACCAAAATGTAAAGGCAGGTTGTGAGCACGATTAAGATGAGGGCTCAATTGTGTAGCGTTTCCGACAAAAGCAAGTCCTCACAGAAGCACAGACGGGTATTACAGTGGCACTGCAGGTTGCTACTACTATAATCCACAGAGCCGAGTCTGAACAGTAGGGCTGTATTACTTGCGTGAGGAATCCCGGATCCCACACTCCATCGCCGACACGATGATTCTATCTAGAAACACTACCTGCGGCCTTGTATGCTGGCGTCTTGCATGTCTATAAAAGCCGCCAGGGTAAGCCCAAGTTGCGGAAATCACAAGACAGGCAGAACGGACAGCGACAAAATCACGAGAATTGATGGAATTCCCCCATCACTTCAAACCATACTCCCTAGATAAAGACGGTCAGTATTACTTTTTTCCTTTCATGCTGCAAAGTTCTAATAATCAAAAGGCCGGAAAGACAGCGTTGGCAGTGGTGGGGTTGACTAACGTTGATTCGAGCTTCTCTGCATAGCCTCCACCGCCGGTTGACTCCTCGTGTTGGCCCCCCGCAGGTGAATCCATCGGCCAAAACCACCATGAACCGTCTAGAGGATGTAGGTTGTCCAGCCAACAGTTGACGTTGGCCAGGCTGGGCGATGGCGAGTAGTTGAACACGTGAAGCCCATCTTTCCCCTTTGCGAAACAACGGAAGACGTTTTCTCGACTTAACATATCTAGCCGGATAGTCCGTAGCTGCTCGCTTTTGGTGACGTATAGGTTGAAGGTTCCCACCCAGCGGGACTGGTATTTGGGCTTGTCTGGCAGCTCACGGAGCTCCCATATACGTTTCATAGTATAAGGCTTGCGGATTTCATCCCCTGTCGTAGTGTAGAAACAGCCTTCAGGTACGATATTAGATGTCGTCCAAAACAGCCCTTGACGCATCACCCGCAACAGGTCGTGGCATTGGAAACCGCAGGTGACTTGCCAGTCCCTCGGTGCGCCCGGGGTTTCGGGATCAGGAAGTAGTTGCATATTAATACGGTAGTCATGCGTGTAGCTCTGGGGTTGCGAACCGCTACCAGTAGCTTCGTCTTCAAGTTGTGCGTTGGTGGCCATTGTAAATAAATGCGATGAGGGTTACAACTTGAGTGACAGGTATAAATGTAAGAGTACAACTTGGGTAACAGGTGCAAAATTCGAGGAAGGGTACAACTTGAGTGACAGAGATTTATATACTGAAATTCGGTTTAGATTTGACTTTACCAGGTCCGTAGAATCATCCTAGGTTCGATGATTTCTTTTTCTTTGACTTTAAAAAACCCGCCGCCCACACTGGAAGGGCAAGAAGAAGCTTTAGGAGCGTGCGAATCGTATCAAGGTTTTCACAGCTACGGTAGAGCGATTTTAGGCCTTGACTCCGAAAGGGAATTGCTGTCAGAAAGACCATACTACTTTCGGCATAGTCTAGGGTCAACACAGGTCCCCGACCTGCGGGCGCAGACCTTTTCTTCTTCCTTACATCAATCAATACACACACTACGAGTAGCCTCATTGTTGACTGCTTTTGCATGTATTTGCGCATGAGAATTGCTGGCTCGAGGCGAGCAAGTGGCCCGTCCACGAGTACACTGTGATAATGGTGGACCGCTGACAGGGTTGTTATTACCTAGTGAAGGCGATGATGACGGCGTCGGGAGAACAAGAGTGACGGAAACGTCCTAGAAGGTCTAGGTGAGGCTTTCCTGCAGCAGCTAGGCTGGCGTTATGTTGGTTGGTCTTGCCATGGTTTATTTACCTTTCGGTTAGGTAGTCGCACTCTCTCGGCAAGCAGGTAGTTCTTCCCCTGACTTCAGACCTTGAGCTTGAAAAACTACGGGAAGGAAACCAGTTACCAAGGAGTCACTGCCCCCATCAGGATTGGGGTTGGGATTGGAAAGAACGGATGGGCGAACAGATTCTCATTAAATCGGCCTTCTGCTGCCTTCTCAACCTTCTTTTCCTTTTCTCTTTTTTTTCCCCATGCCAACAACATTATAACAGAATCGTACGTGTCCATCTCCTCATCCCAGCCCGCTGTACTGTTATCTGGATTGACTGATTCGTTGAATAGACTATGATGCACAATTATTTCGGCATTCGTTGGTGCTGGGCCGCCCCCCGCCAGCCTCTCCTCCCCATTACAAAACCCCCAGGCAGTAAACCCACGCCCACCACCATCAATACCAGCGCCAGGGGCCCGCCAACCACGACTGGCACCTCGCAGAACCCCAGCCCGCCCGCCACCCCACCAGACCCGGCGACAAATACCACACCATCTTCCCTCAATGACAACTCTGACGACCATGACTCCGAAGGGTCCGGCTCGGCCGCCCGAACCCCAGAGGTAAGCCCTAGTTTTTTCCCTTGTCAGCACATCTCTAAGAATCACAATGACACAGGAACATCTCTCGGGGCAAGACAATTCTTTGGGACGGTCGGACCCTGCAACGAGCGTGGTCGCCGAGGGGGAGGTGGTGTCAAGCCGGGTCGAGGGGGGGGATGGGCCTGTGGGCTGCGAGGTCTATGCCAGTGGTTGGGGGACCTTCCTGCTAGTGTTGATGACTGTAGTGGGGGATTTTGCCCTGGGGGTGATGTTTTGGAAGTTCTTGGGGCTGGGCTTCGGGTGGGGCTCTGGGGGTGGCGCTGGGGGCGGGAAGACAAATATTACTATTGTAGATCTTTAGATTTTTTTGGTTAGTCACCAATTTTACCACGGCGCTAGCGCTCTAACCATGTTTCATCATGCAATCCTGATTTCTGCCCCATAATCTCCCTATCGTAACCAAGTCTTAATAATACGTGTCACGGTCGCCACAGGCTCATGTGACAGGATTGATTCTATTGGCTGCATTGTGTTTAGAGTGTGGCCTGTGCGCACTGAGCACCAGCCCTATTTCCCCGCGCCCTGCGCGGACCCCGCGATAGATTCCTTTCTCTTCCTTAGCTTTAAATCTGCATTTGTTACTGCCTTCAACCATTGACTCCCTACTGCGTAAGGCGGGCCATCGCAGTCGATGTACTTTGTATCGGAAGTAGAGTTTGTTTTATTAAGATTATAATCGAGCGGGAGGGAAGCTAGCTGCTTTTTACACTAGGTATGCCCAAGCGCTCTTCCTACGCACCGATTTACGAGGCCTAGAACTAGGCCTACTATAAACGTGCTTGATCTTGGACCCCTTGGTTATTCCTGTCACGGCACGGCCGAGCTATGGTTCGTGGTGCCGTAACAATCTTAGCTGTAGGCTCCTAACCTGCAGCCCCACTCTTCCCAGTTGGGACTAGTTGCCCTCTCACCCCACAAAACCGCCGCCTGCAGGACCCGCAGGCTTTTCCTTTTCCTTTTCCTTTCTTCAGCTTAGTTAGTTACGAATACAGTCAATCCTGTAAGAGACGGTAGGTACGCCTGATCAAGGTGGTCACAATGCAGGCAAGAAGGTAGGGGAGCAATGACTTGTATTGGTGTAAGACTTCAACCTGGCCCTCGCAAAGGAAGATGGGCGAGGGCCATTGTTTATATACCTGCTCAGGGGTTCGGCCCGGGCATCAGTCTGCGGTCGTGGCGCCACGGCGTAGCGTATGCCAGCTGGCAGTGTTCTAGCCAGTTGGTGACAAGTGGTGGGCGCGCACCCTGTGCGCGCAGTTGGTGTTTGGGGTGTCCTTTTCCTTACAAATCCTTACTTGCAGCCTTACCTCTTATATTTACCTGCCTTCACAGCACCCGCATAGTACTAAACCCCTCACACACACGCAAACGCTACACACTTCTAATTCTCAGGCCAGCGAGAAGCCGAGCTTATAGCGGTTCATACTTACGGCGATGAAGGCCAGGATGTTACGAATCCCGGTTCGTACTGGGTCTACTGCAGGAGCGGGGAGCTCCGGGAGCAGTGGGGCCAGCCTAATCAGTGGGGCCAGCTAATCGTCTTTCAGCATGCAGGTTGCTCAGCGAGGGGCAGACGCTTGGCACTGAGCAGGAAGTGCTCAGCGCCTCAACGGTGCTCGGCACTAAGTGCTTGGCACTGATCAAGTAAGAGCACCAGTAACCGCACTTTCTTTACCCAAAATCCCACCACAATATGGCGCCAAAGTCGCCACGACACGCTCAGCCCCGGCCAAGGTCCAATATTCGTTGAGGCAGAGGATGCCCACGAGATGCTGGATCGAGAAGTGATTCCCTCACAAGACCCCCGCACATTCGCTTGCGCTGTCACTTTGGTCAATGGCGAGTGGGTGGAGAGTACAGAAAAGTTTGGCCATCGCCTTTCAGACTGGCAAGTGTCGGAAAAGGTGGTCCCCATGTCATTAAGCTCGCCAGTTACCTTCAGAATTACCACCCGGACGTGGACCAGGCACGCGCATTTCGTTTGCGAAGCTGCTGACAAGGGCATCTGCGTGGTTTATCACACTCCGATTTACACTGTCCGGTTCCGAGTACTGGTGTCTTCATGTCAGCCTGTGCCGCAAGGAAGTTGTATTTGACAGCCGGTGTCCCTGCCATTATTATCTGAGCCGCGAATATGAAAACCTTGTCATGGCGCATTCGAGTCCGACCGATTCCTCCTCTATAGGACGACCTCGAAGCAAAGGTGTGGAATGTCACCAAGAAATAATGGTATTTTCCAGGCCAAAAATGCGGCCTACACAATACTCGTGGGACTGGTCGAGTCTATGACAAAGACTGGTTCGCATCGCCCCGGGATGCAATTTGTTGCCTTGCTGCATCTAATCTACCATATCAAAGATAACTATCGGAGGACCAAACTCGGGGCACACAGATGCTAGATTCCCCGGCTTCCTCAAGACGGTACCAAATGTATAGCCCTATGGCGTGTGGGCGCCTCTCTATGGTTGAAATGGATAAAGTGTCGCGGGAGGGAGAAAAGCGGGACCTAAGGCGACCAGGGGCGAAGCATCACAGCTCTCGGCAGAAGTTTTGATGTGAGAACATCAAGGGTCAAGAATTTGGCATAAAGAAGCCTTTACACCAGGCCTTAGCTAGGTCGCGTCCTGTCGAACATCAGTATCAGCTTTTCTCCTACAGCCGTACAATTACCCCAGAGCATTCCGTACGCCATGTCGACCAAGGGGGAGCCAAGAAAGACCTTGATTCCGGCGGTCAAGCCGTACTCGATGCAACATGGCAAGCGACAACACATACCAGTCTCCGGAGTGACGGGAAACCCGACTTCACGATACGGCCTATCGCCAGATGGCCTGACGACAATCGAGCTACCTGCAATACCTTCCTCTGTAGACCCCGATCATGCAGCAGGCACCGGCTTTGTGATAGATAGGCTCACCTCGCAGGCTGCTGCTTCTCGGCAACCCACTCTCCCGCCGAGGAGGCCGAAGGCTGCACTAGTCCAAGGCAGGACGCCACAGACCCTGGGGTTGATGCCGCAGAGCCCCCAAATCTCACCATCTCGGAGAAATCAAGAAACCGAGCGCCCACCCCCGCCGCTCCCCCCTCGTCGAGGCACGACTGCTCCAGGCTCGACGGAGGCTGGCCATGCGGCCAACCCGGAGGAGCTTTGTAAACCCTGCTCCGATATCAACTTCAGCCAGTTCGACGACTTGCTCACATTCGACTCTTCCGCCGAGTCCGAGACAGCACACGTGCTGCACCTCAACACGCTTCTTCAGAGAAGAAACAGCTGCCGCTTCTGCAGCCTGCTCTTCCAAGCCCTCTGCCTGCCGGCCAACGACCCCCTCAAAGATGCCGAAATCCAAGAGTCGATTCAAAAAGAGCCGTACTTCCTCGAACGGCGCAGCCCAGAGCGCCCCTTCTACGTCGACTTTGCCACTTGGGCGACGGGGCGCGAGAAGCTCAAGTACCACTTCAAGAAAGCGGCCGAGGCAAAGTGGCCGTTTGGCGTGACGCACGACAGTATCACGGTCACTGACAGCGACAAAAACGACGACGGCACCAACAGGCCAGCCGCGGACGGCGGCGGCCCCGAGCTCGACTTTGAAGACGACGGCGACGACAGCCAAGCCGAGCGGGCGGCGCTGAACCAGGGGTCGCGGGTTGGCCTGGCGACGGCGCAGCACTTTGACAGCAACCCGCAGCGGGGCAAGTGGTACGGGTGGACGCAAGCCGTGCTGCCCGACTCGGGGTGGCTGATGGTCATGTCCAAGAACAAGATCCCGGCGGCGCTGCGCGTGGTCGTGTGCGGGCCGGCGCACCCTGACGCCGGCGTCATGCAGGTCAAGTTCTGGGGCACGAGCCGCGCCATCGGCCGCCAGCTCAAGATGCTCAGCCACTTCCACCTGCGCGTGGCCTCGCCGCGCCTCTCGGTCGGCCCGGCCCAGCAGCTGCGCTACGGCCTGCTGCTCGACAAGCACCGCATCGACCTGGGACTCTGCCGCCGCTGGCTCGACCACTGCACGGCCTCGCACCGCGGCACCTGCCAAGCGCCGCGCTGGGCCGCCACGCTGGAGAAGCTGTCCTGCGGCACTGGCTTCTACTTGATTGACGTCGTCAATAACACGCTGGTGCACAAGTCGGCCGCCGCAGACGAGTGCGCGTACGCGGCGCTCTCGTACGTGTGGGGCCCGCCCGAGCGCTTCTCGAGTCTCCTCTACCTGACCAGCGCCAACGCCGGGTCCCTCCTCGCGCGCCGCAACAGCATCACGCCGCGCGTCGGCCAGACCATCTGGGACGCCATGGCCGTGGCGCGCGCGCTGGGCCTGCGCTACCTGTGGGCCGACCGGCTGTGCATCGTGCAGGACAGCGCGGCCGACAAGGCGGCGCAGGTGCGCCAGATGGACCGCGTGTACGGCGGCGCGGCCATCACCATCGTAGCGGCGACGGGCGCACACCTCGACGCGGGGCTCGCCGGCGTCGGCGCGCCGCGTGCCGTGGCCCAGCTCGCGCGGCAGGTCACGCGCCGCCCGCCCGTCAACGTGCTGCTGCCCGTCGCCACGAACCGCAACCGCGACGGCGACGGCACCACGAGTCCATGGGCCACGCGCGCCTGGACGCTGCAGGAGAAGCTGCTGTCGCGGCGGCTGCTGGTGTTCCGCGACGGGGCCGTCGACTTTTGCTGCGCGCGCGGCACGCTGCACGAGGACATGTCGGCCGCCGACGCGCACTCGGACCCGCCGCCGGTCGGGTGGCTGGCGCTGGCCGACACGCGGCTGGTCTCGGGTGTGCTGGAACGGCGCGGCGCGGGGCCACGGCTGCTGCGCGCGGCCGCGTTCGCCGAGTATGCGCGCCTCATCGAGGAGTACACGCCGCGCCGCATGAGCTTCGGCGCCGACGCTGTCAATGCCGTCGCGGGCCTGCTCAAGATTCTCATTACTGACCAGCAGCAGCAGCAGCAGCAGCAGCAGCAGTGGCAGCGGCGGCAGCAGGAACGCGGTGGGCGCCGGCCGCTGCTGCTGCACGGGCTGCCCGAGGAGTTCTTCGACCAGGCGCTGCACTGGCAGCCTGCCGTAGGGGCGCGCCTGCGGCTGCGGCTGCGGCCGGCCGGTGCGTTTCCGACGTGGTCGTGGGCCGCGTGGGAGGCGGTCGAAGAGGATGGCAGTGGGTCAGGCAGTCTTGGGGGCATGCGCTACGAGAGCCCGTTCCAGATCCACACGAATGCGGCCGGCGCGCTGCTCAAGGTCGTTACCGGCGACGGCGAGGACGACAGCAAGACGCGGCGCCTGCCCGAGGAGGAGCGCATGCGCCCGCTGATCAAGTGGTACATGTGCTTCCCTGGCGACACCCCGAGCGAGCCTGGTTCTCCGACACAACTGGGACACGTACCGCCACGGAAACGGCCCCCGCCGCCGCCACCGCCCACGCGACGGAGCAGCCAGCTCGTTGTCGCCCCGGGCAGATCACCACCACAGCAGCCACTCGAGCCGCGCCCCCCGCTTCTCCCGCCCCGGCCATCTCCACGGCGAGCCACCTCACACGGCAGCAGCACCGTGGCGTCGCATCCACAACAGCCAGCTCCCCGTCCCCATCCCCATCCCCATCCCTCTCTAAATCCCAGCCCGGGCCCCTCGTCGCCCCTCGACGCCACCCTCGCACCCCTGAACCAGGCAACGTCTGGCTTCGGCCTTGCGCTGGGCCCAGACGTCGACCTCGACTCGTGGAACGCCGCAGTACACCACGCGACGCAGGGTCTGGACGGCACCGTCACGGCCTCATCGCTGCCGCGCCACGTTGCGCTGTCTCAAATCCGCCCGGGGCATCACCTCGTGTTCCGCACGCGCACGGCGCGGTTCCGGCTGGGCGCCACGCGGCGGCGGGCCGAAACGCTTTGGACTGCGCGGACGCAGGCGGTAGCGGCGCAGCATGGGTTTCAGGAGGCGGGACAGCGGGATGAGGGCGGTGATGGTGATGATGGTTTGGTAGGGGATGATGATGATGGTGGTGGTGGTGGAGGTGATCCCGGGGGGCGTAATAGGCTGGCTGTGCACAAGCGTCTTGTCATACGGGAGACGGCGATCCTGAGTGGCGGCAGTGGTGGTGCAGGGGGGGATGACAAAGAAGAAGTTGGCTTCGTCGTGCTCCCGGACCCAGAAGGGTTCTTCCAGCAGCAGCAGCAGAGTCTCTCGTCCGAACGCGGCGGGTATCACGACTTCATCCTCTTGTCGGAGGCGCAGTTCTTTGGCAACGAGAAGTCGGTCGACGTCGGCGAGGCGTACCCTCTGTTCAACGTCATGCTGGTCCAGTGGGACGATGCCGCGGACGGGCGGCCGTTTGCCACGCGCGTCGCCCTGGGCAGGGTCACCAAGGATGCGTGGTGGGTGGCCCCGGGGCGGGACGAGGTGGTTGTGCTGGGGTGAATGAGTCGGGTTGGTGACTTGCCTTGACTGGGGAAATGGTCAGGGATGAAGGAGGTTGCCCACCCCCCGAGTCTGTCGAGCCGAATCCTGCTGCAGGTTTCGATGTCGTCTTGTGGTGCTTAATCTCACTGGGTTCTCTTCTACCTCACTCTTGGCCTTGGCCTAGGTAGCTCGTGCGCGCCTCGTAGGCGTCCTTGAGCGCCGCCACGAGCGTCTCGCCGCGGAGACAGCCACGTTGCGGACTTGTATGGAGGATTCACATCTCGAGGCTGAATGCTTGCGACGCTGTGTTGTTACAGACACGATGCTCAAGGTGAGTGGAAGCTTCAACTTTAAAGTAGAGAGGCCCTCTAGTTTGACCCATTCATTATCGTCCACCAATTGACTAGAAACTGCATTCATGGGAGAGACTAACCTGACCGACCACCCCTTCCGCTAATCAATCATTGGCCCCGGCGATAGGTCACAGGTGGCTCTTGATACCAATCCACTGGTAAATCATGGCCCTGACATCTCCCCCTCTCTTCTCATTGCCCATGTGGCCCGACCCAAAGATCCTCGCATACCTCAACGGTCCAGCCTCGGCATAGTTGCCAAGCGGGGTACCCGCCACCGTCAAAAGCTTGTCGTAATCGGCCTCGGAACGGTCTAGTTTGGTCGCCAGCTCCTTTTGGCCATCCCACTGTATATCCCGCAGCGTCCTCTTGAGTCCCAGGTAAGGACACATCAGGTCATAGTCGCCCTGTCGTTGATTATTATTACATGATCAGCTGCTGGCTGATCTGAGAGAGAGAAAGGAGAAGAAGAAGAAGAAGAAAAAAGGTTAGCGCGGCGGACTTACTGCATAGGCAAACAGTTTGATATTATTGCCTTTGGTAGTGAGCATGTCTTGGATCCGGATGCTGCTGTCCTTGTACGCCTCGCCAGAGTCGCGCAGGGCGGTGCGCACTTTGGGTTGGAACATCGCCCACGCCCCCTCGGCACCGATTTCTTTGGTGTAAAGGTCCAAGAATTTTTTGGCCGCGGGGATGTTCTCGCGCCGGGGTGCGTCCCATACCCGCGGCTCGCTGATGTCGTAGGGGTCTCGGCAGGTAAGCTGACAGGACCTGCGAGTTAGCCGTTGCGGGCAGCAAAATGAACCAAAACCACACGCCAAGCAGGGTGACCAAGGAGGAAGTACTCACCTTCCAGTATACCCAGGGATCAGCCTGACCGCAAACACCCTCAATAGTTCCTTCGGCACAGGCAGCACTCGCGGGGGCCTTCCTGCACGCCGCGATGGCTGCAGCGCACTTGGGGATATTGTCCTTCCAGACCTTGCACTGATCGTCGGTCAGGAGGAGGCTCAAGCTTAGGGCCACAGTCGGGTCGCAGACAAGGGAGTATGTGGCATCCAGACCCCGGATATCCTCCAGGGCCGGGTTGCCCATGATTAGCGACTTGAGCTGGAGAGCATCGTTGAGCCCCGGAGTCGCCGACACGAACGCACCGAGATCGGCGAGATAGTGTCCGGCAAACGACGAGCCCATGACGTGCAGTTCATTCTTTACCAGCTGCACACCTCGGAAGTCGGTGACCCTCAGCGCCAGGAGGAATTCGACTAGGTCCTTGGTACAGTCCAGCAGCTGTTTATGGAGGGACCCCGACGGGGCCGGTTGAGAGAATCCCACGCCGATGGGGTTGTCGACAAAGACGACGTTGGCCGCTGCATTTAGGGCGTTTGGGTTGACGGTGAGTTTGTCGATCCTCCAGGGAAACACCATGGAGCCCCACTGGATGATCATGCCGTACATGGAGGACGCTCCGGGGCCGCCGTTGAGGACGAGGATGATGGGGTCCTTGGCTGGGTTGATTTTGCTCAGCTGCAGCCTGTTCGCCGTCGATCAGCAAGAGAACAACAGGATTCAAGGTCTGTGGCTTAAATTCTGTGGCTTAATTACCAGAAAAAGAGTCTGTTTTTGCTCTTCACGTCAAGATAGCCGCTGTAGTGCTTGGCGCCCTTTTCGTAGTGCTCGCTCGAGTCGACAAAGTTCAGAATCCCGACCGTTTCATTGGCTGACTCGAGACAGTCATGAACAGCATGGCGTTCAATATCGAGGATCTTTTGGGGCCGGAGGATTGAGGCAAGAGCCAGAGTGGCAAAGAGAAACGAGATAAGCAACTTCATTGGATGAGATGCTGCTGGTATCGACTGCATATGATTTTGATACGTCGTTTGCCCAACGCCAAAGTGGTACTTGGGGCAGCGGTTGCGTGTGTGGCTGTGTTTGAGAGAGAAGAGAGAGGAAGCAGCTGCTCAGACATCGGTGACTTTGGTATTGGGCAAGACAACCTTTTAGCTTTGTTGCACGAGTAATGTTGCTTGGAACTAAAGCAACTCGCCCGCCATCAAGCAACCGCCCTCAGTTGCTCTCCAACATTCGATACCACTCTGACCACTGCTCTTGGGTATGGTAATGATCCATGGTTAGCTGGCATTTGTTACATCACGACCCCCAATTGCATGTCGTGCATTCAAAATACGAACAATGCGCCGCGCATCCATTGCCTAACGTTGTTTATGTTGGCATTAGCCTGCTTCGACGGGTCTCCCGAGGCATGCGCGCTGGGGCTTGGCCTGCAGGTGCTGGCCCGAATGGGATCGGGTGCCCCGATTTGGAGCTGACAATGATGGTATAATGGTACTGAGGGCGAGCGCAATCCTTGTCAGCTGTCATCTTGCACGCCATGCAGGTATAGTTGGGTTAGCGAGCGCAATCCTTTTCAGCTGTCATCTTGCACGCCACACAGGTGATGGTTGGGTTGAAAACCACACCGCCCCGCCAAATGGCATCACCACCTCCGTCGACGCCGGCGATGCAGCCAAATGTGGTAATTTAGGCCCAGCACCAGATCTGTTAGCAGGGCCACATGCTGAGTTCGATCGAAGTAGCTTACCAAAAAGTGTGACTGATTGTGTGAGGTGTGCGGGGACAATTGTCAAAATAGTGTCAAAAGGCTGTCAGCAATGGAAATGCCAGTGGGATGGGCATGGCAGGTTTTAAGCCAGGCTGGTGGCCTTCATTGTTGCAAGAGTGAACCGCCATAGGTTCGGCTTCCCGCCAACCTGCTGAGGATTAAAGGTGTGCAGCGCGTGCGTGTATGCAGGGGTTTGGTACTGTGCGGGCACTGTGCGGGCACTGTTATAACACTGAGAGGACATGTGCCCCCCCGACATGTACTTATTGAGGCAGCCACGCGCCCGCCAAAAACAGCAGTCCAGACCGCCGCATATCTCTCCGGAAATTCGTTAGCGAGTTGACCAGTGCAATCGATGCGGTAGATCCGTACCATTTACCTTGCAGTGTGAAATACGGGACTCGAGCAGTGAAACGTCGAAAAGACACCACAGCACAACAACCACGAAAACAGTCCAAAAGCGAGCCGCAGGCAAGCCTCACAGAGTACAGGCGCAAGATTCTATAGCCGGGTAGTCAATATAACAAAGAAAAAAGATATTAATAGGTGCACTGCACTGGTCCGTGGATCTCAATCCGCGGTAAAAAAAAAAAAAAAAAAAAAAAAAGAAGACGTAACATCTAAAGAATCGCTAGAAACGAAGGTAAAGAGCGATGCCGGCCCTCCGATCAGAGGGAGGACGAGCTTCCCACTTCGTGTGAGGTGGCCAGACTAAGAAAGAAAGCAAAGAGAGTACGCTAAAACATATTAGGTAAGAGTGTATGTAAACAGTCCCTTTGTTACCCGGCCCCTGAAACCATGATCAGCAGCATATGAGATGCCACTCCCAGCCAACCCGGCAATTCCGTCATTGATATCCGTTCCGTCATTCATGTCCGTTCTGTCATCCGTATCCGTCCTTTCCACCTGGCCGTGAGGTAATCCCAGCTCCCCACTCATCCCATTCTTCTTTCCCGTCGCCGCCACCCAAGCAAGATGGTAGTCTCCTTTCTCCATCAGTTTCCTTCAAACACGGCGGGCAACCTGGCGAGGGAAATGGACGCCTTGCCACTGCAGCAGCACAAGGTAGATTGTGACAAGTATTCCCCCCCGTCGTCTCAAGGGGCCGAAGCCGGCCAGCTGCCTATCCAAGACACGGCCCACTTGCCGGTACAGGTGGTTGCTGTGCAAGAAGTCCACCATTAAGACCGTGAAGTGGTGGTCGTAGTCTGCATCGGTGATCTAGCCGTTGTCGTGCAGCTAGTCGAGCCAGATAAACGCAGCCATGCTATCGTGCCACAGGTTGTGGGAGCACCAGAAAAAGGTCTGGATGGCCACAAACAGATACACGTGTTGAATGATGGTGAACAGGACGGTGAAGTTGCCCAGTTTGTCAAAGAGGCTCGTGTAGATGTAGAGCAGGGTTTCGTCGCACAGTCTCTCGGAGTCGAGGATATTCTCCAGCGTCCACGCCCAGGACGCTGGGAACAATTCGAGGAGACGCGTGAAGAGGAAGTCCTCGAGTCCAACGACAGCGAGGACGAAGACGACAGACATCACCCTGGTTTCGGTGCGGGTAAGGGATCCAGGAGAAGGGCGAAAATCCGCGCTCTGATACGCAGCCAGAACCTGGCGACGGCTTTGAAAACAGGGCCGTAGATTTTGAGGCGGCGTGACACAAGCATGTTACCAATGACTTCGGAAGGGTAAATAGAACATCCTATGACTCTACTCGAGGCCACGTAGATAGACTGGCAGTTGTCGACAAGCTCTACCACGACATCCATGATTGCTGGTAATTCGCGTTGGTCTTGTGCTTTTGGGTTTCTGGTGGCGGAAAACTGCGTAGACGGCGTGATGAGGCAGGTGGGTTTAGGATTGCGCTTTGCTGGCGCTGGACTTATACCCTTCAGAACGGGGGGGGAGAGGTAGGTTGAGTTGTGCACATCAAGTGAACAGATGAAATTCAGTAACGTCGGTTGAGAACAACCTCACAGTTTGTCAAGGGGAGGATTGATTTCTCACCAGCCTAATACGTCTTCTTCTAATAATGAAGAACAGATACTACATCTCGTGAGCATTCTTTGTTCACGTTTGGATAATGATTAATAACTAACTAACAATTACTAACCCAATATTGACTTGGGGATAACTATTGCTAAACAATAATTTTGTGTACAACATAGTGGGTAAGGAAGTTGTCTCAATCTTCCTCGCGGTGTCGTTGGGTGTGCTAATTAGTGTCGCAATGTTTCTCGTCGAGACTCAATTAGGTACCCAATCGCCCATCACGTGCGCCACACACCACGGCAACTTGGATTTGAATGCTATAACTATTTTGAGTTGTGGGATAGAAGGGTCGCAGACCCTGTTCAGAGTCCCGCCATGTCTGACTACATGTGCTTCGACATTCCATGTCGTAGTTTTGGCCAAGATTTACGCAGCTCCAGAGCAGTTCTGGATTACCTCAGCGAAGCAGACATATTTGCAAGCAAGGCCTATTTTGTCATCTTGTATACAATAATATAAAGAATTGAAGTGCAGCTATTTACGGCCCTGTCGCTGGAGAAGAGGATCGACAGCGGTCGACGGGGCCACTCCAACGGCCGACCACCATCGCAGCCCAGGTTTTAAAAGGCTGCGCCATGTGCCCATTTTGGCGGGCGCGACAAAAAAAACTGCTGTGGCCGATTCGACAATGCCGACCAATGGTTTGTTGGCCGTGGGGGCGATTTACAGGTTTTTAGCCGCCGTCGAGCCACTTGCGCCTCACCGTGTTTCACGTCTTAGCGCGGCACAACCCACTCGCGTCAAAGATTGGCCTCGGCGGGTCCCGCAAACTGGTGCTTTTCAGAATCCTCTGGCACTGCAGCCTGGACAACCAAGACAGTGCGGCGCGGGGAATAAAGACAAATGGAGTGGAATGGCCATGGACATGCTCTCGCGGACTTCCAAAATTGTCGCAGCGGCTAGCAATGCCACCAACGGCCTCCATTTTCTTTGCCCTTAAACTCTTCAGAGGCAGCTAGCTACTACCTACAGAGTCCAGCGTCTGGTACCCTTACTTATCTGTCTGCAAGTCCCCCCTTCGCTGCAACATGGCCCTACACCTTTCCAAACCAGAAAGTGAAGTCCTTCTGTTCTAATTCCGGCCCCTTCAATTTCCACACTCCAGCGTCGTATAACCCAGCTATCCGAGTTCGGAAAAACACACGCACGCAAGCCATGGTCCCAGATCGTGACCTCCTCCGGGAGCAGAGAGCCCGAGCCAAGTGGCGCCCCGACCTTGAAGCCGTCGACCTCTCACCCATCATGCTCAAGGACGACCCTCGCATCTCTTCCGAGGTGGAGAACTCCGCATTTACTCTCCAGCCAAACGAGCCCTTCGCCAGAGACCACCCCCTCAGCGAGACCCTCCTGTTCAAGCATGGCTGCACCAAGCGCGAAGCCGACTTCTTTGAGCTTGCCGGCGACGACCTGGCCATGCCCCTTGTGAGCCGCATCGGATGGGTCGAAGACGACCTGGTCACCTTCTGCCAGGAATACGCCGTCATCGAGCGCGGCATTCCCCTCTTCGTCACCGAGATCCAGCCGCAGGAACGTGTGTCGGTGTCGCTGCAGGTCGCCGACCTCGTCTCTCGCCTCCACGCGAGGGGCATCGTGCACGGCGACATCAACCCGGGCGTCATCCAGTGGAACTCCAGAGGCCGCCTGGTGTTCTCGGACATGCGGCACGCTCGGCTGGCGAACAAGGGCCGGGATTTTCACCCGCTGGACGATCGCTACGCGGCTACGAGCGACGCATTCTTGTCACCAAGGCTCAAGGCACGCACGAATCCGGGCCGGGGCGTCTTCGCGACCGAGGCCGATGACTTGTACGCGATGGCAGTGACCATTTGGTCCATCTGGGCGGGCCAGTGGCCGGAGAGCAGCATATTCCGCGAAAGCGGGATCGACCTGAGCGTGATAACCGATGCCGACATCTACGGGGACGCGTTCGACATTCTCGAAGAAGGGGGCATCCGCGTCAACAGGGCAGTCTTCAAGCAGCGCAGCGACCCAAGGGAGCTATCGCCGCCTCCTTCAGACTGCGGAGACATCCCCCGAGATTTCCGACACTCGATCCAGTCCATACCAGCAAGCCCAAAACCAAGGCCGGCCGTGTTGGCCATCACGCCACAGACTGGACCTGCGGAATCCAGCACCTGGATATGGTCGCCAGCACCACTCCGGCCAAGGCCGACAACCTGGCAGATACCATTTGACCATGCAGTCGAGCTCCCCGCCGACAACCCCGTCGACGCGCCGATATCAAACCCCCAGACCAGCCCCACACCCAGCCCAACCCAAGCCCAGCCCATCGAGCTGGAGCCCAGAATCCCATCCCCGCTGTCATTGAGCCAGTTCCCACTGCTCCAGGACGACGGCTCCAAGCCGAGTCAGGCCCCGCGCGCGGTGCAGATCCAGCGCAGCAGCTGGGAGTGGCTGACGACGAACTACTTCCTCGGCGCCGACTGGGCGCAGTCGACATCGCCCGACGACCTGCAGCAGCTGGCCGGGCGCGAGACGCTTGGCCTCGAGCAGTCGGGCAGGGAAGAAGAGTACAGCGACAGCAGCGAGACGGACAGCAGCGGCGGCGGCGGCGGGGACGACAGCGGCGAGAACGAGGACGACGACGATTTGGACGACGACGACAACATCACCTGGGAGTTCCCGCGCCCGCCGGGGCACGTGCATGGGCTGTCCCCGCCGCCGCCGCCGCCGCCGCCGCAGCCACTTCTAACGCACGCCCGTCAGGCGGGAGTTAAAGGTATTAGCGGGGATTCTGGACTCGCCGGGGTGACAAGCAATGTTTCTCAGACACCGCCGGAGGAGGCGAAACCGGGGAGACTTCCAACAGCCCAGACCTTTGGGCCAGTGAGAGGGCTCGAGGGAAGTGGTGGCGCACAAGATGACACGCCAGTGGGCAATGCGTGCGACGGGTGGTGGGACCACGACTGGTTTGGCATTGCCAAGGCCGACGAGATTGGTGTTGCAAGCCGGCGGGAGACGCGGAGCGTGAGTCCGGGTAGACCGGGCTGGCCGGAGCGGTCGGGGTTCGGGTCGCCGAGCATTGGCCGCGCGAGGGCCCGGTCGTGGTCAGGGTTCAAGGGGGAGTTTTAACTATTTCCCGCTTTCCTTCGTGTTCTTCCATTATTGTATCTCATCATCAAAGCGTAGAGTTGGCCTGCTTTTTGGTTTCACAGCTTAGCGAATCGAAGTCTGTTATTGCTCGAATCGAAGATGGAGCAAACAGATATACACAAACCGTTTTATCTTTAACGTGTTTGATAAGCGAGTTGGCCATGATAAGCGAGTTGGCCACTTTCGGCCACGACGCGTCTCCCCTGCACAAAACACCAAATTTCTCTGCAACCAACCATGGCAACTCCTTCGTACGAAGCCAGGGTAAATTTGGCCCTTGGAGCGCGCCAAAAGAATCCAAATCTCAGTAATCGAGCTGCAGCAAAGATCTATGAGGTTAATAAGAATACTCTGGAGAACCAACGCGCTGGCAAACCTTCACGACACGATACTCGAGCCAATTCACGAAAACTTACGGATCTAGAGGAGCATACGATTTTTCAGTATATTACTGAGCTATGCACACGCGCATTTCCTCCTCGGCATCGTTTTGTGGAAGATATGGCCAACCGACTGCTACGCGAACGCGACGCGCCACCTGTCGGCAAACGTTGGACCTACAACTTCGTTAAACGCCAACCAGAACTTCGGGCGCGTTTTACGCGTAGATACGACTACCAAAGGGCTAAATGCGAAGATCCAAAGGTTATTCGTGAGTGGTTTGCACTTGTGTATAACACTAAGGACAAGTACGGTATCCTTGACGACGATACGTACAATTTCGACGAGACTGGGTTTATGATGGGTATGATCACCACTGGGATGGTTATTACTACCTGGTACATCGGTACAACCGATAACGGCTGGACTACCAATGAGAAAGGCCTAGATTGGATTCGGCATTTCGATCTTCACACAACATCTCGTACGAAAGGCAAATACCGGCTCCTAATCCTTGACGGCCATAAGAGCCACCACTCCGACCAATTCGAGGCCTACTGCCAGGAACACGACATCATTACGCTTTGTATGCCTCCACACTCCTCACACCTTGTCCAACCATTGGATGTTGGTTGTTTTGGACCATTGAAGAGGGCTTACGGCCATCAAATCGAGGAACTCATGCGTATGTATATCACACACATCACCAAGTTGGAATTCCTTTGCGCGTTTAAAGAGGCATTTTCTACCTCCTTTACCGACAAGAATATCCAAAGCGCCTTTGCCGGAGCCGGCCTTGTGCCGTACGACCCAGAAAGAGTGATTTCCAAGATGGATATACGGCTCCGAACTCCAACTCCACCAGCCTCAAGCCCAGGAACGGCACTACCTTGGCTACCTCAGACGCCACAGAACCCCCGAGAGGCCACCTCACAGACAGACCTTATTAAAGGCCGGATATCTAACCATCAAGGCAGTTCTCCAACACCTATGCTGGCTACTGTGGACCAATTGGCCAAAGGTACAATGGCCGTAATGTACGAGGTGGCTCTTCTGCGTACGGAGGTCTCTTTACTATGTAAGGCCAATGAGGGGCTTAGTAAGAGACAGAGGGCCAAAAAAACACGTGTTCGGCTTGGAGGGTCACTTACTGTACAAGAGGCACAGGATTTACTGGACCAGAAGGCTGTGGATGAGCAGTTAGTCCAGGAAACACGGCCAAATGGTCGTGGTGTAGGGGGGGCTCGTACGAAGATTCGGTGCTGTGGTCTGTGCGGCAAGACTGGCCATAATGTACGCACGTGTCAGGAGGCTGCAGAATCGTCTGATTCATCTATTTCTAGTTCAGTTATTGTTATTTCCTAATGTTGTGGTGGTGTAATTGTCGATAGTTGTGTAGGGTGGTGGAAAGTGGCCAACTCGCTTATCAAACACGTTATCGTGCTAGATCATTAGCGATTGTTGACGTAAATCCAAAATATAGGTAATTCTATCAGGCTAGGGGCTGCTCGGGAACAGCGCGCTTTATCTATCCAAAGTTATTGGGCAGTCGAACACGTCAGGTCTCTGGCTCCTCCTCTTGTCAGATGGTAGAAGACAGATCGGAAAACAAAAGAAAGCGTGAATCAGTCAGCTCACCCAGCCCACTCGCCACGATGGTTGCCAGCATCTGCGTGACAACCGTGGGGAGCATCCTGACGCCGCTCTGGAGGGGGCCGACGCCCTAGATGGCCTAGAACCACGCCGGCAGGTAATATGCGGCCACTGTGAGCGCGCCCATCTGCTAATCTCTTGGCATTTCTTAGCACGCCAGCAAGTGCGAAGCCAATCAAACGCCAGGTTCCCTGTTGAGCAGCTCAGACGAATGTCTCATACCAGACCCATGTCCATTTTCTGTTCCAACGCAGCGGATTGTTCAAGGAGCGCTCTTGTTCAAGAACGGCCACTTTCTAGGTTGTTCAAGGACGGCCACTCCCTAGGCTACTCGGGCAGTTCAGTGCGGCGTGTTCGAAGAATGAGGACGTTAATGGCTGTTAATCATCAACTGAATTTGGTAGTCGTGGACGGCGCCCTTTTTCGAGTACGGCGATAGGCACATTCTTCAGTGCCAAAATTAATGCTCGGAGTCATAAGCAACCAAACAGGTGTAATACCTATGTATGCGGTGATACACTGGACTGGATAATGTGTGCACCTCAAAGATTAACCTTTCTGTGCTTGGGATTTCTTGGGGTTTCTCCGAAGTGACCGAATCTAGAGCACTTCACTCTAGAACCGGTAATTATATCATTGGGAGCAGGAGAGAATTCTATGGTAACCTCGATCAAAGCTTAAGTTATTCGTAGCAAGCTGAGGTCGCCATTCTGGCAACTTAAACCGCAGATTGTCTTAGGAGAAATGATTGTGGGAAAGAAGGGTAAAAGAAGCTGGGCACAATCCGACCGGGGGGGGGGTTGTACGATTTCGAAATGCGCTTCGACACCACAAGGAGGAAGGTGCAATCGAACTGACATTGCCAACTCGGACCGCGGGGGCCTTGTTCAGGGGAGAAGGCGCAGTTTCACACCCAGCAAGCACCACCGCGCACCTGACATGATTTCGTTGCCCAATGCTAGCGCTTTAACAGAATGGTTGGGGGAAGGAAAGACCAACAAAGGCCAATTTGCGTTCTCGCCAAAGTCTCTGCCACTTCTGTTCTCCAAATTTCCGCCAGCCAGCAATTCTGTGCCCTTCCAACTAGTGTTTCTTCGCAGTATTATTCTGACACCACATCTCGTTTCCCTCTCAAGCATCTTGCGAGTTCAACAGAAACCTGGCACGGACTCAACCGTCTCCACAAATCACAAAAATGCGTCTCCTCCCTGCCGCTCTCCTTGCCACCCTTCTGGGCTCCCACGGCGCCTCGGCCTCCGCCCTTGCAGACTCCACACCTTCTCAGGCCGCGCTCGCGGGCCCCCAAACCACGCCGCAGGCCACTCTTGCGCGCCGCGACTACGAGTAGTGCTCCAGAGCCGTGACCCAGATCGCACCGCTGCTGACGCCTGGCCCGACGCTCCCGCCTCTCCTCAGAGAGCTGCTGGACAAGGAACACATGCAAACCCACAACGCCTGCGACCTCCCCACCATTGTCGGTGCACTCGGGCCCTATTACCCCGAGCTAAAGAGATACCGTAATGAGGGCGATTGGTGGGTGTCGCAACACCTCCAGGAGCTCCGCGACCTGTGGCTGGCCTGTCGCGGCGTCCCCGAGATTGCACGGCCGCTCGAAAGATCGACCATCTGCACGTCTCTTCTCAGCCAGGTGACGACCGTGAACGAAGGGCCGCGGGAGACTGGGAGGGCGATCGGTGCGGCAGCTGCATTGGCTGTCGGCGGCCTTCTGGCGGTGCTTTGAGCGGGTCGAAGCCGGGAGACGCTGGGCTTGTTGGCAACGTGTCAGGCGATCTTGATGTGTGGGATGTTCGGGACTTCGATATTGAATGGGCACAACGGGTACAGCAGGACAAGGAGGGGGAGCTTGACATGGAAGAGTAAAATTAACAGCTACACTTAATAAATATTGGTTTTGTTATATCCAGACACTCCCTGGACGTGAGACATGCGCGTCACTAGGGATGACTCGAGGGGCGCTGCTAGTCGCGTTGTTTAATGCAAAGGATGCCACTGTTTTGGATTTCTTTGAAGACCGGTGTGAACCCCCTGTTCTATCTAGTACAGCGATGACGCGTTACAATAGAGATAGGCGCGATCCCTATTGTAGGACTTTTTTTTTTCTCCAGAGAAGTCCACCTAAGTATTCCCACAAAAAGGAAAGAAAAGAATGCAACGCAAACACGGTTGTAAAATACACACAAGGTTCTCCACCATTCCCCACCACGTCCTCCTGGATACGATTCGTTGTCCACTTGGGGATTTGATAGGGGCCTGCTCGACCGGTCTCCTACCAGCAGCCGGGGCAGCTAGTAGTCCCCGTTTCGACTGCTTCCATGAACTTGCGAGTTGCTGTGCAGTCACACCCGCAGGCCAAAGCCCGCTCACAGTATTCCCAATATTCCTTCTCGTAGTGGCCGCACAGATAGTTGACCATGATGAACCTGCACCTGGCTGGAGTAGTCTTGGCTGGAGCAGTCTTGGTTGGAGTAGTCATGACTTCTGACCTTGCGGTAATTTGCGTTTTCGGGAAACTGGCAATGAAGGTGTTTAATTAGGGCTGTTGTTGATGCTTGGCAAAGTGCCGACTTTGCTTGTTCTTGGAAACTGTTTGCTGAAGTGTACATTGACGAAGGAGCTTAAATGAGAAGATTGTGAGCCAGAATCTTGCAGCATTTTATAGACCTTTTGCAAGCGGGTGTTCTACCTGTCTCCATCTTCCATCTTCTCTTGATTACCTCTTTGTCGTCTACTGATTGAAGGTTTGTGTGAAGTGACCAGTTTAGTTCTACCAACTATCAGTGAAAAGATGACATGCGCTTCCCAGTCTGCTGGGGCTGGTCACATTACTATTCGGGGAAATGAGGCATTCAGCGCCTCTCCTATCTCCAAGCATCTGCAGTCGTCCAATATTGCCACAACGAGCGTTTGGTTTGGCAAACGAGCAGTAATTGACAACTGTTCAGCAATGGAACCCGGCGCTCAGTGGTGGAATAATTCTTGCAGGGGACAGTCATGTCCTTGACACTTTTGACAAGCATGGATCTGACGGCGGCAATCAATCACTCCTTGCATGTTTGGGCCAAAATGACCTCTTCGACCTGGAGGGGAAACCTGATCATTTTATCTGTTTACAGTGGGACTCTCTGGCAGCTGGACAAACCTCATCGACAACAACCCAATGGACAATCACAGTCCAGCCGAAACCGCCAATAGGCTAGTACTAGCCTTGGGAAATAGATCAAGACGCCGCCACGCGCCTCTCCTCACCGAATAGCTGACAACCCACCAGGCCCTAGTCTCATGTATGACGTCTTGGACTTGGGAAAGGAGAACCAAAAGCATATCTACCTTGGTAACGCAGTTCCAACCTCGGACCTCGCCATTCCATGCCCAGCCCGTCATTGCAGCCTATCATGATTGCAAAACACCTTCTCCAGGTCGTGTTATCCACGGCGTATGCCAAGCTACTTCAGAGCAACCTCTCACTCCCTCGGCCGCCTGTAGATGGCCCCGCGGCCATGTCGTGGCTGGACGCGCTCGTGACATCGCGCCACGTCAAGACGCTCTTCTTCCTCCACCTCAGCATCGTCCTGCTGCCCTTCGACACCGCCGTCATCGTGCTGCTGTGGCTCTGGAGCCGCGTCACGGGCTACGGCTCCATCGGCCCCCAAAAGACGCTCCCGGCCGCCCAGAGAAAGACGGTCCTCATCACCAGCGTCGGCACGACCCAGGGCCTAACCCTCGCCCGCCTCTTCCACCGCGCCGGCCACCGCGTCATCGGCGCCGACACCGAGCCGCTGTCCGTCGGCGCCGTGTCCCAGGCCGTGCACAGGCACTACGCCCTCGCGCGGCCGCCGGCCAACACCCCGCTCCCCAAGAACGCAGCCGACAGCAAGTATATCGGCGGGCTGCTGCGCATCGTGCGGGCCGAGGGCGTCGACCTATGCATCTCGGCGTCGGACGACGCGCACATGGCGCTGCACGACGCGCTGGCCTGCGACGTGATCCGGTCGCAGACCTTCTGCAAGGCCGTGCACTCGGGCGTCGACGGCGCCTGCACGCTCGGCGACAGGGCGCTGTTCATGGACCTCGCGCACCGCCTGCGCCTGCCCGTGCCCGACTTTGCCGTCGTGCGGTCGCGCGAGCAGCTCGTGGAGACGGTGGAAGAACGCGGCGGCCAGCACGGCCCCGGCCTCGACGACCACGACCGCCCTCCCCGCCAGTACCTGGTCAAGCCGCTCGGCGTCGACGACGACGGCGGCGGGGGGCAGCAGCCGCTGCTGCTTCCGCGGCCGACGCGCGATGAGACGAAAACGCAAGTAGCGCAGCTGCCGCTGCCGCTGCCGCTATCCGCCATGGGGGAGAGAGCAGGACATAACACGCCGGCGGTCCTCGTGCAGGAGTTTGTCCCGGGCCACGAGTACTGCAGCCACGCGGTGGTGATCCGGGGGCAGGTGCGGGCGTTCGCGGCGTGTCCATCGTCGTCGACGTCGGACGTCATGACGCACTACACGCTGCTGCCGACGGGCTCGGCGCACCACGCCAAGATGCTGGCCTTTACGCGGCGCGTGGCGGCGCACTTTGGCGAACGCTTCTCGGGGCACCTCGGCTTCGACTTCCGGTCGCGCCTGTTTCTCGGGCCGGACAAGCTGCAGTCGCCGCCGCGCCGGCACCAGCGAGAAGGAGACGGAGACGGAGACGGAGGCCGCCACAACCGCCGCCGCCTGCTACTACTACTACCCGCCGACGACCACGACCACGACCACGACTCGGACCCGTCGCTCGAGCTGTGCGCCGTCGAGTGCAGCAGCCCGCGCGCGCACACGGCGGCGGTGCTGTTCAGCCACACGCCGGCCCTCGTCGACGAGTACCTGTCGCTGCTGCTGAGCGAGGACGCGCCGCCGGTGCCGTCAGCACCCCTCACGCCCTCGCACCGCAGGTACTACTGGATGGGGCAGGACCTGTTCGACCTCGTGCTGCGGCCGTGGCTGTCGCTGGCGCGCGTGACTACCAACGGCCAGCTGGCCGCGCAGCTCGACGAGGGCTGGGCCTCGGCCCGCCTTTTCGCCAGCCACGTCGCCAGCTGGAAGGACGCCACCCTCGAGCCCTGGGACCCCCTGCCCGCCTGGTGGCTGTATCATGTCTTCTGGCCCGCGCGCTTCATCCGCCTGTGGCGCGACGGCCAGCGCTGGAGCCGCGTCAATGTCAGCACGGGGAGGGTGTACAAGGCGTAGGTTTGGATCAAGATTTCTCTTTTGCGATTCTCCATTTTATACGTAAGGGGGACTTTGGAAAGGGGCTTTGCCGGCTAAGCAGGCCTTCCCCAGAACCTTGATCTCGGGTGGCAACTGGCAACTGTAGAGTTTGTTATGTTTCCCCCTTTCGGTAATATTGTTTTCGGAAAGTTTGAGGACAAAAACTTGTAGTGGTAAGCTGATTAGGAGCAAAGTCTATCAAACTAAAGTGGACGCTGTCCTTGCCACCGTAGACGGTGACCTGTACGGGCTTTATTGCCCCTTTTCTCTGGGTGGTATCTTGTATGATCTCAACTCTAATTTCGTCTATCCGGGCAGAACCTCCTCAAATTATCTGAAAGAAGGCAATGACGATTGATACGTGTGCCCTTTGAGACCATGTGACATCTTTAGAAGCTCTGCATATGCCGAGGATGACCAATCCGGCGCCTGCATGGGCACTGCTCGGTAAGGTAAGCAGTAAGCAAGAAGCTATTTAAACCAAGCTGACATTTTATTCGGTTCGCCGTATTCCCTCATGCCATTATGAAATGTGATACTACGTGGTATTACACTTTGTAATGTTGAGATTGGTCTGGTGTAAAGAAAATAATTAGGTGCCTGGTTGCTGAAGTAGGTACCCAACCCACGTTTACCCCTTTTCCTTCTATTTGGGATTTTCTACACGTCTTTCCCGGATCTTTGAAATCAACATCTTACCTACGGAGGAGGCCAAATTGTTCAACTCTTAACGCCTGAATTCCCCATCAGTCTAGAAAATTAGCCAAGTGTCGCTTTTTCCCTTTCTCCAGACTGATCATGCCATATTATCACACGACAACATGTTTTTTTGCACCCCCATTTCAAGTTGAGGTCATCTTGAAACCTCACATACACGTGTCGTTAGTCTTAGCATGCAAGGTTCTCGAATAACCGCACGTAATCGTGACCGATGACACGGTACCATTAGCATCACCCATGATACTGGGTGTATTAGTAGCGAAGTTGACCCTGGAGTGGATGGTGGATGTCCTGATGTTGATTCCCGAGCACATAAAGATATCATGTAGTGCTCTCTGTCGATTTATTTACTAGAACTGGTGTCTTTGATTAATCATTGACGGAGTACCCACTAGTTAGACCAATGTCTTTGTGACTGCTGCCACGATGCTAACGTCAAACTTACTCTTAGCCGCTCTCAGCTGGGCCGTAAACTCTCGTTTGCTGTGTTGATGGTCCGAGATCCCTCCGCAGATGCAGAGAATGTGAGTCGGTCAAGTACCGCCACTTGTTTTGCCTCCATGCAAGCACTTACTGGCAGCACCCGCAGCTCCGTCGTCCTTGCGTACGACGCTCCTGCTCCTGACCCGGTGCTGGACGCGCTTGTTCACGAGTGTGGCGAGAAGATGTGCACGGCGCTGCTGCAGCATCAGTACCGATAGGAGACCTATGTTGACTACGCCGTCAAGCAGGAGAGCCTCGAGTCCATGTATGGTTAAGTAGATAAGGGTCGTACAGCTCAGTCAAACAGATTCGACAGAGATGTCTGGTGATGGGTTGCTGACATGCTCTCTAGATACTCGTGCTGGCGCTTGGCCAAGTTGAGGCGGCTCAAGGAGCAGTATGACCCTCATAACTGCTTTGGCTTTTACGCACCGATCCAGTAGGTTGAAATATTTACTGCTTCGGAGGTCGCGAGTCATTCATGGCAGAGGCGTAAAATACAGGACACGTCCTATAATCCATTCTTATTTATTATATTTTCTTCATATTACTCGAAGAGTGTACTTTCTCGGTGATCAGAACAGAATAGTTGCTTCCTTTCTACCCCTGAGGATTCGAGGGGAGAAACTCTTAAGGAATTAGAAGCGCAATGGAGCTGTAGCTTTTACCTGACAAGATGTGATACCGAGGTCAAACCGGCAAAGACAACAAAAGAAAGAAAGGAAGAGTGGAAGAAACAGCCCGAGGCTAATACGCAAGTCATTGGACGCGCCAGCAAGACAGCACCAGATCCAGCTGTTCGGGTCTTTACCCAAGAACGATCACCAGATCCAGCTGTTCGGGTCTTTACCCGAGAACGATCACTTGCTTAGTAGCACATGTCAAATCTTAAGAGACCAGAAACACACTTCTTCGTCTTCCTCACTACCACGAACTCAGTAAATCTCCAACCTCATCCTTTATTGCAGCGTTCAGCGTTACACGGCTACACGGTATGAACAAGAGGTATGAACATGATAAATATATACATTTTGGGCCGGCGGGAGGGACCCAGAGCGTGCCATCCATGTCTCCCGCCCTTGGCGCCTCGAGTTCATACCAGCCTGGCCACTTCAACCGGCGGAGCCCTCCGGCCCCCCGGATAGTGGTGAGCTTTCTATTTCGTGGTGTACCCCGGAGTGACGGCGTACGTGGGGCGGACATATCTGCGCGGGAACGCTGTTAGCACTGGAATACCGTGACGTGAATGCAGTTCTTCGGAACCCAGCCCATGTCTTGCGATTGCCATCGCGCGCAAGTGCAGAGCCAGGGTCCCCAGCACGAAAAAAAAGACCAACGTACCGATCCGAGTTGTACACCTTGATGTTCTCGCCCAGGAGCGCCTTCTCGCGCGCCTGGTCGGCCAGATGCCGCCGGACAAGGTCGCGGTCCTCCTCGGCCTGGAGGGCCGGGATCAAGTGGATGCGGCTCCACATCTTCTCGCGGCCGAGTTCGCTGTTGTAGTCATATTAGCAAGGCCATTTCTTCTAGGCCATTCGGCGTGTTTGAGTGTAGCCTTGGGGTGGTTGTAGACCGCCTGAGCGCCGCCACGGTGGCGCCCTCGTCCCTCAATAGAACGGAACCAAGAGCCGGCCGAGAGTGAAGACCAGTGGGATATCGGACACCAGATTCCAAGCAACCTACTTTTGTTCCCGGATGCCAATGATCAGCCTCCACCAGCCGTAAACCATGATGGTGCCGCCGATTGCGAGCAGCGTCCCTGGGCGGAAGCGGCTGCTGGGAAGGTTGCGCTGCGCAGACAGATGACTCGTTAGCTATGCCGTCTCGTTTGGGAGTAAGGAAAAGCCCGTGGCGATAAGAATGAGCTCTCTTTCGCAGCCGTGCGTGTCTGGGTCTCGGCGAGACTGATCTCCTCCCCCCAAGATAGCTGCTCGCCTGCCCTGCATCTCGAGCGGGAAGTCCCCAAGCCCAGACCCTCATCCTGCAGCCCTCTTGACGTATGCTCCCGACTTCCACAGCCCCCCCGCAGGTCTCATTTGCTCTTCCAGCCTGCGCAGCCTTTCTTGCCCGAGGTCGAAGCCAGCCGGCCGCCTGGCCACAAAGAGCCCGGTTGTCGGCGAGAGAGGGAGAAAATAGCTCGAACCCACCTTGAACTGAACTGGGTCGTAGCCACCGACGGGCGGCATGTCCTGCGGCATGATGGGCGAGTTCTGGTGTCAATTCCCCGGCTTGGGTGTTATAGTATCCCTCCTCGTGTGTTCACTCCGCGCGGGCTTCGCTTCTGCCTCGCAGTGCTCCTCGGCGGAAACGGGAGGACAGGTTTTCGGGGTTCGTGGGGGGTTTGGTCCAGCGATCGGGATTTGTCGAGACGGAACAGAAACGGAGCCCCAGCTGCGCGAGGCCGGCCCGGACGATGGCAATTGGCACGATTGTAAGTGCCGTGGGTGAGGGTGGGAAGGGCAGTCGGGCAGTCGGAGGCCTGAATTGATGTCGTCAGTCGTCGCCAGTCGCGCGCGAGGTTATCCAAGCCAGAGCTTGAAGTTTAGCGGGCGGAAGCACCAAATCCCCGATCACGTAAGGCTGGGCAACGGCTGCGGGTGTTAGGGACACACCCCCCACATTCGATGATCCACCCCTGCTTCTTTTCGTGAATGGTCGGCGTGCCGTCTTGAAGGAACATGGAAAGGAACAATGGAAAGGAACAATATCTAAAGTTCGACCTAACTGACGAATAAATGTAACACGGTTACACGGTAGTTTAAGGAAGGCCAAAGTGTACAGCTGGGAGCTGTCCAACCATTACTTATCTACCCTGGATGCATCACTTCAACATCTCCCGCCAAAGCCCCACGACTCACTCACCGTTCTCACAAATGATGGGGGGCGAGCAGAACGGCTGTGACATGTTCCTTACAGAATGCTACCAATACCTAACCCTACAAGACCATAGAAAGAAGGAGACTAATAACCAGCGCAATCTCCGCAGCTCACGCCAGCAACCAACAAAGCCAACCACCAACCGATCGCCCAAACTCGACAAAAACTCCCAACCATTTAGCACCATCCGCCCAAGGGACCCATGGGAATATACATCCCATTGAACGCCCCCATGACTGTGGGAACCTATCCCTTATCCGTATCACCGCCATCTGCGGCTTTCCCTACGCCCAGGCCCTCTCCTTGCGGGACCGATCCGTCGGCCTCGAACTCGGCCATAAAGTCAGCCTCGAGCTCCGCCTCATCGATATAGTAAAGACCGTCGTCACCACCATCCTCGGCAGCACCCTGCGCCCGCGATGCCGGCAGTTTGGGCTGGGAGGACGCGTCGTCCTCGTCGGCAGGCGTCGGCAGGCTGCTGTCCGAGATGTCGTACTGGTTCCTCAGCGACGACGTTCCCCGGGCGCTCTTTGCCCGTCGCAGCTTCTTTGGCACGTTGCCGTTCTCGTCCGAGGCGGGGCCTTCAGACTCGGTACCTGTGTCTACGCCTGACGCGCCAGACTCGTCTAGCTTGCGCTTGCGCTTTCGAGTTGGCGTTGTCCTCCTCTTGGCACGCCTGTTTTCTTCCGAGTCTGTCGTCTCGGAAGCGTCTTCATCCTTGAAGTCCTCGTCTTTTCTAGTTTCGTTTGCGTCGTCTTCATCCTGCTCATCTCCGTCGTCGTCGTCGTCGTCGTCTGACGCCCCGGCCAAGAATTCGTCAAGTTCCTCATCCGCCGAACCCCAATTAAATGTCTTCAGTGTGTCGATGGGGGACAGCTGACCATCCTCAAACTCATCCGGCAGCAGATCATCGGCGTCCGCCGCCTCTGCTTCGTCTTCGTCGTCAGACTCCTCGCCGTCATCTAGAGTACGGGTCTCGCCCGAAGCGCTAACCAGCTTGAGTTTCGGCCTCTTGAGACGCAGTATCCTACCACGGGGCCTGACCTCCGCATTCCCGTCCGTATCGTCGGCTTCACTCGCATCCGTCTCGGTGTCAGCCCCGCCTCCGGAAGCCAAAAGTCTCTCTGCGGCTGGGATATCAGGGTGGACATGGAAGAGATAGGGAGTCTCGTCGACTACATCCCACTGCGAGAAGCACGCCGCGAGCCAGCCTTGGTTCACAATTTTGATGTTGGGGTATCGGGCCGCGCGCTTCAACTTCTTGGTCCAGGGGCGCTGGCTGTTAACTACCACGTGGGTGAGGTCCCTGGAAACATCTGTGCGGAGGTCGGCTCCAAAGGCAAGCACGCGTTGTCCAATTTCGGACTGGAAAATATCAACGTTGGTTGGCACAAGACCAGTAAGGAGAATCCTGAGTCCGCGCAGTGCCCTTGACTTGAGCGAGTCGAGCAATTGGCCCACGTCGGGTGTGACGAGCTCAACATCTCCGTTGCCTCTTTCAGATGCGCGTTGGCGGTCGTACTCCTCGTAGTAAGTCTTGTGCAGTAGTGTGAGGTGTTGTTCCAGGAACTCGAGTTCCCGGTCGTCGTCCACGAGGACCTGATGCCGCACAAGCGGCGGGGAGGATCTTGGGGCCTCCTGGTTGTCTTCAGATTGGGTCGATGCCCTCTCGGCTTCTTCGTCCTCCTTGTCCAGTTTCTCTTGAAGTAACTGCAACGGGCGATCCTTAATCTGTTTCTCCAGCGTGCGTTCCTGCTCTTCCAACTGTCGTTGTGTGAGTTCGGGATCGGCTTCGTCGCCGGCGCTAGCAAGCGTCTCGGCCGCTGACGCCTTGCTTGCCTCGACGGTTCGCCCTGCTCTGGGTCTCGGGTTGCTGTCGCCGTTCGTCACCGCGGCGGCGTCTGGTGCGAGCGCGTCTTGGCGTTTGGGCAAGAAGCTCGAGTTGATGTCCCCGATGCCCCGAAAGAAGTCATATGGCGATACCTTGATAAGGTTGGGCTTGTTACGCGGCCAAACATCGGCACGGTCGTCGATAATGAGGACCATGTTAGTGCTAACGGGGAAGAGTCGCTGCAGGCTCTTGGCGTACATGTTGCCGTTTTCGTCACGGCTGATGACGCGGTTCCCAAACAGCTTCTGCTCGGGATCCACGATGCGCGCGACAGCCTGGGCATAGGCCCGTGTGCCCATGGTGTATACGTGCAGCTCGAACAGCTCCGAGACGTGCGCCAAGAACTGCTCCAGGCCCGGGCGCATCTTGATGAAGTACCAACAGCCTTGAGTTACGCCGCGGGGACCGTCGTCGAGCTGGAATCTCTGGACCGCCTTGACCGACCCGTGGTTGGGGTTGCTGGGATCCCTCTGCCACTCGGCAACAGTCGGGTCGATGCAGGCGTGGATGATGGTCTGGTCGAGATCCACCACCAAACTCAGTTTCCGCTGCTGCAAGAGCCGCCGCTGCAGGTCGTTCTCTGCGCGTGTAGCCTGAAACTGGCTGACGGTAAGGTTGGTTTGGTCGTGTACCATGCTAATGGGGGCGCGATCCGTGTCTCTGGCTTCGGCGGCCCAGTTGACCTCTGTCATGTCCTTTCCGCACATGGCGCAGAGTCCCTGGAATTGAATCTCGTGCGAACACGCCTCTTTGACCACGAAACACGGCCCGTCTTTCATGATGAGCTCCCCATTCTTGATGTGCCATTTTCTGAGCTCGCCGTCCGTGGGCGATGCCCAGTCGGCGATTGTTGTTTGCTCTTCCTGCCACGTGTTGCCGCGTATAGTATCGCCAACCTCTTTCATCCATTTGAAGGAGTAGCGCATCAGCACTTCCTGCTTCTTGATTGTCTCGCCAGGTCCCTTGAGCAGCTCGACGATCGTGATGGGATACCGGAGCCGGTTCCCCAGCCCGATTGTTTTGCTCATAGTCGAGTCGCGGGGGAGCGCCTATTTGTCGGCAATGTAGAGATGGGGAGTGGGGAGGACCTGAGCCTCGAGGAAAAATATGTTGCTATAGAGACGAACACCCGAGGTAGTCGTCAGTCACGCGCTTTGCGGAAGTTGCCGATAAACTAAGAGATTTTCGGTTGAAGAGCTTACGAGGGAGCTTCCCAAGACGGAAGCTTCAACAGTATACCGGCGTCGAGGTAATGTGATCCACCCATCGCGCAAAGAGCGCGTGCGGTTGTGAAAGGTTCGCGGCGGGCGAACAGCTGCGGTGGACCTGGGACGTGTTTTTTTCCCGAGTGCGAGCGAGCGAGAGCAGCGTTCTCTTTTAACCTTGCGATCGCGACCAACGCCGCTACGACTGCAGGGGGTGGGAAGCTCCAAGCAGTTATCAGTGGGGTCCAATGTGGTTTAGCGTAGGCTCCAGGTAGCTGTGGCCTGTGGGGCGAGTTTTCGTGCCTCCCGCTAATTCGCGCGTTACTGATAACGGGACTGTGGCTGGTGCAGCTGCCGATAAGGCACAAAACTGACGGTGCAGATGGATTTGCAATTGACCGGCCGCCGAGGAGAGTCGCAGGTGATGGTCAGTGCTCTGACTCTTCGGTTTGCATACATATGAGGGTCGAAGGTAAAAGATCAGAATGTGATGTGATGTAATAGTCGGCGTCTGGGGATGAATATCTCGATGACAAATCTCGGCCGCGCTGTCGTCGAGCGTCGGCAAAAGAAGTGGCCCAAAAGTTGGACGGGACGAGCTGGTCCTTTTGTACCTGGGCAGGCGTACGCGGTGGAGATATTGGCACGGAGCTAGCCATCCAATGCCAATTAGTGTGAATGCAGCGGCCCCCCCTGTCTCTGACCTGAGCAACCCACTCCTTACCATTTGCGGGGTTAGTTGTGGCTGCTACCTGACGGTGCGCCTCACTCTGCGGGGCAGGATGGCTGGACTTGGACTTTTCCCTGTCGGCGGCCTGCCGCACCTGACTCGGTCAATCGTGCAAATGACGAGGTGACTCTGCGTTGCCCAAGCGGCGGCCAAAGATGCACTATAGCGAACGCGTCGGTGGGAGGCAATGGAAGGAGTCGTGTTGCCACAAGTCTCTGGCCGCTTGCTAACTGTCGGCTGGGTTTAATCTGTTCGATTTTTTTCGAGGTTCGAAGTACCGAGGGCAGTTAGTTCTCGCATTGGTGGCTGATGTATGTAACACGAGACCGGTCTTTGTCGTCGGATGGTGTGACCTCGCCAATCAGGTGTCGCTGCCCACGACTTGGCTGGTCTCCTGACTTGCCCAGGCACTTCTTGATCTTGGATGGCAGCTACCTAAAAGCCGTAAAAGCTGTCTGCGAATGCGACGACTTCAACGCATAGCAGAACCGAATAAATGCCTGTATTTGCAGTGTAGCCGTCATCGGGGGCTTGGCAATGGTGAGATGGAATGCTGCATTTCAGGTGTCAACAGACATTTTCGCGCCGAACGGGGGGACGATGTGGCTCGGTCCGTCCAGAAGCTAATATCCTATATTGGCTCTGTAGCCATCTCTTTTGTCCATGAAGATTTGTTCTTACCGTAGATAAAGTGCCCGACAAACACAAAGAGTCACCAAATATTATATAGGCTTCTCTGTAAGCAATTATACCATTATCCAAGCTTCTCGTGTATCGACTGATAGAAACATTCCAGGATGTTGCCGTCTTGCTCAGTCGCAATTCTGGGATACCTTGTGAACTTTAATTCCTACCCGCAATGTTTACCAAGAGACAAGAAACAGTCTAATGAACAGATACAAAGAAAAAAGTGAATGTGAATTACCTTGTGCTACCCGTGGTTCTAGAATGTATCGGTCCCGACCAACCCATCCAACCTCTCTCTCTGTTGAGTCTATCCGGGTCCCGTCTTTGATCCTACCGCCAGTACCACACTAGAAACTGAAAGCCAACCAAGGCAATATCCAATGATAATCTCCAGAACCGCCGCTCTTCAAAACTCTCCGTGTACAAAACATCCCTACGCAATCCAACCGATTCAAAACATTCCTAGCCATGCACAGCGTGAACCATAAGGTACACAACCGGCTTTATCCCAGACACGCTCCGCAACACAATGAGTAAACTCCTCCAACTCCTATCTTGTGCTCTATTAACCGCATGCTGTATGCTATTCACCGCAAGGTGCAATCTCCCCTCCTACTCTCTGTTGGTGTTCGGTCTTCTAATGTATTGCCCTTCTTGGCGATGGACGGTAAGAGAGGAAAGAGGAAGAATAAAGAAATAAAAAAACATGTCGTTCCATGATCAATTTCCGGCTGCCGGGTATAAATGTGTCTGAAAGTTACCTAGGGGTTAGCGGGAGGCTTCTGCGCAGTTGTATGAGTAGTGGCATATGAGGAATCCGGCGAGGCACGAGAGACGGGAATGAGCTAGTGAATGACCAAGCAGAGCGTACCTGATAATTTTTATCGTATTACACACTGCGCGGCGCTGCCATGTCACAACGTGGTGCACCTCTAGGCCACCCTGGGAGTAACACCACCCAGCGATCGGTTGCTTTGAGATCTGCTGCCGACCAATGGAGTTTTGGGTTCCGTTTCGGCCCGCTTTGTGATAGGGTCAACGTTATCCTCAGCTTCGGCATCGGCGCCAACAAACGTCCAACTCTCCTCCTCGGCTTCGTCGTCGTCAGCCTCGGCTTCACCACCGGCCGCGGCATTATCACGGCGCGATGCGTTCTTGCCAATCTTCGACTTGATCAGATTGGTTGCGTACTCGAGGTCACGATAGATGCTCTGAATGGCCGTGTCTACTCCATTTTCCTGAAGGACGCCATGTTAGCATTCTCGCCATAAAGAATAGAGACCGATATTGTCTCGCTACTTGGGTTGTCCGAGACGACGCCAGATAAAGAAGGAATAAGCACATACCTTGCGGATCTGCTCGCCAAGGACCCGTGCCTTGACAATCATGCGCTCGCTGTGCGTTGCTTCCCACAACGCGCGTGAAAACGAGTTGGCGCCCCATTTCTTGAGGCAAATGCCAACGCCGAGGTCCTCAACCCGGGTGCCGAAGAAGAACTGATCGCCAAAGAAGGGTCTGATGATGGTCGGAATGCCAGCCCGAAGACTTGCGCCTGTTGTGCCGCTCCCGCCATGGTGAGCCGCTGCGTCGATCTGCTTAAATAACCAGTCATGAGGGGCAGACTTGATCTGGAAGATTTCTGGAGGTAGTACGGGCTCTACTTTCGTGTTGTCAGAAGAGCTTCCCTTCCCGGCTGTTTGGTCTTTGTTGGCATCTGGCGAGTCTAGGCGATCGCTCCAGCCCTTGCTGAGAATGCAGCGCACGTCTGCCTTCTTCACCGCATCGATGACTTCCTGGGTCATCTTGATGGGGTCCGGAACGATGATGGAACCGAAGCCAACATAGACGATCTTTTTCTCATCTCGGCGTGCCTTCTCGATGAAGTCCTTTAGCTCCTTAGGTGGCTCCCATTTGTCCCCACCCTCGTCGAGGAACCAGTAACCCGTTACGCGGATCCAATCGCTATAGTCGAGCGGCGGCGGCACAACATACGAGGAGAAATTGTACAGAAACGGCACCTTGTTCATCTGGAGCTTCTCAAGGTTTGTGTTGGGTAGGTGGAGGGTATTATTCCGCCAGCGGTTGACCTGATGAGCCATTGCCTTCCAGAATACGTTGTCGAACATGACGTACGTGACGTAATTGTACGCACCGCCCATCTTCTGTCCCGGCATGATGAACGCATGCGGGTATGCTCGCGTCCGCGTCCAAGGCATCGTGAATGCGCGGAAGTATGGAATGCCGAGAGCCTCGGCAATGTGGATGCCGGCCATAGCACTAGGTGACTCGATCAGGAGGTCGCTGCCTTGGCAGGCAACCCAGGCAGAAGCCAGGAGCTCGTCGAGCCAGCCGCGGAACTTGGAGTTTGCTTCCTTGAGGAATGCCCACGTAAACGTGCCGTTCTGGATGCAGATACGCATGAGCTCACTCGGGTCGCCGCCAACATTAGCAAACTCGATACCGTGGCTCTCGATCCAGTCCTTGAACTCTGCGTGGGTGGCAATGCGAGGACGGTGGCCCTCTTGAATCAGGCGCTTGCAGAGTGCAATGTACGGTTGCACATCACCGCGCGAGCCGATAGTCAAGCACGTCACCTTCATTGACTTGGTGGGCTTGAAGTTGAGGAACGAAGCCTTGGGGTCATCAAAGAGAATCGTCGGCGCCTCCGACGAAAAGCCCGAGTTCTGGCGCGGTAGCTTGACTTCATGCTCGGCGAACTCTTCACCTCGCGCCTCTTTCAATGCATCGCGTTCGGCAACTGCAGCCTGGGCATCATCCATTTCGTCCTGGTCGAGCAGACTGGACTCGCGCAGGTAGCGAGTAGCCTCCAGGTTCTGGTGAACTGTAGCGGAGCAGTCATCTCGGATCTCCCCTTTGCCAAACTCAAAGAAAATCTCCTCGTGTCCACGAATGACCACCACGAGACCCGAGTATCCAAAACGGAACCCCTTCTCTTTATCGACATTCTCAATGTCCTTGAAAGGAAGTATGAGTTTGGTGCGGGTGCCAGGCAGCAAACTGCGGAAGCAAAAGTGGCGGTCACCGATGTATATCTTGCCGTAAAGCGGGAGGACTCGCATTAGATATCCAAAATATGCAGCTTGGAGTTTTTCGGTTTCCGGAAGAGCAAAGTGGGCCTGGAAGCGGGCTTCAGAGCTGGCTCTCTCCTCCGGGTCATCCTCAATCTCTTCGTCGTCAGTTTTTAGGCCCGAGGGTTCATCGTAGTGCTTCTTGCCGCCTTTCCACATGCCCGATACCTTCTCCACGTATCCCATAGACTCGGTTGCCAAGAGGGTACTCATGCGCCGAGACTGTCGGTCCAAGTAGCCCATAATCGCGTTAGCCCTCTGGAATGGGTAGCCCCCCATCTTGGTGATGCTCTGCAGCGTCGGCGTGGAAGGGATCCCTTCGTGCTCGCCGGCGCCAGGGTCGGTGGTGTGACCAGTGGTTGAGGCATGTTTGGGCGAGTACTTAACCAGACCAGACGTGTGATGTCGTATAATTGGACGTGCACCACGTTCATCTTGCTCCTCCGCTGCCCTAGACTGGGATGCCGATCGTCGGATTGTGGGACTATGAAAGACGTCGCTGCCTCGCAATATTTGGCTTGCGGATTGGTCTTCGCTGCTTCCTGATACGATGAGCGCTGAGAGGCTTGCCTGGCTTGGATCCTCGAGGCTCTGAACATAGGAATCGCTGCTTCCTTGCTTCTCGGGGCGGACGCGGCTGTCGCCCAATCGGTTCCTCGACTGGGACCGCCGGCTGTCGCTGAAGCTCCTACGAGGCGAGTCCGGCCGCGGACCGATGATTTGGCTGACGTCCAAGCTTCGCCGGCCAAAAGGGCGGAACGCATCAAAGCTGCTTCTTGTCAACTCCCCACTAGCCCGGGGGCTGGGTGAGTGATGGCCGGGCGATAGCGGCGTGAGCGTAGCCCGGACAACTTCAGCAAGTTTGCTGGTGCGAATATTGGGGGGCCTTTGAGGGCGCTCCCGACTTCCGCTCGTGCTGGTGCGCTTTGATGACGTTTCATGCGAGCTCAATTCCTCAGCCTCCGCCACCTGAGCAAGGTCGTTCAGTCCAGGCGTCTGAGCCAACGAGTCCTCAACCAAGATCTTGAGAACATTGAGCGCTTCCTTGCCAAAGCTAAAGAATGAGAAGAAATACTGCGAGCTCGTCGTTAGACACGATGAATCAAAGCGGGGATCACAAAAAAGAGCTGACGTACCTCATCGATGGCATAAGTCTCATCGTTGTCGATCACCCGGATTTTGCAGGTGTCTGCAAAATCCAGCATCTGAGTCTCCTCGACATCGATCACGTTCTCGATGGGTAACGAGATCTTGACGCTGTCGCCATCGTTGTGCGATCTAAATATTACCCTCTGCAGGCTCTTCACCCACTCCTTCGCGCTTTGCACGCTGTCGGCCTTGAAGTTATAAGTGCGGTGGTGGGTGGTGACAGTGAAATGTACGTCATCCTTATCCTTTTCCTTATCGGTAACGCTGGCCGAGATACCATAACGTAGATCGATCTGGCCGCTCGGGAAATACAGATTCTGAGGGTCGCGATAATATGAGAGTACATCGCCTTTAAGGCGGAACCAGTACCGGTTGTACTTGGGGTTTCGCTTCCCGCTCTTGGAGAGGTATCCAGACTTGGCGACTTCGTTCTGTGTCCATGTTAGTTAGCATCAGACCCCACTACCAGCAAGGTGCGCGCGTACTTACAGCCTTTTTCGGGAGGTAAGCGTAAAAGGCGATGTGGCGCGCCGTTATGTACATGTAGCCCTGGAGCAGAACGTGCTGGAGCAGCCAGCACGGGTATTCTGATCCAGTGTAAGCCGATGCCCAGTCCCGACAAAATATCGGCCTAGAATCTTACCTTCTATAACCTCTTCTGGGCTGTCAAACTCGAATATCTCCTTGAGCTTCATGGCCAGCTCTGTTGGGCCCGTGTTGCCGACTTCGGCGTCTCGCCCTTGCTCTCCCGACAGCCTATCCAGGTCGAAGCTGGGTCGCGATGCCATCTCGGCGCGGGCTTCTAGCATCCTGCTCATAACGGGCGCCAGCCTGCCTTCGGCTCTCGTGATTTCGATGCTGGGCGCCAGATCTGACGTTGCAGCCGGTGCTTGGTCCGGTTCGCGAATTTGCTCCTCTGCTGCGGTAGGTATTTCTTTCGGGGACTTGGAGGTTTTGGACTTGGAGGATAAGCGGGCAAGCCCAGACACAGACCGTAAAAGACGGCTCTCCGATATCTTTCTCCGATGGCGGGACCCTTCAGCTTTGGTGCCAGGCGCATTAGGCTTTCTGAGAATCGTGGTTTGCGCAAGAGGGAAAGGTCCACCTTGCGAACCTAAACTCTCCTGTCGAGGTGTTCTCTTGTGCCCAGCAATGGTCATAGCCATGACGCCCTCTCCTTCGTCTTCGTCCGAGCTGTGTCCCTCGAACCTGTCGGTGAAGTCCACCTGGCTGCCCGCCGCAGCGATCAGGCCAAATATGCTCTGGTTCATATTCATGAACATGCCCCCAGCATAACCCTGCGGCTGTAACACATCCTCATCGCCGTCGGGATGGTCGCCGTCCTCTTTAAAACGTTCCGGCAGCTCCATGGTAGGGGTATGGCCCGTTTCGCGGCGCTTCTTTTGGAGCTTTCTCGACACGCGCCGTGCGGTGGGCTCGTCGGCGCTCGTGGCAATGGATGACCGTGTGGGTGCGGACAACGGAGGGTCGGGCTGCCGTGATTGGGACGGCTGCGACGCGAGGGGACTTGAGTGGGATGGTAGGCGGGCGCTGCCGGCTGCCGTCGGTTGTAAGGGTGCCATATTTGTTTGTGGCTTGGAAAGACGGGATGGGTTATCTGGCGGCGACACCGGGCCTTGGAAGGGGCCGAATGCTGTTTGGAGATTATTAGTAAATTGTAAACTGTAGGTTTCGAGACCTCGCGCAATGCAAGCCCATCCGCCTCAGTCGATCGCGAAAGGCACAGCTAGGCAGATGGAGGCAAACTCGAGGATCGGATGACCTGCAATCGGACAATGGCCGGATGCCTGGGGCCAAGGCGAAGACCGACGTCCCCTAGGCAAACCAAGTGCGGGCTAGCTGCACAGGGCGGATACAGCGGATCGGCGAGGTGATGGCTGGGGAGGTCGGCTGGCGCCTTAACTCACCTAAATCGGCAACCTCCAGTTAGGCTTATCAGGTGCTGGGAGGTTGATCTGCCTGGCAGCCGAGTGTGCAGATGCGCAGGTGGACGGCAATGGCCGAGAGGCGAGCAATGGTCGCTGTGGGTGGCCGGGGGTCGACGAGACGGCTACCGTTGACCAGTGAGCGTGCCCCCGTTGATGGGTTGGCCCCCTACCAGGTTGCGGTGAGGTCTGTCTGCAGTCGGGTTTAGCACTGGTAGGGCTTGCAGTGACAGCACGTCCCGTCAGCGGGTCCAGAATGGCGCCGGCAGGTGTCGGGTGTTTGCCAAGCAGTCGCCCTGCCGGGCCTTGATCTTGAGGAGGGTGTAGTGTATTTACAGTGCAGCTGAGGTTAGCACTCACTGAAGACCCTCTAAACTGCAGGCGCTTCCTTACCACTTTGTCGCCCGGACTGCGCTATACATACATGGACTTCGCACCCGTCAGTCAGACGAGGCGAATGCGCTGTCAAAATTCAGATTCTGTTGAAGCATGCGAGTTCGTGCGCATAGGTTGCAGTGTTATGACGGCACCTCTCGGTGTTCTCGGTGACTCTTGTAATTTCAAGGACTGCCCTGCTCTGGGCCGGTGGATCATCCGAGGCCTGTTCCGGAACACTATCCACCTCACATTGGAAGTGCACGCTGACATCCGCAATCGCGGCAGCAACTGGGCGACGCTAATCTTATCGATAAGGTGTGAGTCTCGGTTGGCTAGTGGGGGGTTTGAGTAGGGCGCCAACCGACGGCAATTGGCAAGCTCCTGACCTGGTGAGCTGACCCGTCCGCCCCAGCCATGTTGTACATACATAGGCTGGACACGGGCCAGTGGGCGTGGCATCACATGCAATGGAGCACATCCATTGCAGGGAAGCAAGCCCAGCGAACAAACAAAAGTAAGAAAAATATACGATATACGAACAGTTCCCATTTAATTGACTTGGTGCCAAGCGATGTCTAATCGATCTGCTTTGCCACTGACAAAACACATACAAAGGCTCGCAGAAATAAAGGGCCTGGGTACTGAGTACCTATACCTGATTTCTGCGAACATGGAAGGCCAAGCAAGGATTTCAGTTGCATTTTTACCTCTCATTTTTGGTCAGCATCCCAGATTACTATTCAGACCTGTAATTGTTGGCCAACATGGTGGCACAGATTCGGGCAGTCCCTTCCAGCCATCTCTTAGCGAATGCACACGCAAAATAGTACTAGCAGGTAGACGGCCTCTGTCGGCTAGAGATCGACCACACCGGAGGGAGTCCACCCCCAACACGCGAAACGTGCCATAAATAACAATCCAGGTTCTATTATCTCATCCCACAACTATTACACGGTTCTCCGCAGTGTGTTCATGCGTATCACTGACTACTCCTGCTCCCAAAAAAACGACCCGGTTACATCCACAGACACAGCTTGCCGCTGGCTGTGCCACCAGTCACCCAATCCATCGTAGGATGGAAATGGGCAACAGCTGGCACAGCCGTAATACCGTCACCGTCTAACTGCGCAAGCTGCTCGCCGTTGGCTGCGAATACATCCACGAAACGGTTCATGTTTCCAATGACAAACTTGTGCAGCCCGTCGCGCGGGCTCTGCTGCCACTGCGGCTTGAGGATAGTGACCCAACGGCCCGTCTGGTTATTGTGATGTATCTGGTGGGCCGGCGCCATCTGCCTATCTGACAGGTTCTGGCCCGCACTCCAAGATCCGGCATCCGGGAACGAGTAGATTTTGATCCTGTCGTCATAGCTTGACGTCGCAACGTGCCCGCCGCTGCTCCAGCTGGCGTGCGACACGGACAGCCGGGACTCGTGCTCGCCAAGCAGTGCTGGGTGCCGCAGATCACCTTTGCCGCTAACTTTCCGCAAGTCCCAGATCTTTAGCGTCCTGTCAAGCGATGCCGTGGCGACAAGGTGCGAGTGCAGCGGGTGCAAGGAGAAGCCACCAATCTTTTGGTCTGTCAGTCCCCAGATTTCCGCATCCACCACCTTTGTGCGCATGTCGTGACGTCCAAGGGAGCCCTGGAGCGTGGAGAAAATGATGACATTCGGGTCCGTTGCCGGCATATCTATGGCGCTGATCGGCAAGTCCTCGTTCTTATCAGCAGGAGCGAACACCTCGGTAGAGATGCCCTTGTCCAAGTCAAGCTTGCGAATTGATGAATCGTAAGAGGCCGAATACACGGCATTTGCATCTGCTGACGAGAAGTGGAACGACGTGATGGTGCGCGAATGTGTCTTGAAGGCAGATATTACCGGATCGGGATACTCTGCTTCCTCGTCTTCGTCGTCCTCGATCTTGGGGACTGCTTGCGATGCATCAAACACGCCCATCGCGCCCTCCTTGTCGCCGGCGAATATGATCGGCTTGTCCTCCGTCGGATGGAAGCCCATGGAGTAGACGCGTTGCGGTACAACCTTGATGTCTGATCACGGTCGACTAGAATTAGCTTGCGCTGGCGGCGGTATACAAGGTCGAAGAGCACTTACCATTAACAGCCCATTTCTCGTACAGTTTGAGACCGCTCATGCGCAGTCTCAGGTCCTTCAATTTTTTGTCGGCAGTCTCCTCCACGTCTTCGTCTGTAAATGTCCTGACACCGGGCTGCGCGCCTCGCACGCCCAGGCCCTTGAGCGCAGCCATGACGTCCACGCCGGCCTCCCATTTGCGACCCTCGACCTTGATATCGCCGAGTTTCAAGTCACCGCTGACGCGCAGCCTCTTCGCCCTAGCCTTCTCGCTTTCCACCTCTGCCTCCACTTCTGCCTTGCGCTTGAGCACCGTCGAGTCTGCGTCAAGCCCGGCCAGCCTGCTGCTTTGCCGGGTGGCGCGTGCTGGAAGTTCCCTCGGGACGGTCTCGCGCTTTACTCGCGGCGCGCTCGAACGCTTCGGCTTTTGCTTAGGGGCGGCAGGCTTTGGAATTATCTTGTCGGCGGTCGTGCTTATCCCGCTTAGGATGGCATTGTTGTTGGCGATATTTTCGAGGCGCTTGCGCTCGAATGCGCTTATAGCGGGCTCCTTTTTGGGGGGCATTGTCGCGGTCGTGGTTCGAAAGCTTGCCGGCTTTCGCAAGGAGCCTGGCAAACACAGGCAGTGGTGTACTGTGGATGGAGGTGCTTTCTATTCTGGCACACAAAAAAGTGTCTAATGATTGCCTCAACTGTAGAATATGCGAAGTCAACGGCACGGTGCGATATAGAAATCAATTAAACTCGGAAACGCGATTTGGCGCGTTGGGGACCCCCGGATTTGTCGTCACGTAATCACGAGTCCGTGAAACAACTTTCAAAGGTAGGAATAAAAGCGTGTTCCATGCATACGGGTCTGTGCTTTCGCGTGCCACCAACACTAGCCCTTAAAGGCATTAGCTCATGCACTGTTCGGACAAAGGACCGTTCCAATTTGGGCTCCCGAGTTGGGGATTTTTTTTGGTCCGTCAACTCATCTTCGCGAAATCCACGACACTGTTCAGATCGAGCAACCGGTAGTGCATCGAAATGTCGACTACGCTTCTTCCTTTTCTTTATCAGACACGAACGCTACAGCGTCTTCCGGCAGCAGGCCTTTCGGCGCCGCTTCATTTCACAACTTGCTTCCGCTCTGGCAGGCAATGTCGCGGCGTTCGAACCCGCCCCGGGCGGCCTGGCCCTGTCCTCAAGGTTTTCAAGGCTCCAAGCTACCTCCCCTCAACACGGCCTGCTCCTGTCTTGCGGGTTCCTAGGCGAAAGAAGACTCCTCCAGCCTCCCCTCCGGAGAGTGAACTAGAATTCCTGTCGCCTGCCCTAGCTATCCCATTCAGTGATCTGCCAGATGGTATCCGAAGCAAGCACGATCAAAACGAAAATGAGGAGCTAGAGCTCCTGTCGACTATAACCCCAGACGAGCGCCAGGCTTTCGATAAAATTTTCCGAGAAATCGCCGCACGCAGCAGCAGCGCACTGCCTCAAGAGTCCTCCAAGAAAACAAAGACCGATGGTGTAGGAAATGAGTCGCCAGGTGAAGCGTCGAGTAACGCGGATATCGAAGCAAATGACGCAGTCAATATTATTTTTCGAGATCCGGCGTCGCAAGCAAACAAGCCTGGCAAACAAACCTCTGGAGGTTTCGGCCGGCGCCATCTCTTTGGGTCGTCAGAAGATCCGGAATCCGCCATCGCACGTTTCCCTCCGGTTTTGCGCGCGGCGGCCCGCATGGCCATGGGTGTCATGGAGGCTGACAAAGAGGCCGACTATGCCATGAATAGAGGGAATCTGGCGTCTTCGTGGGAGCTGGATGATCAGGAGCTGGAAGCACTGGACATCAAGGGCAATTCCCTTCTGGGGAAGAGTGTTGACATCGAGTCAAAACGGCGTGAGGAACGCGCCCGGGTGTCGCTCTTAATGAAGAACGCAAAGACCGACTTTGAGTTGTGGGATATCATGGAGAGTGAAGTCTTCTCTATGGTGGATAGGTTGGGTATCGGCAAGCAGCAGCCAAGCAAGCCCGGGCGCAAGAAGAAGCCGAGTGACGATAAGCTGTCGATGCACACCTTCGGCCCTCTCTACCCGCAGCATCTCCACGAAGCTCTCCGCCTCATGGACGAGTCATTCACCACGTCTTCCCCCCTCGCTCTTAACATTCTTCCCCGGGTCAAGGAACTCGGCCTTGCAAGCTACGTTCTCGGGGTCAGCACCGAATTTTACAACACCTTGGCCTGGATCCAGTGGTACCGTCGTGGTGACGTGCGAGCCGTCTTCTCTTTGTTCGACGAGATGCGCAACGCCGGCCTGTACTGCGATGGCGCCAGCCTTGCAATCGTCCATGATATCAAGACCTTCTTTGACTCGTGCTCCGGGCCCTCTAGCACAAATGGTCCCTTTCTGACAGAGCTCATGACGATGCCCGAGTACATGTACAACCTGCGCCCCGGCATTAAGCATCGGATCGGTCTTATCGGCGCTCATATCAAGGATAGCGTCGAAACTCCAGTGCGATAGGCAGGGGCAACAAAACTTGGACGCAAAGCACACCACTTCCGTTAGCCCGCCGAGGCAGGGGCGAGTATATCACGGCCAAGGTTGCCACCGTCTCCGTGAGAGGCCATTTTGTCTCCGGTAGATCAAGATGCAGTCCGAGTACTATCCCATGGCCAATATGTATTATATGATTATCCGAGCCGCAATCACCACCAAATAACCTCTTACACATGTGTTTTACCACCCGTCTACAGCCTGCCGCAACTCTCTTTTTCGCCCTTGACTCCGTGGCGAGAAGTCTCTGCTCAGACTATACGGTGCAAACATGATGGTAATTCTTGCAATTGAAGACTGGAGACTTTGTGGATTGTCACGCCGGCGATGACGGGAGCGACCTTCAAAAATATGTCAATCATACGATGGTGAGGCAGAGAAGGATACGGATTTCCATGTTTCATGAGGAGATCACAATCCCAGCGCAGCGCGGTTGCAAGGTCTCCGGTGTGGGCCGGATGCCGGTTTTGGAGAGGGTCCCTCGACTGGGCCGATGGCCGAAAAGTGCCTCCCCGGTGGCCACCGGCCGGCAAAGAGGCCCCAGACTTCAGCCGAGAATTAAAGGCAACGCAACGAGAAAACAGCATGCTCTCTGTAGAAGCATGAGACGAGCAGAAAATCATGCAGCTCTACATGTATTAAGTGACTATGAAGAAAGTCATTCGCCAATATTTACACAGATTATAATACACCGACACCACAAACTCCCCAACACTGTTTCACTCGGGTTGCAGTTTTGGGCCTTGGCTCCACCGACAGCTTGCAAAGGGCGGAGGCCGTATACTTCGGGGCCCGGGCCGGTCGGTCGGCCTCGGCGGCCGCGGCATTAGCTTGACACACTGTCGGCTGGCAGGATTCCTCTTCATCCTTCCCCTTCCTTCTCCCCAAGTTCAGTCTTGACATGTACTACTTAGCTGGTCGCACCCCGGGTCGGCAGCCGGCAATCAAGCAGCTCGGGTGGCTGAATAGACATGGGATCCCAGCAAGGGAGCCCCGTTGCCCGTACCGTGCACGCCGAATACGCCGATTCGAGAGAGTGGCGGTTTCAAGCCGAGAAGATCGTAAAGGCGCAAGTGCTGATGTCCTCGGATCTGCGCTGCACACCTCTTGAAGATTTCCAGATTCTCTACACTACACACGCAACCACGCACACGGCGCGCGCGTGTACTAACATCATTATCGTCGCATCAGACACGTTGCCCTTCTCATCGTCGCCAATCCAATTACTCCACGCATCCTCCTCCACACCTCCCCTCCGATGCGGGTCGCTCAAGTTCTCGCAACTACATTTATGAAGAGCGGTGGTAGCCATCTTTCGACGCCGTCCAATTCGGTCCGTTCTGCACCTGTGCACAAACGACACGACAACACACGACGCAACCGAACCGTGCGCCTGGGCAGGATCAAGTAGTCCGCTGGAGAGTTGAGCCATCATCGAAACTTTGACAGTCATAGCAGCATAGGCCATGGTCCGCCGCGCTCTGAGCCATCGTCGAGGGAGCACGCTCAGCTTCGAAATCGACACGGTCGCCGCCACCGCCCCCCCCATCAGCCCCGTGCCCCTTACTCGCAACCGCAGTGTCGTCCAGCGCGAGCCGCTGCCCCTTTCGCGCCACCACCGGCTCAGACGATCGAGCAACGCCAGCGCCACCAGTGCCGTCAGCAGTATCGACGGCAGCGCCCCGCGCCTCATTGGGGACTTGTACGAGGAGGACTCCGGGTCCGCCATCATCGACGACGAGGCGGCGTGCGCGTCACCCCAGCTGCTGTCGCAGGCGGCTTCCGAAGACGTGGCGAGGATGGTATTGAACGAGAAGACTCCCATGGTTGTTGCGTCGGTCCAGGAGACGGCTCCTGGCGCCCTTGGTGCTGCTGCTGCTACTACTACTTCTGCGCGATCACAGGACAGGGCTGCGGAGCTGCCAGCCGGTACTCAAACACCACAACCCGGCCCCGGGACCCCCACCACGAAGGTGGCGCCAGCACTACAAAACCTAAACACCTAGCCATTGGTCGCCGGGCGCAGCAGTTCACGACACGATGTGAAATATTGTTGTATATATGACAATGCATCAAGGCCTCGGAAAGGACTGTACAAAGGCACGGACGAGGCTGGGCGCGGGAGCGTGTGAATACGAGTAGAGAAGTGGCCATAGACGGCGAGCATATGAGCATGAGGATGGGTGTGTGGGATGAAGTATGCGAAGGAGAGAGGTGTAGAAAGAAGAAGGGAGGAGGGGAAGAGTGGAGCGGAAAGAGTAGGGCGAGGGTAGGAGGGCGAGGGTAGGAGGTCGAGGGGGCGAGGAGGTCGAAGGGAGGACGTCGAAGGGAGGACGTCGAAGGGAGGACGTTGAAGGGAGGACGTCGAAGGGAGGACGTCGAAAGGATGAGGTCGAAGGGAGGAGGGCGAAGCGGGCAGAGACAACAAGATGAAGGCGAAGAGAAGAGCGGGCGGATGGGGAGTATCTGGTGGGCAGTGCAATGCCAGGCTCACTTTTTTGGACGAGTCTTGCCACCAGGTTGATATCGGCGCTGGGGTTGGGTTGGGCGGTTTGGCTTGTGTTGGGATAGGGAGAATGGCAACCAGAATGTGACCCGTTTCTAGACGGACAAGTAGAGGCCATGCGGTGCGTTGCAGCATGATACCAAGACATGAACAGCGAAATCAGCGAACTGCATAATCAACTGCCCCCCGGGGGCGTGGTCGAGCTTAAGTGTGGTGTTTGGTATTTTGAGAAACCATGTTTTAACCGATGAGTGAAATATTATAACATGCAATTGACTTTGACTTGCCAGGTTCTCGTAAATGCAGAGATCTCGATACCTATGTGAACGAAGTTGTAAAAACAAGATCACGTCTCGGAGCAGCATCTCCGCCACCGCACATGCAAGGCAGGCACGACACCCGCCGAGACGGCAGCTCACTTTTGGGCTAACTGGGTGCATACACGGCAACTTCCAAATTCCCCGCGCTCAATCCTGCAACCAACTCAAAGACGGCTTGGCGGTCCTCCTGTCACCGGCTCCATGCCCAACAGCCGCTATCGACTCTCACAAACGCGTCTACCATGTGGCTAATTAATTGCTCCAACTACGCCCTCGAGAGGTTCGACAGCGCACCGCATGGCTTGTACTTGATCCTCTCTCACACCTGGGGCGACGGAGAGGTCACGTTTGGAGACATAGCCAACCTAGAACAAGCCCGCAAAATGAAGGGCTTCCAGAAGATACGGGGCGTCTGCAAAGTTGCACGCAGCCGGGGCTTCTCACATGCGTGGGTCGACACGTGCTGTATCGACAAGACCAGCAGCGCCGAGCTGTCTGAGTCGATCAACTCCATGTTCCATTGGTACCGGAGCGCCGCCGTCTGCATTGCCTTGCTCGAGGACCTGGACGGCGGGGGCGGCGACGGCGACGGCCTGGCCACCGAAGAGCAGCTCCGTCCCTGCCGGTGGTTCACGCGCGGGTGGACATTGCAGGAGATGATCGCCCCGGTCTTTGTCGAGTTCTACGACAAGCGATGGAAGCTGCGCGGCACCAAGGGCCAGCTGATCTCGCCCCTGCATGCCATCACCAGGATCGATGAAGACGTGCTGAATGGCGCCGCCGACCCGCTGTCCCTGCAGAGCGTGGCCGCGGCACGCAGGATGTCGTGGGCCGCAGACCGCACAACAACGCGCGTCGAGGACCTGGCTTACTGCCTCATGGGCATTTTCGGGCTCAACATGCCACTGCTATACGGCGAGGGGCCCAAGGCGTTTCAGCGCCTCCAGGAGATGATTGTGCGGACGAGCGGCGACATGTCCGTGTTCGCGTGGCACGATCCGTTCGAAGCATTCGCGCTCGGGGGCTCCTCGTTCCGTGGCTTGTTTGCCGCGCACCCCTCGCAGTTCCGCAGCTGCACTACTATCGAGACCATCCACGACCCCGTCATCCCGGCACCGTCCATCGCCGTCACGAATGCTGGCATCGAGTTCACTACCGCTTTGGCATCGCTTAATACTGGCGAGGACCATCTGCTGTACCTCAACTGCACCGACCTGCTTGCGCCCAGGGAGCACGGGCAGTGCCCGATCGTGACCATCTGGCTGTGGAAGACGGCGGCTGGGTACGTCCGAACGAGATCTCACGAGCTGTGCGTAGTCGACCAGCTGGAGCTCAAGTTCGAGGGCCCGGCGCCCGTCCGCATCCTGCCGACGCTAGGAGGGCCAATGGCCGGACGATTGCGCAGCGGAGGAGACTTTCCGCTGGGCGTCACACTCGACATACGGGCTCCGGGCGTGGCCATCACGACGACGTATCACCCGGGCCACCTGTGGGACCAGAAGCGAAGCTGCTTCGTGACGGGCGGAGTGGCCAAGTTCATCGGGCTTGTCGAGCTGAGCATCCCCACGACATACAGCGACAAGCCCGTCCTGTGCTGGGTTTTCTGCATGCTCGTGGAGCGGGACCTCACCAACCCCGACGACCGATTTCTCGAGGTCTGGGCCGCCATGGTCACCGAGGACGCCAAGGACTCGATCCCGGGGCTCGACCGCTTCCAGAGGAGCGACTTCTACAACCCCTTTTCGCTGTCGAGTCTGGGATATCACTTCCGCATGATCTACGACGGCGGCGCGGCGGACCTCCCCAAGAACAGCGTCGTCGACTGTGGGCCCGGCTTCTGCATCCAGCTCTCGACGGCCATTCTCCGCCACGGCAGCGACCGGCTAAACGAGGTCAGGGCGCGGGGACACTACGGCATCAAGATTGAGGCTCGAAGCGTCTTTAGCTGATGCTCTCCTTGGCAGCGGCCTCTCAAACCTCGGAAAAAGAGTGGAGCCGCTGGCTGGTACCAGAGCCGAGGAGGCGGAAGAAGAAGACAGTCAGAAACCCAAACCCTAGCCATATCCACAACTCCACCTCCATGCTTCCAGTTTCCACCACACAAGAGCCACGGAATAGCAATCCACTCCGTCAAAAGGATTTGACTCTCCATCTCTATCCACTGATACCTGCACGACTCTGCAACAATCCCAGTGATCAATCGGGTATGGTGTAACGGTAACATCAGTGACTCTCACTCACTAGCCCCGGGTTCGATTCCCGGTATCCGAATATCTTTTTGCTCCGCGGCCGTTGGCGGTGCCCCGGCTTTTGTCACACGTCAGATGCAAGTTGCGCCCGGACACAAGGAGCATGCCAGGTTGTTCCTACGCGAGCCTACAGTATGTATGTACAATTGTACATTTCCGCACAGCAAATCATTTCCTCAACCGAAATCGAGGGTCGACCTGGGCTTTCGTCAGTAACTGCCGGGCCGCTGGCACACGCGGGGCCGAAGATTAAGCAGATCGTCGGCAGCCGGTACTCGGACCGATTAGGGCCTGGTCCTTCCGAGCCGACCAACCAACAAAGTGAGGGGTATCACAAACCACCATGACATGTGTACAAACTTCCGCAGCGTCCACCTCTGGAGAATTTGATGATACAGCGAGGGCGAGTCGGTAAAACCAAACACTAATATATAAGTAGTTCACCACACACTGTACACTTTACCCCCTTTTGTCAAATGCCAAGTGTCAAGATGGCTCCCAGTCTGGCTGAAGCAGCACAACAGGCCGCTCCGCCCACCATCAAAGGCGCTCTTGACACTTTCCTTGAACATGGCGCGAAGAAAGCCCTCGCTACCGCAGAAGCCAGGTTCATAGCCAACAACCTACGGTCCAAGCAGCTGCATGAGCTTGCCGTCGGCGTTCTGCCAGGCGGCAACACCCGCAGCCTCCTCCACACGCCCCCCTTCCCCCTGAGCATGAAGCAGGGCAAGGGCGGGTACGTCTGGGACGAGGACAGCCACAAGTAAAACCCCCACCGCCCATGTCCCCAACCTCGTCCCTTCGCTGACACCTCCTGCCTCACTGCTCCCAGGTACGTCGACTTTGTGGGCGAGCTGTCAGCCGGGCTGTACGGGCACTCGCACCCGGCGATCCGGGCGGCGATCGTGTCGACGCTCGACGACGTCGGACTCAGCCTGGGCTCGACGACAGCGCAAGAGCAGCGGTTCGCAGCGGCGCTGTGCGCGCGGTTCCACCTGGCGCGCGTGCGCATGGCCAACTCGGGCACCGAGGCCAACCTGCACGCGCTGGCCGCCACGCGCCGCTTCACGGGCCGCCGCAAGGTCGCCGTGTTCGCCGGCGGCTACCACGGCGCCGTGCTGTCGTTTGGCGGCGACGGCGGCACGCCAGCGCCCAACACGGTCGAGCGCGGCGACTTTATCGTCGTGGCGCCCTACAACGACATCGCCGCCACGCGCGCCGCCATCGCCGCCGCCGCGCCCGACCTCGCCGCCGTGCTCGTCGAGCCGATCCAGGGCGCCGGCGGCTGCATCCGCGGCACGCGCGACTTTTTGCGCGCCGTGCAGGACGCGGCGCGCGCCGCGGACGCCTTGTTCATGCTCGACGAGGTCATGACGTCGCGGCTGGCGCCGGGTGGGCTCGGCGCCACGCTGGGGCTCGACCACCCGCCCGACCTCGTCTCGCTGGGCAAGTACCTCGGGGGCGGGCTCGCGTTCGGCGCGTTCGGCGGCCGAGCTGACGTCATGGCCGTGTACGACCCGCGGGACCCAAACGCGCTCGCGCACTCGGGCACCTTCAACAACAACACGCTGGCCATGCACGCCGGGTACGCCGGGCTAGCCGACGTGTTCACGCCCGACGCGTGCGTGGCGTTCAACGCCAAGGGCGACGCGCTGCGGGTGCGGCTCGCTGTGGGTGCGGCTCGCTGCGGGTGCGCCTCGCGGCGGTGGCTAGGGGCACGCGGCTGACCTTTACCGGGTGCGGCTCGCTTATCGGGTTGTACTTCACGCAACGCGGCGTGGATGTTGTCGCGAGCAGCGACGATCTGGCGCGTGCGGGCCGGCGGACGGACCTGCGGGACTTGTTCTGGTTCGAGATGCTCGAGGAGGGCTTCTGGATCACGCGCAGGGGGTTCATTGCGCTCATCTTGGACACGCCCGACGACGAGCTCGACCGGTTCGTGGGCGCCGTGGCGGCGTTTCTGGAGCGGCATCGCGAGATTATGGCTCTTTGACGTCTGTTGGCGGAAGTCGATTTCCAAGAGGAGCAATGGTGCTTATGCAAGTCTTAGAACTGCTGGGTCCTTGAGCTGGGCCACTGCACTGGTCTGGGACTGGGGTTTCCAACACGGTGGCTCTTGGGCCAGAAAGTCACTGATTTGCCTGGATGCGTGGCTGGTGTCTTGGTTGTGCGCGGATTTATTGACGGTTGTTGGATCAAGGAGACAAGCAAATCCTGAGGGACATCCTTGCTCATAAATTGCGGCTGTAGGCAGTCCGTGTAGCTCTGTCATCAATACCGTTCATTCTTTGGGTTTATAGTATTCCTCAGCAAATTGCACTTGGTCGAAATACGTTTCTCGTTTGTCTGCTCATGGATGGATACGATCATCATGGTAAACCTTTCAAAGACAAAATAAGGGACAGCACGGTCCATGATGAGGGGGCCGAATAGCTGTGTTATAAACGTGCCGACGTTAACTCCAGAATAGACAGAGAAAGGAAACCCAATTAAACACGCCATTATAACTCTCGGCAATGTTGTGATAAATCGAATTGTGAAAGTCCTTCCTTGAGGAAAGCCTCATTGAAGCAGACGAAATAACATACAACTCTCGGCATTTCTTAAAATTCGAAGGCAGTAACCGCCACCGTAAAGATTTTTCGGGACCTTGCTAAGTCTCTAATAGGGAGGAAAATTTATGTAGGTTGTATATTTTGGGAATTTCAGTAAGGTTTGCACTGTGATGGATTAGTTGCCAGATCAGTTAGGTTAGTTGCCAGATCAGGTAGGTTAGTTGCCAGATCAGGTAGGTTAGTTGCCAGATCAGGTAGGTAGTCAAAGTATATTGAGCGTTGTCTTGAAGAAAAGTACCTAGTTAAAAGAAAGCTTCGTCAGTGCGTAAGTTGGACAAAGAATTAACCAATGAGCAAAAAGATGTTCGGATACCGGGAATCGAACCCGGGGCTAGTGAGTGAGAGTCACTGATGTTACCGTTACACCATACCCGATTGAATCACGTGGACTGTTGGGAAGTCATGCGGGTATTGGAGAACAGGTAGGGAAGTGGAACCCTAGCTAGACTAGACCGCAACGCTGTTGGTCAGCGAACACACCATGACTGTAGTGATTTAACTACTGCACAAACTATTGTCTCTGAGTATGACAAAGGCGCTTTGTTCTTGAGAACTTCCGAGACCCGGCACTGGCTATCCGAACCAAACAAGCTCACAAGGGAACAAAGACTCGCGCCCTACGTTATTCAACCGAATCCCATATTAAGACTACAGGCCGCCTCTTTACCTACGGCTAAAGTTAAATCTAGGTGTTCTAGCAATAACAATCCTTCAATATCTCCCACGATTTTGGACGGCGACAAGAAATTTGAACACGCATACTAACACAAACGACGCCACAGAATCTGATCACGACCAATACGACTGGCTGCATGCACCACAGGCAGATTACCAAGTACGATCTCGGACGAATATATTAATCATCATAGGAACGAGGCCTTTCCGATAAATAGAAATTACTAACGCAACCACAGATTCAGCGCTTCAACCCAAGCACACTTCAACTGAGTACTCTTTTAAGTACTGTGCTGTTTAGTACTGCATATCCAGCACCTTCATGGTCTATGCCCAACTCCCGACTCAATGGTTCGGAATAATGACAGATGGAACGACGACCGTCGCCAAAACGGCAGCCATTGGGGTAAGGACTGGTCAAAAGAGCCGAACATGATGAAGAATCTCGAGCTCCTAGCCAAGACCATTGCCAGATCCCAAAATAATCTAGGCGGCGGCGCTTTCGGCAACGGCTATCCTCCCGCCACCAACCCCCAGGTCAACCCTTTCAACAACCCTTTCGGGGCCCCCAGCAACCCTTTCGGGGTCCCTAACAACCCTTTCGGGGCCCCTAACAACGATTTTGGGATCCCTAATAATCCTTTCGGGTCCCCTAACAACCACTTCGCCCCTCAAGCCGCAGCTCCCAACCCTTTTGCGGGCCGGCGCCCCAACCCGTTCTTGCCGAAATGGCCAGCGCCACAACCCAACCTCCAGCTGCAGCAGGGAGCGCCCAACGAGAACATGTTCGACAATTGGAACGACCACTCGCGGGAGCTGCCTCGGCTGGTCATCCGGCTGATGCACCTCGAGCAGCGGCTCAAGGACAGCCTCGCGATCGTGCTGCAGGCGGTGCCGGAGATGCAGGCGGCCGTCGAGTTCTTTGCGCCCATGGTCACGTCCGTGCAGGCGTTTCTCGTCGTCTTCCGCGTGAACATCGACACGGCCCTCTCCTTGCACGCCCAGGGCCAGGCCCTCCACATGACGCCCGGCGATGTCCAGCAGGGCCGAGCCGCCGTCGACATGTGCGTCGAGTACGACGTGGTCAGCCAGCTTGAGCGGGCCATATGCGTCGCCGCCGGCAACGGCGGCATCCAGGCCGCGGCCAACCCGCAGAACTGGGGCGTCGGCGGCATCTCCTGGCGTGCCTACGTCGAGGGCCTGAAGGCGTACCGTCAAAAGACTATCCTCTCGATGGGCTAGCGTGCCACTGGCGTGGTTACGAGGTAAAAAAGGCGCAAACAAGGTAAGGTAGGTAAGGCGCAAGGTAAGAAGGCCGGAAAGGACGGAAAGGTAAGTTGGTGGATGGTGGCGATGGCGGGGGACACCGACACCCAAGCCATGAGTGTAGCTGATACGGTTTTTAGAGAGGCTTCTTCGTATTTTCCGTTCTGGCTTCTTTGTTCCCTTTTTCTTTTATTTTGGGCAAGGTAGGCATGCTTTTGAGCCTCTTTGGTTTCGGATGGCTGGTTTGCTCGGGCTATGGAGTTTTGGATAACTTGTTGTTGTTGTAATATGTTGCATAATTATTTCCTGCTCGGCCGCATGACCAACGAATGTGGCGTCGTGGATAAGGTGAATCCAGCCAAATGGAATTAATACATTGTTTCCTGGCTTCAACATAACAGTTTACTGTCGTTCCTAGATTTTAAGGTGGTGCTTGATGAACCACAATTTAATGCTCATTTATCGTGATTTCTCATTGTTGTTGGAATTGGGCCTGAATTTCCGCTGTAGGAGGAGTCTTCTGCTTCTCGGGATATACTGTCTTTTCCATTCCTTGATCCCAAACATTTACGTCACTGGTAGAGAAAAGTCTGCACACTGCCATTCGGTCACCGACGAAAGATTTAATTGCCAAGTTCTCTTAGGGAAATAGGTGGCGCTTCGAAGACATTGCTCGGAATTTCGAGTTTTAAGAGACGTGCTGCAATTAAGCATTAAAGCTGTGCGGCGCGAGCGACAACCTGCCAAGGAATTACAGGGGGTTGGGGTGCTGTCGATATAGTGTGCGCTAACGGTCGACTAGTTCAACAACTGGAAGTTGATTCGACCCGCCCGTATAGCTCAGTGGTAGAGCGCATCACTCGTAAGCCCATTCTGCGACATGATGAGGTCCACGGTTCAATCCCGTGTGGGGGCAAAACAGTTAGCTTCTTTTTTGCTCTACAATCCTCGTAAAAAAATTAATTGTTCATTTTTAGCTGGCTTGTTGTTCTTTCTTTGTGCACGCTTCTTTTTCCTTGTTCTTTTTTTTTGCGCGATTGCAAAACGCGTTGTAGTCAACCGCTTTGTCTTCTGAAGCTAGTTTCTCATTTCCTATTGTTCCCGGCAGCCAGAACAGTGACGCCGTTAATTGTTATGTTCGTCTGACGGTGGCCAAGGTGGAGAAAATGTGTTGGAATAGCGATGTTGGTGACCGTACTCTGCGCTGGAAGGCAGGCGGTGCGATGCACGTGCTAGCGCACGTGCTTGCAAGCACGTGCGCCGCACGGCCCTCGCACGGCCATGTACAAAGCCAAGAACCCCCACCATAGATTTCTAGAACAGAACATGAATCAGAACAACTTTACACCCCCCCCCCCCCGGTAGTACTACCACTTTTTGACCCGTTGGAACACCTACGTGGTTGGAATACCACGAACACTGATCAGTGAGTGGTAACACTCACAGATAAGCTACGTGAAGAGACGAGATCGTACTATCGGCGCGATCGCACTGAACTTTCGAGGGAAGTGCGACCCGCGTGCGAGAATCTCTCGTGCTATCGCCTAGACGACTGTTTCCTACGAACTTTCGAGGGAGTAAGGAGGCTTCATCTAGAAGAATTAAGGAACCAATCGTACTAAACGCGAATGTTTACGACCGCTGGAAATCGGGAAGGCGATCGTAAGCATCACGGCTTGGTACAAGAGGAACCCGAATTGCGCGCCACAGTGCATTAACCCCGCTATAACCCCACTCAATGCCAAAAACCCCGGTCGTACGGCAGCGACCAATCACCAACACACTTATCGACAGTCATCGATAACTTGAAGACGATGGCGTTAGATAGTGAGGAGGAATCCTACGAGGAGATCTGGGAGAATAGCGGCATCCCCGCGACGGTTTGGAAGAGCAATGTTGACTTCAACCTGTGGGATTCTGAAACGCCACCAAACCTCACGAACCCATTTCGGGAGAAGGAGGCAACAACGTACTTCGCACAGAGTATGATGGAGTTTATCTGGTTCAATATGAGCCTAGATGGAATCCGCGCAGCTTTCCGCGAAGACTTCAAAGGCTGGACAGTCGCACAATTCAACGAAGTCAATCGTACGTTCAAGAAGCGAATGCTCACCATCTTGGAGCAGAAGAACGTACAAGTCCCGGAAGGGACGACCTCAGAGAAGTTCGCCAGTCTCGTGGCGACCGCACAGCCAATAGAGATGCCGCACAATACCTATCAACCATCTCCGACACCCACCCTACAGCTCAAGACAGGAGGAACACCACTCCTAACGAACCCACCGGGTACGACGACTTCTCCATCTCCCAATTCGTACCAGAACCCGAACCCGCTATGCGGAACCCCCTATATCCAGTACCAGAACATCCCACCGACGCGGATCATATATAACGGCCCAGTCGATAGCAGGAAAGTGTCGGCGTTTGTGAAGGCATGGAAGCCCGCACGGAACTATACAGGACGTCCGTATGACATCTTGTACGATAAGGTCAAGCACTTCGTTAGTATGTGCTGGAGGCACGAGATCTTGGAGGATATGTATCACGCAGTATTCCCCGAGATCCTATCTGACCGTGCGGAGACGTACTATATGAACCATATTGGGCCTGATGAGAGGTGGGACGAGATCTATCAACTGCTGGACTCGTACTTTAATACTACGGTGAACCACGCCGAGTATTACTCGGACTGGACTACCCTCAGCTTCGCACGATTGCGTAGGGAGAGCCCAGAGGCACCAGCGAAGGAGATGCTCGAGAAGATGCTCGATAAGCTCCAGCTCGTGCAGCGTGCCCTAGGCGAGGGATACCAGGGCGAGATCGCACTGCATACCGCAGTCACGCGAGCCTGCACAGGAGTCGCAGAGTTTGAACCAGCACTACTGGGCCAGAGGACATCGTGCGAGTCACTATTTGACAAGCTGAGAACAGCCCTGAAGATTGCAGAGGACCGCAAGGTTTCGCGACAATTCCATACCGAGACGTACGACCAGAACTTTGTCGACCGGCGATATCGTTCCAATCGCACAAACGACAAGCCACAATTTCCCAAGCGTCAATTTCAACGACGCGATCCTTCATATCGCCCTCGTGCGAGATTCGGGAATACAAGAGACAAGAAGTGCTTCATCTGCAAGAAAGAAGGCTGTTGGTCAACCAACCACTCAAGGGAGGAACGAGAGAAGTCTCGAAGGCAATACCTCCAGGCGTGCGAAACATTGGAGAGCCAAAAGGACTTTGAACAATTCCTGGCAGGTTTTGAAGGTACGCCACCAGAGGAGGAGGAGAGTGACGATGAGGAGTCCGGATATGAGGGCGAGGAGGAAGACCAAGGACAAGCCGCACAATTCCTCCAAGAGAAAGCATATATTCATCGCACATTCGGCGAGAATATCTACCAAGAATGCGAGGAGAAACCGGCGGAACAGTTCGTACTAGAGAATCAGTATACGACAATGTACCAGGGCGAGCTCTGGGATACTGGAGCCGCACAAGTATCTACCGTCGGAAAGTGCCAAGTCGAGGCATATCTGAGAGAGAACCCTTGTGCGAAGATCTCTTGGACACCAGGAACCGCCGAAATCCGATTCGGAGGCGGAAAAGTCAACACCTCTATAGGCACGATGCTTATGGAGAACGCTATCGGGAAGGTCACGTACCACATCTTGAATACGGCGACGCCATTTTTGCTTAGTCTGCGCGACGCGGATAGACTTAAAGCATACTTCAACAACGTTGAGGACGTCATCGTACGAGAGGATGGAACCACTATCCCCGTTATCCGAAAATGGGGACATCCTTTCTTCAATACGAGTCGTGCGGAAGCAGGAGTCTACCTGACTGAGCCAGAACTGAGGAGACTCCACCGGCGTTTTGGACATCCTCGTACCGAGAGACTTCACAAGCTCTTGAAGAAAGCCGGGCACGAGGATGTAAAAGAGGAGATCCTCCAAGAAATCCAGAAAGTCTGCCATCACTGCCAGACGCACGACCCAGCTCCACAGCGATTCAAGTTCACGATCAAGGACGAGTGCGAATTCAACTATGAGGTCGTCATCGATATCGTACAGCTCAATGGAAGGAAGGCGCTACACGTTATCGATGTGGCGACATCATTTCAGGCAGCAACGTTCCTACGATCAATGTCAGCGAACGATGCATGGGACGCACTATGTCGCTGTTGGATCTTTGTATACCAAGGGCCCCCAGATGTGATATCGCACGACCCAGGAACGAACTTCGCATCTGAGGAGTTCAGGAACAACGCCAAGATTATGGGAGTCTCGTGCAAAGAGATGCCGATTGAGGCACACTGGGCTATCTGTAAGGTAGAGAGAGCACACCGCCCATTAGAACGGGCGTACGATATCCTCCACCAGGAGTTGAGTCATCGCACAGACGACGAGACGATCCTCCAGATGGCAGTTAAGGCTCTTAACGATACGGCTGGCCCAGACGGGCTCGTACCAACACTCTTGGTATTTGGAGCGTACCCCAGGATCAATCACGACTCGCCACCGTCACCCGAGATCAGAGAGAGAGCGCAAGCAGTGCAGAAAGCAATGAAGATGTTGCGCGAGATCCGCGCACAAGTTAGCGTTAATCGTGCGCTCAATACTCGGAACGGACCAACGACAAATGGAGTCCTCGCACTACCCCTGAGGAGCGAGGTGCTTGTCTGGCGAGAAGGGAAGGACAAGAGGTGGGAAGGACCATACCCCATTATCGCCAAGGACTACGCCAATATTACCGTCGAGATGCAGAGCGGCCCAAAGACGTTCAGAACAACCCAGGTCAAGCCGTACTATCAAGATAAAGATAGGGAAGAGCAAGGACAAGGAGAAACCATCTCGCGCGAGAAAGACCAGGTACTGAAAGAACCTATTCCTATCGTGCAAAAGAGGGGACGGGGACGACCAAGAAAGAACCCGATCCCAGCTCAAGGCACGACCCTTATTACTCAGAAGGAAGTCGACGCACTCGCACTAGCTATCCAACTCCGCGAAGAAGGAAAGATCACTGTGCCTGGGCTACCATTTGAGGAATCGGACGCCCAGGAGATTGATGGACTGCTGGTCTCGCACGCTATTGAAGTCATCCGCTTTGACGAGAAGAAGCATGGCAAGCTAAGACTCTGGAAAACCCGACTCGTGCGAGAGATAAAGGGAAAGGACTCTATCCCTTATGAGAAGTCCAGGTTGATCGTACAAGGTCATAGCGACGAGGATAAAAAGGAGATTTTGACCCAGGCTCCGACGATCCAGAAGATGAGCCAGAGACTGATCCTCGCACTAGCCCCATCGCTAGAAGAGCGAATTGGTGCAAAGACCGAACTGAGAGACATTACACAAGCCTATACCCAATCGACAGATCCCCTTTATCGCACAATCATCGCACAGCTCCCGAAGGAACTTAAGGACAAGTATCCAAAAGGTACGGTCCTATGGATCAAGAAGCCCCTATATGGACTCGCAGAGGCCGGAGTCCATTGGTTCAAGACGTACAATAAGCACCATGTCGAGGCATTGGAAATGCAAACTTCAACGTACGACCCTTGCCTACTATTTACCAAAAACGGGCAAGAGAACTTCGGAATCACAGGCATGCAGACAGACGATACGCTCATGCTAGCCACCCCCCAATTTTCGGAAAAGGAGGAGGTCAAGCTCAAGGAGGCAGGATTGATGGCGAAGCCAAAGAAGTTCCTGACGTACGACTCTCCTATCGAGTTCAACGGATGTCACCTCCAACTCCAAGGAAAAGACATCTTAATCGCACAGAAAGGGCAGGCCAAGCAACTCAACCTAATCGACCAGGAAAAAGAGGATGCACCACAACAATATGTGTCTCAACGTGCGAGAGGTGCATATATCGCAAGCATTTGCCAGCCAGAGGCAGCGTACGACCTATCTATTGCAGCTCAGGTGAAGGAACCAGAAAAGGGAGACCACGATAGCTTGAATAAGAGGATTCAGTGGCAGATCGATAACCCGGAGCGAGGACTTCGCTATCAACCACTGGATCTTGATCGTGCGAAGCTATTCATCTTTACTGATGGATCTTTCGCGAATAACAAGGACATGTCATCACAGCTCGGATTCCTAATCGTACTAGGAACGGAGGACGACCGTACGGATAAGTCATTCCAGCTCTGCGGCAATATCGTACACTGGTCCTCAACCAAGTGCAAGAGGATTACTAGGAGCGTGCTGGCAAGCGAGCTCTACGGCATGGTGAACGGATTCGATAGCGGAATTGCTATTAGTACGACACTCACCAAGATTACAAACGTCCTCGGGATCGCACGAATCCCAGTGGTAATCTGTACAGACTCGAGGTCACTGTACGATTGCCTAGTGAAGCTGGGAACTACAAGTGAGAAGAGACTAATGATAGACGTTATGTCCCTCCGCGAAGCGTATGAACGCCGGGAGATCTCAGAAATCCGTTGGATTGATGGACAAGACAACCCAGCCGATGCACTCACTAAGAAGAACCCCAACCAAGCATTGACAAAGCTGGTAGACGACGGAAAGGTCATCGTACGAATCGAGGCGTTCGTCGATAGACTGGACAAGACGAACTGAGGAGGAGCGGAAAGGCTCATATGTATTATCACCGCACGATCACTCCATTCATATCCCTAGGAAACCCATTTCATTAAAACTCAACGCACTATCCCCCCCCCCCAGAAAAAAAAAAAAAAAAAAACACCTCAACCCCAAGAAGCTACTCCTCAAGCAGAAAAGGGTTCAGACGCGAGCCCGAACTAGAGGGAGGAAGAACACGCTGGCTAGGACTAGCGCGAGGAGAACCACCGGCTGAACTACCGCCCGAATCCCAGGCGGACATTGAGCCCTCGTTGGAATGAGAGCAGCGAGATCCGTGCGACTGCCAGACGCACTCGGCACTGGCGCCGCCCTGGAATGAGGGGATGCGTACGCAATGCCGGAACTTGGGAGACGCGTTTGGATTGCCGCACTTCTCCGGGCACGGGCGCACGCGTGTACCGCGCGATTGAACAAGGAGCGCACGAAAGTACGACTCCCGGCGGATGATGCGGGCGAAGAGAAAATGGACCGACGCACGATCGGCAGCCAGGACGCGGATCTCAACGTCAACCGAGGGCATGGCGACGACGCGGCGCTCATCGTCCTAAGGTTAATCAGCCACTCGTACGACAAAAAGAAAGACTCTCGAGGGTATTCACATTGATACAGAGGCTCGCAAGAAGACGGCGGTTATCCTCAGAACCGGTCGGAATAAGCAGGAAGAGATCGCCAGTACTGTTCGTACGAGAGCTGATAGTACCAAGAGGGGTAGGCGGCAGGCCGCCGCCGCCAGCCACGAGAGACATTGTGCCTGTATGTGCGTGTGAAGAGCGTACGAAGAAGGGAAGAAGGAGGACGAGAAGGCCAGCTTTATGCCTAGACTGGGTGCCTCGAAAGCGCACTCTTCGGACCCTCCGCTCCTTCCGCACGATCCCCGGTCCCGGGCATGTCGTCGTACGAGACCCCGGATCGGCACTAGCAGGCAAACAAGTTATCAGACAAAACGTACGAGGAGGTCGGGACTCATTGCACGATACTAGCAAACAGCATATTCAGACGAGATAGTACGATCTGTCCATCCAACCACGTGGGAAGTCACAGCGAAGGCAGGATAGGGAGAGGGATCGTACGGTCACAAAAGGAGAGTTGCCAGTGTTGGAATAGCGATGTTGGTGACCGTACTCTGCGCTGGAAGGCAGGCGGTGCGATGCACGTGCTAGCGCACGTGCTTGCAAGCACGTGCGCCGCACGGCCCTCGCACGGCCATGTACAAAGCCAAGAACCCCCACCATAGATTTCTAGAACAGAACATGAATCAGAACAACTTTACACCCCCCCCCCCCGGTAGTACTACCACTTTTTGACCCGTTGGAACACCTACGTGGTTGGAATACCACGAACAAAATGACCCCGTGGTTCATTTTTAGATTGTCCGCCGGGAGTTAGACTGGTCTTTCATAGCTGCTCGTTATTAATGTTTAAAGATGTGTTTTTTTTTTTTTTTTAAAAAAAAAAAAAAAAAAAAAAAAGGCTAGCCAAGAGACAGACTTACTTCTACCAAAAGAAAACATATCAATAGTTACATTAAAGGATTAAGATTACCATTTTCTCTGTCCATCTTGACATAAAACCCTTTGTCTCAAAAATGAAAGCAAATATCAGCACCTTGAACATCCCTCCCGTATGACTTCTTATACAGGTCAAGCACGACCCATCCTGCCACGTTCCAACCACATACAGCGTCCAAAAGGGCATTGACCTGGCCGAACTCGCTTCTCCAGCACCGATTATGGTTCTCGTAATTGCATATGTATGCGACAGTGTTGCCGGAGGTCCTGAAGGCGGCATAGTATGTCGGGTACTCTACGCCCAGGTCGCACATCAGGTCGAACGTGTACAGGGCGTCGTTGTAGCCGTTGCCGTTGTAGGAGCGGCTGTGGCAGAACGCTGCAGGGCTAGGCAACTGGCGCTTGGCGACACGGGCGCTGCCTCCCCCGGTGGGAAAGCTTGCGTCTCTAGTGGCTAGTTCTTCTTGGAGAACGGGTTCGCCGATGGCGTTGCGTTGCCCTTGCCGTCCAGAGCTTGGAAATAGGTGCCATCGTCAAGGCCGATGGGCACGCAAAGGTTTTGTACCAGGAGAATAGTGACAGAGAAAAGACGAGGGCGGTGGTGTATTTCATGATGGCGAGAGAAAATTTCCGAGGAAATGGTGTCAAAGTGTGATTTTGCTGGAGACGCTGTGCGTTTATTGTATCTAGGATCTGAGTGAGGTTGGATGCTGAGCCTGGTTCTATTGAGAGTTTCGAGAAATTAGACCCTCTATACAATCTCAGACACGAGATTGCCCCTCTAGTTCGAACTGCGGCCCCTGAGCGGCTTAACCTTGGCTCACGATGACTGTGGACCTTTCCTCACCCCTCAGCCCTATGTGGACTCAATCCTGTCCTGCTAGTTGATCTATGGCTCAAATATGCCACGGCCGATAGAAGAGTCTGTTCGCAGCCTCGCCGTATGGAGCTACTCTCTATACCCTGCTCCACGGTTGCCAAGGATTTAAAATCTCTTGGAGTAGGCTTCATTGCGGAGTATATTGGTTTCTAGTCACGTATTCTGTCTCTAGGCTCTCCGTTACCTGCAGCCGTGCGGACTCTTGGCGCGTTGGGCGAATCACCACCAATGCCAATATGCAACAGCTGGACCAATTCTTGAGGGATTCTAGGAGCGACATGGCGGTGTCAAGAACCTGGTTCAGGCTCTAGGGCTGAAAGCATGCAGACTATGATGCCAAGCTGGTCAAGGACGGCACGGTGCGGTTCGATACTAATCTTGAGTCTTGAGCTATTTATTATACCTATGCCGTCCTTGGGTCGCAGTGTCAGCATGCATGGAGGGTCTTCGCCTCGCCAAGTAGCTGACGACCGACCCATTCAGCTTAGTCCATAGGCAAACCGTGCGCGCAGGTTCGACAATTCGACTGTTGTCACACCCAAACCTTCATTGGCACGGGAGTTGCTGACCGAGTATAATTAGGTATACATTGAAAATCGACAATGGGTCTAGGCATGAAGTAAAGCCGAACTTTTAGTTGATGGGATAGCAAAACCTGCGTTTATGGACGCTGCCTTTGTGATTTATCCTCATGGTCGATTGGATGGGACGACGCACGTACCAGGCACCGGTAGCAACTGTCCTTGTCCGCATAGGTCGGATGTGAATTTGGCGCTCTGGTCTTGGGTTCTGGTACCTGGGTATGTATATTTTACTCCACATGTCGTCTGTAGACTTTGTTATCAGGGGAACACTGGGGATCCGAATTTCACCTGTTGATAGATCATAGAGGAGTTGTAGAGCTTGGTCCTGCAAGGTTGCGGAAGCCGGGACAGAACATCGCCTCGGAATGATTCTGTCCAAGGCAGGAGCATTGTCACTTCGCAGCAGGTAAATTCGGCTCATCAACCCTGTTGCCGTTCGGGACTCCCATGGACAGTACCTTCAGACAGAAGGCAACCGCTACCCATACCACCTCTGCCACCACTCAGTGCCGACTGTTAGCCGACGAGTCTGTGATCTACGCAACCCGTTCTGCTAAGCCATCTATCCAGCAACATGGGTGGCAAGCCGCAAGATCGACGTCTCTTAAGGCAGACCAAACAAACACCATTGCTCGAATGCTTGAAATGTGAGAAGGACAATAAAACGTCTAAACATACCCCTTTTCTCAACCAGGATTTTCTCGCCCTTGGACTGGAAATCTCGGGCTCGTCAAGGGGTCGAATACTAGTACAGGTCAGGGTGTGTAACAATTCAGTGCGTTTGTGCTAGTTCGCTAGGAATACCCGTCGTGGCAGGAACCCAACGGCGTCCTTTCCACGTGGCGTTCGAGGAAAGGGCTTCGAAAGGGTGGACACGGACCAGCCAAGGACTTCTATTTCAACATCTTGAAATCCTCTGAAAGTTGATCTCGAACGCAATCTGCACCCTGCTCTCTGCCCTCACTACTCACCAAGATATATAATCACCTTGACTTTCTATTCCTAGAACTCGCGTACAACCCTAATTGGAGATTGCTGTTCAAGATCACCATTTTTAGTTCCTCAATTCTCGTGAGCCATCAAGCCCTCGACAAAGCTCTTCAGCCCGAGAGCCCTCATGATGCATTTCTTCAGCAGCCTTGGGTTTCTAGTCCTTGAAACTGCCCTTGTCAGGTTCGGCCAAGCCGTGCCGGCTGGCTTTTCGGGGGCCCCGGCTGTGGCTGATAATGGCAGCCCGGGGGCTTTCAACCTGACCCGACTCATGGGTAACCAAACATGGGCGCCTCCCCTCCGTACCGGGACCCGCAGTGACACCGGGGTCGGAGGGGTTCAGAGGAACAGGGTTTTCAACTACTACTGCGACAACTACACGTATGAGAACCAAGTGTCCGGGGCCTCGCCTGACGCCATTGACTGCCAGAAGATTGCCTTCAACATTGACACCGGAGGCGGCTGGTGAGAGGCCTCATTGACCTGGTTGCAGAGCGAGAACACGCAAAGACTGACCGAGCGGCCTGGCAGGGCCTGGATGGGCGGCATGCAGCACCAGCTGGCGTCGTACGGAACGTGTGCGTTCGGGGTGGAGGCACCGTGGTATAAATTTGGCATCGTTATTGAGACGGGCAACGGCGACATCATCGAGGTGCTCATCCACTCGATCCAGAACCTCATGTCGGCTGACCAGAAAGTCGGCGCCCGCGGGGGCATGCGCTGCCAGGACCTCACCTGGGACAGTGGCTTCATCAACGTTACCTGGGGCATCTATCACACCTAAACTGTCCACAGCTAGTAAGAGGAAGGAAACGGGGGTTTGAGAAGTTGTAGGTATCGAGAGAGGACTGGGTGATACTTACTGAGGGTATTTTGGGATGTGGTGTAGGGATAATAATAATTGGAAGCTAATGGAGTATCGGGAGTTGCGCGGCCGGGGGTTGACGAAAACGGCATGTCTTGCGGCTGGCTTACATATTATATATAGATATATGAGATCCTACATACAATTAAGCGTATAAACAAAAGCTTAACTGGGGTGAGTTCTTCTCTATCAGATCAATGGTTCGGCTTTCCCTTGTTCTTCCATGGCATGCTCCGGGACCAAGCTGACGTGCCGGCACCTTTCGAGACGTTGGTGCTAGCCGCCTTGGATGCGTCCTCGACCTTCTTGAACGCAGTTTGCTGAAGAACCATCCACCGTCCTTCCATCTCATGATGGCTCACTTCCCCCTGCCGCCGTCGAGGTACGTATCTTTGTCTTGCTGCCCGTCGTACTGGCCGTCTTTCAGACCAAGCACCTGGGACAGTGCCTCGGCCTTGCCGAGCAACCAGTCGCCATGCAAGAGGCCGTGCTTCCAGTGATCAGGCAATGCCTTGTATCCGAGGTAGGCTCCAAGCAGCGCGCCGGCAAAGCAGGCGTTGGTGTCGGCGTCGCCACCGCGCATGATCAAGTCGGTGACGAGGGCCTCGAACATCTTGACACGACTCTGCAGCGCGTCCTGGCTTGCGGCGTTCTGTCGAATCGCCAGTCGCAGTAGCACCACGCCGGACCCAAGCGTCTTGTACACGTACCCAATTGCGGGCGGGTCATCAAGCTGCAGGCTGTCGAGGGTGGCGGCAGCGCTGATGTGCCGTTGCAGCTCGGCGAGATCGAGCTCCTCCGCTGCAACATCTTCAACACTGTTGCCCTCGCCCCCGCCCCCGCCCCCGCCCCCGCCCTCGCCCCTGCCCCCGCCTTCGCCCACTCCCTCGCCATCTGTCGTCTTGGCAGCCGAAGCGACAGGGCCACTAGGCTGCCCCAAGAACCAGTCCGTCCCGCGGGAAAGACAGGCATCCAGCTCGGCCTCGGACCGCACCTCGCCGCGGACAACGGCGCGCACGAGCGCTGTAGCCAACACGCACGCCACAACGCAGCGTGGGTCGGCGTGCGTTGCGCGCGACATTTCAGCAGCCAGGGCGCACGCCTCGCCCTCGCTCCGGCCCGTCACACACATCAGGCCCAGCGGATGCGTGCGCATGATGCTGCCGTTGGGCGCGATGCGCCTGCCCGTGCGCACCCAGTACTCCCGCGCGACACGCGCCGGCTCCTTGTCGAACCCCTTGGACGCCACCACGGTGCTGACGAGGCGGCCCAGCCCCAGCGGCATTGTGTCTAGTGCGCGCAGGCCCTGCGATACCCACACGCGCAGCCGGGCGGCGAAGTCGAGCGTGGTCGGGAGCGGCGGCGGGGTGTGGGCGTCGGGAGACGAGACGAACGAAGAGGAAGCAGAGGGCGGCGCCGTCTTGGCTGTGTGCAGAAACGACAGCAGCAGGAGCAGCGCGTGGTCGGTATCGTCGGTCCAGTGGCCCGGTTCCTTTGCCGCGCGGTGCGTGTCGAGCTTGAACGGCGTAGGCGCGGGCGCGGCCAGGGTAAAGGTTCCCGATGGATACGCTTCGGCGGCTTTGGCGGCCGACAAGAATTCAGTATAGAGTCCAATTGCATCGCCAAGCGCTGAGCCGACGACGGCGCCGACGATGCGGTCGTGTAGGGCATCGCGGAGCAGGGCGTGCGCGGCGTCTGCGTTTAGCGGCGTCATCGTAGTAGGAAACGACATGTCGGTGACGGGGACCGCAACCGTGGCCAGGGGAGAGTCGGAGGAGGGTGTTGCATTGTCGAAAGGGGACCTGGGTCAGAGGACAGAGGACAGAGAACAGGTATCTGTAGACGGTGGCTGTGTTGGCATTGGAAAGAACGGCAGCAGCTGCGGCTGAAGGTCAACTGTCGGTGATAGGTATGGGAGTGCCACCAGGCCCCAGGCAGCTGGACTTTCGGGCCCAGGGATAACGATAACGATAACGTATGGGGCAGCGGGGTTGGTCCCAGCTGGAGGTTTGTTTCTGTGGGGCCCGAGCTTCCCACCACAGGTGCCCCCCACTGTAACCCAGCACCGGCATTTGCATTCCCTAAAGGTGGAGCCGGAGGGGACCCGGATTTCTGGCTGGAAACTCTTAAGTATGTACGAACATGTACTTCCACTCCAGTCTCGCGTACGGAGTGTTCCACCGAACATATCACCTCGAATTGGCAATTAACCATCATTTAAGTACCTGAATTATTGTGCACATTCCTGCCCTGCAAATTTCGAATTTCCGTGGACCCTACAAAGTGCGCAAGTGCTCCAAGTGCATTGTGAGCTGCTGCTTTAGCACCACGCCGAGCACCCTCGAAGTGCCCTCCTCGACAATAACGACGTGCCGCAGTCCCAGCTGGTAAAACATCTCGACCACCATCTCGAGCGGCGCTGCGGCATTGACAGTCAACGGACTCCTGTCAACAAACGGCGACAGCGGGCCCGTGAGCATGTCGAATGGCTCGCTGTCCGACAGAAACCCGTCGGCGCGCAGAGCAAAGTCGAGTTCGGCCTCGGAGATGATGCCGTGGAGCTGCTCGCCCTCGTCAACCAGCACCAGCGCCGCATCGCGCAGCCCGTGGCGCTGCATCCGACGCAGCTTGTGTGCCAGCGTTTGCTTGATCATCTTGGACTCGGGCCCCACGTGCACCGTCATGTCGGCCATGCTCTGTGACGACGGTATTAGGTCCTCTACGAGCCCCCCGTGGCTGCGCACGATATCGGTTGCATGCTCGTGCTCTAGGTACTCGCCCAGCACCGTGTGGTCGTTGACACCCTCCTCGTGCAGCGCGTCGACGACAAATTTGGCAGTCAAGATGGCACTATGGATGCGTCAGCTGCCACTCGGTGGCTCTGGCGGCGGAACAAGGGGTGGCACTCACATCATAAAAGGAGGAATGTACTCGACTTCGCCAGTGAGCTCGAGCATGATCACCGTCAGCGATACCGTCATTCGTGACACGCCCGCCAGGAAGGCCGCTGCGCCGACCATGGCGAAGATGGCGGGCGACGTGTTTGGCACAAGCTGCCCGACCAGGCGGCCAAATACCGCACCAGCCCCCAGAGCCGGAACGATCAGGCCCGACGGAACTTGCAAATAAGTTAGCTAACGAGCATCTCGGTTCTGGTGGCGACTGACTTTTTGTCCCTGCAGTGAGGACGGTGAGAACAATCTTCACCACGCTGGCATAAACCAGCCACCCATAGTACGCCGACTTGTCGTCCAGCTTCTCCTGCTCGCAGATCCAGGTCTGATCGCCATGATCGCAGTCCTTTAGAAGATGCTTGATCATCAACAGCGCCGGCTGGCGTGTGATCGGGTTTGGGTACTGACTGCACAAGCACGTCAGCCTGGTGCCCAGCGCGGGAGAAACACGAGCAGGGAGCTCACAGGAGCGCGGTTAGAAGCACGATCATGGACAGCTCCGTAAGCGGATACTTGTTGATGAAGCTCTTCATACGGGACGTCCAGAAGATGCTTCCCTTGCAGAATACCGCTCCAAACAGGCCCCCACAGACGCCGAGAAACAGGAAGAATACATAATTGTGCGGCTTATACACGACACCAAAGTTGGTCTCGAACAGCACCAGCCGCCCTGTTCGCGTTGGGTCGAGCGCCTTTAGAGTCATGGCCGCGACTAGCGAGCATAGAAACGCCCGCCACAGCACCTTTCTGGGAAACTGGCTGCTCATTTCCTGGGATTGTTGTTAGCCGTGATCGAGGCGGGCTCGGGGTCGAGCTGGGCGACCAACGGAGGCCACTCACCTCGTACACAAACAAGACACCCCCGACTGGAGATCCAAAAGCCACTGCGAGTGCGGAAGAGCATGCCACAGAAAGCATCTCGCGCAGCTGGCGGCCGTTTTCTCGAAATTGCGGGAACAGCCTAGCCACGACGTAGCCTGCGCTCGTCGAAATGTGGACAAATGGCCCCTCCTTCCCGAGACACAGGCCCGAAGCAACGCCAAGAGACGCGCCAACTGCCTTGACGGCCAGCACCTTGAAGCTCAAGAGGTTAGGGAACTCGAATCCCGAAAGCAGCAGCTTGATTTCGGGGATGCCACTCCCTGCTGCCATGTATATGATCTTGTTTGGTGCCTTGCTATGGTGAGCATCACCGCTGCTTTGGTGACCTGGAGATATGCCTGGCGACGCTTCATCGTGGCTAGCAAAGGCCGGGATCTCGGCGCGCGTGAGCTTTGTGACAAGCCCGGCACCCATGGCCAAGGCCCAGGCGACGCCCGCGTAGATGGCAAACGACGAGCCGAAGTGGCCTTCGGCCCACAGCCGCCAGTCTTCGCACGCCTCCTTGGGGTAGCAGCAGGCCTCGCGTCCGAACAACGGGTTGCGCGTGCAGTGGCCAAACTTGAGGTCCCCAAACGACGACTCGGCGAAGTCGACAAACCAGGCCACAAACGCCGTGAGAATGCCCACGAGCACGGCGGCGATCCAGCCTTGGTAATCCTCGTACGCGGCCGCGAAGGCCCCGCGCACGCCCCGCTGGCTCTTGACGGTGCGGTAGCGGAAGGCGTCTTTGACCTGCGAAACCGAGTGTCAGACTGGCTTTCCTTGGGGTTCGTCTGGGGCGCCATACCAGATCATGCAGCCAATCAATGGTCGTGTATGCGTCGTAAGGCAGCCGCTCGCCAATTGCCGTGTCGGCCAGCGCCAGCTCGTCTTTGGTCAGAACCGACGACATGATGGACGCCGCGTCAAAGCCGCGCCGGCCGCGGTAGCCGTAGTGCCCCGCATTGTTGCCGGTGCTGCTGCCGCTGGCCCCGTAATTGTAGCCGGCGTGAAGATGGGTCGCGTCGACGAGCGGCGTTATCTCGTCGGCGTCTTCCACCCCTCTGCCAGGTGCTGCGGGCCGGCGCTCCTCATCGTGGTTGGACATGGCGGCCGAGGTGGAGAGTAAAGGTCGAGAAATCACCAACTCGGCCCCTGAATTCCTGGAAAAGCGATTCCAAGTGAATCCATCGTCTCAATAACCGCGCAGGTGATGTTTTGCCATCTCTTATCCGCTCAATCGACCTTGATGGTGGCCCCCCGCCCTCTGGCCGTCCCTTATCGCGCGGTGGCTTGCGCGGGGGCGGCGAGATTGGGCGACCCCGTGTCGAAAATCGCGCGTCAAGTGGCCCACGGACTGCGGTAGCTCAATTGAGGGATCTCTTTTATTTTCCACCCCCATGTTGACCCCCGATGCGGCGTGCCAACCTTGACCTGCCTTTCCGCTTGACCTGCCTTTCCGTTTTGGGAGGGTTGGAACAGACGTGCCACGCGCTGGCTCTCCTCCCAGTGCTATGGCCTCGGAACTACACCCTCCAGACCCCGCCCATTCGACGCACTGCACGATGCATTAGGCCGCCCATACACTCTGTCGATCGCTGATTCTCGATTCGCGCTAGTCTGTTGGTGTCGGCAGGGCGCGACATGGCATTGACAGTGACAGTGAGCTATTCAGATCAGCGCGACTCGGGTTTTGGCGACCGAAGGTGTTTTTGTGCCGCTCACCTGGTCCAAGTCTAGTTGAGTGTCGCTACCGCAACCTAATGCCATTTCATGCTTGGTGCGAAATAAGGGACTTGGTACTAATGAAAAACAAATTAAAATGGTTGCTGATAATCCATTAAAGTGCGGCCTGGTCTAGTGTAAGGATGATGCTAAGTGTGGTGTTGTTTGGCCAAAGGTTTTTCCGGCCAATTTGGCTGCCGTTCTGCGTAAGCAATTCCTCGGGCCGGCTTAGACACCAGCCAAATCGTCCCATCCTGGTGCTGGTGCCGAGGTGGAGCCCATCTTGGTCATCTTAGTCATCTCCAACAGCCTTGCATATTACAAAGCACTTCGAGAACATAGTTAACCCGCAAGTGCAGCAGATTCAGCCCAGCCGAGGACGCTTGTTAAGGAAATTCTCGATTCATGTCCAGGGCTCCCTTACCAACCATCGCAGGACGGTCATCATTGAAGCAAGGCGAGCGTCCAGTAGGATCAAGCAGAATCGAACTTCCTCTCCACAGCTCGGCAAAACCGTCGTGAAAGGGGAACGGGGATCCGAGCGATGCCACTCTAGATGCATGGCGCTAGTGTAGATGACGATTGCAGTCGCCGTGCCTGACAAGCATATCACATCACACACCGCAACCCCATGGGGGAGTCGGACAACCCATTATGGAATGGGAGCTGGTATGAACCAATGTCTCCATAGATGCGACTAGAAGAAACGGCGAATTTTTTCTCCCCTGGGTTCTTATAAAAGCAACGCCCTATCCTGAGGAAATATTTGCATCTACACGACCAGCAGCAGCCCATCATTCGCCTCTATCCACTGAAAACTCAAAACCCAACCCACATCACCACCAAACATGGCCATTCCTTCAACCCAAAAGCAGTGGGTCATCCTCGGCAAGGAGAAGGATTTTGACGAACTCTCGTTCCAGGATGGAGCCGTGCCCAAGGTCGGCGAGAATGAGGTTCTGGTGAAGCTCCAGGGCGCTTCGCTTAACTACAGAGATCTCATCATCCCCAAGGTGAGAACGGCATACTCTCGGCTCCGACGGTGAAATGGAACAAGGAGAGACTTAACAAAGCGGGAACGATATAGGGCCTTTACCCCTTCCCTCTCGGCCTCCCCGTCGTGGCCGCTTCAGACGGCGCCGGCGAGATCGTCGAGGTCGGGTCCAAGGTGACCAAGTGGAAGAAGGGCGACAAGGTCGTGACGCTGTTCAACCAGGGCCACCAGTTCGGCCCCTGCGACGCCGCCGCCAGCAAATCCGGCCTCGGCGGTGTCCTCGACGGCACCCTGCGCCAGTACGGCACCTTCAGCGAGAACGGCGTGGTCCGCTCGCCCAGGAACCTGTCGCCCACCGAGGCCGCCACTCTCACCTGCGCCGGCCTCACGTCTTGGAATGCCCTGTATGGGCTCAGGGCCCTCAAGCCGGGCGAGACGGTGCTCGTGCAGGGGACGGGCGGCGTCAGCTTGTTCGCGTTGCAGGTACGTTGAGCTGTTGGCCAAGCGATTTTCTCTCTGGCTGTGCCGTGGCTTACCCCCGTCGCAGTTTGCCAAAGCCGCGGGCGCGACTGTCATCGCGACGACGTCGTCGGCGGCCAAAGCGGAGACGCTGAAGAAGCTGGGCGCCGACCACGTCATCAACTACCGCGAGGACAAGAACTGGGGCGAGACGGCGCGGGGGCTGACGCGGGACGGCGCGGGCGTCGACCACGTCATCGAAGTCGGCGGCGAGGGCACGCTCACGCAGAGCTTCAAGGCCATCAAGATGGAGGGCATCATCTCCATCATCGGCTTTCTTGGCGGTGCCGAGCCCAAGGACAGCGTGCTCGAGACCCTGAGCCGTGTCTGCACCGTTCGCGGTGTCTACGTCGGGCCCCGCTCCCTCATGGAGGACATGGTCGCCGCCATCGAGGCCAACGACATCCACCCCGTCGTCGACCACAAGGTCTTCACTCTGAGCACTGCTCGCGAGGCGTACGAGTACATGGTGAGTCCCGCCTGGATGCCCGTGAATTTGAGAAGACTTGTCGCTAACGAACTGCCAGTGGGCGAAATCGCACGTGGGCAAGGTGGCGATCACGATTGAGTAATTGGTATGGGACTGGATATGAATGGGAGACTGGATATGAATGAGAGACTGGATATGAATGGGAGACTGGATATCAATGGGAATCAATTAGCATAATTGAGTAACGAATTGTTTGAACATCAAACCCCTGTGCGAATCTCTGAGAGGGGAAAATGCGGCTGAACAAACGGTTCCCCGTTTGGGCCATGAGTGCTGCCACTTCGGCTGATAGTCTGCGGGACAGGGATTTTGCTGATGGCGTTAGCTGGCGGTGCTGGTGGTGTGATGTCAGCAATGGCGACTTTGTCTGCTGCCGGTTCCTTGTTCCTCCGTTGATTCCAAGGGTTAGAAAGTTCCTAGCAGCTCCCAAAAGTAACTAAGGAGTCGTTGGGAGGGCCTCCGAAACCGTGCATATGTCAACGCTGGGAAAAGATGACATCGCTCAGCTCTCCCAAATAAGCAGGTGTCACGGCTATGTCGTGGACTTGTGTCCCGCCCCTGCCATTCTCGACGAGTCAACAGCCACAAAAACCCCTGTCAGCTGTCTCAGCTCCCCGAGTCTGGAGTAAAAGTCCCAAGCCGGGATAGCACGTCCCAAGTCAGGGGTCAAAGTGCGGAGTCAGTAGGAAGACAATTACATCCCAGCTCTTTGAATAAGGCAGGGTTTTCTCCAATCAGAGTTGAAAGCAGAGAGGCAGTGCTCGGGGCCCTTGGTGATGGAAGAGCCAGCATCAAAGAGGAATGCTCGGCGCAACAAGATATTTTGGCGGTGATTCCCGCCGAGTAATTGCTTCAGTCTAGTTAACTGAGGCAGTTGCAAATATCTTCCAAGCTCCAGCAGAACCACAAGTTGTCCCCGATCAAACCACAAACCTCTGCATTGTCGTCAAAGCTGTTACCGTGTTGCCCACCATGAGCGTCTCGTCGGTCAGAATTTACATCAACATGGCCCTCGAGTATCTCGACTCGCCGTACCGCGTCGACGATGTCGAGCCAAACCTGGTCCAGGCCGAGCAACGCCTCGCGAATCTCTCGCCAGAAGACGCGGCTCCTCTTGTCGCGCAGATTGCCGACATACGCGCTAAGTTGGACAACTTGGTCAAGCCTGCGGATGCGCGTCAGATCAGTGCCGCCCAGGGCAAGATCCGCCAGGCCCGCGACTACATCGACACCAATCGAGGCCGCCTCTCCCAGTCGGACAAGGACTTCGTCGAGGAACTCTTCCGAGGTGCCGTCCAGTTCCTTGACCAGATCACTGACGCCAACAAGGCGGATAGGCTGAAGGCTCCCGTTCTCGACGAGATTGCCCAGATCCGCGCGCAATATGGCACCGATAGTTCGGCTCCTCCCCCTCCCCCGAAACCTGCCACTCCTCCTCCGCCGTCCCAGAACTACTACAACGCCAAGCGAGCCGTGTTCTGGGCGAACGAATACTTTACCTCGCCCGGCCGCATTGGCCAAGTCGAGCCAGAACTAGCAAAGGCCGAGACCCTGCTCGAGGGTGACGGTTCGGCAGAGGCTGCGGGACTCGCGGCCGAGATTGCAAGCATGCGAGAGAAGCTTGCAGACATGGTTTCGCCTGAAGACGAGAGAAACGTTAGCGCAGCTCAGGGCAAGCTCCGTCAGATTCGAAACCATGCCGACAGAAACGGCGGGCGGGTTTCCGATTCCGACAAGGAATTCTTTGAACAGCTGTGCCGCGGGGCCGTCGAGTATCTGGACAAGATCACCCATCCACGCAAGGCCGACGAGCTCAAGGCCCCCGTTCTCGCCGAGATCTCCCGGATCCGTGCCCAGTACGGCGTCACCGGCCCCGCGCCTTCTGCTCCCGCTCCCGCTCCGCCTTCGAAGCCCCAGAACTATCCCCCGCCGTCTCAGAATTTCTACAATGCCAAGCGCAAGGTATTCTGGGCCAACGACTACTTCACTACGCCTGGTCGCATCGGGCAGACGGAGCCCGAGCTGGCCCAGGCCGAAGAGCTCCTAAAGAATGATGCGTCTCGCGAGGCGGACGATCTCCGCGCCGAGATTGCCGGCCTCCGCCAGAAGGTGGCCGACATGCTCAGGCCGTCAGGGCAGGGCCAAGCCCGTTCTGTCCCGGGTCAGGCCCAGTCTGTCGACATGAACACCCTATCCTTTGACGACCAAGACCGCCTGAACCGCGCCAAGCGGGCCATCGGACAGGCCCGCAACAACATCGAGTCCAACCGCACCGAAGGCGTCGAGAACCTGTTCTTTGACGCCACGAGCCTGATGGCTCCCGTCGGCGACGCACACAAAACAAACCTCGTCGCCGAGATTGAACAACTCCGGAGGGACCTGGAAGCCACGCGGCTGGCCGAGAGCACCCGCCGGCTGACCGGCGAGCTGGACCGCGGACTCGGGCGCGTCGAAATGGACACGGACGCGCCCGACCGCCTGCCGTACAGCGTGCAATTGTTCAAGCAGCGGCTGGAACAGGACGACGTGCGGCAGACCCTCACCCCCGAGGCGTACCGCGGCTACGAGACGAGGCTGGCCGAGCTGCTGGCCGCCGGCGCCGCGCGCGTCAAGGCCGAGACGCTAGACCGCGCGAACCCGGCGCTGCAGCGGCTGCACGACAGGCTCGCCGCGAACCCGTTCACCGACCTCACGCAGTATGACGCGAGCAAGCTCGACGGCGAGCTGCGCAGCATGCGCTGGCAGGTTGAGCGCGAGATCACCAAGCTGCCCGACGACGACGCGGATCGGCTGCGGATTCATGACGAGCTCAAGCGCACCGACGCCCAGGTCGAGGCTTACTCCAACGACTGGGCTCTGGCTGGTGCGTTTCTCACCCCTTCCTCACTAACACTAACAACCCTCCCCCCTTCCTCACTAACAGCCCTCCCCCCCCTTGAATCATGAAGCTGACCACCTATCACCCTAGGCGTGCACAAAGCAGTCCGGCACGGCTGGCAGATGATCCTCGACGAGATCGCCGGATGGGAGGACGAGGCTCTCGACGCCGACGCCGCGCCGCTCGACGACCCGCGCATGCCGCAGACGCGCCTCGCCATCCAGCGCGTGCACTACTACCTGCACCGCGACAGCTCGGCACAGGGCACGCGCGACGAGAACCCCGGCGATGCCGTCGTCGCGGCCGTCGACGCCGAGGCGGGACAGCTCCTCGCGGCCGCCGGAAGCAAGCTCGCGGCGGCGTTCGACGCACTCGTGGCGGCCGCCGAGCAGCTGCCGCCGCCCGTCGAGGACCGCTGGCTGCGTGACAAGCCGGGGTCGCTGCTCAGCAGCGCGCGCGGCGCGCTCGAGGGGACCGCGTCCAGCGACGCCGTGCTGGCGCGCATCCAGGCGCTCGACACGCGCTGGCAGGGCGCGCTGGCGGACGTGCAAAAGGCGCGCGAGGAGCTCGGCGCGAAACTCGCGCGCGACGCGCTGCAGCAGTGGCCGGCCACCGTGGCGGCGATCCCGGACGTCATTAGCGCTGCGAACGGCTTCGACCCGTCGGCCGCGCGCCCGGGGGACGCGGTTCTGCTCGCCGGCGTGTACAACCGCGCTGGCTGGGACTTTGACGGCGGGCAGTACGGGTTCGCGATGCGGTTCGCCGGCGTGCCGCTGGGCGGCGTCTACGAGGGGTATGTGGACAAGGCGCTCGACCATGCGGCGTACGAGCTGAAGCTGGCCATTGATGACCACAAGCCGTGGGATGTGGTGGGCGTCGTGCTGGGCCCGGGATCTATCCGTGAGCGCACGAAGCGTGTTATCCGCCGCGGTGGGGTGGAGGAGACGGTTGAGGAGTGGTTGCCTATTGATTGCTTGCGCCTGCGCGTTGTGGCGCTGCGCGCGGGTCCTGTTGTTGTTGGTCCGCAGAGTTGAAGAGGTAGAGTTTGTGGTTGCTCGGATGTGTGTTGGTTTCGGGCTGGATGTCGGAGCAGACCCTTTCGGTCTTCGACCTGCTTGTCTTCTGTCGAAGTTCGAACTTCTCTTCTCAGGGGTTGCGAATAGTGTCAGTGTTCCATATTATTCAGTATTGTTGTACGAGCCATCTTGACTAGTCCGATCGCATGTAACTTGCTGTGAACCCGATTGTGTTACCGGTGATCGCCACCTGCAAGTTGACTGTGGGACAGATAGGTTGTAGGTTTGGCCAAGTTAGCGAATCAGCAGCACACAGCTTTCACCTTCGGACTCCAATTTCCATCCACGCAAGGAGAGGGCTGCAGTGCAACCCCAACGAGCCCAATGAGCCCAATGAGCCCCATGCTTCAACTGTCGAGGGAGAACTGCACTAGCCACACAGCGGAGCAGTACTCACTGCGGCGTTTTCTTGGCAAGCAAGTATGTGTGCGTGTGTGCGTGTGTGTGTGTGTGCATGCATCGCCATCAGCCATCACACCCTCCTATCGTGTTTGGGCATAGCCCTTCCGCTACAAGGCGCAAGCATCCATGACATGCTGGTCCTGATTTACCATCTCATAATCCCGGTCGCGCCTGTCTTGGCCGTTCGCACACCACACTGCGCCGGCTTCATATCGGACGATTGGCCGGTCAGCCCATGCATCGGCATCAGTTAGAAGAGCGCGAGGTCGACGAGGGGAGGGAGGGGAGTATATGCCGCTGTTACATTGCCAATTCTCCCAGCTCTGGATTCACTCTCCGTCCCGAGACCGGTTGCTCTTCACTGGTCGAGGCACAGCAGCTGCTGCCATGGCCGTCTTTGTGGATTATCGAGCGATAGCTCTGGTTGCCGGTGCGTCGGTAAGTCTATCAGACTTCAAATTACTGCAACGTGTTGATGCTCATGTCTCCATCTCTAACAGACCGTCGTGTTCTTGGTTGGGCTGCTGCGGCGCCGCTTCTTCCATCCCCTCTCCAAGTTCCCAGGTCCCTTCGCCAATTCCGTCAGCTGGCTTCCCAACGTTCTACGCCTCCTAAGCGGCAAGCATCATGCATACATCAAAAAGCTGCACAACAAGTATGGTGAGTGCCTATCTAGAATACTTTCAGAGCTTTGCAAAACGGGTTGGCCGATCGAGACATTTGACACTCCCAGGCCCCGTTGTGCGGGTCTCACCAAACGAGCTTAGCTTCTCCAAACCAGACGCCTGGGAAGACATCTACGGCTTCCGGTCCTCGGACGAGCCTATGGAGAAAGACCCCCTGTGGTGCGGCTGGCTGCAGCATGTCAAAGACGTGCCCGTCACCATGGCTCCGCGGTGAGCCCACACACGCCAGCGTCGCGCCTTTGCGCACTCCTTCAGCAACACGTCGCTGCTGTCGCAGGAGCCGCTGATCCAGTCTCACGTCGACAAGTTCATGGACCAGCTGGCCGGGTTCGCCGCCGAGGACAAGCCCGTCAACATGTCCGAGTGGCTGTCCTTCTCCACGCTCGACGTCACCTCGGAGCTGTGCCTCGGGTCGTCGACGGGCATGCTAGCCACGGGCTCCGGCACCGAGTGGTCGCGCGGCATCGTGCTCGCGGCCCGCGGCGCCCTGCTCGACTAGGCGACGCGGCGGGTCGCGGGCTCCGGCACCTGGCTCCACAGCCTGCTGAGCGCGTACGCCATCCCGCTCCGGTACAAGGCCGCCAAGCTCAACCACTTCAACACCAAGGAGCGCGTCCTGCCGCGCCTTGCAGACGCCGACGCCGACTAACCAGGGCTTCATCTACTACATGCTGCGCAACGAGTCCAAGAAGCTGCTAAGCGAGACCAAAATCATTGTCAACATGGGCGCCTTTCTGTGTGTCAGCCCTCTTTTTCTGTCTCACAACTGCCGTGTTCACGCGAGAAAATGGCTTACTGACAACGATGTGATATTGCGATATCAGCGCGGCCGGGAGCGACACGACAGCCCTTGCGCTCTCGGCGCTAGTGTACCTGATCCTCGCGCACCGCGAAGTCTATGACAAGCTCGCGGCTGAGATCCGCGGCGGATGGACGGCGGCAGGGAGGCCGCCTGGCGCTGGGAGCGCGACGGGGACGAGTTTCGCCACCTCAAGGCCTACATCATCTGGGAGAGGTTCGAGTTGATGATCGAGTTGACGCCGATGCGGAGGTGATGCGGAAATTCTCGCTCGTGTAATTTCTGGCAGTCAGCAGTTTTAGGTCAGTTTATGGATGGCTTCGAGCTTACGAAGGATAGCTGAAGTCGGGAGATGTCAGTTAAATGAGCTTCTAGATAACTCGACCAGAAACGCATCTAGGCGGTGCTTTCGCAACGTGTCTTCGAGACTAATCTCTGTGCGCTCGACGCCCAAAAAGCCTTCCAGGCGTGATGTGAAGGCTTCGAACACGTCTTGACTTGGCCAATCCTTGGCTGGCCAGTAGTCGGTGGGGTAGAGTAGTTTGGTTGGTTTCTTGTATTTTGCCAAAGACCTAGGTCAACTCTCGGCGCGAATGGAATAGGGGGTGGGTCCCATGACCAACCTCCATGGCACCGGTATCTGATGTGCCAGGCGAGCCGTAGAGGGCTTCCGCAAGCACCTTGAACTCGCCTGCAGTTTGAGCAAGCCCGCCAATTGTGTCAAATTTGCTGTGGCATGTTCAGCACACGCATAAATTCGGCAACGGCAATTGCACCAGTATCCTCACTGACTGTACGGAACGATGCCGCTGAACGGTTTCCGCGCAGGAAGCTCGTGAAGGGTAGAGCGCCGTGTACGCACGAGACGACGCTCCCATCTTGAGGCCCTTGAGGTCGATGATGTCCTTGATGGCCAGCCGCAGCCCTGCGTATGGCTTCTCCCTGGTCTTCGCGAAGTAGAGCCGCGAAGGAACAGCGATGCTGAGCGCAGACGGGTACTCTTCGCTGTATGCGGACACGTCAAGAGGTCGGAAGCTGAGGGGAGATGAGTGACTTGTTCAGCAAGACAGTATTCGAGGGGCATGACTTGCGTGCTATTATCGTCTGCAGGAACGGTTGCCACGATGGAAGCACCCGCAGTATCGGGATACAGCCGTTATGCATGATGAAGATGGCCGTAGTGTAAGAAGTAGGGGCCAGGAGGAAGGCCCGGGGTGCTGCTGGGAACCTGAACGATGTGGACAGTCCTGACACCCTCTATGCGGAGGAGGGCGTTCTGAAGGTCTGAGTCATGGAGATCTGGCTCGGAGGTCTGAACAGCGAGACCATGGGATGCAGGGTGGCTGCAATTTGAACTTCCGCTGGACTGCAGCGTATGCTTTTGAAGGAAGATTCTGCGAGGAATGGGTGAAACCGGTAATCGATAGCCTGAGCGCGTGATTTCACCTTGACCATAGACGCTCGTAGATACTGAAGCGAAGCGATTTTCAAAGGCACAAAGGAAGGTGGCCGCCATCTGGCAGCTTTCTACTTTGAGTGCAGGGCGGCGGGGGAAGGGGCCTGGTAGCACTCTCTGTGTAACTCCAACGCATTTCACCCAACCCCGTGTCTGCGCCGTGTTTGCTAGAGCCGATGCTTCTGTCCGAGGATCAGGGGTTCTTCCATGAATCTTTGCCGCTCTGGTGAACCCGCATGAGGCTGAAGATAGGCTCAGCAAGGCACGAATCTTGGCCTAGTTGAGATAAAGTCAAAGATGAAATAGACCTAATTACCTCGGCATTGGATGAAAGGAATTCATAGCGCGCCATCCCAAGGTGGCTGATGTCTGCTTATCAGAGTACCTGGCACAGATGGAGTGTCGAAAACGCGAAGCAGGCAGGTGTTTCACCATGTCCTGTAACTTGTAAGTATTAGATTACCACCAACGGAGTCCTGAGATTCGGCCGGGCTAGCAACGTGAATGTGTCGGCCCAAGACACGTGTCGGTCCAAGACAAGTACTTCGCACAAGACTTTCGTGAAGCTTGATTAAATCCGTATCTAGTCAGCCCTTGAGCCAGCAAATCCAGGGCCCGGAATTTGTCTAATAAGCACAGAGCTGCTCAATCTCGAAGAGAAACAGAGCCCCCCGGTATCGATTGTGGAGAGGCGGTGAAATGTCCGCACATCCAGTCCCGCCGGACTCTGTGTAACGACACGTCGCAATATGCATATTTCCCACGCAAAGATTCGTCATTACACGCATGCGAGGGCCTGGAAATTATCAGAACTCTCGACGACGATTTTCATGCCGACCTCGACAGGCCCGCCGACCTCGACAGTGCCCATGACGCCCGACTTCCTCGTTGCAATCCTGCCCTCACTGTCGCGCAGAATGAACTTCTCGCGGAGGCCCGACTGGAACTTGTCGATCTGGGGGCAGGGGTTGCGCAGGCCCTGGACGACCACAGTCGGGGTGGTCCCGTCTGCTGGTACTTCCGAGTTGTCGGCATTAGCGGGCACGAAACGCAGCCTGGCGCCGGCGCCGAGGGCCAGAAGGTCGACGCCGACCGTGGTGACGTTCTCGCCGATCTGGCCGGGCGCGACGCCAAGCTCGTCGAGCACCTCTTTGGGAATCAGGTGCACTTGCCGCAGGTTCGGCGGCGGCGGCTGGATGTGCAGCCGGCTGCGGTGCTGCACGTGCACTCCGCTGTGGCAGTCGTCTTCAACGCCATGGCCGGCCACCAGCGTGAAGGCCGCCACGGGCGTCTTGCTGAATTCGTGGCGTGTGGATTTGGCGAGCGCGTGGACCGACATGGCGAACCCGAGGAGTCAGTGAGTAATTCTGCTGCTATTGCCTGGTGCCCGTGGTCACCTCGGGGGTGAGTGGCTCTTATGGTTGCCGTAGAGTGAGTCATGGTTATAGCCCGGAATGTTGCAGCTTAATTGGCAGGAGGGGCAACGGCGAGATGGTGGCATTAGGTTCGGACCGGCGTCAAGCGATCACGCAATTCGTTCATTATGAGGCGCCCCTAGGACTCGAACCCTTGGATGTTTTGGCGGGGCATCCGGCTGCAGTTGCACTCGGTGCTGGATTCCCCCGTATTATTAGCGCTGTTTTACCCACTGCCGAAGGGACGGGAGTAGAGTAGGTTGTTAAGGTAAGGTAAGGTATGTACAATACTGTACCTTACCGAGCACTGGGTTAGGTTAGGTGGGTGTCTCCTTCAGGGAGCACGGACGGGAATATGGGGATTGCGGAGATTGGAGAACCATCCAAAACCTTGAACCTATCTGGGGGGGTTCATTCACTTCTTCCAACACCATCTGAGTCTGGTGCTACAAGTTGTTATCGCAATAGTCGGCGCATGGCCAGACCAATCGAGAGCGGCTGATTGGCTGTCGCTCTTAGACCCCTCGATCCCGACATGCAACACTGCCTCGCTCGCCAAGTGCTGCGGAGGGGTCGACTCGATCCCCCACCAAGCCCCAAGCCTTGTCAGAATGCCCTCGAGCATCGCGCCCCGCAACCGCCTCATCGACCGAGCGATCTGGCGTCAGTCGGAGAATAGTCACTTGCGCGTTTCTCCCAGCAAACTGAGCACCGTCTTGCCGATTGATTGGCCGCCGCGGCCAATGCCTGTTTCCAATGCGGCAGCCCCACGACAATGACCTGATCCAAGACTCGCGCCTGGACGTCACCGTCCTGCCCGGCGGCCGCGACACCAAACAGCTGTCATGGGTCCCCGGCGACAGCGCAAACGAGCGACCGCAGACGATCGAGGAAATATGGCGGCGCTCGCACCAGCTGGGCAGTGCAGCGGGCCGCCAAGTGTGGGTCGAGAAGTGCGTCGCTGGTCGCGTTGGCTTGCGCAGGGTGGTCAAGGAGATCAAGATAACACCGTTGGATCGCTCTGGGGATATGAGCTATCGCCAAGAGCTGTATGCCATGGCCAAGTTCTCACAGCCAAAGGTACGCGATACAATTGCTCCCCGCTGTCGACAGGAATTATAACAGCGGATGCTGACTCCCGTCATTTGGCAGTACATGCACTGCTTCGTCAAGTCGCTGGGGTGGTTCGAGACGGCAGGCCACCTGCACCTCGCCATGGAGTATATGCCGCACGGTGATCTCCAGAAGTGGCTGGTCGGGCCGTTTCCCGAACCCGAGGCCGCCAAGATAACATCGCAGGTGGTCGACGGGCTCGATTTCATGCACAGCAGCGGGTTCGCCCACCGCGACATCAAGCCCGCCAACATCCTTGTCGTGTCGCCGGCGCCTAAGTGGTGGGTGAAGATTGCAGACTTTGGCATCAGCAAGCGCATTGAGGAGACGTCCGCCCTGCACACCATGGGCATCGGGACCAGCGGATACATGGCCCCCGAGATCATGGGCATGTACCACCCAGACGACGACGACGACGAGCAGGACCTGCGCTATGACCAGAAGGTGGACATCTGGGCTATGGGCGAGCTCGTCTTCAGGATGATGACCGCAAAGCCTTCGTTCGCCGACACAAGACAGCTGCGCAAGTACGTCGTCAAAGGGGGCGCTTTTCCGGTCGAGCTTCTGGAACAAGCCGCGGCGAGTGACGATTGCCGAGATTTTATCTTGCGAGCTATGGCCCCGTTGGCACGTCAGCGGATGGCTTCTTCCGAGGCCAAAGAACACTCTTGGGTTGAGGCCTCTAAAGACGTTACAGGTCCTCTGTTCAATATTGTCATCGACGATATCGAAACGGAAACGATTGTGGCCAAACCTGCGCTAGATGACACCCTTCCATCGAAACAGTGGACAACCCTGTGTTCTCCAGAGCCTACTAGTGTGCCAGAGAATACGCCTGGTGCGCAGTTACCGCCAGAAAACGAGGCTGGAAAGGCAGTTGATCAAGTTGTTGCGTCAGGGCTGCTCGCTTGTCAAGACGCTGTCTTGGAGACGGGTCCGAAGCCAATTATCCGCGACAACATCGACAAGGCAACCAAGCCCTTGGATCTCCTCCAAAGCCAGGAAGAGAAGATCCCCGCCCCTTCCACCGAGCTGGTTCTATATCGTGCAGCTTCCGCGCCTGAGCCGTCGAATTCTATCCAACACGGCGAAGAGTGGGATCGGGTTCGTGATGTAAAGAATCAAGAGATACCAGGGGATGAAGGTTCACACGCCATTGAGCCGACGCTAGAGACCGAAAAGCCAGTCTCGGATTTCGAGTACCACCCTTTGCCTAAACCAACTCCACAGCCGCCTTCCTTGGATCGATCTGCCCAGGATACCAGTACTACAATGGTTGGGAGCGGAAGTTCGACACCCAACACAAGCACTGACGCGGCCCGTAGGGGGCGTCCCGTTTTTGCCCCTGACTATAATGGTCGGCCAGAGAACAGCTCTTCGATCGGTGAAAGACGACGTTACACCGAATCTCACAAATCATTGAAGTCCGCGCGCTTCACTAGGTCGAGTCGCGACCCATCCGAATCCTCTGATAGTGATGGACGTGAACGTTTACCCAGGCAATTAATATCAACCGGCTCCGAAACACGGAAACTAATAGCACGAGCTTCTGTCCCGGGCCTAAGTCACCGCGATAGATACCAGATCGGTGGGAAACTGATGGCGATATACCTGAAGCACGACCGAAAGGGACAGGCGGTCAACAGTGACGTCGTGGGTGCGCTTCGCAAGTTGGGATACTGGGAAGAAGCGGAAGAGCGGGCGCACCACCAACGGTGGCTGCAGCAGGCCCAGGTGCGGCATGAAGCAGTAACCGGTGAGATGTGGAGGTTGTATGCGATCGCGCGTGATGCCACAGACCCACGAGTGACATATTCCCGCGACCAGAAAAGTCACGAGCCCACGCCGATTTCGGGCTGTCTCGTCATTTGAAATACCAAGATGTGGCTAGACGATTGTTTCAATCGGGTTTCGAATTTTAGTTCTTTTCGATAACGTATTTTATAAGCGAGCGGCGAATTTTCCCCGCGACGCGACCCTTCATCTTTGATCCTCAATTCTACCACAACAAGCTATGGTTACCCCTTCAAAAGAAGCTAGGGTAATCCTAGCTCTCAAATCAATCCAAAATAGTAAAAAACCCAATGTTCTTTCCACAGCCAATCTGTATAATGTTCCCGAAACAACACTTCGCTATCGACGCGCCGGTCGGCCTTCACGACGCGATATTCCAGCCAATTCGCAAAAACTCACAGATCTGGAGGAGCATACGATTGTTCAGTATATATCTGAGCTATGTGCACGCGCATTTCCCCCTCGGCTTTGCTTTGTGGAAGATATGGTCAACCGACTGCTACGCGAACGCGACGCGCCCCCTGTCGGCAAGCTCTGGGCTCACAACTTCGTCAAACGCCAACCAGAACTCCGGACGCGTTTTACGCGTAGATACGACTATCAAAGGGCCAAATGCGAAGATTCGAAAGTTATTCGCGAGTGGTTTGCACTTGTGCATAATACTAAAGCCAAATACGGAATCCTTGACGAAGATATATAAGTTAGGTGGGGGGGTAAGCGAACACTACTGATTTAGAACATTCTGTATAAGCAGGAGTCCCAACTAACCCTCCAACAAAAGAAAGGGTGATCTTTTTATTTACAAAACTTCAATACAATCTTTGATATCCTCTGAATCATCCGCTTCTTCCGCATCTTCTAAAACCTCTGCTGCACGCCCTACAGCTCTCTGGGCCTCATGAATAGTCTGAATATTCGCAAAGGTGGTATTTGGATCTTCTTCAACCTTCTTCTTCTTTCTGGCTCTTATTGATTCGAGAGTGTGTTCTAGACCTTCAATCTTTCGCTTCCTAATAGCCAGTTCAAAGGCCTGTTCATCCAAAGCCTTACCAATCTTTCTGAGGAAGAGCTTATCCGCTGGCATTGCTTTGATGATGCGTGCGAACTTCTTTGCCTGCTCAACGTAATCACGTGCCTTTCTAGGAGTCCTCCACTGCACCCGATCGTCTCCATAATCCTCCAGGATTGGCATACGGAGTGTGCGAACCTCTGGGGTAACTATAGTAGTTCTTAAGGGGCGTGAAGTATTAGAATTCTTGAGGAGGAGTGGGCTTCTTAGCGGTTTGTTGACATTCAAGGGCCAAAGGCCTGATGCCTTCCATCCTGACTTAGCATTACTCTTAGTAATTGCCTCTGTGCGTGAAATCTGGTAGCATTCCAGAAACGCACGTTTTCCGGCTACAGAAGAGTCGTCAAAGGCGTTAGCAAGAAGGTCCTCAAGCCGTCTGCGATAAAGTCGTTTTAGGGGGCCAAATATGGCCAAATCTAGGGGTTGGAGGACATGGGAAGTATGGGGAGGCAGATAAATAATGTGAATATTGTTTTTGAATGCCTCCCACATATAATCGGCAGTTGTGTGGCTGCCATGGCCATCAATAATAAGCAGTCGTTTCTCAGAGGAGTTTGCTGGCTTGGTGAGAGGAATGAACACATTTTTTAACCATTTGAGGCTTGTCTCATCGGTAGTCCATCCTTTCTCAGTTGCTGTAAAGAACCAATCCTGAAATGGCTTCATATCCAAAGGAAACCATTGTTGTTGAACGCTTTTCCCCTTAAAAATGACCAAAGGAGGAAGGCAACGGCCAGCTGCTGAGATGCATTCGACAAAAGTGGTCCAAGTGCGGGTTCCAGGCTGTTTTTTTTGAAGCGCCTTAAAGGCACGGCTTCCAATGACAAGGCCGTTAGTTCCTCTGCCTTCCATAATACCAGATTCGTCCTTGTTCCAGCGATTCTCTGGCTTAATCGCCTTGATAGCTGGTGTTTGGAAATGGTTGAACCAAGGTCGAATTGTTGACTCTGTAGCGCAGTTGACGCGGACCGAATCGACTCTCTTGGCCCTCTGAGTCTTCAAAATTCGATTGCGGTTAAGAAAGGCACGGCACCACCCCTTTCCAAGTGGTAAGGAGTCCCCCCTTTCAGCTAGAATACGGCGTGCAAGCTCCCTGATCTGTGCATGTGTAGGGGGCAATCCTAAATCTTGTTAAAGAAGAATCCATTCGACTAAACGATCCTCTTGGGTCTGTGTAAGCCTTTGCTCATCTTGATGAGCAACATTTCGAGGTAGGGAGCCATGTAGACGGCCATAAAGGGTGGAGGGTGGAACGTTCCATTTTCGCGCGACTTTGCGTAATTGATGTGTTCTGACGGCTTCCTCGCAAGCCTTGCGGAGGTCTTCTTCTGTATATGAAACCATTGTCAAGAGAAGAATAAAACGAATTGAAGATGAAGAGAATTGGAAAAGAATTGGTTGAGTTATGGGCTTTTTATATAAGAGGGTTGGTTGTGTTCCTCGCTTATCTAGAATGTTCTGGATCAGTGGCGTTCGCTTACTCCCCCACCTAACTTACAACTTTGACGAGACCGGGTTTATGATGGGCATGATTACTACTGGTATGGTTGTTACTACCTCCGATGGCTATGGGAAAGCCAAAAAAGTCCAGCCTGGTAATCGTGAGTGGGCTACGATTATCCAAGGGGTAAATGCTCAAGGCTGAGCTATCCCACCATTCATCCTTTTAAAAGGGAAATATCACCAAGAGAGCTGGTATCAAGAGTGCAATCTTCCGGCTACCTGGTATATCGGTGTAACCGATAACGGCTAGACTACCAATGAGAAAGGCCTGGATTGGATTCGCCATTTCGATCTTCATCAGCATCTCGTACGAAGGGTAGATACCGGCTTTTAGTCCTCGACGGCCACGAGAGCCACCACTCCGACAAATTCGAGGAGTACTGTCAGGATCACAACATTATCACCCTTTGTATGCCTCCGCACTCCTCGCACCTGGTCCAGCCACTTGATATTGGTTGTTTTGGGCCGTTGAAGAAGGCGTACGGCTACCAAATCGAGGAACTTATGCGTATGCATATCACACATATTACCAAGTTGGAATTCCTTTGTGCGTTCAAAGAGGCGTTTTTTACTTCTTTTATCGAAAAGAATATCCAAGGCGCCTTTGCCGGAGCCGGCCTTATACCACACGACCTAGAAAGAGTGATTTCTAAGATGAATATATGGCTCCGAACTCCAACTCCACCAGCCTCAAGCCTAGGTACGGCACTACCTTGGCTATCTCAGACGCCATAGAACCCCCGAGAGGCCACCTCACAGACAGACCTTATTAAAGGCCGGATATCTAACCATCAAGGTAGTTCTCCAACACCTATGCTGGCTGCTGTGGACCAATTGGCCAAATGTACAATGGCCGTAATGCACGAGGTAGCTCTTCTGCGTACGGAAGTCTCTTTACTACGTAAGGCCAATGAGGGGCTTAGTAAGAGACGGAGGGCCAAAAAAACACGTGTGCGGCTTGGAGGGTCACTTACCGTACAAGAGGCACAGGACCTACTAGGTCAGAAACCTGTGGGTGAGCAGATAATCCAGGAAACCCGATAAAATGGTGGTGGTGCGGGGGGGGCTCGCACGAAGATTCGGTGCTGTGGCCTGTGCGGCAAGCCTGGCCATAATGCACGCACGTGTCAGGAAGCTGGAAAATTGCCTGGTTCATCTATTTCTGGCTCAGCTCCTGTTATTTCCTAGTGTTGTGGTGGTTTAATTGAGGATCGTTGTGGTAGGTTGGTTAGAAATTCGCTGCTCGCTTATAAAATACGTTATGCAAGATTCCTTGTGCAAAATTTCATTACAATATTTACTCTCAGAAGCTCTGATCAGGCTCCTTAGGAAATCTTCAGCACACACGATCCCGTGGACATCAGCAGCATCTGTTGCACGGAAAAGTGAGGGGCGCGCCCTTGTCAGAGCTCTTATTCAGCATCATTGACCACCAGCGTGCCAAGATACACCCACCACCGCCAACCATCAGGTTACACGTACATGAGATGAGCTTGTTGTAGTGGCGAGACTGGCAATTACCACCATCACGGCCGTTGCGCGGGTTTTTCCGGAAGCCCGTTTCATGATATCCATGACACATTGACAGCTCTGCTTTGGCATTGGCAACCCTCTGTGTCCTACCACACAACCAAGGCAGCCCGCCGATCCCGCCGTCACATTGACATGCAGTGCAATGTCGGCCCGTGACGTCAGAGGCTGGTTATCTGTGCGTGTTTGCCGTTGGTGCGCGGCTGGAAGCGAGCTTCTTGTCCCGTCGTCCCATAGATAAGGAGCGCATGAGACACTAAGCGCGGAGTTGCTGCACTTGCATATGCACTGGCCATCGGACACGGCTGGCCCCGGGCTGTGGTGGTACGATGGTTAGTCTTGGGAACCGCGTGGGGAATCAAGGGGAAGTGGAGTTGGGTTTATGGAAGAAATTTGTCTCGCTTAATTGTTAGAAACTCAAAGAGTGGTATCATGCCGTTCGGGTCTCTGCAGGGTTGCGTTTTCCTCAGTTTGAGTTTGGCTTGTTTTAGTCGCATCAGAGTCAGTGGTTTTAAGGACAAAGGCGTCCTAGAAACAATAGTTCATGTAATTGCGTGGCGCCCTTTTTGTTTGGGAGATGTCTAAGTAAGAAGATAAATTGTCTAGCTTTGCATTCCTGTGAAAAGGCTGATGTTGCATGAAACGATTGATTCGTATGGAAAACAGGCATGCCGTGCTACCACAATGAGTCACATAAATGCTTGATACTACAGCTGGTTGTCATATTGTCAATTTCGTATCCCTAATCTAGAAACTTTCCTTGTCTGCTAACTCATGAGTCAGGGGACGATAACAACCTCTCCGACGTGCCTTGCAGCCAAGGTGAAAGTCCATTGCTACACGTCTTTGCTCTTGATACCACTGTCCCAATTCAAACCCTCATATAACCCTTCCTATTTACTGGACTATTTCCCTTCAGATCTGTTGCCAAATCGACCGGCTGAGCTGTCTCGTCTGTAATTGTTTTACAAAATGGGTGTTGTTCCATCTCCACCAACTTCTGCATCATTATCGGTGCGTCGAGTGGAATGGCGGTCTAGTACACAATAGCCGTCTGTCTGACCATCAAGCGTCAGATCAGGGGCTTCCACAGAGAGTGGGCGACTAAAAACTCACATGCCAGTACCACACGACTTCCTAGATGGCGGAACCGTTCAAGCGCCACTGGCTCAGAATGAAGACTTGTGCGAGCTGTCGACGCAGTTCAGCTGGCAAGTGAGGCACACGTCCGGAAGCCCCCATCCGTTGGAGCACTTGCATTTCTGGCAAGTGCACAGCGGGTCGTAGGCGCCGCTGTCCTTCACCTGGCGCTCGGAGCTGGCATAGTATTTTCCGCCCCAGGTGCCCCAACCGCCGCCGAAGCGGCTCGCCTCTGCCTCTCTATTATATGC